ACAAACATCAGAGGTCGAAACTATGTACTTTGCGGCCGAGCACGTAGACGAGGGTCGGGAATGCCGCAGATCGCAGGAGGTGGGTGATCAATACAGTAGACTTTAGACCCGTTGTGCTCTGGTCTTGAAGCATGTCGGCAAATAGACTCCAAGCCACCTGCCTATTTAGACACCTACCTGCCTAAGATGTCCACTCAGAGGGAAGAATCACGCGGCTGTTGGAAGGCTTAAGGCTGAAAGCTGAGGCAGGAGAAGGGAGGATTGGCGATTGGGATTGGGATTGGGAATGGGGACTGAGAATGTGAGATTCACACCACAGAAACTGAGACTTGAGACGGACGGGGACGGAGGGCGATGGTGTTGCCGAACGGGGGGTCAATTACGTAATCGACTTGGCCCCACCCCCCGGCAAGCCCAGCCAGCCACCTTGGCATCTGTAGCCGTCGTTTAAAAACTCCATTTGCGCTTCCCCCCCTCTTCCCTTGGAAACGCATCTTACATAAACACCACTCCCGACCCTTCCGCTGACTTAGCAGACTTGCAAGGACTGGCACATCCAGTCAAAGTCTCAAGACCCAGACGCCCGTGGTGAAGTGACATTCAGCTGTCGTCCTTCGGAGGTGAGTCGCCCAGTGGCCTGCGGCTGTCAAACCCGTCATCAGTCATCATCAGTCACCCAATCCCCGCCGTCGTCGGTCTCGGAAGCTTCGACTTTGTGCACTATGGCCGCCGTGTGCAGGCATGGCAACGGCAACATGGCACTGGCTAACCCTCACTTGAACCACCAGTCAGTCCTGCACTTGCGCGAGCCAGGGAGACTACGCGTCAGATCTTCGTCGTACATGAAGCGGCCCCAGAGCCAGTCGCCGGTCACCACCACCAAACACCACCTCTGCTACTGCAATTGCAATTGCAACTGCAACTGCTACCACGCTCGACTAGTCGACATTCACTCGCACTCAGCAAAAACGATAAGAGCAGAATCAGTCACCTTTTCGTGAATTGCTTCATCAGTCACCCGTCTGCTACGGCCAAACCACCGGCCCCATCGGGAGTACCATCATCCCTAAACCCAGGCCTTTTCTTAGCCGCGTTCAATTCATTTAGTCATCACCCTGCTCGCTCACCCTCGGACTCCCTGGCCCCAAGCTGCCCTCTAGTCGGCATTGTCACCGACAGGTATTTCTTTGACCTCACAGCGCTTGTCGGGCTCTTCCTGGTCCTGGTCCTGGTCCTGGCCCCGTCTCTCCGTCCTGCTGCTGAGTCAGAGTGAGCCTGCCAGCTGAGCGAAGCACAAGACCTCATCTCGACTTTGGCAGCGAGTCCAGTCCTGTAAGATGCAGGCTGCCAACAACAAACCTGGTGAGTACCTGTCATGTATTTACCTCATCTCCTCATCTTACTCATTCCTTTCGGCTCTGTCCCGTTTCGTCTTGTGCCCTTACTGTCTGCCATCTGAGGTGTTGCCTGCCTCGAGACGGCCAACCGTCTACGCCCCCAACCCAGTCTGTACCCACCACCGAGCAATCCGACCTGCACCTCGCACTCCACTGGGCACTTGCTCGGTTCCTCAGCTCCGCGCCCTGGCTTTCGCGCAGGTCATCCCGTCCTCTGCTGCCGGCCCTCGAGGCTTTCTGTGGCTGCTCTGCACTGCTCTGTTGTCAATGTCCATGGCTGTCAAGTGGGCCTAGGACATGATGCTGCAGTCACTTTCTCACCTACTCACTGGTCAGAGGGAGAGAGGGCAAGAGACCAAGACTGCTGTGAACAGAACCGCGTCGTCGCGGCTCAGGAGGACTCTCAGTCCACTTATACACACCCAGCCAGCACTTCTTACATAATTATCATCCACCAGTCCACGCGACAAGCTCGCCAGGGTACTTTGACAGTACTATCCTACCGCGTCCTCCTTCTCCGCCACACCGACAATAAGTAATCACAGCCCTTCCTTCACCATATTCCCCCATTGTCATCCCGACTTTATATCTGGAGTGGGCTCTACTGCAGATCAGATCTGAACCGATCTATTACTGCAACTCCCCAGCTTGCATCAGAGTCAGCCTCATCTTTCCCCCTCTCGTACTGCCTGTTGAAAGTACTCGCAAACACAAACCCATCTCCTCAACGTCCGTCTACATCCCGGCTTACCTCATCACCACTTCCATCACCCCTCTCCCATATTACCTCAGCTGCTGTTCATCCACCACCTCCCCTCCGTCCTGTGTTCCACTCATTGCGGTTAGGCCAGGCGTCACGCGTCCGACCGTTTCCCGAAACGGTAATACCGAGCCCTCATACTGTGCTTGACGATCCTCGTCTTCCGGGACATCTGATCACTACACCGTCCTTCTAAGACGCCTCTTGCTCCCACTGCCTCGTGTGCTGTAACGGTTCCAGCAGTTGTCGTTCAGGATGACTCGATTGAGTCACAATGAGCGCAAGAGACGCTGGACTAAGCAGCCCACTCTCTTTCACATAGACAATTCCACTATAAGACGCTGGGCGCCATCTTGCTGACGTACACGCAATCACAGAGACACGAGGACAACCAGGCGGATCGTCGCCTTTGAACAGCAATAGTAACGTCGCAAGGTCATCGGTCGCTGCCGCTAACTCCCATCCCAAGCTGGTCCCGCGGCCTCAGCCGGCGCCGGTCTCGTCGGTTACTCAGCCGCTCTCGCATGGTTTCAGCGACGCGACAACCCCAACGACCGCTGCCCCAGTCCTTGACCCTGAACTGTCCATCCACCCGACACTTAGGAGTCCTGGCTACGTCCCCACGGCGAACATGATGCCAAGCGGTGTTCAGCCTCCTCCCGAGCACCCTGGCGCAGTTTCCATGCCTCCAAGTTCGTCCGCCCCACTTGACGGTGATGATCCAAATGCAGACGGACGGAAGGCCAAGCGGGAGCTGTCGCAATCGAAGCGTGCTGCTCAAAATAGGGCTGCTCAGGTAAGGCTCACACTATGCCATGTGCTACGGGAGTAGCCATGCACTCGTTGCAGAGACGGGACCGTCAATACCAACTACTCACCTTCAGCTTGTGGGCTTTGATTTGCTAACATCAGCTTCCATAGCGGGCATTTCGTCAACGCAAGGAGGGGTACATCAAGAAGCTTGAGCAACAAGTCCGCGAATTCGGTGAAATGGAACAACATTACAAGAACATGGAGTCCGAGAATTACGCGCTGAGGGAGTATATTGTACACCTACAGTCTCGACTTCTGGACGCACAGGTCGAACCCCCTCAGCCGCCTCCCAACATCAACCTCTCTGTGCCCCCAGCACCGGGTCTACCCGAACCTCCAGCACCTGTCCCTACCCAAGAGGATGCTCCTATGACCGATCCTACGCCTAACACCGGATCTGCCACCGGAGCGTCGACACTAGATGCCGTTGCACAAGCAGTCCAGAGCTTGAGTCGTTCCGAAGCCGCGTCTTACAAGCCCGAGCCAACAGCCGCTGAGTCGCAAGCTGCGGAGGATGCGCGTACGGCAGAGGAGATATCGAGACAGCTCCAACAAGCGGAGGCGGTCCCGGCGGCCAACATGTAGGGCATGCTTGACCCCGAGGACCTGGAGCTGCGCCGAGGATACCAGCGGGGGAACTACTATCTGCCTTACGCGCCATGACGCTCGCTCGCCGAGAAGGGGGTGGGGGTTGGCAACATGGTCTTAGAAGCATGCCCTTTCCTTTTTGTCTTCAAGGGCTTGTGGTGTTTACGGTGTTCAGATGTGATGTCAAGAGGGGCTGACACAGTTCTTGACTTTTACTTGAACGGGAGAAAGCACGGATTGGGGAAGAAATGCGACTCCTATTCTTTGATAACAACTTGAGAGCAGGTGAGGGTTCGGCTTCAGTCTGCTGGTAGAATAGCAGAAATTGTATTTGCTTAGTGCATTCTGTCTTGTGTGCGTGCCGAGAAGGCACCCGCAGTCACGAGAGGGCAATGGGTTTCGCCCAGGGATGGATATCAAGAGAGACTGGGGTTGATTAGCTACGACTGTCGCATCCGTAAGTGTTGGCCGTGGGGGCGATCGGAACGGCATAATTTTAAAGGCGTGGCTGCGCAACCATGCCATCATCCTTCACAAGATACTACCACGATGGGCTCTGTGCTGAATTAAATGCTCATCCCTTCACTTCGATGGAGAGTCTGAATTTCTCGGCACGAGATTGTTTCCTCTGGTCCATTCACCCGCTCGTTATTTCACCAGGGAGGCTAGTCACGCAAAGAACAAGACTGGCGCCTGGCAGGTATATCTATCTGGCCACATGTAGGCAACACACAACAAGTACGAGGCGAAGCCGACAGGATGATATGAGGGAAAAAATGCCCGGAAACGGGCCCTGTCCCCACCCAAATCCTGGAGATCAAGCTGAGAGGGTTGAACTTCCGCCTCAACGATGGATCGTGACCGAAACCTGGGCGACCAGTCTACATCTGCAACAAAGGAGGTCTGATAGTTGCGCCAAATGTCAATAAAATCTCAGCGGCCTCTTCGCTTGATTGGAGGAGAGGCGCTCATACGATGAGGGCAGTGGTACCCGGGAGCAGTCGAGACGGAATGGGGACTGGGTTTGGGAACGAGGCACGAGAATAACCTTGAGACGGCTCAGTAAGGTTGAATCATGTTGCTCTCAATCAACTAGAGGGCGAGGTGTTTCTACTTCATCACAATGCATCAAGCAATGATGCTCGAGAAACAGCAAGGAGAGGACAGTCCATTGCCAGGCCAGCCATGCAGTGTCGGCCTCGGTCTTCAATATTTAGAAGTTGTTCGTCTTTTTCTCCAAAGATTTTTTAAAGGCGCTGTTCTCGTTGCCCAGCGCATTCCACCCGATGAAACCAGGGTTGCGGTCCATCATCTAGCCCTTTTAACCCAGTAATTATCCATATCCTGCCTCTTCCGCCTCCCTCCAAGCTACCAGCAAATTCTTAAGCTCTGTTTCTCTCATCGTCTCATCAGAAAATCTCTTGCATCGGCGTCTCGCAGACCTAAGAGAACGCGTTGCCAAGGTCGTGGTCCTGCAGAAAAGAGTTAGCCATGTTACTTCTTATCACACACTGTTGGTTGTGCAGAGTCTCGCTTACCTTGAACCACTCTGGTCCCTTCTCGAGGTACTCCTCCCTCGTGACCCTCGCCCTCTTCCACTCGTCACTCCCAGCCCAGCCCGCCGCGCCCTTCCATGCGTCCAGCACGGCATCCTTGGCCCTCCTGACTTTTATGGTTGATTCAGAAGGCAGCAGAGCCTGCAGACCACTTCTCAGCCTCTCGTCGAAGTTCTCGAAGAGCGTGGCACCACCCGTGAGGAAGATGTCCTTGAGGAAGTCGTTCCTATCTATACCGGGAATGGCTGTCAGCCGCTGCGTCAGAATGTCTCCAGCAATCTCGACGATGCCGGCCTGGTCAACTCCCGCGATGGCACCCGGCTGGAAGACCACCTCCGGCACACGGATGCGCTCCACATTCAGGTGTAGTTGGTTTCGCTCCGCCTGGGTTCCCTCGTCCGGTCGCGGCCCATAGCGCCATGCGTGGAGCATAGACTTCGTCCAGTTATTCTGCGCTTCGAGGGTGTGCTCGTACGTGAAGTCCGGGTCGTATTTGAGGAGGTCTTCTTCGAGGGTCTTGATGTTGGCATCTAGGTTCTCCTCTTCATCCTCGTCATCGCTATCGCCCTTGTTAGCGCCCACCGCAACATTGCGATAGACGCCCCAGTCAGCATCGTCGGCGCCAAAGTCATCGTCGTCTCCACCACGTCGGCGTTTGCGGCCTGTGGTAGCCGATGGATTGTCCGACGCGAGGTTGGCCAGCGTCTTCATGCGCATTTGGCTTGCGAGGGACTTGCGGTTGCCTAGGTCCTGCTTGAGCCGGTCACGATCCTTAATCTTTGTGAGTGTCTCGAGGCGTGCTTGTCGTCGCTCATCCAACCACGCCTCCAGATCATTCGTCCGCTTCTCCTCGTCCAAGCGAGCTACCTCTGCAACGCGAGCCTTTTCAGCCTCTTTTTCAGCCTTGGCTCGAGCCCTAGCCTCATGGTTTGATTTGAGAAGCCGCTGGTGACGCTTTTCCTTAAGGCCTTGTTCGTCTAGTTGATCATCAGGAATGTCGAGCAGGTGGTATGAGGGCTCTTCGGCCTGTTCTTCTTCGACTTCGCCGCCAAGATCCTTTTGCCGGGCTCTCTTGATAGAGCCCTCAAGCTCCTTGACTATCTTTGCAAGCTGGTTCTCATCCTTCACCTCGGCATCGTCCAGAATTCGCTTCGTCTCTTTCTTGTTCTGGTCGACAAGTCGTCGTTGAACATCCTTATAGTACTCCAGGTCCTGCTCTTTCTTCATCAACCGCTCAAGGCGCATTTTAGCAGCTTGTGCCTGCAGTCGACGGCCACTCTCCTTCTTGCGCTCTGCAATCTTTGCTAGCTCTTCTTCTGACTTTTGAATGATAACTTCCTCCGTGTATGGGTATTGTATGATTCGCTCACGGTCTTCGAGGCCAGTCCAGTCAAGGTATGTTGCCAACTCGCTATCGTAATCCTTTGAGAGGTAGCAATGGTCCCGCACCATGAACTCAGCTTGGGAAAGGTTCATCTTCCCGGGGAAGTGATCGTACTTGAGGCGAAGCAGTTTCATCAGATAATCGGCAGCGTGGTACCCGCCCCAATTTAGGCGGATAGCCTGAGCAAGCATCGGCTTTTGGCTGTAAACGGGTATCAAATGTGTGGAACTGTATGAGGATGACACGACAAGGCCGGTTGTGCCCCCATTGTGTCGGTACGAAAACAGGGAGTCGATTCCGTAAGTCAGGCTTGGGGCGCCATAGCATTCGAAGATGATCTCGGTCATTGCTGTGCCTCCTCGTCAGTAGTGTATCTCAATGGCTTTCCTCAGCCGGAAAGACTCACATTTCCTCGAATACGGCAGGTTCGCAACCGCCTCGGTCATGACGATAGGCATGTCGATGTTGCCCTCGACACCATTCATTCCCAACTTGAGGAACAAGTAGTCAAGCACATGTTCCATGACATCCCAGTTGCTGACTACTCCTGTGCCTTGCTCAAACGCATTTCGTATATGACCTCTTGCGGTTGTGTCGGAATAGCAGTCCAGGCCGGCGAACGAGAATGTCTTTCCCAACTTCCGGTCGCGATATTTGGCCATTATGGGCGGTATGGCAAACCGCGGTCTGTCTTCGAAGTTCCATCCTGCGCGGACTGAGGAGGACCCTGTTAGAGAGCATCAGTGTCAGTCCAGCCCCAGTACCAGTCGCGCAAACGATAGGGAGGCAAGAAGTTATGTACCATTATCTATTACAATTGCAGCGGTGCCATCTGGTTGTTGGAGTGCCTTCTCACGGCCGTCGGGCTGTGGTGGTATGATCTTCTCGAACTTCACATCCTTGACAGGGTACGTTGTCGGTGGCGGGAGGTCATCTTTTGGTCCCTTCGTCGCAGGAAGAGGTTCGTAGATCGCTGAGGGCGCCATTGTGAGGACAACGCGTTGGGAACGGAGGCGGTCCACAGGAGAGTTCAAAGGGTATCACGATGAAGAGAGGAAAAGAATTTTGACATGATTGGAAAAGGGAAGGACAGGCTTTGAGTTGTAAAGTTTTGAGGAAGAGGGTGTGATCATCTGTTGGTGGTGAGTACAAGCTGGGAGCTTCCTCCCCTGCCTGCCGCGGCCCACAAGGCTGGGCGCGTCCTCATCGCCATGGGTAGGTGGTTTGGAATTGGCATTCACTGAGGCTGATTGTGGGGGCGAGAAGCTGCAGCTACGGTGTGGGGACAGCTTCCGCTGGGTGCATCCCCCAGATCTTGGTAGATTCCTAACCCTCACAACGTCCCTGCAAAATGTTCCTGGCCCAGCCCATAGGTTTATTTGATTTCTTCGTATTAGACTCTATGCCTTCCTGGATTTTAACTTGCGAGTGATCATTCTGTCGACAAAGAGAATTTTCAGAATTGTTTTTCTTAATGTAAAAAACATTCGACCTGGAGAAGAAAGTTCCACTATTCCCCTACAAGGACTATTGGGAAGTCCGCATATCGCCTGACGACACTGCTTGGAACGAGACCACCTCAGAAGAGCGCACATACCTTATCGACCTTGATGCTGACTTTGATGCTGGCCTGCAATTTGTCATGGCGACAATTCTCGAGTTACACGTGTTGATTTTGAATGTCACGGCGATTTCCATCAAAATGACCTGCTCACTGACAGACTTTCAAGCAAACGGTGCCGCCACAAAAGCTCCCGTCTTCTCGCATTGTGACACTCGCTGACACATCGTCGAAAATCTCTTGAAACTTGTAGGCGATGGATATTCATGAAGAAAGTGGTGCTTGCCAAAATATGGGTCCGAATATTTACAAGAAAACGTCAATCTGAGAAGCACAGCCAAGGCAGTATATCTACAGAGGATAAGTTGTGCAGCAGATCCTTACAGGGGTCGTTTCAGCAAGTTCCTGCTCCAAGCCGCGACTCCTTCATATAAATTAATTATTTCGAGCATATTCAGATCCATGAAAGGAAAGAATTTCAATCAAGGATAATTCTGTCGCTTTGAGATCTTCCGACTGGAGACTGAGTACAACTCATGCCTATCATTCCCACCCATGGAGTGTGCCACCCGATTCCACCAGTCTGCGGAGAGCAAAACCGTATCTCAATTCTCAAGGCTCGGGATGGTATGGTCTAGATGTCTTGTGCCTTCGGCCCGTGTGACACCTCGATGGTGTTTGTCCCTTCCCGTTCTGTGCAGCATCCAAGTCCATATGTAGACGAGACAGGAAGAGCGGGAACGTTCAGTGCACGCAGACAAGCCACACCGAACTTCGGCTGTAACCACGCAAACTGGACGGCCAATTCCTGAGGTCTCCTAGAGCCGTTATCTGCACGCACAGGCAAACTCCTGTGGTGCCTGCCTCAATCTCAGGAGGGCTGTGTTGCCTCAATGAACGGAAGGAGCTTACCAGAGGAGAAAGGTCGAACAGCCCAAAAGGAAACCCCTTACCCAAACCGTACTTCCTCATTCTACTTCTTCTTAAGGTATCTCCTCTCATCCTTGAGCTTCATCTTTACCAGGCCTCTCACATCCACATGGGCACATAAACCGTGTGTTTTGCCGGTTGACAGTTGCTCGACCTTGTTCGGCCCCCTAAGCTGTGCCGAAGTGGAAATCCCTCTCAGTTAGCCAAAAGCACCCTCTCATTTCATTCGCCTCGATTCCTCAGAAAGTCTTCACTGTCCTCGGCTACCTCAGTTTTCATTCCTCTTGAACCCGCAAGCATCTCAAGTAAACTGTCATCAGCCAGCAAGATGCTATCAACCGTTTCTCTAGGTCTGCGTGGCCTTCAGGTACATCAACTCAACCACGCACGCTCTAAGCAAAGATTCTGACGCTTCCAGGTCATCCTGGCCATCGCGCTCCTCGGCGTCTCCGTAACCCTTGTGGGTTACGATTACTGTGATGAATATTATGGCACATGCGAAACCTTCAACGAAGGTTGGAAGACAACCATCCGCTACTGCATCTTTCTGGGCATATACGGAATCATGATCGCTGCTCTCGGCATTGCCTCTCTTTACGTCGACAAGATCCCCACGGAAGTCCCTCTCGTCGTGGACAGCATCGGAGCCTTGTTTTACTTGGCTGGAGGCATCGCTTGGGCGGTCCGCTTTACTGGCCAAAATATCCCCTGCAGTGTAGTGCCGGCCTGGGCGACTGATTCTTACATCAAAGCCTGGCTGAGCGCCTGTAAGCGGTGCGAGGCCGACGCGGGCCTTGCCTGGTCCTTGTTCGTTTTTACGGCTCTTCTTGCCATTTGTGGCTTCCTTCGACGACGTGACCAGGTTCAGAGCTCAAAGTAGGAGACGAGCTGATGGAGTGTCTGGAGATAAAAAACTGCACACGAGCAGTGCGATTCAAAGTGGCACAACATAGGCGAGACAGGTGGCACAGCTTTGTACAGAGACCTAAGACCCTGAAGGTTGGTTGCAGCCAGGCCATGAAAGTCTGATATTTGAACGGTCATACAATGACAATAATGACGAGGGGCTGGGATGGGATGAGAAATAACATACTGTAATTGACATTGGTACACTTGAAGTTGATTGTGCTCATGTAAGCTCTGCGGTCTTCCTGAGTTGTTCAAGGCCGGCCAAATCCTTACGTAATACTGCATCTGTACCTCAGGATATCATCGACCTCACCTGCTCCGTTCTCTTTTCTGCAAAAGACTTTGGGAGACTCAAAAGCTAATGCAGGCTCTGTATCCCAATATAACTATGAATGGACTCAGAACTTTGAGGCCAGCATCCCGACCATTTCTGCACCTGAAGCCCATCGCCTCCACCCGGTCATTCTCCAGATCAGCCGCCATGGCAGCGGCATCACCAAAGTTCTCCGAGGGCTCGGACGAGCCACGCCTGACCCAGGAGCTGGACAGTCTCCTCAGCAGGTGGACCCTCACAACAGATGGGCAAGGAATCGAGCGGTCCTTCAAATTCAAGACATTCGCGAAGACATGGGTGAGGCTTCACCCATCAGACCTGCACAGTCTGGGTCTCTTTCTCACTTGTGCTGACATGGGTCCAGGACTTCATGACAGCCGTGTCTCTGCAGTGCAAGATCAAGAACCACCACCCCGAGTGGTCAAACGTAAGTCACATACTTGGGCTGCCGAATGAACTTGTGAATTTACCGGGGGCCAAGTAAGATCCATGCTTACTGGAAATGCGCAGGTCTACAACACTACTTTCATCCGCTGGACGACACACAGCCCGCGGGGCCTGTCGGCCAAGGACACGGAGCTGGCCGCCATCTGCGACGAGTACGCGCAGAGCTTCGGGGAGGTCCAGGAGACGGCGGCTGCTCCGGCGGCTGCTCCGGCGGGCGACGGCCAGAGCTGTCAACTCAAGGGCCTCGCGGACCATGTGGCGTCGGCGTCAGGGGACTGCTGCACGCCGAAGAAGTCGAGCTGAGACCGAGACCGAAACCGACGACCCCCAGCCGAATACGCGGCATGACACATTCAACACCTGATGCATTGCGTTCGTGTATTTCTTCGTTCTCATGTATTACTAGTATTATTCTAAGCGGCGCCGAGCGAGAGGCGGCAGGCCGGATTGCTATGTACAGGCGAAGCTAAGCTCTTGAGGACGCCACCCTCTCTATCACGGTTGCGGTCATTCCGGGCACCTCACGATGGGGGTAGTCATCCGGTTGCGTCGTGCGTTGCTCTAGATTCTCGTTTCCAGTGCGTCATTTGGCGTGTTCAACACGTCTTTTCTCTGTAGCTCTTCCTGAAGTGGAAAAGCCAGACCCTCATCCTCGTCCACGAAGTCGACAACGGTCCGCAAATAGCGGCATGAAGACTAGACCTGGGAAGCGCTTATTGCGCCTTCTTGGCGCGGATGGCAGCAAGCTTCTTCTCCCTACGCGCCTTGCTCGCAGCCTCGCCGGCCTCGGTGTCCAGGAAGTAGTCCCACCAGCGGAAGCTGGAGGCGTAGTTGCCAATGAACTTCTCGTGGTGCATGTCGTGGTGGTCGGCGCCGGCCCAGACGGGCAGGAAGTGTCGCAGGCTCCAGGGGAAGTCGTAGCCGGAGTGGGCATCGATGGCCTGGAACAGACGCAGAACGATCCACATGTACATGGTGAACAGGTGCAGGTCACCGGTAAGGGAAACCCAGAGGATGGGGCTCCCGACCGTGCCAATGGCGAGGAGCATAACCTCGATCGGAGAGGCGTACTCGGCGGCGAGGCCGAAGGGCGCGGAGTAGGTGTGGTGCAACTTGTGGATGTTCTTGTAGAGGGGTCCGTAGTGCAGGGCACGGTGGAACCAGTAGTGCCATGCGTCCTCCATGATGAAGAAGATGGCGATCTGGTAGGCCATCTTGAACACGGTGGGGAAAGGCACGCCGTAGTCCATGCCGAAGTAGGTGGCAATCGGGTGGAAGAGCCAGATCTGGGGCAGCTCGACAGTGACGTGAGACAGGAAGACGAGCGCGGCGCAATCGAACTGCTCCTTCCATGTTGGCAATTTTTGCTGTGGGCGCGGGTCAGTCATGTCAAGCCATATCTCGACCAGAAGGCGCCTGCGAGGGAAAAAGGGGGCGCTGGGTAGAGGGAGCACACTCACGTTCTGGATCTTGTACTTGTTGAAGGCGGGAATGGCGTCGACAATAACCCAGGGCAGACAGCGGCCGAAGTAGACGATCTCGTGCATCATGAAGGACATGATGCCGGTGGCGAGAGTATCATTTTGCATGAAGAGGTACCACGAGGCCCAGAGGCGCTCAACCACGTTGAGCTGCACATGGATCTTGGACACCTCCTCGAAGACTGAGAAGTAGTCGGCTGGTGTTGTCGAGTTCAACCCACTGGCGACTGTGGAGTTGATGGCAGAGAGCGTCGTGCTTCTGTAAAACGTTGAGTGTTAGTGCCTCGCGCATTTTCGGAGTTTCGAAACCAAGGGGCGGAATGAGGTGAGATGTGCCGCGATGCGAACGGGTTGACTGGCAGTCTATACGTACACGACGGTAGCCATGATGAAAGTGTCCTATCCTCCTTGGCGAGAGAATGACCCGGGAGGAAGCAAAATATGGTTTCTGTCAAGTCAGGTCAGGTCAAGGAAGCGCCTCTCTTGGTGGTAGTGTGGTGTCCTCAACAATCTTGAGCTTGTAGAGGCGGTCCAGACAGATAAAAGGTTCTGCCAGGGGCGTTTTATTATTCGGGCCTCGAGGGACCCCTGCGTGCTGGCGACGGAGCTTGGGCTGGCCCGGGGGGGTCAGCCAATAGTGACCCACTCAATCTCAGAATGAGCAGATGGCCCAGAGTGCGTTTCCGTCTTCCGTCCACCCTCTAGCCCGGTTAGCCCCAGGAACATCCATCCTTGTGCGTGCTTGTGCTGCTTCTGGCGTCCTTAGGGCGACCAGCACAGCCTGCCACCTGCAGATCGGGGGCAATCTTGGGCCCATGATTGGCAGCGGCAAATCCTGTCTCCCAGTCCTCCCACCCCCAGAGAGGGCTGTTTCGTGCCACCACCTTTCGATGAGCCGCTCAATTGGGTTCGTGCCGACTCGATTCTGCTTGCGTCCGGGTGCGAACGGTGCCAACGGTAGCTGCAGCTGCCGGGCGGTGAGGGTTCCGGCTCGCCTGAGGGTCTGCGATCGAATGTTTGTGGTCCATGTCAGTCTGACCCGGCAGATTGGTTTTCCGACAAGTCTGGATCTCTTGCCAGATTGAGACGCCCAAATATTTTCTGGCCTACAGCACTCTCTGGAAATCAAAGCAAGAAGCACAGGATACCCATTGTCCCGTTGCTGAGGGTGGCGCCTTGTACCATCTTCACCAGCCAACCAGAACACACCCGCAGCCACCTTCGTCAAAGAAGGTGTGCGGTGTGAGGCTCTGCGGTGTTCCTGGGTTGATGACGTCTGTCTTTGATCCCCTTGAAAGTTTGCCAGCTGTTTGCCAACGCCAGACCACGTCGCTCTTTGGCCCACATTACACACGCGCGCACACACACAAGACGCGGAGAAAAAGCCAAACAATCTCCTCATTCTATGGAGATCTGGTAGTCTTTCTTATTAATTTTCCTGTCAGATTGTGTGGTCCCTTTCTAAGCAAGCATCTGGTGGTCTTTGCTGTTTGTTGACTGCGTCCGAGCTTCCGGCTCCCAGTTGAGGTGCACACACGTACGGTTGAGGTCACAAGAGACCCGCTCCAAGCTGAGCTCTCAATCCACCGCATGAGCGAGGGGAGTGAGGTTTCGCTGCCATAGCCCACTTTTTTCTTCCATCCAGCTTCTTCGCCTTCCTCGGTTGTGCTGTCTTCCGAGGGTTAATCTTGCGTGGCCTGATCGGACCTATCGCCACCCTCCGCGCGTTGGGTTTAGCACTCTCCGAGCCCATCCATCTGCCGTCAGCCTCAACCCCCCCTACGCAGCACGGAGCACGGAGCACATTCCGGTGATGCCTTACGGGTGTCGTTGAGTCCAAGATGTCGATTGTGACCGAGTAAGTCAGATCTGAGCCCCGGCCAGAGCCACCACATATACCGAGTCACCTCGCCTCGCGGAGAAGGCCTTTACTTCACGCGAGCAGCTTTCACGCTGCATCTTACGTATCTCTCGATTAAGTAACATCTCTCTCTAACATTCCGCAGCCAAGTTCGGCGCGTCGACGCCCAAATAGACCGTATTCTTCTGAATCCTCTGGTTGATTCAGAAGACGCTGTTGAGGAGCAGGATGACGGCAACACCGAGATCGGCGCCCGCAGCACGGCCGCAGCTGACTACTCGTCCCCGAGACTGAACGACCTCCTGCGAATCGTGAAGAGACTCTCAACCACGTCTACTATCATCCTGCCTGCTGCAAGCATCACCGGCCTTCTTCACCAGTCCGGCCTCGCCAATGCTGATGAGCGTTCAGAGGTCCTCGAGGCCAAGAGCCAGTATGAGTATGAGCTTGAGTGGTTGCTCGTCAGCAAGGCCACCACGCAGACCTATGGCCTGATTCTGAACACCTTCTTGGATCAGATCATCCCACTAAGCCATGACATCTGGTACTGGGACCAGGTTCTTGGTTCTTACACCTACAGCAGTCTCTATGCTGCTCAGACGTCGCCCATACGCTGGTGGGTGTGGGGCAAGGACATCTATCAGGAAAGCAGAATCCGATCGACATTTTCGCAGCGGGCCAGCCTGTTCAGCAGGTCACCACAGTCGGACAATGACGGTCTGGCTCAAAGATGGGGCCGGTTCTACTCCATTGTGCGAGAAACTGTGATGGAACGGTCACTAAAAGACGTTCAACGCAAAATGTTCTCTACGGTATCCTTGTGCCGATCCGAAGCCAAGCAGAAGCAAATACAGCTAAAGAGGCTGCGCGAAATGACGGCGACCGGACTGGGTGTCTTGGTGGACGAAGGCCTCAATTTTGAAATCGACGATGAGAAGAGTGACGTTCGCGATCATAGTGCCGAGTTGAGGGGTGTTGTGGAGCGAAGCGTCGCCCTCATGGACCTGGTACTCCGAGATGCATCGAATTTGGAACACCGCGTATCTGAGTTTGAGGACAAGGTTTTCGCCGGAATCGAGGAGGACCCCGACCTGTCGATCCATGCCGAGGAAGTCGTCAACAAGCCTGCGATCGTGGCAAGGAGGCTGCTCTCCATTCTGGAGAAGCGAATCCCGGGACACGTCGAAGAGACGAACAAAATTGTGGCTGCGAACGGCCGCCCGTCACGACTCGTCAGGTACTGGCTCCCTATGGGCCTGCTCTTGGTATCCTCTTCCACGCTTCTCCGGATTCTGGCCAACCACAAAGCCGACATCATCGACTGGGTACGTGACCTCGGCGTCACAACACGGGACTTCTGGTTCAACTGGGTGGTCGAGCCAGTGCGCAAGGTTGTTGGTACGATCCGACACGATTCTCAATCCGAAATTGCCATCATGAGCCGTGACAGCTTGAAGGCCGACCGCGAGAGTTTGGAGCGGATGGTGGTGGAGTTCGCAACGGACAAGCCCAGCCTTGCGGACTCCTCGTCACCCCTGACCGAGACGCAGATTGCTGAGATCCGTGACAAGGTCAAGGAGGGTGACGTTACACCTGTCCTCAAAGCGTACGAGAGAGACCTCCGGAAGCCTTTTGTCGGGGCCGTGAAGGGCGATCTGGTCAGGAGTCTCCTGATTCAGGTGCAGAAGACCAAGGTCGATCTAGAAGTTGCTATCAGTGGAATTGATGCGCTACTCAAATCGCAGGAACTCGTCTTTGGATTTGTGGGCCTGACACCCGGGATTCTCGTCTCTATCACGGTGATCTCCTACCTGCGTGGCGTGTTCCTGAGCAACCGCAGGGGCGTTCGGCAGCAGGGCGAGCGCGTGGGCCGCTGCGTAAGAACGCTGCGGAATATCGACCGCATTTTCACCGAGGCGACTCCAGTCAACGGCATTCTCGGGTACAAGGACCATGGTCTGCTGGTCACGGAGGTGCACATCCTCCGAAACCTGGTACGGGTTGGAAGATTCATGCCTCGTGAGGTTGAGAGTGAGTTCCTCGAGGATCTGGAGGACGTCGCAAATGGCAAGGGTATCCAGATCCAGGTGAGGGCGCTGGACAGAATCCGGTGGGCTTATGCCAGGTGGTTGCGTGCCAATTAGACCATGGGTAGTGGGCGAGCTGCGGCTTTACAGGACGCGGTGTCAAGATATGGTGCTCAGCAATCAGGGCAATCTTGTCAAGGGAGATGATGAGTGAACATGCAGAGGATGCAGGAATACATAACAATCAAACAATTTACATTAAAAATACTACAACGCAAACCCTATTCTATCAAGAATCATCACTTCAACCGTCATCTATCCAGAGGAGGTTATCCAAGATTTTGCCCGATCACGCAGTTGCCTGTCGAGATATGCCATAAGCAAAGTGTTTCCTTCCCAGCAAAGTGCTTGACAGGTGTCAGTCAGGACTAGTCGTTCCCGTGGTGATTTGCTACTACTGAGTACTGGGATCTGCTTGCTACCCAAGGCAATGGCTTGTAATGTTTGTTTTCCCGTTGCACTCACAGGCATAATTACCACAGATAATGAACTAGCGAAAACGGTTAATTCAAACCTTGATGATCAGAACGACTCTCGTCATGGGAACCAAGTTCGCCGCTCATAGGGTCGAACGCGTGGCGTCAGTGGCTTGGGTGGTTGGCCTCGGTAGAGGGGCACGCCCAGTTGGCCGTCTTTGACAATCACGAGGGCCCAGGAAGGGTCGCCTCGGCCTGGACAGCGGCCAGGGAGGTGGGATTGGTGCCTATCGTGTCTTTGGGGAACCTGGAGACATTGCAATCTGGATCAGACCCCAGTGTCGGGTATAGACTGGCCGTTACTGGTGTTGGCAGGAGGCCTGGAGTTGGAGTTGACTGTGTTCTCACTAGACTACTACCCCTGTGCCCATATTAAGTCAGATGGAGAAATGGAGAATGGAGATTCAAGCCCCCAAGGCTAACACGTAACTCCAAGTGACACGGCTCAACCGCAACCCAACGCATCCACTCATCTTCGTGTACTCCGAGCGGCAGGCGCCTCCACTGCTACCTACACCCACCGCTGCGAACCCTTGGAACCTGGCATCTCTCATCGACCGCCATCTTCGTCCGTCCATTCTGAGGTTCCTTCCAACCTTCTCTCCTGCACAACATCTGCGAGTCGTGAACCTTGTCCCACAAAGTAATCCCAACTACCATCGCCCTCTCTGTCTCTGTCTCTCTTGCTGACGCTGTTTCGGCTGGTAGCGAACCCGACAAGGCATAGGCACGCCAAGCCAGACCAGGACCATCCATCCCACTTTGGCCTGCTATCCTATCCTGGACCCATCATCATCCCTCCTTGCCTTGCACAACCGCCAACTGCCAACCTTCCTCACCGTCCGTCGCTCACTTTTTTCCTCCAACAATCGACCGACAGTCCCTAGAGAATCAGCATCCCAAGCGGTGCACCGAAGTCCTCCAACATGTCAAGCAACAGGAATTATGACTTTTTGGTACGTGATCCCGGGCCTCGGTCCTCCGCTGTCCAGAAAGAGCCACGTCCACGTCCACACTCTACTCCACGCACATGTCACCGAATGCGATAAGCGCAACGGCGAGTCGGCATCTTTCTGTCCCTTTGGCACAAACAACAGCAACGGGCGTGCCCTGTCCACGAAGGCCAGCTCAATCTTCAAGTCAATCTCAAAATCACACCTGTCAAAAAGGGCTCGCTCCAACACCAGACTAACACTTCTACCCCCTGACAGATCAAGCTGCTGCTCATCGGCGACTCCGGCGTGGGCAAGTCCTGCTGCCTGCTGCGTTTCAGTGAGGACTCGTTCACGCCGTCCTTCATTACCACCATCGGCATCGACTTCAAGATCCGGACGATCGAGCTCGATGGCAAGCGGGTCAAGCTGCAGATCTGGGACACGGCCGGCCAGGAGCGATTCCGCACCATCACGACCGCCTACTACCGCGGCGCCATGGGCATCCTGCTGGTCTACGATGTCACCGACGAGAGGTCCTTCAACAGTACGTGCAGACGAGTTGGAACAGCCGGCGGGGAAGGAACTGGCACGCAGGCATGCAAGAGAGACGGGAAAGGAGCAAAGCTAACCCACGGGCTTGTCTAGACATCCGAACCTGGTTCGCAAACGTAGAGCAGCACGCCACCGAGGGCGTCAACAAGATCCTGATCGGCAACAAGTGCGACTGGGAGGAGAAGCGCGCCGTGTCGACCGAGCAGGGCCAGGCCCTCGCCGACGAGCTCGGCATCCCCTTCCTCGAGGTCTCGGCCAAGAGCAACATCAACATCGACAAGGCCTTCTACAGCCTCGCCTCCGACATCAAGAAGCGCATCATCGACACCTCCAAGAACGACGTCGCGACGGGCGGCGCTGGCGTCAACGTGGCTGGTGGCTCCGAGAACTCGGGAAGCAAGTGTTGTTAAGGTATGGGGCGGGCTTCGGACGCTTAGGGATGGATGCTGGCTTGGGGAGGACTTGGGGTGTAGTGGAGCGTGGTTATTTGCTGCCGTGAGCATGGGAACGAGCAAGTCGGCAACAGGACGGCCGGTGGAAGTGCGATGTTGAGAGACGGCACAGTCTGTGAGGGCCTGCCTGCACTGTGCAATGCGGCCAGAAGAAAGAACAGGAATGGGTGCGCACCGAGGACAGCACAGATCAACCAGGGCCCTTGGAATAGGGGCAGGAGACAGACAATTCGACAGATGGCGCTTCTGCGAGCAGTCCCGCTCCATTGAAGCAGTCAGTGGTAGCCGGCGAAGGGGCACAGAGGCACCGCGGCAGGAGACGGGGCAAAGCAGCGGAACTCGATGCTTCCTTTAGAGAGAGAGAAAGAGAGTGGGAAAAAGAACGCGAACGACTAAAGAAAGAAGAGCCTCTTTTCTCACTTCTTTTTTTTATTTTATTTCCTGCGGAGGCAAATGGCAAGTGTCAATACTTGGAAGCAAACGGAGTTAGTGGCTATATCTGGGTTGCAAATACATTTTGTTCCAAAACCAAAACAAGTCGAAAGGTGGACGAGTCGCTCGCCGTTGTTTTGGCTCAACGATTCAGTGAAGTCGTGCTCGGTGCTTAATGGAGCAACCCAAATGTGACGTAGGCAATATCACTAGACCTGCGGACGCTTGAATCAGTGGTGGTGTGCTGATGTTACACGCAATACGTTTTGGACGGCCTAGGGATATGTAAGGCTAATAGAGGCTGCTCAGGGGGAGAAATTGTGGGCGAGCTGCAGTAAGCCTCGTGGATTGCGAGCAAGCTTGGTAGAGTATTGGCATGCTCATAGAATTCAAGATAATATGGTCTTTGGGACTTTGTCACGAATACGAAGAGGAGATCTTGGGCATCTTCCACAATGATCTCAATCCAGCTGGCGAATATCGAGGCGTGCAAAGTCGAAACAGTATCCTTTGGTGTGTGTGTTGATCGCGTGCATCATCACAGCCTCCCTCACTACTGTTCCATATCATTAGAACAATAGTCACACATGGGAGATGAAGAGTGGCAGTGTAAGGGCGCTCTTGTGCTCGTCTATATTTGGGGCATCTCGTCCCTTTCATACTTATATGATATACGAATGTACAGTCAGATCGAATCATCCTACATGATAGCCACAGCATCAACCACGACACTCCTCTCCAGCACCGCATCGTACACGGCCCGCTTGTGCCAGCACCTGACAAACCGCCTCGCGATGGCAGGCTGTGTGAACGTCAGGACGAACCTGTTGAAGCGCTCGTTGCGGTCCACGGCGCCAGCAGGCTCGTTCGTCTTACCATCCTTCTCGCTGCTGTCTGGCAGCGGGCCGGCGACCGGCGACCCACCATGCTCGTCCTTCACGTCGTCCTCGTCCAACTCCAAGGGCACGGACACCGGCTCCGCCTTCACCTTGATCTTGTAGTGCTCGGAGATAAACCTTGGCTTGACGGGCATGATGCCCTCGGTCAAGTTGGCAAGCACCCAGGGGGCGCTGCGCTCCCGCCCGTCGTCCCGGAGCGTCAGCCACAGCTCGTCCGTCGTCAGGCCACCCTGGCCCTCGCCGTGCTGCCCGTCCGGCGACGACAGCTTCAACAGCACCCGGGCCGGCGTGCTCCCCTCGGGCCGCAGCGTTGGCAGGATGTCGGCGATGTTGGACTTGGCCGCGAGCTCCTTGACGAGCTCCGTGTTCCACATACGCACGCTGATGTTTGGCTTGATGTTGGGAGAGTAGAGCGTGAAGGACCGGACAGCAGCCCTCTCCTCGTCGGTCAGGAAGGGCTGGGGTGATATGGGCGACTGGTCCAGGGAACCTTTGGCGACCTCCCGGCCTGAATCGGCTGGGGCGTGGAGCAGCTGGCGGCTCAGGGCGTGCAGACGTCGCACCTCGTCCACATAGGCTAACGCGGATGGTCGCGAATAGAACATAAGGTAGTATCGGCCTAGGGGCTCCCAGCTGATGGAGTCATGGGCTTGAATGACTTTGACAAGGCCGCCGGCCCAACCTTCCACGTGCTGGCCCTCCGGTGCAATGCGGTAGAAGTCCGTGTCGATGAGTGAGGGGCTTGTCCCGGAAATCACCACCACGGTCGAATGGGAACCATAATCTCCAGGTTGTGGCCCGATCACTCGGTCCTGTCCTTCTTTAGATATCCAATTCCGGACTTCGTTCCGCAGGGAGACCAAAAAAGAATCTTCAGGTGGGTGTAGCATCTTATGTGTTGCTCGAGGCTCGTCTTGTTGATTATTCACTGCTCCCGATTCGACCTGTTCGGGGAATAGCTGTCCGAATATTGATAAGCCACTGCCGAGGGTTGTATCATGCCGTGGGGCTGTATCCGAAGTCTTCTGTTGTGATTCGGAGCTTGCCTCTCCTCTTTCCGCTGCTGAGAAGGCAGTCCTTAGCTTAGAAGTCGGCTGCCCATAACCAGTGCCTTTGATTCGCTCTGGCTCCGCGAAAAGTCTTTCAAAAATGGAGCGATTGTCCGTAGACTGAACTGGTCCTACAAGTCCAAGCCTCTCTTTTTCGGGGGCTGGTGCCTGCTGAATACCCGTCTCTGCACCGAAGATTTCAGCCTCTGCCGCTTGGAGTTCGATTTGCACTGCCTTGATCTCGGTGTCATCGGTCATTTTTGGCCCCTCTAGACCCGTAGTCTCAGCCTTGCCCGACCGCGAGCTGGAGATGTTGATGACGCTCTCCTGGTCCTGCTCTCGCTGTGGCTTTGTCCCAATTTCGGTCTGCAACTGGTTCGTGTTATCTGGCAGAGACTTCGATTCGAGTTTGAAAGGTCCCATGCTCTTCGGCAACTTCCCAGGGGTTGTTTTGCGCGAGAAAACAAGACGAAATCTCGGCTCCGTGTGCACCTCAAGTCGTGAAGGCGTCTGTAGAGAGAACGAAGAGCTAACCGGCATCCTCGCTAGCGATCTGGCTTTCATCAACACAGGATCCTCGGCGAACAAGTTCTGGAGTGATTCAGCAGGGCCTATTCCCGCTGTAGCCACAGAGACTTCCCCGAGATGATGTTCCGCATCAAGGACTGCATCAAGCGGCTTCACCTGGTAAGGTACTTCGAGTGCTGGTACATCCGGTGCGCCCATCGGTCTGGGCCTGAAAAGAGCTTGCTTTTCGGAAGCAATCAGTTCGCGCTGACGCTTAATGGCCTCTATGGTGCTAGGCGACATTTCAGTCAGTGAGTCGAAGCCTGCTCTAGGAGGCATTGCCTCCTGGGGCTGATCAGCCGTGGGACCAAGGCCGTCGGAGGCCTGCCTCCCCTTTACATGAACTGTGATGTTTTGAAGCTCCTCCGTCGTGATATTCGCTTTTCCCTCCGTGGATTTCGAAGACTCCTGTGACAATTCTTCACGCAACATGTGTTTATTTGTCGAAGCTGCTCCTTGAGGGGACTTATGGTGCCTATCGTGATATTCGGGAACCCGCTGTGGCGGATAATGCTTCTGGGGGGCATTCCTGGGCGCATCGCTCTGATACCAAATCCTTCGCAAGGAAGGATCCTTTTCCTGCTGCAGCTCACTTGGTTCATCGCGGTGCAGCAGAAGCTTTCGGGAGTAATAGTTCTCCTTCCCCTTGACTTCCTTGGGTGCATCACGGCGCTTTGCGGGCTTGCGGCGAAGGAGCCTGGTGCTCATCTCGGCGATCCTCTGTCTGTCCTCGGGATCGCGATCGCCAAAGGGTTTCTTCCCCTGCAGACTCAATCGAGTGTGCTCCGCCATGGGCTTCGCGTCCCATTTCCCATGGAGAAGTGCCCAGTCATCGCCATATACCCCGATCTTGTGTATGCGAAGTCTTGTTTTCGCACCCTTTCCGGCTTCGCCATGCTGTCCTTCAGATACCGGTGCGAGCCGCTCGTCATGTTCCTTATCGTTGAGTCGTATGGTGGTCGTGAAGAGGGAAGCTGTTGCCGTCGCGCGGTGCAGTCCAGGTGCAGGTGCTGTGGTCCTCCATCGTGACAACGGAGACTGCGGCAATGGCAGTCGCCTCCCACGCAGCATCAATGCAACGAGCTGCTATATTCGACTCATTCGTGTCGTGGGGAGCGAGGTCGCTGACATTTGAGCACTCTCGTCGGTCGAGTTGGGACCCAGGAGGGGACTTTGTTGGTGTGCGCCGAGGGTACCATGGAGAAAGCTTCGAGAGCTAAAGCCGCGAAAAGTTTCCAAGCTTGTAGTAGGTACCTTGGTACTTGGGCCTACCTAGACAGGTACTCAGGTACATCGCGCTTCGCAATGACCCCAAGAAAACGCCAGGTACTAGAGACAGGTGCCAAAAAAAGAATTCACACGTACTGTGTGTAGACAAATGGGAATAAAAGCATCTAAGGGAATAAAAGCCATCTCAGAGTCTCAGATACAAGATGTATCGTACAATATCCAATTCGAGGAAGATGCAGAGGAGGAAAAGTTGTGGGAGGTCATCTAGAAGAGGAAATCTGAGAGAAGGTTATCCCGGGGAAGATTGTCCCACAAAAAGGTCATCTTGTAGCAGGTTATCCCACAGGAGGTTATCCCACAGGAAGTCATCCTATAGGAGGTAATTCCATATGAGATTATTCCCATAGGAGGTCATCCCATAGAAGGTTTCCTAGTAGAGGTCATCGCACTGGTGGTTGTCCTACCAGAGGTTTGCTGGTTAGCACCCACAGGCTGCAGAGTCGGTATGGACGCCGTGTATTTAGCGCCCAGTCAAAATTTCCCAATAAGGAAGAAACTTTTCCCACCCACTATTTGCGGTTCTGCCGCCGAAACTTCAACTTTTATCCGCCGTGAAAGATGAGAATTCTTGCCCGTCGCCGTCAAAATGAAGTTTATCGAGGTCAAGATAAGGCCTGTCCCATCGCCGTCGGATAAAAGCGCCGAGAAGACGCTCAAGGGCGCGTCACGGATCTATGTCAGCAAGGATGTTCTCCTCGAGCTCACTGGCACGGCTTTGGAGAACGGGAAGCGATGCTATGTCGAGAAGATCCTGGAGAATGGGCAGGCCACTACACGAGAGGCATCACTATGGGCGTCAGCGGACCCAAAGATGAGCCGTGCCGTGGCCCAGATGAGCAAGCCATTCCAAGATGCCTGCGATTTCAAGCTCGGCGATCAGGTCAAGGTCATCTACACCGACGGCAACGCGGTGCCTGAAGCTGAAGAGGTCGTCCTGGAGGATGTCACTACCAATCAGCCCGCGATCGAGGAAAATGATATGATCCACTGGGCGTGGACAATTAAGGGCAACCTGATGAGCTTAGATGACGTGTTTCCCGGGCTGGTGGTCAAACGCTTAGCTGGAGCAGGCACATACAGAAGTTTCAGAGTCACGAGTGTCAATGGCTCGATGAGTGGCAATGCCCGATTCATACCTGCTTCGACAAAGGTTCGCATCAGCACCGGACAAGACCTGGACAATACAGCAGCGGTTGCCCGTCCGGCGATACTCAAGGTGGACATGATACAAGGCCTCGAGACCCAGATCCGTGACCTTAACAATAGGCTCCGCCGGTGGTGTAAGCCATACAACGCTCCCGCGCCCCGTAGGTCGTGTGGTCTGGTCTTTGATGGCGGTCATGGAACTGGGAAGACGATGCTCGTTGATCAAATTTGTGAGACGGGATGGGGGACGGTCCACCGCATACAACCCAGCGAGAAGCTCTCCTCCATCAGCAAAATATTCGAGACGGCGAGAGAGACCCAACCCAGCATCGTCGTCATGGACGGCTTTGAACAGCTCATCGACAAGGATCGTAGCAATCGGAACGCCGTCATTACAGCCGTTGTGGACTTCCTGGACAAACTGGCCGCAGGCACAGCAGCGCGAAATAAGCGCCCTAAAGTCCTGGTCCTCGCGACGTGTTTGGACTACTCAACGAATATGCCACAGGATCTTATGCGAAATGGACGTTTTAACAAACACATCAACCTTCCCCTCCCAGACATAGCCAGAAGAAGAGCTATCCTTTCGTCTTTTAACATGCCTTTATCTCCTGATTCCAGGGACAGCATTCTATCCAGTATGAGCGAGAAAACGCATGCCTACAACGGAAGCGATCTGGAGTCACTAGTTGAAGAGGTTGCTGAACTCTCGGAAGAACATTTAGAAAAGATCGAGGACACTGGGAAAGAAGCCTCCCCAGAGGACTACTTCATCACAGAAGAAATGGCCGAACAAGCAATGCAGACTATTCGTCCATCTGCAATGCACGACATCAATCTCAAACCCCCACCGGTTCACTGGGACGACATCGGGGGCCAAGAGGAGGTCAAGCAGACCCTACAGCAAGCACTCGCGCTGTCCAAGGTATCCAAGCAGAACCTCCTCAATTACATGTCCGCTCCGCCAAAGGGCTTCCTCCTCTACGGCCCACCTGGCTGTTCCAAGACCATGGCTGCACAGGCGCTCGCAACCGAAAGCGACCTCAACTTCTTCGCCGTCAAGGGCGCGGAGCTGCTCAACATGTACGTGGGCGAGTCGGAGCGGCACGTGCGGCAGCTGTTCCAGCGCGCGCGGGAGGCCGCGCCGAGCATCATCTTCCTGGACGAAATGGACTCCATCGGCGGCCAGAGGTCCGGTTTTGGGTCCACCAAAGCCGGCGGCGGCGGCGGCGGTAACAGCGGCCTGAACGTGCTGTCGACGCTGCTGAACGAGATGCAAGGGTTTGAGCTTTTGCAGGACGTCCTCATCCTCGCCGCCACGAATAGACCCCAGGCCATGGACCCTGCGCTGCTGCGGCCTGGCCGGTTCGACAAGCTCATCTTCGTGGGGCCGCCGGATGAGGCCGCGAGGGCGTCCATCTTCCGCAACTGGCTGTCGCACAGGAAAAGCGCGTCGGACATAGACGTGGAGGAGCTTGCGAGAGAGACCGAGGGCTGTTCGGGCGCTGAGACCGTGGCCATCTGCGAGGCGGCCGGTGGCACAGCCTTTTGGAGAGACCATGGCAAGGCCGAACACGAGTGCAAGGGTGTGACTATGGAGGATCTCCGAGAACAGGCCCTGAAGAAACCGCGGATGATTACCCCTGAGATGTTGGAAGCGTACGAGGTGTGGAGGAATAAATTTCTCAAGGAGGCTCAATTTGCCTAATTTGGCAGGAGGTTGTCCTAGAGGTTCGCCCGACAAGAGGTTATTCGGCAGTTTAACCCATAGAGCTCATTTCGCAGAAAGTGCTTTAGAAGGCATTCACATAAGAGATTATGTTACAGAACGCTCTCCGGATCTCTTGTGATAGGCTCCTATAACTGATTATCCCGTAAGATGTTGTCCCATGAAAGTTGATCGGGTCATCCCATGCAAGGGTGTCCCACGGCACGTTATCCACGTTATCCCATAAGACATTGTACCATGTAACGCATCACCCCGATATTGAGATCTCTAAGCTGCGTAGAACATGCTCTAGAGACACAACTGTGGAGTAATTTTCTACTTTATTGACGATATTTCATGATTAGTCTCTCTTGTGACAATGTCATATGCACTTTCGAAGCTTTAACCCTAAGTTCTCTTCCCTGACTTGATTACTGGCTGGCGAAGCTAATCTGATCTGTACCTATGTGCCAATCTATCTGGCCCATCACGGCGTCAAACAGAGGCACATCTCCTTTTCTGGAATGGATAACCTTATAGATGGATGCCATCCAGAAGCAATGGTGTGGTATGAGGATTTACATGAATGCATGGTGCGTTCTCAGAATGATGCAGTCAACCGCCCTCTACCCGTAAAATTCGCTGACATCGAACTTCTTCAAGCTGGGTCCTTCAGGTTGTCCGTGGCTGGAAGCTTGTCAGCTGTCTGGTACTTCTTGAAATCCATAACTGTATCACCACAAACCTTCAAGATGGAACAGAACGTTGGACTGGTAGTTCTTGAACATCTGTGCAACAAGCTCGATGTTCATGTTTTGGATGTTGATCTCCTGTTGAAGCATAAGCTTGAGGAAACGCCATAGACAGAGATGATGTCTTACTTGTAGAGTCTTATTCATGACCATCACTGCTTCGTTCAATTTCTCCTGCAAACAGTCGTCAGATGCTGAATACTTCATCCAGGCACAGAGTCAAGGAACATAGGGGAGCACCCACCACGTTCGTAACGACTCGGGATAGCAGAAGGTTCTGCTGATGCTCATGGGGGCTCTCCTATCAATACATCAGCGGCCGAATTCCAATGCATTTGCTACTGCAGACGTACCATATTGGTTATCAGGCGGCGTGGTTGTAGATGCGTCAATATTGACTTCCTGATGAGGGTTGCCTAGGGTTTGGCGCGTCTGCAATCACGCTGTCAGAATCAAGGCCATTAAGAGACAGTGTTAGAGAGGGTGTAGCGCCATTTGTACTGTGCCCTTAGAAGGTCATCCCTGCGAGGCTTACCGGCCGCAGCTGCACCCAGCTTTGAGAGCTTCAATCCAGACAATACCGAGCGCAGGTAACTTTGGCCAGACACAAACCGAACTCATCGACCTACTCATCTACGAACAAACTACGCACTACACATCGTCACGAATCACTGCTCTGCTGTGCACATTCAGGGCGAGATCAGCACTCCAAACACAAGATGAACAGCGCCGAGGCGAAAGAGGCCAAAGAGGCCGAACAGGCGGCACACTACGCGCTGATTGAACAGCTCGACATCCACTCCATCCACAAGTCCTTCCGAAACCCCGCCTGGCGGCCCAACCAGAGGCGCAACAAGAACATCAAGACCATCCTCGGCGACGCCTCTCGCAGAGAAGCCTCCCTGGCCGCCACGCCGATGGACAACGGCTCGGGCGCCGCAACGCCGAACGACGCCGCCGCAGGCCGCGACGACGAGAAGGACGACGGTCTATCAACAAGCGGCACGTCCACGCCAGCCAACGAGGCCTCCTCCACACCCGGCGGCCCCAACGGCAGCGCGTCGTCGCAGCCCAACCTCGCGCAAGCGTCGCGCAGCCTGTCCAAGCTCGTGCTGGAGAAGAGCCTGCGGCCCAACGGGGCGGGCATGACGACGGGCGGGCTGAGCGGGGGCGCGGGCGCGCCGAGCGCGACGTACACCAACATCGAGAGCGCGCCGAGCCTGGCGCCGCAGAAGCGGTACTGCGACGTCACCGGCCTGCCCGCGCCGTACCAGGACCCCAAGACGCGGCTGCGGTACCACGACAAGGAGGTGTTTGCCATGATCAGGGGCCTGCCGCAGGGCTATGCCGAGCAGTACCTGGAGGCGCGTGGCGCGCATACGGTCCTGAAGTGAGGACTGTCCAGGTGCTTTTCGCGCGGACATCTTACATTACATGAGCACGAGGCTGGGTTGGACCGGGTTATAATTTGAGGCTACGAGTATGGTACGGTGGAGACGGCGTTCAAGGAGCAGGCAGGTCACGACATCGGCGGTGGCAAATATCAACGGCAGGCGTTTTGGAGCCCCCAAGGGGACTGGGCTTATTGGTGCAAGACTCTGTCGAATTGCAAGCACGCATGGCGGCATCTGAGAGAGGATAGAGAGGGAGAAAGAGATATGTACGACCATCAAAGTCAAGCCCCGACTACGCACCCAAAGTCTTTCGACAACGGGATGACAGTTGACGCTCCGGCTTAATCGCGATCGATTGTTCTTTGCCTTTTCAAAAGAGAAAGCCGACAGATCACCGAGAACTCGTGGGGAGACAGGACTCAGTTACCAAGCGAAAGAGCTAGGCCGTCGGGGCATGTAGTTGTGCTGGTTGAGAGAAGACAATGAAGAGGGATTGGAGTGGTGTGTCCAAGCATGGAACGCAGCCCCCTTACCTAGCTGACTGGCGAGATAGAGGCTTTTCGAGGATGTGAATCCCATGCCATCAACAATTTTGAGTACCAATCTTGGTGTTTTCCGTGCCATACAATGCCGGCTTGTTGACAGAGCAAAGGGTCATTCTGAAGACAGCAGAGCTTGGAAACTAGAATTTTGTATGATAGCTAACCTATAATGGCCCGTGCGTGCTTATGTCATGTCTAGGTTACAACTGCAGTCCGGGCTGTGCAATCCACTCAAGCAGCGGCCGGCACAGACTTATCCTTCTCCATCATCTCCAGATAGTACGGAACGGTCGCGTCAAGAATCCCCTCAATACCCTTGACCTTGAAGTTGCCGTAATTTTTGGTGAACTCCTCCATGGCAAAGTTGATGTTCGCTTTCGTGGGGTAGTCGCCGTCGCCTTTGATAAGACCCTTCTCTACGGCCTCGGGCCATTTTCTCGAAACAATCGGGAAGATGTCGTTCCACTTGAACCTGGCCGCCTGTACATAAGTGACAATGTGCTTGCTGGGCCCTGACTCCGGCGTCTTGACATTATCCAGTTCCAGGCTCTTGTGCACGACATCCACCAAGTCGTCAACAAGCAAGCCGCCGGCCAGTGTCTGAGGGTTGGGTCCGCCATCCTTCGACAGGCTTGCGCCTGTCAACAGAGGCAGCAACACCGAGTTGCTCGTCCCCCAGACATCGGCCATGCTAGTCGCCAGTGGCACCTTTCCGAAGATGTAACATGGCGCCAGGTTGATCATGTCGAAGTTGACGCTTCCCTCCGCAACAGCCTTCTCCATCCACTTGAGCGATTGTTTCAGGGCGGCTGTCTTTGCCGCGCAGTAACCAACCAAGGGGCTGTAGTACGGTGGCCCGAAGTCATCGTTTGGCTTGTCGCCCAGGAAGATCTCCTCTTCTGGGACATATGTGCCTCCGACTAATTCGGGCCCGGCGAACGCGCCCAGCGACGACAGCACCACCACCCTCTTCACTGTTCCAGCCTTCTGGGCGCTTTCCAGAGCTCGCAGCGTGCAATTGACCGCTGGGACGACGACGTTCTTTTCCACATCTCCGTCCGTGAACGGTGTAGGGCTGGCGCAATGGACGACCAGGTCCGTGCCGGCTGCGGCGTCATCCAGGCACCCTTCTGCCGTGAGATCCGGCACGATGAAGAACTTGCAGGCCGAGTCTTTGCCCAGCGAGGCGATGGGGGTTGCTTCTCGCACAAACTTAGCCTTGGAGTCGCTCCGGACGGCTATGTGGACTGTGTAGCCAGCCTTCAGGATGTCGATGAGGATGGCAGAGCCGAGGAAGCCGGTCGCGCCAGTGAGGAGAACTTTGCCTTGAGCCATGTTGAAATTCTTCTTGTAGGGACGTTGGAAGACATAGAAAGCAGGTGAGGGGCACGCAAGGTATACATCACATTTCAACTCGAGCGTCTTTTATACTTACGCGATCGTATGCTCATCTAACCGCGCTCTCCGTATTTTATCCTTAACAAGCGCTCCTAGCGCACGGAAGCAACTATCACCGGTAACTAGTAATACAGTAAGATTCAAGACGCACTACAGACCTATAGTCTCTTCCATGGTTCCTGGCTTTGCGGGACTTATTCAACCAAAGATCTTGGCAAACACAGTGACAGGATGTAGCATGTGTTAGTGCTGAGTAAGGTACATGCTCGAAAAGGGCAACGACGATCAGACTCGGGGAGTTATCGCGATGGCCCAAATAGCATGAGCTGAACACGAGTTGGCGGAGAAGGAAGAGGTTCCCGGAATCTGTTGTTGCTTACACAGTATCTGCCGGCTCGAAACAGGGGTAGGAGTGGCCGTCGCTGTTAGCTTCCGCGCACGGCAATCTGACAGAGGGATCGGCCGCTGTATGTGCCACAACAGGCCGCTGCTGGCAGCATAGCTAACCCTGCCACGCCTGCCCTTGGCTTAGGGGGGTAGCTTTCTGAGAACTGACCAGCTGCAGGCCACCCCTGTTTCAGTCGCAACGAGACACTTTTCAACATTTCCGGCCGTTTTGCGACAAACCACCGCCTCGCTGTTACTGAATTGGGGCCGATTTCTTCGCCGACAACTCGCCGGAAATCCAAATCCTCCCTAATCCTGCACCGAGTGTTTCTCGCCTGCGATACGCCAAGATGCCTTCAATGTGGCTGTCGGACGCCCAAAGTATGCTACAATGCGGTTTCCCCAAAGCTCTTTGCCCCTCGACGCGTCGCAGGCACGCGACCTGACGGGGTGGCCAAGGAAATGGACGATGAAAGGCTGACCTGGAGGCTTTCTCTGCGACAGAAATCGGAGTGGCATTCTGCTCCGGCGGTACGATCTCACTGTCCATTGACGGGCAAAATGTGGTCTTGTCGCAATGGCTGACAGCTAGATAGGCGGCTTCTTCCTGATAGGAGGAGTGATGCTCTTCTTTGACAGGGCTATGTGAGTTGTCGCAAAGCAATTTGCACCCTCCTGTGGGATCTTTGTTTGGCTGACGTTTGGGGACCTTGCCAGGCTCGCGATGGGAAACGTATGCGGCCCCCTGGATACGAATTTGCGGTGACCTCCGAGACCTGTGCCTAAGCTGACCTTCGTGGGCGACAGATCCTCTTCCTGATCGGACTTACCATAATAATCGGGCCGCAGAAGACACTTCTCTTCTTTGCGAGGAAGCAAAAGGCAAAAGGCACGGCGGCGTTCTTCGCTGGGCTGGCTCTGATATTGCTGCGGTGGCCTTTGATCGGATTCTGCGTCGAGCTGTACGGTATTATGGTGCTGTTTGGCGATTTCTTCGGTACTATAGCTGCCTTCGCGAGGAGTGCACCCGTCGTTGGGCCGTATATTGGAGTCGTGATAGATCGGCTCGGGATGGGTGGCAGGAGAAACGCGGAATTGCCGGTCTGATCCTGCGTCGACGGCATGCTTGATGACGCTTGTAAGATGAGAACCGGGTAAAACCACGGCCTTGGCAGGCTACTTGGATAATGGCAGGGCAAGGTTTAAATTGCTGTCTCGTAGACATATTTGCGGCGTTCTGAGTGGAAGAATACCCATCTTTGCATCTGGGCTGTTTCTGTACGCTACTGGCCCCAAAGAACACCTTCACGGTATCACAATTATTGCTGTCAAAAGACAATATGTACGACGTTGCCTCGGATATGCAGAAAATCAACGACGGCGTTCGCTGCTCAAAATTCGGCGTTCCCACTTGGTCCGCGCTGTTCTATAGACTCAACGCACTGCCACGTGTCTAGGTGGGTGGCTCCCCTTCTTCATATCCACTTCGAGTCTCTCCGTTCCGTCCTCCTCCAGGCTGGATTCCTTAGTAGCCTTGGCCAACGAGGTAGTCCTTGAGCGCCTCAACAGTCTGTGTGGTGTTTCCTGCCTGTTGGGCCTCGCCATGGTGTGCGACCAGGATGGCCTGCTTCGACGTGGAGACGGCGATGCCGGTTCGTCCCTGGATGTTGTTGCAGTGTCAGGCACTGCTCTGTCTGCTGCCGCATCTAGAGTTTTATCGAGAGGTTCTTACCTGTCGGGCGTAGATGTTGCCGTCATCAATACGGGTGACGACAAATCGCTCGCCAGCAACGTGGATGCCCTCAGCGTGTGCCTTGTCAACGGCGGCCGTCTCGCCCCGGGCGATGTCGGCGAGGTTCTTCATCTCCTCGGCGCTGATCTGTTTTCCATTCCGTGTCAGCCAGCTGGATCGTCCCGAATGCCATCTGTCGGCATCGCTGTCAAGGGGTGTCGAGCTCGGGTGGTGGGCATAACATGGCCTCATTCCTGGAAATGGCGGGGTAATTCCGTACCGTGAAGCCGGAAGTGGTAGCCCAGGCACTGTCGCCGGCAGCGCTGATGATGGCGCCCTTGTCCACATGACCGGAGCCGACAAGGCTGCAATGAAAGTCAGCACATGGAACTAGTCATGGTGTTCTGTGATTGTTGTGGCGAGGTGCTGTCGTTACCTGGAGTCAACATAAGCTGTGACAGAGTTAGCTTCATCGCCGCGGCGCCAAGGTGGGGGTTCAAAAGGGGCATGAGCTGGGTAGGAATGGCTGTTACGGTACCTTGCCACGACATCTTGTTGGTGTTTTGGGTTGTGTGATACGGGGTACGAAGAATTCGAAAAGGTTCTGTGCAGAAGAAGGAACACGGTTTCAAAGGTCAGTGGTAGTAGCGGGAAGCTGTCGTTTGGGTATGATGTGGTTGTTTTGGAGTTCCAAAATGTCCCGCTGCCCGAATTGCTTGGTTTTTTGGCACCCATGTCACCTTAAGTAAGCGGGTCTCACCAATCCACTTCCAATCTCTGGTGATTTACCGTGCTCAGTGATCAACACAACCCCTCTACACCTACGCATCTCTCTTGGGAGTACGGGTCCGTATCAGCTCGAGCATTCTACTGCAAGCCAGACGGCATGATGCCGCCTAATGCATTCATATTATCCATGCCTGTGACCAAGTGCCGTTTTCTGGGCACATGCTCACAGAAGACGAACCTTTTTTGGGGGCGGCTGTATGAGGCTCTCGTGCAAGAGTGCAGCGTGAACCGCGGGTCACCGACACCGAGACCGTCAGACCGCTCTTGATGGGTCTCATAGACAGCCGTGGACCGACCAGTCGAAGCGGTAAAGCCAAGGGGGCCACAGTGCCTATCGTCACGTCATCTCGTACCGTGCACTGGTCTCTTCAATCATCGAACTCGAAATTCGAAAGCTTGGTCATGCCGGCCTGGCAGCGCAAGACCATATCAATTCGGGACCCTTCAGGCTAATACGAATTGGAGGCGCGACTCAGGTTTAAATGCCGTGTATTCTTCGCTGACCAACACGCATAACTTATACCCCTTTGGATTGTTTTATGCCATCCGCAAGTTTCTCCTGAGCAGCTCGTTTTGCAGCGCGCCCCTCTGATCTAGAAGGAGGCTCGACGCAGTTTCATCGGTAGACAAGGAATCGAAACATCGCGAACCAAGTTTATGCTCGATACTTTGACACCGCAGAAACCAGTTCTGGAGGGTGACATTCTCCACGGATAGGAGGCAGTCAAGCTCGTGAAAACGGAACGACATCCGGGATGCCCCTCAGATCTCGGGCAGCCCCAGTTTTGTGACACAGGGCCATCTGGACGAACTGCTTGTCGGGGCCTTGGACTTTTGCAACTCTGCATATGTACATGCACCAGTTGGGCAGGCAGCCCGAACGATGTTCGAACCGATCCTCTCTGGGACAGATCCACGAGCCTTGAAACGTTGCTGGCATCTCATGTCAGCTGCAGATCACGCCGCATAGAGGAGCCTGCTAAAGGGAACTCCTTGCTTCGAGATTTTGCACCAATTGTCCAGACCGGCGATCCGATGGTGCGGTAGATCACCTTAAAGAACTGGTCTCGACTTTGAAAGATGCACAGGATCACCGGTCCGAGCTTTGCGGCGCGTTCCGTGATCTCGACAACATACTCGTCGACTTTCTGGGACGATGCTGATAGAAGCCATCGGTTGTCACGCGTGCGCGACCCGAGACTTCTCACTATAAAACTCGGATACAGTCCACACCCGCGCTCTATACGGAATGACCATTGAACCCACCGCAGGTTTGCTCATTGTCGATGGTAGCTTTTTCGAAGGTTTAACTAAGTAGCAGCCGTTACCTTGTTCTCTTGGCTTGCGCAATTTGTTGTTGATTGTACCTGGTCAACGAACTTCGCGTCACTCCCTTGCGTGTCCGGCAGTGCGGCTCCTCTGAGAAGGTTCACAACGTTTCTCACAAACTTTCATCCGACTTCATTTCTTCCATTGGCGTTCTCGAAGCACCCTCTCTAGGACGGGGGACCTTCTGTCCAAGTCAGAAGTTTCAGCCACGGCCTCACACGATTTGCATTGATGAGACATTATAAGCTATGCTATTTCCGGTAGGGTGAAACAACATTCTTGGCAGCCGGGTAGTGTTCAGGTGTTACCTGGCGATTTGACCTCCAAGGGATTCAACCATCTGTGATCAATCACACAGCATGGGCCACAGGGCAGCCCCGGATCAGTTCTGAGACGATGATCTGGCTGTCACGGGCAGATAATCGCCTAAGCGTGGGCACGTCTGAGCGCCGGCGAGCAGCTCCACGACCAACGACACTGGAGCGGCTACTATACAACGCTTCGTTATAAGACGAGGTGTCAGCGCTATTCGTAGCTGCCTCTTCAGTCGGCAGCCGAATGCAACGCTGCTAGCCTTGCAGTAAAGTTGGACGTCGGCTGCACTCCACCTCTACCATTGAGGTATCAACTCATTTCACATCGCAAGCTTATTATAGCAATTTCGCAAACTAGTTCTGGCGCAAGTGGCATCTAATTTGCTGCCACATATTCTGACGACCAATGGGTTGGCCAGCAATATCAGCTCATCATCGCAACCCTGAAGCCTCATTGATGTCACATCCACTCACGTCGTCTTGACGGCCCCAGCCGGACGGCACCCTCCAAGACCCCAAGCTCAGCTTGACTTCGCGACCAGCTGAGCAAGATATGACTGGGGCTGATATCTCACGCCTTCATCGAGATGCCGATGGGGCATCGCGAATGATCAAGCCATTATGCGCTCCATCTTTGATTAGGGGTGGCAATGTGTGGACGTCATCTCAGGACGACTTGGCAGGACATCCCAGTATCTCATTAAACAGAGTTGAACGCCTTTGTGGCGGTCAGACTGAGGCTCGTTCGGCGGGCCGTCAGCGCGGAGTAGTCGCCAACGTCTTGACTCGAAATTCCGAAACAGTAATCATTCTTCAGAGAAGCCAACGGTGCAACGCTCGCGGTGCTGCACTGCAAAGACCTCATTAGTCTGATGGCCTAGAACAAGGGTCTCATCCTACGCCCGCCGGTCTGTTCCACTCAAGACCCTGGTCTTGTCCGGGGCACCCCGTACGCCTTGCAAGGACATACCCATGTCGATGATCTCTCTGGAAATAAACCATCCCTTCCAATCTCAAACGCACCATAGAAGACTGGAGGCTTGGGGGCACAAGCAGATTCCCGGCAGGAATCTATCTGCTGTATCGCTGGCAACACATACACATGGTCAACAAATTGGTAGGTCTGGAATATGTAAGTTGCTTGCTTCTTCATGTCCTCACGAGTTTCTTTAGCACTCATATCTGCCTCTGTCTCGCGGAGCTCCTGGCAGCCCGACGGCAAGTGCTTCGCTCGTCGACAAAATCCTCGTCCTTATTCATGTTATCATTGCCTAGCGCATTTTATAGGGACCACTTACATGCAGGTCGCGTGTTGCCATTCATCTTCTCGAAACCCGTCCCCACATTACACCGAAGCAGTCCTCCTCATCTGCGGTGACCGGGAATTTGACCATCTGAAGTCCCGTATTACATAGTACATTGTACCAAGAATACGGGGATCGACAATTGTTCAAAGTGGTCCCAACTCCGGAAAGCTCCAGTCTGGCCGGACAGCACTGGGTCATCAGATGGAGCATGGGAGGTACGAAGGAAGTGGGCTACAGATGCACGGCCGAGACGCAGCAAGTGTATCAGGCCCTCCCCTGCAATCATTAAACTCGTTCCCTACCGGCAGATTCCCTTCAAATGCTGGCACCTCCCCTAACAAAATCCATCCCGGGTACAACTTCCATTTCTTCGACCGCCCGTTGCCTCGAATACCGTCATCATCACAAAGCTCCGTGCCGCCGGCAATCATGGCCTCAGCACGACCCAGCACGTCTGGGAGCCTGACGGCCAAGGGGTCATCACGGAGTAACTTGGACAAGAGGATGTCGAAGGACGACATGTTTTTCAGAACTGCACGACAAAAACAGGGCCTCGACAAACGAGTATCCAGGGACGACATGTACATCAGAAGTCGCATGGCTGAGATGTCTCAGTACCACGTGCCCGTCCGGGGTTCAACACTGACCCCAGAGCACAGCCCGAATTTTCCAGTAATACACGAGGTGTCTATACCGATCAGGGTGCAGACTCCAGAGTCAATAACTTCGGGCGAAATTCCAATAGGGATGGCTTTGGGGAGCCCTCCGTTACGACCAGATCCCTCACCCTCGAGATGGCAGGCTCAGTTTCCACCAGCGTCTCCTCAGATGATCAGCTCTTCAGAACCCTCATCCGCGGGTGCGGCTCCCGTTGGGTCTTTGCAAAGGAAAAAGACCGGGAGGCGGAAGCTGTTCGGTGGGCTATTCGGTGGTGGGAAGAAAAAGGAAGAAGTGCACGGGCTGGCACAAACCGACGCTGGCAAGTCGACCATAACACTTGCGCGAACTGTTGAAGTATCAACGTCGTCTGTGAACGTGGCTACAAAGCCAACACCCACGAGGAGCAATACCCAAGCGGAACGAAAGGTACCGAAGCACAAGCCGATCATGATCCGATCGAATACGATGCCTCAAAACGTTGACGAGCCGCCTACCCAACCAAAAAGCGCTGGGCTACCTGGACGCCAAGGGAATACATATCGGCAGCAGCAAGCGAATATTCCTCCTATTCCGTCATTTCTGGATGTGAATATTCCCGACACAAAGTTGGAGCGGTACAGCGTCATGTTTAGCGATCTCCTTGGGCACCCTCAACCGAAGCAAGACTCTGCTGGATCGTTATTGTTGAGACGACAAGCAACATTGCAGCGGTTGAAGACAATCGACGACAAGGTCGAGGCAGAGGAGATGGAGAAAGAACGTTCGTCAAGACAACGAAGAGCAACCTCACCACAGCCAACCGCGACACCTCAGTTGAGGCTATTCCCAATGCCATCCGAAGGCCGTGTGACTCCCGCTTTGGATACTCCTACGAGTCGTTCCCGGCAGATGAGATCGAACACTTCACCAGGAAGACTACCCTCGCCAACGCAGGCAACTTTCGACACCAAGCCAGGTCCAAGTGCACCGTCGAAGAGCCATGGCCCTACATTAGTTGTACCTAATCCCTTCGAAAACTCCCCGCCGCAAACGAGGAAACAACCGAAGCGAGAACTTGAACCGATCTACCCCACCGACACGAGTTTCCACTTTGGGCCAGACAAGTCAGGTCTCATACTCGACTCACCAACTGAGATGGACTCTCCTGCCGACGAAATCGTCATCTCGCAGCCTTTCAAGCCTACACTCCACGAGCCACAATGGCAGATGGTCTCACCGCAATCAGTCTCCGCATCATCTACCGCCGCCTCGGTGTTATCCGGCCCCCGTCAACGCTCGCCCTCGGCAGCCTCCTCTGCTACGGCACACACGCATGCCACCAAGCCATCGAGCGACTTGGACGAGGCAGACGCCGCGTTCCAGAGCGCGGTGGAGGTCAGCATCGCGCGTCAGATCAGCATCTCCCGGCAGCAGCGGCAGCTCTTGCGGCCGCTGCAGACGAGGAGGGGAACCGCCGGCGCGGAGCGCAGCGCATCTGTCAGCCCGCTCGGGGTGAAGATTGTGAAATCGCCAAGCCCGAGCAGGCGTCTCACGGACGAAGAGTCGATCAAAGAGACTAAGAGCAGCACACCGACGTTGATCCACCCGAGGGAGAGCCCAGTCAACCCAGCACACCTAGCGCAGAACAGGAAGAGCTCGTGGGCGGTTGTGGAAGGCGGTTGATATCTCCCCCCCCCCCCCCAATTTCATTTTTCAAAATCAAGCGAGCTGGGTTGTTTTACATCGCATCTTGAATTGGTCTCATCATGCTAGCGAAGGATTTCGGAAGGCGCACAGGCGGTGCTTGTCATGACATGCTTCTGGGAAGCGAGACAGGAGTTTCGATGGTTCGAACATAGCGGGAGCGGCAACCTTTTTTTCCCCCTCTCTTCTTTCTACTGCTTCAAGTTTCTCTTCTCTTTCAATTTCCTTTGTGGACATTCCCTTGACCATTTCCTTCTCTGTCCCACACGGGATAATGTTTCGGGCGCGGGCGAACGAGCGATTCTACAAAGGCCCAGCGACCGACGGGGTACCCTCCGGTCCCCTCTTCCGGCCTTTGCAAAAGACTTTCTCCGGCTTTAATTGCTCCCTGTATAAGCCTTTCACCAGGAGCGAGCCTCGACGGTTTCCAGACCCTGCTATGCAACATTTCTTCCTTTCATCGATACCTCGGCGAATTTTACGAAGCCACTCTTGAAGGACACGTGCGTGAGGAGTGCGGGCGGACGGGTGGGCGGCGGCTTGAAGTTCTCTTTTGGGACAGGCTCACTTCTTTGGTGACCGACCACCACGGGCAGGTGGAAGGTGGTGAACTAGGATGGATGTGGGGTGAAGTTGGAGGCTAGTGGTTGGATATATATCATATGTCGCCATGCCAGTCAATAGGCAGTTTCAAAATGAAGAAGCTCTTCAAGACGAACACCAAATGATCGCCACTCTTGTGACATGGTCCCTCCGGAATCCAACAAGCTTCCCATGCGTGCATTTTGTGATGGAGATCTCTAACGTGATAGCCGCAAGCGTGAATCGGCAGGGTAGCATTGTCAACAGCACTCACGCAACGGCCGCTGTGAAGAAGTGGAATGTGGGTAGTAGCTGTGCTTCTAAACTTAAACAATTCTATGCTATGAGTCGGCTGTCATATGGATTGTGACAGCGGTCGGTGAGTTTCGCGTTCGTCACTGATGTCACCTTGCCTGCTGATGTGACCGTTTCAGCAAAACGCGCAGACCATGTCACATGTGTCGATTGACGGCTGGCAAGAGCATCCATGCCCGCGGACATGAACAGCACCGGGGCTTCGGGTGCTGGATTTCCACCACGTGCATGCCGAGCCTCACAACCCGGAAAAATCATAGGAGAATTGATTATATAGGTCGACCGAAGGGCGACACAAGCTAGGGTCTCAACGCCAAATGTGTTTTGCAGGCGGATGCGCAAATGATTGCTCTTTTAAACTAAGAAGCCTCCAAACTACCCAGGTACGACCCAAACCTCAGTTATCAAAGGGAAACCCGGAAAAGACAGGAACTGCGACGCGCGGCAGCGATTACATGACCAAGCTGTACACCAGTGGGTTAGCGGTTATCTTTCTCAGTGGGGTTCGGTCGACCCAGGTCTCTCAACCATCGAGCTTCCTTTGCTCATAACTTACCAGCACGAATTCTGCTTCTTTGCTTGTTCTGAGGAATAGTCAGTATCAATCCTGACACTCAAATTCTGTCGGCGCAGGGCTTACGGTAGAACATCTTGGACTGAGAACTCAATCCGTCACTCTTCTGGACCAGGTCGTCGATCTTCTCGCCTCGCTGCAGCACGCTCTCAATCGTCTTGTGAAGCACGATCTTGGTCTCATCCAGCTCCTTCTGGATCTTCAGGATGTTGTCGGCTTGATGCGGGTCCTGATGCATCGTCAGCACTCATGTAAAATCCATCGCAATCACCGTGTTGAGCTCACTTGGTACTTATCGATGTACTCCTTCAATTGTGGCATCACAATCTTGGGCTGACCCGTTACCCATGAGGAACGTGGGTTGGCCTCGAGGAACTCATCGATAATCTTGGAGAGCAGCTGGTGAGCCACAAGGGCCGGGTACGCGTGATCAGAGATGATGATTCCGCAGACACCCTCCGATCGAGCGTAAGCGTGGAAGGTGAGGTCTAGGGTCTCGTCAGTTTTATGCTCCTCACGCTATGCTATGTCGCTTTGCACCGCGGAGAAACACCCCAGACGACACTGGCCGCCTTGTCCTCCCATTTGCAGCAGTCTAGCAGTCGATTTCAAGGGCAGTTCGTCTTCGACCAAAGTTGCTCGTTACTCCAACAAAAAGCCGACAGAACACGCAAGTCGAACAGCAACAAGCGCCTGTCGTGATTTGCCCCAGTGACAGCATCTGCTGCGCGGAATATGACGGGACTCCGTATCGTCTTTTCGCTCAATTACACATCCCGGGTGGTAAGGTTGGAACTTCGTGCTCGCCGCTCGGTGACAAGAGGTTGCCCCAGGAAAATGCCTGATTGCTACCGGATACTGCCCACGTCCAAGTATGCCTCCTACGCCGGAGTCTTCCACTGGAACACGTTGATCAAGACTGAACCTCACACCACCGAGAAGGCTGCCCAAAGATGGTTCTTGCATACGCTTGCTGTTTCTCGGCCTTCGATGTGTGTCTGGATGTAGGTATCGCATCCGCCGTGTTATCGTAGTGGCGCCACACGGCAATTTTGAATCCTCAAAGAGTCGGCTCCCACTTGGACTAAAGCCATCCGTATATGTCTATATCGAGGTCTTCGGGTCGGCGCATTTTGTGTAAAGAGAATTATCGCTCTCGGGCGCGACAAGTCAAAACGTACCTTGTTCTTCGACGTCCTGTCGTTCTGCAAGCTGTCAGCGCCGTCCTCGCAATGCGATGAGAGATAAGGGTCACTTACGTCCGGGCTTCGTCCTTTCTGCCACGGTCTTGGCGAAGACTGTCATGAATTCCTCGTCGAAGTCAGTAGATCGTCCTCGTGCTGTTGTGGAATGATGCGCATACTGCATAGTTGTTTTTCGTGAAGCGGGAGTAGGAGCTGAGCTCTTTCTCAGACACCAGCTCGTGAGAGGGCTTGCCTTCGTTTCGGATGATCTGGGCCATCAAAGCACCGTCAGCACCGTGGGATGGGCCTCATTGTTACAGGCGGGCCAAGATACGCACGCCAAGGTAATGCAGCTTCATGGTGATGGCGGGATCGTGTTATCGTGCGGGTCGGTTTCGGGGGGCTTTCTCAGCGAGTGTAGAGTTGGATCCTCGGAATCGATTTGTCGCTTCGTCAAAGGAAAATCGTGCAGTACGTAGGTGGTTAGGTTCGGGCTCGTGGATGAGAAGAAAGGCTGAAACTTAAGAGGCGCCGAGAGGATTAAGCGGTTTGGTTTCTCCCCAGAATCGGCCGTCTCTTGGTCCGTCCAGGCCGCCACTTGTCAAATGGGCAGACCTGCGTCACATGCGCTGTCCGAGGGTCCGATGGGCCAGGCCGCAGCTTAAGCCAGGTGCTAACCAAGTAAGGAGGCCGCTAGAGCACCCCTGTGGAATAAGTGGATCCAGGTACCATTGTTTGTAGGCAGTGTACATGTAAGCATCACAGACGACATTATGAGCCATACCGAGTCGATGTGCCACCAACATTCACTCATCGAGAGGCGACAGCCGCCATATTTATTGGGTTGCCCGGTCTGATCAGGCTTGCACAAGGACTCGTACTGCAACAAAATAACAGCAGCACCTCGCGCAGACCATCAATCCATTAGGCCATAATGGCTCCCTCTTCGGTAACCGATGCAGAGGCACAGTGGCTGGCCCAAGTGGCCGCCATGAAGGCTGCGATAGCCGAACTCAAGCTGCCCAGCCAGGCACCTAACGGCGACACAAACAGTAATGCTGATGGAATTGAGGACGATTTCGACCTAAGCTCTGTCAGCGGCGAGACTCACGATGTGTGGGATTTCATCTCCGACTCCGAGCTGGATGAGCTTGGCCTCGACAGCGGCGACCTGATGGACGGAATCGATGCGATCGACGAAGAGCCTCCATATGGGCCTCAATGGTTTCTCGCGAGATGTGCAGCTGTGTCGGAACACAGAGATGGACTCCCTGCCGAGACCCTCCAGCTACAGATCCTGGACGCCCTAAAGTCCAACCAGAGAGAAGATGAACTGCAGTCGCTCCTGACGGACCTGGTCGGCTTTGATGACCTAGACTTCGTCATTGAGCTCATATCCCATAGGGATCAGATCACTGTTGCCATGGAGCAGGTCGAAGAGCAGGAGGCTGAGAACCAGCCTACGGGACGCCTTCTCACCAAGGCTGAGAGAGATGCAAATCTCCGAAGACAAGATTTGCGTCACAAAACCGCCGCGCTTGGTCCAGCCATGGCCAAGGAGCCGCAGTACCCTCATGTGTACAAAAGCTTCTCTGCTGGAAACTCGTTGAACCACGCTGGCAGGAAGTACGCACTTCCTGTCGGCAGTGAGCGGCTTCAATTTGACAAATATGAGGAATACGCTATTCCTGCAGGCAAGCCCGGGACTTTGTGGCCTGGCCAGAAGTTGGTCACGATCAAAGAGTTGGATGGTCTTTGTCGAAACACCTTCAAGGGCTACAAGACGCTCAATCGGATGCAGAGTCTTGTATATCCCGTGGCCTACAAGTCAAGCGAGAACATGCTCATTTGCGCCCCTACCGGTGCTGTAAGTTTTGCGGTGCTGTCAAATGTTTGTGGATGCGGTGGCTGATCAACTCCAGGGTAAAACGGACGCAGCAATGTTGACCATCCTGCACACCGTCCGACAGTATTTGACCCCTGATCCATTCGAAGACCATACTGCAACAGAATTTGCCGTCGACGTAGATGACTTCAAGGTCGTCTACGTAGCCCCAATGAAAGCACTGGCCGCTGAAATCACAGAAAAGTTCAACAAGCGTCTGTCATGGCTCGGCATCCGCTGCCGCGAGTACACCGGCGACATGCATCTGACCAAAGCTGAAGTCGTTGCCACCCAAATCATAGTCACCACTCCGGAGAAATGGGACGTTGTTACGAGAAAGGGTACTGGTGACACAGAGCTTGTCCAGAAAGTCAGGCTCCTGATCATCGACGAAGTGCATATGCTACACGACGAGCGTGGTGCCGTTCTGGAATCACTAGTTGCTCGCACAGAGAGACAGGTTGAAAGCACACAGTCTCTGATCCGGATCGTCGGACTTAGTGCGACACTTCCGAATTATATCGACGTGTCCGACTTCCTTAAGGTTAACAGATACGCTGGCTTGTTTTATTTCGATGCCTCTTTCCGTCCAGTGCCTCTGGAGCAGCACTTCATTGGCGTCAAAGGAAAGGCAGGATCAAGACAGTCTAGAGAGAACATCGATACAGTGGCCTTCGAAAAAGTGAGAGAGATGCTGCAACGGGGCCATCAAGTAATGGTTTTCGTGCACTCCCGGAAGGATACCACGGCAACAGCGAAGATGCTTTACGAGAAAGCAGTTGATGACATCTGTGTCGATCTGTTTGACCCATCTGATCATCCAAAGTACGAGGCTGCGATCAGGGACATGAAGTCCTGCAGGGCAAAGGAACTTCGAGATCTTCTACCCAAGGGACTGGGCGTGCATCACGCAGGTATGGCACGATCCGATCGAAACTTGATGGAAAGGCTTTTCTCCGAAGGCGTCCTCAAGGTGCTCTGCTGTACAGCTACTTTGGCCTGGGGTGTGAACTTGCCTGCCGCCGCTGTGGTGATCAAAGGCACCCAAGTCTATAGTGCCCAAGAAGGAAAGTTCGTTGATTTGGGCATTCTGGACGTGCTTCAGATCTTTGGTCGTGCCGGTCGTCCGCAATTTGAAGACACTGGTATTGGAATGATCTGCACAACTCAGGACAAGCTGAGCCATTACCTCACTGCTGTCACGGAGCAGCTTCCCATCGAATCGAAGTTCTCGGCCAAGCTCGTGGACAACTTGAACGCAGAAGTTGCTCTCGGGACAGTGACGTCTATTGCAGAAGCAGTTCAGTGGATAGGTTACTCTTATCTTTTTGTCCGCATGAGAAGGAACCCAATGGCATACGGGATCGACTGGAATGAGTTTCAGGACGACCCTTCACTTGTCCAACGGCGTCGTCAACTCGCGATACAAGCTGCGAGAACTCTTCAGCAATGCCAGATGATCATCTTCAACGAGACAACAGAAGAGCTTCGCAGCAAGGACATCGGTCGTATCGCCAGCCAGTACTACATTCTACACACCAGCATCCAGATATTCAACACAATGATGCAGCCATTTGCCACAGAGGCAGATATCCTGAAGATGATCGCAATGAGTGGCGAGTTTGATAACATTCAGTCAAGAGACAACGAGAGCAAGGAGTTGTCCAGGATGAGAGAAAACGAGCACATTGTGCCGTGCGACGTCGACGGTGGCATCGACCAGGCCCAGACCAAAACCAACATTCTTCTCCAAGCCTTCATCTCAAAAGCACAACCAGAAGATTTTGCTCTTACCAACGATCTTAACTACGTTGCTCAGCAGGCGGGTCGAATTTGCCGTGCATTGTTCATGATTGCCCTTAACAGAAGATGGGGCCACGAATGTCTGGTTCTGTTGACGTTGGCAAAGTCCATTGAAAAACGCGTTTGGCCTTTTCAACATCCCCTTCACCAATTCGAGCTCTCCAAACCCATCTTGAATCAGCTAGACGCTAAGGAGTCTCTAACTGTCGAAGCCATGCGCGACATGGAGCCTGCTGAAATAGGCAGCCTTGTGCATAACCACGGTGCTGGCACCAAGATTATGAAGATTCTCAACAACTTCCCAACTGTAAGTGTGGAAGCCGAAATAGCACCTCTGAATCGCGACGTGTTGAGGGTGCAGCTCTACATCTACCCTGACTTCAAGTGGAACGACCATGTCCATGGCACTTCAGAGTCGTATTACATCTGGGTTGAGAATTCGGAAACATCAGAGATCTATCATCATGAATTCTTCCTACTGAACCGTAGAAAGATCCACGACGATCACGAGATGAACTTCACAATTCCGCTGTCAGATCCGCTTCCCAACCAGATCTATGTCCGGGCCGTCTCGGATCGGTGGCTTGGAGCAGAGACGGTCACACCGGTGTCGTTCCAGCATCTCATCAGACCAGATACAGAGAGCGTGTACACCGACCTCCTCAACCTCCAGCCCCTTTCAATTTCTGCCCTCAAGAACCCTGGACTTGAAGAGATATACGCGCAGCGCTTTCAATTCTTCAACCCTATGCAGACCCAAATCTTCCACACACTGTACAATACCCCAGCAAATGTCCTCCTGGGCTCACCGACGGGCAGTGGCAAGACCGTGGCAGCAGAATTAGCCATGTGGTGGGCGTTCCGTGAAAAGCCAGGCTCCAAGGTCGTCTACATTGCACCCATGAAAGCCTTGGTCCGCGAGCGCGTTAAAGACTGGGGAGTCCGACTTGCGAAACCACTCGGTTTGAAGTTGGTCGAGCTGACTGGTGACAACACACCGGATACAAAGACCATCAAAGACGCCGATATCATTATCACAACGCCCGAGAAGTGGGATGGTATCTCTCGTAGTTGGCAAACGAGAGGTTATGTCCGTCAGGTCAGTCTGGTCATCATTGACGAGATTCATCTGCTGGCTGGGGATCGTGGTCCTATTCTTGAGATCATTGTCTCTCGTATGAACTACATCGCATCGTCTATCAAGAACTCTGTCAGACTCCTCGGAATGTCGACTGCTTGCGCCAATGCCACCGACCTGGGGAACTGGCTGGGCGTGAAGGAAGGCCTCTTCAACTTCAGGCACTCCGTTCGTCCTGTTCCTTTGGAACTTTACATTGACGGATTCCCCGAGGTCAGAGGCTTCTGTCCGTTGATGCAGTCCATGAACAGGCCAACGTTTTTGGCCGTCAAGAACCACAGCCCAGATAAGCCCGTCATAGTGTTTGTGCCTTCGCGAAGACAGACACGTCTCACTGCCAAGGACCTCATAAACCTCTGTGGCATGGAAGACAACCCCAGGAGGTTCCTCAAAATGGAAGAGGATGACCTTCAACTCAATCTTGCTAGGGTCAAGGATGACGCGCTGAAGGAGGCCATCAGCTTTGGCATTGGGCTCCATCATGCCGGTCTCGTCGAGTCGGATCGACAGCTCGCTGAGGAATTGTTCTTGAACAATAAAATCCAAATCCTAATCGCCACCAGCACGCTCGCATGGGGTGTCAACCTTCCCGCTCACCTGGTCGTCGTCAAGGGCACTCAGTTTTACGATGCTAAGATTGAAGGATACAGGGACATGGATCTTACTGATGTGCTACAAATGCTTGGTCGAGCCGGGCGGCCTCAGTTTGACAACTCGGGTGTGGCTCGAATCTTCACCAAGGAAGCGTCCAAGGACTTTTACAAACACTTCCTGCACACCGGCTTCCCAGTCGAGTCGTCGCTGCATACCGTGCTCGACAACCATCTTTGCGCCGAGGTTTCTGCAGAAACGGTCATTAGCAAGCAAGATGCACTAGACTATCTAACTTGGACGTTCTTCTTCCGGCGCCTTCACAAGAACCCGTCTTATTACGGGCTCGAGATCGCGGCAGATGAACACAACAGCATTGCCGCTCAGCAGCTTGCCAATGACTTCATGATCGAGATGGTCGAAAAGTCTCTCGACGAGCTTGCACAGTCCAACTGTGTGGAAGTCTATCCTAATGGTGATGTCGATCCAACGCCAATGGGTAAGATCATGAGCTACTACTACCTTTCTCACAAGACTATTCGGTACCTGGTCAAGCATGCCAAACCGCAGGCTTCATTCCTCGACGTCCTGACTTGGATGTGCCGTGCGACAGAGTACGATGAGCTGCCCGTCAGGCACAACGAGGATCTCATCAACGCGGAACTGTCCCGCAACCTGACTTTCCCCGGCACTTCCTTCGGCCTGCCCATGTGGGACCCACATGTCAAGGCCTTCCTCCTGCTCCAGGCTCACATGTCTCGCATCAGCCTTCCAATCACGGATTATGTTGGTGACCAGACCAGCGTTCTTGACCAAGCCATCCGTATCATCCAGGCATCCATCGATGTGCTCACGGAATCGGGGTATCTCTCCAGCGTTCTGCAGATGATCAACGTCCTGCAGTCCGTCAAGTCCGCACGGTGGCCCACGGAGCCACCGCTGTCGATCTTGCCAGGCGTGGACGCCGAGAAGACCAAGGTCAGGACCACGCTGCAGCAGCTTAGCGCCATGAGCCAGGGCCAGGTGAGCAAGCTGGCCAAGGACCTGCACGTACCACAGGGCGTGCAGCAGCGTTTCCTTAAGGCCGCCTCGATGCTGCCAAACGTCAAGGTCGCAGTCGAGGACATCACAGCACAGTCCTTGACCGTCAGCCTGAAGCGACTCAACGCGCTGGTCGAGCGCGACGCCCACATCTACGCGCCCAAGTTCCCAAAGCCGCAGAACGAGGGCTGGTTCGTGGTCGTCGGCGACATGGCCAAGGACGAGGTGTACGCCATCAAGCGCGTGGGGTGGTCGCAAGGCGCGGGCAAGTCGGCCAGCGTCGGGTCCAAGCCGTCTGCGCGGACGAGCATCAAGGTCCCCGAGGCCATCCAGGGAGCGGAGGCGAGCAAGCTAGACATTTTGGTAGTCAGCGATGGGTATGTTGGTATGCAATATCAAGTTCTTGGGGCTGAGATCCCTGCCAAGCCTGCGGTGGATGACGATGTCAAACGGTCTAAGGAGATGGCTTCGTCTTGAGGAATGCGTTGTGTAAATTTGGGTGGTAATTCAGTGGGGAGGGGGAGGGGATGCAGATGTTTTTCATATCCTTCATATAGTAGATATGAGCTAGCTTGTGAAGATCTGGGTTTCCAGGGTACACCAGGGTACACGGCGTCTACCGCTCCGTAATGCTCAATTGATTATACCCCTCAATTCATTCCAAATACCTAGATTATATGCATGCCTTGAAGAACAGATGGCATATCTGCTGTCTTTACCAGTTTCATCATTCGTCAAGTTCTGGCCACTGGGGGCGAGATTTACACGTATGTCGTTGCTGCGCCGGAGACGCCCCCTTGCTTTATATACAACGCTCAGAAGAAAAGCAAATCTTCTTCACTCCACCCCATCCTCGCGAAGTTCTCCCTCACACTTTTCTCCATGGGCCCGGGTCCGCAGACCAGCACCAGCTCGTCCCGCGCCTCACTCGGCGGCCCGACCTCCTTCTCGAACAGTTTTCCGTCCATCCTGCCCCTCCCGCCGACCCAGCCATCACTCGGCCGGCTGAGCGTATGTACAAGCTTACACCTCTCTTCCCTGCCCTCCACCAGAGTGTCCATCTCCTGCCGGCACAGGATATCCTCCTCGCACCGGTTCCCGTCCAGCACAAGGCAGTGCGTCGCGTCCAGCGCATCCTTGAGCACCGCCCGCAGCACCGCGAAGATGGGCGTGATGCCGCTGCCGGCGCAGACCATCACGAACCGCCTCACGCGCCTCTCCCTCCCGCCGATGCTGCACAGGCCCCGGCCGAGGTACTCGAACTTGCCGACGGGGCCCTTGAACTCGACCCAGTGGCCGAGCGGGATCGAGTCGAGCGCCTGCGTCATGAGCCCGCCCTTCTGGGCGCCGTCGCCGCTCGCCCGGTAGATCTTGATCAGCACGTCCAGCTTGCCCCGCTCGACCGTCGCGTCCGACAGCGGCGTGTACGCGCGGATGATGGCCTCGCGCGTCACCGGGTCCCGCAGCCGAATCATCAGGTGCTGGCCCGTCGGGAGGCCGATCTCCTGCGCCGCGTGGTCCAGCGTGAAGGTGAAGATCTTGGTGTCGCTGCTGATGACCGTCTTGCATGTCAGCGGCGCCTTGAACCACGTCTTTGGGTGCAGGAAGACGGCCCGCGGCTCTGAGGTGCCTTCTGCTGCGGCTGAGTCGCCTGCTGCGAGGGATTTCTTGGAGGCTGCGTCTAGGGTGCCGATGTGGTAGGACGGCATCATTGCCTTTGCGTTCTCGCTGTCTGTTTGAGAGTGTGAGCATTGAGTGTTTATCCAGCAGAGGAGCGTCTCTATACTTACGGATGGCCATGAATTCCTCCATGACGTCCTGTCCTGCGGCACCGATGATCGAAGCTGCACCTCCTGGGTGACCTTCGAGGAAATTGGTGCCGTCGTACACTTCGCCATCCAATACGAACCACGGCTCTTCCTCGCCTTCGTGCTGCTTCACCTCGTCTAGGCTGATCTCCCTCTTGATGTCTTTGTTCACCATGACAATCTCCTTGGCGGGCTCAGCCACCGCCGCAGTTCTTTCCTCTTCACCCGGTGCTTTCTCACCCCAATACCCATTGGACAGATTCCCGCCTTCCTTCTTGACCCGATCCATCCAGCCATCAGCATTCAGGATCGGCTGCGTGGGGTGCTCAAACCTGAGCTCGTGACCCTCGCGGTGTATCACGACCCGGAACCACGGGTTGTTCATCATCCCCAGCACGCTCCAGTACATGTCCCGCGGCTGGACCATCATGGCGTCGTCCATCGCCCGGACCATGACGTCGCCCGTGCACGCATCGCCTACGAGGTCCTGTACTGGGATCTCCAACGACCAGAAACACCAGCAGAAACACGACTCGCGCCAGCTCATGTCCAGCCGCCCGCCGAACAGCATCTCGCCTTCGGGCGCGAGGCGGTACTGGTCCTCCGGGTACGACACCTCGGCCAGCCGCCACGACTTGCCGCGGTCCAGAGTCAGCTCGACTCGCGTTATCCTCCTCCCGCCGCCTGCGTACGCATACCCCTGGAATTTGAACGTCTGCGCGCTGACGTCAAGCCGCTCGTTGTGTGCCGGCCGGGCCATCGCACTGTTCGTGTTGAGGTCGTAGATGGCATACCTCTCGTCCTTCCACGTCTCGGGCAGGTTGGCGCTCTCCTCGGGGCTGATGGTGGTGGGCAGCACCCTGTTGTCGTAGATGTGGTACCAGTTGTCGCTGGGCGCCTCGGTGACGACGATGCGCTTCAGCCACTTGACGCTGCGCCCGCCGATCTGGCCCGGGATGACGATGCGCAGGGGCTTGCCGTGGTCCGGCGGCAGCACCTCGCCGTTCATGCCGTGCGCGACCAGCACGCCGCGGTTCGGGTCCGTCGCCCAGTTGAGCTTGATGCTCGTCCCGTAGTACCCGTTGGGCAGCTTGTCGGCGCCCTCGAAGCAGACGTACCGCGCCCGCTTGCCGCCGCGGAGGATGGGTTTTGCCTTGGCCAGGAGGATGTCCAGGGGCACGCCTGTCCACAGGGCGGTTGACAGGCCGGCTGGACCCCATGAGAAACCTTTTGTCTTGCGCACGACGTTCTGTTCTTTGCGGCGGTTTCCTGCGCAGACTAGTGTGATTGGATATGTGACCTGCTCGAAGTCCGCCAATAGGTCTCGCAGGGTCATGGTCAGGGGATTTTCCACCAGGCCCTCGACGCTGAAACTCCAGTCCAGTACGTCCTCATCGTGCACCAGGGGTACGGGGCCATGATTTCTAACATAGTGCAGGTCCTTGGTTGTGATGAATCCTTCATTCCATAATTCGGTCAGGGGCGCTTCAACGTTGAATGGATGTACACCGGTAAGCCGGAGTAGGCGTGGATCTCGTGGCACATGCTTATCTGGAGTTTTGAGATCTTCGGTGAGTACACGCTGGGCGGCTCTGGATTCGGGAGGGAGAGGGTAGGGTCGGTAGTCCGGGACGAGAGACGATTCTCCTATTTGAAAATCCGTCACGCTCTCTGTGCGGGAGCCGGGGTCTTTGACGGTGGCGGGTGGACTTGGAGGGAGGCCGAGTTTCTGTGTGAAGTTTTGATGAGGCTCTTGCATGATGGGGCTGCTGGCGGCTATAGACGCCATTGTGGGAGGTGTCCAGGGTTGATCTGCGGGCTGTGAGACATCTATATGTTGTGCTAGCTACCGCATCTGGTAAGTAGGACAAAAAGAATGAAGCAAAATTGCACTTTTGGGATACAGTGCAAGGTCAGGACAATATTCCACTCTCAGGCCATGAATCAGGGGAAGGCATAAAATAGCAACTGGTTGATTCCAGCAAGATAAGCTAAGACAAGTGAGAGCGCCACCTACGACTTGGAGAGAGAGGAAGCAAACTTGGGGAGTGTCTGACGCGTGCCTATAGACACTTGCCCGGAGGTCATCAAGATGGGCAGACCCATTGGGGTGGTGCACGACATAGATCTGACCATCCGTGTGTAGTGCCCGTGTTGCACCACAGTAGCTGCTTGTCCCCTGACAACGCCGGCCTTGGACCGATAGTCAGAGAGCGAGACTGAGACTGAGACCGAGACTGAGGAATAGTGGATGGGAAACTCCAATTCCGGTCTGCTTAGGAAACAGAATTGACCAACGGCGTGCTTCGTCTCTTCTCTAGGGCCAGAGCTGGCGCTGACGTTGAGATCTCCTGGTGTCGCGCGAGGAGATGCGGCCGTCAATCAACCCCGTCATCCCACACCTGGCTCACCCAACCCTGGCCTCGTGGGCCATCTTTCCAGCTTCCGCGGACTTACACCTGTTCCTCTGCCGCGGCCATCTCTGCCCTTTATCAGTAACTGACTATCCCAGCATTATTGCCTAGGCGCCGTTATCAGCAGCGTGTGAGTTTCCGTTAAGAGACGGAATTGTGTGGTCGAATCAGATTAGATGATAAGGGCGGCCATGAAGATTGGCGGAGATGCTCGGTTCGGCCTTGGACGGGCGGGAAGCTACTTGCTAGAGCGACCGCGGAAAAACGTCGTTTGCACAGGGATCAGCTAAGAGCCGCAAGATCCAGCAGCCCACTTCAGACGTCCGGCTTCCTCGTCGTTCCTGCTTCTGGGTGGGGGTCCAGCGCATGGATGTCATCGCCTGTCCCAGCGCTGTTTTATGACTTCGCCGCGATGCGGTCTGTGGGCGAGCCATCTCTCCGAGCATCACCGAGACAGACATCAGTCAACTATGAGCCACGATTCCCACAATAACCACAGAACATGTGGTACCGTATGGTATTTCTGTACCTGTAGTGCCTGCCAAGTGCCAACCCTCTATCACAAGACCCTTTCCCACACGTGTTTACAGTTTTAGTTCTATATACAGTGCAGCTCTATACCATTTTCACCACCCAGCCCTAACTTTCTACCCCTTCCCCCCTTTTTCTCTTCTCCTTCAACTCCTATCTTAACATTCCATTTGCAAGAACGACACCTTTCGTGACCAAGCACATTATTTACTTGGGGAAGACCGCCTTTCCGGCAGCGCGAGCCGCGGCAAGGGCGCCGGTCAGGCCGAACTGGGACGCGAAGCCATTGACACGGTGGGTGGCGTTAAGGTTCTTGACCACAAGCATCTGGAAGCAGGTGGCGCTGCCCTGGCGGGAGGCAATGGTGGACCAGGCCAGGAAGAGCTCCCAAATGCGGTACCAGCGCTGGCCGTACTTGGCCTTGATGACCTCGCCGTTGCCGAGCCAGTTGCGGTACCAGCGCCAGAGTGTGCCTGAGTAGTGAACGCCAACCGTGTCGATGCTAAGATCGGAGTCAGTATATATGTAACTAATTCTTGTCCTTTGGTTTCTGAACTTACCTCTTGATCTCCCATCCAGCAGCCTCAAGGCAACCGACGTAGTTAGAAAGCGGCGTGGAGGCGTCGGCTCCAGGGAAGATGTACTTGTTCAGGAACAGGCCCCAGATGAAGTCCTCGTACTGCCAAGCCTTACGCAGACCAGAGAGCTGGACGTACATGGCGCCATCATCCTCAAGCATGTCGTAGCACTGACGGAAGAACGTCGTGAGCCTGCGGATACCAACGTGCTCACCCATCTCGAGCTGGGAGATCTTGTTGAACTTTCTGGCCGGGATGTCACGGTAATCCATGACCAGCAGGTTGCTCTGGCTCTCGGGGACGCCAGCGCGGCGGAGGGCGTCGTTACCCCAGGCAGCCTGGTTGTGGGCGAGGGTGACACCTGTGACGTGAGCTCCGTAGTTGACACTGGCGAACTTGGTGAGCGTGCCCCAGCCGCAGCCGATGTCCAACATCGACTCTCCCTCCTTGAGACCGAGCTTCTCGCAGACGATGGCCATCTTGTTGTCCTGCATCTCCTCGAGCGTCTCCTCGCGGGTGAGGTCAGAGAAGATACCGCTCGTGTAGACCATGCGGGGGCCGAGGAACCACGAGTAGTGGTCGTTGCCGCGGTCGTAGTTGGGGCGGATCTGCTCCTCGTCCTGCTCACGCGAGTGGAAGAGCACGTCCTTGAAGAAGGTGAAGATGATGAAGTGGAACAGGGGCCAGGTGAATGAGAAGTTGGCCCAGTCATGGCGGTACTCCATGATCTCGAGGCAGTCGCCGTTGAACTCGACGTCGCCGTCAAAGTACATCTCGTAGAAGGTCTTCATCGGGATCTTGTTGCGGCCGCTCCATCGCTGGCGGTCCTCCTGCTTCTTGAAGGTGATGTAGTGCTCAACGGGACGGCCGGGAAGCTTAGCCTTGTCGTTGATGCGCGGCGAGTAGGTCGACGCCACCGTCCAGACGGCGATCAGGATGGGGAAGAGCAAGACAAGAAAGAAAAAGATGGTGGTCTTCAAGCCACCGCCGAGGCTGCGGGCCACGAAGATCGGGATGCCCAGCAAGAGCGCTCCCAGGATGTAGTTGGAGAAAGACTCATTTCCGGGACCCTCAGCAGGCAAGGGGGCATTATGGATGGTTGGGACCTTCAATATGCGTCAGCTTGAGTGAGATGGCAGTCAATTGAGGTCAATTGACGCTGTGCGGAAAGCTCAATGGTGCTCACATTGGTGACTTCAACGCCACATTCCACGCCGGTGCCGAACTTTGGCGGCGGTTGTGGTGGAGTCGCGATGAAGGTGATGTCGCCTTCGAGCTCCTCGCCCTGGCGCTTCTGCGAAGACATGGTGTTTGTTGGCAGATGGAGGACGACGCGGAATCACCTCACGGCTCCTGAGTGTGGTGTTGAGCTTAAATGTGAGCTCGAGGGCGGTGAGCTGTCTTTGCGACGTTTTCACAGTGGACACCGCCACGAGGGCAGTCTGTAACGGCACGATTTGTTGGGCCCACAAATATATTGCTGGGATGCCACTTTGCGCGCAGATTGTGTGGCACTTACGTGAATTTCTCTACGCGCGGCAACAAAATGGTCAGTCTAGTTCTTGTCTGCTGCTTGGCTGGAGGCTGGAATTGGGTGCAGGGTTCGGACATGCAGACCTAGGAACCCTCTCCCACATCACGCGTTGTGGCGCTCTTGGCCCCTCGTTTCTACCCACGACAGGGAACAGGGAGCTGTGTAGTTCACTGGGTCAACCAAGAATATGTGTTTTCACGGCGGATATGTGCCCCATTTTAATTCATAGGAAGGGCAGTGCCCATACTGCTAGTCAACATACTGCATACTTGTGAAAGCTCACGCAATGAAATCCTCAAAATTTTGGCTCCCAGGCCTGCAAGTCTCTCCGTACATTGCACGGATCGATCTGCCGCTGCTCTGTATAAAAATGGCACATAAATTTTTTAGCTGCTCACATTGTACCAAAACAACCAATCTCCCCAATCATGGCCCATCTTTGGTGAAGTTTGGGAATTTATATATTGTCCCACATCGAGCATAGCATATTAATCTACTGCTTAGGTTTGTGAAATCGAGGAAATGACAGCACCTTGTCTACCAAGAAGCAAAGCCCTCGTCGAACAAGACACAGGGTTAGCTTGCAGGTGTAAGTCTTGAAAAAGGCTCCGTGCAGCATGCAAGCTACGTGCTTGTATTATTTCTGTAACTCACTCGACTTGATCTAAATGTACAACTACTTCCATCGTACAATTGTGTTTGTCCAATGCCTCCTTGGTCCTGCTTCGAATGTGCTACTCGTGACTGTTGCGGTCCAATCCTCTGATCTACAAGGTTGCCACCCAAGATCTCTCATGAATTGGCCATTTGAGCCCAATACGTCTTAATTATTCAACATTGTCTTCTTTAATTCGGCTTCCTCATCAGATGCTCCCCCTAACAACGCCGTAGCTATGCCGCCATTTTTGTACGAGCTCCAACCGACTACGTCTTGGGACGGTCTGTCATGTCCTAACAATATCGTACAAATTGGCATGTATCTATGCTGATATGGAACGTTACATATTGTCGCGCATCATACATCATGTCCCAAGCCGGAGCCGCAAACGTGGTAACAAGACCCAAGACTGCATGGCACTGCCCATCTAAGCCGTAATTGTGCTTCGGCAAAATGTGCAGGGCCCCAGCTTGCATAGAGCCCGACGGGTATGAAGGCAACTCTGCCTCGACGACATATTGGCCGCTCCATTCCGAGTGTCCACAGCCAGGTCGTACCTGGTGTCGTAGTGACCGGGCCTCACTAGGCTCGGCTTCTTGCTCACGTTCCGTGGGCCCCGCTGCCACACAGGCACGATTCCTATGCTCACTCATCCGCCGTCCGTCAAAGTAACTTGCCGCCACCAGGCTGAGCTGCAGGCCAGTACTGCGGCGTACAACCATGCGGGATACATATCATTTATCAGCATGTTTCGAAAATTGTTAAGTCATCTTGTCCTTACTGGGTTGACGGTCACACGAGACCAGATTTCGGGGACTGTTCAACATTGCTCCACCTCTGTTCCGTTCTACGTCAAGGATAGCTTCGACCTTGAACATGATAAAGAACGGGTGGAACTGGAATCAGAGGCCCCGACCCGAACGAGGGCAGACTCTGGCTGCGGGCCTGCCAATATGGCAAGGTCTGTCCGTACCATAGTCGTCGAGACTCGAGATCCGGTTCTTTTGCGCCTTACGTCAGCGCTGGCTGGAACCCTCATCTATTTGTTATGAGACGACATGAATGTAAAACCATGCCAACGACAAGGCCTCGACGATGAGCTTGGAGGATGGTCACGAGAGCAAGGACCGAGGCAACAATCCCAAACACAACGGAGCAGGTGATTTCTGGTGTCATATTGACGGGACGCATAGGTATCGATCAATGATGAGGAATCAAATGAGCCCGTAAAAGGTGTAATGCCGCGGATCGAAACAAGATTTACCCCATTCGTGTCCATCTCGTGGCCATTCGCTGGGGGGATTGTCAGGACTTTATAAGACGAGGCAGCGCAAATATAATCCAGGCGAACGCGTTGCTTGCAGATATAGGTAAATGAGTTTCCTGCAGATATAGGTGAAGGAGTAGCCTGCAGATATGGCCGTCTTCAACAGGTCGATATTTTGGCCATTACGCGAGGCGTTTCGCGTGTGAACTAATGCGAGTGGCAACACGACCAGTTGAGTTGCAGGACGTACGGGTCATGGACAGTGTAACAGACTTGGGACCAGCTTCCACTGAGCCGAGAGTAGTCCTCCAGGTAGTAAGCGGCACAGCCATGTCGAGAAGTCATTGGCTGGAAACGGTCAGGCTGAATTGCGTTATGTGAAAGAGGTATCATATACCGTCGATGGAGCCCTGCAGCTCACACCAGAGTGTGATGGTAAGCGACGAAGTAGAGGTGAGGCTGTGGTGGAAAAGCAACTGGTTCACAACGTCAAAGGCAAACTTAACTCGGTTATTGGTAGCTGAGTATGTGGCTTGTGACAGTAATGCTTTGCCAGGAATCGCGGCTCAGAGTATTACGAATGCATGTGTATTACACGTCTGTTGACGCTGTGCGAGGCGCGAGACAAGCACTTGACTGTGGCGGCCTGAGGCTCCCTCATTCTCGCTGGCATACTTCGTCAGAGCTTGTTATCTGGAGGACGGATGCCCATTCGACAACCATGAAATGTGGCTGCATCAATTCTTCTGAATTTACCAGGAAAATCTTGTCCCATTCTCTCTGGCGAGCTTAGATTCTCCCAACCCCGCAACCAAGAGTCAATCGATCGGTCTAGGTAGAAATAATGCCTTCGCAGGCACTCGTGGCTGTGCATATTGAGTGTATCCCATACTCCAAAATGCCGCAACCTGTAGTAGCCGGCGAACGTTCTATTCCTACCCTGATACCACCCAAAGGAGAATGGGACAACATCAGAACGGAAAGAAGGTCAGCTGCAGGGAAAGGTAGATGCTTTCTCTGCCAATAAATAATTGACCAAAAACTAAAAGCGTCCGGTCATACAAAAATGCAAAACAGCTCGATGCAACACTCAGGCCTCGCACAACTGGAGCCGGTGTTGTATCCGACAATGTGGCCTGTTCAGAATCAAGCTCGTAGTTCGCCAGATGGTTCGCAAGGAGGGTTCGCACCGATGGTTGCCTTGATGCATGGAAACAAGCAGCTCCAGCGTGACACCGGGCCTCCGCAGCATACCGGGCTTCCGCATTATGCTGCACTACGCTCAAGTCGCGTAGTCGCGCTCGGAAGAAGAACTGAAAGGTTGCAGCCTCACTGGCAAGAGCGCGCAACCCGTTTGAGCTGGCCGTGGTGCCGTCTCTCAAAAGGCGCAAACAGCCCAAAGCTGAGCTCACCAGATTTCGCTCTCGTCACCGGCTTCAGCAGCTCGAGTATTCCACTCGAGTGCACACCTGCGCTTAGCGGCAGTGCAATGAGAAAAGGCAAGGAGGGAGGAGAGCTGGACCTAGCCAGAGTACCGAGCCTGGGCGGCCAGTCACCGACGTGAAACAAATACTCGAGCTCCGACTTCAACTCGCCTCCGACCTGAATACAACAGCGACAAGCTGGAAGCAGCCGTAAGGTGGGATTTCTGGAGACCGTGCGGCTCAAATTGGGAGAGATGACCCAAAGGTTTCTTAAAACCTCCTGTTCCGGGGCATAAGTCGGAAATTAATACCAGTCAATACAACAGCACAACAAGACTGAGAACAAAAAACGAGGAAGGCCATATGCGTGAATGGGCAAAGACATTGGTTAGGATGTTGGCCAGGACAATGTTCTCGCCGCAGACTCTGGGCATAGCACCACCAATGTGTAAAGTTGCGTCAGGAATTGATCGCCAGAGGACGTTCACTCTGGGATGTTCTATAACGACCAAGTACAAGGGAAACAGGTGGCGAAGATCTCTTCACTTGACATCTCTCCACGCTTTAATCAATGGCAGAATTTCGCCCAATGAAATTGTTCTCGCTGTCGGGCAACATAGAAGTCAAAGTAGTACTTACAATGCCACTTCTTACCGTTTATCCTTTACTATCTTGAGGTAACCCAGGCTTTGACTTCCCTCTTGCATGCCGATAGGGGCCTCCCGAGAGCCTCACAAAAATAGGCATCAGGAGTAGGAACTCATTTCGATGATCCAAATATGAACTCCTGGTAGTTACTCCTGATCCTCTCCACACCCTCCCTCAGCCCCCACCCTTTCACTTCGCAGACTTTGCGGTACATTTCCTCCAGCATATCATCCATGTCTTGGCCGGCCTTGTGCAGGTCGCTCTCGATCAGAATTCTGTCGTCGGGGCAGGCACGGATGACCTCGTCGGCGAGGTGCTTCTTCCTATCGCGATCGTGGCCGCCAGTGGAGTAGTTGACGCATAGACTGAAGGAGAAGAAGATCTTGGCCGGGCAGCTGCGGTCGTTGGTGTACTGCTTCATAGTGTCGACAGCGCCAGTGTACGAGTGGAGGCAGATGCGAGGCGGGTAGGGTTTGGGCTTATACTGCTTCTTCTTTTTCATGGTCGCGGTGTCACATCCGTTACCATCATCATTATCATCCTCATCTTCGGACGACGACGAGAAATCCTCGTTGACACCCTTGGCAATCCTTTTTCTCTCCCGGTTCGTCACGACTGGCTTTTCGTGGCCTTTCCAGGTGGTTTTTATTGTATTATACAAAACACCATGCGCTTGAACGCCATGTACGCTCACAGGTCGGCCAATCTCACCGGCCAGGTTCAGCTGAGCTTTCAGGATTCGGGTTTGGTGTTCCATATTCACGCGGTAGGGTGACAGGCGCTCTCCATTCCGCCGTCCTTCCGTCATGTTGGGTTCTGGATCGGACACCATATCTCCATGACTGGGGAGACGGAAGGCTTTGTCGATTCCAATCTCACCTACAAGAGAAAGTGGGTGCTTCTCGAGATACTTTCGTGTCTGTGACAGGAATCCCGACAGGGGCTGGGGCGTGGGAAGCTTGTCTATGAAGCTCTCGTCGTCTTTGGTTTCGGGCGAGGGCGAGAGGACTGCATTGTAATGTCGCAATTTCTCACCAGCCAGGTCGGGTGATGCCGGGTCATAGGTGGCGGCATGGTTTGCTGGAGATATATCGTCGTACAGCTGATGAGAGAACCAGGGGTGCCAGCCAAAGGCAGGTACTATTTTGTCAGGGAGGTGGGTGGGATCAGGCCCGTTGGACCCGGGACTAGAGGCGATAGCTTCACTACTTGTGAGGCCGTGCTCCTCAGCTACCTGTGCGACCAGGTCCTGGTCCTGAGAGCGTGTGGCCATGACGGTCAAAACCCGGGCCCTCATGGAGCTTGAGATAGATGGGATGGACTCCATGGTGTCTGTGGGGTGGCAATGGGCGTCGAAAATGCCAAGGTCCCAGGGGAACGGGTCCCTCTCCACGTCCCTGTCGCCCTCGGTCTGGGTGTCGGCCATAGCGAGACAGAGAGAATGCGTCAGGCTGGAGTCGGGAAAAGATGATGTTTTGGATAGACGCGTGTATAGGATAGGAGAAGCCAGTCGTCTCAACAAGTGTGATTGGTCGTGGGCATCATTAGCTCAGATATCACATCTCATGTCCCAGTATGGTAGATATTGAGTTATTGACGCCTAGGGCCAGAAGACCCGAAGAAGCAGATGCAGATGCAGATGCAGTACACAAACGCACATGTGCTGTGTAGATCTTGTGTGGTGACGTGCCGTTGGTATGATGTAAGAGGCAGGTGCGGCTCTCGACGGAGGGTTTGGAGATGGCGCTAGTGAACGGTAGGGACGCAGTTGCCCATCAGACGAAGTCGGCAATCGCTGCTGCCATAATTTGGTTTACTCGGAAGGGGAAGGTACTACCTATAATCTATTTGAGAAGAGTTTATCTGAGTATCACATACAAACTCTATCCTCATTTGGGCAGTGGCTACCATCTGGGATAGACACACCATTCATCGTCGCCAACGGTGTTGCCGATTGTGCGCATCTGCGGACTCGGGCATGACAATCTGGGTGAGTCAATTCAAAGTCAAGACAGTTCTGATCCAAGTCAGGACAAGCCAAGCCAATTCAGTTGGACCCACTGCTTTGATCATCTACCAATGGCTAAGCAGAGCACAGTTCCCAATTCCCAGTTCCCCATTCTCGACCGTACATAGTAAGTCAAAACTCAGGGTCCAATCGACAGCCACGACCCGAGCTCCCGGACTGGGGCGTCACAAACGCCATGCCGTGCAGAACGAGCACGAGGCAGCCCCCGGGACGCCGTCTGAAGAATTGGCAGGGGCTGGTCCGATGCGGGCAATTCATGCAAGTCAGCCGGAATCTGAGAGTGAGTCTGGGTGTGAGAGTACTGTGGTAAGAGATAGCGAGCGCAGTGCTAGCCGACAACCACTAAGCAGGCCACGCAGCACACCATCGTGCCATGCAAGCAACCGGCTCTCGCCGTAATTGGGTGGCGATCTGCTGATGGTGGTGAGGCTAGGGATGTATACACCTAAGGATGGCAGTTGAGATGCCCTAAGTGATTTGTCGCAGATCGCCCGACAAGCTCTATGCGAGTCCGTCAATTTCCCCCAAGGGCCCCTAAGTGCCCCCAAGTCCCCCAGACGTATGCCTGCAACCTGCAGCCCGCCGTGCCCGAGCCAGCCAATTGTCGTGCTCTGCCCAGATGGTGGGGTCCTCTGCTGGCTTTCACATGTTTGCAGCCGTGTCAGTGCGACGCTATCGCCCTAGCTTACCCATGCTCCCAGGCCCTACCTACCATAGTGCCCACGCTTGCGATCCTGGGGAACCCTGCTCCGTGCTCAGACCTCGACACTACCCTACCCTTCTCTTATCTAGCTTCCCTCCTGTCCGTCCTCCCTCCCCTCCGTTCGAGACGAACAAAGGCGAGGTGCAAAGCTGATGCGGCCGTTGTGACTCTCCCGAGTCATCATCTGTCGATTTTTCCCACATGTCTGCAGACCACTAGAAGGCATCATCTTCCTTCTAGTCAGGGACACAGACACAGTCACAGGCACCACGCAACAACACCATCTCGAAGACCGCCTCAGCCCACGAGCTGGACGCCGTTGCTCCCGCCATGTGAAACAATATATCCTGCCTACACACACAACCTTCTGAGACCGCAAGCCACACGCGCAACACACCCTCCATACCCTCCACCATGGCCATCCTCAATCCCGTCTACGCGCTCATAGTGCCCTTCCTTTTCGTGGTCACCATGCCCCTGGCCATCTTCGCCGGCATAACCACCACCCTCGCATTCACCGTCCTGATGTTCCGCGTCGCAGTCGTCTATGTCGACATAGCAGTCAACATGGTCCCGCAGTATCTGACCGGACGACGGGTTTACCCCTTTCCCAGAGGCTACACGAACGCCCTCCTCGCACCCACAGAGGCCTCATCAAACCTGCCACCCTCCCCCGTCGGAAGTGGCAGTAGCTCGCCTGTTACGAGCAGGCAGGTCGTGCGACATCACCGCAGGCGGCGGACTAGCGGCGCCAGTCTGCACTCGGTGGGTTCCATCACGCCCGTTGACGACCATGGCAATGGCTTCAACGCCGGCAGCAAGCGCAACTCCTTCATGATGGTTCCCTCCATTGGCATGGACCGCGACTTCGAGGGCGTCGGGGGCTGGCGGCTAGGAGGCAAGAACCCAGACGAGGACGACGACGCATGGACGCACATCAACTCGCGCCTGGAGCTGCCCCTCGAATTCCAGAGGAAGCACCACCAGAGGTCGCCATCTGGAGGCGGGTCGACGACTCCTGGCGGTACTGGCGGCGAGTACCTGATGATGAAGAGCCCGTCCGCGGCGAGGTCACAAGAACGGTCGCCCGAGAAGGGCGGCAAGAGGGGCAAGGAGAAAAAGGACAAGGACGGTGGCATGTCGCCAAATAGTTCGAGGATCCGTACGCCGACAAATACAATGCCGCCCCCTTTGACGACGGTGGCTGAGGGCGACGGGTATTTTCCGCGTGTACCAAAAGGCTGAAAGAGGCCATTCTATCTCAAACAATCGGTCGGGGGCTTGATCCTTCGATCATCGAGTTGTTTCAAAATCTCAAGCGTGCAAAATTTATGGCGTTCGGGAAAAGGAAACGGAAGGCATGGAAAGGCTTGGATAAGATCAAGGTCACACCTGGACGTCACCCATGAATGATGCGGTGCATTGTAATCAAACGGGTTCAAGGCAATCTTTCAGGAATGGTTTCGTTGTTAAAACAGCATACTGCCGTGGTATCATGATTGAACGACGCCATGACATGTTATTCTCCACATACTGTCCATGTAATGTCATGTCCTTCAAGTGAGATCAATATTTCAACCCAGTCAAATGGCAGCCAACGCCCTGTCCGAAACGCCTAACTTGGCCGAAAACACAATTTTCAAAGCCGTGATCCAAACAGCCAGCCTCCCGCCCGGACGATGCCAAAATAATGTCGTCCCAAGACGCCAGCAATGATTCTCCTGGTCCCGGCCCGGGGCGCGACCCATACGTACGCTCATCCTTCCTCACAAGGTCTGCCAGAAATAGTTGGCATAGAAGAACCGCGAGAACTTCTTGTCCAGATTCACAACATGCACGTCCCCCTTGCGATCATTCCGCACAACCGCACGCGCGAACTCGCCATCGCGCTCATCACGCTCAACATCGATCCCCAGGCTGCGGTACACTCTCAGGCGCAGCAGCACCTCGTCCTCGACAGCATCGCGGCCCGCGCCGTCGGCGCCGCCCTCGACGCCCTGCAGCTCGAGCTCCTGCAGGCGCGCGTTCAGGTCCGCCAGCTGGCCCGCGAGGCGCTCCGTCTCCATCTCGAGGTCGGACGCCGCCTTGGCGGTGCGGAACTTCTGCGTGTCCAGCCGCGCGATCGCCGACGCGTGCTCAGCCGGCGAGTGCGCCCCGACCAGCTCCGCGTGCTGCGCCTGCAGCGTGCCCAGCTGCCGCGCGAGCTTCTTGAGCGCGCCCTCCGCCTCCTGCCGCTGTAGGTCGCGCGCCTGCTGCAGGGTCGCGAGGGAGTCGTTTATCCGTGCTACGGCGACTTTGTCTGGGCCGATGTTGAAGTTTTGGATCGTGTGGTGGATGAGCTGGTTTGGGGGGCTTCTGTCAGCATTTGCGATGGGTTGTTGTTTTGGGCTTTGAGGGGCGGCGCTGGTCTTACCGTTGCTGGATCCTCTTCGAGAAGCATCTTGACTGATTTCTTCGATTTGTGCCCGAGTCAGCTTGGGTTGTATTATTGTGTTTGACAGGAATTCGTTGCGTAGTGATTAGTCTTGTATGGTGTTGATTGAGTCGGATGTTCTTGTCAATTTGAAGATGTCGAAGAAGATTGAGAATCCAGCCCAAAGTTGGAGTTGCGGCAGGGGTCCCGTTTCCAAACAAACCTTGGGGTCACTGCTCATCACCGGGACAATGGGCGGGCTTATCTTATCGGGCTCGACAGGGACCCCTGCTGACCGTCGTCATCGGGCGCCCGAGCTTCTGGCCACTGCAGGGGAGGCAGAACTCCATCGAACGGAGGCCTGATCAAGAGATGCTCTCCGACACCGACTTCGCCTATTCAAACCACTTTTCGACGACAACCTACGAGCACCTCAATTCACAAACCAACTGAAAAAAACCGCTGTACATCTCCGAAACATACGATACCATCAACAAATTCTAAGCAAAATTCTGGAGGCACACATCTACGATGGGCTCAAATTTGCCGTGTAAGTCAGGCAATCGAATGTTTCTTGACGATCTACTCTCCACAACCCTACTGACAGCCAGACCAGTCGCCGTCGACGCGGAGTCGCCGCTCAACCCAGCAGAGCTCCAGGTGCTGCGGGCACAATATGAGAAGGAGGGCGAGATGGTCGGCGTGCAGACAAAGTTCAACTACGCATGGGTAAGTCACAAAACCTCCGAAGGCATCCCACCCGTGCCTACCGAAGACCATCCGTGTCCGCCCGGCGAAGGCCAAACCGACAACAACAACTAACACTCTCTTCCCCGCGCAGGGCCTCGTGAAATCAAACCGCCGCGACGACCAGCAGCTCGGCGTGATGCTGCTCTCCGAGATTTTCCGCACCTCCCCCGAGCGCCGCCGCGAGTGCCTCTTCTACCTGGCCCTGGGCAACTACAAGCTGGGCAACTACGCCGATGCCCGCCGCTACAACGACCTGCTGCTGCAGAAGGAGCCCGCCAACATGCAGGCCAACGACCTGAGTACCCTGATAGACGACAAGGTGGCCAAGGAGGGCCTGATGGGCGTTGCGATTGTTAGTGGCCTCGCGGTGGCGGCCGGCGTTGTCGGTGGGGTGCTGTTTAGGAATCTGGGGAGGAAGAGGTAGAGGAGCCGGGATGCGAGATGGGACGAGATGAAGATCTGCGGACTTGGCTGGGAGGGAGGTAATGAGGAAGAGTTGGTTGAGGGCAAGGGGGGTGTCATGCAATCTATCTACCTTCAGGACCCGGTGACTATGTGTCTGTCTGAGGAGGAAATACCTTGAGGCTTGCGTTCTGTTACTTTTTTGTCATCGTTGCCGAGTAAGTCCTCTGTAACAGTCAGAATACCCCCAACACTACTCAAAACATGATCATCTCGAGCAATTATGCAGTGTATGCTACTATAAAATGTGAATATATTTCAGACATGGGACAAAACGGACAACCGGGAAAATCAGCCTGCTGTGGGACCTAGAAACCTGTATGTGTCGGCAGTATCATGATACAAGCTTGCACACTCACTGAGAGACCCACACGAATATCTCACCTAAAAGAATCGAATCCAGTATTGTTATTCCCATAATCACGCACTTTTGTTTTCGTTGAGACACTGCTTTGCGATGAAATGATAATTCCCGAAATAAGACCACCAGCCACCACATCTATATCTGCCTGCAAAAGAATGGGCAGCAAGAAATGGGCAGAATCGATAGTACCGTCAGCTGACACAATGGTGCAAGACGGATGGCAAGATCTTCTTCCTGCTTTCGCAACACGCTCATCGGCTGTTCTGTGGTCATCGCTGTACGTATGACCACGGCATCTCCAGGAGCGGAGTGTTCCGCAGCGCCAAATCAGGGGCGGGCGGTTCCACCTCATGACGGGAACTGTGGGCAATATTGTACAAGTGTCAGCATGGCGAAGCCGCCGCATACGTTTCCAAGAGGGCTTTGAGTCTGTGGCTTTGTATAGTATCTCGAAAGGCAAGCCACGGCTCTTCTCTTCGCGCAGAACAGTCACGACCAGGCTCATGATGAGCAGCGCAGGCGGCGACTACAGCAGGATGGCCAGTAGAGGCAAGTTTACAATCATAAAATTGCTCTCTATGTAAATGATTCGCGTGCAGGTGGGGGGGGGACCACACTAAGGCATGGTTCTTTCGAATCGAACACCGCGCTCCAAGAATAACCCACATCTGTATCACCGTGGGATTTCTCATGTCTAGGACTTGCCCTGCTCTGATTTTTGCGCCTCTTCATCATGCGACCTCTCTCAACCGGGATTCAGGGGCTCAGTGCTGGCCAGAGACGTGATCTGGAGCGCGAATCTGCGTCCTGGTCGTCCAGTGGTGATTACACCGCCCCCCCGGCCCCCCCCCCCCCCAAAATACTAACACACATGACAATCAGTCAGTAAGAGGGCGATATCTCGCCGACAAATATATTAGGAGTCTCAGAACACGATCTCCGATCTCAGGACAATGGTAGCATCGTCAGTCTCCAACAAGTACCGCTCGGATCTTGGCTAGAGTTGTTTTCCCCGTATTTATTATTAGAAATGGGTCAACTCCAAAAGCGGGAGATATCGGCAGTCTCCTCACATTCTTCAGTAAGTATTAAAGTGGCCTCGACCTTACCAGCATAATAAACTCAAATGCCACAGTGACAACGCTCATCAGCCATCATTCACTGAAAGAAAACAAGGTAATGTTCGCGTGAGAGGTTTTCGTCACTGTCTACACTTTGTCCAGCCTTGCGCTATTACTGTCAACTGAGTTCGCACGTCGAATGTAAGATGCAGTGTCGAAAAGAATTGAATTCCTCAAATCCCTCAATGACAGACCAGTGATGGCCGGCAGCAGATGCCTCAACGCCGATTCTATGTTTCGATAAACAAATTACCCGTTGCCGTTTCTTCCCTACTCAGAGACAAAAAACGCCAACGCTTGCCAGCCACGATTTCCCCGAACAACAGAGATGATCGTACAATGGGGCCCCTTGGTATCCTTTAATCCGAGAGAAACGATCCGTCGTGAAATTGAAAGCGTTCAAACTCCGAGCTAACATGCTCCAAACGCCTTGTCGTAGCGTGTTCGCAGTGCACGCAGCCTTCACCGTCACTTGCGACCACCTCTTCTCTTCTGCTCCTCAATTTCCTCTAGATTTCCCGTTCCCACATTTCCTCCTCGTCTTCTAAGTGTTCCCTCAGTCTTGCTATTCCATCATTATCCGGGCGACCAAAAGCCTCGGTCATTCTCTTTTCCCGAATACTCTTCAACCCATGATCCGCTCTTTTCCTTGTCTTGTCTTCTTTCCTCCGTCTGATGATGTCGCTTGGTTTCGTCTCCTCTCTGATCGCGCCACCTGATGCTGTGGCAGGCCTCCTATCCGAGGAGCTGAAAGAGCCCATGCTTCTTCCATAGAGTGTCCCAAGTGCCGACAGTCGCTTCAAGCCTCTCCGGGGAGCGCGAACATCGTCGTATGTATCTCTTTCTAGTACTTTGGCACCGCCTGTGATATTTGTCGTGACAGTGCCACCTGTGGAGTACACGCTGAAGCTGCTTTCACTTCGATGTGGTCGAAAGCCCCCAAGGCTGCCCACCGTAGACCTCGCGTCCGCGTCGGAGTGAGGATCATCGCTCTCACTGCTGCTCATAGATGGAGTATAAGACTCTTCCAGGTCCACCGCTGGATTTGAGTCTTCTTCCTCTGCTGCCCAGACATCGGCCGTCGATGTCCTCATTCGATTCCGCATCAAAGCCCTTCCAAAGGTGCTCATGGTGAGTTCCTCGGGGTCGCTCCGTACATGACGTAACGTTGGAGGTAGATCATAAGACATTCCAAACCGGGTGTCTTTGGGACTCAGTGCAACAGCGACAGAACTATCCGACGACGCAGAGTTACTCCTGGTACTCCTTGTCAATGTATGAGAGTATTCGTCCTCCTCTCCCAGAGCCTCCAAGCCCGGCAGCGCTGCGCCCGTGATTCCGTAACCACCCTTAAACAGCAAGTCTTCCTCGTCTTGACCGGAAGGGCGGGCTCTCTTTCTCGTGGTGGTGAAGGAGTCATCATCCGATGAGACATAATCGTCAATATTGAATCCTGCGGATCGGTTCGTAGCCGGGGACCATTCACTGCCGTGCTGGCCGTTGCTCGCCGTGATGAAGCTCTCCGCGCTCTTGGAATCAAGGGATGTGTTTGCTGTGTGCCTGGAGTGAGATCGTCCACTGGCTGCGGAAAAGAGATTGGAGTGGGCTGTAACATCGGATTTTGAGGTCTCCGAGAGAGACCAGTTGCGTACACTACCAGATTGCAGAGTGCTTTGTTCGTCGGCCTCGAGTGGAGACGACAGAAAACCTAGGCTTTTGGTTCTATGGTAACTTATTTGATCCTCGCTGTCGTTAGATCTCGAGTGCCGGTGTGAAACTGTGAGGGTTAGTATGTATCAAAGCGGGAACGGTAGAATCCTTGCACTTACATGCAGACTGTGTTCTCCCGCTTGTTGAATCGAAACTACTGACTGCGTTTGTGTCGGCATGGGCATCAGCATGCTTAGTGCTTGGATGACCAAGTGGTGTCATATCGGTCGACGGGTAGCGACTTGGTATGGAAGAAGCGAGGGATGATCTGAGTGTTTGGTAGCTTTGCCTTCCCGGTGACCTAGGGAGGGAAACACGACCAAAACTCTGGTTTGACGTCCGCTGATGGCTCGACAAGTCAGAAGAGCTGACATTGTCGGATGCTAAAACCTCAGCAATTTTGCCGTCAAAGACAGGGTCCCTGGTATGCGAAAGTGGCATTGTGCCTTGCATATTTGTGGTCTGCGGGTTTCGGGGCGACCCTGGACGAGAGAAATTGAATGTTGGCGACACTTCTTTTCGTCGAGCCACAGTCTCGGTCCCGAGATTTTCAGCTGAAGACGCAAAGTCTTTGGAGGCAACGTCTTCCATCAAATCGGAAGTCGCAGCGACGGGTTTCGGTGTATGTGGAGATACCATGCCGCTAGGGACATAGGTATTGAGCGACAGTCGCCTTTTGTTCCGACTCGAAAATGAGCCCAGCTCCATGGGCTCTGGTGAAGGCGCAACCTTCAACGCGAGGGCTGGACCTTGGTTCAAATCATAGGAGTGAGTCACCTGAGGGAATAAGCTAGAGGAATTGAGAGATTTTGTGCGGTTGCTCATCCGCATGGGGTCTGGTGTAGGACTGATATTGCCGTCCCTATGTCGTGTGATGTTGCGATCTGCCACATCCTCACCGTAATCCCGTGACCCAGTCGCATACACCCGGCTTCGAAAGTCGGTTGGACGTATCTCGTCTTGAGCATCAAGGATATCCTTCGACTTTATACTACCAAGGCTGGATCTCGAACCGTTGTTTCTGCGCAATTTTATCAGAGAGTTGATGTCGCTCTCGTTCTCCGTAATTTGGGCTGAGCTTTGATAGGCAGTGGACATCGAGACCAAAGAACTGGGTTTCCTAAAGGACACTGGAGGTCTCCTCGGCTCCCGCTTCGGACGAGCTGGAAACTGCGACCAGTCTCGACTCAGACTGCGAATGCTGGTTGCAGTCCGTGGCCGGTCTTCAACTACAAGACTTGGGTGGCGAGGAACAAAAGGAGCCGGGGCAGAGACTGAGTCCTCTGTCTCGGAATGATCTGGCTGGTCTGGGAACGTATGGACCATTTCTGGCTGGTGCTGTGATGCACTCGATATCTCTGGAGCGCCCGGCTCATGTTGGCGTATGTTTCGGGATTCTGTGTTATATTTTGAGGGTGAGCAATCATGCCTAGACACAGAGGACAGCCACGACTGACCTTGCGGTGGCGTCTCCAAGCGAGACTGTTTATCATGTGCCTGCAGCTTGGATTTGCTTGACCTTCTTGTGAAGATCTTCAGAAGACCCATGGTTGCAGACGCCGGCCATGTACGCGGCCGCCGGAAACGTGTAATTCACGACTCGAGGAACTCAGAAATAGTGCGAACGTCATGCAAATATTGGTTGACAGTCTGATGAAGAGTCCTCAAGTGCGTCCTTTAATGGACCAGAAAGTCAATGATGACGGACGAGACGTAGTACGTGAAACTTAGATTTGAGATGGCTGTCGAGTTGCGGTCAAGCATAAGAGACTGGGGAAAAGTTGGCGGAATGTAGGAGGTTTAAATCGCGAAGAGAAAAAGCAAGTCAACAGAATAAATTCATCGGGAGAGGGCAGCTACCTGTTGCTCGGCCTATCCTCTCCTGAGAAGTAACAAACCCATAGACCGCGGCGATCTAATGACGGATAAATAACTGAACCATCATGCCAAACGGACACAGAGCTGAAAATAGGGTACTCGATTAGACCTGGACAGGGAGATAGAAATCAGGTGCTTCAGAGGGTACAATGAGTACGAGTTTGGTTGAGTATAGGGCCAGAGAGAAGACGATCCCAAGACGACAGGTCGGGTGGGAAGGGTAGTTTACGACAAACGGAGCAGTTCGCAGTAACACAAATAGCACCATTGGCGCGGTCCGGTGATATATAGATATGATGAACCGACCTGGGATTCCCAGCTGGGTGTGGAAGGGGTCCCTTTGTCCAACCGTTTCTGCAGGGGCAGGAATCGTGTTTGACAGCTTTTCCGGGGTCTGATTCGCAAGTAAGCCGGAAAGAAACAAGCTGGACCGAGGGCCGGGATGGAACCATCGCCAGCCTAGGGGGAGACGGTGCAGGTCAAAGTGCAGCTATCTCGGTAGAGGGGTCAGCGCACGCACGCAGCCGAGATCTCCTAGGTGATTGGGAGCAACCAGGGGTACTCGTTGCCAGCAACCCAGGTCTACACCCAGCTTGGCCGTCTACAATAGCTCCAAGAGGGAGCAATTGCGCACCGGCAGAGCGGCACTTGAAATGGACGGCCGCCGGGTGCAAATAGAGAGGCGCAAAGCTGCAGGTGGGGGGGAGGAGGTCATTGGGAACCTCTCGCCGGGAACCAATCTGGGACAGGGGCCAAGGCGCCTCATTGCAGATCCAGGAACAAGGATCTGGGGCGAGGAAGTGACATGTTGGTTGGGGTCGGAAGAGGAGGCTCACTCACCAACCCACACTGCCGTGGACAGGGGGCCGAGGGGCAACGAGACCAGACTGGCATTAGTGTGCTACTGCAGGAATCGCTTCTGTCCCCCTACCTTCCTGAATGCGCAAAGCAGCAAAGGCCAGGAATAACTGCCCACTCACACTGTTCGTCCTGTGAGGGGCTGTTGTGAGGTGTCCATTGTACATGCAGTAGAGCATGCGGGAATGCCAACGGCGATCCGGGACGAGTGGCGGATGGGCCTGTGACGAGATGTGATGTCTCCATAGTCCGTGCCCTATGAGTTCCGATGGCCACTGGAGTGCCGAATAGAGCTCTTTCAAGGCTGGAAGTGAACCGTGACGAAACGTGGTTGTATGCTCCTGATCGCCCACAGCCTGCATTGTGTGATGCAGAGGTGAGGTTGCAAGGTGTAGCCCGACACGATATTAGTCGCGCGATTACTCTCAGCTGGAGGAGCGTTGCATTCATTGCCTCGGACTCCCCATCGCTTCCTTTGCTGCACAGCATTTCGAGGACCGGCCGATGTGACAGGCTAGATTTGGAGAGTTGAGTGCCTCTGCAGGCAGCCCAACCCTTCGTTGAGATGATGTGGGTTGCACAGGAGGAAGACTTGCGGGCGAGCTGCAATCCACCAGGAAGCCGTGCAGGTCGCATCCGCCCGACGGCAGCGGACCTGCAGTAGCCCTGCTGTCTCAGAGGGCGCGAAGCGCGAAGGTGTTGGCACGAATTCCCACCCCAGTAATAATAGCCGTCCCGTGTCGAGCAGGAGACTGCGAAGAGGTTGGTCGTTTGCCTTCTTGCTTGTGGCACACACCTCTGCGAGGGTTGTAGGGCAGCGGAGAGCGCCAAAGCAGCCACGAACAAGAACAGATCGATGAGCCACCTGGGGACAAGGGGGAGGCGCTCATTGTGAGGGAAAGTCATGGACAATATTAATTTTGAGGTACCACCATTGTCTATGCCAGTGCCTTGCAGCCTCAGCGTCAGCTTCAGCCTCGGGTAAATTCGAGGTCGAGGGCGACGGATGTTGACAATCAAGAGCCACCTGCAGTTACTAGACGTAGTTGTGAGGGCGGCCGTGGCTGCGTTTGTGGCGACGAAGACCCTTCAGAATGTGAGCAATCATTTACCAAACTCCCCTAGAAAGCCCACGCGCGTCATTTCCCTGCAATCTGCAAACAATTTCCAATGCGAGTGAAGAGATTTCTGCTCGACTGGGCAGTTGCCCAATTCGTCTGTAGGCAATAATGAAGGAAGGACGGATGGTGAGATTGATGTGGTTTTGCTCCTTCTGCAGACGACCCCACCCACCTCTTCCCGCCTGGGTAAGCCGGCCTTCTTTCTTGAATTGCTCTTCAAAGCGCAAATACGAGGCCGGTGTGGTGTGCCTTGGCTCAAAAGAAGGATTGATTGCTCTGCCCCTCGACTTTCCGTCGACTCGTAACAACAAAACTCTCACCTCCCACCTCCACTCTGCTAATCCACTTCCCGTTCACGGGGAAGAAGGAGGTCCTCGTCAATATCTCGTCACTAGGCCCTACTTTCCTCATTCAGAAAGGCCAGGCCATCTAGATCTCTGCGCTACCACCAATCCGGTAAGGCTTGGATCGTCGGAGATCGATTGACGATTGACGATTAACGCAAGGGCCAGGAGGCAACCTTGCAGCCAGTCCTGGGAGGATTCCACCCTACCCAGCCCACCAGACCTACACGGAACAATCCACAATCTGCATCTGTATTCTATGTCTATCCTTCCCCAGCCAAGTTCTAGCAAGGACAGGGGCGCTGGCCAGGTGGTGTACGTGGTGAGCAGGGAAGGCCAAAGGCCCACTCTATCGAGCACGTACATATATCCATGGATACTTGTGCCAGGCAGTCAGGGCCTCCTCGCAACATACCGATTCGCAGAGAAATGTGGAATCCTTGACTTGCCCCACAAACCGCCTAGAACCGTGGTAGAGATGTTGACGGCTAACGGAGAATCGATCAGACTTCAATGCATCGAGATGAAACTCGCAATGCATCCAGTCCTCGAGACCAAGCCAACCTTATTACACACTCAACGACCAGGTCTTTTTTTCCTTGTATCTCGTATCCTACACGCGTCAGTTGACTTCGCGAGCCCATATGGACATCAGCAAAGCGCCTCAACCTTGTGACGAGTAGCGAGGCTGGCTGCTAGGCTACCCGAAACCAGGTACAAACGCAAGTAACATTCAGATCGTGGCAGCCGTATCCTCGCTGAACGTTCTAATGACCTCGAACCTGACATCGTACAGCTAGGCATACAGCACTTGGGTCCCAGTCTTGGTCGCAGCAATGGCGGCCGTCTTGAAAGCCATCCAATGTCAGCTCCAGACTACCGGAGATGAAAACGAAAAGCAAATTGCAGCCATGCTGAAAAACGCGAAGATAACCCGTAGAACAACAACATCAAACCGGAAAGAAAGAAGGAAAAAAACTATCGGGGGCTTAACAGCAGTTGTCATTATCAATCAGGGGCGACACATTCGCTCAAGATCCTGGCGCCCAAGCAATCGAGATAGCATCCTCTCATCCTGCTGTTCTGTTGCGTAGACATCCAGATTTTCGCCCACAATGCTCTCACCCAACCTCCACACAGACGTTGGGAAATTAGCCAGGAGCTCGTTTAACTCTGTTTGCAAACTTTGATTTTCTTGCCACGTGGGTTCATCTCAGAAGCTCGAGCGCGATGAACTACTCAACGGCACAGTCCACCTGTTTCTTCCCAGCCGGTTCCCGCAAATTCGGCTCGAGCGCAGCACGAGATGCTCACACCAGGACGGCTGCCACGGCTTACCAGCCACTATCGCAAGCGCGACCTCACTACGGGCTGCCATAATCCAATTGGATGCCTATCTGCGTCAACTAGTCATGGACAAACTTCGCTTCCGTTTGCACTGATGTCGCCGCCGTCCGAGCTCAACCAGACTTCGCCGATCCACGAAACATGTGATGGCATCGAGCTACTCCTAGCGCCCGCAGACACGGATGAGCAGGCGTTTCAGGGCCTTGTCGTCTCGACTCGGGATGAACATCGTCGCTACATCGTGCCGGAAAGCTCGTCAGTATCCGTGTCGCCTAGGCTACCAAGCGGGAGTGATCCACGGCGATACAACCACAGCGTCGCATTCGCGCCCTCGACTCGCAGCCAGATCGAGTTTCGGTAGCGAGTCTGGATCTTGATCAGTTTGGGCAAAAACTTTCGGGATGAACATCCGACACCTACCTCGCCAGAGCCCGGGGGCTTCTCAATAAGCTCTTGGGTTGAGGTGGGACTTCCGCAAAGTAATGCAGGTTTGTTCTCAGCAAGATCCCCCATATGTCTCGTCTGGTCTTCTATTTCTGCACCGGGGCTTTCCGAGCCGTTTGAGTTTGACAAACAGAACCTCGCGACGACTTTCTGGATCCGAGGGATGAACCCAAACATCAGGAACCTTGAGCATTGCCTTCTCCGTCACCTTTCACACTTTCACAGTTCCAGTGACTGAGCCAAATTGATGAGTCGTTGAACCCCGGGCACGATGCGATACTACCTCAACAATCAAGGTGCCCCAGTCCACAATCTCAGATGCCACTTTTGCAGAATTACCTGGAAAGTACGATCCGGGCCTGGACGTCCATGAATGGCGTTTGTCTAGACTTCGATTCTCACAGCAATATTTAGCGCATCGAAAGTCACTCGGATCCTGTGAGCAGGCGAATCTAGTGATGAATAGCTCCTTCCAAAATTGAAGGCATCATTTCAAAATCTCGCCTATATAAGTGATACTAGGAATGAAGTATTTTCTTTCAAGACACCTTGATTCTCTCCGTACCTAAAAGTTCATCGTTACCCGCAGGAATTTCGCTCTATCCTTACAACCTACCATAATCCCAAATTTCGCCCCATCAAATGCACCTCTCTGGGGCACTGTACTTCGCGCGGACATCCAAGCCAGCCAAGAAAATGGACAAGACAACATTGAAGCCCAGTCCTGAGATCACGATCACCGTGACTACGAGCACCATAGAGGTCTCAGAACAGCAAAAGGCATCAGATGCTCCAAGTCAGCCATCACAGTCCTAGCCCGCCCCTCTGGCACTGAGCTTCGCGGCACCTGATGATACACCTCCGGCCCGGAGACACCGCAGCATCGCCCGGGCACCCGAGCCCTTCGTCACTGTGAGTGAGACAGCGTAAATCCTCAGTCAGTCCTTGGAGTCTAGCTAGAACACAGTTTACTCAATCAATATTGTCTCCAACAGGAATCCTCAGACGACATCCTAGAAGACAACGAGCCCCAGCTATGACCGGCCGAGAAAATCCTCGCCTTTCAAGCCCCTAATCTCTCTCTCACGCCGAAAACAATCCTCGCTCGGCATCATCTCATTAACAGACCGCAACACTGGCCCCGGCTCCTCCTCAGGGACATCCTCGAGCCCAGAAGGACTGGGTCAGACTCTCCGCGCCCACCAAGCCTGTTCTCCCCGGACCCAGCACTGGCAGTCGAGGAACCCGACTGAGTGGGCGCTGGTGCCGAGATTGCCGAGTGACGAGCAGAGCAGCGGTTCGAGTCGGTTGGCTCGGGGGCTTTGTCGAGCACGCCACTGGGGAGATGAGGCAGTAAGGGGGCTCTGATGGAAGATCATGTTCCATCTTGGCTTGAAGGGACCTCAAAGAGGCTTGATGGGCTATCGTTCCTCTACCGAGACAGTCCGCAGTTGCACTCAAACCTACACATAGGCTTTAATTCCATACCAATCAGATACCCCCGTACTCTGGGTGCTCCTGTTCGAGACAAAAGGCACGGAGCTTGCCATGTTTTTTTTTAAAATAGAAAAAAGCAGAGTAGCGAACGCCTCCACGCGCTGTCTCGGAACAAGGAGTCTACAGCCCGGAGCCGTCGCCTCCGCCGAGGCCTACTTTTTCGATCCGTGCCTCTGGCTCTGGCTGTTCTGCTGCTGCTTTTTTCTCGTCTAGGTTCTGGGCGCACGCGGGTTTAGCGAAAGGTCACAGTAGATGTTCCAGAAAAGCGAGAGGGAGAGCCCAATCAGATAATACAATTTGGGAATGACAGTCCGCCTGTTCCCTGTAATGTCGCAGAAGACGTTCTCTTTTCCATGACCACTGAGCCTAACGCCTAGAATGCTCCAATGAATTTAAGGCGATGTCTGCAAGTCCACCGTGCCCCGCATAATCACGAGCGCCACAAGCATACCTGCCCATCCTCGGCGTCTCATTGATGGAAAACTGAAGGCAGCCATTCGACGCGTCTAAAGAGAAATCAGGCATCAAATTGATGTGCCAACCGCAGCAAAAACAAATGAAAGAAGAAGAAAAAAAGGAAGCAAGACACGACCGCGTTGTCCTAATCCACACTACCCGCCAGAGCCACAGCGCTGAACCGCAGGTCCTCGCCCGCCCTGTCGAGGAACTTGAGCGGGCCCAGCGCGAGCGCCTTCTCGCTCAGCACGTCCTCGCCGGCGTCCAGCTTGCCCTTCTCGAGCGGGCCCTTGCGCCGGCCGTCGAGCTCCCACAGCGTGCCGTCGCCCGTCTTGACGAAGCAGACGTAGTGCAGGTCGACGTCGTCGGTCGCCTGCGGCGCCGCCGTGTCGCCCTGGCTGGCCGCCGAGTGGTGCGCCTGCGCCAGCGACTGCGACGTCTCAAGGAGCCTGGCGCGCTGGTCCGGCGGGAGGGGCACCGCCTGCCTGAGGAGCTTGTCCAGGTCCGAGTCGGGTTCTGCGGCGGGGGTCAGTACGGTGGAAGGGATGCCGCGGATGTGCAGGTCAGGGCCACGTGGGTAGGTAGGCAGGCAGGTTGATAGGGAGGCGGTACTCACGGACGAACTCCCTGGCGGGGCCGTTGGCCGTGGCGTGCAGCAATCCCATAAGGCCGCAGGCGTTGCGGATCGTCTGGCGGAACCATACGACGGGCTCACTGTCGCCCTTGCCGGTGTACTCTGGCAGGGTGGCGTCCTCGGCGAGGCGGTAGCTCTCGTACGCAGCGGAGACGGGGAAGACGAGCAGCAGGGCGAGAGCGGGCCGCGGGATGAAGCCGAGCAAGTCTGCGTCGTGGAGGCTGTACACGTCGTGGACGCCCAGCTCCTTGGACAGGCCCAGCTTGTGCAGCAGGTCGCTCATCAGCTGCGGGTTCGCCTCGAGCGGGATGAAGGCGACGCGGCCTACGTCGCCCGCCGGCGTGGTGTTTGATGTCTCTGCCATGGTGGTTTGAGACTTTGTCGATGTGCTGCTCTTGACGGACTGTGATTTGGCTGCAGTGGGTGGTTGTTTGTGCGACGACCAAATGTTCCAAGTCGCAAGAGCTCCAGCTCAAGCTCTTGGTGGGGTTGTGAGATGATCTCATACCACTTAAGCTATGCCCCGCCAACGCAGGCAGTCGCGTCTCTTACGCGTCTGCATTGTGCATTTGGCATGGGCAACAATTCGTGGGCCATCACGTACAAGTCCATGTATCTATAGCGAGGTGCCAACATGAGAAGAGTGACAATGACCTGCTCGAGAATTGTGGGTATCATTGTGAAGTGTGATTGTCATATCGTAATCTATGTGTGTATGTTACAGTACTGATGTAGTGTCTCTTCTATTTGGCCGCGGTCATCGACTCAGGCCATATGCATGTGGTGGTCATCGCCGCCTGTACATCTATCTGCCTGCTGCTGTTCTTCCGACGAGAAAGGATGCAGGCTCATGGGGTTACTTCACGTGTATGCGGGATCTTTTCCGCCTCGCCCATGCCGTTGAGAAGCGGCTCCTCGTGGCCCTCCACAGTCCAGTCACCAACCGTCTCCTGTTCTTGCTCAAGATCGTCGTCCTCCCCATCGCTCAACACCTTTAGAGCAATGCGCTCCTTTCTGGTAGCTTCCTTCCGCATCTGCCGCACCCGCTCCCTTCTGGCTTCGGGCGAGTAGTCGAGCTTCTCTAGATACTCGTTGATCCTCTCCTCCACCATCGACTTGACGTGGAAGGCAAGAGCCTGGCTTTGGAAGATGCCAACGTAGCGGTAGCTCAGCCACAAATACAATGTCAAGCATTTATGCAGGGCCTCCAGTTGCTTCAAGTACACCGCGCGACCTTGCGGGTAATTATCAAGGGTGTAGTCGAGGATTTCGAGGTTGAACTCCTTGATGTCAAGCAGTTTGCCGCTGTCGTTGTGCGCCACGCGGGACGCCAAAGCCCTGAGCACCGCGATCATGCCATTTTCTTTCAATGATATCGGCGCTGTGAGGAAGATGCAACGGTCATGAATGCTTAGCGGATAGGCTTGTAAAATATTGGCGATGTCGATGTTATCCTTGAGATTGCACATGTGATAAAGAGATGGCAGACGAGCAATATCTCTCAAACGAAGAAGTATGAAAGAGAATGGTGTCCCGGCTGGGAAATATGACGAGAAGCGCTCGATGACAAAAGTGGGTGGGAAAAGTCCCGCCGTCTTCAGAGGCTCTACTTCGCCGTCGAAGGAGCCATGAACGACTTCGAGATCTTCCTCTTCCAGTGTGGTCACAAGACCCCCTTGTCCCGATTCCGGCTTGGGGCCCTTTGGCTCAAGGACCGGGTTCTCAGTGGACGTTGGCGGTGTCGGTGTGGCAGCCGGATCTTGAGTCGCCTGTGCTACAGTTCTGTATCTTCCGGCCCGGCCGCCGATCTGCTTGAGTTCGGGTATCGTCAGCGTTCGAACCTTTTTGCCATCATGCTTGGTGACAGCTTCAAAGACAACTCGTTTGATTTCCAAGTTGAGCCCCATGCCAATAGCATCGCTTGCGGCGATAAAGTCGTAGTCGTTGTCAGGATCATTGAACAAGGCAGCCTGCTGAGCTCTGCTTTCAGGGGGTAGAGACCCGTAGACAATAGCACACTTCTTGCCAGTCGCCTGTTCGATGCCAGACTTGATCGTGTGCAGGTTGACCCTCGAGAAAGACACGACCGCATCGCCTTTGCGCAAATTCTCAAAGCGGCCTTTCAAACTTTCTTGCATGGGCTGCAGACCACTCAGACGCTTGTATCGATGGACCACGACTTCATCTCCGATCTTGGCGCAGATAGCCTGGATGAGTGGCACTGTCCGCTCCTCGCCACACAAATGGAGCTCTTTTGCCTGGATGCCAAGCAGTGCTTGCGTCCAAGCCCATCCTCGCATTTCATCCCCAATCATCTGGATCTCGTCGATCACGGCAACGTCAACGCGTTGGTTGAGAGGTGTCATCTCGACCGTACAACTTGCGAAGTAGCTTTCATCACCCTCGGGAATCCTCTGCTCCTCTCCAGTGATCAGAGCACAGCGCTTGCCCTTCGCCTGGAATCGCGTATAAATTTCATGGGCCAGAAGCCGTAATGGGCCAGCATAGACACCAGTCTTGGCCTCTTCTAATGCCTTCAGGGCATGGTATGTTTTGCCCGAATTCGTTGGTCCGACGTGCAAATGAATCTTCCTCTGCATTGTCCTCGTGGCCGGAAACCATTCATGTGGGTAACGGAAGTCAGCCAATCTTTCATGGCATGCAATGGCATCTTCTGAGAGGTGTTGTCTGATGATGAAGCTAGTGAAAGAGTGTTTGAGCTCGGTCGAGAGGGCCCCAATGTCGCCGTTGATGAAGGCATTTCGCCAACTCCAGAAATACGGGTTTTCTTGCCTTCCTGTACGTCCCTTGCGCGTGGCCAAGTCAAGAGCCTTGTCGATGACGTTCCGGAAGAGAGATGCCTCCTTTGCTAAATCCTGACCCGATCGTATGCCTAGCGACTTTAGGTCCTTGAAGCTACCCTCTCGGACCAACATGTCAAAGCGAGCATAAACTAGCCTGTTGAACACGTTGTATCGAGAGCGATCTCCTTGTTTGCTCCGGGACCTGAAGCCCTGCGGCTGAGTGGATGTTGAGGAGGCATCGCTGTCTTGCTGATTTTCGAGGTCTGAACGAAGATTTTGGAGCGTCTGGTAGGATGGCGCCCCGGCAGCTCGTCGCTACGCAAAGTCAGTGTTGTGGATCTCTGGAAAGGGAATTAGTTCCGGCTCACATCATCCCCTCCATATCCGCTTGCACCTGTGAATTTCTGACCTCGTCTGGTAGCAGGTATGGGGACCGCAGACACTACAGGAAGGAGAACATGGGACCTTCGTTCAAGTGCCCAGGCGGTTTTCCAGAGGGACTTCATGGCCAAAGTCTGTAAGAGCCACCGAAAACATAGTGTTCCCGAAAAGAAAAGGAAGTTAGCTTGCGGCGCACGTCAATGATGCCTCGGCGCATCGCGAGGCTCAAACAAAGTAGAGCCTGGCTCCCGGGCTTTGCATCTACACAGTGTAATTGATTCCAGAACTTTTCGGATTTTGCCGCCTGTCACCGACATCCGGGCCTGGCTACTGCCTGCCGCTGACACTGGGATTGACGGTTGTCGTCATCGTAAAAGAGCACGGAGCACTGCTGGAGAACAGCGCTGACCCCTGTTCAACTTGGCCTAATGACCGCCTGAGCATGAACCAGGGCGGGCGTTCCACTGAGCAATAGCATTATCCAACCCTCACCGTCGTCTGAGGCGACGATCCATGATCTTCTCCAAAGGGATTCCTCTAAACACAAACACTGCATAGCCTTCTCTGCTGGAACAGAAGCAAAATATCGAAAATGGCTTCCTCATCGACTCCTGCGACGCCCCTGCTCTAGTAATTACTCACCTTTCCCCCCTTTCTCAAGGGCTCATGACAGCTCAAGCCCATGCGAGACTGGACTAACACTCCAAAAACACAGCTCGTGCATCGCCCACAACACCACCATCCTCTCCGAGTGCACCACCTCCGCCGCCTCCCAGACCTCGTCCCTCGCGTCACTCATCCTGCCCAAAATCAACCATGACACGCCACAGAAGCTGACGTACACGCACGGCAACCACCACATCCACTACATCGCCGAGTCCCCGTCAGAGCATGGCTCGTCGCCGGCGGCGGGCGGCCTGACCTTCCTAGTGGTGGCCGAGTCGTCGCTGGGGCGGCGCATCCCCTTCGGCTATCTGTTCGAGATCCGCAAGCGCTTCCTGGCGGAGTTCCCGGCCGAGACGACCGCCTTCGACGACCTGCCCAACTACGGCGCCGGGTCCTTCAACGCCGAGCTCAAGGGCCTGATGGTCGAGTACGGCGCCACCAGCGGCGGCCGTGACGACGCCATCACCACCGCCCAGCGCGAGATCGACGATGTCCGCGGCATCATGACCCGCAACATCGAGGGCCTGCTCGAGCGCGGCGAGAGGATCGACCTGCTCGTCGACAAGACGGACCGCCTTGGCGGGTCTGCCAGGGAGTTCCGCGTGCGCAGCAGGGGCTTGAAGAGGGAGATGTGGTGGAAGAATGTCAAGCTGATGGCACTGCTAATTCTCGTACTGGTGCTGATTGTGGTGGCGATTATCATTGCTGTCAAGGTCTGATCTGATGGATCTCGTTCATGCGGTGAATACTTTAACTGCCCTCATCGCTGTCCATTTGTATTTTGGTATGGGTTCGGCTCATTGTTATTTTGCTTGAAGCAGGTATGGCGTTACGGTTGGACTGCATCCGTTGAGGATGGAAGAGGAACTCTCTTTCTACTACCCAGGAATTACTTTTACTCTTAAGCATTTGATTGCCTTGAGGGCAGGTTCATATTCCTCGCGACCGTAATCACTTGATGATACCCATACCGTTCACCCGCCTCCATGAACATGAATATGAGTGACATTCCCATTTCGACACGTCTCATTCCACGCATCGTATCCAGCAGTAGAATTAACAAGCCAGACTGCATACAATCGCAGACTGCAGCAAGCATGCGCACAGCGACGTCCTGGCTGCCCTCTAGCAAATACACGTCAATTGCCCCGCCCACGCCCTCTGTCCTTCACAGCTTCGAAGCAGGCGTGGCCTTTAGCTGCCCCTCCTGGTACACGTAGCCCTGCGCCACTGGGCTCATCGTCAGGCTCGGCGCCGGTGGGCCGCCGAGCGTCGGAGGCGGCCTCATGAGCCGCTCGGTGAAGAAGACTGGGTGCCGGTGAGCCGAGTTGTGGGCTTGGTGGGCGTGTCTCTCCCACGCCGCCTGGAATGGTGCGATGAGCTGTTGTGGTATGAGAGGGGGCCCTCCTCCCGGAAGAATAGTGCCTGGGGGTGGTGGTCTTGGTTGGGACATTGTGCTAGTTGAGAGGTCGTGACGGGTGGGTGGCCGAATGAGTGAGTTGGCGGGCCGGCGGAACAAGGCAGTGGGCACTGGATGGATCACGCTCTTCGATTCAGTGTTGCAGCGTATCTCAAAGTTGCGAGGAGGTTCAGGATACTGTCATACAGATATTTTGACTTGCTCTCAAAGAGACCTTTGCAGTCGTGCAATATGAAGACTAGGAACAAGTGAGGTAAGTTGTTCGCTACTGTGTTGATCACTGACAGTTGCCGTCTTAGTAGCCCCGCAATTGATAGGCCGCGGGAACTATGGCGGCATCATCGCCCAGGGCTTTGCGAATTTGAGAAACGCGGTGAATCACTTTAATACATTTTGCGAATTCTGGCAAATACTCCTCGCTCCGAGGACATGTTTGAGGAGCTTACGGTGTAGTCCAATTCAGGGCACGCTCATTTTGTGTTGACCTATTCACCAAGACAACTGGAGGTATCAAGGACATTCTCGCCAGGTGGCGGAACTCGAGACTCATTCACATAATATCATTGTGTATATATCCAATTATTGCACAGCCTTGTGCCCAAACTTGACCCTCCTGTTCTTGGTCTTCTTGTCAGCCTCCTTCTCCTTCTCTTTGGCCTTGCCTTTCTTGATAGTGTCGACCAACGCCTCAATCTCTTCTGCCCTCTGTTTCTTCTCCTGCTCGGCCTTTTCGCTCTTCTCCTTCTCCTCGCGTATCTTCTTTTCTTGCGCCCTCTTCTGCGCGGCCTGCTTCTCTACCGTCTCGACGAGCTTGTCGCTTGACTCCCATAACTTTTTTGCAATCTCGTCATCCTTCACATCTTTCCTGGCGCAGTCCACCTCGATGCACTCCTTGAAGATCTTGCCGCCTGGGTCCCTGATGACGCTCCCGTCAAAGGCCCCAAAAAGAAAAGACTGTGCGGCCATGAATGGGCTCTTCAAAAACAGCCACGTCAGAAAGTAAGATATCAGGTAGACGAACAGCCCCCATAGAGATCCCCTGGTCATCCACCTCCTCATGCCCGGTGTCCTTGCGAATCCTGGATCCACAAAAACCACCTTCGCGTTCATAGGCAACCCGTCCGGCCTCTTGTAAGCGTCCAGGTGCTTCTGGAAGGCCTGCCCGAACGTCATCAGCGCCAGCTTGCTGCTCGCGTACGCGGCCGAAGGCGACCAGTCCTTCTTGTCCAGCGCATGGGCCTGGGCGTCCCGCAGCGGCGGGGCCCGGATGTAGCTGGAGCACGTCGCGATGATGATGCGGACGTCCCTGTCGAAAGGCTGGGCCTTGATGGCAGGGCTGAGGATGGCCAGCAGGTGGTAGTTGGCCAGGTAGTTGACCATCCAGGTGTGCTCGACGCCCTCGGGGGTCTCTTGCCGCTGGCCGCCGGGCGGCGTGAGCGTCGCGGCGCACAGCACGATCATGTCGAGCCGCCGTGGCGGGGCGTTGTCGATCCACTTGGTGGCGAACTGGCGCACGCTGTGCAGCGACATCAGGTCGACCTGCTCGGCGTAGATGAGCTGGTTATTCGTCCTGGCGCGCAGGTCGTCGACGTACTCGACCAGGAAGGGGTCGGAGGCCGGCAGCTGCGTCAGCAGCACCAGCTGGGCGCCGCGCTTGGCCAGCTCCAGCGCCGCGGCGGCGCCCACGCCCGACGTGCCGCCCGTCATCATAACCACGCGGCCGTGCATGTTGCGCTCGGTGAGGTTGAGGGCGCCGTTGAAGTAGCGCTTGGTGATGCCGAGGGCGCCCAGGGCCCCGGTGACCCCGGCGAGCTTCCACGGGTCGGGGAACCACTCCGGCAGGCCATAGTTGTAGGCGTGGATGAGGAAGGGGATCGGCATGGTCGGCGCACGGGTGAGGACGACGGGAGGCTGTGATCACTGCAGGACCATGTCGTGTGGAAGGTTTGGAGTTTCAGTGAAGAGGGAACGGTCGAGATCGGTGGGCGGAATAGGGGGTTGAGAATGACAGCACTGCAGATGCTCTGCTCAACAAGGCTGCATGGGAAACACGAATTCCATGTGTCTGTTGCGTCAGGGGCCCAAATTTGGAGGCCCCACTGAACAGGGCCCTGCACCTGGACCCAACGCTTCGGTTCCTGCCGGGGTGGCGGGACTTAGTGGCTCATGTGCCTTGGCGTGCGATAGGCTCCAATGTAGACGTCGACTTCGACTTCGACTTCGACTTCGACTTCGACTTCTCTATCTACCTTGACTACATTCCTCTTTCTTCCTGCTGTCGCCATAAATTTGCCACTTGGTTAAATAAAGTTCCCTTCTTGAGTACACTCAAAACAGAAGAGAGAGGGGCGATCTGTTCGTGACGCCCAGCTCAACAGCAACTTTTTCGAGATGTCGGGGGATGAGAGGGAGGACGACTACGATGATGTCCCACTCCATCACAGGAAACCCTTCGGCTCAGGCCTACGACGGAACGAGATCAAATTCGTGCCCGCCTTGAACGAAGATCCAAATACAGCAAAACAACCAGGAGGCCAGACGAACGGGAAGTCAATCAGCGATTTCTACCTCAACATGGTCCTGAAGAAGCCAGAGCCCGCAACAATGCAAAAGCAGCCTGCCACAGTCGCCATCTGCGACATATGCAAGATACCACTCACACCCACAGACAAGGCAGCAAGTGATGGAAGTAGCAGCGGGATGACAGGCGGCCACCATGAATCCTCGATAGCCCACCAGGTCTGCCTGGCGCACTCACACCCGCCATCCGCGCTGGATCGCACCCGCATGGGCCTGTCGGTACTCGAGTCGCAGGGCTGGGATCCAGACGCCCGCACGGGGCTCGGCGCTGCCGGGCAGGGGACGCACTACCCCATCAAGGCGAAGTCCAAAGATGACCGCTTGGGGATTGGCGTTGTGGTGCCCAAAGATTTTGAAGCGAAGAAGGAAAAGGAGAAACCGAAGCTCTTGGACGCCAAGAAGGTGCGCAAGATGGCGGCTGAGGACCGCAAGAGGGCCGACAGGCTGCAGCAGAGGATCTTTGGGCGGGTTGACCTCGAGAAATATTTGGGGCCAGATGCCTGAGCTGGTTGTGGGCTTGCTCCTGCTGAGAGGGTGGAAAATGTGCAGTGGAGATTCGGCGACTGTTCTGTGGTGGCTTTCAGGCAGTTGAGAGCATGGACATTAAACATACGGTGAAGCGGGCGCGTGGATGATTACACCAATATCCAGGCAAAGGAAATAGATGGATGGAAATATTGTGATATTAAGATACCCTTATTAGCGAATTATACAAGTCGTTCTAGACTCTGTAATAAAGTGACGCCCCGTAGTAGGTACATGCCACTTGCCCCTCAAAAGCAAAGCCATGTACTGAACCTCTTCCCTCTCCCCTTCCAGCCGTCCTGCTCAACCTCCATGTCCTCTTTCGTATAGACATCCGTGACCAGATCCATATCATGCGCCCTCCTGAACTCCGTCTTCTTGACCAGCTTCCAGATGATGATCATGATCACAAAGATGGGCAGCTCGATATAATAGCTCACGAAGTCCACGGGGCTGAAGCCGCCCTTGAAGCTGCTCCACCCCTGCACCAGAATGATGAAGCCGTTCAGAACGACCGCGATGATAGGACCAAAGGGGTACGTCCAGTTCTTGAATGGCAGGAGGTGCTCCTTACCCTGCGCCTTCATGCCAGCCCGGAAGCGCAGCGACGCGATGCCAATCGAGATCCACGACAGCTGGTTCGAGACGCCAACGATGTTCTGCAGCCAGGTCCACAGCTGACCGGCGCCGATGAACGAGGCGCCAAAGAGCAACCCAGAGATGAAGCTCGTGGTGAGCACTGCCACCCAAGGCACCTGAAACCGCGTGAGCTTCGTGAACACTTTGGGCGCATGCCCGTTCGCGCCGAGGGTGAATAGCAGCCTGGACCCGGCGAAAAGGGCATGGTTGCCGGCTGAGATGACGCTAGTGAGAATCACGGCGTTGACGAAGGAGCCGGCGACCTTGGAGCCGGCCATGGTGAAGGCAATAGTGAACGGCGAGGTATGGGTGGATTTCGTGTTCAGGTCTGGGTAGTTATATGGGACGTTGAGACCGATCATGAGCGCGGAGAGGATGTAGAAGAGCAGGATGCGCCAGAAGACGTTGCGGACAACGCGCGGCAGCGTGCGCGCCGGATCGCGCGTCTCGCCCGCCGTGATGGCGATGGACTCGGTGCCGCCGTAGGCGAACGACGCCGTCACAAAGACCGAGGCGAAGCCGCCTATGCCGCCGACAAAGGGCGCATCGCCAATGTGCCAATTCTTCCCGCCAATGTAGGCGTGGTCCGTGTTCCCGCCTACATTCACCGCTATGCTGAGAATGATGAAGATGATAATGGTCACGACCTTGAGCAGGCTGAGCCAGTACTCCAGCTCGCCGTACGCCCTGACATTGATGATGTTGGCAAGCACGAGAACCACCCACACGATCAAGCCCAACGCATACCAGGGGAACGAGTCAGTCCAGTACTGCAGGATGAGCTGCAGGGCGACGAGGTCCGCGGCCGTCGAGACGGCGTCGTTGAACCAGTAGTTCCACGTAAGGGCGAAGCCGAACGCATCGTCCACATAGCGGCCCGCAAAGGTGCAAAACGAGCCGGCCACTGGCACGTAGGCGGCCATCTCGCCGAGGCAGAGCATGGTCGTGAACACGATGCCTCCGACGATGGCGTAGCAGATGAGCAGCGATGCGGGGCCGCCCGTGGCGAGCGCCTTGCCGGTGCCCAGGAAGAGCCCCGTGCCAATAGTGCCTCCAATGGCGATCATCTGCACCTGTCTGGCCGAGAGAGCGCGGCGGAGCTTGTCCTCGTTCACATGGCCTTCGTGAGGCTCGTAGGCCGGTGCGGCCTCATGGTCGTAGGGGCCTTTCTCATGCACGGACATGGTGAGTTGTGTGACGAGTTGTGTGCTGGGCGGGTCGCAGGTTCGTCAGAGGGAAGGGAGGAGGAGCGCCGCGCAGAGACCAGGCGGCTGCAAGCGGCCCATGTTGGAGGAGGCTCCCACAGGTGCCCTTTTAAGGCGCGGCTGCGTAGGATGATGTTGAAAGTTCTGAGCTAGCACGCCATCGCAGGCGAAGCCAATTACTGCGGCGTCTGACTAGGTATTGGGTGATGGGGTGGTATAAGTAGAAGGTGTCAGTGCCCCGCTAGCCGCTAGGGGCTAGAGCCCGACCGGATTGGGCTATTCCATGACCAATTTAATGTCGCGCCTGACAAGTCGCCCACGACCGTAATAGTACCTGTGTTCTTCCAGTATAAGCATTCTGAGCAGTACTTGTCATTGAATTCTCAAAATGGCTATTCAATTAGCCATATAATAGCTCACCTACAATTGCTGGGCTAGAGCCCGACTATCTGCGGACTGACAGGCCTAAGAGGACCAGCTCACGGTTCGTAATACCTAGAAAACCCCCTGAGCGCTGCCACACCACATTCTATACATCGTCTTGAGAAGACGACGTTGTGATCCACGAGACACTTTGATTTCGTGAGGATTCTCTTAGAATTCAGGAGGTGCATTCAATTCTCTCATGACCTTGAGAACTCTATACTTGTCGTCAGATCGGTGGAGGTAACGCATCAGCCGACAGCCAATGAGATTCGCCATTGACATGTTGTGTCTCGAATTGGATCAACATAATGACAGGACACCTCTGTAACCGCCATCAGCCTTCACACTCTTCTGTTGGAAGATGCGGGAGCTGGGTGAGGATCATAATACACCCATGAACTACATCACCCTTCATGCTAGCGATTTCATCTCGTGACTGTGTGCCAGTGTCCGTAGCTCCAGATATTACAAGAGCAACTCAATTTGGGTGAGTGCAGCTTACATGCATGATTGGTCTGTCCGACTGGCGTGCTTGGGCCTGATCTTGCAGACTCACACCGCAAGTCGAGGTCACTGTGATATGTGACTTGCCACTCTTCTGCAAGACCAACTGTCGAATAGGAATCTCACCGCGGCCACGTCTAAGGATTGGTGGTTTCCCCTCTTCTTGTGGCAGCTTGAGTCCCGATACAGGGACAAATGATGTGAAAATACTGCGTTCAACACGTCAACACTCTCGGCATTAATTCACCAAAACTTCCTTTACTGCCCCCATATCGCCTCGAGCGACCACATGAGCAAAGATGACATCCATTCCCAACCTCAGCGGCTCCATCGTTGCCGCTAATAATCAGAACATCGCCGGGCTCGTCAACATCAACCTAGACGTTTCTCTAGTACGGTGCAATCCCCCAGTCGAATTCTTGCCGGTTGGCCCGGCGTTGTCGCTCCAGCGTCGTAAACAAGCAGAAGGTGGGCAACAGCACAAGTTGGCTTGTAGATTAGGGTTCCTATTCAACGACATCGTACCAGAGACGCCAAAATTGATTAAAGCGTTCGGTACTCGAGTCTCTGATACCCTTCGCCGACCTGGAGTGAACCCTCAAGGCACCGACGAAAATGGTCCATTCCGAGACTTCGTTGGTGCCGATGGGACCTCACTTTGGGCTGCGGCCACTTCCAATTCAGCATCATTAAGCGTTTACCTACTCGCATGCATGCTTGCGAGGGCCTGGGACTCTAAACAAGCCACAGCAATTTGGGTCGAGCTCGTGCACGACAGAAAACGTCAGGTTGAGGCCCGGCTGGAGCAGAATTTGATTGTGAATCCCTATACCCAATTGGCGGTATTGCAAGAGTTCAAGCGATCAGATCTGGCAAGATGGGACGCAAGTGCAAGATCCTGGCTACGAAGAGCCGATCACTACACAGTGTCCCAACATACGCAGTTCAAGCTTACCATCAACAATATTCAACTTCCCTTCTTGGACTCTGGGAAGACATTTGACAAGGTCACCCAAGCATGGATTCGGTCGATGAAGGTCTTGGAGGCTTTGCTGGGAAATGAGCCGCAGGTGGCCTTCGATCGTTCCGTGCTGCTCGCAATTTCCTCATGGCACTTGTACCCAAATCTTCAGGTCTTCCAGGAGGAAGCTACCAGCGTTTCATTCTCCGATGAATTATTCCCCGCTTTGGGAGTGCTCAGTCTTGGATTCGGATATCGCGCTCCGAGGAGAGACGTACAAGACAAAGAAGCCCATGACACAGGTCTAGGCATTGCGACTCGATGGTCTCTAGCACTGTCTCACCTGAGGTATTACGGGAGTGCATTCCAGATCATGAGCGACGAGTTTCAAGGCGAACGAGCCAGTGTCGACGAGATATGGCTGACTTGCCTAGGAGCAATTCTCCGTCAGTGGGAGGTCACATTTTCGAATCTCGAGCCCTCTGTCCAATGGTTCCAAAAGATTGGAGATCTCTTACAAGCAAGCGAAGAAACTGAAAAGACAGCCCTATCGTGGTTGTCTAAACTTTGTCAAGCAGCTGGTACGATTTCGAGCCAAAGCCCTAACAAGCGCCAGGATAAAATGAGGTTCGTTAGCCTCGGTTGGAGGAAAGACACAAACCTCCTTGGACACCAGAAGGTGCTACGCCCGCCGTTTTTTGGCCTTTGTAACCCAGATGTCCTACAATCCCTCAAGAAAAAGGATGGCACGGAGATAGGCCTCGAGCTTTTCCGCAGTGTAGCTCAGCGACTTAATTTGGCGCCTGAAGATGCAATTATATGCAGGAGCACAGACGACGGAGACTTTAACGTAACTCACGAATGGGCCACAATTAGCCCAGTGCAGGCTGGCTTGGATGACCCGAGCCAGCTCGAGGAAGGTGGATCAGAGCTTCTGCAGAATGTGCGATGGATTTATGCTGAAGACCGCGAAGGACGAACAACTCGAAGGGACGAGCAACAATATCGCCAAGCTAGCATACAACAGCTAGGCGAACGCTGCCATGTCGTATACGACCAAGGACACATCCCGCGCAAGAAGGGTTTCAACGCATCCCGCAACCCAATAGCCTTTGAGTCCGTCTCCAAAGGCGTTTACGAGTGGGAAACCCCGCCGTTGCTGTTCGCTGAAAATGCGCAATCCGTTGAATTTGTCCAGCTACAATTCATTCCTATACCCAATTGGTCAGTCGGCTTCGGTCTGTTTGTGCGAAAGGAAGTCTATGAGCACAGATTCGATGATCTCAAGTCGCAAATGTCTCGCGCTGCTATGGCCGTAGACGTTCAGACAAGCTTAAAGTGGCTGGAGATAGAGGGCCACGGGTTCGACGTCGTCGGATTTTTAATGACCTTTCTCCAGGTAAGTAAAGCATAAGTAACTCCGAGCTACGCATTCTGACAAAAGTTTCGATTCTAGGGCCAGCCCAATACATTCCTACGCCGTCGCAAACGGCTGGCAGGGAAGAAAAGAAAGAGGTCGTCCGACATCGATGCTGACGCTGAAAGCCACCATGCAGGCTTAGTCGACAGCGACAGCGGCAGAATAATAGGTTCTTATTATACAGTCGGTGAATATAGAGAGCTATCCATTGAATGGATCCTGAGTCTTCGAGCGTTGGAGATAGTATCTGTTCTCTACAACCAGCTTCCTGACGCCACCATCTCTCTGCGCCTGGTCAATCAGGAGCTCTTCAAGGCCAAATGGTTCCCACGACAATCCTCGGCACTGGAAGACTCGTTCACCAAGGTGCTCAACACTTCTGTGCAAAAGCTGTGCGATGAAATGACGCGAGCGCATTCCTTTGCATGCATTGCGATGACGGAGTCTGGACAATTCAACATTGATATTGAACACACGGAAGCAGTCGTCGCGCTTTGTTCTGATAATTCCATCTTTGTTGCAGGAATACTATTGTCCGACCCTACGACTGCTAATGTCGGCATGAACATTCGACATTTAATAGGCAACGTTGGCCATGCCGGGATGGTTCTGATGATTTCGCCGAATGAGCCTTCGATGCGAGCTCCAACGCACAATGCCCCCACAATCGATCACAGATCATACGATGGGAAGCGTACAGACAGCTTCGAAGGAACATCGCTTCATCTATCTTTCACTAAGTGGGAGATGCCTCTTGAATGGGGTAGTACCGGCGACATTGATCAACAGATTTTCCTTCTCGAGTCCGTCCTCTCTGTTAAAGACGAAGGTCAATGGGTCGCCGACTTGGATGTTTTGGATTTGGAGAGAGATGGTGTTGAAATATTGCAGTTCACTTGTGATTGTGACCGCAGCGAGCTGCCCGCAGACAAGGACATTGCATCGTTGGACTCTTGGGAGCACCTTCTCAACACCCCGCCTTCCGTTGGAGTCATACGGGCGAGGGACAACTGGGTAGCTAGACTCTGTGCTACCGCAGTTCTGATTCGCAAAGGCCAAGCTCACTGTGTTGTGGTTACGGCTGACGAGCCTATTTGTTGGGGCTGTATGGCGGAGCACTACGCGTACCCTGAGTCGCATCTACCACAGTTCATCATAAATTGAGGTACGGAAGCGCCAATGAGTTATCTCACCTCGTCAGACATGATCTACCAGGCTGATAGGGCTCTCTGGCCGGACGATGATTTGGCCATCAGTTTCTGAAAATGAACCTCGAAGAATTTCACAGCACATGTTTTTGCATCGTGAAGAGCCATATAATTGGATTCTTAGAAGATTTTGTCTCTCCGAGTTCAACGCCGTAAAAGAAACATTCGCATGGTCCATTAAAATATTGCCTCTTACTTCGCTCGCTATGCATGTACTCAGCCGTATCCAATAAATCGTATATCACGTGTTGCCTTCAAACGCCAGAACGGGACAGAGACACCCGGCCACCCTCTTTCGTTGTTCCCTGGGTGAAATTCGTCCTAGAGTCCAAACAGGGACCGCTCATGGGTCGTCGAGCCCTCGGTAGTGCCCTCGGAGGTGGCCTCGGAGGTGGCCTCGCCCTCGGCAAGCGTTGGGTTGTAGAAAGCAGCTATGGCGATGATGACGTACACAACGACCAACAGGAAGCCCTCGAGGTAGTTGCTCTTCTGGTCGCGCAAGAAGTTGCCCACAGTGATGATGGAGAGTATCAGCATGACCAGGTTGAAGACGTCAAAGTCGAGGCCCATGTCGAACTTCATGCCCCAGCCGACAATGACGATAAAGGGTCCGTTGAAGAGGGCCGTCTGCAGCGTAGCGCCGAGCACATGCGACAGCGCGAGGTTCATCTGGTTGTCCCAGGCCTCGTCGATAGCTGTAATGTGCTCCGCCGCCTTCTCTACCAGCGGCACGAGGATGAGACCCATAAACGGATCCGAAACCCCGTGGTTCTCGACGATGAAGGGGATCTCCTCAACAAGAGCTACGGCGATGATGCTGACCAGTGCGATCCTGTTTGTTAGGGGTCAGCAACCAATTTTGCCTCTTCGGGGACTTACAGAAGCTGGGACATCTTGAGGTGCCCCAGCAATATTTCTGCGGGGCGTCTTGGGCAGAACGGAGATTTACGTACGATATCACAAGCGCAATCACACACTCGGTTGTGGTGAGCTTCGCCTTGTGCGCGTCCTTATGGGCATCGTGGTCGCGCTCCTCATCGTACTCAAATACGGCCTCATAAATACCATGGTGCTAGATCATGGGGATCAGTATGAGTCTTGGTTGGAAACAAGTGGTAGAAGCTCCAAAGCTTACAGTGTGCCCCATGAACCAGACATAGACGAAATAGGCGATAATTAACATGACGGCCGTAGAGCGAGAGACCTGCAGCACGGTACTTGCAAGGGCTTCGGCGGTTTGGCCCTCGGTCTTGAAAGCTCCGTGTTAGCGGTTGACGAGCAATAACGAGATTCAAAAGGGGCGGGGCAAGAAGGCAACCTCGAGATCACTCTACAGAGCTGCCAAAATGACCGAGGAGTAGGCGTATTCGCTTACATTTTGGAAGGCCAAGGTGAACACGGTAGGCACCGCGAGACCAATACCAGCGGTGAGAAGCAGGCCACATCCAGCTTCGGCGACAGCCTCGCTGAAGTGGGACTCGTCGCGGCGCATGCCAGCGGCCCAGAAGCAGAGCCCGAGACACAGCAGCATATTGGCCAAGATAGACCCCAAGATGGCGGCCTTGATGATCTCCTCGTTCCTTTCGCGGACGGCCAGGACCAGGAATAGAATGATCTCGACGACGGAGCCCAGGGTAGTCTCAACAATCACAGCGGCAACAGGAGGCAACTTGCGGCCAAACTCCTGGCCGGCGAAGCCGATCAGGTTGGCGCAGGGAACCATGGCGATGTAGGTCAGGATGAAGATAGCGAGGTGCTGCTCGCCGGCGGCGTACTTGACGGCGATGGCGGCGGGGACGACGGGCCAGAGGACGTTGACGGCGGACGAGGCCTTGCAGGACGACTTCCAGACGATGGGGAAGAACTCGGTGCCGAAGCCCCTGCGGCCACTCTCGCCGGCGGCCTTGATGTGAGGGGTCATGGTCGAGTTGCCATTGCCATCGTCGTGCTTGTGGCGGACAGGCTCGTGCTGCGGCAGCGCTGGGTCGCGCGAGCTCGACTTCTCGGTGGTGGCCATGTTGTTGCTGCGCGAGGACGTCGACTGTCGTGGTTGTGGAGCTCGCAACATCCTCTCGGGCTCGTGGGACGTCGTCTAAGGTTGAAACGGTTTAAAAGTGATTGTCGGGGAGGAGCCACCCGTTTATTGAGGACAGCCAGTCGATCAGACAATAAAACAAACAGACCAAGTCAGGCAGGCGGCCCGAATTCTGGGGACAGTATGGGGATATCCAGCGCCCTGTGGGGTGAGGGAGATGAGACAGAGGAAGGGAAGAGCACACAAACACGTGCGCTCTTAGCAACAGCAGCAGCAACAACAACAAAAGCAGGACTAGGTCTTCACGAAGGAAGGGAAATTCAACAGTCAGTCTAGACTGAGTGCAACACGAAATCAAGGAACAGACTGACAGAGCAAGAGCAGCAGCAAGCATGGAAGAGAAACGCTACTATACCAAAAATACCAGATTCGTCAGTGACTGGCGTCTATCTCTAACCACTCGGTGTCGCGCTCGCTGGCAGTCTGGCTCCCTCCCTGCCTGCTGTCGTGTCTCCTATTCTTGTCTGGGAGCTGCAGTACACAGCATAGTGCTGGTCAGAGTGGTCATCGCCAAGACCATCTTCTCATCGCAAATTCCACTGGGCAAGGCCAGGAATTAAATAGAGCCTTGGCGGCTGTTTCAGTTGGCTACTCGCATCGACTCAGCAGGGGAGGCTTGTTCATGCCCGGCCAGAATTACGTCGCTGGCTTGACAGATGCGACCCTGGGGGGATTGGGGAAGGCGGAAGAACGAAAAGCAGGGAGGGAGAGGAAGAGGCGTGCCCAGGATGGGGGCCACATCTCACCGCCTGCATGATGCGGACTGCGCTGTCAAAAAGATTGGGGTCCCAAGTTCCAGGCCCAGGCCTTGGTGTGGGGACAAGCGTACTGTCCAGTATCCGCTGTGGCTCGTGAGGTGAGATTGAGCTGAGCTGAGCTGAGCTGGGCCGAGCTGAGTCTATCTCTTCTTAAAGCTCGCATGTTGAAGAGAAAAACTTAAAAACATTTAATTATCACAGGTGTAGCTGACGCTGGTCGAGCTATCCCGTCTCTTCTTCATCGGCCTGGGCCGCATTTAGCAACATCTGTCCCGGCCAATTGATGACAGGCCAGACGTCTGACCACAGTGACAAGCACCGACAAGCAACGACAAGCAACAGCCAAGCTATACCGTCAGAGACACCAAGGCGCTGGGCGGAAAGCTTGTCAATGGCTGTTTCTCACGGATGGTTCTAGGGCCTTGGCCACGTGATCCTGTCGAAGAAGAAGAAGGGAAAACGCAAAAGGAAAATTAACAGATCATCATAAATAATCACATTCAAAGTATACCTGTCTAAGTCAAGTTTCCTGCGAAGGATATGTGGGCAAAGAGTGGGCGCTGAAGCATCGATGCAGCTTGGACTTGGCATGTGATTACGCTCATTCTAACCTCGACCACGTCCACAGTAAAATCTGCAAAGCTACGCTATCCCGCCACGAGGCATTTGTATATAGCTAGATGACTTAAAATTCTACAATAAACCTCAAATACATTCAATCCACCCGTCCAGCCCGCCGACTAGCATCCCACAGCTCCCTAAATCGACTGGCCCCAGGCTGGGCAAGCAAATCGCGCGGACAGCCCTCCTCAACAATACAGCCCTTCTCCAGGACTACGACCCTGTCAAAGTCCACAATCGTCTCCAGTCGGTGTGCGATCGACATAACAGTGTGCGAACCAAAGTCCTCTCTCACGATCCTCTGCACCAGCGCGTCCGTCTCCGCATCGACACTGCTTGTCGCCTCGTCGAAAAGCACCACCTTCCCACCGATCCCGCTGTCCCTGCGCAGGAGCGCCCTCGCCAGCGAGAAGAGCTGCCGCTGGCCGTGGCTGAACTTGTCCTCGTCAAACTTGGCGCCCAGCCCGCCCGCCGCGGCAACGGGCTCCCAAAGCCCCACGCGCCGCAGCACAGCCTCGACAGGCGGGCCCGCGCTGGTGCCGGCGTTGCCGTACGGGTCGAGGTTCTGCAGAATCGTGCCGGGAAGGAAGAAGAGGTCTTGGGACACGGCTATGAGGCGCGAGCGGACCTTGTCACGCGGGAGGGTCGCGAGGTCGGCCCCGTCGACGTGGATGGTGCCCGAGGTACTGGGGAGCAGACGTAGGAGCGAGAGCAGCAGCGTCGACTTGCCGCTGCCTGTGCGTCCACAGATGCCGATCTTCTCGCCTGCCCTGATGGTCAGGGTCACGCCGTCGAGAGCCTTGTGCTCGAGGTCCTCGCCGTAGCTGACCGAAAGGTCCCTGATTTCGATTTTTCCATTCTCGGGCCAATTCTGCGGCGGCTGCTGGTTCTCGCCTGGCAGCCTCTCGTCGGGTGTCTCTTCACTGAAATTCTTGATCCTAGCCACGGCGCCGATGGATGTCTCGAGCGACGTCCAGAATTGGATGAGGATCTTCAGGTTCTCAGCGAGGTTTATCAGTTGAATGAGTGAGACGGCAGTCAGGCCGACAGACACGGAATCACGGAGCCTCACTGCAAGGCCTACGATCAACACTGCTAAGGCCGCCGTGACGAGGTTGAGCACGAGGGTGAGCCATTGCTGCACCATAAGCAGGAGGTAGAACGGCTGCTGAGACTTGTCCACCAGATCGTGGTTCAGTTCCAGGACGGATTTGGCCCACCCGAACGCCCGGATCGTGAGCAGGCCGGAGAGTGTCTCTAGAAACTGCGTGTAAACGGGGGCCTTCTGCTCCAGGTCAAGGAGACGGAGCTGTCGCGAGGTTCGCAGATAGCCCCTCTGGATGTAGACGAAGACAGCGACCAGGAATGGGAAGCTTATGGCGATGTAGCCCGTGGAGGAGGCGATCAAGGCAGCAATACCTATCGTGCTCAGCAGGTTCGCAATGGTCACCAAGAGTGCCAGAGGTAGCGACCTGTCTATGATCCCGATATCCTGGGAGAATCTCGTCGTGATCGAGCCAATGTCTGTGCTAGTGAATAGTGAGAGCGGGGCTCGTACCACAGCATCCAGCAGGACCTGGTGTAATCGCATGCCCGTCCTGGAGGCTACGAAGAGCATCCCAAACATCGCTACAAGGCCAAAGCTGACAACTCCTAGAATCTGCAGTGCTGTGAAGACCCCAAGGTAGTAACCGATGCGCTGATTGGGGTGCTCGGCATTCGCCTCAGACCAGAAATTCAACCAGACAGTCGAAAAGTTAGATAAAAACGCCCATGCGATCTCCGAGACCAAAAGACCCATAGCAAAGGGCATTCCGATGGTCTTTATAAAGAAACCGTACACAGCGGAGTCACCTCGCTGTCTGCGCTTGTCTTCTGGCTGAGCCTGGCTTGGCCTGGGAACCTTGGGTATGGCTTCCTGCACTGGGCCTGAATGACTTGGTGCTGCGCTTGATTCAGCTTCATCATCGCTACTATGCGCTGATTCATCCTGATCGTTCAAGGATGCCAAATGACCGCCGGTCTTGCTCAGAGAGGCGAACTTGCCCTGCTCGGCCACAATACCATCCCTTAACACGATGACACGATCAGAAAATGGCAGCAATTTGACGGCCTGAGTCGCGAGGACCACCGTCGTCCCCCACTGCCGCAATAAGCCGGTATCCTTGCCGAAGATCCGGCTGAACACGACACGTGTAGTGTGATTGTCAAGGCCACTGAACGGATCGTCAAAAAGCGCCAGCTGTGGGCGGGAATAGACAGCCCTCGCCAGTGCAACTCTTTGCTTCTGGCCACCGCTCAGGGCGATTCCATTGGACCCAATGACGGTCAGATCACCATCTTCGAGGCTCGCAAAATCCTTTTCCAGGTCGCAGGCATGAGTGACCAGTCGGTAAAGGTCTTCCTCGTACTCAGAGAATCCCACTATGTTCTTGCGGATTGAATCGTTGGTCAACCATGGACTTTGATCACACCAAGAAACTCTGTGTCTCTGGAGGCTGACCCTGCCAGTGACATGTGGGACTTCACCCAGGAGACCTTTGAGCAGCGTCGTCTTACCACTTGCCACAGAGCCAACAATGATTGCGAGTTCTTCGCGATTGACCATGAGTCTGACGTCTTTCAGCACTGCAGCGTCTTCTGGTGACCAACGGAAGCAAGCATCTTCAACTCGTACACCCTGAGGCTCTGCTCCATTTTGCTGCGCTAGGACCAAATCCTCAAGCTCGAGACCCTCCGGAAGACGGGGGCTGAGCTGAGTCGTGGAGCCTTCCAAGCCGTACTCATAGCTCCGAGGCGAAGTTGGCATGGCGTCTGCTCTTTTATCGGCTTTCGAAGCCGTGGAGAGGAACTTCTCGATCCTCTTGAAACACCCAGCACCGGCGTTGATATCCAAGACGGCCTCAAACATCCAGAATAAAGGTTGTCCAAGAAGAATGATAAGTGAGAGAGAAGAAAACATTCTCGTGGCCTGCAATGATTCTCCCGAATTGACCGTACCGATCGCGAAGAACGCAAATGCCACGACAGGAGAAATGAGGAGTGGGACCTGGGCGAGCGCAGAAGTTACTGCGTTCATCCTCCTGAAAGGGGCTGCCGCGTCGATCTCGTCCTTCCGCAGCTTGGCAATAGTGTCGCCGATCCTTTGGCCAAGTCCGGACATCTTGATACTCTTCATGTGGCCCAGCATAGTAGAGGTAATGCCTGCATATGACTTAGTACTGTGAACAGATTATAAACAGCAGCCTTTTACAAAAATGTCCCTTACCAACACGTTCTTGTACTTTTGTAATCCAAGCCATCATGAATTTTTTCGAAGGAGGCCCGCATAACACTGTCGCGACCAAAGATACGGCGCTGACGATAATAGGGCCAACGAAGGCAGCACCAATCTGTCTGCTCAGCAGGTACGTTGCGATGACGATCTGCAGGATGTTCGCCCACATCTCGAGTATTTCTCGCGTTGCGCGGATAATGGCGTCGACCTGTTGTCTGTTAGTTCCAAATTATTGTCGTTAACATGAGGCAAGTAGACTGACATCAGTGCTCATGAGCGTCACCGCCGCGGCGTTGTCGATAGCTGTGGTACTAAGCTGAGTAGAGCAGGCAAAAATAGCAGAAACCAGGATACCGCGCAACATCGTGAGCGTCCGTGTAGCCTGATGAGAAAAGAAGGCGCTGGAAAGAGCTATTCCCAGGTAGACCAGTCCATATGCCCCGATCAGACCGTAGCCGTGGTTGATGCTTTCGGTGGGGTCCTCGAGGAAGGTCAGGAATTGATTGAGCACAAGCGGCTGGCAGATAGTGAAGGCAAGCTCGAGCAGACGCGGGAATATGGCGCCCATGAGCGGCCACTTCAGGGTCCTGATACATGATACGAGGAGCCTATTGTTGCTGTTCGGCTTGACTGTCTGAATCTCAGTGACGACTCCATCTCTCGTGGACTTGAAATCACCGACCTTTGTTCCACGTGACCCAAAACCTGTCATTCAGAACAGCAGCCTTCATCGACTTATCAAGAGCGTAAAGATCAGCTGGCTTCAATAGGCGACGGAAACCATCGAGCAACAAGGGATTCAGCCAGCTGAATAAACCGCGGCTGTATAAACCGCTGGTGACCTCAGGGTTGCTCTGCCTGTCATTCCCGATGATGAGCCCAGCCTTTTCTTTGGCCTCGAGTACCAAGAGGCATGCCTTAAGAGCAAAGGACGCAGTAAACACGGCACGGACAGAGGTGGCGAGATCTGACAGCCAGAACGTCCGCAGTATCGCGCCATCCAGCAGCAGCGATATCAACAAATAGGCATTGAGAATTGACGAGGGCCTCAGCGACCTCGCATGCTCGGCGTACGTAAGTGCACAGAATATCAGGCTGGCAACGAAAGACACGCACGACGCGGCTACCGAGACGGTCTTGACGCGGCCAAGGGCCTCAGGCTGCGTTGCCCACACGGCTAAGAGCGAGAGCTGCAGGGCCGCGAAGAGGCCAACGGCGGCGAGCTTTGCGAACTTGAAGGCATGGCCGGCGACCACGGAAGGTGACTTGCTGAGATATTTCAACCGCAGGGGACCGGCAATGATCAGGAGGGACGCTGGGAGGATTGAGAACAGATATTGCTCGAAGGCGATGGTGAAATCAAATCCCCCACGACAGTCTCGAATAACAGGCCCGAAGCTCTCGTCGGCGGTTGGCCAGCAGGCAGCAGAGGAGGTAATGTTGCTCATGGCGAGCTAAGCAGGAAGAAAGTATGAGTAGGACGTGGTGAGCCAAGCGACAGCGAAAGTGGGCTATTTGAAAGCTCGGGACTTGGTATCGAGTAGCCGCAGAATGCTCGCTGTTCAGGAAGCTTCAATTGCTTCAGTCCTCACCAAGGATAGAGCCACCAACTGTCCGCAGATGACGGTTTCAGGGGCTTGGCGCGAGGGATTCGTCTAATGGACGCGGTTGACAAGGACTGCATGGGATCTTGACCCGAATTGGAGCTTCGGTCCTCCAGATAAGGCCCAACCCATCCCACGCAAGGCAAGGATGTTTATCCATTTCTGCGCCTCGGCCCTGTGCTATGTGCATGGTCATGGTAAGGAGGTTAGAATGCTCTAGTCACCGGTCATCCGCGCTGAGTACATTGAAAATTTAAAGTGATGGATAAATATCTGAGATTGGCGGCCAGAAAGACGTGCATGAGGAGAGGGTATATGAAGGGTGGTGTTGAGCCCTCGAGTTCGTCTATACGTGTATAGGGCACCTCGGCCAGGGAGCCCTGGGACCCCGAGTGACGGGGAGCTGTGGGGAGCTCCTGTGGGCCCTGTGCATGGTTACAGCGGGGTCCAACAAGGTTAAAGTGAGAACCGACTTTAACAATCTTGCAGAAGCTTGCCGACCTCCGGCGCCGGCTGACCCGCTCATTTGCTATGGAGGAGATGGCTGACTACTTGGGCGTACCAAGACCGTCATCTCCCTCGAACGGAGGGAGACAGCTGTCGTCTGTCGCCTACCGACTGTCGCGTGCCTAGCGGTGAGACTAGTTGCATCTATTTCACCCCTATCCTCTCTCCCAAAGCTACCTCTTGTTCGGCCAAATACCCACGACACACCTGCATCCCGAGCCGACAATGCCTTCACTGCGGGTCAATTGGGGCAGGCTGACCCTGGGCCTCGTCCTATGTTTCGCCATAGCTCTCGTCCGAGCTGAGAGCGCCAAGGATGCGGTATTAGACGACGTGACGCTGGGGCCGCCTCTGAGCCTCGAAGAGATCGAGGACCAGCTCCAAGTATGTAACCCCTCTTAGCATGGTGAAGCTGGCAAACTGACAATCTACCCAGGAGTGCCCTATCGTGCACACCCTCACCGCCCAGAAGCTTGCCCGTCTTTCCGGCAAGACCTCCCAGGTCACCAAGCTTTTCTCTGTCCTCTTCCCCAGCAGCTCGCCCGCCATCAACGCCCTGCTGGCCACCCTCTACATTTCCGGACCGCCAAACTTCCTCCTCGCGCTATGCCCACCGAATATCGACCCCTCTTCCCTGTCCATCATGGTCGCCTTCGCCGTCGGCGGCCTGATGGGCGATACACTCTTTCACCTGCTCCCTGAGATATTCTTGGGTGAGGACGACCTCGAGAGAGCCCGCTTCGTCATGGTCGAGCCAAACCGGAACCTGCTGCTCGGCGTTGCCATCCTGGTCGGCTTCATGACTTTCGTAGCCATGGATAAGGGGCTTCGAATTGCGACTGGGGGCGGTGGCGGCCACGACCACGGCCATGGACACAGTCACTCGCATTCCCATGAACATGGTAATGATGTCGCGATGTCCACCGCCATTGACGGCGTTGATGCTACAGGCGTGAAATCCCGGAAGAAGACGAACGGCACCGCGAGCGAAAAGGAAGCAACCTCCGAGAAGGAGCTCAACCAGAGCGTCAAGCTCGGCGGCATCCTGAACATGATAGCCGACTTCACCCACAACATAACCGACGGCCTGGCCATGTCAGCCTCCTTCTACGCCTCCCCGACCGTCGGCGCAACCACCACGATGGCCGTGTTCTTCCACGAGATCCCCCACGAGGTCGGCGACTTTGCTCTCCTCGTGCAGTCAGGGTTCAGCAAGAAGGCCGCCATGGGCGCGCAATTCATCACCGCGGTCGGCGCCCTGCTGGGGACCTGCATCGGCATCGCCGTCCAGGAGCTGGGAGGTGGCTCCGGCGCGGCCGAGGCCCTGCCCCTCAACGGCGGCATCTGGGGCACCAGCCTGACATACGGCGACCTGCTGCTCCCCTTCACCGCCGGCACGTTCCTGTACGTGGGCACCGTGGCTGTCATCCCCGAGCTGCTGGAGACGGGCAAGAACAGGAAGGAGGAGCTGGTCAAGACGTTGAGCCAGTTTGCGGCTATTGCCTTGGGCGCGGGCATCATGCTTTGGATCTCGTGGCACGACTAGGGGGTTTGGTTCTCTTTTAGATCTTGGACGTGTCGGGATGCTGACTGATAGACGGACGGTAGAAGGCATTAGATGTATAGAAGGCTAAGATGAGGAGGCGGTCGAGGTAGCGCGATTTGCTGCCACAGTCAACAGCATTGTTCTGTTGCGCTCTTATACTGTGGTCGAAGAGAATGCCGTGGTGAATCTAATAGAAAAAGCCCATCTAAAGAAGACCTGTAATAGAGCGTGGCTTTTAGGAGGCAGTCCACATGAATTGACTTGCTACGCCGCTATTTTTGACCTACCTAGGCAGGTGGGTACGTAGTCTCCATGTACCTTAATCTCAAATCACTTCGGAATTGTGATATATGATAGACCAGGGCCATGAGTTTCGGGCCTGTTATGCAACTTCCTAACTCAGAGCCGCTCATTGCTGCGTTCGGCGCTACTCATCTGATGGCCACCCACATCCACCGATCACTTGGATTTGGACATAAATGGACCTTTCAGGAGTGGAAAGGGTGCGTGGCATGTTGGCAGTATGAACATGATCTATGAACACCATGGACTCATATATACCTAGGTGACTGCCATTCTCCAATGATCAGTTGAATGGACGTTTGCACTCATTTATACATATTTAATATTCACGCATGCTGTTTAGGTAGTACTGCAATTTGGCAGAGGCGGCTCATTGTACCGCGTTCGCGATTTTTACATTTTCCAAGGCGTTGCCGCCACCGAACCACCCAAAGGTGACGCCCAAAAACTGTTGGACACCACCAAAAGCGCTGGAGATGACGCAGTGCACAATTTCAAAAGACGATGGATCCACCTTCCACAAAATCACTGATCTTATAACGTGACGAAGAAACGAAAGAAGAAAAGCAGGAGATCTTTTGATTCACGCATCAACCTCACCGTTGATATCTTCAGATGATGCTACAAATCATGCAACAACAATTTGCAACGAGGCTGGCGTCACCCTGGTCTCTCGATGCGATGTCTTTTATCTTGCAAAGAGTACTTTCAACAAGACGACGAAGGATTTTGGGCTACTCTTGAGTGACGAACCTAAAGTGAGAATGTTCAAGACGAAGTCGGTCCATGGCCGTCTCTAAAAGAGCTGGGAAGTGCCGAGTCCCGCAATTGACCTCTTGGAGCAGGAGGATGGCGAGTGTCGGATTCAGGAAGACTTAATACAGAGTAGCCATATGAACGAATACAGGTCGTGTTTTGTATTTCAATTGCGACGAGGTAGATGAGTCGTAGGTCGCAACCAAGAGTCTCATTCTGCAGGTCGGCCATCTCAGACGCGACAGATGAATCCACTAGAGAAGATATGCTACTCAGTCCCAATAGGATGAAGAGAATGTGCCGTTGTTCTACGAGGTCTTGCTCCTGGGCGAATTTATGTGTTTTTTATCTCAATCATGTCGCCTTGAAGACGACAGACAAGATGATGTCTCGTACAGTGTTCTGAAAGACCAAATCAGTTCGGCCACTTCCAGCGCTCGCCGGTCCTGATCATGGCCGCAACGAAAACGAAACTCATGCTCCTAAGCATGAATGGCGTGCGAAAGCTATTCGCGAAGTATGTATGCCATTCAATGCCCTACCTAGATATTACTGGGATGGAAGACGGCTAGCCCCGTCCGGTCAGCCATGACTTGGTCACGATACCAACTACGATGCATGCGCAATTCTTTCGGGAAGGGCATCACGTCATATAACATCGCTACTCACACATTGGCCCCACAAGAGAACCCAGCCCGGGCGCGCCCTTGCGGCGACGAGTGCACGGGTGCACGGGACTTGTGGGCGGACGGCACCAGCTGGAGGAGCTCCTCCTTCGTCACTTGCGGTTTCCTGGTTCATGGTCCGGGGGATACCCGCGGAGATGCCCGCGGCGCTGGAGCGGATGACCTTGCTGAGTTGTCCAACAGGGCCCTCGTGGGAACGGTGTGGGTGCCCGTGGCCAGGGGAAGGGGTCGGTGTTTGTGTTGTGAGTCATATCTGTTTGTTTTACCCGCTCGCCCGCGACCTGGGACAGACCATTGACGGGGGTTTTCTTTTCCCGGAAGAGAATATGCATTTGCCTGGCCGATATTTGCAACAGGGTTCCGGTGTGATGATTTGGGTATGGAGGTAGAGCGAAGAAAGCGCGATGTGTTTTAGGTGTTCTGGTGGCACCAGTCAGAGGTGAAGATGCTGGTGAGCTGTCGAGGGCACAAGTGAGCACAGCACCGTAATTCACGCGAATAGAGACTCTATGATCTAAGTCTTATCAAACTACGAAAGCCCAGTAATATCAAGGTACTACCAGTCTATGTGGTATATGGAGGGAGTTCTGGACAAATGTTCCGGGCGGCATGCGTCAAATATGCTTCTAGGCTCCCAAAATTTGAGTTGTTGGTCAGGAATTCAACATTCGTGGGCATCATCATCATCATCAGAATGATTATCTTTAGAGTACTCGTCTATGCCGTATTGTGTCAATCCAATTCGTGAATCAAGTTCATAAATGGGGAATATGTTGGGCCGCCTCGTTGCGAGAAGTGTCCACATCTACTGCCGTCAAGCCCATTTTTCTTCTTGTGCCCTCCTTCACTCTCCTTTTTGTCACAGGTTGTTCTTTACTTTTGTTTCCCTTCCCTGGCTTCCTCTTCTGTAAAATTCTCCAAAAGATAGGAGCCATGTCGTGGACTCTGACAACACATTGAGCAAATCGGATTACTGCCGCCAAGTTGTCCAAGTTCTTGACAAATTGTAATGATCAATCACCAACCTTCAATTGCGTAATACTGTCATTTTCATCGAAATTGCACGAGGTGCTTCGAATGAAACTGAATCCATGGAGACCTAGTCCTAGATTGAAAACATTCATAACAGGTATACATCGTGAAGATCGTTGGACGGGACGGGATCTGAGGCTGGAACAAAGATGTCCCACACACAATGTAGTTTGTAATCCAGGAGACCATCCTTTGAGATAGTTTCACGGCAATTTACACTTGCAGCTCCCGCACTCCAAAGTTCAGCTTGAGGTTGGAGCACATTACCAACCCACGTGCGTTACTAGGCCAAGTCCAACGCAGAGGAGGAATGCAGGCATGTGGGCACCATCACGCGCTGGACACCTTTAGAGGTATAGCACAAACTCCAAAGGAAGAAGTGAAAATCTAAAAGATCCTGGCTGGATTTTGTGGGATTGGTCGGGAGGCGAGCACAGTATTCAAATATTCCAGCCCACGCTGTAGCATCTCCATAGAGTCATTCTTACCCCTTGTTAGCTTGGCGCGGCGGTGGTCCCAGCAACTCGGGAACCCCTAACGGGAGGAATAGCCGCATACGACAGCCCTGGTAGTTTTTTTTCTCTTTCTCCTGCTGATGACACTAGCCAATGTGCTCAAGTGCTTGGATCCATGCACCACCGGGTGAAACTTTCGCTGCCACGCTGCCATACCGCCTTAGGGCGAACTGCGGGCTGCTTGGAAGATCGACGTGCGATCGCAGATTGTTGCTGCTCAGTTGCGCATGCTGGGTGCTCGACACACTTGGGTCCTTGGATTCGGGCGCTGGCTTGCAGCTTGATCCTGGACTGTATAAGTGGGTGTCGTCCCACGATGTTGGCAGGTACACCTGGCACTTGCTCGCCTAGAGGCGGCCGCGGGCTGACACACTTAGTCATGGGCCAGCTGCAAGCGAGCAGACCCGGATTCATGAAGGATGGGATCTATCGAGATTTTCCATGGTGATACCGTGCCGCACGCACATGTGAAGACACGGGGAAAGTGGCCCTGGGCCGCACATTCGTAGGTGCTGCCGTACCGACTTTGTTCGGCTCTCGGGACTGCGATATCGGTAGCCGAACTCCGTGTCAATCCATTGCACTGGCACTTCATATTTTCTGTAGACAATGTAGACTACATAAGTATTGAGCAGGTGTTGAAGCTGGACACGAGCAAGCTCCTTGGCTCTGGTCCTTCAGCAGGTTGGCTTGTAGGTCTGGAACTGGATATCGCCGAGCAGTCAGGCGTTTGTTAGGTAAACTGTGGAGATACAATGTCAGAGTTGCCGTTTTGGTCATCCGCCATGAGACCTTGCGCGTGTAAGTTGAATCCGCACATGCAAGGTCCGTCACCGGCGGAACTAAGCGCCCAAAGATTGGTACTGTTATACAGTATTTGCTCCCGGCTGCGACTGTTTGAAATCGGTTGCTCACGTAACTCATTGATTATGCATGCAAGCGTCCTGCTGCCACACGCAATTGCGCAAGAACTAGCTCTGCTTCCCATTGTTTCCCAGGTTTGATGGAAGACGATGCAATTTCTGTTGGTAATTGCACCACCAAGCCAGGTCATGTCGAGCCAAAGGATCAATGGGGACCTGGCTGACTGGCACCACAAGACGCCATGTTGTATCATCCCATCGCCAATGTTGCGCCAACCGCCTACGTCTCCTCTGTCGACACGTGCCCCGTGCCGCGGGTCGGTCAGGGCAGCCCAGCTGGGACTCGCTGCAAGTTGAGCTGTCCTCCCTTCTTGTCAGACTGAAAGGCCTAGACTTGTCCTCCTGAGCATGGCTGGCATGGGCGAACTGGGGCGTCGATCCCTGCCTGTCCAGTTTTCCCATGTTGGGGTTTATGATCCACCGTCCGGAGATCCACTGGCGCAAGTGCAGGGATTGCTTTGTGAATTGGAGGAACGAGAACCTTGGTCTTGACCGTGCACGCCTTTCGACGAACGGCAGGGCGTCAACCTCTTTTTTTTTTGTGTCCTTGGGGCCCTGCAGATATCCGCATGCGATAAGCAGCACAGCTATCAAAGTAGATGATGAGCTCAACAGAGATTATCTATGATGCCTCACAAATTGGTTTCAGAAGAGACGGATCTGGATCTGATCTGGATCTGGATCTGGTAGGTCTAGATATCCGTACTCGCCGCTCATGCTCACAGTCTCACCCGGCCCGGGGTCATCACCTTGGCCACATGCTGCAGACGAATGAGACGCCTTGTCAGTCCATATTCGGGTCGGCAGACGCCCTTCAATCCACAACAAGTGATCGATCCTCCCACACCATCTTCTGGACATGGTGCCGCGCCAGTGGTTCGACCAGCGGGCTGAACTAATAAATAAGCTACCAACGCCCTCCACACAACATGCTCCCCCAGACTGTGCGGAGTGGACCACCGGTGTTTGCTCCAGGTCAGGGCTGCCCAATCTGCCCCTCCGTCTCGCGTCCCCTTACCGTTAGGGATATCGGACACTTATCCTACGTCGGAATGACTCAGATATTCTGAACTTTCTTTCATTTCCAATCCAGTCAAGAATCGTCACCATATGTCAGCTCCTTCTGCTCTCCCTTGTTTCATGCGCAATTGCGTTCGAACCTCCTGCACCCGGCCCGTTGTATAAAGCTCAGCGTCAGCCGTTGTCACCGTTTGAAGATGCTGTCCCGGCCATTGGCAGCATCTCAGACAGGGTTTCCAAGAGACCATTTCTTTTATACGCAGTATATTGAATGATCCCAGACACCCTATCAAATCAAGTTGTCTCCTGAGGCCTACATGACCTCTGATTGACAAGATAAGCCTACTGCTGTGCGACGTTTCTACGTTGGCTCAGTAATCATTCATCCCCACAGGCGTCCATACTGTCCCGTCACACCTCTCTCCCCCCGCGGATGTCCATTGATAAGATCTTCCTTTCCACCAACATGCCTGCGAGAACAAGCATGTCGACCAGCTCGAGCGAGGCCAGCTCCACGCTGTCGGCCCACGCCAGGAAGCTGGGATTTCCCAAGTCCGACATCCAGATCAACCTGAAGAACCACTTCAAGACCAAGACGTACACCTCGTCTTCTGTCGTTTCTGGAGATGTCACCATCACCACCCAGAGGGACGTGCGGTTCGATAGCGTCGAGATTATCATGGTCGGCTCTGCCAAGACGAAGACAGATGGCTACAGTGCCCCCCACGAATCTACTTACACTTTCCTGAAGCTGGTCATGCCCATTTCAGAGTCTGTTTATCCCGTCCCGCGAGTCCTCGAGAGCTCGAGGACATTGAGCGTCCCATTCCACTTCGTGCTGCCCAACTTCCTCACCATCGGCGCCTGCACGCACAAGGTCGAGTCTGAGCACGTCAAGCGCCAGCACCTGTGTCTGCCACCTTCGATGGGCTCCTGGGCCAGGGGAAACTGGGAGAAGGACGACCTGTCTCCGCAGATGGCCGACATAGAGTACACCATCAGAGCTCGGGTCTGGAAACAGCCGGAGCTGCAGGCACGCCCAACCAAGATCATGGAAACCATCAAGTCGATCCAGGTCCTCCCCACCTTCCCCGAGGACGCCCCGCTTAGCATCAGCAAGAGTGACCGGCTGTACTGCATGACCAAGACGAAAGCAATACGCAAGAATCTGCTGTCCGCAAAGCTGGGCAAGTTTACCGCCTCGGCGGAGCAGCCCAGGGCCATCATGCTCCGGCCCGACGGGCAGGTCTCGACCGGCACGGCCGCCCAGATCGACCTGAGGTTCGAGCCCGTGTCCGCAGACACCCCGCCGCCGAAGATCACAGGCATCTCGTCCAAGATCACCGCCCACACCTACTTCTCAGCAGGCCCCATCGGCTGCCCGCCGAACATGGGCGACTTCAACAAGGCCGGCGTCTCGGACCGGCGCGGCGTCTACTCCACATCCGTCAACCTCCCCGCCACCACCCCGCTCGAGAAGCCGACCTGGCTCACGTACCAGGCCCGCCGCGACTCGGGCTACTTCACCGACACGGCGCCGGAGAACACGGCATCGGAGGACGACGCGGACGAGGAGGAGCGCCAGCGCCAGCAGCAGCGGCCGCGGCGCAAGTCCATCACGATCGCGAACCTCGTGCGGCCCTCGAAACAGCAGCAGGCGTCCTCGCCCCCGCGGCGGCCGCGCAGCTCCCCCGTGTACCACACCACCGCCATGCACGTGCCGGTGGCGCGCCTGCCGACGGGCAAGAAGTTCTTCGTGCCGACGTTCCACTCGTGCATCGCGTCGCGCGTCTACACGCTGCACGTGTCGCTGCAGGTGGCGGCGAGCGCGGGCGGCAGCACCACCGTGTCGCTGGACCTGCCTCTGCAGGTCGGAGTCGAGCCCGAAAGGGCGATGGGCCCGGGAGGGGCGATTGAGGGCGAGGCGCTCCCCAGCTTCGAGGACGCGGTCGAGGAGGCGGCTGTGGATGAGTTCTTCCGGCCGCGGGTGCTGAGCGTGCCTGAGATTGCGTTCCAGGAGACGAGCGTGCTGCCCGGGTATGGGGCTAGGTGATGGGCCGAAGATCGGATTGGGTCTTTGCCATTTTCATTCCCTTTTTTCCCTACGGAATTTGGAGGTTTTGGAGAGACGATTGCACCAGATTGCTCCTTTGGACTCGGTTTTTGCACTTTTTGATACCCTCGTGCTCGGGTGTGTTGGCCCCACGGAATGGATCCGGTGGCTGCCGGACAGAAAGAAGCCTGGCGTTTGTGTTTCCTTGCCTGGGTATTGTGTGATGCAGTGCGATGCTTTGGTCTTTGGGCATCCTCTTTCGGGCAAAATATAGGATGCAATGTGTACCTTGGGTAATCGAAAAGATATCATACCTTTTAATTTTAAAACGAGTGCGCAGCAATGTGCCAATCGCGATGACTACACAACCATGAGAATAGTAGCCTTGTTACGATTTTCGGATTATCATCATCACGATCGGAGAAGGGAGACTCGCACATGCTTGACAACCAACATGGGGAGTTTCTGAGACCAACCATTACGTATGGCGTATGCTGTCAGACAGGACTCTCCTCAGAATAAGTGGGCACACTTGTGCTGTGCAGCACAACTCGGTGATCATTCTGTAGGCCAGTAGACCGGCATGCATGCGTGCTGTCGTCACTTGGTGCTACAGTCCGTGAATGAGTGCGCGGCTCTAGAAAACCGTCTTCAGCTGTGGAGAGAGTGAGAAACGGGAGGCGTCATGCAAAGAAGACACTATTCGCAATCCGAACCCCAGAATTTTTGAGGCGGTGCTGGCTACTTGTGCAAAATGAGACTCATGCTAAAAGTAAAAGCATGGGTCAACCCGCGAGATCTCTCCACTGATATCCGGGGTTCCGGATCTCTTGGGTCTTGGCTCGCGGGTTGTGGGCTGGCCGATTGACTGATGTACTGTTCATCCTTGGGCTGATCGGTGATCTTCCATCTCTACCGTGGAGTAGTGGGAAGTCGATGGTGGTTGTCGAGTATCGCATCAGTCAATGGCCTCCAGTCTGGTTGGAAATCACCAGACCTTGCCTTTCAGGTCTTCCAGTAGGGCTGGACGGTGGACAGATGTTCACGTCGACAGTGAGATCTACACGGCACTTGGTCGGCAGTGGGATCTCGACAGTGGGGACCCGTCGTTGAAACACCTCCTACGATATTTTCTGCAGTGGGACATCATCTCGAAGACTATTGTGCCTTGGCACTTGCGCACAGTATGCGGTCTGGTTGCGCACGACACGCTTGTTGGAGGCTGTTGGGAAACAGGAGAATTTCTTGAGGGACAAAACAAGCGCGTCCTAGCAACAAGACCAGTTCTCGGGCCGCAGATGCTGTGTCCGTGTGTACTGCATAGGCAGTCCAATCCGTATACTAGCAGACCAATGAGGGACGCTTCAAACCGGACAGAGGACACGCAATCCTGGGTGTCCGAGCCACGCCACTTACTCGTGGCTTGTTATGCTGGAGTTGCTAAATGCTTCTTCTGCTGACGAAAATGACGACGGCGACGATTTTCAGGAGGTGCCACAGGTCTCAGAGCGTCTAGTCATTCGCCTCGGCTCTGCAGGGTCACTTCTTTGCTTCTCCGCTGCTGTGATCCCGTCTGCTAGGACATGGACGCAAGAGGAGAAGGGCCAAAGAAAAAGAAAAGGGGGGCCAGGGAGGGAGTGAGATGAGAAATGAGTGTGGGGGAGGCGGGCGGGTCTGGCTCAATGTCACAGTGCTGCAGGTTGCCAACGGAGTCGGGGTCACTTTGCAGGGAGTCTTGGGTGGGCTATCATATTCCATCTGTCATATGAGAGTGTTTGATGTCGATCTCTCTCTTTGCTGGGTCCTCTTCTCTAGAGCGTGCTATATGCCGTGGGTGGGAGGGCGTCAAAGTTGTTGAGACGACGGACAAAGACCAGATCGATTAGATAGTCTAGTACGGCATAGCAGACGAGGTTGAGATGGAGAACTGGCGAATGGGTGGGTGTGTTAATAAGGTTGAGTCCGCTGCGACGTCCACATAATGCGACCATGCACACTTGCAGTCTGCAGCAGTCTGCAGCAAGATGCAGCGCAGGTGCAGAGACGACCCGCTCTTATCGACTTATACGACCTGGCTCGCTCCAATCAGGGGCCCATGGGCCGGGATCTCAGGCCTGAGGAGCTGGGGAGGGGTTGGTAGACAGGTAGACCAGCAGACCAGCAGACCCAGACTTGGATGCTTGCAGGCCTGCATCTCGAATGTTTGTCGGCGGGCGGTCGGTCGCCGTCCACCCCCATGTTGCTGTCTGACTGTCCTTCCTTGGCATCGCTTGGGAAGATACCACGATTAAGGGGAGTCTGGCCAGTGGATTTGATTCATGGGTTGATTGATTGACTGGTTGATTACCTGCTTGATAGACAGATTTGCTGGCTTGATTGCCCAATCTTCTCCCCTTCTTCTTCTGCCTCCTCCTCTCCTCCACCCAGCAAACCCAATTGCCCCATTTGCTGTCCGCAACAGCAACAGCCCACCTTTGTCCGGAACCCAGGAACCCAGAAACCCAGTCAATAAACCTCATCTGACGTCTTCAGTCAGATTTTAAAGTCTTCTTCACTGACAGACTTCGGACTCAGCACCAGCAACACCGCCAGCATCCGCATCAGATCAGCATCAGCATCCGCATCAGCATCAGCGGCAACTGACCCAATAACGCAGCCTTGAGCCACATATTGCCCCGGACCTCTGGTCCAATTACACTCGTTCACAACCACCACTTCTCGCTGCAAACGTCTGCCTGCTTGGGTCACGGCCGTCCCACCTGGTCGCGGAGACAGCAGCACACCACCGCTGCCGGACACGCCTTCCTGCCTGCACCTATCTCCGGGCTGTCGTCACCACCACCACCACCACAAGTCTTGCCAGTCCCACGGCCTTATTCCCGACCTCGCCTGCCGTGCAATTCCCCCACTGTCGAGTCAATGCGCATCGCGGAGTAATTCCCGGCCGAATCGATATCTCAACCCGTCTGTGTGTGCCTTGGCTTGCGACTTGCGCCAGTGGTTTTGCTGTGTTGAACTCGCTCGAGACAGACTCAAACCTGCAATTCCTCCCGCTCTGAGACACGCCACTTGCCATTGCTTACCGCCCCACCCTCGCGCCGTCTTCTCGTCCAAGGCTTTGCGTTAGCATAGCTTCAGACCCGGACCACATCGCAGAGAAGACGCACAGCTACAATGGCAACGACAGCGAGATCAGGGTTGCTCAGAGTGCTCCTCTGGACCTTGCTCTGGTGTCAAATCGATGCCTTCTATATTCCCGGTGCGTTGCCCAGTACTAACTGCTGCGCCTGTCTCGCCATAGTCCCTTTCTGCTGACATTCCGCTGTTCCCAACAGGCTGGTCCATAAAATCATACAGCCAAAATGAGAATATTCCCTTAATGGTCAACAAAGCATACTCAGACAACACTCAATTGCAATATGCCTACTACGACCTCCCCTTCGTCTGCCCTCCTACCGGTCACCACCGCCCGGGCGCGGGGCTGCTCAGTGGCCAGAGCATCTCCCTGAACCTGGGAGAGGTCCTGCGCGGCGACCGAATCGTCATTTCCGACCTCGAGTTGTCAATGATGAAGGACAATGAGTGCAACATGCTGTGCAACAGGGAGGTTACCAGACGAGACGTCAAGTGGGCGAGAGAGCTTGTCCGCGACGGCTATGTGGTCGAATGGATCGTGGACAACCTTCCGGGGGCAACGAGCTTCGTGACCGTCGACAAGACGCGTAAATACTACGCCGCTGGATTCAAGCTGGGGTTCACAGACACATCTTCCGGCAGGCCTCGCTACTTCCTAAACAACCATCATACCATCGTTGTTCGCTATCGCAACGCGCCTGGAAAGGCCGGCGAGAGGGGAGAGAAGGTCATTGTGGGCTTCGAGGTCTACCCCAAGAGCATCGGGTCTGCCAACAGGAGGAACAAGGACGGGTGCCCCGCCGATCTGCAGAACATTGAGCAAAGCTTCGAGCTGTACATGGCCCCCAACAAAACAGTGTCCGACGCTGCCAACGAGCTCTACTCGCAGTCATCGTATCAGCCCGAGATCGAGGACCTTGACGACGACGCGAGGATGACTATCCCCTACACGTACTCGGTCTATTTTCGCGAGGATAACACGGTCGAGTGGAAGACGCGCTGGGATCTCTACTTTGTCAACCAAGAGGAGGGCTCCCGGATCCACTGGCTGGCCATCGTCAACTCCTTCATCATCTGCGGTCTGCTCACTGGCATCGTGTTGATTATCATGGCCAAAACGATTAGGACCGAGATCAAGGGCTACAAGGACGCTCGTGCTGAAGAGGGCAAGCTCAAGCTCAAAAGAGGCAGCGGCCCGCGAACGCCAAGGTTGTCTGAGAAGAAGGCGCTCGGCTTGCTCGACCAGGACGGCGACGACAACGATGCCGATGTTTCTTCCGAAGATGAAGCTCTTGAGGACGTCACGGGCTGGAAATTGCTACACGCTGATGTCTTCCGGGCGCCACAATATGGCTGGATTCTTGCTCCCATGGTCGGATCTGGCGTCCAACTTCTTTTCATGGCTGTGGGACTTGTACTGCTGAGTGCGCTGGGCATTCTGAACCCCAGCCTCCGGGGCGGATTCATCAGCTTTGGCGTCGGCCTGTTTGTCTTTGCCGGTCTGTTCTCTGGCTATTATTCGGCTCGGGTGTACAAGACCTTCGATGGGCAAGATTTCCTGCGCAATTCGATGGTGACGGCACTGCTCTTCCCCGGCCTGGCTTTCGGTCTCATCTTCATCCTGAATCTGTTTGTTTGGGCTCAGGCCTCAAGCACTGCCATTCCATTCGGAACCTTGGTCGCCCTGTTGCTCCTGTGGCTGTTCATCCAGCTTCCCCTCGTCTACGTCGGCTCGCGATATGGCTACAACCGCGGCGGAGCGTGGGAGCATCCTACGAAGACGAGCCTCATTCCCCGACAAATACCTCGACAAGCATGGTACATCAAGCGCACGCGGTCGATTTTGCTTGCAGGCCTCATCCCCTTCGCTGTCATCTTCATCGAGCTGCTGTTCGTCTTCCAATCTGTCTGGCAGGATAAGTCCGGCTACTACTATGTCTTCGGCTTCCTCTCCGTTGTCTCGCTTATCCTCATCGTAACGGTCGCTGAGACCACCGTTGTGACCGTCTACGTGCAGCTGTGCAGCGAGAATTACAACTGGTGGTGGCAGTCGTTCCTCGTAGGTGGAGCGAGCTCGGTGTGGGTGTTTGTGTACTGTATCTGGTACTATTTCATGAAGCTGCACATCACAGGATTCGTGAGCTCGATGCTGTTCTTTACCTACAGCTTTATGGCTTGCTTGGTGTACGGGCTCCTCACGGGCACGGTTGGCTTCCTGAGCGCCTACGCTTTTGTGAGGAGGATATATGGGTGAGTGTGCTCGATATATGTGGTTTCTGGGTTGTTGACTAACTGTTCCACAGTGCGATCAAAGCCGATTGAGCGGGCAGAGATGTGTATTGCTTTAGCGACCTCCTAACCTATGAGAGACGCGCGACACGAGCATCGTGAAGAATTGAGACTATTGATAATGAGTGCGCTTGACTGCATCAGACCTGGCGTTCACACTGCAGGATTCTTCCTTTGGCGCGAAATGAATCCGAAGCTGGCGTTTTCTATTATTATTTTTTGGAGGGCTTTTCGGATGATAGCCTGGGCTGACAGATGGGGGCTGCTTTGCTCCCAATTGGCGACTATCGACGACATGTGGTAGTAGTTTCGAGGAGGTCCGGTGGTAGGTATGATGCGCGAAGGCGTTTTCAATGGGACAGGGAATTGGAGCCGGGAAGGCACTTTCTTGGGTTGGGTTTTCAAGGGCGAGCGAGGGTTGCGAATATTTGTCTAGACTTTCTTATCGATGCTCGGGGTCGGGTTACGATGTATAAAGTTGGAATACCTCTTACATACTTTCTAGTCTCTAATGACTGTTATCACCTCATGACCTCGGCTGTCTATATATGTGGGTGAGCGTGTTGTGACGAATAGGAGGTCAGGCTTGAGAATTGTGTCCAAAGAGATGTAAGCTTTGTCTTTTAATAATCTGCTGGTGAATCTCTGTATGGTCAGTTACCCTTACATTGCATAGTCAAACGACTAAGCCTGTTGTTGATAGGCCTTCAGAAATAGATCATAAGCTCTAGAGTGCGGCAGTCCAATCTGAGTCCGCATATATAGCTTATAACACATCCAATTGCACTTGATTTTCTGGCTTTCTGATACTTATCCTCCTTATGTCATCGAAACGAGAGTCGGTTGATTATGTGTTCGATTCGCGAGGACTTTATTTATGCAGTATAAATATATAGGCTCTATTGAACTATTAACCGCTTACATAGTTCTACGCGTGTATGGCGCGCTGCGGCTCCAGAAACCCCCCACGACGGATCCGGCACCGGAAGCCGGGGCGACGGCAGGTGGGCCCATCGAGTCAAACCTTCTCGGTCTGGCTCTAACAGGGACGTCGTGCTTGCGCTAGTGTTCTCACTTTACTTGCCGAATCAGGGCAAGGGATGGACGAGGCGGTCGTGAGTTGCATTTTCATGCTCCATTGCGCACGACAATACTCAACCAACTGGTATCTTGAGTCTGCACTCTTAAAGGTTTGTGTTCGCTTCAGATCGCCGGCAGTCACCGTCTGCTACACTTGTACTTGTGTGCCAACAGCAGGAATCGCCGGGTGTCGGTCTGAGTATCTGCAGAAGTGTCACCGACCGATACTCTCGAAGCCAGCAGAAGTTCTGAGCCTCAATTAGAATACAGACTCGACACACTTTACATAGTCAGAGCATTCCTAGTCCTATTTACCATCAGCGACAAAGATGGACAGCCGGGAGTTCAAGGACGCCGCAAAGGCGTCAATCGACCACAGTGAGTTGCCGAACTCGAAGACGTCACCGCCTCTTTGCTTGGGATACGGAGACTAACACCAGCCACAGTTGTCGACTACTATGAGAACATCACAGACCACAGCGTCGTCTCGCAGGTCGAGCCTGGCTACCTGCGCAAGATGCTGCCCGAGTCGCCGCCGCAAGAGGGCGAGGCTTGGGATGTGATCCGCAAGGACCTCGACAGCAAGATCGTGCCGGGCCTGACGCACTGGCAGTCGCCCAACTTCTTCGCCTTCTTCCCCTGCCCGGCCTCGTACCCCTCGCTGCTGGGCGAGCTGTACTCGGCCGCCTTCACCGGCGCCTGCTTCAACTGGATCTGCTCGCCCGCCGTCACCGAGCTCGAGACCATCGTGCTCGACTGGGTCGCTCAGATCATCGGCCTCCCGCCCGCATACCACTCGACCGGCCCCACCCGCGGCGGCGGCGTCATTCAGGGCTCCGCCAGCGAGGCCGTCCTGACCATGATGGTCGCCGCCCGCGAAAAGTACCTGCGCGACACCCTGCCCACCCCCGGATCCGTCTCCGAGGAGGAGCTCGAGGACCTCGACATGCGGAAGCGCAACAGGCTGGTGGCTCTGGGCAGCGCCGCCGCCCACTCATCCACCAAGAAGGCCGCCAAGATCCTGGGTGTGCGGTATGCCGCCGTGCCCGTGTCGGCCGAGACTAATTTCGCCATGACGGGCGAGGCCCTTAGGACCACCCTTGAGGGGCTCAGGGCCAAGGGACTGGAGCCCTTCTTCCTAACCGCCACGCTCGGCACGACGGACACGTGCGCCGTGGACGACTTTGGCGCCATCGCGGACGTCCTGGCCAAGTTCAGTGGGTCAACCACCAACGGCACAACCACCAACGGCACGACCACCAACGGCGAGGGTGGAATCCCGCCCGCGAGGAAGGGCGAGGTCTGGGTGCACATCGACGCGGCGTACGCGGGGTCGGCGCTGGTGACACCCGAGGCGCAGGAGGCGGTGGGCGTGCAGCACCTGGCGCACTTCCACTCGTTCAACTTCAACATGCACAAGTGGCTGCTGACCAACTTCGACGCGTCGTGCGTCTTCGTGGGCAACCGCGCGTGGCTCGAGGAGGCGCTCAGCTCGGAGCTGCACGTCTACCGCAACACGTACAGCGACGGCGGCCTGGTGACCGACTACCGCAACTGGCAGATCCCGCTGGGCCGGCGCTTCCGCTCCCTCAAGGTCTGGTTCGTGCTCCGCAACTACGGCGTCGCCGGCCTCCAGCGCTACATCCGCCGCGGCGTCGCCCAGGGCGAGCTGTTCGCCGGTTGGCTGCGGGAGCGGGCCGACCTTTTTGAGATCCTGACCGGCCCCGCGTTCGCGCTGACTGTGTTCCGGCTCGCGCCGCGAGGGGTGGATAGCGACGAGCGCAGGAGCGAGCTCACCCGCGCGCTGTACGAGGAGGTCAACAGGTCCGGCAAGCTGTGGGTGACGAGCACGGTGCTTGACGGGAAATTCGCCATCAGGGTGATGACGGGCAATATCACGACTGAGGAGCAGCATGTCAAGGCGGCGTTTGAGCTGATTCTTGCTACTGCTGAGAGGGTTGTGAAGGGAAATTAGACGGGGCGGTGTTGGGAGATATTAGATGTCTTGGACTTTTTGGGCACATTTTGAATAGGCTTTAAGATTCAGCTGGTATGTATGCGGTGCTGGTCTCTTAGATGCGAATGCTCACCTTGATGTAAATGTGGGTTGCTCGAGCATGATGAAGCAAGCGAGGATTATCTTAATTCCATATTCGAAACTGCGCACCAATGCCTCACCGCACCCCAGAGATGTGATTGTCTCATGAGACAGAACTTCATATAAGGTTCGGCTGCGTTGTTTGTCTGTCGCGGACTTCTTATTTCACGATCTTGATTTCGGTTGCACCCTTCCAATGCTTAGCACTCCGTATGTGCAAAGGTCGAGTGCGTTCATGGTTGAGAACTCAAACACTCGGTCAAGGAGCGCCGCGTAGGGATCAAGTATATAGACCGGGCAGTGGATCTGAAATAGGGCGATGTTGGTTTGCTCAACAATGTGCAAAGTCCATATTCTGTATATATTGAGGATTGGAACTAAGGTTGGCATTTTACAGTTTGCAAGAAAGCGCCCTTTCAAGTCCCTTTGCCATATGAACATGGTCTATCCCCACGAGGACTCTCTCTCTCTCTCTTTACACGTCAGTACTTTGATGATGATGTGCTTGTACCTTCCGGCTAGATATTGCTAGCTGACTCCAGGGGAGAAAATTGAGATTCTGAAAGATTTGCCCAGATTACTATTTGGATTACATTTCGCTTCCTCGCCAAATTTTCGATTATGTTGAGCAAATTCAGGACTAGCGTGACAATCAGCCGAGGCTGTAGGTCGAGCAGTTATTTAGATAAGCCAAGTCTGTCAGCCCTGAAGACAACGTTGAGGCACATCGAGATCAGTAGGGAATCAGGGATTGAGGCTGTATGCCTTTAGGGGCAAGTTTGGGAAATCGTAGACCAATGTCGGCTAACAGTGTGGTTGCACAACAGGGGCTATCGACGCTTGTGGCATGGCCAAGTCAAAGAGAGCTGCTGACTGCAAGTAGTACGATGCATAATTCTGCACCCGATGCTGAACCCGTCGCGAGTGACGCCCGCAAAGTCTGGAACTCGTCATCCAAAACACAAGATAAGCTCTTCTGCTATACACAGGCCATATTGTATGAGGTGAGCAAGCACGTTAACTAAAAGGGTCTCACTGGTCTAGGGGCAAGTACTGCCTTAATCTGTGAAAGAATTTATCGTGGCCCATCAGGCTACTGATTGCGCTCATATATCGGTTGGTACAATTAGGCAGCAGCATCGCATGACACCACATTGGCAGCCTCAAAAGAAAGTCTCCTGCAGAAGCACTTGACCCTGGGATAGCAGATATTGGATTCGTCCCGTCTAAATGTCCTCCGCTTTCAAAGTTTTACCGCTGCAGATTTGAATGGTTTTTATAGCCGGATATCACCTCAATCTGAAGTGGTCGAAAGACACTATGCCATACTCATCTCCATTCTTTGAATGGGCTGAGAGATATACGGGCCATCCTATCCCGCCCCCATCAGAAAGGCTATTCCATGAACCAATTCGCTATCTACATCGAACTCTCTGGAGATTCATCCTTGGAGTTATCATTATCTTGATTACTATGTTGAAGAATGCAGACATTGTAACGATCGTATTGTACGTCGTTTTAGGGTCACGTCCCTCACGGATAGTCTTAGCCCGCGATGAGCCAGATGCTCTGGATTTCTTTTGGAAATTGAATCTAGACTTATCACTACGGATGATAGCGATCATCTGTGGACGGGGGTCCGATCAGGCAGCTGGGCAGCAAGCAGTATCTCGAAGACCTCAGCCTCCAGAGCCCCAAATTCCAGGTACTCTGCCAAGCTCCTTCAATACCCATGGACTGACCATCACCGCACCATCACCATTTACTCATGCTTTCCAAACGTTTACGGACAGGTACAGAGTGACGGCTACCCGCCGAAAAATGATGTGGCATATGTTTTGGAATTGGTACTTTGTGTTCGGAGACGACCATCACTTCCAACAAGATGCCCTCGAGGCCTGGCAACGACACCTCAAAGATGAAGACGGGAACCTACGGACATTTGAAATCTGCATTGACAATGGGGTTAGGATGGAAGTCCCATGTCCTCAAACCCTCGACGATAAGAACTTTCTCGCGCACCTGAATTATTTCTACAGTTTTGCTAAGGCTCATATCAATACCACTGGGCTCAGTGTTCGCTCACTCGGAAGAGTCGAAATATCAGAGGCAAGTGCTCCATTTTTTAGCATCAGATGATGCTCTGGACCTTCACTTACAGCGAGAAGATATTAGAAGGCAACGTCGTCGGCAAGCGTGTCTCGGTGATGGACCTGGGCCGTACCGAGGGGAATCGTAATGTGCATCTGCTGTTTAACCACGACCACCTGGAAGGCAACTCCAGGACACAAGACCTGGTCGAAAGAGGAGTAATTACTGAACAGGGAACTGCCAAGCTGTGCTGCTTGAACTTCGTTAGCGTCTGGGGCAGCGCAGCTGCGGGCTCTATCGTGACGGTGCCGGTTCTTTTAGGATTCCTGTGCTGCGTTATCTGGCCGATCGTGGCTGTTCGCGTCTATGATGCAGATATTCAAACGAGCGTCCAAACAGGATTCACTGTAGGGAGCTTTATTGTTACAGCAAGTGAGTGGCTTCATACTATTCTCTGGTGCCTTCATCCTCTTGCCCCCCCCCCCCCGAGCCATTACTATTTTGTGGACGAGATACTAATTCTCTGCCTCAGGTGCGCTATTGATTGCCTTGGTAACATTCTTGGATGCAGTGGGTAGTAAAACAGGTGACGAGTGAGCTTCCAAATGTCTTCCCCAGGCTGGACAGGAGAACAGTGACTGTGAGCTGCGACTTCAGCGCCGGCGTGGTCAGTGGGTTCGTCAAAAATAACTTTCTCATGGTGTCATGGATGTTTTGGAATTTTTAAGGGAATCTCCAGAGTCAGTGTTGTAAGGTGCCTGGCTCATGGTTGGGTAATTGACAACCAGAGCCCTACTTCTGTGACGGTACAGCCATATAGGATTACATTGCATTGCAGAGGGCGTTCTGGAATTCTGACTTCTGAAGAGGAAATAGTCTGCAGCCATAATGTGAATGCCACAACATTGTCTCATCACTATATATTCAACGATATAATAGACTTGTGTATTAACTATTTAGAAATTCGTGATCCAGATATAAAAATCACGAAATTTTGGGCTTGAATGATATTTTGGGCTTGAATGATTTATGTGAAATATCTTTATTTAGAGCTGATGATTTGTATCTACACCTGATTCTGAACATCAAAAGCAAGTCTGAGGCTACGATTTGTAAAGCCAGGGTCGTCTCTATCAAGACCTGGCGCGAGCCCTTGTGAGCCAATGTCGCAAAAACGCCCTTTCAGATTTTTTGTTGGCCCCTCTGCCTCACGAATGTGTCTCATACCTGTCCTACTCGATCCACGACCACTAGATAGTCTGAACGCCATTTGATGCTTCCAACAAAGCCATAAAATGACCAATATCTGTAACTGTCAGCGAGTACCATCTCGCGCGGCCGCCAATTTCTAAGTGCTTACCGGTCTGTACCCGAGATTCACATGCTTCTCGCCACTAATGGGGGCAGTCTCCACACTTCTCCTTGCGGCAGTTGTCGACGACAGACTGCGGTTGGCTCGTGTTGGTATCGAAGCACCAGTTGAGGCAGTTGCCAAAAGCAGACCCGCCCTGGCTGATGAAGAGATCGTCACACTGTGCGTGGGCGAGGACGGCCGCCTGGACAGTCAGAACAATATATGTAAGACGCATGTTGGCTTTTGTTGATTAGGGTATTCTTAATATTATAAAGAGAAGATAAATCGTACGAGCTTCTTAACCAGCTGCCGGTGGAAGCCCGTCGTCTTATATGTATATGTATGTACGCTTTGCAATGAAACACAGCCGTGTGGGAACACGGGCCTTGCTTGTTTGCTGTACGATTCACCTCCCCCACCCAGGCTGATTCAGGCCCAAGGGGGTCGAATCAACACGATGGTCATAAATCCACTATGGAACCAGCATTTTAAGTGCGAGTCATTTTTGCTGAGATCTATGGGATTCATCGTACTGGAATAAGGGACCATAATGTGCTATTATAATACATAAAACAGATGCCCCGAGTCAGCGGTGCAAGTTGACTGGCTCGTGGTTCTGTTATGTTTAATCAGATGCCTAGTCCCGCGGCTCATGCCGAGATGCTAGAATATGTTCTACCATCCTTGACCAGATGGGGAATTTAGGCCGATGCTGTTCGTCATTGAAGGTGTGATGACATTGTATACCAACTAGCGATACAAACTGATGCCTCACCAATCACTAGAGTGCCTCCTCATCCTGGGCCGGCCCCTACGCTCTTCAACTGCCCTTCTGCCCCGTTCATAATCATAATAATCATCACCACCGTCTCTCCCACGACGACGATACCTGTCCTCATCATAGTCGGCCGGGTCATACACGCTCCCCCTCCGGCGGTCCCTCTCCCGCTCCCGATCGCGATCCCACGGCCCGCCCTCGCCCTTCTCAAGGCGGTCCGCCCGGCTCAAGCCCCCATCCCGATCCTTCTCCCTTCTCCCCCTATCACTGCCCCCTCTCCTCGAGTCCTCACCACCGTCCTCCCCCTCCCAGCTATCCCGCTCGTCATACTCGCCCCGGCCCCCGTGCCGGCGGTGCGACCGCGACCGCAGCTCCTCGCGCCGCCGCTGCCTCCTGCGCCTCCGCGCCTCCTCTCCGTCATTGTCGTCGCCGCCGCCCTTCTGCTCCCCGTCGGTCTTCATGTTCTCGTACTTTTCCACGTCCTTCGTGACGTCGTACGCCAGCGTCAGCCCCAGCAGCCCAAGCACCACCGGCGGCACCCAGCCGTACCCGTGCTCCTTCTCCAGCTGCTTGCGCCGCGCGCGCATCTCCGGATGGGCCTTCGACGGCCGCGGGTCCGGCGGGAGCAAGTCTTTTGCTTTGACCATCTTCTTTGGGAGTTTGGCCTGGTGGCTGTTTCGGGGTTTCTCTCTCTTCCTTTCTTCCTTCCTCTTTCTCCCTGCTGGCCCTCTTCGTTTTGTGAGGTTAAAGTAGATATAGACGCCGCTTAGTTCAAGGTGAGCGGGCAGGTGAGTGGAGTCGCTGTGGCTGTGGAATTTCGGTGAGGAAACGTGCTCAGACGTGCTTAGGCCTTGACGTGGTGTGGCGAATGAAGTAAACTCGCTCAACACAGAGTATTACTAAAAGTGGAAATGAAATGTTTTTTTCGAGTTCGTGGAATGGAACTTGTTGATTTATATGGATCAATCCAAATTCCAGCGTTGATGTGGCTATCATCCAGGAGCACTAGCCCATACAGCAAGAGGAGGCAGCCACATGGCTTATATCCTCACGAACCCATGCCCGAATCCCCGGGGCCTAACCCAGGAGGGGAGAAGCAGAGACAAGCCAAACACAATCCCGCCCGTCAACGATCCCGACCCGTCGCTTGCTAGTCTCAAAGAGAGACAAGCGTGGACCAACGATCGGACGTTCCCTCTCCTCAGCCATTAGCCCCAGAGGACGAGCTAGGCTTGCTAGGCTCGCAGGCTCGCTAATAAGTACGGGGGTCCACGGGGTCTTGGGAAGGGAGAGCTGCGTTGGTCTGGAAGCGGGTGATGTCACCGGTATAGCCGCTGCATGATGGACGACGGTCTAGCCTCCAGGTGTGTGGTGAGCCGGGAGGCGGTGAACCCCACAGTTTTCCCACGATAAATGGTGCTGAGTGGCCAGGGCCGCCTCCTAGCCAGCCAAAGCCCAGCCGGCCGGCCAGCCCAGCCTCCTGACCACCTTACCAGGGGCCAGGAATGAGATGACGTACCCAGATCAGCAACGATGCGTTTCGCTGCATCTCTGGGGCGAATCGATGAGAATCGAGAGGATAGCGCCCATCCAGGCACACGTGAGCAAACGCAAACACAGACACTTACACAAGTACGCCCAAACACGCGAGCGGGAAGGATCAGGTACGTTCTGCATATCCTCGATTCTGTGAGACCCGAAAATGCTGTCTGATGCTGCCAGCCAAGCTTTTCTGATCTCGGGTATCTCCACGGGTTTGACGAGCCAGTCGGTTACCTGGTACGGTGGCCGCCTGACCTGCCTTGTGCACCCACATGCGTCAACGCTTAAAATGTGCACCCGGAATCCAGGGTCAGTCAATCAGCCTTTGGACAGGCACGTGGTCTGGAGCTTCAGTTCCGAAATGCATTTCTAAATACTCGCTCTCCTGGGCGCCATGGTCCTCCTCAGCGCCTCCTTGGCCTCCCTCTCCTCCTTGAGCGGCAACAAGCCCTTCTCTCTGAGGCCCTGCAGGAAGTCCTGCCCGTATCTATAGCCTAGTTGTGAGATCTCGTCGAATTTCCCAAAGTCGAGCGTGCCATAGTCGTCGATCGGCGGCCGCATGTAGATGCACCCGGGCAGATTCTTCGCCCGTTCCAGGGCATCGACGCTCGACACATACGCAAGACGCGCCTGGATCTCTGCCAGTGTTGGCGGGTTCGGCGTTGAGGAAAATGGGTTCCACCTGTTCCAGAACGCCCACGCGCCTGAGAGCGTGTCGCCGAATGACTGCGGGGTGTTATCGTCGAGAGACCCAACGTCTACAGCGAAAATTGTATCCACTCCCAGTGACTTCATGTGCGACACCGTCAGATTGTCGATGTAGCCACCATCCAACAGCATGCTGCCCTCATCGCAGAGGGGCGGGAGAAGACCTGCAAGAGACATTGATGCCCGAATATACCGCCATGCATAACCGCTGGTGTGGATCTCCGCTCGACTCTTGCTGATGTTGGTCGTGTTGCAGTAGAATTCCAACCAGAAGTCCTCAATCAGCGTCTTCTCGAATATCTTGAAAATACCCCGATTGAACTCGTGTCCAGTTGTATAGGAAGCCGACGGATAAGTGAGATCCAGCGCAAACCTCCATTTGCTGCCCATGCGGCCGGAAAATTTCTTTGCCAGTCCTAGGATAGGCACCACGTCTGCATGTCGAGCATAGAGGCCACCAACCAAGGAACCTATAGACGTGCCACCCACAATATCAATTGGAATGCCAGCTTCCTCCAACGCTCGGATAATGCCAACGTGCGCGATCCCTCGAGCTCCTCCACCACCAAGGACAAGGCCAACCGATCTGCCACACAATCGTCTTGCCAGGCGGTGGAAGTCACCCTTAAAAGGCGCGTCTGGTGCATAGACAGGGCTGTAGCGAACCTTCCTCGATGTGTACTTCTGGATTTCAGCTTGGAGTGTTTGTACCCGCTCTTTGATGTTGAGACCAAGGCGCTTGGCCCGAGGGTGAAGGGGCAGGTTCTCGCGCCCGATGTCCATTTGCACGTGGAAGTGCCCACCATTGATCCATACTCTGTTCTTCAGCCAGGCTCTCGTCATACCAGATACAGCGTATCTCTCAGCATGCAGCAAGACCAGGATCTTCTGTGCGGTGGATTTCTGACCCAGCATGAAGCGTTCGTACTCTCCAACTTCAGGTGACCCCTCTGCCAGACCAACTAGCAGAATACAGTCGGCCTGTGTTATACAGGTCTGGGTCCAAGCAGAATTGACATTGGTATCTGGTCACATCGTAATTGTCAGTAAATGTCAAATACGGCGCGGACAAAGTGAATAATGAATGTGTGTTTGTTGTGTTCAGGAAAAAATTAGAGTTAATGTTAACCATCACTGGCTGGCTGGCCTTTGGACTGTGGATTTCTCATCATAACGCAAAATGGAAGTTGATCGATGTCAAGAGAATGGTTGTTATGCTTACCTGCAACGTACACAACGAGACCGAACTTCTCCTCTAGGTCTGCCAGGTATTGGGATAGCCTTAACCTTCCCATTCTGTTGAAGGCGTGCTTTCCCAGGTGGTTGAGAATGGCCGATTGGTTCAGGACTGTAGCGCCGTTACGAGTGCCGACTTGCTGAAGCGCAGACATAAGGCGGTTCCCAAAATCAACCACGGGCACTCCTGCAGTCACGGGAAGGACCGCGACAGTTCGCAGGTTGAGCGTGGACGAGCTTTTGTTGACTGTCGTTCGGCTCCAGCCGTCTTTTGATATCACAGGATCGTCAACAAGGGCGCGCATTTTCGACGCGATCATCTTGGAGATCTTGATGGTGATACTTGGGTGTTCTTGTGCCAAGCTGTTGAACAGTGTGCGAGGAAACTTGACGATTTCTGTGTCTCGGATGGCGTGGAGGGTTCCAGTTCGAGCCGACTCCGTCAAGACCTCGAGCTCCCCGACGCTCTCGCCTTGGCCGTATTCCGCTCTAACAGACACTCCGCCATCTTTGCGATCTTCAACCAGACGCAGCCGGCCGTTGAGCACAAGGTAAATGGCGTCACTTTCGTCGCCCCCATGGAAGATGACCTGACCGGCATTGACCGACAGCCACTCCAGAGCGAAGTCAATATGGAGGATCAGCCGTGGCAACAGACTTGTCAGCCTCTTGGCCATTGTCAGCAGCACGATGGGATATTTGTCCACTATTCTTTCCAGGGATGCGCGGGGGAGGAAGCCAACATAGACGTCCGTTTTCGCGACAACGTCAATGAACGATCGGTAGGAAGACACAGTCCCGACGTAGCCGGCCAAACCCCCTGGTTTAATCAGCGCAACGCTTTTCCGGACAGCACCCTTCTTACGGGCATCAGAACCACCCTGGCCAAAGTCTGGCGCTGAGAACTCTGAGGCGGACGTTCCCGCGCGGCGGCGAGCAGAAAATTCATCTGATTCGTCGGTCGTGCCCTCACCAGAACTGTGCAAGATATCCCTAGGCTTTTCCTCGCAGGACGCGCACATGTCCAGGAAACCATCAATGACATAGTACAATCCAGGATTCCTTTCTCCCTGCTCGACAAGTACAGATCCTTTCGGGAAGAAGACGATTTCCAATTCGTGCTTCATGTCTTGAGCGAGAGCGTGAGGACTAGGTGAGGCGTGCGGCGCCAGGCCACTCGAGGTCACCGACTCGGTGTCGCCATCAACTGATGCATCAAACGGATCCATGAAGCCAAATGCGTTGTTCGAGAATATTGCCTTGTGGCGTCGCTGGTCGAATGAAACAAGCCTCGGTGAGGCTTCTACCGAATCGGTTCCCCGAGATGCTGTGCCATTCGCCTCTAGACCGATAGCCTTGAACATGCATTCTAAAATGGACTCGCGGAAAACGTTGTCCTCGTCAACTTGCTCCCTCTTCCCGAGAGATATTCGCTGGCTTGCAAAGGGATTGAATGTCCTCTCTGCCAAAGGTGACATCCCTTCCTTCTGCTGTCCTTCAGAGGGGTTGGTGGAGTCATGACGTGGAGCAGATAGCTGTCGTGATGAGCGGCCTCCACCCCGTGCGTGCTGGATATTAGCCAGAAGATCGCCCGGACTGGGCACATCGATTGAACTGCGCTCCTCAGGCGGGGATATGGTCGAAGTAACCACGGAGCCCTTCATAGCTTGCAACACAGCCTCTTTCCGCAGGCCTGTCGAGGATCTACGGCGGCGACCTGCCGCCACAGAGTTGTGAAGTGCGATGCCTTTCCCAGCCTCCCGTTCTCCGATCCGCTCGCGTTCTCGTTTGAATTTCTCCTTGAGACGCTCTAGCGGGTCTCCTCTCAACTGATTCGGCAGCTGAGAAACGGTATACTTGATCATGTTCTTCTCGGTCTGCAGCACTTCACCACCTAAGCCCAAATAGCTGAAAGCCGTTGCGAGGGTGACCCGTTGGAAGCGAGACAGGATCAAGTGTACGATGTGGGAGGTTGCCTTGGGATAGACGCGAATCAAGCGTCGGAAAGCACTAGCCGGGATGATGGCGATCGTGGTATCCACGGATGCCCTCGCAATCACATCTGGATGAACCGAGCTGGTTCCAACACGCTTGATCCCTGGCCTGGCCTGAAGCTGATGATGCTGAGGATAGTGTTGAGTGGGAGGAGTACTATCGTCGAGTGACATGTGTGGGACCCGCGGCAAAGTGCCACCGCCAGGCTGCAGGTTAGCAGGATCCTGAAGCCGAACACCTCGACTAGTTGATGGACCTTCTGACATCGGGGTACTAGGAAAAGAGACGGGTATCTCGTTGGGCTTCTCTAGACCAGCAGCCGAGGGGAACCTGGAATGGCCATCGTGGGATGCGGCTGTATCAGGCAAGGGTGGCTCGTCATCGGCATGCCGTAGCTTGACATCTTCGGTGAAGAGAGACATGATCGTGAATAGTGAGGACATGGGCGCGCCATTCCGCACTTCGGTGAGAAGCTGATATCGCTGCTGGCCGGGGCGGTGCATTTCCCCATCTTCGACATCACTGACCGAGTCCCACGAGCCTTCGCTGCCGCCGCTGATACCGGATGCACTTCTGCCTCCTCTCGCAGACTTGACAAAGATCTCAACAAGGCCATCGACGACTAGGCAAAAGCCTTGCTCGTCTTCGAGGTTCAGGGTCTCGCCTGCAATCAGCTTCCTTGTCTGCATGCTGCGAGTCAACTCATGGAAGACGGGCCTCTCCAAGTAGCCAAAGATCTTGATGGCGCTCAAAAACTCGTCCAAGTAATTGGCCAGGCCGGACTTGATGCCATCCTCATGTGTGTCAGGGAAGAGCTCCACCTCGGGTTCCTTTCTCTGAGGCTCTGGTGGGAGCCGGGAGTACATGTTCAGGTAACGATACCGAACAACCCAGCTGATTCCGGAAAATATCAACGCTATTATTATCATTCTAATTTTGAGGTTAGCACGCAGTCAAGGAAGAATTTGCGAGAGGCGGGGAAACCGGCGTACATGGTCGTGGCATTCATGGTAAACGTCAGGCTGGTGGAAAACAGATTGAAAAGAAGAGTGGGAATAGATATGGTGGTAAGCTTGAGGGCGAAGTAGATGATTGTGGACAGCAGCTGCAGTATCCAGAGGATCAGCCTCGCGATCAGGCCTATCCACGAGAACGAGCCGTGGGTGACGACGACATCATTGGCGCGTGTCATGACGGACGACAGTGCCGGGTTGGGGGCATTGATGGAGCCGGCACCGGCTGCGGTAGACAGAGCCGATGTGACGGCGGTGGTCGTAGCATTCAGAGACTCCATCTTGTTCCTGGTGGACAATGAAGCTCAGACTTGGCCAACTAGGTGCAGCACATGATGAAGGCCGCAACGCCGATTGGATGGCGCTGGCTGTGAGGGACAGAGCACCTCATCGACTCATGAGCGAGACCGAGAGATGATCACGGTTGAGATAGGCCGTGGTCGCGTGAGGCCACCGGAAGTTGAGCTCTTTGCCAGCGCTCGCGGTGTGGTTGTTGTTTGTGGGAAGGGAGCGAAGAGCAAAATGTTGCCTTGGTGTTGTTTTTTGCTGTCAGGCACGATCCACAGCAAAATTTCCCTAGGATGTAGACTATGGCGGGGAGCTATGACCACCTCAGCAATGGGCGGGCACGTCGGAACATTGGAAGCACCTTTTAGCCGACGGTACCCACTTACTAGACTAGACTGCTGTCTGCGGTCTACCGCGGTAGAGTACAGAATAGAACCCGGATACCGGCATCTTCTACTCTATTCTGTTCTTTTGTCTGACATGTCTCGCGTGGCCACTGCTCAAGGCAGACGCAACACGCACGTAGACTCCTATGGATACCGTATTGCTGCAGTCAGACGGCACTCTCCTGCACAAGTACTCAAACCATCACAATTAGCCTACCCGCCTGCCGCCTCCCACTCAGTCCCGTTAATTGATATGCAAAGGAATACGCATGGGACCGTCTCAAGCCACAGCCAGCCTTAGCCTGCCTGTTTGGAGCCTCGCCAATGCTTGTAACGACGTCTCACCCCCACTCTGCCAACCTAGACTCGTTAATTCCGTATTGCGAGTCCCTCGCCCGCCATCAACGTCAACCTAGCCCGGGGCCAGCGTCATCGACGCCTATGCATGTCGTGCAAAGAAAAAAGGTAGCCTGCATATGCATGCCGAGTGTGCCGGGCCGTTGGGCGGTGTAGTCTACCAATACGGAGGTCGGAGTTGGGTGCTCGACAGAAAGCAGAGCCGACCCTCGTTCTCGACCTCAACCTCGACATGGGCTTGAGTCACGGGTGATATTGCGTGCAGTCGTCAGGATTCGGATCCCTGCCCTATCTATTGCTACTGCTTACTGCCATCTCGCCCAGCCTCAGTGATCTCCCAGTCCCCGTCGCCGAGACGAGGTTCTAGAAACAACATAGCACCGTCGGAACGGCGCACTGTCCTCTACACCCGATCCTCCTAGATAAGAGGGCATCCCCCCAGTGGGTCATGGTAAAACTGCAATTGCAAGGGTCATGGTGTTTCCTTTTGTTGATGCCTTCGTTCGGCCATGGATTGGCTCTCTGTAGTCGATGCCTGGGCTTAGCCATGGAATGCCTACTCGAGTAAGCAGATGCCTTGGTATGCAGGACGATTCTTCATATCTTCTACACTTCAGGCACCACCCTTCCAGAACATAGCTGCCTGCCTGCGTCTGCACGCTAGGTTGGGATGGTGCATGCTGCCATGGCGGAACGGCATTTCATCTCTGCCCCGCTCATGCTTCTCTAACGCCTAGCCTCTAACAGTCCTATGTTTTAGCTTGCAAAAGTCCCTGCGCTTCGCGCCATCCCATCAAATGTTCCTCTTCCCGTTCAGGAAGCTGGTCCAAGAGACCCTTGGAAGGGTCTGTGACCAGTCCCTTGTTCTTGTCCGCTGCAGCAGCGCCGCAGTCTTACATGCACGTTGTTCGTACTACATGGCCAATTGCTGCATCCTACAATTTCTGCAAGATACCTAACCCACGAGTCCTACTCGTTCCTTTATATGGCTGCAAGTGCGCGCGGCTAGGGAATCTCACTCCCTTTCGCTTTTCAATCATCATCCTCACTCGCGCCATTGCTTACCATGGCCGAGGTCCATCTCTTTCAGTATGGATGGGCATACACCAGGGTACCTCAGCTGGGCCCCCATGGCTCGGTCCTCAAAAGTTTGAGTGCTTTTTCCTCATCAAGGTATGCCGGCTCACGCTCACTTTGTCTCCGTGCGATGTTACTGTTACCGGCGGCCCGGGCCCTAATTAATTCTTCTTGGCCCGCGATCCGATTGCTGACATCACGAACCTTACTGCACACAGCGAGTCTCATGTACCATGGATCCAAAGTGTCTCCGACCTGGCCACCTCCGGTCACTTCCAGATTGCGTTCTTGGTCATTTCGTTCTTGTGGACTGCAGCCAGTATCCGAGCCTCCAAGAGGATCAAGGTCGCCCCCCACCACCTCAAGGCATCCCAGATATCCGTCGGTTTTGAGCTCTGCTCGCAGATAAGTCGTGCATGCGCGTTAGCCTTCATCATCGTTGCTGCGGTCAGGGGCGATACTCAGCAATGGTTCAATGTTGCGCTCGTCGGCTGTGCCTTTGTCTTCGGCCTCACCAGGCTCGCTAGCGACTTGCGATGGCGCCATACTGCCCTGCACCAGGTGAATTTTCTCCTTGGGACATCGCTTCTGCTATTGGCAGCCGGCGAGGTTCTGCCGTTGTTGGAGATTAGCTCAACGTACCGTCCTGACGATACGGTCATTGGTGCCCTTGCTTCTCTCGCAGCTGCCAATTTCGTGGCAATCATTACACCTAGAGAATGGGCGCCGCCTCCGGTAATTTTTGACCTCATGAACGGCCCTGAGAATGTCGCCCCTGCCCCAGAGGAGACCTGTAGCTGGTGGAATCTTTACTTCACCTTCGAATGGCTCACTCCTCTGATCTGGAAGGGTTGCCGAAGGGCAGTCGACATGGACGAGCTTCCACCTCTGCCGTGGTACGACGAGCCCCTGTATCTTCTCTCGAGGATCCTACAAGCACGCGAAAAGAGCAGCGACACCTTCTGGACAGTCATGCGCTTCTTGCGCAAGGAAATTCCTCTGATGGCCTTCTTTTCAGGCACATGTTATGCGATCGAGCTTGTGGCACCCTTTGCGATGTACCAACTCCTAGCCTACCTCTCGAAGCCTGACCAGGCAACGCTTAGCCCTGCGATCTGGCTCTTTCTATTATTCGCTGGCCCTATGGCGAAAACCGTCCTCTTTCAGCAGTACATCTTCACGTCCACTCGATTAATCATCCGTGTCAAAGCCGCCATGACGCAGGAGCTATACCACCGGGCAATGTCCTCAATGGAGCTGGACGGAGACGTCCTGAATGATGCCAAAGGCCAGGAGGCTACGGCAAAAAAGACTACACACGCCGGCCAGTTGCAAAATCTGATGTCTGGCGACATCGATGCGATATGGCAGGCCCGAGATATTGTCTTGATAGGGATAGGGGCCCCTACAGGCACGCTGGTTGCTTTTATAGGTCTCTACTCGATCCTGGGCTGGCCAGCGCTTATCGGCTCTGCGCTCATCGTAATTGCGATACCTATTCCGACATATGTCGCTCAATTGATGGGCAAGAGCCAGCGCCAAGTCAAGGCAACGCAAGACGCTCGGATATCCCTGATTTCCGAGTACCTTGGCTCAATTAGAGCTATCAAGTACTTTGCCTGGGAAGACGCCATGGCAAAAGTGATTGACAATGCTAGAGACGCGGAGCAGAAAGTACTGTGGAGAATTGCTGTTCTCTACACATTGCTGGGTGAAGCGGTAGAGTTCATGCCAATGGTTTCTCTAGTTGTCATGTTCACTCTGTATACCAGCGTGGTCAAAGAACCCCTCACGGCTCAAGTTGCTTTCACGGTGCTATCGCTTGTTGCCACGATGAGAAACAACATCGCCATGTTTGGCTATCTTTCAAAGAACGTTACCAATGCCTGGATCTCTTTCGACCGCCTCAACAGGTATTTCAACAACACGACACCACTGATAACTTACCCTGAAGGACCGCTGCGAATCGAAAAGGCCACCTTTAGGCGGAACAAGAAGGCGGAATTCACCCTCAAGGACGTGTCAATAGACTTTGTCGAAGGAGGCCTAAATACCATTTTTGGAGCCTCTGGAAGTGGCAAGACCACCTTGCTGCTCTCCATTCTGGGGGAGACTATCAAGGAGTCAGGCTCGGTGACAAGGCCTGATGATGTCGCCTTCTCCTCCCAGACCACCTGGCTTCAGAGTGCATCTATCAGAGATAATATCCTGTTTTCCAGCCCCCTAGAGGAGGTCCGCTATAAACGCGTCATCGAGGCATGCTGCCTCCCACTGGACCTTTCAGAGCTTCCCGACGGTGACGAGACGGAAGTGGGAGAGAACGGAACGGCATTGTCGGGCGGTCAAAAGGCACGTGTCGCCCTTGCACGAGCCCTCTACTCCAAAGCCCCACTGCTCCTCCTGGACGACATCTTCTCCGCGCTCGATGCGAAGACCACTGCTTCCGTATGGGAGCAATGCTTCTGCAGTGATCTGCTGAAGGGCCGCACGGTCGTCCTCGTAACCCAGGTTAAATGGATTGCCGAGCAGGCCGACCTACATGTAGTGCTTGAGAACGGCGTGGTTACCGGTCAGGAGCAGCAAATCGGCGTTGTCCGCAAGCCCGTCCAAGTCGCCAAGGACGCCATCGAGGGTGACGGAGCTGACGCTACAGTTGCTGCCAATGGAAATGGGGTCAACGGGGCCAATGGCAGCGAGGCAGCGAAACCTCTTGCCACATCGAAGCCAAAGAAGGACGATATCGCGAAGGAAATGGAGGCGACCGGAAAAACTGGCAGAATGTCGTTCTTCCAGTACATGACTTATTTCGGAGGCCCTGCTTATGCTATCTTCACGATTCTTGCAACAGTTGCTGGTATCGCATTGTTGCTAGCTACGACTCTGTGGATCAGTGTCTGGGTCGACGCGGTTGATCGAGGTGATGCTGTTGATGTTGGCTATTACTTGGGAATCTACACGGCGATATCGGTCGGGAATCTTATTTTGGACGGCCTGATCTTTCTTGTCTACGCCAACGGTGGTTGGCAGGCTGCGAAGACGCTTCACGCCCAGTTTGTCCGCAGCGTCTTGAATGTCTCACTTGCATGGTACAAGGTCAGGCTATCTCCGTCAGCTGTGTCTCCCACCTCATCATCTAACATGCCTCTCACAGGACACACCCACCGGCCGCGTCATCAACCGGTTCTCTCGCGATATGGCCTCTCTCGATAACCAACTCTCCAGGATGCTCCAGGGCGCCCTGCAGCTTGCCGTCGAGCTGGTGTTTCGTTTGGGTGCCGTCACAGCCATCATGCCCATCTTCATCCTGCCCGGACTGTTCAGCTGCATAGTTGGCCTCGCAGCAGGTGAAATGTACACGCGGACTGCAGTGGTGGTGAAGCGACTGGTATCTTCCTCTCAGTCACCTGTCTTCTCCCAATTCAACGACGATATGGCTGGGATCCAGATCATCCGTGCCCGCAAGGGCATGCCCAAGAACTTCGGTAACCTTCTGGCGGAGCGTCTACGCCCATACAATCGTGCCAGTGAGACAAACTACAACCTGAACCGCTGGGTCGGCCTGAGGATAGATTTCGTCACTGCCCTGGTCATGGCCTGCGCAGGTGGCATTGCCATTTCAAAGGTCGGCATGATCCCTGCCGGGCTCGTGGGCTTCTCGCTTACGAACGCGAGCGGCCTGTCGTCGACAATCCTGTACTTGGTGAGGATCGCGAACGAGCTCGAGGTAGAACTGCAGAGCTTCCACCGCGTGCGGGAGTACGCGTCACTGGAGCCGGAAGAGAAGACTGAGGATGCCGCCGCCCCCGTCCCCGTGCCCGAGCAACACCACCAGGTCACGGAGGTCCCGGCATCGTGGCCCGCCACAGGAGCGATCGAGTTCCGCAACGTGACGATCCGTTACGACCCGGACGGGCCGGACATCCTGAAGGACATCAGCCTGAAGTTCGCGGCGGGCGAGCGCGTGGCGGTGGTGGGGCGCACGGGATCGGGCAAGAGCACGCTGGTGCTGTCGCTGCTGCGGTTCACGCACATCGTGCGCGGGCAGATCCTGTACGACGGCGTCGACATCACGTTAATCCCGCGACGACGTCTCCGCCACTCGCTCACCATCATCCCGCAGGAGGCCGTCCTCTTCAACGGCACCGTGGGCACCAACCTCGACCCCGCCGGCGTCATAGCCCCGGACGTCATCGAGAACGCCCTGGCGAGCTGCGCGGGCATCGCGAGCTTCAAGTTCCGCGACCGCGACGGGCCCAGGCCCGGCGGCGGGGAGGATCAAGAAGAAGGTGAGGAGCCTTCCGCCCCGGCAATACCAAACGAGCAGACCCCGCTCCTGAGCGGCCTCTCCACGCCGGACGCAGAGGCCCTGTCGTCGTCGGCGGCGGGGTTGTCACCATCGACGACTGTAGACGCAAAGGGCGAGAACTTCTCCCACGGCCAGCGGCAGGTGCTGTCGCTGTGCCGGGCGCTGGTGCGCAAGTCCAAGCTGATGCTGCTGGACGAGGCTACCGCGTCCATGGACTACGAGACGGACCACGGGATCCAGGCGGTGCTGCGGCGTGAGATATTCGGCGAGTCGGACGCCGGGAGGACGCTTGTGACCATTGCGCACCGGCTGCGCACTATTGCTGACTATGACCGGGTTGTGGTTATGGGTGGCGGTAGAGTTCTTGAGTGAGTGCTACGATTTCCACTTTCTTACATTCAACTGCCCCCCCCCCCCTTTTACCATGTCTCAAGTTTGATACCGCCACTTTCGAAGATGTAACTAACGCGTGCTTACTAGGATGGGGTCGCCCAAGGAGCTGTTCGAGGCGAAGGGTACTTTCTACGACATGGTGCAGCACTCAGGCGAGGTCCAGGAGTTACAGCATGTCTTTGGCGATTCAGAGTAAATCCCAACAGGCCGCCACAAAGTGCTCTGCATGTGGGTACCAGCATCTCGGTTGAAGTTCGAGAGATAGACCCGCTAGCTGTTATGTGATATAGATGCGCAGTGTGGATAATGCGCAAAGTGGCGTGTTCGATATAGAATAGGTCGCAAACCCGTGACAATTGTTGCCATTAAAAAAATTAAACAGGGCACATTCATGGCTTTGAAGTATAGAGTTGTTTTCATTCTACCTCACTTTCCCCAAAGCGGGATGGAGGCTAGTATCCGTGTTTTCAAAACGTCCGTCATCGCACGAACGAAGACATGCGTCCCTGTCAGTATTCATCCCGTTAAGAATGCAAGCCTCGTCTAATTTTTCTCCGACTCAATGGCCACGGCCAATTATTTTGTCCATCATCTAATCAAGATTATGTGAATACAAATAAAGTCAACCATCAGTCATTTTCACGTGTGCGTGTGAGAGAAAGAGAGACAAAGAGAGACAGGAAGCCACTGGTGCTTGGAACCGATCCGTATATGAACGCCCACCAGTCCAATGCTGACCCAAGAAAGGAAAATATCCGCCCGAATCAGGGTGCTTTTCACAGTATCATGCAAGCCGCCAGCAGGGCGACGAACGCGGCGCCGAAGGAGAACAGGTTCGCCGGCGCATCATTGGTGATCACCGAAGTGGTGCTGGCTGTTGGGACGGAGGTGGTGATGGTTCCGTTGCCGCCGCTGCTGCCAGATCCGGAGCTTCCTGAGCCTGAGCCTGAGCCACCACTTCCTGAGCTACCTGATCCAGAACCGGCTCCGGTGGGGTTTGTAGGGGTTCCAGGCAGAGTAGCGGTCGCACCGCCGGCACCGCCGCTCACACCTGACGCGCCCACGGTCACGACACTGCCGGCGCCCGCGGAGATACCGGGGGAGCCGCCATCAGCGCCGCTACCGGTGGCGGCGGCGGCAGAGGACACAGCAGCACCGCCAGCACCACCAGCAGTGGCGGTGCCAGAGGCCGAGGACGATGAGGACGACGAAGCATTGCAGGAGAGGTCGTAGAGCGGGGTGTTGGACAGGGTGCTACCGACGATTCCAAAGCTAGGGGAGGGCGTGGTGGGGGAGGCATCCTGAAGGGTGTACCACCAGGTGTTGGTCTTGCCAAACAGGGGGCAGCCGACGTCGTCCCAGTACGTCTTGGCGTTGGTGAGGCTAGCATCGGCTTGGTTCGCCGCTGGGCCACTGATGGGCCATCCAGTCTCGGTCACCCAGACCTCCTTGCCCTTGGCCGCGGCCTGGGTCGCGCCGAAGGCGTCGTTGAAGAGAGACGCGCCGTTCGAGATGGAGTTCGCCATTGTAGTCTTTAAGATGTTAGCGTTGGATATTGAGATACAGAACTGTTTTTCTAAAAACGTACCTGGAAGTAGGGGTAGGCATCGACGCCGAGGAAGTCGGCTGCTGAAATCACGGCATCGTTGGATGAGTTCACCCAAGCCGTCCAGGTATCGACGTGACCGACAGGTACACCAGAGAGAGGGGTGCCAGCGATGGCATCCCTGACCTGCTTGATGTAGCCGACGAGAACATCCGGTCCAACACCAGGGTTCTCCTTGTTGAGAATACCAGTAGGGGAGATACGGTAGAGATCCTCGGATCCAACAGAAATGCCGGCGACGAGGCCACCGAGCTGGGAGCCGTAGGTGGCTATGGCAGACTTGAGGGCGGCGATCTCGTTGGCGAAGTTGGCGTCACCGGCAGAGGCCCACAGGCCCATGAGGAGGGATGTCTTGGTGCTGATCGCCGCGGGAATGGCCTGGATGGGACTGTTGGTGGTGCCGCCTTGCTGGAATGGGGGTTAGCCGCAAGGTGCATGCCTGTGAGACATTTCAAAACAAGCAGACATGTGTAAACAAAAACACAGGCATACTCACCACTGTGGTGTATAGGCGAGCTGAGTTGAACACGCCTGGGGCAGAGATCAGGCCCTGAGAGGTCTTGAACTCGGACTCAAAGTCGCTCTGGACCTTGGCAGCGCCGGTGGTGAAGGTAGAGCCATAGTTGAAGCCCTGGTATGCGGCCAAAGCAGGCGAGGCGGCAACGAGGGCCACCAAAGAGGATGGGCCGAGCATTGTGAGAAGGACGGAAATATTGAGACTGGGTCGAGTAAAGAGGGTAAATTATTCTGGCAGGAGCTGGGGCTAATAGCTAGTCCACAAGGTCCAAAATGAGTCTTGGTGATGCTTTGGAGAAAAGAGGTTGAAGAAACGAGAGACGGATTAGTCTCTCTGTGTCTGTCCGTGTGTGGGCGTATGCCAGGTTGTTTATTAGTAGTGGCGTATGAGGCAAGTGGAATTGAGTGACGTAGAAGGAGATTCGAAGAAGGAGCTAAGCGGTAGCAGGAGTAGTAGCAGCAGTGTTGGTAGTATTGGGATAGTCAAGGACGTGAATGAACGACTGACTATTCAGTCCTCGGTATTATTACACGAAATGAACAGGGTGATGAGCGAATGTGTTGTCTTGTTTGAGACGGAGTAAGCCAACGAAGAGCAGACAGAGATGTCAAAGACGGGTGGCGAGCAGGAGGAGTAGTTTCAAAGAGAAGGAAAAGGTACTACAGGACACAAAGGATAGATGGATATATGGGACGGAGAGGGGGTGGGAGTGGGTTGAAGGGGGGGGTGTGACAACCCGGATCGATCGGACTGTTCACAACTCGCTTCTGGATGATGTTTGTTGGTTCGAGCGTGAGGATGAGAGCGAGCGCCAGCATGGAGCAGCACGAGCGTGTGAGCTCGTGTACGTGTGTCATTGCCCCATGGCGGGCCGACTGACTGATTGGATGTCTGGATGGGTTTCTCTCTCTGGCCTGCCGAGTTCGTTGGCGCCTACTGGCGTGCGCCCCCTGCGTGCAATGCTCCCCAAAGCGCAGCCAAGCCGTCCCAATCGGGAGACTGCTCGTCAGGTTCGTGCAGCTTGTTCCTGCGCTAGTGGCGCTGTCGTGCTGGGACCTGCTGGGTCGCACCGAGGATCCCTCGAGCTTCCCAGCTTTCCGTTGGTTGGGGTCTCCTGATGCCAACAGCAGAGTGCGTGGTCTAGTGTGTACGTGGGCCACCACTTGGAAGAATTTTCCTAGGAGCTGCATTGGTTTGTGGACGGTGCTCGAGGCCGTGGACTCCGTCTCTTCTCCTAAAGTCAGCCAGTGCAAAAAAAAGTCGGTTCGAGTTTGAACCTGCTGAGCTGGGTTGGATCTCCCGATCTTGGTTCATCCTGCTGCCCGGCATCTGAGGCCGTGGCCCATGTCCACCCAACATCCACTTCCCCAGAGTTGGATGTTGGATGTTGCACCCAGTGGAGTAAATGTTTGCAAACAAGCTTCTGGGCAGACAGGGGGGCATGTGTCGATTTTCCCTGCTTCGTCCAATCAGCCATGTCCAGATCGGGGCGGCCTTCCATATTTAGCCGTGCCGTTGGGGACCCAGACCTGGGCTGACAGGCAGGAATTCGGGGAAATACGAGCAGAAATTGACTTCTGTTGTGCTTCGTTTCCGGTTCTGATGTTGCTTTTCCCACGTCACGCACCCTTATGCAGCGATCCGCCGGCCCCTAGTGCTGTCCATCCTGGAAGCTATTACGTGGTCTGTCTTATATACCTATACAATGGGCGCACCCCCCCAGAATGCGTCTGGCCTTGGTGCCCGGAATCAAAACACAGGAGAACATGAACGTGACACTTTCGTCGCGTATATGGTCAGATGGTAGGGCTGTGGCTTGTGAAAGATTCACCAATGCATTTGCATGCTTTCGAGACCCATCTTCGTCCACAGACATCTTCCGGGAAATTGTTCAATGACAAGAAGAGGATCGCGAAGCCCAGTCTGACGGGCGTGTGTCGGTGACGGTTGTGTCACCTCATCTCAGGCAATCCCGGAGCCCAACACTCTGCAACATCAATTCATCACCACTCGCCGGAGGAATGCGAGCTCGCCCCACCACAATCACTCACAAGAAAGTCATCAACTTGTGCGACCTCCACAAGACAGCCCAGCCCCCAAGCACCGAGGATAGGCCCGTGAACACAATCAGCGGCCCATACGTCGTGCCGTAGCCAAACGCCCCCATCGAAGCCTGGCCCCCAGCCCTGAGCAGAGGCAGCCCAATCAGGCCGCCACTGACATACCCAATGCCCCTCGCGCCGTTTAGGAGGCCATAGAGCATCCCCGTGTCAACCGCCTCGTTGCTGTCCCTGGCCTCGCCCTCCAGCTCGTTCAGAACGCTGCCCCATGTCGCGGAGTACCCGCCCGCGAAGAAACCAAACGTGACTGAGAACAACACCAGCAGGGCCATGCTGCCCTGCGAGGTAAGTCCCCAGAACAGGAACGCGGCCAGCGCCGACCCGACAGCAGGGATCAATGTCACCGTCGCCGCCGAGAGCGCGAGGCGCTTGTTGTCGCACAGGAAGCCGAAGAAGGACGACGCGACGATGCCCGGCAAGTTGAACACGGTCAGCAGCAGCGTGGCCGACGCCTGTGACAGGCCGGCGACGTCGTGCGCATAAGTATTGAGGTACGTCTGCGGGATGCCGTACCCAGCGCTCTGGAGCAGGATAGCGCCGGCGTAGACGTAGATGGTCCTGTGGCGGAGGAAGTGCCACGGGAGGCGGCGTGACCGCGGCGGCGCGCCCGGGCGGCCCATTTCGAGGCTGGACGGGTGCGTCGGGATCAGCAGGATGGCGGGGATGCTGGTCGCGGCGACGATGGCCGCCCAGACCCTCACCGCCGTGCGGAAGCCGAACCTGTCGAGCAGCGCGCGCAGCAGAAACGGGCACGCGGAGCCGACGATGTTCTTGCACGATAGCGTCACGCCGTACGCGAGCGCGCGGTTGCCGCCCGCCCCGAACCACTCGCCTAGGGACAGCGTGGCCGGGCTGAAGACGAGGGCGCAGCCCAGCGGCGCCAGTACGCCCTGCGTCGCAACCAGGTGCCACACGTCGCTGCTCAGCGACGAGAGGAGGAAGCTGGCGCAGGTGAGAAGACTGCCGCACAGCGCGGCCGTCTGCCGCCAGCGAGCCCATCGTTTGGTGAACAGCGCGAAGAGGAATGGCATCGAGATGTAGATTATGCCGTTGAACGTCGTGCCGATCACGCCCGTGCTCTCGTTGCTGCCGCTCAGGGACCAGTTGCTGGTGAAGTACTCCTGGAAGACGCCGTAGCTCATTGCGAATCCTGTGTGTTACCATGTGAGCTAAGCTTGGTCGTGGAAGAGGAGGGCTGGAGGAGTGCTGCTTCCACTTACCCCATATTGGCAATTGAATTATCCCAGAGCCGATGAGAACACAAGCCCTTTTTGTTTTCACGCCATGTCGACTTGTTTCAGCCTGATCGTGACCAGTGGTCACTGTTTCCTCTGCTTGGACCTCCAACTCGTCGAGGTCGGACGTCGCCGTTTGGCGCAGTGCAGTAGTTTCGTTTTGTGGCATCGTGGATTATCTGAAGATTGAGTGGCGATACTAAGTAGAAGATATCTCATCATGCCAAGAGGGCCATCCGGTTTAAATGTACGGCATAAGCGATGATTTTAAGAGTCATAGGTGGAGGTAGTCCCGACGATGATGGCGATGGCAAGGATGAAGACAAGTTCGCGCCCTAGTTCCCCAAAGCGGATCAATGAGAAGTTGGCAACGCCGATCTCGGCAAGCACCTATCACCAATTTAGGATACCAATTCTGCCTCAGAATATCTCCTCTTGTCTATGTTTTCGAAATTTGGTCTAGCATGACAATTGGGGTATCTAGATGACATCAAGATCGGTAACTCTCCCGTCTAACATGCTGCGCCGGAATGACCGAAGACCACTCGAGACGACTGCTGCAAAACATCAGAAATTCGTCTCAATCAGCCGAGCCACCAGATCACTATCCTCAGGGAGTTCAGGGTAATCCAAATTGATCACGCCCAGCCGCCTGGTCCCTCCTCTCCCGGCCCCCTCGTCCAGCTCACGGAGATAGTCCCTTGTCCTGACATTGATGCCCTCTACCCACTTGCCGAAGAAGCGCATGGTGTGACCGCCCACGGCAATCCACTTCGCCTCGGCGACCTCGCCGTGCTCGACCGGCTCACCGACGGCTGAGCAAAAGTTAATGTACCACGTCTTCTCCGGCTCGAAGACCTTGCCGGCGCTTTCCTCGCCGTCGTCCGAGTCTGGCAGCGTCCCGAGCGCCCTCTCCATCATGGCCCGAACGTAGCCCAGCTTGGACGTCACCAGCTCCTCGAGCCCGCTGCGTTTCGAGTACTTCCACTTGTCTTGCAGCCGTACCCGGACGCCGCTCGGCGTGACGATGGTGAAGTCCGGGTTGTCCTGCTCCCACTCCTCGAGGTCGAGGCCAATCCTCTCCGTTGGCTCGACGTCCGTGTCGCCGTAGTAGCGCCGCAGGAGCACGGCCTTGCCCCGGACGTCGCCCAGCCTGGCCGTCACCGGCTCAGTGTGCCATCTCTCCGACCCGTCAGGGTACGCGGGTGTGCTATTGATGGCCTCCTTGACGGCGTTGTAGAAGGTCTTTGGGCTGGCTTTCTGCTCCTTCGACCTGTCGTCGTTGTTGATAGATATCAGGACTGTCTCCGTAGCTTTCTTGCCGTCTTTAGGCCCGATGAACTCCCATATTTCGTCCATGACGCTCTCGAATGACAGTCCCTTGGGCAGGTTGATAGGCACCCCGCCATGATAACAGTAAAGCTTCCCATCATCATGTCTCCTCAACCGTAGGTCAAAGAACCGTATGCCCAGCGCAAGCTGTTGCGAGATACTTAGATACTGCGTCCGCACAAAGGGCACATTACTCCTGGCGCAGCTGTCATGCGTCCCAGGGATAGTCAGATTGCTCAGCCAGGCCCCATCACTGAGCGAGCCCATCCACGTCTTGAGGTCGTAGCCCAAGACAGGCTTGCTGAACCAGCGCAGGTCCCCCTTCCACTTGCCCGCAAAGACACAGTGCACCCGGCCATTCACGACCGCCATCTGCGGTGCAAAACGCGCCATCACAGAGTCGCTTCCCACGCGCTCCGGTTCGTCCCACGTCCGGCCGTCGGCGTGCGCCGCCACGTAGACGGCGTCGGCCTTGAGGAAGCCCAGATAGGCGCACCCGCCATACGAGGCCGCACTGACGCCGCGCGTGGCCCGCCCCTCCGAGACGTCGTCCGCCGGATTCCATGCCCATCCGGACTCACTGTAGCCGTATCTGTAGCCGAGGATGTCGCCGCTAGGGGTGGCTGCCTCACAGAGAACGTGCAGCGCCCCATTGAGCACGAAGAGCGCCGGCTTCCCCTGGAATTCGCCGCTGCAGATGTTCTGGGTGGTTGACCAGACCCGGGCGTCGGCGTCCCATTGGTTGTAGGACAGCTTGTTGTCTGGTCCAATGAACGCTAGGTACAGCTTGTTGTGGAAGGCCGCCAGGGCTGGTCCTCTGCTGCTCTTTGCAGCAATGCAGCCATCGGGTAGAGGCCCTTGCTGGATGAACCTTTCGTCGTCCGCGTCGTTGATGTAGTGGGCCATGGAGCCAGTGTCCGCGGAGACGATGATGGCGTGCAAGACGCCATTGAGGTTGGCTATCATGGGGACACCATTCTTCCCTTTGCCCTCATGGTAGGGAAACTTCTCCGGCCGTCCAAAAGAGTCACTATTGCCCTCGGATCTGGTAGAGCTGTACCACACCTGATCATCAAAGTCGGTCCAGATCATCCACAGGCTGCCGCGGTGCGTGGCGATAGAGGGAGGGACCTTGGACCGGAGGTGCTCTCGAGGACGGTCCGGGTGGATGAGAAAGCCTTGCTTAGTAGGGCCCTGGGGGATCCAAGTCGAAGACGTGGAGGTGTCCGTGTCTTCGTCCATATTGTGCACGACGTTAGGATTGCTGGGATCTTGCAGATACGGGTTGAAGGGCGGCCTCGAGTCGAGGTTTAGGCTGATGTCCCAAGACGGGAGATCACATATTGGCGGTCCATTAGGTGATCTTGTCATTTTGAAGAAGTTTTCCCGATTGCTGCATCAAAGCTACCTGCTTCTGGACGGGGTCTGGTTCGTGTTGTTTGGTTTTGAAGCTGGTAATAAATCTGCGAGTGAGGCGGAGCCCGCTGCGTTGGCCCGCTCGAAACGCTGACCGCTCTCAGTGCTGGCAGTCATCACCTCGGAGCACGAAATCCTTGACTCAGTTGATATCACGAGTTCGAGGTGGTAGGGAAAATCATTCTCACAAAATCTCCTTTACATCAACTCTTCTGATGTTGAAAAGTGATATCGGGACTGGGCTTGACCATATGTGGCCAATTCCACTGCCGAGGCGGGGCAGCCCAGGAAGATGATTGCTGTGCTGTAACCCGGAAGGGAGAAGGCAAACGAAACTCAGACTGTCAGCGTCGAGACTCACCTTTCTTGCTTCCAAATCTTGATTATTCTTAATAAGACTCACAACACAAGCTCGCTAGAAGATGATAAAGTGAAGCTGCTCAGACGTTCATAAGAGTGTCCTGATTCTCAAGATCAGGGTATAACCCTCGACACTGCTGCTGTCCCCGCCGCACAAGGTATTCAATGGCACCACTCACTTGAGCACATCAGCAATAAGGTTGCTCTTCCGAAGCTTGATTGAGGTGATCAAACCAGCGGTTGCATATAGACCCATCTCTACTTTGTATAAGAGGAGGTCTGGTCTTCCACTCATCAAATTGCTGTTTGTTCGGCCTGTACTCATCAGCAAAACGTCATGAATCATCAGCGACACTGAGAAGAGCTCCAGTCCAAAGCGCTCTAGAGTCTCAAACGTCACTTGTAGGCCCCCATTCGTCTGCATCTATATAATTTACACAGATACTCACCACCAACCGCGCAGAAGCAAGCTACATGAATGCCAGCCTGACCTCTCGAGCCGTACTGAAGACGGTCTTGCCACTCAAAGCATCTCCATCAACTACTATCCCAAACAAGGCCAACAGGAGACTCACAAACCTAGCCTCGCACCTCACCACAATGGCAGCCCCAGCCCCGACAGCAACCGCCACAACGGCCGCCGCCCCATGGCGCGCCCAGTTCCTGGACCACATCAGCAAGCTGGACTCGCCAATCTTCACATTCACCTCCCTGCACCCGGGCCCGGGCTCCTCCCCGCCGGTGCCGAGGGGCCGCACCTGCGTCTACCGCGGCATGTGGGCGTCGATCCCGTGGAACGACAAGAACAACGCCCCGCGCAACCCGGACGCCTTCGACTCCGACTGCCTGACGCTGACGACCGACGCGCGCATGGCCAAGGTGCCCGAGCTCTTCGCGTCGGGCCAGCAAGGAGGAGGAGGCGGCGGTGGTGGCGCGGCCTCGTCCTCGGGCGGCGGCGGCCCCGTCGAGGCCATGTTCTGGGTCCCCGAGACGGGCACGCAGTGGCGCGTGCGCGGCCACGCCTGGGTGCTCGCGCACGCGGACGTCGGCGACACGGCGAGCCCGGGGGCCAAGGCTGCGCGCGACGCCATCTCGGCGCGGATGCGGAGGACGGGCCGAGACGAGGCGGCGACGGGCCAGTGGAGCTGGGAGAAGGAGGTCGTAGGCCAGTTCGGGAACCTGAGCCCCGGGATGCGGGGCAGCTTCAAGAACCCGCCGCCCGGGACGCCGAGGGCGCAGGAGCCCGGCCCCGGGGAGGGGCTGGGGCAGAAGGTCGGGGACGAGCTGCTGGAGGACGAGGTGGCGAGGAGGAACTTCCGCGTCGTGGTTGTTGTGCCGGAGGAAGTCGACACGTGGGACGGGAAGGACCCTGACAACCAAAAGCGCTTTATTTACACGTATGTCGGGCCGGACGCGAAGGCGACGAGGCCTGGTGGTCAGATCATTGATGGGTGGGAGAAGGTGGAGGTCTGGCCCTGAACAGTGAATATGGTAACAACCTTGGTTACACCTCATTTGGCATTGAGGTCCATTTCGATCGAACGGGGCAGACACTCGGCTTGCACCAGCATCTCGAGATACAAATTGTCACCATCTGGGAATCATCCAAGTTGGACTGCTCTTTGGACAACTTCACACAAAACAGTAGCTTCAAGCAATGAATAGCGCCAGCAAGTGCGCTCGGCGCCCACTGCGCAGCTGTCGCCAATTCTACCGGTGATAAGACGTGTTGAGCAATTGAACTCTGGCACCGTCCCGGAAGCAGCGATCTTTCACGTCACGGTCGATGTAACCCGCCATGAAACACTGGTCACTGTATGCACGCAGCAATGTGGCTGATCGAGTTGATGGTAACCTCCACAGCCGCGGACGCAATGTTTCATAATGTATCTCAGGTTGGAAACCTCCCATCAACATATGATCAATTTGAGAGCGTTGTCCAGGTCAGTGATTTGGTCATAGGCCCGAGTACAGAGCATATCAAGTAGCTATGAACTCCAAGGCTCGTTCCAGAGAGTATTCACAGTGAGTCAAGTAGTTGCGAGCCACAGAGGCATGGAGGCATGCTGGCTCACGAAAGGAAACTCGTAAGAGGGAGCGGAGACGAGCATTCATCTCAGTCTGCTGCTAAATAACAGCCCGCCAGTTTAATACCCAGCTGGAGACATGGCCGCGCAGCATGGTAGACAAGCCACGTTCAACGTTGGCCACGAACCGAGCCGAATGTATCAACGTGCTCTGTCTCACCCTTTCCGGGTGATCGTCCATGCACCTGTAAGACAAGCATTCATCGCCGGCAGACCACCGCCCATTTGAGCAGGCAAGTCCAGCCGCATACCGCCGTACAACGTCAAGTAGCTATGTTATTGAGCACTCGATGGTGAATTCCCCTGTCGTGCTGTCGCGACGGCTCCTACCTGCGATGCACGCCAAGCACAGGGAAATGCGAGCAGACCAAGTAACCTAAGTGACAGGGAAGACGCGACCTTCCAGCGCAAGTGCCCAAAAGTACCGAACGCGCAGGCAGATGTGTGGGGGGAAAACCGGTGGTTACAACGGGCGCACCGTTCTGATAAGCCCGGTGTCCTTCGCGCGTTGTGGTGTCACATGTGCACCTCCCCACGCAAGGGGGCGAAGGACTTGCCGGCACCTGTGTGGTCCTCGGTTTCCGAGACGGCCTGGGCGCACGCAGGCAGTCGCATTATACGAAAAGAACAGAAAAGAAAAGAAAAGAAGAGGCGCAGTCTTGAATTCCTTATGCTTTCTTAGCAAGCTTAGCCGCCATGCTAGCAGAACCCTCCCCGCTCAACAGTGCGGCGCAGATCGCTTTGGTCTGAGGGTAATAAAAGCTATGAGGCGCGAAAATACGACCGCTGGTCTTGGTATACGACTTTATTGATGACTTGATTTTCGGAAATACGGGCGATCGACAGCGGATTAAATCTTGGACGACCTTGTTGTACTGCTTTGAAGAGCATGGCGATGGCCGTGTAGGCAGCGACTGGCCACGATCGTCCATCTTTCATCTTCCAGCTTAAAAGGCCCATATTGGGAGTCAGAGAAGCAGCCATATTCGCCAAGGCAACCTTGGCCAGCAATTGGAATTCGCTGAGTGGAAAGCTAGAATGATATCATTGTCGTGATTGTCACAATTCTCACCTCATGTGTACGGACAGTAATTTTAGGCAGGTCGAAAATATGAGTCTCGATCATCGACATGCTGCAGGTCATGCAGAGCTGGGAGTGACAGCTGAGCGGTGCAGGCTGGGTTGTGCCGGAAAGACCATGTTCAGGAGATCCCTGCCATTTGACCTGCGGGCGGGACGAGGATGAGCCTCAAAAAGACCTAGCCGTATGCCCGTTGACGGTCGAGCGACGAGCAGCGGCGCATTAGGAGTTATAGCCAAGTGCAGCAACCGAACCAGCGGCAGCGAGGGCGAGAGCGATGGCGCTGCTGACTGCTTGCCGATGCAAGTGGACGAAAAAGGGTCGGGGGGTCTTTCCGAGGCCCGCCTAGCGAAAGTTTAGAGGGCAGAGAATGGGGGTCACATTGATAAGGCAGATCTGTGAGGCTGCAATGCAGGTCTCGCGTCGCAGTGAGACCCCACAAGAGGAAGGTCTCTCACACGACCGTGTGGGGGATGCACGGCTAGGAGTGCTGACCTCTGTTCCGAGAGAGTGGGCGTGCAGCAGGTAGAGGACCTTTTGTGCGAATCGCACCCTTGAAACAGTCCGCAATGTGGTGGTGAGAGCAATCCCGCTGGTCCTGGGGCAGCTTGCTATGCCACCAACATGGAGAGTCCAGCAATGGCCGATTGTGACGGGTGGGAAGAGTGCGATTTTCCGGATTGTGTCACGGTCTGGACCTGGCAGTGGCCGCTGGTGCAAGCAGAGACCCTGGAGAAGGTGATGTACAGTGACGGCTTTGGCGGCTTGAGGACATAGCAGTCCTGGACCTTGCTTGCCCAAGGCCTGAGTGCTGCTTGCTAGTCTGCTAGTCTGGCAGTTTGGTAGTATCCGTGGCCTAAATCCGATCCATAGCGGGCCATGCGTCCGCAGGACGGTCTAAGATGGTGCTTGCTCCTTTGAGATTGTCGCCGAGGTGTGGGAGATAGGCGTGCAGCTTGGCGGGCAGTTCAGATACCTTGAGACAGGCCTGGTCGGGGCCAATGGAAATGAGGTGGCTTGCCTGAGTAAGAGTCTGAGTGCTTGATAAGAACATGTGAAGATTCGGCGAAGCTGGACGGCAAAGGAGGGGCCTCGGCGTGAGGCTGAGATCGTACGACGGTCTGGCAAAGACGAAACAGACGAGATCATATCGTATCCGGCCGGATTGCGAGGCTCTGGACGAGTGTTCCTGAGCTGAACGGGCGTTGGCAATTAATCGAGCCGAGTCGAGTCCATCACGAGGCGTCATGACGTACTGGGTTGCCCCTGGTCTGATGGCGACTTGGGCAGAGCCGACCCATCAGGCCGGGAAAGCAGGCCACAGCAGAGATTAATTGATTTAATATACAGTAGACTGGCGACTCGCACCCAGGCAGTCAGTCAGGCACTCTGGAACTGTCTAGTAGACAGACCAACAAGACCGTTGGCGAGGCCGGCCCGTACTAGACTGGTGGAGTGGTCGGGAGGAAAGAGGCTAGCTAGCCTAATAGGCGGTCAAGGTCAACGACGAGCAACTGGGCGTTTCTTGTGGTGATCTATGGTGGTATTGAGTGGCTGACTTTTGGAGATGGTCGGCTGTTTAGTTGGTTGGTTGGTGTTGGTAGTGGTAGTGGTGGTGGTGGTGTCGCTATCGCAGATGCAGGCTCGATCCTGCCCAGCATTTTGCTTATCATCACACAGCAGTAGATACCGAGATATCTAATTACGTAGGCTGGATGGCAGGAGTGACGATCCACATCTTGATCGAGCAGGAGCAGAAATAGGGCCTGGCTTTTGGGAAGTGACTAGAAATCTCCTGTCGACGACAAGACAGGCTGAACGCTTATCCTGGTGCAGGTGCAGGTGCGGGCGCAGGTACAATTGCAGAAGAAACAGGTGTGTGTAGGTACAAAAAACATCGTATCGAGACTACTACGGTATGTACTGTACGGCACTTACCATTCTTAGCTCGGTATCTGCTCCGTACACCACACGAGGCACATCGAGGGAAGGCGCTTTGCTGCAGGTTGGGGAATTAGGTTTTGCTGGGTGGGGCCCTGCCTGTGCGAACGAACTCGCTGCAGTGCAGTGGCCCACTGCGGCTGTTGGAAGTTACCGAGCACTTGGTAAGTCAATCAACCCGGGAAGGTGAAAATGACAATGACTGAATGAATCAGTCCCTTGCTACTTGCCCAGGCTCAGGCCCAGCGGCAGTGCAATCTGTGTTCTATTTTATCTGCATCTCGCAATTTGCCTCCACACACGCACGACTTGTCTGCATCTGCCCACGCGAGCCACGCCTCTTTGACAAGTCCAGTCAAGCCTGGTGGGCCTGGACAGATAACAGCACCTGTACGCACAGTACACACACGCATACACCTCACAGTGATGATGCGGTCACATGTGTCGGTGCGGCCAAGCGAATCCTTCGACACTCTCTGAGCCAACTGTCTGTCATATCGTGGCTGTCTATCACAGATTCACTTGATGTGTACCCGTGCGCTGGGCCAGTAATCTACTCCATACGCACACACACATGCACAAAGAGGCCTCGGTCCCGACCGTCTGTCTGCCCATGACGGTGAAACAGTAGGCCACCTGGGCAGTGAACCCTGGACAGCAATTTGCCAGGCAGAATGACACCGACGTACAACACGGGAGGCAAGCAAGGGCAGAGGGGCCTCACCATGTTGGCGTGACGGGTGACGGGTGACAAAGGCGGCAATCTGGCCATGATAGGCAGGGTTGGCGGTGCGTAGCCCGTCCAATCCCACCCTCAGATGACATGCGTCCAGGGCTCAATCGGCACAGTCAGAGGCCAGAGATCAGAGACACAAGAGCCCCACGCTGTTGAGCAGTAGCCTTACCACTGCCTGCATCATTACAATACACCCAGGTGTACTACAGTATCTACTAGACATATGCACGCAGTACGGCGCAGTAATCGTGAGGAGTGGAGTGAGCAGATAGATACGTATTCTGACAGGACCCAACACCTCCACCGTCAGTCACCACACACAGACACACACCCACCCACACCCGGGGAGACCTTGTCAGTCATCGACAATCGACCGCAGCCTGCATGTTCCAACGTTGGATGAACTTGCAGGCCATGGTATTATTAGTCTGCCTTTCCCGGGATACCACAAGTCCCCCCCATGTCGCCATTGCCCCGGACCAGGACCTGGATCTGACCTGGTCCTGGCCCTGGACCCCTTTTGATCTCACTGGGCTGGGACTGGGACTGGGACTGGGACTGGGACTGGACTCGTTCCTTTCCCTCTATCCGTGCTCTATCTGCTCTGCGCTGCGCTGCTCTGCTCCTGCCGTCCATCTCACCCATTCATTCTCACTTCTCATATTTCCTGATAAGCACATCTCAAGGCCACAACATTGCCCGACAGCGAGGCCCTCCAGCCTCCCCCATCATCTCACGGGTTTCTTCGTGCTGACTCGCAGGGAACCGAAATTGGGCCTGCGTGGACTCGCTTGCACTCGATCTCGACCTGGACTTTTTGACTTCGCCTTACTCATCCTTGGCCCGCAGCATGCGATACGATCCACCGGCTTCTACATGCTGTCGCTGTTGTAGATCGCACTCATGTTTCCAGACCTTTCCAGGATCCGGCCGAGGAGAAGAACACAACATCTGCAGCAGTTTTCCTGCAGCAGTCATACCCAGAAGTCTGGTTGTTGCCCGTCGTCCCGGTGTAGAGGGACCAGACAGACCAGGTCCCACGTCATAGAACCAGCATTCCCACAACACCCGACCCCGAGTCCTGGTGAACATTGCTTTGTCTAAACCGCCCAGACAAAGGTCTCTGTCGCAAACCTGCACTCAACAACGACAAGCCTATTTTTTCATCTCATATGTCAATATTCGAGAATCAACACTTCGGACACGAACCCTCACAGAACTGGTCTACATTCGAAGCGAATTCCGTCTCCCCGCTCGTCCCTCTCCGGAGGTTGACGGGCGTGGCAAGCCTCACCAACTCACGCTCCGACAGAGTGCCACCGCAAGATGTCGCTCTATTCACATGCTCCCGAGCCCCTTTCCTGGCACGATACGAAGCCGACTGTGCTGGTGTGCTGGTGGGCGACCCTCTTCTCCACAGTTATCATCCTGCTGCGAGTCGCTGGTCGCTTCATCCGCTCCGAAATGCTCTTTGCCGAGGACAAGATGGCCTTTTACGCCCTGCTGCCCATGTACGCGCGCATGGGCTGCGTGCACGTCATCCTCGTCTACGGCACCAACAACAACGACTTTTCCAACCTCACCCTTACCCCTGACGAGATCCGGCGGAGGACCATCGGGAGCGGCCTGGTCCTCGCGAGCCGCATCTTTTACAGCGCGACGTAAGTTTCACTAATTCTCCCACAGACCTGTCAAGCTACCGGCCACGCGACGGGAAATACTAGTGCTAACACGTTATTGTCTGTGCAGGCTCTGGGTGCTGAAGAACACCATTCTAGAATTCTTTAAGCGCCTCACTGGTCTCACATGGTCCCGCTCCTACTCGGTTGGCGTCCTCGCCATCCGTTGCATGCTAGGGCTCACTTTCATCGCAATCGTCATCAGCGATTTGGCTGAATGCCGGCCCTTCCGCCACTACTGGCAGGTATTGCCAGACCCCGGAGGCCATTGCCGCCAGGGATATGTGAACCTGCTCACCACCGGGGTGTGCAATATTCTCACGGATTTATTGTTGGTGCTATTCCCGGTGCCGATCATCATCAACAGCTCCATGAGTGTGAAGCGGAAAGTCCAACTCGTTCTGCTCTTCAGCCTTAGCTTGGGTGTTGTTGCGGTAACGTTCTTCCGGGTCACGCATGTCATCGAAGCTCACGGGAGCCAACAGATGCGCTCGCTCCTGGCATCTGTTGAGCTCCTGATCGCGACTGGAGTGGCCAATGCGCTGGTACTGGGTTCCTTTGTGAGAGACAGGGGCGTCAAGAAACGCAAGTTCAGGTACGATTCCGTGGCTGGGGAATCCTACCACGCTACGGACAGCGCAAACAGGTCCAGGAGACCGGCAATTGCGGGTCTTGCGTGGGGTAGCGATGTAGACCTCGTCAGGGACGTCGGCTTTGGTGTTCAGAACGACTTGAGAAGTCCCGTCGCGGACCCAGAGGCGGCAAGACCGACACCTGCAGGACCCGTGGCGCCGCACAAGACGTTTAACCTGCAGGATTGGAATTTCCCAGAAAGATCGGCTGAAGCGAGGCGAGGAAGTCAGCTGCTTCCATCAGATCAACTCTCCGACGCGCCGAGCAGCAGCGGGCCGAGACGCGTTTCATTTTTCGATGTCGGCGGATTGCTTGACGACAGGCCCTCGAGCCCTAGCACGGCGCGGCGGCAGAGCACGATGTCCAGCCGAGACCCTCTTTCACCACACATCTCGCACTCCCCGCCATCATCTGTCCTACCTGCAAGCGGGAGCGGGTTTCGTAGAGGCTCACAAGCCCTGCTACAAGATATCGGGGGCCTTCTGCCTTTCAAGTCTGGTAAAGTCCAGGGCGGAGACTCCAGGGGAAAAGAAATCGAGGGGTCCGCTTCTTCCGGGACTGAGTTGCAGGATATTTCACCGGCTATCTCCCCACGGACGACATTACGCCCAAGTGACCCGCCGCCATACGAGCACGAAGGCAGACCCGGAGACTCGAATCATTTGATGGATGTTGGCGGGCTACTGAAGTAACAACGAAACGGCCACAATCGATCCGCTACAGCCGACAGACTACGCCAGTCTCATGTCACAAGAGAGGTGTCGAGAGATGGAAGCCAGTCCACCCACCGCCGACAACATTAACACGGATAGACACAAAACGAAATTCATGTTTTCATATTAGGCCGTATTGCATCACATCTATTGGGAGCGAAAATCTTAGAGGATATAGCCACGGCTGGGGCTGCCAGCCTTCGCAGCTCGACAGTGTTTCTCGCAACGAAAACCATAACCAAATCGAATCGATCGCGGGCACCAACCGAAACGGCCCGAAAATGACCACAACAGCGACGGGTTCCTGTAATTACCCGTCGAGTCGGAGGGCACGCAGGGCGAGACACGAATGTTGTACCTTTTCCACCTTGTTGATATTTATTATACCCGGGCCACACAGTCTGTGTGCGCCATGCATTGGCTATCTGGCTGGGAGATTGGATCGGTTCTCATTGGGAGAGAGAGGGAGTGTATGCTGACTTTTCGTTCGGAGCTTGGGCGTTCTCTTTCTTCTCTTTTTTTCTCTTTGTCTCTGTCTCTCTCTGTCTGTCCTGTGATGATACAATGCGACACGATACCTATTTGCTTAGATGGCGATTGCAAAATACCAACCACTGAACAGATCAAACGAGAAGATTGTGTTGCCTGCTGAGTGAGTCTTGTCCTCAATGGTCATCGTGGATGAACATGTTTCAGCCCATCCACGAAATGATCCGCCGCGCATGAGCCGGGAGAAACAGCCAGACTTCACAGCTCCTAACACAATCAGTGGTTGTCGATCGCCCGCGCAGGTCCGACCTCACATCCCGAACGTCGATCTTCTCGCACAGACTTCGCGGCCGTCCCATCACATCCCCGTACCCCTTTCCCGCTTCCCCCGCACCTGCCATCCTATGCTACAAATCAAGCAAAATCCCAGCTCGGGGTCTGTTTCGGCGCGGAGTTTCTCCAGCCAGCTGGTTCGCTCACCTTCCTGGGGATTGGTGGGTTTGGGCCCAGCTGCGCTTGTACGGCGGCTGGTCTCTTCGGCCGATGGACAGGTGGTCGGGCGGGCGGACGGACGGATGGACGGGCTGGTTGACACTAAAGGAGGCTGTTCTGGGATGGGCGGTTCAGGGCCATGAGATTGGTTATGGACGTCGGATCGTCGTGAAATCATTCTTATACTGTTTGATAATACAGTCGCATTTGAGCATCGCGTGGTTCTGAAGATCTGGTGACTTTGTTTCAAAGGTAGCTGAGCTTGGTATTTTGACATCTTAACGTCTCCTAGACCAAGCCCAGCTCTTTGTATACTGTTCTAACGGCCTCAATAGCATTCTTTGTTCCTGTGGCGCACGCAGCGAGTCACCAGCACTCCTAGGCAGATTTGTGAGGCTGCGTGTGGAATCGGCAGACTCGGTAGCAGATCCTATTCCTGTTCCGTAAATGCATGTACGTGCAGGTTTCGCTGGGATCAATGTCGACTACAAAGGCATTAGTCTCAAGTTGGATGTGAGCGACTGATACGACTTGTACCATGAAATGTTTGAGGGAAGATATGGCAATGCAATATGTTGTGCAGAGTATGACCATATTCTTAGTGTCAAAGTCAAGTCTCTCTTTCGCAAGTAAGAGATTACGCTCCAAGACCGTTCCAAGTCTTCCCTTGAAGCAACCAGCGTCGCGGGAGGCTTGCCAGATCTGTAGTATAACATCCATTTTCACGGAATTCAAGATATATGAAGTACGAGGAAGGACGTCCCCAGAAGCGTGTGGCTTCAAGGAGAGCTCAGGTGAGCGAACCATGGCACAGATGCCTCGCGCTGAAGACACCTGCCATGATGAATGTGGCTTGCAATCCAAGGAACTCATCGGTCTCTGGTGGTATCAACAGTTATATCAATATGGTCTATGTGTGACCCGTGAGGTCTCGACGCTACCTGCCTGCTACGGCCTGCAGGTGCGTGCAATAAATCAGGACTGAGAACTCCCTCAACGCCATTTGAGATGCCCTTTCCTTTCCGCGTCGAGAAGAAACGCCCTTTTGGCCTCCGCAGCCCATCCGCGCGATTTTAGTCCCCTCCAAAACACCGCTGCTTGCTTCCTCCGCTCATTTGTTTCGCCTAGGCTGTCCTCCCTCTAAGAGAGCGCCGCACTTCTGCCTGCTCAGACGCACAATCGGTAACTGGCGTATCGGCCTGCCGTCTCACTCGACCGGATGATCTTGACGACCTGGCCCCTCCTCAGTCCGTAGTACCGCGAGATGGGGTCCTTAAGCAGGATACGCGGCAGCTGGGTCTCCTTCAGGCGGTACCGCTTGAGCAGGGCGGCCTTCTCCTCCTTGCTCAGAACGACGTGGGTGGGGACGAGATCGTGGTGGGTGATGTTGACCAGCAGGTCCTCGAGCAGGAAACACTCGATCTGGGTATAGGCGCTGGTGGCGCCGATGGCCTTGCGGGCCTGTGGGGACAGCGCGCCGACGGTAACCATAATACCGGCGCGGAAGTTGCCCGCAGACACGGTTTGGACAAACTTCTTGATCTCCTTGACGCCCATCTGGTTGTCGGCCATGAACTCGACGTAGATCTCGCCGCACTCGGTCTCGGGGTTTGGGTTCGAGGGCGTGGCCGGTGCTGTACACTTCCTGATCATCTCCTCGCTGGGACGGGCGGAAAACTGAAGACGAGGGCGGCTGCACAAATCGCGGAGACGTTGTTAGCATTTCAAGTGGTTTTTTTTGGTACTTGGCAGGCAGGGGCGGCCGGCTCACTTCACACTGCCGTCGTGGTTGGTGTACTCGTCTTTGAACTTGTCGAGGGAGGGGTTGACTTCCTCATCGGTGAGCTCGTATCCCTGTGCGCGGTCACCGTTAGCATCTCGACTGTCGCAAAGATGCCTCATCCCCCGCCACGTTTGCACCCAGCATCGAGCGCGATCGCGCGGTTGAGCGCAACAGGCATGAAGGGAGAGTCTGTGTCGCATACCCTGTCTTTGCACATCTGGTGCACCGTCTTCCATGCCCGCCAGAAACGGACGGCCTCCTTGAGATTGGCCTCGCGATTGCTTTGACCGTCATCATCCATTATGGGCGATTTGTGTTGAGTCGTGGATGGGGACAGTTGTGTGGGTTCGACAAAGGAAAGGACTCTGAGGGTTGAATCAGGACTGATGTGGGAAAGTAGAAATGGCGAAAGAATATCAAGTGAAGTGGGTGTTGGTGTCGTGGATTTGGCAGACTGTCTCTGACCTCAGGTTTCACAGCCTCGCCAGCGGACAAAAAAAATCCAGTCACTGTCTGCAGCTGTCAATGAGCTCTGCTACTAGTGCACGGACACTCGGGCCAGGTCTGCGGCAGGCAGGGGTCCAGATTTGGGGAGGCCTGTCTCCCCACAAAAATGGTCCTGTGGTCGGGCCACTTTTGCCAATCACTACTGTGGAAAGACCCTGGCCTGGGAAAAAATGTCTACAACTTATTGGGGAGGATAGTGAACCTCACAAAACTGTGTCCATTTAAACCCACTCTTCACCACCCCAACCCTCAACACTTCCTTGTCTTCCATCCGATACTGGTCGTCGTTTGAACACAGCCTGTATCTCCTTCCGGTACAGGACCTATCCGCTCGGGCTTTCATCTCATCTCTGGTTCCGTCTCCCGGTTGATTCAACAATGGCTGACACTGATGCCGCCGCCGCTCCGGCGCCTACACGGCCCACCAAGCCGGATGAGGCGCTCTTCAAGGAGAACCTCGCTAAGGCTGAGAAGGAGCACACTCAGATCATGACCCAATACGTATGTCTGTCTCAACTTCCCCGACTCTCATCTGTACTACGCCCTCGAGCCGCACCGCAACGCCGAGCCTCCGAGCCAATATACTGATCATCCGACTAACTTCCTGCAGAACGCCATCAAGCAGAAGATCGAGCTTACTCAGTCCAACAAGAACTCGGAAAATCCCACCGCCAAGCGCCGAAGCGAGCTTCAGGAACAGCTGAAGGAAATCCGAAGCAAGCAGGGCGTCGGCAAGAACTCCCGTATTTCAAAGCAAGATGAAATCAAGCGCCTCGACGAGCAGATCCAGGCCTGTAAAAAAGAGATGAAGCCCGTGCCAGACCCCCTTACGAACGACGACAAGAAACTTCTCAAGACCGTGGACGATATTGACCGTGTGACTGAGATAATCCAGGGCCAAATCGAGGGTGGGAAGCTTAGACTTGTCCAGGAGAATGAGTACATTAAGAACGTACTCCCCAGGCTCGGCAAGTCGCGCAAGCTGTTCAATGACAATCAAGTGAAAGTGGATAATCTTCGGGAAAAGATTCAGGAGATCAAGGACAGCTTGAACAACCCAGAGGCCAAGGAGCTCAGCGAGAAGTATACCGAGCTACAAAACGAGCTGGATGCCATCAAGGCCGAGCAGGATGAGGCCTACAAGGGCCTATCTTCCCTGCGCGACGAACGCACCAAGCTGCAGGCCCAGCAGCGTGAGAAGTTCGAGACGATCAGGAAGCTCAAGGACGAGTACTACGGCCAGAGGAAGGCTTTCCAGGCCTACGACCGCGAGCAGAAGCAGAAGGCCTGGGAGCGATCGCGGGCCGAGCGGGAACGTATCGAGAAGGAGCGCAAGCTGGAGCGCGCCCAGAAGATGCTTGCCGAGGCTAGCGACCCGGCATACCTGGATGAGATCCGCCGCGCCAACAGCCTGCTGCAATACTTTGACCCGTCGTTTGTCGCCGAGAAGGCTCCTCTCCACGCCAGCACCAACTTGCAGGCTCAGGCGGAGCGCAAGGTTGACGGCTCTGACCTCAAGGGTGTCAAGATCCTAAGCAAGAAGGACCGTGATGAGGACTTCTTCCCCGCCCAAAAGAAAGGCAAGAAGGGCAAGAAGCACAACGCCGCCGCGACCAAGACTACTTTCAATGTCCCGCCTGCCGTTCTCGAGGATTGCTCTTTCATGGGCATCGACCCTCCCATGAGCGCTGATGAGGTCCCTGGCGTTGTGGAGAAGGTCAAGGCTAAGCTCGACCAGTGGAAGTCCGACCAGGCGAGTCAGACACAGAAGGTAAGAATCATCTCATCTCCCTTGACGAAATTTACAAGCATACTGAAATACATGTACCAGAATATCGAGAAGGCCAAGAAGGAGATCGAGAAGATTGAGTCGGAGGAGGCCAAGGAGAAGGAGGGCAAGAAGTCACCCTCCGGCATCGCAACACCCAACGGAAACGGCGCCACCGCAAATGGCGAAAGCGCCGATGATAAGGTCGCGGAAGTCACCAAGGAGGTCGAGGACGCTTCCATCGAAGACAAGGAGGAGGAGGCTGTTGCCGCGGCATAAACAGCCCTCCCCACATCAAAGGCACGGACCTCAGCGGTACACGCAAGGGTAGTGTACCAGTAGTGACTTGGATTGCACCTGGGACGACCTGGTTGCCCGGCTTCTAAGTTATGTGAAAGCTCCTTGCTAGGTAGCGAAAAAGAGAGTCTTCTAGTTGTAAAGAAGCAGCAAGCTGACTTGCATAATGGGGCCATGGGGAGGTGTTTCAACACTAATACACATTATGAGCGTCTTTGTCCTGGCATGCATGCTTTTTTCCGCATGCTCTCTGTGCACATCTGAAAATCACATAATGACACTGTGAGTCTCGCAGGCCCTGGCAGACATTGTTACATGAGCCAGACTAGGAAGGGCAGAGCCAGAGGGACCCGAGAAGGGCTGTCTGTGAACTCCATCCTGCTTTGCTGCTTTGCAGGACAATTAATCAGTGTGAACACATCTCACCAGCAAGCTATTGATAATCGGGGCTCACATCCGAACATTGGTTGGGCGAACGTCCTTAGTGATGGCTTATTTGTCCGCAAAAGACGCCGTCGATGAGTTCCCTTCGCTGAACGAAAGAGAATGCAACACGATCGATCAATGGGGAATGGTGCCAAGAACATCTCACGATAAATATTTCTGATATTCCGGGTATTTGCTGTGACGACGGGCCATTCATCTTGATGTGCCCAACATCTTCCAATTATGCAGCTCGACATCCGCTAGTAGTCGCGTGATATGTTGGTCATCTCTTGCTGCTTCCTCCCTCTCTGGAACCTCTCAGAACTATCTCCAGATGCATCCAGGACAGGCCTGTCAGTCTTCTGCCCGCGCCTCCCTGTCATGTGTGCCGTCTCTCGTGGCCGGAGCGGACTCCGACGAGCATGTCCGAGACCGTCGAGTGAAATCTCTGTCATTCCTCCGAACCTGTTGCAATCTGGTGGTATTGTGCATTAAGAAGAAATATGCAATATTCGCAGAGTATCCAGGGAAAGAAATGGGAGCACGAATAAGACAAAGCCCACGTAAGTGTCCCTCGTCCGTGCCAATTCCCATGTCATTGTAAATCGATGTGCACAAGATGACAAGATCGTCACCCTGGCAAGAAAGCTAAACAAGTGAACAGAAGCCTGTTCGTATCGTCCGTCCCGTTTGGCCGGAATGTGGATATCAGGATCTCAATTGAAAAGGAAAAAACGAGGCTCTTGAAGAACACCGTCTAGATGAACACGTTCTCCCGCTATGCAAAGTAATAGAAGTCGTTAGAAGTCTCCGAAACGAAAAAAGAAAAGGAGAGGGCCGGTCTGCGCACTGCCTCCCTCATTATCAATGCAAGTGCTTTTCGAGATGTAAAGTTCCGGTCATGACTTCGTCGCTCATGAAAATAATTTCGCGATCAGGAGTAAGAAGATGCATTCAGTTCGAGGGCAGGATGAATCCTAATGCGAACTTAGTACAATCAGTCTCGTCAGTAATAAGTTGGACCCGCGTAGTAATTTTGCGGTGGCGGAGGGCGCCCGAACGACGCCGAGTGACGCTGCTCTCTTGCGGGGGGGCCCGGCGTTCGCCGGTCGCTTCGTGTTGGAGGTGCCAGGGGCGGAGGTGTCCTTCTCCCAAGAAGCTCCCCGGAGGCGATGGTCGGTGCAATCCCTCCTGTCCTTCGGCTGGCCTTTCGGCTCCCACTAAGGGCTGAGAGGGGCGGGTCCCGGACAGCTTGCTCATCATCGGCGGGTAGAGTGAGTTCGACTGAATTCGGTATTAGTTTGAAGCCCATCTGGTACGCCTCTGTGCAACACAGGGGAACACACCCAAACTGTAGAAGTATTCTAGAACCTCCGGGTATCTCTGCACTGAAGCTTGCCAGTCCTCATCAATGCCACGCTTCAGAGCCGCCTGTGCCGCAGCGATTTCGTTGGGATGTGGTGGTGCATGGTACCAGTGATATGCGTGGCTGGTAATCCGGTCCAGGTGAGCAGTGTGAGCTTGTTTCCGCCGATCGGTGAGCAAACGAAAATATTCGAGGATGTAGTCTTGTGCGTGTGCTCTGACCCATGAACTACTCGAGTGGCCTTGCGTCAGTCCATCTCAGTTCATCCAACTGTTCCTATTGGACTTTCCTCCTTTCCAAAGCCTCGGGGGCTGTCGTACCGTATGTCATTGTAAATAGATTGCATCATGCGGGCCTCGGCCTGCCGAATGGCTGTCTCGAGGCCTTTTGCCTCGCAGTCACACGCAGCTGTTGCTGGAGCATGACATATTGCGCAATCCGGATCCATCTTCACCGGTTTTTGCGGTGGCGGAGGATAGTAGTCCCTGACATGGTACATGATTTAGTTGGATACTCATAGGGTAGAGTTGGGTCAAAGTTGAACAAAGGCCGCGCAGGCTGCGATAGAGGGAAACAAGATCATATGACAAGACAACAATAAGACAAGGCGTTCATCAGGGCACCGGAGCCCATATCATATCATACAAAGGTGGTGGAGTGAAGCTTGAGGATAGCGTAACAACCAGCTCCTTCAACCACAATCTTTCATCGCAATACCCCGGTAGCAGGGCATGAAAAGGAGAACAGGGCAGTATTAAAGAGGGAAAGGACCAGAATAGATGAGATGGAAGAGCCTGAGAATGTGGGGAGGGGTCGAGAAAGAGGTTGGGATGGGACGACAGCAGACAAAACTCGACAAACCAGACTGGACCATTCAAGAAACCACTGACCTTCCACAAAGAGGGAATAAACCCACGGCGGTAGGTAGGGCACGCAGAGGAGGAATCGAATCAACTTCGACTCAATGCAGGCTTGCTGCAAGAGGTGCAGCGGCAACAGAGGACAGACACGGAGTCACAGGAGGACAACAACGTGGAGCTACCAGCGTGTTGGGCCGGCTGTGTGGAGAAGAGGACGGTGCATGTGCACACAACGCGTTCAGTACGATGGCGGAGGGCCACTGGAGAGCCGTCGATACGTGGAGCGGGCGATGAGTGGCCGAGTTGAGGAGTATGGGGGAGAACGGGGCCGTCTCTCTTTGGCTCGATCCAAGAGAAGTGACTGGAGAGGTCCGGGAGTGAGAGGTAGGAGATGAAGCACCAACTGTAGGGAGAAGAGAATTGGCCGCTTCTTGCGGCAGCAACAGTAGCAACAACGGCAACGGAGAGTCAGATACAGCACAGACAGCCACAGGAAAAGGCGGGAGGTGATGTGAATGTGAGGTGAGGTGGGCGACTGTGTAGACAGGTGGGTAAGGTAGGGTCAGGTTGGGTCTCGTGAGGAGAGACGCAGACGTTTGGGTTCGTCTGGGGGGTTCGGCTCGGGGAGGTCCAGGCTCGCCCACATTAGTCTGGGAACCGTATGTCGTGGCTCGAATGCGGGCTACAGAATTTTGCGACTCTCATGCAGCGTCCAGGTTGCGACTTGCAGATGTCCAATGAGACAAAATGCCCGTTGAGACTTTAGGCTTTGGGCGGGCCCCAAATGACTGCTCTCTTGGGGGAGCTGCATCTGCCACTCCATCCGCTTCCCCCCGAGTGATCACAGAGACCATTGGCATCACGCCCAGTCAGACAGACGGCGAGCCCAACGACGCGGAGGTGACGGAGGTGAGAGGACCAAGTGTAAGAAGAGGCGAGAGTTGATGACTGATCATGTGCGTGAGGAATCATTCTGAGACCCATGGATGAGGAGGCTTTGCCGGTTCATCTGAACCCCTGACTAGAACAAAGAGACCCTTCAAAGCTCGGCACCACCCGTTCAGAATAGTAGGGTCGTCCGAAGATAAGGCTCTTGGTGCGGCTCGTCCTGGCCAGCCTGACTCTGGCAGTCCTCATCAAACACACCGCTAGAAGGCCGTCTCACGGTGGTACAGACTCCGGCCGCATGACGGGCCATTGCCTTTCTCCCTTGCGCATACATGTAGCTTGTGTCCCCACTGAGGTGCTTAGGTGCGGAGCAAACGAATCGCTTCATGGCGAAAGCGCGTGCCCCTGCTGTAAGAGCCGCATTAAAGGAATGGCTGGGCTGGTGGGCGAGCGTCTGTCGATTGGGATGGCCGCGGCCCGGATCCATTTCTGCACAGATGCGCGCCGGGTTGTCTGCACGAGAAACACGGCCAACAAGTCATCAAAGGAAACTCAGGATATCTCTGCTCCTCATTGTCCATCATTTGATGGCCGGGCGTAGAGACTTGGTCGTTGCATCCGTGGTCTTTCAATCGTTCACATGCTGGGTAAAGGCGACTTGAGTCGGGAAGCCAGGGGAACAACCAAGGAAGAAGGCCAGTCACCTCGGATAAGCCCACCCTAGTCGTGCTTTTAGGGGCTCTGTCTTATCTTATCGCTTGCTCCAGAAATTCTTTTTGGATGACCTCACCCTCGAAGTCAGTTTTAGTTTTGTGGCGGTTACAATCCCCTCAATCGCAATCTCATACTGGCAATGAACTGACTTTGAAATGGCTTCGCGGTGCTCAGGCGGGTCACTGCACTTCTTGCCATTCTTGTACCCTTCATTGTTCCTGAACAAGGCCACAGGAACATCTCGTCTAGCCGCCACCGCGGTTCAAGTGCGGCACCACATCGCCGAAGCCTCATCCCAGGAGCCTCCATCCTCGAGACTTGACCCAAGGCCTGACGACTACTACGTGACCAATTTCGCCGACAAGGCTAAGCTCAACATCTACGCTGGCGCAGGCGGCGGCGGTTGTATCAGTTTTGCCCGCGAGGCCTACTTGCCCGATGGCCCGCCCAATGGTGGCGACGGAGGCCATGGCGGCAACGTCTATATCCAGGCCGTCCCTGGCGAAACATCGTTACATAAGTTAGCACGGAGACGGTTCATCAGAGCGACGAGGGGGACAAATGGGCAGGGCAGCAACAAGGCAGGAAAGCGTGGCGAGGATGTCATCATTACAGTGCCTGTGGGCACAGTCGTTCGCGAACTCAGCCGCGAGGACCCCGAGATCGAAGAGCAGATTCGTCGACGATTATACAAGACGCGCAAGTCCTTGCCCAACCCTGAGAATGGCAGCTCCGAAGGTGCAACGGGGGCACCACCCGAGGAACAGCAGTATGACAACCCAGAACTGGACAAGTGGATCCTATACCCTGGTATATCATCGTCGGAAAAGAAGAGAATTCAGGTGCCCGATCTTCCAAGCCGTGATAAGCTCTTTGCCCAGCCTCCCGCCCCAATCAAGTTGGACTTGTCTAAGCCAATGCCGCGACCGGTACTCCTCGCGGCTGGCGCACTCGGTGGGCTGGGCAACCCGCACTTTGCTTCTCGCGAAAGGCCCCGACCATTGTTCGCCACGAAGGGGGACAAGGCAATATCGATGCAAATAGAGCTGGAATTGAAGCTTCTCGCGGATGTTGGGCTGGTCGGCCTTCCCAACGCCGGGAAGAGCACGCTGGTACGAGCCTTGACCAACAGCCGGGCGAGAGTAGGCGCTTGGGCGTTCACGACATTGCAGCCCAATATCGGAACCGTGGTACTGGACAACAACCGTGGCAGGCCCGTGGTCACGAGCTACCATCACCAGGATGTGCAAGACAGCTGGGATGGAGACACTGAGGTGGTGCAGAGGACGAGGTTCACCATTGCAGACATCCCAGGACTAATTGAGGGTGCGCACCTAGACAGGGGTTTAGGCATCGCATTCCTGCGGCATGTGGAGAGGGCTGGTGTCCTGGCTTTCGTGATTGACCTCAGCGCTGGGAATGCAGTGAAGGCGTTGAAAGCGCTGTGGATTGAGGTCGGGCTGTACGCCCAGATGCGCGAGGAGGAAGAGCAGGATAGGGAACGAGAGGCTAGGATTGAGAAAGGTCTCGGCCCTGAGGCCGAGGACGAGGAGGGGTTCCAGTGGGGGCAGAACTGGCCTATCCACTCAGAGTATCCCAACGCGCCGGCGAAGCAGACGGGACTCAACATTGCGGGCAAGCCATGGTATGTGATCGCGACCAAGGGTGACTTGCCAAACACCCAGGAGAACTTCGGGGAACTGCGGGAGTACCTGACGAGGGTCACCGGTGGTGATGAACCACACCCAAGTGGCATCAATGGTGCTTGGATCAAGGACTGCGCGGCAATCCCAGTCAGCGCACTCAAGGGGCATGGCGTGGACAGAGTCATCCAGTGGACTGTTGGGTTACTTGACGGGTGAGAACGGCCAGTGCTTTCATGTGGTCAAAATGCAGATCTACTGTACAATACAAGAGGATGTGCCAATGGCTGTGCTTGCGATCTTCACAACCATACAGTTGGACAGGTTTCACTGGGATGTTGTCTAGATTGTGAACTCTGGTACAATGACCTCTTGGGGTTAACACCTTGTGAATCTTTTGTAGACTCGACCTCTGAAAATCGAGCTCATGGGGTGTGCCCAGAAGGGTAGCGTGGCGCTATCAACACCCCACCTCCGCACAGAGGTCCACCCCAAATACATCCATCGCATTTTCAATTTTCTTGTCGAAAAACTTCATCCTGCGACTGGACCGTCACAGCTTCTCCACAGCCAATTACAGAAGCCAATCATAACGAAATGGCCAAGTTTAAGGTATGTTCGAGCTCAGATTCCATCTACGAATGTCTTACCAATACTTACTGACTTTTTCAGGGTCGCGGAGGCAGAGGCGGCGGTAGAGGTGGTGGCCGTGGTGGTGGCGGTAGGCGGGATACCCGTGAGAATCGTTACCGCCCCGATATCACGAAAGCACACGAAAAAATGGAGCGCTACTACAATGAACTTCTAGAGCTGTCGGAGGAAGAGAAAGCGACCTTCTGGGAAGCGCTCCGTCGAGAGCTGCCCAACAGCTTCAGATTCTGCGGCTCCAAGGGGTCAGTTCGATTGCACCGACATTATTTAGAGCCACGGAAAACTGATCCTCGACCTACAGACATGCGCTTACTGTGAAGCGCCTCCTCGAGAAACGCTACATCCCTGAGATTGTCGAAATGACCAACTACGACGGCATGCCAGTCGAAGCTCCCCTCCCTGTGCCTTGGTACCCCGACAACCTGGCATGGTGGATGACAACTCCCAAGAACGTCATCCGTCGCTACCCACCTTTTGCCAAATTCCAGAAATTCCTCGTCTCGGAGACTAGCGTCGGAAATATTAGTCGGCAGGAGGTCGTCAGCATGATTCCTCCCTTGCTCTTGGACGTCAAGCCGGGCCATGTTGTCTTGGACTTGTGCGCTGCGCCTGGAAGCAAGGCTGCTCAGCTCCTGGAGATGCTCCATCAGGGCGAGGAGGGCCGCATACTCAAGGCCTTGCAGATACACGCAAACGAGGATGGTCGCGAGGTCCCTGCGTACCCGGGCCTGGAGTCTGTCGATATGGAAGTTGACCCGAACGATGATGGTCGCGCTACCGGCCTATTGATCGCGAACGATATGGACTACAAGAGAAGTCACCTTCTGATCCACCAGCTGAAGCGACTCTCTTCGCCCAACATGATCGTGACCAATCACGATGCGACGCTGTTTCCCTCGCTGCAGCTTCCTTCCGCGAACCCTGCCCAGGTTCAGTATCTCAAGTTCGATCGCATCTTGGCTGATGTGCCCTGCTCTGGAGATGGCACGCTCCGCAAGAACGTTAACCTTTGGAAGGACTGGATCCCTGGGAATGCCCTGGGTCTGCATCAGACCCAGGTTAGGATTCTCGTCCGCGCCCTGCAGATGCTCAAGCCTGGAGGCAGAGTCGTCTATTCGACATGCAGCATGAACCCTGTTGAGAATGAGTCTGTCATCGCTGCAGCCATTGAGCGCTGTGGTCATGAAAATGTCGAGATTTTGGATTGCAGCAGCGAGCTCCCTGGCCTCCAACGTGTACCTGGAATGACAAAGTGGAAGGTGATGGACAAAGCGGGCCGCACCTGGAACGACTGGAAGGAGGTCGAGGAATGGACTGCGAAAGAGAGCAAGGACGGCCTCATCCCTGGAAAGCTGGTACCAACCATGTTCCCACGCAAACAGGACGATGATACCCCAGCAGTCCCGCTGGAGAGGTGCATCAGAGTATATGCGCACCAGCAGGACACTGGAGGATTCTTCATTACCGCGCTGCACAAGAAGAAGGAGTTCAAGGCCAAGCCTGAAAATTGGATGTCACTTGCAAACAAGACCACTGGGGCCCAGCAAAGCGAGCCACAGCCCGAGGATGGCGCAGCAATTGCAGCTGCTCTCGTCAAGGCTGAGGAAGAGGGGTCTATTGAAGCCAAGGTCGAGTCCTCTACGAAGCCTGCGGACACAAATATTGAGGATGACGTGGACATCCAGACGGAGGGAGCAGGAGCACCCAGCGCTGGGACAAGTAGCCCTCTGAAGCGGGCGCGCCAAGACGAAGGCGAGCCACAGCCAGAGGCAAAGCGCCAACAGACTGACGCTGCACAAGCGCAGTCCGACGTGCCACCCACGGGCTACTACGACGGCGAGAAGGAGCAAGAGCCCCCAGTCGAGCACAAAGATACAGCCGAGGAGCAGCAGCACCAGCAGCAAAAGAATGGCGATGCCACTCCTGTGCAGAAGGAACAGACCGCGGCTGACGGCTACGGTGGCAAGGCCGCCAAGAAAGAGAACAAGCAGCCATTTGAAGAGCCGTTCAAATTCCTTTCTCCAGACAACCCCGTCATCAAGAGCGTGCAAGAATTCTACAAGATCTCACCCCGCTTCCCATCGGATCGTTACATGGTGCGCAACGCAATGGGCGAGCCCGCCAAGGCGGTCTACTACACCAGCGCCCTTGTCCGGGACGTCCTGACTGCCAATGAGGGCCGGTCAACAAAGTTCGTTCACGGCGGTGTCAAGATGTTCATGAAGCAGGATGCCCCCTCGGCCGAGGTCTGCAGGTGGCGTATCCAAAGCGAGGGCATTCCTATTTTGCAGGGTTACGTCGGGCAGGAGCGTGTCGTGGTTCTGCGCAACAAGGAAACACTCCGCAGGCTCCTGATTGAGATGTTCCCGCGCATCAGTGACGGGGAATGGCAGAAGCTGAACGAGATCGGCGAGCGGGTGCGCGACATCGGAATGGGGTGTCTCGTGCTGCGCATCGAGCCGGATGGCACTGATGAGGACTTCAGCGAGAGGATGGTGCTCCCTCTGTGGAAGAGTTTCCACTCCCTCAACCTCATGCTGCCGAAGGAGGACCGTAGCGCCATGTTGCTGAGGATCTACAACGACACTACCCCGCTGGTGAACAGCATCCTCAAGAGGGACCAGAAACAAGGTGAGAAGAAAGCTGACGGCGACAACGGTATCGAAGCGGAGCCTGAGGCCGCCGTCGTGGCGGCTACTGAGGCCGAGGTGGGCGACAATGACGACAGCGCTCCTGTAGACGCCATGGAGGAGGACACGACAGCATCAGCACCGGCGGCCTAGGTGGCCCATAGCTTCCGCGGCTGGTGACCGACCCACCACCACTATTCAGGATACCTGATGCCGTTGGGTATGTGTGTTTCGAGGACGGCGTTTTGGCTTGTAAAAGTGCGCAACGCGTTGCCGTGCGACATAGAAAAGTTCCAGGAAATTTCAGCCACTTTTTCCCTCACGTGAAGCAAGCTGGTTCGTGTGAAACCCGAACCAAGGAGTCGCTGGATGTCGCACCTGACTTCCGGCGCACTGGAGCTTGCAGACCATTAACTAGCGTGACTTGTCTTGTGAGTTGTGAGGCGGGTAAAGTATTTGCAAAGCTCGTCTGCTGCTTGGACGTAGTCGCACAGCTTGTAGCCTTGTAGCGAGTCCAAATGTTCAAGTGCCACTCAACTGTTGCTACAACTGCAAATCCTTCCTATAGATGCATGCTGTCGATCAGCCTCCTGTATGAGGTTGCTTACTGTAGAAAATTATAGACGTGCATTTATGCAATGATAATTCAATATCCCCAGACATGATTTTGGCCCTCTTCTCTGCTTCAAAGTGCTTTGCTGAATTTCTAGGCTCAAAGGTCTAGACCACAGCGTAGGTGGCACTCACATCCCAATTTCGATCTCATGTAAACCGTCTTGAATGTCTTGGATTAGTAGCAACTGAGAAATCTAAGGATTTTCCACAGCTGTTAGGGATAAGAATACTGAACCATGTTGTTTTGCCTTACATAGGAGGTTACTGAGACTTTCGACGTTGATGTGATGCGTCAACAACCCGGCATCCTGGGAAAGATCACTGGTACAAGACTAGCCAAGATCTCTAATCATGCCCATTTTGAATCCTGCAATAAGCAACAAGCTGAATCAATCGGTCATGAGCTCACCTGCCAAGACAGCAAGACAAAGTACCATACAGAGCAAGAATGCCTCCCTGAGCTGTTCATATAGATATAAGTGGTCGCAAGCCGTTTCAAACTACGAAAGCCAAGCAAGTCTGACACAACAAGTCTTGTCTCGGTGGTACAAACAGAGCTGTGGCTTCAATAGTCAGGTTCTCACACGCTGATTTTGGCCACCCGGAGTGAATTGCCTCACACTAGATTTCCGAAGGCTGAAGTCCCTCGGCGTGCAAGGGACATTGATGTCTCAATCCCAGAGTTGGCTATCAAGGTCTGCAGATAGGCTTCGTCTTCGAAATATTATTTAAGGGACTCAATTACTTCAATGTCTCGTAGTTGATTTCAAGAGCCATCAAATTTAATTGTCAGCTGCAGAATCACAATACAACCAAACCATATGTTCACCACAATGCAATTCCCCATTGCCAAGCTTTACCTCCTCTCGGCACTGGCTTCGTCCAGCCAAGCTTGGAAATTGACCTTCCAGGGCACAAACGCCAACAATATTCTCAAGCTCAATGGGCACGACGATGTCAAGTGCAAAACCCTTCCAAACGGTGAGAGGTTCACCGTTAGGGGTATCGACTTCGACAAAGACGACGGCGTCCTCCTGCCTGACGCCCGGTCATTCAAGGTGTACTCGGGACCCGATTGCTCTTCCGGGAGTGTCCATACGTATTCTACCAGCGGAGACGGCTACCACCCTCTAGCGACACCTTTTGTTATCAAGAGCTACCATGTTGATGTCCCTCTTTAAAGTTTACTGGAATGCGCTGGGGGGATATTGTTCGTTAGCAAGCACTACTAAGTAGTTATGTACTTGACTATTTCTGGGCTTGGAAGGGAACAAGTACGGTTAAGAGATACAAGTTGCATACTATTTCTACTCCGAACGAGCCTCGGGCACAATGCATGACCCAATGCCTGGAAGTCAATTGTCCTGTATGAATGTAGATGCAGGATGTAAATACGATATTGAGCCGGTAGGTAGCGTCTGCCAAAATGTACTAAGAATCAGTGCCCCATGCACGTGTAGTCCAACCACGGCTGAGCATCTCCATCCCGTAAATTCAAAGCAGTAACACTTTGTGCCATGCGTGTTACAAGAACATCAAGCCTTACGAAACAGCCCAATTCTGGGCGTCTCCCCGTCGTCATGACCAGGGTCAAGACCTTGGCCGCAATGGTACGACTATAATACAGGACTGGTCACCAAACCTGTCTAGCTTGGAATAGTTTATTCATCATGGCTCAACAGACATACTTTATACCAGAATCTAGCTTTTCTACGAGCTCTTTCACCGATGGATATATTTCCCTGAATCTCCTTAAACATATCATCAGCTTTTCCGCATAACAATCCTTTTCACTTTCCCACGGTTCCTTGTTATGTATTTCCGCCTGTCTCTTCAAAAAGGCAATCGTAGATGCTATAGTGCTAGGTAAAAATGGATATGCCTACATGAAATTAGCTGGATGATCAGGCGATGGTGATATAGCTACAAAACAAATATCTCAATATTAAACCAGTGCCAAAGACTCACCTTTAGGTAACTTAAACGAGGCAGTGCGCATGTTAGATGAACTATTTCAGTAGCGGCCTGATAAGCCCTTTGCTCGTAGGCCGTGATCATCAAATGCTGCTCCGTCGTTTGCCACGGCCAAGTGGCAGCAGTGTCGCTTAGGTAGATAATTGCACTACGACCCAACAAATGACCAAAAGTGGCCATCGGATCACATGTGTCAAGCGATATTTCCGTCAGAGGCAGGATTCGCCTTTCCAAGGCGGCCGCTAGCCACTCGTGCCGTCTACAGAATTCGCTCGAGTCCTTCGCACCAACCTTTTTTCCGTTGAGCGCCGTAGCAATGGCTAATCGCCGGTGCGTCAGACAGCGGCCGTACAATGCTGCTAGGACAACGTTTTCGGCAAATGGGGTAAGAGTGGTCTTACTCGAGTCCATGATCGCCTCGGCCAGAAGATCTTTGCGACTTTGCTGAGATTTTTGAAAGCTGGTTTCAGTAGCTGGGAGGTTCAGGTAAATCTATGAAAGAGGAGATTGAGTATCAGTTTCAATCAAAATTGGGATGACGCAGAGCTGAGGGACTCACCACCTCTTCTTGAAGTGTAAACGTCAAACTATCGTGTGCGTTCAGGAGTCGATCAAAGCAGAATGCCAACCAGAATGTCCGCCTCTTCTCTTCCAGTAGGGCGTTTGAAGGGTCACCAGATTGAAGGGAACCAGGAGAACCAACCTGCGAATCCTTGTGTGTCGGTGTATTCAAAGCATCGACAGCGTGTAATTGCGTCAGCTGCACTAAGCGGAACGCACGGGCAGCCGTAAGTAGAACGTGATGGCGTTCCATGCGAACAAACTCGTAATAGGCCAGCAGCAACCATGCCTGTATCTCCTCAAGCTGAATGTCGCCTGTCGTCCAAGGGAGGTCACGATCATTGCCGTCCAACTTGTGTAGTGCCTGGCGTGTGGCAGCGTAAAGCCTGTGGCTTAGATTCTGGAATTGGGTGGAAATAGCGGCGGCAAGAGTCCACATCGCTAGACGCAAAGACGTACGGACTAGCGATGGGGTTTCCTGGTCTGCCCACGAGAAGTACCGCCCTTTGTGAATTATGGGCGCGAATGGGTGAACCCTTTCAAAGTATAGCGCATCTCTGTTGATTTGCGTTGGTAAATAAAGACACAAGAGCTGGGAGGGATGATTGGTCTGAACCTACAAGTCGGCACGCATCATATCGGACAGACTTAGACTTTCCGGTACCAAGGTTAAGTTTGATGATTCTGAAGTCGTATCTGGTTCTGGAAACTCAAATAGCTGATCATCCCATGTTGGCGTCAAATCGTCCAGCCAGCCAACCGTCCCAACAGCCATATGCACACCTGCATGAATGTTTGGTTCGAGCCCTTCCACATCCAGTTGACCACTTTCTCCATCTTGCTGGCTTGGGGAAATGTACTCAATACTACTTTGTTCGGCGAGCTGGCGCTCCAACGCGGCTGTGAATACGTGTGAGAAGAAGTTCGCGGACATCAGCTCTCCTTTTCAGCGACTTACCGACCTGGGCCTTCAATGCCCGAAGTTGTCCCTTCTTTGGACCACGTTTCGGCCTTTCATCGACGAAAACACATGCCGTGTCAGCCCGGGCGCATGAACCACACTGGGGCTGAACACGGTCGCACTTCGACTTGCGGCGACGGCACTGTTCGCACGCCAGGTCGCTCTTGCATCTCGTACTTGTTGCCATTGCCTAGACAGTTTGTGGGATAAATGTGAATATTGGTTGAGGCGGCACCGTTCAAGTTATGTTGGCCTCTCTATATTAGTACCTCGTCATTGGTTCGAGTATTTTGGAGCTGTTTTTGGTGGCTGTATACCGGATCGTAACGGACCCCTAAATAGGTTTGTAGACTACGGGGCTACCTTTGGAGTCCAAGTCATGCTATACCGGTTACAACGATATTTAGAAAAGAGAATAGATAGGCTGGCTAGTAATATCAAGCACCTCAATCAAGTTCTTGAAAACTGAGCTTCCAAAACGTTGTTCAAAATATTTGAAAGTCTCAAATTCATTTTATTTCATACTTTTATTCATATATATAATCATCAAGTTCACTTATATATAGCTTTATTCTGATAAATATATCAATAAAGCTTTTATAATGCTTAATATATTATAAATGTCCAATAAATCAGACATTATTGCTTAGTTTTCTTTCCGGTTCTGCACTAAATTGAAGGTAGTAAAGTGCTGTCAACGATACTTCTGGTTCCTCCCGTTGGTCTCAGTGCAAGCTATTACGGCTAAGTGATTCGGTACGAACCTTAATGTTCACGGGGAGGCCAATTGAGTTCTGACTTGGCAAGGGGTAGCCGCAACGGTGGATACCTGTGGGTTTGATTTTCCACGAAGTCACATTGAGCGGAGCAGGGCGAGTCGCGACATGCTTGTCTGCGCAGCAACGAACGACAAAGCCGGAATGAGACATCACGAATCAGTAACTAACCTAGGTAAGCCCACTACCAAATCTGGCGTTGCTCATTAGAACCTTGGTTGATCTTGAGTTGGCGGTAGGACTGCTGTGCGCTGCCAGTAAAGCAAGGAAATGACCCCGGAAGCCATGCATATGTAACCTTGCAAGGCCGATCCAGATCAATCAGAATGAATTCTGACATCCGCTTTATTTACAAGCTAAACGTCCTGGATGGCTACATCAATCTTGAGGTATTGTGAAGTGATGACTGCCTGATCACGCTCTTGGAGTCTGTGTAATAATCTGGTCATGTAACCACTTCCGTTGAAAAGAGACTTAATGGCACAGGCCGACAAGTTCACCTGCATCTTCATGGCAACCTGCTTGCAGGATGGAGACGTTGATGTACAATGCAGATCTTAGTCACGTCACCACCCCTGGCGTTCCTGAAACTTTAACCCATGGATTATATCATGATTTCCCTTTATCCATTAGGAATAGTCTGGTGCGAGGAAAGGGTCTCAGTCATGACTAGCCCCTTACATTGGGCGGATTATGACACGTCTCATCTGTGCAATTCGGGAAGTTACCACGAATGTGCAGGATTGTTTTATTAACATGGGACCAAGCAACCGACAGATTCTTCTGCATGGTGCCTTGATGTGGCCGTTCTCTAGAAGTCGGACGAGTCAAGGCTGAGTTGGCTTGGACAAATCCGCCGATGCTTACCCAGACAGGCATGTCTTGTACACAGACGTATAGACTCTGAGGCAAATTTCATTTCCATATTCAACTTATTTAGATTTCATCCCCCCTACTAAGCACAAAGATGAACTTTTCTGTTCTCTTTGAAGGTCCAAGCACTGTTTAGAATATTTGTGTGGACAAGTTATAGTAGTGGAATACCTTGTCGCTTCATCCCAATTAAAACACCAAGACCTTCTTCAAAAATTCGTAGGTGCAAAACACAACCGACTGTCCCAAACCTACACGTAAGACTCGCGGAACGAGACCTCTATATAAGCCCCTGAAACCTTGCGTCTGAACGATCTCTTGAAAGATCCTTGGAATAGAAGTCTGTTGTCGCTCAAATATCGTGAGTTTCTGGGTTCGGGTTTCTATGGAGGAAGCAGAAATGTCAGTGAAGGTAATGCCAAAGGCCTACTACTTTGAGTGATACTTTGTCATAATGAATGGATTCATACTTAGTGCATCTATGGGGGAGTTGACCATAGGGCCTAATGAACCAGCAAAAAAGCCATTCAAGGCAACTTGCCAGGCTGGCAGGCCTTCCTTTTGGTACTGTGGTTGGAGATCAAGTAGTGATCGTCGAATGGTTTGATACGCGAGGAAGTTGGCTATATAGAAGTGCGCAAGCAAAGTTAGAATCAGACTGCTTGAAATGTGTTTTGCTACCTGGGAGTTCCCGACCTACCTGCTTGGTTCGTTCCTTGACGAGCTGCTGTGAGTCCAACGCCACTCCACAGTGCAGTGGGGCCCTCATTCCTGATTATGCCAGCCAACGCCTGCGCAGGATTTCTGCGATCATTTGAATGTGCGGTCTGTAGTCGGATCTTGAGCACATCGGTAGGTGTCACGATCAGAACCGCTTCGGTCATTCCCGCAGCGAGACCAGCTGTCAACCACAACAAGTTCAGCAATCTGTTCGACAGAGTATGAAATCAACTCTGGTCAACCTACAGAGAAAAACCTTGCTCGAGGGCAATTTGTCTTCCATTGGGCTCTTCAACATCGAGCTATAAAACTCGAAGCTTGTGAACCTGACGGCCATCTTGGGAATAATGCCGAATAAGACTGCACCTAGACCTCGGTAAAAGGCGGCTGGAGACTCATGATAAACAGAATGCAGAGTGCCTGAGAAAGCTACAGGAGATTTTTGCCTCAGATTAGCACCACTGGTTGTGATTTTGCTGCACAAGGACTCTTGGGTAGGGTGGCAGAGCTCACTAGCAGAATTTTGCCCTGCTATAGTGGCAACATGTGTCATCGTATGCTGTCTTGCGGTTTGCATTCTGACTTTGATTGTGTCTAGCAAGAGATTAGGTGTGACTCTTCCATATTTCCGACTCATTCAGAGGAAGGATTGAGGGCAGCTGCTCTACTGACCTAGAGGATGACAGACAATCGCTTCTACCATGCCAGATAGGCCTCCTGTATAGGTCACAAATTAGCTTGAGACCATCCTAATAATACCGGTGGGAGCCAACTGAAGGACTCGAGGGAAGAAGGAAGTCCTTACCACATGCCGCCGCCGCTCCAAATGGCAAAGACAAGGCGGTACGGTCCGGCTTGGGAATCACCGGCAGGGCAGCTTTGGTGTCCATGTGGGTCGCCGTCAGTTCAAACTGCGAAACGAGCAATCGAGGGAGCTTCACTGCTGCTGGGAGTCAGGTATCAATGCGATAGGTATGCTCAGATGATTCTACGAGATTTTAAACCCATTTGAATGTCGGTTGTCCACCATTGATTTCGTATTTAATTGTGAGCACCCTTGAGCTTTCCTACAAGTCTCCGCACTACGCGACAGATTGATCCTGTGGAGACAAGAGTGTGATATTGGCTTTATCTGATACCGATTGAGCAGCGGCTCTGAGGCAGGCAAGAACAAGTCGACTGACATGGGAGGGCAAGAGAAACATCTTCACACAAGTCTTCGATGGACACTGATTGTTGCAATGCAACTAACGAGGAACGGGCGAAAGTCGCACCGTGAGAAACTCAATCTCTCACACAGTATACAAGTTACAAGATCTATGATAGTATGCCAAGCTAGATCTGGTACAGTGTGGGTTGGGTGAGAACGTTTACGCACCGACAAATTGAGCGTCGTCTTGCCCTCTACGTGGGGCCGTGATGATTCGGCCCGTTCTAAGTACGTAGACCAGTCAACGGATGATTTGAAACAACGTTGTCAATCCCCACGTTGGTTCTCACGATTCATGATCCATGATTTGTGTGGTATCCCGGATAGTGCAAAAGGTGGCACGGCACGCATGGGAGCGGAGACCACGGCACGAAGCGGCTTGGTCAACGGGTTCAGTGCAACATGCCTGTCAGTTGACACTATTTGGTGCTCACCAAGTGGGACCAACCACTCCGTCAAAATTAATCCGGAGATGTTCTGAGGCCACTGGACATGCCTAAATCTGACTCGAGGACTCCTAACGTGAAGGTGGATACACAAGTATAACTATCTGCTTTTATTACCGCCTAGATTCTTATCCTACCACCAACATCGACAGCTGTGGTTTTCCATCCAATCCAACATCATCATTCTTCCGATCACCATATCATTCCTCCGGATACCACCTCAATCTTTTCTCCGACACCCACATTAGTCACCAGCCTCCATATCAGCTGAAACAGTAAAGCTTGAAAACGCAACCATGTCCTCCTTCCTGTAAGTCCCACCGACCCCCACAATGGCGAGCTCGTGGCGTAGGGGAGCCAGGCAATTAATCATCAGGGTCCAAAAAAATTCACTGACAGATTCTCCACAAAAAAGGAGCAAGGTGTTTGCACACAAGCAGTATGCAGCGTTCCGACCTAGTTACCCTGCGGAGCTGTACGCCGCAGTTCTTCAATACCACCGGGCGAGCGGAAGGGATCGCCTACGACACAAGCTTGCTCTGGACCTCGGCACTGGTCACGGCGTCGTGGTCCGCAGCCTGGCACCTCATTTTGGAAAGGTCGTGGGGACTGACCCGTCGGCTGGCATGATCGCACAAGCCCAAGCCATTACACAGGCGGATCGGCTCTTGCAAGGCTCAGACAAAGTGTTATTCAAGCAGGCCGGTGCTGAGAAAATTGACTTCCTCACCGATGGGTCCGTTGACCTTGTCACAGCGGGACAGGCGGCTCACTGGTTTGACTATCCAAAGCTGTGGCCGGAGATGGCCCGCCTGACTCGACCGGCCAGCACGCTTGCCTTCTTCGGATACAAAGACCACGTTTTGCCACAATACCCCAGGGCGAGTGAAATAATCCAGCACTATGCTTACAGCAAGGAGCCGTACCTACTAGGTAGTTATTGGCAACAGCCTGGACGCTCGATCGTGCAGGATAAGCTGAGAAAGGTAATTCCTCCCCCAGAACAGTGGGAAGACGTGCAAAGAATTGAGTATGAGCCTGATGTCAAGGCTGGACTGGGTCGGGGCCAAGGCCGGAGGTTCATGAGCGCAAGAATGAAACTGGGTGCCATGGAAGAATACATCAGGACGTGGAGCTCTTTTCATGAATGGCAACGAAAGTTCCCGGATAGAAAGCGACGGGGCACGGAAGGTGACTTGGATGGTAAAGGGGATGTTATTGACGAACTCATGGACAAAGTGCGTGAGACAGAGCCGCAACTGCAGGGCGACGGGTCCCCTGGTGGCTGGAAGGACTTGGAGGTCGACGTTGAATGGGGCAGCGCGTTGATCTTGGCCCGGCGAAAATAACTGCTTTCGTGTGTACATCTAGCTTAGCTGTTGAACAAAAATGACTCGAACAACAAGATTTCGCACTCGGACACGGCCCGTCTCCTCCCTCGTTACTACACGAGTCGGCGTGGTACTCAGCAGACTCAGCCGCAGGCAGGGGTCAGAAAGCGGTCTGGGATTCGCTCAACCGAGATTTGAGATAGGATCTGTTTTAGTCGAGCCTCTGATACCGTCTTACACTTCTTTCTCACTTTTGTGTGCTTTCGCAGATTGTGGCCTTAGAATCTTCGGCATCTCTCTTACGACTGGACACCAAATAACCGACTATCTTTGCAGCTGAACGAAAGGAGATCTCCCAAAATGGCATCTTCTCTTGTTGGGCAAGCATTTCCCGAGGACGTCACTTTCCAGTATGTCCCTTACTCACCTGAAAAGGCTGATCTCAACGCATGCGGCATCCCTGTCAAATTTGATGCGAGCAAAGGTAAGGACTTGTGAGACTTTTGACAGGAAGCTTTCCATTAGTTGAACTATTCAGACTGAGCATCAATAATACCGCAGATTTCAAGGACAAGAAAGTAGTTCTCGTTGCTGTTCCCGGCGCATTCACGCGTACATGCTCTGAGAAACACATCCCAACCTTTGTTCAGCACCAGGATGCGCTGAAGGCTAAGGGCGTGGACAAGGTCGTTGTCATCGCCTATAATGGTAAATCATGAGAACTGCCCTGAACGAACTGATAAAAAAGAAATGACTGACGAGCGTTGAATATAGATTCGATGGTTATGTCTGCATGGGGAAAAGCAAACGGTGTAACAGATGACTACATAGTAAATACTCTCATATTGCAGTTTTTACTTCACGCCTCCATCCCCTGGTACTTAAGACATTCAAGCTGACGTTATACCTACCAAGATCTTTGCCTCCGATACTGATGTCAAGTTTTCTGCAAGTATCAAATTAGTGAAGGACGACGGGCGGACACAGCGGTATGCATTGATTGTGGATCATGGAAAGATCACCTACGCTGGGGTGTCGGATACTAAGGGTGTCATTGAGGGAACAGATGCGGCAAGTGTGTTGGCACACCTGTGATTCAACCGTCGCTTCTTCTCATACGGTTGTTAGCCTACGTAGTTTCCGGAGCCAAATCACATATAAGTCGTGTTTGCAGTTGGGCAAAGTCTCGTTTCCTTGACAACCTTGCTCTTAGAATTCTAAGCCCTGGGATCCTATCCTTTGATATTGGCGACCTGGATCTGTCTCCCAAAAAAAAGAAATGCGTTCGGAAGGATGTAGTGGCCGACCCTGTTCGAATGCAGTCAAACTCGACACCAATCACGACATAGTTGCCGGCACCGCTCAATCCGGCACTTTTCATCCGTGAATTGAAGCTTGTGATATCTTGAAATCCTCTCCTTTGCTAATATGAATTTCAGTATTATGTTTATCTTCTATACTTCTACTCTTGACATAGCCCATCAGAGCCTCCTGTTCGTCAGGTTCAAACCCATGCGTAAATTACATCTCTCCACATCTATATCGCTTGCCGGAAAACATTGCTCACCTCCGATCCTGTTTGCTCTATTTTTCGTTTCCGGCAATAAGCCCCTCCTGAGAATTCCAGTGCCTGTTATTACGCAGGCGAAGTTTCCCATCTTACAATGCAGAATTCTACCTCATTCTTTCACCCTTTATTTAAACTCAGTTGTCTGCCTGCCAAAATTGACATTCGTTACCAAGTCACTTTTGAGATTAGCCGGTGCGTGATGCCGACTTGACTGGAATTGGCTCCCCCTTCTCAGAGTCAGCTCCAGCGCTTGCCGTGTCACTAGGACTCACATCTTTGCCGGAATCCTGTCCTTGTGCCTCCTGATCTGCTGGACCTGGGCCAGCAGCTTCAGCAGCTTCAGCGGCTGGCTTTGCTTCCTTAGTTGAAAGTCCGCGGTCTTTGATGAACACGCAAAGAACCAAACATAGACCCATAATCGGTACCATTGAAATGAACACATCGTGACTAGCTTGAGCGTATGCCGATTCCAGCTGAGTTGCTTGGCTTGATGAAAGACTTCCAAGATCTGGTAGCTTGTACGAAGAGGCTACGAGATGTCTCAGTTCCTCCGGAAGTGCTCTGCGCAAGGACGACTGCAGCAGCTGGCTAGAGCAAGCAAGGCCAACCGCCCCGCCAAGAGCGCGGAGAAAATTGCGGTTCGATATGACTACAGCACGGAGCGCTTTTGGCGAATGTGCTTGAAGTGCAATGAGGCAAGGCTGGAAAACGTTGCCCACGCCGACGCCAATGATCATTTGCGCGATCACAGGCACGGCGAGATTGGTCCCTTGACCAAGGATGCAGAGAAGACCAGCCCCACTGAAAGAAGACCCCGGTGTTAGTTACCATCTCTAGGTCATCATCTGTATGTCAAAGGCACTTACAGAGTCCAGCAAGTGAAGCCACTCCAAATAACCTCTCCGTACCGGGAGAATCGTGTAATGTAAAATCCAGATCCAACCGAAAAGATCATCTGCGCCACAACCAGTGGGGTCAACAATGCAGCTGACACAATAGGCGATACCCTGCGAACATTCTGAAAGTAGATAGGCAAGTAGTAGAGCTCCGAGTAGTAGACGTATCCAAATAGGAAGTTTTGTAAGAGGATCACAGCTACTGCTGGTGTTTTGAACATTCTCATGGGTACCATCGGCAGCTTGGAGACCTTCCACTCAACCAGTAGGAAAGCCACTGTTGCAACTCCTGCAATGGAAAGCATTGAGATTACAAGAGGGGAGTTCCATTGGAAATAAGATCCTCCACCAGACACCGGAATAAGGAACAGGACGATGGCTACCGTTCCAGTGAGGAGGCCCCACCAATCGACAAGACGAGCTTTTTGAAGACCTTGACCTTTTGCCATAGGTGTTGATGGGAGCAAGAAGAAAGAAGCGACGCCCGAGCAGAGCATCAGGGGAGAAAGCAAGAAGAAAAATCCTCTCCAGCTGGTTTTTGAGCTCTGGGTGAATCCAGCTGACAGGAAAGGGCCGATGGTGTTTCCCAGGCCAATACAGCTCCCAATTATTCCCTGGTAGCGACCCCGTTCTTGCAAGGAAACAATGTCAGAGACGATCATCATCGTCAAAGAGTTCACGCCCCCTATCGCAATACCAGCAAGGCCACGAGCGACATAGAGCATCGGCGCGTTGACCGCCGTTGCGCAGAGAATGTCCCCTATCGCGAGTAGGGCGACAGCTGACAGGTAGATGATTTTTCGTCCAAAGATGTCTGACAGGCGCCCGTAAAGGACCTGAAACAATGTGTTCGCAATCATCGATGACGTGCCGGCCCAAGCGATTGTGTCCGCAGCGTTCAGGTCTTCTGCCATCGTAGGCAAAGCCACCGCGATGCCATTTTGGTCGGCATAGGCTACGAGAAATGCCGACGCCATTGTGGAGAAAACAATCAGGAGTTGTTTCCGCGGGAGGAGGTTTGTTTGATCTTGTAACAGGGCCTCATTTTTAGCCTGTTTTTCTGACGTGGAGGTGGACATGGTTGCTGCGAGTGCTGGTTCGTTCGACAATGGTGATGGCCGGAGAAGGAAGACGGGACAGAGAGCAAGCGTAGCTTGAATTTCCGACGTTGTCGAAGGCGCCTGACAAGGTGAAGAGAAAACAGCTGATCACTTCTTGTTTGACGCGCCTTGCGAGTGCAGTACGGCCCCTTTTCTCACGACCTGTGCAATTGGCATTAGTCGCCCAGTCATTGGCCAAAAGTGGAGTCGTCGCTTCGGGGTCGATATCCACCGGAGTTACGAGCGGGCATTGCTTCCGGCGACAATTCAGAACTAGTCTCCTACCTTCGCGACCCTAGTCATTCAACTCACGGTCAAAACGGAGCTTTCCATTTCAGCGAAGATATTGCGCGACAGCTCCTGATTATGATCACCGCACCGGAATCGGCTCGCCTGGTACAGTGATTCCGCATGTCTCTCCTGCACGCCATGGACAGCAAAATGCATGCCGATCAATTTTGCCCACTCCATCCGAGTCAGGGCTGCATGAACTGCCACCGCGATCTCAACTCAAAGCAGAAGGGAATCCGAACACAGTATCACATTTGGTTACGATCCGATAAGGTTGCAGTTCTGGGATCCAAGCCCTGTCGGCAGCATGAGTGAACTGCATAGGTCAAGGGTACTTACTCGCAAAGACGATCCCCTCCGCACTGCCTTGCTATTTGGATTTGGTTTCACGTGGACAAACAGAGAACAGGAGCTGGGTTTCAGCGAGCAATATGGCTGTTGGGAGAAGCATTGCACAACTACTTACAAACATGCTTACACTTTTCGACATAATAGAAAGTACTGCTATACTCTGCGAAAGGTATTTTGCGTCTTTTTTTATCGTGTAAACTTTTTTACCGCCTTCAATTTATAAGTCAACGATTGATTTTGTAAAATAGAATTAAATATAGAACAGTTATTTGAAATTGAGTTCTAATATATATTACGTATATATCTATATTTCGGACAATGTAGTTATAAAATTGAATAGTATTGTATTATAAAACATACATTTAAAACAGCGTCATAAGTTATATTTCTAAATAGATCAATGATTTCATGTATTTTTATAAGAGAAATTGAAAGCGGATAAAACATTGATTTATCCAGTTTCCAAAATATCAAGGAGAGTTACTACGAAAGGTCTGAGGTATTCATACGAATCTTTAGCACAGTGCTGGCTCAAAGAATACACTCTCCGGCATAACTTCGGCTCCCTGAGGGTGTTTGCGGGGGTCCAGACAATATTGACCTGCGCGGAACCCCTGTTGTGCAAGTCCTGCTACCGTCCCCCACAAACCGGGGTCGGGCCAGAAGAGGGCTCTCACAAGGCTGAGCAAACAACCGAGGCAAGCGATTCTGATGGTCAGGCAGAGCGAATTGAAGCATGGAGCTGACGATGTGATTCCTACCAGAGCGTACGTAGCCAGAACCTTATTCTATGGAGAAATAAAGGTCGATATGGGGATTATTTTGAGACAGGGATATGGACATACCCGTTCAAGGAATGTGGACCGAGAATGACAGCAAGGCCGGACGAAAGGGAAGGCCCCGCAAGCTCTTTTGGGATGCGTAAGCGCCGAGTGAGTGGGGACAGAGATTTCGTGCAGTTGAGATGGCTGGGTGTACAGCAAATCGCCGCCAAGTGCATGTGGATGTAGCTTAACGAGATGAATCTCTGCTTTGTGCACATTCCCCGTTTCAGTGGCCGGCCCTTGCTTGGCAACGGCGTTTCCCCCATTTCCACTAAGGAAAGTATCGTCTGTAGGAAAAAATAAAGAAGTAAACACTGAATAGAGAAGCGACAGTAGGTCCTTGGCAAATAACGATTTCAACATGGGTGTCCGGCAGCGTTACCCGCCCGTTGCAAACGCCGTGACCGCTCATTTCACGCGGGCTGAGGGGTCCCTGGGGGGGGGGGGGTGTGATACACGAACTGCTGCTCAGCAAGCTGGACTTCCTTATCAGCCCCATACTTTGCTACTTTGTCTCGAGAAGACCCCGACTGAACCCGCTGCTCTGTGACGGGACTTACATTAGATGTTGGACAGCTTTGTGACAAGGTCTGTGGGTAGATAAGCAATAACAAAGGATAATGGATCCTTGATGAATGCAAAGGCCGATAACGCAGACAGATCTGGCGAATTCATCATCTCGTATCTACACGGCAGTGCCCTCTACCTCGTTTGCAACCTGGATTGGTATATTCATTAAACGATGATAGTGATTTAAACGGAGTCAATATTGACACCGTGTTTCTGCCGCACCTTATCTAGGGCGGGACATCCCGCAAAAGCTTAACTTGACTCGACCAGCACAGATCCCTGCTCCCCGTCCCCGCCACTGCCAGCCGCCGCCGTGTCATGAGTAAGGTTGAGGGCCCCCACACATGCCCCGTACGTAAGTGACCCAAGGGTGGTATTTGCATGGCGCACGGCGGCAAAAAGAAAGTTGAGCAGAAGTTACCGGAAGAAGATATTGCTATCCGATTAAAAGCATTTAAACATTTATTTTACACCTTTCTTAATATTTGCATAAATAAATAATAGAATATCAATTTTTTTATTATTGTTTTTTTTTTAATTAAGAACAACATGGTAATAACTGTATATTAGAGTTTTCTATCTTCCAAGGGAGGGAAAATAAAGGGGGGGGGTGTTGGTAAGACTTCGATAATAATTTTATGATGCGTATTGCGCTGGGTTGACTAATGCAATTGATGTAAATTGCGCATCTTAGCATTCTAATATCAGAAGTAGATCCTATCATTACACTCATTGCCATACTATCGCACACACTGCTCAGGCTTATTTATATTGGTTCCGCCTACACGGCAGCTCTGCTTCTCGTTCCAGCAGTCCATCACCTCTTTCAATTGCACCATTATCTACTCCAACCACTTCATTTACTTTCCAATATACCAAGATGGGTTCCGTTGAGGTAGAGGCACCTTTGAATGCTCACCAAGAGGTGCCAGCCATGGAAAAGTTCACCACCTCATTCCCTCCCCCACTGAAGTTGGGAAATGCCATCGATGACTGGAAATTCGAAGACCTTACGAGGGCTATTGGGAGAGTCTACCCCGAGGTCGATCTGGCTGAGGTCCTCGCCTCTCCCAAAGCAGACATTATACTACGCGATCTTGCTATCACCAGTGAGTACCCCCGGCATCTCAACACTGCGAGCTGTCATGTCATCTGACAAAAGGTTTGCAGTCGCACAACGTGGTGTGATCGTTTTCAAAAACCAGAAGAACCTCACCCATGAGCAGCAAAAGTACTTCACAAACCGTCTTGGCCAGCTCACCGGCAAGCCTGAGGAATCGGGTGTCCACATCCATCCCATCAACCACACCACTACCAAAGAGGGCGATGTTGACAAGGAGATCTCAACTATCGCTCGAAACCCCGCCAACATGCTGTCCAAGCAGACTGGTGTCGTGGCATCGGGGGGAAAGGCGCTCAAGAAGCAGAGTGTTGCTGATGGCTGGCACTCTGACATTGCATTTGAGCGTGTCGCATCGGATTATACCACCCTCAAGATGGGTGTCCGCCCTAGTACCGGAGGAGACACAGTGTTTGCAAGTGGGTATGAGATGTACGACCGCCTCTCGCCCCCTTTCCGTGCCTGGCTGGAGACCTTGACTGGCCGCTTTTCGCCTGTTGGTTACGAGCCCGACCCGGCAGTTGCCCACAAGTACAGCTTCCCGCGAGGACACCCAACGAACATTGATCAGTCGTTGACGGCAGAGCATCCCATGATCCGCACGAACCCCGTTACGGGATGGAAATGCGTCTTCGGTGTTGGGCACCATCTCCAAGAGGTCTATGGGCTTGCACCAGCTGAGAGCAAGTGGATCGAGAACTTCCTCGAGGATATGATCACCAAAAACCACGACCTCCAGTGCCGAGTCAAGTGGGATGTTAATGATCTGGCTGTGTTCGACAACCGCTCTCTGTCGCACACCGCAACATATGACTACGATGAGCCTCGCGTCTGCTACCGGGTGGTGGCTGTTGGTGAGGCGCCGGCCTTGGACCCCAAGTCTGTCTCCCGCAGCGACGCTCTTGGCCTTTGAGGAGCCCATGATAGGTTATGACAACGATATTAAGCCAACCTTTTTGAGAATTTCAGAGCATAGCTATACAATTAAATAGCTGTCAAATTCACTCATTTCATCACTCATCAAGCTAGCTAGAACCATGCTAGTGATGGGATCTCTGACGCAGCCAACTAAGTATACTTCAAACCGTATCTCTAACAAATTTCCATCTTACGTAGAAGTCAATTTGCGTATTTTGACACTAGGGGAAAGTTAGGAGGCGATGGCAGATTGTACTGTCATGGCATTCAGCTCAATTTGGAGAAATTAGTCATTGTCCATGGAAGAATCCAAAGGTGATGATCAACCTCGGGAGTTGCCAACGGACCAATCTAATTTCACGGAACAGTTCATAAATTTATTCATTACTCCAACTTTGACCAGACTCGTGGAAGCTGTGGTTTGACAGTATGCCGCCTCAGCGTCCTTACACGAGACCTCGAAATCGTCCTACTGTACTTTCAAGTCAACGGGAACACAAGTGTAAGCAGTAGCCTGAAGCGCCTTAAAAGGTCGTCCAAACCTTACGTACTGTCTTGTCTGAACATCGGCCTCACGATAACTATTAAACGTGAGAGCAGCGTCGAAGGCAACCCTCTTGACTCTTACGATTCCAGGCTTAGCCATGCATTTGAAATCACTTGCACGATACGAGCTGTCCCAATTCCTCGGGATTATTGCCAATATTCCTAAAGTTCGTTAAGTAGCATCCCTGCGTTCAGTCGAGTGCGAGAAGACGCGGAACTCGTTCTGCGCCACGATCAAACATTGAAATAGCGCAGCACACTCTCAATTCCATTCGGAAACCATATGAAGATCATATATTTGCGTCCTCGTTATTCACTTTATGAGCTCAACAGGAAGACTTTAAAGGTCTGAGGCGATAAATAATTTTGTACTGTGGAAACAAGATATTCTTTTGGATGCCGCCTACACGCCGTTCGCCTGGATCATCAAATTAGGACCTGGATGAACGAAATCTGAATTATGTCTTTATCCCTTTATTCGGCTTGTGAAAGCTTTCGAGTGCAAGACGGAACCCTTGCTATGATATGTCGTCTACGAAACGTTATCGTTCGTCGGAGATTCTGGGTCAACTCGAGTGTTATCATTTTATTATTCGAGGGATAGTGGACCAGCGAGGTTGAGCAATTGGCGCATTGTGTATTTACATCGTCCTCCAGGGGATTAGACTTTCATGGATGATGCTATCCAATTCGGGACTTTCATAATGATGTGAGTGAGCAAGCATTTACGAACGGAGTTCTACAAAACAAGTGAACGGACTTCGTGAACCATCGGGGCAATCCAGAATTGTCAGGACATGTCACTAGTATGGAATTGCTAGAGCTTACTACGGATCGGCTAATCTTGTACATGAAATTACCTACTTAATCCCAGTGACTGAGGTCTTTGACCTAACTGCTAAGTCAGGGTTGTCACACTAGCCTGTGAGCTAATAGAAGTTCAGATCTGGTTTCAAGACATAACATCTTTCTCTAGGTCCTGTATCACACGTCGATTTACAAGGACATTGTCAGTTTCGTCTGTCATGAATGCCATGGTCTTCTTGAACTCCCACTCCCAGGCCGTCATATTTGCAGCATCGCTATTATCATCGTCTCCCTGACCAATGAGCCTTTTCATCCTGGCATTGCGTTCAGGCCTCAAGAAATAGGCCATGCTGTACCTGTCGACGAATCGTTGATCGCCTGGCGAATAGGTCACGCGATGCGTATTACTCCGAAGCAATCCGCCAGTCCATTGCACCATGGCGTCTCCCAGGTTGACGATCAGGTGGCGTGGTCGTGGACGAACCCAAAGCCATGCATTGGGGTCTGTCGCAGATTGACCGGGCTTGAGGACCTGAAGACCACCAAGCACGTTGGCTAGAAGGGTGATTGTGCCAATGTCTGTGTGGTGGCGCAAGGCAGTCCGTAAGTCCTTTGCCTCTGAACTGGCTTCGAATTTCAATAGGCGAACAAGAGAAAGCGTAGGTTCCGTAGGCCGATTCAGGGATGTAAAAGTATCTGCAGGTAACCCCAGCTCGGTTGCCAAAGTGGTTTGAATCGTTGAAGCAATCTCTTGATTATGCTTGAGGTAAGAGGTGAATAAGGGGAGATGCGTCTGCACTAGTGGAGGAAGCGGTGGAACGGGACCGACTCCTGTGAGGCCATCCTGACCTATGTTGAACCATTCGAAACGATCTGGCTCGTTCGTCTCAGTTTTCCCTACACCGCGCAGTTTGAAGCTTCAAAATGTCAGGTAAAAAGTTTCAGAGGCGACTAGTGGTACGAGACTCACCCTTCAAAGCTCCGGGGAACATCAACATGATATTGCCTCTTGACATCCTCTGGTAAGCCCATGACATCTTTTCCAACGCCTCCCATGAGCTGGTCGATCTCCCTAACTAAACTATCACCCAAATCATCCCCGCGCAGGTCGAGTAGGAAGAAGCCCAGAGTCTGGCATGCTTTTAGCAGGCTTTGAGCAGTGACCTTGTCACCCTTGCGAAGACCAACAAGTGAGATGCTGGCAATGGGTGCAGTGGGAATATCATCTGGAAAGGGAGGAATGTTTTCAAACAGCGTTTCAGAAGCCATCACTAATTGAGATAGTAAAGACTACGCGGCTGACGACGTTGGGATGAATCCAGATACTCATGCAGTAAAAGTGTCCTTAAATGTGTCGAGTCCGGCTATGACCATACATTTGAATACTTGGTCGCTGCTGAAACGCTATAACAATAGAGTAAAATGATCTCTCTAATACTTGACAGGTCTGATGAGCACCCCAGATTTGACTACACAAGTGACATTCGGACTTTCATTATTACTTACAATATTCCGGCACCCCACTCATAGCCTTGGTGGATACTACGAAGGTTATTGTGCAGCCGCAGACCGGTTGAATTATCGAATGCACTTCGGCGAGAGAGGTGCAACTCAATCAGTTATAGTGCCGACCAGAATGTATGTACAAAAGCATCATACGAGCTGTTGTCAAGCAGTATTTGGACAAAACAAATTGTAGTTTAGAGCAACTCTACCAAGTCATTGTGATTCATCAAATTCCCAGCTGCCAGAATCATGTCTTACTCAACTACGGAACCTTTGAGCCTGACACATCATTTCTCAAGGGCCTCGAAAACTAGGAGACCAAACCCACTGAAAGAATACTACAAATATCTTTTCGTACCTGGAATGTGCAACTTTTCTGGAGGTATGCTACATCAGACTGATAATTGACACTCAAGACGCTAACCAACACTGCTCTGCACATAGGCTTGCCCCATCCAGACATTTTTCCTTTCGAGGCGTTGGATCTCTCACTTAATCAGCCGCTAAGAAATCCTATTTTGAACCACAAGGAAACGGATCATCCATCTGGTAATTACCCAGATATTCGTGTTCGCATACCGCGACGTGTCGGAGAGGATCATCCGGGGCACAAGGTGGACTTGAGCACTGCCCTCCAATATGGGAGCGCTCAGGGGTACACACCTCTCTATACGTGGTTACGAAAGCTAGTCAACTTGACGTATCATCCAAATATCCCATATCAAGGAGGCGCTGATGTCATTATCGACGGTGGCTCGGCGGATGGGCTCTCGAAGGTGTTTGAGCTTCTGTTCAACCCCTGGAATCAAGACTTGGACGACATCCAAAATCGGGAGGGCTTGATAGTGGAAGACTTTGTGTATGGGCCACCACTTTCACAGATTAGACCAAAAAACGTCAACATCGTTCCGGTCACGATGGATGCCGAGGGCATGCTGGCGCACGGCGCTGGTAGCCTGTCTGACGTTCTGCAGAATTGGGATTTTTCAAAGGGAAAGAGACCCCATGTTGTGTATACCATCCCGTAAGCTACCTCCCCTGTCACAATCTTGCAAATATGCCTGACAAAAGCAAAGTACAGGTCAAAACCCCACTTCAGGGGTGCTATCATTCGAACGACGCAAGGAGATATATGCAGTTTGTTCGAAATTCGATCTCGTACTCATAGAGGATGACCCATATTGGAATCTCTTCTACCCCTCTACTCCGTCCATCTCCAAGCAATATCGTGGATTGTCTGCGCCGACGAATTTTCCCACCAACACATCCCATAATTACTGTACCGAATCTTTAGAAGGTCGATCAACAGGGTACCGATTCCTTGACGAGCTGATTCCTAGCTTCCTGAGCTTGGATAAAGATGGACGCGTAATACGGCTTGATTCATTTTCGAAGTCTATTGCGCCAGGCTGCAGGCTGGGATGGATCACAGCTCAGCCGAGCGTGTGTGAACAACTTTTCAAGATCACTGATGATACCACACAACAGCCTTCCGGCTTTGTGCAAGCTATTATCACGAGGCTGATCGGAGAGCTCGGCAGCACTGGCAATGTATCTACTGCTTGGGGCCTCGAAGGATGGGTTCGTTGGTTAGAGGGTCTCCGCTCTGCTTACGAACGTCGTATGATCAAACTAGCGACAGCGCTTGAGCGGAATAAGGTCGTCACATCCGCGACAGGTCAGACCAAGATGTTTGATTTTCAATGGCCCATGGGTGGCATGTTCTTGTGGGTCGAAGTCAACATCTTCAGTCATCCTCTTGTATCGACGGTTGGCCCGAAACGACTCATGCGGGCGTTGTGGATCCGCTGCACCCAGCATCCCTATAGAATTCTGACAGTCCCTGGAGGAGATTTTGCGGCTACAGAGTCGGTAAAGGGGACTCGTGGATTTTTGTTTTTGCGTTTCTGTTTTGCAGCCGTTGAGGAGGATTTATTGGAAGCCAAAGCGCAGTCCTTCGCGGAAGCATGCCGGGAATTCTGGTCTATCCAGAGCTCCAACGATATCGACGAGATTATGAGAGATGAGGATGCCTTGGAGTCAAGCCACAGGGAAGATGCTGCATAGTCACTAGCATGAGCTGTGTGGAATAGCGCTGCACATTGGATTAGACAGCAAAATGGGAACACAAACCATATGCCTTCTTTAATCCAGCCAACGTTCAACAAGAAAGCTTGTCCTTCCCGACAAATTAACGAAATATTTTAATTCTTGGACGAGACCTCAGAGGCTTCTTCTTCAAGATGTATATTTTCTTGCCGCGCGCTCACTACTTGGTTTCGCATAAAATGGTCGATGAAGATGCATTTGCTAACATGGAGAAGAAGAATGGCATCTATAGATTTATAACACTGAATGATAGGCAACGCAAGTATTCCCTCTTCTGATGTAACCCTGAGTCATGTAATTTCAAGTCACAAAGGCTCTACGCCTCGGCCAAGGAAAGTCGATTCCCCAAACTCCTTCTCGACAACCTGAAACAGCGTCAACCCCGTGACTGGTGACAATCAGTCTCCATATGCATTATGAATACTTTTACCAACGATTGAGAGAACTTACAATAACCTCCTTCGGGCCTCCCAATGGCATAATGGGTAGATGCGGCCTCTTCATGGCCGATCTGAACGAGAGGCTTCCCAGTTCCGGCCGCGCTTGCATCAGCAGCAAGTTGGATCTCACATAATTTCTCGAGTAGCACGAACCAGGCTACTGCCGCTTCAATGGATGGGCCAGCTGTAAGGAGTCCATGATTTCCTAACAAGGCAGCCTTTTTATCGCCTAAGCATTTGGCAATGGCTTTTCCTTCCTCAGTAGCGAAAACAAGGCCGGCGAAGTTGCTGTCAAATGTGAATACTAGGGGACTTGACAACAGTTAACCAGCACAGACGTACGTGTATAGCACATGGTCTTGATAGAAAGTGCAAAAGTCTTGAGACAACATGTCTAACGTACGACCTAATCCAGACTTAGCAGACTTCAAATGGAGAGAGAAAAAATACAAAACAATTGGTGCCAACCTGTTGCACAAAACGCACGACCATAAGTACTGTGAGAGTGTGCCGCACAGAGTACATCGGGGCGGGCTTTGTGGATCTCGGAATGAATTGCATAGGCAGCTTTGATGTATATTGTCAATTTATTGGCCGTCAAATTGATAGGGGTACAGTTGCTTAATACCATAATTCAACCTCCTATTCTTGCCGCCATCCACGACCTTGCCGCTGTGGTCAACTCGTATCAAATCCTCATCCCTGATCAAGGAGAAATGCAGGCCTGAGTCGGAATTATCAGTACCACCAATATGGTATGTTTTGGTCAACACCATCCAGTAATGAGTTCTACACACCAAAAGGATTCACCCAGAAGCTATCTGGCTCGACGGGATCTCTGACAGTAATATGGCCAGCCAGGCCCTCTGAGAACCCATAATTAGCGAAGATGCGAAAAGCCAACGTCAATCGGTGCTTCAGATACGCTCTCTCTTCAAGCTTGTTCTCAAACTCCGGCGGATAGATCTGATCGTCCGGTTGGAAGGCCAAGTCTGGGTCCCCGCTGCGGTGCTGAGCCGAGACTCTGGACTCGGCAACCGAGGCTGATGTCGAAGTAGCCTGGACAGCTGAAGACGACATTGTCAAAATCAACCAGATTTTTGTGGTTGTAATGGCCAAGACCACTGATTTGCACCTTCTGACCTTGACTTATGAGGTGTGCCATCTCCATAAAACTGTGCAAGATCTCAAGAAGCACTTGGCTTATTGCTGGCCACACATCCAGCCAGCAAAGAAACAATTCTAGCTTGGCAAACAATACATTGCTCCGTCCAACCCACCAGATTTAGTGTTACACCAGTCAACAACTTGTCGGCATCTCCATCTAGTGGGTCCGTTGAGTACACGCGTCCATTTCCATCTAGGTCGTCGTGGGAGGTGAGGCCGGAGCCACTTTTTTTGGTTTTACCCACCGCCGGGAGAACTTTAATGGCAAGCCCATCGAGGCAGAGCCTCAGTCATCAATAGAGTACTAGAAAAGCGACTAGTTTAAGGTTCAAACTTGGTGTGGTACGAAGTTCTTTGATATGTGTAAGTACCTCAGCTTCACTCTCCGCGGCCTGATAGGTGTTGATTTGCGTCATGATGGCGCAACTCAGCAGCAACAAAGGTGGCCATCACCATGTGATAGTGTTATTGGAATAAGTCCTTCCTTCGACACTTATATTCGATTTATCGACACCGCACACCCACGAGCTCCGAGATTATGACCGCACGCATCCGGACCAACTCGCTGAGGTAAGAGTAGGACAGTAATTCCAATCACCGCAAAGATGTTGACTGAGGCGGCGTCTCCCAATCAGCGTATGATTGCCGGGGTAGTTTCGGGTACACATTCGGTAGACCTGGACGCGTGTCGAATGCGAGGCACAGTGGTGGCTAACACGCCGCATTGCAACACGTCAACTGTGGCTGAACATGCTATTGGCCCTTACTTTACCATTCGGAGGAGCATACCACGTAGCCATCGACTTTCATAGACCGTCGAACGGGCAAGACGTGGAGTTCTACTCAAAGTTCTCTATGGTTCTGACGACCTGGCACCTCGGACTTGTCGAGATGAAATCGTTGGCATTATGGGATATGGAACGGTTGGTGAGCCATACTAGTCTTAAGCTTCTTTCACAGAAACCAAGTCAAATCCGCGTGCACTGGGTCAAAAGATAGCCGTCTGGCACACGCCTTGGGAATGAGAGTACTCGTATCTGGGCGGAAGGGCCGACCCGTTTCTCCGGATGGAAATACCTTTTGATCAAGTCATTCGTACGGCCTCGGTCCTCACATTGTGCCTCCCGCGGATTTCAGACACAATCAACTACATTTCATCTGCTGAACTTGAAGCCATGCAATCCCACGCTGTTCTGGTGAATGTGTCCCGCGGTGGTATTGTTGAGGAAGGAGCCTTAGTCAAGGCTTTGGAAAATGGGAACATTGCTGGTGCAGCCACAGATGTCTTCAAGAAAGAGCCTGTGAGTGATGGAGACAGTCCCTTGCTAGGTGATCGAGTTCAAGACTTGAACCTTGTTACCACTCCACATACGGCATGGGTTTCGGAGGAAGACGTTGTGGGCAAATGTCGCTGTATTCATATGCGCGAGACCGATCAACTCGGTGCCCCAGAAAATGAACTACATGAGGTCATATGAATTTCTCCTAATGCCAACTTGTGAAGATTTTGGAGGGACCGAAAGACCTAGGCAATCGAGCCCCGTATCAGACACTGTCGCCACAGCTCTGAGTCAAATTGTGTGTACATGACTATCTAACCTGCAACGATTCGACCTCTCAACTTCCGCGGCCATCACGTCTAGGAATCTTTTTTCAGCTGAGGCAGTACAGGGAGTCTTAATGAAGAATTCAGAGAAAGGACGGCGTTTCATCAACAGGTATTACTCGGACACTAGAAGTCAATTCTACTTTCAAATTCAATACCCTCTCAAAATTAAAAAATATCCAAGTGTTGAAAATGGACCTTGATTGAGTCCTCTTACTCAATCTTTTGAATGCCTTGACTCCCATATTCCGTGTTGAATTCCTGGAAAGTTCAAATACTTTTCCGACACCTCTGCGTTCGGCAGGGCGCCGTCTGACGCTGGACTATCACGGCTGTTACATACCGTTTCTCTCTACTATTCTTGGCCATAGATGTCAATGATCCACTGGCAGAATCTGATCCAGGTCTCGCTAAAGTCCCCTGCTACCCTCTCTCGCATGTTTGAATTCATGCAGCTATGTTCAATACTCCATTCGGCAAGTACCCGCAAGCCAAGTAGTGACAAGTTGTTGGTACCCATCAACGCCTGATAAAAGTCGTGCGAGAGAACGCTCGCCCTGCCTGATCGTTAGCTTCCTAAATTGATTTCAAGAGGGAGAGTGAGGATAAAGGAATAATAAACAAACCCCCAAGATCCTGGGTCGTCACTATTGATTGTGCAAGGGACACAATTCGACAAAAGAATAGGGAGATGATGTGACTTTGTCGTTGGACAGAGTCCCAGAACCTCATTCGAGATTGGACAAGTTTCAATCGCGATGTTTCTTTCCTTGCAAAGCTGCATCAACAGAGGGTGCTTAACGAGACTGAAACCATGCCCAATGCGCTTGGTCCCGAGAAGAATAGCGTCGAAGAGGTTCGAGTCTGTATCGCCTCCATGGTCGAGGGTCTCGCCTGCATGGAAGATAAACGGGAGATCAAGACCTAGTGTCTTGATCTTGGCTCGCATTTCAAGAAGCTCAGGGATCCAATGCGCAAGTGTCTGCCCAGCATCCTCCTGACCTTGCAAATCAAAGGCTATTGCAAATTCATTAGTGAAGTATTGAAAAAGATATTGAAATCATACCTACCGCAAATCAAATCTGGGAACTGTTGTTTCATCTCTATGCAGGTGTCCATGCACCACCTCATAGCTTCTTTCGTGGCTGAACGCAAACAGGCATAAATTAGCTTGACGCCATAAAATGTATGTCCTGCTGCCTGGATCTTCGGGACCTCTTCTTTGAGGACATCCGCGAGCATTTGAATCATTTCTCCATGTCCAAAATTGCGGGTACCGTCGTCATTTTGGATCGTAAACGCCTGATTCACTACAGCATTTAGAGTTAGTCATCAAAGGATCAAAGAAGAAGTTCTGTTCAAAGATAGATCAAAGCAGGCCACCACATGCCCAGTGTCTGCTTCGAAAATTGTAGTCGAACGAACAGCTTTGATTTAAACAAGGAGACAGACTACACATATGGCAGATGCTTCTCCCCGAAGTAATTAAGATTGTATCCGAGAGCTGCTTACTGGCGAGTCGAATCTCCGCATAAGAAATGCCGTCCTCAGCAAACCTCCAGAGTATTCTTCGAAACTGTCCTTTGTATGCAGTCTCGTAGCATAACATTGAGCGCTGGATCATGACACCCCGCATAAATTCCCTCCAGATACTGTCGAGAATTAGCAGTGAGGCCTCGAAAAGTATATTTCGCAGTATAACGTACCCGTCGACAGTCTGTTGTGGATGGTATGCATCGTCCGAAGTTATCAGTATCTGTTTGCTAAGCCATGCCTCTGCCCTTTCCCATCCACCAGGAAATAGGCGCAAGAAATCAGAGTATCTCATCCACGACCCAGCAATGTAAGCCTTGCTGAATAGGTTCGTCGTCTCGCTCAGATCCACATGATTAGGCAGGATACAAAATTGGGGTAATGCACAGGCAAAGAACCCTTTCGTAGTCAAGGGGCAATCGGATTTGATGTGTAATTTGTCCTGCTTCTTTGCATCATCTAACATTGTCCGCGGTGGGAGGATGCAGTCAAAGTGACAATGTAGGAGAGACCCCTTCGGTGCCTTCTGCGCAATCTTGAAGATTTGGCTGTTCTCAATGGCTTCCAGACCATGTAGAAAGCGGTGGCCGGCCTCGCAGCCAGAGCCGTCAGTACGCGTACCGTGGTGGTTGTCCTCTTCCCACTTCTTGAGCTTGTGTACAATTTCTTGGGCTCGAGCCTCAAGATCAGACCTCTTCACCTTACTTTCATAGCCCAGCGCTCGCTCAGCATTGATGAATGATTCGCGGGCGTGGAAGTAGTCCTCAACAGACCCAAAGTCTTCTGGCAAGGCAAACGAGGACGCCGTCATAATGAATGTACGGGTTGATTTGCTATGAAGCGTGTTCATAACCCGATTAGTGAGGGGTAAGATTGGGACTCAATGTAAATGCAAGGGGCCTGGACAAGTCAAGGATTCTTTATTCGGGGATCGCACTTATATGCAGCTGTTATTGCCGGTTGCATCTACGGAGGAATGTTCATCCGCACTCTTCGTCTTACTGTTCAAATAGAACAAGTTATGATCCGTTTCTGAAGTCCACCCAATATATCTTGTATGATTTCGTTCGAATAATAAATGAAATTAAACTATGGACTACAAGCATCTCGGCCATGAAAAATTTGCTTGAAGTGAGGTTCAAAATCGACATCACTGATAGCCCATATCCCTGTGTCAAGGGAGACTGGAGAACAAATTGCATTTTTGAGTCTGGCTGTGGATTACAGTCCGTTCACATCCCACGCACCAGGGATCTTGGTCGTTTCCCTAATGACACTGGCCCCATAGCCAACATTTAAAGGCACTCCCGAAGTACTAGCTCTCGCTGCATTCAAGATCCACTCCTTGCACAGCATGACGGCTGGCCGTTCAATATCCTGTGAGAAGGCCTCACGAGAAATCACATCAAAAACGTGGAATGGTCGCTTCGTTGCTGACATTGCCGGTATCAGGCGAGACCACAGGAGCTCGAACTGTGTGATGACATAGTTCAATGTATTTTGCTTCATCAGCTGCGTCCCGTCTCTGAGCAAAATTTGAGCCTCCTCGGTGCTTCTCGCGCTACACCACGCACGAAGCTCAGGGTAGCCGATTGACTTCCAGGCACCAGTGCGGAGAGTGTCCTTATCCCGACCGTGTTGTTTCTCCAGTTCGTAGAGGTGCTTGACCTCGTCTAAGAGGCCGTCTTTCAACATTTGCTCGATGCGTTCGTCGCAAAGGTTGCCAACGGTCTGCACATCGGAATTGAGAACTATTACGAGGAGATTCTGATCCTTGACGAACGGATGAAACAGAAGTGGCTCGATGAGAGACGTAGAGCCACCGCAGATAACGGGGATGTGACCTCGGCTCTGGATGGACTGGATGCTCTGAATGGCTGTTGCAATAAAGTCGACAGGTTCTTCAGCTACATCCAAGTAGTTCACCAGATGGTGAGGAACACCCTCCATCTCTTCGACTGTAACCTGTGCTGCCATTATGGGGCAATCACGGTAGACTTGAATGCTGTCGACCGAGACCACCTCACCATCGATAGCCGTTGCAATTCTAACGCTGAGACGTGTTTTGCCGATGCCAGTAGGCCCTATGATGGCAACAATTGGGATTGAGGCAGCCATTTTTGTATAGTAGCTGTAAGAGAGCGAGGATTAGAGGGAATTAGCAAAAAAGGATTGAGTTACAAGGTCATCGTGGAAAGGGCAACAAGCCAGACCTTTATTCTCATCTCAAGGTCGAAAGAAGTATGTTATGTAAGCGGAAACGCACTGGTCAAACAGATTTGTCAAGGTATTACTTGAATTGCGAACTTGTGGAAAGGCCCCAATAAAGGAGAAGGAGATTTCCGGTGAACTATTCCCCGGTGAGATCTCATACACCGTGCCGAGAAGCGCTACACTGCAACATACTGAGCAATGTGAAATTGCCGACCACATTGATGTCCCATCTTCCAGGGAGTTGGGTGATGAATGTCTTCCAAATGAGGACCAGAGGGAGTCAATAATTTACCGTGGAGCAAACAGTCACGAGGGCAGCGGTCGTTTAAATTACAGAGGAAGACGTTCCATGCTCTATTATCTGACAGCAAGCTTTAAATGGACGAAGTCTTCATGTCCTTTGACTTCCAGTCAAGTAAATGCCTTCCGACCGCTAACTTGTACTCCTGGACTTTCTGAATAACCTCTCCTGGTGTATTTGCCACACTGACGATATCGGCCGTTCCCCTTGATATGAATCCCTGAACCACAGAATTCTCAATCCAAGCAAGAAGGTGATCAAAAAAGCCACCGATATTGAACAAGACTATTGGACGATCATGGATTCCAAGCTGGTTCCACGTAATTACTTCGAATAGCTCCTCAACCGTGCCATAGCCACCCGGCAGCGCCACAAAAGCGTCCGCCTCACTGGCCATCAAAGCCTTTCGTTCATGCATACTGTGCACCACAGTCGTCTTGCCATACTCGATGACTTCGGGCTTGATTACTCCTCGCTCTGTTCTGATCAGAGCTTCGGGAATCACACCGTGGACTGCCTCTGGTCCAGAGAGCCGTACTAGGTTCTTGGCGAGGTGACCCATCAGCCCAAGCGTGCCACCACCGTAAATGAGAGACCACGACTGAGAGCTCATGGCCACAGCGAGTGCTTGTGTCTCCTCCGCATAGTTTGGCGATGCTCCTTGACTGGCACCTGGGGTCCAGTTAAGTCGATAGAAATGTCAGGGTATCGCAATAGACTTACCGCAGAAGACGCAGAGCGTGAGTTCTGTCCGAGCTGCCACAGCAGTGCTCACAATATCCGTCATCTTAGACTGAGTGGGAATCGTGAGAGAAATCAAGCAGAAATGTAAACGCAAATAAGATTGCTCTTTGCTGGAACTCTTTTTTTTCTATCTGTTTATACGATGCTTAGCCTGTCATACTAAATAATCAAAATCTATGATCAGTTTCTTTTTCTCCAAAACTCATCCTCGAGGGTTCTGTCCGAATACCGTATTTCCTAATACAGTCTCGTTAAGACGCGAAAATCTGAACCGGTCCCTAGTTACCTAACGCAGACCGCTAGCTGCTCAGGCCGGAGAAACTTATATTTGAACGGTGTGCGCGAGCATGTTAGGCCGACCTGACTCAACGGGGGGGGGGGGGGTGGGACCCGAGCCCAGTATTTTCTTTGCAATCACTTCAGCACTATTAGCTCGTTCAATGTTATTGCGCCAATCAAACTATAGTTTCCTGTAATTGTACTTCATCATATCACGGGATATCTTGATGTGTTCTTTCTAGGGTGATCATCTACACTTTGTACCCTCGGGGTCGGCGGAAGTCGCCCCTGACCGTACAATGCAGAATGGGCTAAGTTGACGCTATCGCAAACAATTGACATCAAACTTCAATCCACTGTGGACCGCATGGAAATGGTGTGAGACATTCAAGTCGCAGTGTCAATTCATAAGCTTCAGCAAGTACAGCGTTGTTCAACAGTAGGCATTGGAGTACATAGATCTCAGGGCAATCTCTCCCTATCTTCATATCAGCTAATTCCTCAGATATCGCGGTGACATTGTACCAAATTTCTTTTGCTCTTTTCTACCAGCCATAACAAAATGTCTATCGATGATTTTGAGCTTCGAAACATTGCAGAGCCAAACAAGATTGAGACACCATGGTCTCATCCATTGCCGCCGGCTCCTCGTCACTCTGTCACATCGCACATACCTGGGTGGAAGGCGTTAGTGAAGCTTTCGGAGCGTGATCCTGCCCATCTGTCCAAGATAGTCAGCATCTATCCACGTATCCTGCTTCATAGGGATTGTGCCCTGGTGCGTCCCGTACTCAAATAGCCCCATTTCCCAATCTGATGTACTGCTGACCACACCAAAATTGACTTTAGCTTGTTGAGAAGATCACAAAGCTCTGTGGGCTGGATCCTGACGAGTACACTTGTTTTCTGTTCCCACGACTGCAAGTGGCACAAGCGTGCGTCACCTACATCACTAGCCCTAATCGGACCGACGGCAAGGAAACCGTTGTCCCTTCGACAGTGTCCATCCGGGCTTTTGGAAGCAACACAATCAACCATGGCAAGCTACATTTTTTCGCTGTGATTTTCCCGGTGCGAAGCTTGGGCCACGTTATGCCTTGGTGGTCAGATACCGGCGTTGGGATTTCAAGCCGTTTTGCCGAAGATGTGCTCAACAACCCGGCCGCTCTGCAAGAGGTTTCTCTCTCGACCGCATCCGAATGCAAGGGACAGCTGGAAACGCCTCACCAGGTGCTTCGTGAGCGGATAGCTTACCTAGTGGAGCGTTCTCCTGTGACAACGAGAGAGAAACAGGTCCAGGCCTCAGACGTCTATTTATTCCAATCAGGAATGGCGGCTATCTACAATGCCCATCATCATCTTCAACGCTTGGCAAAGAGCAGCGAATGCAAGAGCGTCATATTGGGAGTTTCCTTCTACGAAACTAGGCATGTTCTCAAGAAATACGGTACTGGATTAGAGTTCTTCCCCACTGGCGCCGATGTGCATGCATTGGAGGAGTTCCTCAGGAACGAAAAAGCCCAAGGGCGTCCTGTCTTGTCGCTTTGGACAGAATACCCCAGCAACCCACTTTTGTTCACTCCTAATCTGATCCATCTGCGGCGACTGGCAGATGAGCTAGGCTTTGTCTTAGTCGTCGATGACACGATTGGTGGATTTTGCAACATTGATGTCCTTCCCGTTGCAGACATCATTGTCACCAGCCTGTCTAAAACCTTCAGTGGCTATGCGGATGTCTTGGGTGGTAGCGTCATCCTCAATCCATCAAGCCGGCTATACGAGAATTTCAAGCACCAATTCAATCAGGAATACGTCAATGATCTATATATTCGCGACGCCGAGGCCCTGAGACACAACAGCGAGGACTATCTCCATCGATCGACCATCACCAACTCTAATGCAAAAATGGTGACAGACTGGCTGTACAAACGATCGAAGGATGAACGCAGCAGCATCAGAAATGTGTTCTACCCCAGTATCCCACATACAGGAGGACAAGGAAATTACCAAATCTTCATGCGACCCCCCACAGTGAGCTTCACGCCGGGATACGGGTGTCTCTTCAGCATTGAATTCAAATCTCAAAAGAGTGCCGTTGCTTTCTACGACAATCTTCATGTGTACCATGGTCCTCATCTCGGTGCGCATAGGACGCTTGCTCTAGGGTATACGTATCTCATTTACGGTGCTGAGGAAGAGTTGAAGATGGCTGATCTGGGCCTCTCCCCAGCACAAATCAGGGTTTCAGTCGGAATGGAGGATGCGGATACTTTGCTACATATCTTCAAGTATGCAATCATGAAGGCAGACCAATCTGAGAAGTCGAAATAGCAACGGCTTCTAATCAAATTTGCAGTCATATGAATGGCGGGAAGAAATAAAATTTCATGCTTGAACTTGGTACCCTGGTCCTATGAGTTGTCTCTCCCTCCACTCTTTCATCAGCCCGATTTTCGTTTCTCGACTGCAGGAATTCCTTCACAGCACAAGACCGTTAAAATATTCAATTCCTCACAACATTATACTCCTGGTCGCCCGATTCTGCCGACACGCTATCTCCTGCTGCCAGTCATGGCAAAACTGTTGCCTCGTTGTGGGGCTAGCAGCCGTTTCCAACCAACCTGCGTCTAGGTTGTCTGAATCATATCAACTCAATGATGCTATGCTTTTCACACATCTTGCCCACAAATGCCAGGAGATATGCATGTGTGCAGTTTCATCGGGAAGGGAAAAGAAAAGCCCGGATCTGCCCACTTTGATAGTTATACGGTAAGCGTCTGCTTCTAATTATGACTTTTCGATCGCAGTTAAATTGGTTCACACTGGAACGGTGGTCCGAAGTCCACGTGGTTCACACTTTGTCTACATTTTTAACTAAATCCGGTCTTCTAATCGAGAAAACCGGCACCAAAATAACACGATTAAGTCTTTGTCCCGCGGGCCCTTTCAGATACAGAATGAGGATGGAACTGCGCAGCGGCTTGCTAGCCCTACACGGACGGACTATATTTCATTGACAAGAAATCAAGTCTTTCTAAGCGATTTCGATACCAGCGCGACAGCTTACAATATTAAAAAGAATTAATGTTCCTGATTGGTTCATCAGTGTTGTGATCTGCAGCCAGGCTACCTCCATTTTGTGTCGATTAGTTCAAAGTTGTTCATCCTAATCTTATTCATACTAGTCTGGCCAGGTTTCCTGCTGATATTATAGTCCGAAATGCTTGGGTGGGGAACACGCGATCAAGCTCTGCAAAGAAGTCCTTTCTTAGATTAAATATGGAGCGTGCCTTACTTCTGTTCCGTCCGTGCTGTGAGAACACGCGTGGCCAGAACTCGCTGGCACGCAGCAGTACGGTTTTCACAAGAGACATACTTGAGTTGCCGGGCTTTTTTTAAACCGTTCAATTCTGGTCGGGGAAATCAATGACCACGCCTTCCTCTATGCGGTCCGAGCTTCCGGGCATTCCCGGCCATGGAGTACTTCCCCTATCTACGGAAGTCCGGAATAGCTTTGACCGCCGCTTTACAGGTCGCTGTTTTGCAAAAGGTGCACATGATGCGTGCTTATTGTGGCTGATGTAGGTGACTAACCAATAGACGATAGCTCATTTAAAAGCTTTCCTTAAAGTGTGGCGATGTAGCATTTGAGTCCCAGGATACTGTTCATTCATTTCACAGAACACTATGGCTTTGGGTGGATTTCTGCTCTTCACTCTCGGAGCAGTGGCAAAGGCTGCCAGTGGGGGAAGCACTGTCATCGATATAGACGTTGCAATCATAGGCGGCGGGGCTTCCGGGGCTTATGCAGCCGTGCGACTACGAGAGGACTTTGGTAAAAGCATTGTCGTCGTTGAAAAGCAGAACCGCTTGGTAAGGCAACCTGTCTCGATTTTTTGCTCTCCATAATCGATCTTATGGCTGATCTACTCGTAGGGCGGCCATACCAATACATGGCATGATCCGACAACCGGAAATCCATTCGACTATGGCGTTGAAGTTTTCACCAACTTAACGGCCTCCAGGGAATTCTTTGGACGGTTCAATATCCCCATCGGAACCCCCCAATTTGCAGAGTCAGGGACATTGTATGCGGACTTCGTTGACGGCAAATCAGTCAACTATACACCTCCAACCACGGAGGAAGTCACTGCCGCAATGGGAAGATATCGGGATCAGTGGCTCAAATACCAAGACCTGATGTTGCCTACGAGCTTGGACTTCCCAACCGGCAAGGACATTCCAGAAGATCTCCTGTTGACTTGGAATGAATTTGCGCGCAAGTACGATCTAGGAGCCGCATCACCGTCAATCTTTAGCACGGTCGTGGTGGACCTTGAGGCCGCATTGATGATCGACGTGTGGAAAGCGTACGCTGTACCGACTACCGCCTCAGGATTCCAGCCAATCTCGGGCGACAACTCCGAGATATACGACAGAGTCGCGCAGCTACTTGGCAATGATGTCCTCTACGAAAGTCAGGCAATCTCAGCTCAACGATCGAACGATGGTGTACGACTCCTGGTGAAGGGGAATGACGGGAACACAACCGAGATCAATGCTAAACGACTCCTAATAACGATCGGACCGGAAACTTTGGACCAAACGATTTTTGACTTGGAGGATCAAGAGGCGGATATTCTCTCCTCAACCACAGGTGATCGATACTACACGGGCATTGTATCGCATCCATCGTTGCCGGTGCAGGTGGTTCAGAACACAGCCCCAGGAGCTGTAGCCGCCAACTATCTCGCGTACCCTGCGGTGTCGTCGTTGTCAAGTTTCAATTACATGGGAAACTCTTCAACAGGCCCTATTTACCGCACTGTGCTTTTCGTCGCCAGAGATACCGAATTCGAGGAAGCGAAGAACATTGTGCGCAGCTCCCTGCAGAACCTCATGGATGCAGGAACGATTCCCGCTGGAGATGTTGATCAGGTCGACTTCAAGGCATTTGAAGATCACGGTCTCCTGTACCGGCGCTGGTCTGCTGATCAACTGCGCAATGGAATCGTATCTCAGGCAAACGCTCTGCAGGGTCTTCGTTCAACTTGGTACACGGGAGCGTACTGGATGAACAACGATGCCGCCATGCTGTGGAATACAACAGACGCTATTTTGCCGAGGATGCTGGAGGGAATTTAGAACTCTCTCTGGAGATGTTCCCTCTGGTTTGGGACATTTTCTTTTCTATCAAACGGCCGAGGCCATAAAGGTTTCTCAGAGGGCTATTGAGATGACTGACTTTCTCCTAGAATTGTATAGATGTCACATAACAAATAATTATACTTCACTAGCATATTCCATGCCATGTATTAATAATCTGGATATTAACGAGTTCAATCACGGTGCCAGCAAATTTGATCAGCTCCCTGTGACACAGTTGAAAACTTTAAACCCGTAATTCAGGGTCATGTCATCGCAGCGAACGTTGTTTATTTTATTTACTCCTCCTGGTCATCCCCAAGTGCTAGTGACTAGGTTTGCGATCGCATGGCCGACGCTAAAAAGTTTGCATCTCACCGTGGACACATAACACTAGGCACGATTAAATTATCGCACGATGAGAAGTACAGGAACAGGGTACTCATGCTAGTCTAATTCTTTTGACAAGATGATGAGAGCCGGTTGCCAGCTCAGCTTTTCATACCTGATCCAAGTGGCCAGACTATATCTTCTCTTGGCTAATACATGCATGCGGCAACATAGGTAAATGCCCTCTCCTTACTGCATCTTCTAATTGTCACAAATGCGCTAGAGTCTGTGGCAAAGAGGAAAACGAGACGAAGGTACAAAATTCTACATAATATATGGATAAGCTTCCGTTCCATCAGATTTGACTTGGAGAAACAGGGTTCTGGCCCCAGACCCAATGGAAATTGGTCCCAAGCTCCACCCCATTCTCAGTTTCTTTAGTGACTGTGTCAACTAGAGAATTGACCATTTCCTCAGTCAAATCCTGCCCCATGACTCCAAGTTTCAAAAGACCTTGAAGATTCTGTGGCATATAAAGCAATGCCATTTTGGTTATGATGTCAATCAGGTCTGGTCTTCCCAAAGTCACAAAGACTTTCTCATCCACGTTCTCAAACCCGGCTTGGCGAAATTGGTATGGCAGGAGCACTGGACATCTGGGAATGTATTTAGTATTTCGTCCATTAAGCATATAAATGCGATGATTGGTATCTTGAATTTGGAAAGAGATCATAGCGGACTTACTTCGGATCACGTCCCAATTTGACGGCTGCCTCGGACTCTATCCTCTTCCACTCATGAAATGCTGGGGAGTATGGATTACTGGCGTAACCGTACGCTCCAATTTCGGACCAAAATAAATACCCGCCTGGCTTGAGAAGTGTTTTCAAATTCCTTGTCGCCAACAACCAGTCGTCCTTCTTCATTGCCGCATAGAGTAATTTCACATGCACCAGGTCGTATTTGCCCAATATCTCTGCCGGGAATGGTTCCAAGACATTTCCGAGCTGCAACTTGACGTTTGGGGGTAATGAGGCTGGGTCAGGGAATTTGCTCGAGTCCATATCAAAACCTTCGAGCTCCGCTTGCTCCGGAAGCTTCGATGCGAGTTCTTTGAGGAAGATGCCACTTCCGGTAGCCACATCAGCGACCTTGGGAGCTTGAATGCCTTTCAGGTGTTGCCAGATCAAGTCTGGAAAGTCGCTTCCCATAATAGCTTTGAGAACACCATGTTGAAAGTCGAGGCGCTCTCTTTCTTTGTTTGCATCGCCATGATTGAGAGTGTAGACAGAAGTCGACATACTGTATTGCTTCAGGATTGTCCTCTCAGGCTATGCAGGCCTTATACGATGTTCTACCCACATCCCTTCCTTAAGTGCTTGAGTTGATTGAGGGATGACCAACATATAAACATGACTCTCTTCATTATGCCAAGAACCCAAACATTTGATGACACATGTGTTGAAGATAGTTATTACATGAACAACTTTTGAGAACATTAATGATCTGTGGATTTGTAGTGGGCCACTACTGAAAGTAATATCTCCGTACTCTACAAGTGGGCCTAAAAAGAAAGAGTCTCCGCTTAGCAAAGGGACATTGCTCGGCCTAATCCCATCAACCGAGGCCCTGTTGTTCATCGAAACCGGCCTATAGAAAGGCAACCGGAAGAATTTTTATTTAACATTGCGAACTTTATATCACATTAGTGCTTGGTCATCCACCAAACCCAACAGTCTGCATCACTGACACTGCAAAATTGTTCAAGCAGATTGAAATGATTATGCCAAAGAGTACTGACCTAAATCCAACAGGCACTGACGTCTGAACCACTGTAACATCACTACTCGGGAATGAAAAGCAGTCGCATCAGAGAAATGGCCAACTAGACTGCACTCAACCTCGGCTGTACACTGCAAAGACAATCATATACACAAGCTTGCTGGCTACTTGGATGGCTTCTTCCGCACATTTACAATGTAATGAATGAAAATAGCATTTGACTGTCACACTTTACAAGCCTCTGACTTACATCTCATTCCAGAGTTGACCAGATGAAATTGCCTGAGCACCCGACACGTTTGTAAACAATCTCCGAGGTCATATTACCACCGCCTGCAACTGCTGTTGTGGATGACAAAGTGTGATACACTTTGGCGTTAGTAGTTTGTGCTCTGGTTCCTTAATGCGCGTATACTAGCTTGAAAAATCCGCGCCAGCCTAATAGATCCAAGGTACAGCAAAAATCTCATGGTAGACGGTATCACCCAACTTCCTTGACCTCAAGAAGCCTCAATGTTCCCAGTGACTGTAAGAGATCCGCCGCAGTACGACCTCGAGCGCCGCTCCTCTGAACTCCTTGCCAGCCAGGCATGCCCGGGGATAGTGCTTAGCGGCAGAAGACAACCACTTGCATGATTCGCGGCGAGAGATTAATTGTGGCCATCATCGCTGCAATGACCTCGCCAGATTGTAGGACGCGACAAGCTACCTTGAGACCTCCTGGTTTACTGGCCTGGAATGGCTCTCTTGGTTTTCAGAAATTGAATGATTCAAAAAGCAATGACTTTTCAAAATATATCAAGAAACCTTGTCGGCAAGTCTGTCCTTTGGGTCTCGATTCTGCATATCGTCATCATGGGAAGGGTAAGCAGCACAAGAACGCTTCACAGCCTCTCGTTGATCTACCTTGTTTCATCATCTACAATGGCATTTTCGAGTCTTTCGTAGACACTCAGGGTCCACGGCGTTTCCTTCAAAAGAAAATATCTCGACATAGGCACGCGTCAGATCGGCATCTGCCACGTCGAGAAGCATCCGGGCCGAATGAGGCATCGTACCCAGTTTGTGGCATTGATCCTGAGGCCAAAATTATTAGATAATCGCTGAGTTACCTTGTGCAAATCTACCTTCTTAGATGTATTGATCTCTATGGCTTTTTGAGAGAGTTGCCACAAACAAAACCTCCTGCGCGGCACTGGCACCCTCCTTCCCCTCCACGCCGGCGTCCTTGCCCCCGCCAGCTCCCTTGCTATCGCCATCTCCTTCCCCTGATCCGGCCGTGTCACCACAGAAGTCAACATTGAGGACGATAGACTGGGAAGCTGACAGGCCAATCTCGCAGTGGTGAGGTGAGTTTGTTGATACTCAACCTGAGTCATGGTAAATCGGTCAATCAACAAGAGAAAAATAAAAAATATGAACAAAATAGAAGTTATCAAATCTCTAGTTACTTCCTTCACAAAGTAGCTTTTGGTATATCCTGCATCGGATACAATGAGGACAGAGAATGGCACTGTTACCCGTTTAGTTCAGTGTGTCTAATTGCTTCGAATCGCACGAGAACTAACACGTGGACTTGCCTATTACCATAATGCTGTCTATAAAACTCGTCCAGTGGTGAGTGGATGCTGTGCTGCCGTGAAAATATTCGTTTTTCAATTTCACTCGACCAGGTACGATAAAATTGTACGCATTGGCGCAGATCCTCAAGGACTGTTGATGCCGTTATGTAGGTTACAGAGATCTTTCCAGTATGTCGTGGACGGGAACTTGATTCGAGGTCGGTATTGCCACAACGATCCCAGTGCATTCATGATCCTACAACACCGGAAGGATTGGCCAGTATACACACCAATTCATTTCGAAAACGCGGGTGCACTTATCCTGCCGGAAGGCTAACACTACGAAGTAATCAAGAAGACGATCAGCAAACAGACACAAGGCAAGCTTGAACCTGGATCGGAAAGACCCGAGGTGACAGAACGGAATATCGTTTATGATATTGGTGCCGGTAGAATTGGCTTGATGTTAGGTAGGGGCTTCGCGTCGAGTGTCCTCTATTTGGTGTACTGGATGCCAGATCTGTGAAGATAGTATATCCTCAAAAGAGACAAAGGCTTGAAAGACGTGAAGCAGGCATACAAATAACAAATGAGAATCGACCTTGTGCTCAGAGATACGACATAACGGTGAAACTCTGATTTGTAGCAGGTGCCCATGATTCCCTGGGGTGTGTCTTCTAATACTATTACACAACTAAAGCATGTCGTAATCCACGGAGTTTCAGCTTATCCGTGTCCATCTACTGATCTCGGTCTCAGTCAGCCGCAGCCATAATTGAGTCACGGAATGGGGTTAGCTACCGAAGCTGGAGGCTCCGTCGATATGCCTGCAAAAACGCGTGAGCGTCATTCTGAAGAGCTGTACGCATCAAAAATAGGATCTCTCTTAAGCAAAATTCTGATCAAATACTTGGGCGGGATTTCGGAGGAAGTTCCGGCGTTCCCCGCAGCAAGATCTCATCGATACTTGGAAAGTGGTGGACCGGACCGTATCGTGGTGTCAACCCCGCGCGCTGGTGGAGCGAAGAATGGAATGGGTAACAAGGAGTGTGACCTTGATTAATAGTCCGCGTAGATCAGGTTGATCATCGCCATATGGTCATCGCCATTCGGGCGTATTCAGCCCGCCCGTATGGAGCAGTGTCCTGGTCTATATAACAAGTAATCGCGCATTGGCTTCGATCAGATATCTCGGACAAGCTCATATAATCGAATTAAATCATATTCATAAATCAGTGCCTTCCATAGTACGGCTGCGTGTCCACGATGCCGCTTAAGAGCCTGCTTGCTATCGTCCTCATATCATGGAGCACTGTCACCAGCACTTCGCCAACTGACCGAGATGAGCTCCGGTACCGAGATGCCAAGCCGTTTGTCCACCCGGGCGCCTTACACACTATCATGGACATAGAAAGAGTCCAAGAACACGTTCAGGCGGAAGAGCAGCCTTGGTACCGAGCTTGGCAGCACCTGGAGTCCACAAAGCTGGCCCAGATCACTTGGGCCCCCACGCCTCAGGAAATAATTGTACGTGGCACGAACACCACACTCGGTCTGCCGGAAAACTACGCTTACGCGTACCGCGATGCCCACTCTGCTTATCAGCTAGCTCTCCGATGGTTGATTGGGGGCAACATGTCCTATGCGGATCACGCAGTCGAGATCTTGGATGGCTGGAGCTCCACCTTGGTAGACATCAAAGGCAGCCCCGACAAATACCTTGCGGCAGGTCTTTACGGTTACCAGTTTGCGAATGCAGCTGAGCTTCTTCGAGAGTATCAAGGTTGGCCAAAGACGAATCAAGAAGCTTTTGGTGGGATGCTGAACGACATCTTCGCGGTCTACAACAGGGGTTTTCTCGACCACCACAACAACCAGCCAGACTTCTACTACGCAAATTGGGACCTTTGCAATATCGCTTCCTTAATGGCGATCGGAATCTTCAATGATAACAAGACGATGTACGACTACGCCGTGAAATACTTCAAGGATGGGCTACCTGGCCAGCCTGAAGTTGTTGCTAACGGCGCATTGCCGTATTTCTCTATTGCTAACTTTACAGAAGACGGCACCAACAAAACTCTTATGCAGATGCAGGAGTCAGGGCGCGACCAGGCTCACTCTCTTCTCTGTATCTCTTTGCTGGGGGTCATTGGTCAACAGGGTTGGAATCAGGGTGTGGATCTCTACTCAGTTTACGGGCATCAGGTCCTAAATGCGTGGGTTCTCATGCAACACAATGAATATAGCCTGATGGAAAATATCTAATGATTTTTAGTGCCGAATACGTCGCCAAGTATAACACAAACCACACTGTACCATACACACCCTACCGTAGCTGGGAAGGCGTGCTGGAAGTTGTCGCTGAGAAAGCCCGCTTTGACGTCAGGCCTGGGTACGAGGCAATATATTCCCACTTCGCTGAGATCAAGGGTCTTGACGCTTCCTGGGCGCTAGAGTATCGTAACTTTGTGAACGGAAATCTTACTGAGAATATTGAGGGTGGTGGAGGTGACTACAGTCCGAATTCCGGGGGGTACGATTCTCTTGGACACGGTACATTGCTGTATCGTCTTGTGGAGGAGGATTGAGATTCTCTTTGATTTGTCAAGACTATTTTCGGACTTGTATGTGTGAGATTGCAGGGGACGAGGACTTTGATTTCGAGCGCATCAGGTTCTATTCCTTCAAGGAAAGTCCTATTTGCAGACCCGCTCTTCGCACGCGACATTATGTCTACGTGTGCGTGACATCTTGCACGTGTAGGGCAATAGACAGATCAATTCTCAAGGTGCAACAACTTCACCCTGACATCCCATAAAAAGTGAAAACTTCGATATTCTCAAAAGTTGATCTCAAATTGATAAGTCCAGGACAGAATTTCTGGTACTTTACCTTCAGATAAGAATCAGGTCTTGAAGACCGCATTCCTCGAAAACCAAACTCGGTTGATACACACCACCCTCCTCACAAAGGCCTAGGTTTTTATCACATTCTTCCGGGGAAAAGCTGAACTGAATCGTGCCAGACCGCCGAAATGTGTTTGGGTCATCAGCCTCTGTGACTGGTTGTACGAGCAGCCCAAAGATCCAAAAGGTCGAGTCGAAGCTATTATACTGTTTCGCGAGAAGGAGCATGTGAGTTGGTTTATCCCAACGCCACATCTGCTCTTTTGTGAGCACGCCTAGAAAAGAAGCCGGTCTCTTGTTTTCAAAAATTGTAATTGGGCAGTCAAGCCAATCCGACCGCTCCTCCAAGTCGACCATGATCCTTCTCAGTGGTCCTTTGATCGCGAGCCCGCGCACGCCAGACTTTTGAACAGATGCAGACTGAATATCAGATTCGAATCCGGGAATATCAGACAAGACTCGGATCTGAACACCATTTAAAGTTTCCACGGATTGGCTTACATCACTCCCGATGCGGTGGTCTGCGATTGAAGACGCCCAGGACCATGACGGCGCGAGCTGCACAGATGGGATACTTGCGCGCGAACAGTAGCGATTCATGACCAGCGACCGGACTAGATCCCCCTCCCAGATCCCAGCGATGAGATTATCGTCAATGAGTTCACTTAGAACACGTGCTATACCGGCGGCTGCTGGGAAACGGTCTTGATCGTAAGTCATATCGGCACCGGCGTAGTAGCCGATGAATTTATTCCAGAACGAATAAATATCTTCTCGCTCGCTTTTAGTGTTTAGCGAGCGTATTCCGCCTGCCGGGCTCAATTGTACATCGTCCCAAATAGGAATGCTTGGTGAAAATGCTTCGTTGGCAACGAGATGACTGCATTCCCACCAAACTTTTCCCGGGGTATAATGGAGAGTTGCTGCCGAGAGAACTCTCTCCTGGGCTACCCAAGCTCTCTGCATCAAAAAGCTTGAGAGGATTTCCTGTCCGAATTCGATCTCGGAAACTCTGACATAAATGCCATCAAAAGAGCGTTTTGATTTGTATTCACTTCTCAAAACACATTCGAAGCGCAATGGAGGATGCACATGCGACAGTGCCTTCCTCTCATTAAATAGCCCAAAACTACCGTTTTCGTAGCCTGTTGCTGCAATGTTGAATTCTCCGTACAGGTAAACATCGCCCATCCTCTTGGCCTCGTGCGTCCAATCCTCTTCCGAGTCTTGGATGATACAGAGAGAATCAATCCATATGTAACAGACGCCGATTTCTGTCGCTGCGTATAACGCGTCTTGAAACACTTTTGGTAGTTGGCTGATCGGTATATCTTGTTTGAGCTCTTCGATATTGTCTTTTAGCAACCTGAACATCACTCCGTCTCCCCAGCAGTGACTCAGCGTCGCATACGGGGTGCTGGACGGCAAATCTTGGGTCTCACAGATATTGGCCGATATCCCCGGCTTCCCATTTTTTGATTTATTGATTTGGACCAGCCGGGTTGGAAGAGCTCTCGATTCCAATTTCCAGGTTCGACAAGTCGTATGTTCTAAACACTGTTGATACCAGTATTGGCACATGCTGATGCTGGCTGCCGACTTTGCGGTGGTCGTCCTCAGCGCGGTATCTGGCGCACGTTAGTTCAAATAGTGACATTTACCAAGTTTGACCACGTGGCGTACCTAAAAACTCTGGCCCTAGGCCTAATTCGCTGGCAGGATAGAAATTCATGCCCATCAACGACTTAGCATGTTCACAGCCAGCATCGGAAGGATCGCACTCCTCGCAGTTTGAGAGGTAAAATCTCATAAGCAGTTTTTTATCACGGCTGAGTAACTCGCATCTGATAGACCACAAGTCATTTGGGGTTGGTCCAGGTTCGGACCAACGACTGACTTCTCGCGCTAGGTCCTCGCAGATGATACAGCCGGCATCGACGGATTCCTTCAAAGAAGACAAAGATGGATGGTATAAACGCTTGTCGGTCTCGGAAATCCTGCCCCGAGGAAACTGGCGACAGGTGGAACACAGATTGGATATCATCTCGCTCAATGCAAGATACAAATCATCGTCCAAATCCGGCATAGAGGCAACTTCCTGAGTGTCCTCCGTATCTGTGGAAAAATACTCTTCCTCCTCGAAGTCTATATATATAGACTCTTCATCGTCCGCTCTTGGATCGAAATACTCTTCATCGTCAAAGTCTGTGTCAATGTACTCTTGCTCGCTCGCCCGATACTCTTCCTCGTCTGTGCTTGTGTCGATATACCCTTGCTCATTCTCGTCTATGTCGATATTCTCTTTCTCATCCTTGTCTATGTCGATATTCTCTTTCTCATCCTTGTCTATTTCGATATTCTCTTTCTCATCCTTGTCTATGTCGATATACTCTTGCTCGTACGTATCTGTGGGGTTACACTCTTCCTCATCCGTGTCTGTGTCGATATACTCGTCTTCATCCATATATGTGTAGATATACTCTTCCTTGTCTTTGTGTTTTTGTTTTCGCAGGCAAAGTCTTTCTCGTGGGTAGCTCTGCCGATATAATTTCCCTCGTCCGTGGCTACGTGGATGTACTCTTCCTCGTCCCGTCTCGGGTCGACTTCCTTGGCCCTCGTCCATTCTGATGCTGAGACACTCGAAACCCACAGACTGTGGATGTACCTCAATGACCTGTGCATTCGATGAGAATATGACTGCTAGAAAGGCGTCGACTGCGTACTAGGTGAACAATATGGAAGCTTGTGAGTGTTACTGCCTTTTGAAAGACCTCGTGCTGGGAGGTTCCTTGTGTGATACGAGCATGAATTGCCCCGCTTGCTTTTGACAGAGCGCGACGAAGGAATCGCCTATTGGTCGCCAACTCAGCTGGGTGGAGGAGGGTTAAGCACCCCTGCATATTGCATCCTTCCTCCCAACATTGCCAACACTGCCAACACAACCAACTGTGCAAGGTTGCAGAGCCCAGCACGTGACTCCTCCGGACGGTGGATCTTGCCCGCAACATACTGTCCAACATCAAACATCTGAGATCTTGCACATTGGTCCAAACTAGACAGCTTAGGTGTTGGTTGGCCTACAGATGAGTTCGCTGAAGTCTAGCTATATTCGCCAGTGCCATGGCCTGGATCCCGCATATGCCAAGTGACATAATTATAGCAAAAAGACAGGATAGCCGTAATAATTGCTGCTATGAAAATTTGTTTTGGCGCACACCGCAACTAATGCTTACTCTCCTTCCAAAGCCATTATTAGCCCAACTTTTTCAATGCTACGTGGACGATCTATCAGCCGCTGCAGGAATGACATAGATTATATTCCCTGGGGCTGGTGAGGAGTGTATACACCTCGAGATTGCGTAGTTACATCATCATTGTAGTTGTTGATCCATAGTCATAAGATGTTTCGCGATGAAGGATATCCAGTATCATCCGTTCAACTCTCTATGTAAGCATACGTAGGTGCCCTCCTCTGTAGACGGACTGAGTGTCTTTGCCTGCAAGTAAGCGCGACTCAGAAATAGACCAATTGAGGCGCCACGCAGTATATACTTGGATAGAGAGAATGTTCAATTGCATAACACACGTTAGAGGTACTGTGTAATGGAGTAGTATGTCATGTGCTGTCAAATCACACTTCCTAGTTCAATATCGACAGGCAAAGCAAATTATCCGAATCGAATCATGCGTGTTCTTGAATCTGTCAACGAACGTCTTCATTTCCACTGAGGAGTCAGCAATCCTGCGGGTGTTTGACAAGAACTTGACGTGAATTATGTATCTTTTGACACAATTGTATTGAAGATTATCACAAGCGATGTGGATTCGCAAATATGGCAGAGATAATACTTTAGGACATACTCCAAAGGGCTCAAGGTGGCGTGAAGAATGCCTTGAACAGTTCAAGGTCTGGATTAGTCTAGGTCTAAGTGCCTTGAAGACTTCAAGGTCTTGATCGCGACTCTCCGCCTCCCTCTGGACAGGGACTATATGCCTTTCCTGTTAGGAAGGCATGGATAGTATGTATCCATTTAGCTGCCTCGTTAGCTTCCCCCAGCTATTTATTAGACTAGTTTCCGTCTAGCATGTTCAGCCTGGCCAGCTGCTCAGCTGTCGCTCACCCCAACGAGCTACCGCCCAGCTGAGCTGTCAGTCAGGGGTTCGAGTAAGTATTCGCGAAGTAATCTTTCAACCCAAGCTTTCTTTTTACTGTCTGCTGTCTTTCTTTTGTCCTTTATAATTCTGCAACCACTGGGGTTCTTCAAGCTGGTTTTGCATGCCGCAGAAGCGGCGTTTCAGGGGACCTCCTTTCCAATTCACTTAGCAGGCCTCGGTTGAAGAAGGTGAAAATAGATAATAATCACGGTTCTAAGTTAGAAGCGGTTGGCCATCCAAGGGCTATAACATTCAAATGGCTTACCTAAAATAATGCAATTTGCCAGGCTTCAACTCGTTGCGCACCGGCATCAAGAGATTGATTGAGCCCATGAATAAGTTGCCCACTATTTCATTGAGTCAGTCCTAAATTGGAAGTGATTTGTCTGTGCAAACATTCTTCGTCTGAGATTAACGCGATAACCGAACTCATCTATACCTACTCGGATGTTACAATGAAGTAGAGTAGCGCTAGAGCTCAACTCGGACAGGTATATAGAGTTCTCGTTGGCCAGGACCGGCAAATCTCCTGAGCAGCCACTCTTTCTGACGCCTAATATTCTCCCACTTGTGTGGGACCCGACCTGGAAATTCATGCCAAATGTATCCCCCCCAAAAGACGCTCACGGGGTTAGCTAGGAGTGACTTGACCTCAAGGGTTTTATCTTCCAGTACATAGGCGTTGTCATAATCGATGAGGACAATACGGGGCAAAACATGGCCATGAACTATTTTTGCAGGGGTCGCGGAGTCTTGTTCAACAATCATTAGACTGCGTGCTACAAAGTCCCTCTGGGCGATTTCTGCCTAAGCGGCCTGATATAGCCGTCCTGCGCACGGGCAAGTATTTCGAGTCGGAACTCTTCAGGGTAATGAAACGAATCCAGGCCCCTGCGCAGATCGGGATCATTCCGGGCACGTGTCGAAAGAATGTTGTTCCCATGCAAGCGCTCTATTAAGATTAGGCTAATACGCCTTATCCTAGAGCTTTCCCTGATCGTTATAGGCAAAGTGTACTTCCAGCAGCCGTAGTATTCTGGAGCAAAGAAGTCAGCTTGCCTCGCTACACGCAGATGTTCGTATGCGGTAGCCTCGTTGATATAATCATAGCTCGCGGAGTAGACACAATCTTCCGGGTTGTGTCCGGTTTTTGACTCAAAACTATAGTATAATGGGTCATAAGTCTTCGCGACTGCCTTGTAGGAATCGACGGGTGCTGTGTCCGTGCCATGCGGAGTAACCATAACCGCTACAATCTGCGCACTCCCTGCAGCTCCGATGGCGATGGGTGTGGTGATGACCAACTGAGCCGTCTCGTTTCGGAAACGAGTATCGCCTGAGGTTACTATCAAGGGCGCGGAGAGCTGGCCTAAGTCTCAGTCACCCCGATACCGTCTTTGAATAGTGACATATCTAACGATGAGGTCTGTGATACTCAATGCCTCCGTTCTAGAGGTTTATGCCAATACGAAATGACCTGCAGGTTACGGCAAGGAGCCAAGCTAAGGTCGTCAATGGCCACGCAGCAAAGTTCTGGATTCTGGAGATTGAAAGATAGTATTTGAATATATTTGTGGTATCAGCCGGGCCTCAACACGAAGCTGTGTATTCTTGCTCCAATCAGAAGAGCGTCTGGGCAGATGTCAATCCGAACCTTGAAAACTGGCGGCCTATCCTTCTCGATGCTGTTCCTAGCAGTTTCGTAGATGTGGCGACTCAGAACCTCCCCCTTAGCGAACTGATAGACAGCTGATATGATGTCATTACGATCACAGACTGCGAGAGGTAGCAGAGAGGGGCAGCTCGAATCAGTGATCCTGGCGTCTTCTGGCTTGCCAAAGAGTTCCACTTCCAACTCCAACATCTGAAGGCAACCCTTGTCACTTCAGACCTTCAGACCTTCCAAGGAACGTGCTTCCCAGTCGCTTGGTATAAACCGAAGCGCCTACAAGTGACAGACTAAGGTATATAACTTCAAGCATTTGGCAACATTTCTTCCATATTAGTTCTGATGCTCCCCTCGTTCAGACATCCAGCTTGATCCGCGGGTTTAGCAGACGCCTAACTTGTTCCACATTATCAAGAAACTGATCCAACGTCCCCCCTGGCGAAAAAAGCATTAGCTAGTGTCCTGCACAATCATGGATTCGTCACCTCTACCTAGCTTGGTATACAATTCGAGAACGGGGTGGGCGGAGGCACTCTCGTCGCGTCTTCTCGGTCCAAATTTTTCATCATGCCGTCCAGGAGTTTTTGGTACTCTGAGCGCAGGACACCGGTAGGCCCCTGGCCCGTGAAATTCAACATCAAAGACTTTGCGCTCGGTGCCTCTTCCCAGACGGGTTCGATTTCAGACCCCAAGGACTTCATCAGAGCGGCGAGCTTCGTGAGCAAGATGACTTTTGCATTCCTCTCGTCTTCCGTTCCCACAACGGTCTTCCAGGTCTGAGACGTGTCCGCCATGTACCATTCCAAGGTCCTGGTGAAGATCGCCGGAGATGCGAACACGATGCTTGAGTGAGCATTATCCAGCAGGAATGAGTTGATCTTGTTGACGTGGTCGCGATTGATACGGAAGAACTTGAAAAGGAACTTGTCGTGCTTGGACCTTGGCGCTTGCGGTTCGAGCGGCCTCAGCTGCCCATCGATCAATTCCGTGTAGTTGTTGCGCGCTTTCGCGATGGGCAGGTCAGCGAGCTCCGATCTGCGGCCAGCCCCGAATGGTCGATCGACAGCATCTGCCCACCATTGGTCCTTTAGTTTCCGGAACTTAGGATCAGCATCCTCTTCTGGCAAGGGGAGGAGAAAGCTCCTCAACACGATCATCACCTTCGGCGAGACTGGCGCGAAGTCATGAAAGTCGACCCAGGAAGAGCCTATCTCCTCTCCTGTTTTCATGTCGACTCTGAAAGAACTGATTCCCTCCCATACAGTGTAGCTATTCTCGCCCAAAAGGAACTCCGCATCGGCTTCAGAAGGAGAGCACAGAGCCATGTAAGACTGCTGAGTGTGATGGCAAAACCACATGGCATCTTCAGGGTACATTCGTTCGAGGATATCTGTCATCCACTTGCCCTCGACATCCATCTTGCATTCTGCAATGGCTTTGAGGTTATCAAACCAGACATCGATAGGTCGTTGGAAGCCTCGGTCACGCATATATTGGCGCAGCTGCAATTTGTCATCCGAATCATACTGTTCTGGCGTATCGTGGTAGAATCGTCGGCGGAACTGAGAGCCGCGGTACTTGAGCAGGAACAAGAATTTACGGACGATGTTCCTCTCGTCTCGCGTCAACCAGAGTTCAGTATCCCCTTGCTCGAACGCTTTGGTGATCTTGCGAAATACAGGACTGGCAGCGCTTTCAAGCCTTCCGAACATCTCCTCGATGTGGTGCCTTTCCTTGGCTGTGGCTTGAGCGAGGTCCTCGTACATGTTGTTCATGCCCAGGACTCGCTTGACCGGGGTGGTTTCGATGGCCAATTTATCGGCTGTGAGGTCGACATGGCTAACGACACGCTCCCCGCGGTACATCTTGACGCCCCTGCCACGTCTCTTCTTGGACTGTCGTCCCGGCTCATTTTTTGGTGGTTCATACGGCTTGGAAAAGTTTCGAAGCAGGAACTGGGGAACAAAATGTTGGTATTCGGTCGTGCCGCTTGAATGCGATGCCATCGTGTCGAACGTCTTCTAACCGCGATTCGTCCACAGAAGAATACCAACACCACGACAGCAGTTGCCACGTACATATGCGTTGAAATCCCGATTTGTTCGCGAATCAGGCTGAGAAGGACGAGAGACACCCCGCTTTTGCAAAGGGCTGCTGACATGCAAAGCTTTGTGCGACAATGTTCACGCATGTGTCATTAGGCAGCATTTTGGACTCATGCAAGCTTATGTTGGCGACATGTCAAAAATTTCCAACCTATTCAAAATCAAGTTGTATGTCGCACGCGAGTTTGATGGATATGGAGCTTACTCAGCAGCGTTTATCGGCACTGAAGCAAGCCACTTGAGCCAGACATAAGACAATCAGTCTTAGGGATGGTTTAGGATGGAGCAAGGGCAATGCACGCCCGGTGAGAAGGGGGTGAAACGTATACTGTATAAGTATTCAGACAGAACTTTACTCGATGGCTTACAAGTGACGAAAAAGGGCGAAATACAATAGAACGCGCGATATCGATCTTCCATCACTGAGAAGACGAGCGGTGTGATCGAGAACAGTCCGAAGACGCACTTTCAGGAGCTGGGCAGAGATGAGCCCGACTTCACGGGAGTTCGACCTCGATGACGCTTTCGATAGCCCGCGGGTGCCTCGAAATACCGACAACCCGCAGGCCGCTGCCTTCCAGCAACCTCCTCCAGTGGCCCTCGGTTCTCTCCAAGCCACACACGGAATTCATCATCAGCAGATCTAGAGTAGTCACCAGGCTCGCGGCACCCTTAGCCGGCAGCACGTTCTCGTAGATCAGCAGCTTCGAGTAGCCATGTTTCATTGCACCCTTCACATTCTCAAAGATTCGGACACAATCCTCATCAGGCCAGTCATGCAGGACAGCGTGGAAAAAGTAAGACCGAGCGCCTGCCAAGGGCTGGGGCGTGAAGAAGTCGTAAGCCATCCTAGCGATGCGCGGGTCGAGCTGTTCCTTGGCGCCGTGCGTGGAGGTGACCTCTGGCAAGTCCTGCACGACGAGCCCCGCGCCTTGAGGGAGATCTGGATGTTTAGATAGCAGACGGGCCGTGTCCAGTCCGTGTGCACCGCCGATGTCGACAAAGAATGGCGATTTTCCTGTGAGGTCGGCGCCGTCGACAAGCCCGGCTGTGTCGTACACCTCTGTCCAGTCCATCTTGTGGCTTCGTACAGCTGTCATCATGCCAATGAAGTTTGAGCCTGCGGTGTGGTTCTGCTGACAATAGTCGAAGAAGACGGAGCCAAATGTATCGGTATGATTGTCGAACTTCTTGGTATCCAGAGGCTCTCTGTACTGGTTCTTGGCTAGGAACGACGGGAGGTTGAGGCCGCAGGGGTTACAATGGAGGAAGCCGCACCTCACCAGCTCGTTGGTGTATGTCGACTCGTCGCCCATGGCAAGACTGAATGACGTTGGCTTCCACTCGTCGACTGCGGTTTCTTCGAGGACATTCAGTGCAGCGAATTGCCTCAGAAAACGCCCTAGAGCGTGGTTTGAGCCTATAATTACACTGGTGTGATTAGAGATACCGCACCGAACTCACGAAGGAGATTAGGCTCGGCTGGAGCGCTGCACATCTCGACGATGTGGCTGAGAGATTGCGGGATTGGCCCTTGGCCCTTCTGGATTTCAGCCCACTTGGACCAGATTCCGAGGTCTTGAAAGACCAACAGTCCAGGTACAAGCACTGCCGTCTCCATTGTGAGGGCCCATCCTCGCTCGAAGGGCGTTTCTAGACGGGCAAGGAGCCTGCGGGTAGCCTCCTTGACCTCATATCGCTCTGCGTCTGACTGGAAGGCATCTGGACGAATTGAGTCCAACTGCTTGGTCGTCTCTGAGATATAGCTGGCCATTGTTTTCCTAGGTCTTACTAAGTGACGGGCGCTTGCAGTGTGTGCGAGGGCGGTTGTGTGGCTTTATGTAATCGTGACAGAGGCGACGCGGGAAGGAGGACGGTTTTGGGTAGTGTGATCCGAGGCAAGACTACACTATTGTGCTAGGTGGGTGGTACGAATGCGCAACTAGGGTCCTTTCCTGCACATGCACCTAGTCGGCCAGATCCTGCTCCGTGCATGCTGGTGCGGGATGCGATGCCGCCCTCTCTAAGATCCTGGACGGCTGCAGCGCTTAAAACAGAAACAAGACAGAGGAAAGTGGACAGAGAACAGAAGTGGTGTCTCTCTTGCTGGCTTCATCCGACCCGTGAGCCAATTTCAGCACCTAGGTCCATATACATGGGAAAGTAGAGTGTTCTTGTCTTGCTGCTGCTGCCGACTGGACCGAGAGGGAGGGTGTGGTCAATACAACACAATATTATGTGCACTCAGGTTGTATCATGTATTAATACAGCACTGCAGTGGATGGTGTGGTTTCACTCGGTTGTGTGGTTTCAGTGGAGGGCATCTCCATTCATCTGATAACGGGGCCCTTTTTCGGGACAAGCCTGCAGCCGAACTTGGCTAAGCACGACGGGTAGTGGGGCGCGGGGGGTGTTCCGCGACCCATCCTGGCAATTCCCACAGCAGCTGAAGAGGAGCAGAACAGGCAGAGAGAACGCAGGCTTGGGGGGCCACTTGGGGCCACTGGGGGGGGGGGGGAGGAGGAGAACAGACATTGGGCCCAGGGTCCCGGTTTCCCCTCACGAACTACTGCGTCGTGCTCGAGTCATTCTCCTATTCCCGACTGTCCCCTTTAATCCCGCCCCTCCCAGACATTCTTTCCCACCCGTGTGCCCTATCTAGACCTAGACCTAGACCTATCTGTTCGTTTTCGCCTACCTGCTTTGCCTCGTCCTATCTTGTCTCGTCCCATCCCATCTGGCCTTGCCTTTGTGGTCGTGTCTTGCCTGACGACAGTCGATCTTATTATTCCCAGCCAAAAACCCGGTGATATGGATATGTTGCGTGTAAATCCATGACGTCTGGATGCATTACAGCAGCACGGAAGGCTGAGTGGGAATAAGCTCCAGCTCCAGCTCGGCTCAACCCAGCCCACAGCCCCCCAAAAACCCAACCAGCCACCGAAACCCAAGAAATCATCGTCCACCGGCCGTCATCGTCTTATTCCCGGCCGGCCAGCACTCAAAAAGAAACCTCCGTCTAATAAACCCACGCGAGGATCCGCGGCCACGGACTCGGAACGGCCCTTGCCATCTCCTTGGTCCTTGGCTCTCGGTAGGGCTACCCAACCGGCTCGTCTGTCTGATTCATGATCAACAGAATTGAGTTTGCATGAGTGGATAGGCCAGTACACAAGCCTTTATACCGGTACCAGTACCAGCAACAGTGCCATTGTCAGTGTCAGTACCACGGCATCGGCACCAGCAGTCTCAGTGTCACTGCCGTCAGTGTTACTGTCACTCCCCGTTGTCACCGTCTCATCGGGAATCCCACGGCCATAACGATGGAACACCCTCACACTCACCCTCTCTCTCACCCACAATCTCACCCTCACCCGCATCGCCACCCCTCCCACCACCCCAAGCCTATACACTACAACAGAGTGCCCATTGGCGGTCCGGACCGTCCCCCCGTGACCCAGTCTCCAAGCCCCGGCACAATCTACGCCTCCCCCTCGGGCGACAGGGAGACATCCTCCTACCCAGTCCCGAGTAATGGCTCACCGAAGCGAGAGCTTGGCAGTCCTGGCATCAAGAGGGAGCCGGGGGGCCGTGACGACTCAGACCAGACTGCCGACCGCTCCAGTATCCTCACGCGCCGGAGCTCCACCGCCTACCCCGACGTAAGCAACGAGGAGATAAAGCCCGATGATGCTACCGAAGAGCCCCAGAGAAAACGACAGAAGCGGAACAAGCCCACACTGTCGTGTTTCGAGTGTGTTGAGAGAAAGACAAAGGTAGGCCTGCTTTTCTTGTCTCATCCGAATCCCATTCCACCAACGATCAGAGCTCTACAGTACTTGCCTCCTGAATTGTCTGAGCTCAGCCAGATCGCATGAGCCGCCCTGTGTACTCTGCACGACTTGACTCCTCGCTCTGATCAATTGCTTCCAGCTCTGCTGTCGACCATTTCTCTCATGCTTTTTCATTCAATGCCCCTCTCACTCATGCGCCCTCACATCTCATGTAACTAACCCCCTGCCAGTGCGATCGAGGGAGACCTCACTGTCTGGCCTGTATCAAACGCCAGACCGAGTGCAAGTATGCCCACGTCGCCAACCTGCTCGAGGAGACGTCGCGCTCGCTCTCCAGCGGCCGGCGCATGACCAAGCCGCCCAAGAAGAAGTCAGGCCCGCAAGGAGACCCCAGGTCTCCCATACCAAACATCGCGGACCGAGGTGTATTGTCAACTAACACCTGCCTCTCCAAAGCTGCCGTCGCCTTGTCCACGGGTCTTCTCTCCACCGTGCCTTATTCCTTCGGGACTGGGTCAAACGTCTTTGGTGTGGGCTCAGCGCACCCCTTCGTGAATGTCTGGAGCTGTGAAGGTCAACTTAACGAGGTGGTCGCCATGATGCCCAGCAAGCTGCAGTGCGACATGCTCATAAGCCGGTACTTTGAGTGTGTTGATCCCGTGTATCCCATGCTGGACCAGCGGACCTTCTTGGAAGATTACGAACACTTCTGGTCTCTTCCTCAAGAAAAGAAATACCAATTTGACGCGGCCTTTGTCGCGCTGATCATGGTCATGCTGGCGCTCGGTACACAGTTCCTCCAGAGCGGCTTGACCACCACAGCTGACAGGGCTGACGCCGCTGAGATGCACGCCTCGGCGAGCAACCAGGCCCTGCGCATGAGCTCTTACCTAAGCACCGCCTCCATCAGGTCTATACAGACCATGGTGCTGCTGGTCTACTTCCTCATCAACGACAACCATGCCTCCGATGGCTGGGCGTTCGCGGGCATCCTGATGAGACAGGCATACGCCATGGGCCTACACCGCGACCCCAACATCGTCACACCAAACGCATCGTTCGCTGAGAAGCAAGAGCGGCGCAAGGTGTGGCAGGCCGTCCTCCTGCAGGACACATTCCTAACGGTCTTGCTTTCCTTGCCGCCTAACGCTACACACACCGACGTGCACGTGGACGACATGGTGGACGACCCTTCGGGATACACGTCGATCAACGCGTCGACGTCGACGGACCTAGCGTACATCCGCGGGTCGTGGACGCTAGCGAACCTGGTGCAGGAGAGTATCTGCTCGCCGCGGTGCCTGGACATGCCGATCTGCGCGACGCCGCGGCACAAGACGAAGCTGGTGGCCGACTTCCGGGCGGTGTACCGGTCGTTCCCGGACACGTTCCGGTCGTGGGACGCCGACAGCCTGGCGGCGCTGGCGCAGACCAACAGCCGGGCGGCGCGCCAGACGCTGTGGCTCACCAGCAACTACTTCCACAACGCCATGCTCGTGCACGCGTCCGAGTCGCCCGACGTCCCCGTCAACGTCCGCGCCACCCTCGAGGCCGCCCACGACGCCATCAACGCCTTCTTCATGCTGCACGCCCTGTTCGAGCTCGAGGCCAAGACCTGGTGGGTCTTTAACCACCGCGCCTTCCTTGAGGCCCTGTGCATCGGGAGCGTCCTCCGTGAGACGGCGAGCGAGCCCGGTGGGGAGGAAGTGGTCAATAAGGACCAGCTTTTCGTTCGGGGGCGTGGGGATATTGGTAAGTTGAACAAAGCTATCCCGTCTATCCTAGGCACATCGTTTGAAGATAAGGCGAGACTAATTTCATTTTACCACAGCCCGCCTGGTGCACATCATGACACGCATGGGAGAAGGGGAGGACGGGTCCGAGGTTGCTCGGACGAGGGCACAGGTGTTGAGCGAGTTCCTGTGACAAGGGGGGAGAGAAATGCCCACTATATCTCCCGATTCATATCTACTGTACATACATAGCTGATATAATACCCTTTCCTCTTTGCCGGTTCCATCCGGTGATTGTTGACCAATCTTCTGTAATTATTAACTTTAGTTGGATGAACTGAATTAATTCAGATGCTGCTATCAGTCGAGCGAAGGCAGTTGAGTAGTGATAATAGTAGACTTCCGGCAGACTTTCCTATCACATCAACCTCACTGACATCCCTGTTGCATTGTGTTTAGCCACTTCTTGATTCTTTGCAAGTCAATACACATAACTAGCAGCAATAGCCGAGAATCTGTTCAAATCAACACATCCAGCACTTGCAAAACAAGGAGCTATGCGAGGGAAAGCACCCTAGAAGAGCCAAAAGAAGCTGGTTTGCTGTAAAATCTTTTGATAATGGAATTCATTCAAGTCTCTAAGTCCCTAGGTCATGCCGCCAGAGAAAAGACTCGCCACAGGGCTGGCCGGCTAGCCATATCTCAATGCCCCGTCTCCACCTCTTTTGTGTGCAGACATGAGGCCCTAGTTTTACATGATGTTGATATTATGCCTCCCCCAAAAGCAGGCAGGCGCCCTCTCTAAGAGGTGACGAACTCGGTCAGGGCTCCTCTATTTTTCAATTTTGACAGAGAACCAAGAAGTTCCTGGGCCGCATTGCATTGTGATATCTGCCTGTCCTTCCTTCTTTGCGATTGAGCTGCTGTCCCATTATTTGCACGTCTTAATGAAGACCGCCCAGTAGAAGACCCGGAAAGAAATCCGCCCATGTGCTAGGGTTCCAAACCATGCCGGACCCCATTTGCACACATGATAACCAGCCACCGGCCAAACTTTCTAGAAGGGTGCTGGGTATGTATGAACCAAGGTTTGGACACTGTAGGCCACTCAGATTGCCACCAACCTCATCATCTATCCACCCTCTTTCGATAATGAAAAACAATACATGGCACGCTTTGCTTCTGGGTATTCATTCAAGTCCGTATGCATGCCTGCCTATGCGTGCCTGCCTATGTGAAAAAGGGTCCAACTGAAATCAATATCAAGCTTTGTCCCCAGCGAACTTTGTTCCGGGCGCTGCCCGAGTGGATGTTATGCCGGTAGGGTCATAGCAGTCTATGAGTGTGAGCACTCGAAGACCCCATTCCTGCCAAGACTGCAGTTTCATGAAGGCCAACATTGCTAGAATCCACCCCACGGCATCGGAGGTCGAGGCTGAGGAGGCTGGCTGCCATTCCTGGTGGCAGACTGGCTGGCACTCCTAGGAGGTGGCTGCTGCGGCGCGGTATTAGTTGATCTGATGATGTACCTGCCCGTGGGCGTGCGAGTAACACCAGTAGACACCAGTGGGTATGCAGTGCTCATCTGCCAGGCACCGGGCTGTCCAGCACGAGGGCTGCTTACAGAGACAGGCCTTGTACCTGTCACTCGAGAACCACCAGTAGGCGGCACAGCGATATTTGGTCGAGTCTGGTAATTGGGCTGTGGTGCTGTAGGTAAGTTCATAGAGCCCGAGCGTGCCTGCTAGGAACGTCGTCGTCCATTGTTGTTCCCACTGCCACTGCCACCATTTCCAGAGATGCGGTCTCTAATCCAACTAAGGGGGTTGGAGGAGCCTCCGGCGCTTCCGCCAGAATTGTTACTGCCGCGGCTGGAGGGCTGTGAGTCGTGATCTCCGCCTCCAAGGCCTGACGAGTTGGCCCGTCCCAGGCGTACACGTGGTCCAGATGGGGAACGGTTTCTAGCCGAGGTCAGACTGGTAGGTCCCGGGCTAGTAGGTGACCATGAGTCTCTTCGCTGTGTGCCGTGCCGGGATGATTCAGGTCCTGAACGGCCATAGCTGGATGATCCCGCCAAATTCCGGATCGAGTTCAAGCGTCGTTCTCTATCCTCAGGAGTTCGCGTAGCCCTCGTGTTGTGTTGGGTGCTGTGTTGCGAGGCAGAGGGTGCAGAAGAGCCTGATCCACCTGAAGGTGACCATGGCTCAGCGGCACCAAACAAAGCACCCAATGGGCCAAGGCGAGCCCCTGAGGGCCGACGCTGCTGGTGGTTGCTGGAGTCGTCCCCACTGCCATTGCCCCCGTTCTCATTATTGCCACCAGCGCTGTTGCCACCTTGCTTTTCGATTGGTGCTCGACATATTGGGCATGTGTTGTGCTCCTTCAGCCACAAAACCACACATTCACCATGAAACCAGTGCTTGCAGGGCAGAACTGTGACCTCGTCTCCCAGATGCATCTCATCTATGCATATAGTGCACTCCACCTTCGCGCTGTCACCCATCATCTGCCTGTCCAGCTTCTTCTTCTCCAGCTTCTCGATCGCTGACTGAGATGCTGGTGGCGCGGCGTTCGACTGAGGGTTAGCCTCCATGAGCTGCGTAATGATTCGATCAAGACCCTCCTGAGTGTACACAGCATCCCCATGCGCAGCATTTGGACCACCTGGGCCGAGAAGGAGAGAGAAGATGTCGCCAAGTCCACCAGCAAGACCGGGATTCTGTGCCCTTGGAGGCTGCACGCCTCCGCCGCCCATGAAATTGCTGAATGTTCTAAGGGGTTGGTTAGTATCAGATTACAAAAAGATGAGGGCAACCTCTAGGAGTCCAGACAAGCGACATTCGAGGGGAGGGCATACATATCAAAGCCATCATCTTGGTCGATTCCTCCACGAGCCCCGAAAGGAACCCGCATAGCTCCAGTAGTTATGGTGAAACTAGTATGTCCCGATGGACTCCGGTACGTCGTAGTGCGCATGCCCGGTCCGCTAGCACCTGCGTCACCGTTTGGGGGACCAGGACTAGGGCGATCCTGTCTACCAGGCGGACCGAAGGGAAGACCAGTGAGCATGTTGATAGTCTCCTGAAAGCGCTGGAAAATCTCTTGCTCGCTACTGGGATCCACCGGGCCGGAACGACCTGGATATCCACCAGAGCCATCATGCTGTCTGTCAGGGCTGCGGTATGTTCTCTGTGACCACATGAAGCCCCCAGGTCCACTATGTATCTGGCCGCGGGGATCCATATGATCTTCTATATCATCTTCGCCTGGATCGGAGAAACGATCGTGGTCGTGATCATGGTCGTGGCCGTGGCCATGGCCGAAGTCGTGGGGACCAAAATGGCCGCCGCGGAGGACATCGCTGTCGGGAGACTCGGGTCTGATATCACGAGGGTCATTGTCTGGGGATATCTGGGGGAATTGTCAGCAAGGATGCGCCCGGGCCAGAATAAAGTAAAGTAGGGTAGAGCGGGGCAGGAAGGTGGGCGATGGTGCGGAAGCTCGGTGCACTTACGATCTCGCAAACATCACTATTGCAGCGGGGGCATTGCAGGCCGTGCTCATCACGGTACCATTCATGGTCGCAGTTGTGGCAAAAGACAACCTCGCGACCTTCTTCAAGGTCAAGATGGCGGCGAGGACCGCCGGGGCCTGAGAAATCCATTGCGGGTCTTATGCCCTGCAGCTGTTGCTGGCGGCGCTGCGACTGTTGTTGGGCAGCCAAGGCGGTCAGTCCAAGGCCCACAAGGAGGAAGCCAGCTCTTAACCCGCGGGATGCCACCGTGATAGTTGTTTCCGAGCCGGTCGCACGGGAAAGATTGTTGCAGAAGGATAGTTGGTGGTGAGGGCGACGGGTGCGCCCAAGAGGGGCGACAGCTTTGTCACCAATGTGGTGCTGACGTTGGGTCGGCTGAGGTGGAGAGGGGCAGTGCTCGTGGTTGGTGCAAGCGGGTGGTGCTACAACGCGCAGTGCGCATGAGAAGCTGTATGTTCAGATATGAGTAATGACAAGGTACGCGAATTTGAGGTAGGGAGGCTGGAGCAGGAGCTGCTTGTCGGCCGAAACGGACAAGGTCTGAGGATGGTTTATTGCTCCGCAGATCGATGATAGATGGTCTAAGTAGGTGGACTAGGTAAGTTAGGAATGACGATGGTGCCAGCATGGAACTCACCAGGTCGCTTTCCAGAAGACTGCTCGAGATACCTAACGCTAGGTCGGCTTTAACGTGTTGACAGGGATCAGAGACAAGGGACAGGGGGTCAGGGACAGGGTCGATCAGTGCTGGTGGGGTTTCGTTCTGCCTACATTTCCGAGGTCTGTCAGTGGGTGGCGTTCAAGGTGGCATTCACAGCGGACTTACCAACCGAGTGGCCAAAGTGACTGGCCGATTGCTGGACGGACTGACTGACTGAGACGACTTGTGGACACATCGGCTGTGATGACAGCAAATTACCAGGTCTTGGCCTGTCGTCTGTCTGTCTTTTTGTCTGCTGTGGGCTATTGAGAGCTCTTGTTTTGGCTGAGCCTTTGTCAGTCAGTGGCGCCTGAGTTGCTGGTTGCTGCAACTGTTTGCACAAGCTGAGGCTGTGGTTCCCTCTTTGCTCAGTGCGCTAGGCTGTACTTGGCCAGCCTGCCTGGAAACATGTGGAAACGTCTAGAATATTTCACAAAGGCGACTGATGAAGCAGCTTAATGTGAATAGAAATGGTTCATGGAAGGGGAGAAAAGAAGAGGCAGAAGGAAGAGGTGCATGGCAATAAGATACGATGCTTGAAGTTCGGCAAGGTGGGCAAAAACTGCCTTACTTGCACGCACATTGACAATTGCCTGGGTTTCAAATATTTTCTTGGGAAGCAATGTGCAAATACCATGAGCATCAACAATGGCGCTAGGCCCCAAGCTTAGTTCCCAGCTTCGACACGCCGGGCTTTCTCTCATGCGGTGAGACAGTCAAAGACCCCACAGGTCACCAGCTAAGGCGCCAGCTCGTGCAAGTAGATTTACTCTTGCTTTAAGGCTGTGTATTACAGCACAGATGCTCCGATGCCTTGTTCACACGCTGCAGTTTCATCCCGATAATATTGGTTGAACTATATTAGTGACACTCTTGACCTCCCAAAGCTCTATAGCAACTCCCGGGACAGCCTCCGGCCGGGCAACCCCCTTCCGGTCTCCACAATTCCCCGGATCTATGACCGAGAGAAACATAGACCCAGTTTGCCACTTAGTAATCCGGACGGGAGGCAGAGTTTATCTATATATTTAGATGCTGTCTATGACAATACTCGGCTGCGGTCGAGTTGAATTACCTCAGGCTTGGGAATCTCCACGGATATGAAGACCGCAGAAATGCTGAACAGCTTGTACGTGTCCGGTATTAGACTGGCATTTTATTCACATCCTGTCTCAATCAATCCACCTTGCTCGAAGCACACTTACAGGACGACAACGCAGAACTATGAGATGAAAAAGAGTGACCGGCACGCAAGTCTCACGACAATTGGAAATTCGACGCAAATTCAGTTGCTCGACTGCAATATTGCGCAATGCACCAGTTCTTGCAGGCTGCGTAATCAAGCCGTAATGTGAATGCGTTCAAATAATTTGTTCGAAGAATTGACCCCTTAACTTATGTAATTGAAATATGTACCAGTGTCGTTCCTGTACTGCTAAGCAACACATGTCTAACAGGAAAAGACCCCTTTTCTCCAACTTCCTCTTTTGTTGCTGTACAAGCGGGTTTGAACGATTTCCTGGCGGTTCGTTTCTAATTCTTTGCTTCGTTACTCAGCATCCGATCAGTATATCAGGCACTGGGGAAGCTTTCTTGTCGAATCCTTCACACTCGCGATGGATGCGCATATGGGTTTCAAATATGCAGCCAACCTGCATATACTACGCTATCGCCCTGCATGATGGTCTGACATGCATCTCTTGCCACCAAGCTGAGGAGGATGCGGCGGGTGGGTCTACCCTAAAGAGGTCAAATGGTCAGCTTGCATCTCTCATGCTCGCGATGAACTGCCTCATTTCAATCTCCCACAGAGAATAATATGGCGAGTATCGGCCGTTTTGCCTTCGCCGGTGTTTCGACCGCAGTTGAGGTAACCAACGCTCTCGCGAGCGTCAACATTGACTTTTCACTCGTCAAGATTGATCCGCCGCACGAGTTCCGGGACGTTGGCGAGATCCTCGCCCCGAAAAGGCGGAACACGGCAGAGGATGGCCCCCTCCACATCACGGCCCGACGACTCGGCGCCATCTTCGAGGCCATTCTGCCACAGACCCCGCAGCTGATCAAGTCGTACGGCCACCGCGCCTCAGAGATTGCGAGGGCCTCGGCCAAGGCGTCGCCAGCCAGCAAAGGCATCTTTTCTCAACAGGCAGGGATCGACGCCGCGAGCATCTGGGCCGGGGCTACCTCTGGGTCAGGCGCCATCCAGGTGCATCTGCTTGCCTGCATGCTCGCACGGATGTGGACTGGGCCCGAGGCCACGTCGATATGGGTCGAGCTTCTCAATTGCCGGCGGATGAGGCTGGAGGAAGAGTTTAGGAAGACGGGAACTATGGATATGAGGACGATGGTGGCTGTCAAGCAGCAGATCGATCGAGCTCAGCTGGCAGAGTGGGACGCCAGTGCCCGGGCGTGGCTGCGAATTGCGGACATTGCGAAGAATCTACAGCATAAACAGCTACTCCTCATACTGGGGAACCTGGACAAGGTCGTCAACTCGAAACCGGTGTTGTACGACAGTGTCATCAAGGCATGGACCACGGGCATGGAGGGTATGGAGGCTCTCCTCCAAGGGTCGCCGATGATGATGCAGACGGGAGACATGCCACTTGCTCTGTCGTCGTGGCACATCTATCCAGACCTCAACATTGTCTCTACCACCACCAAACTCGTTCGTCAAAAGGACAGTCTTGTTCCCGCCTCCGGCATCCTCACGATTGGTCTGGAAAGACACGACAGTAATTCGTCTAAAGGCCTTCAGTGGAGCCTTCCACTGGCCCACCTGAGATTTTACGGCAACCCCGTGAAGAGAGTCAGCGAGCTGACGATACAAGGCGCGCGCCTGTCTCTGCTAGATTTTGATATGGCGGTTCTTGGTTGTGTGCTGGGAGGCTGGGGCGATCCCGACTCTGACCTAGATGCTATCAGATGGATGTCTAAGATTTCTGATTTGATGGTGTCTACATACCCAGACGAGTCTCACAGGCTGGATAATACATGGCTGCGGATCCTTGGAAAGACAGCTTCGGCATTCCTAGAATCTACCGACACTGAAAGACAGAGGTTCACGAAACTCTTGTATCTTGGCCGTGGACGTCGATCTTTCATCGCGGACAGAAGCCCGCCTTTCTTCGGACTGACCAGCATAGACCTTTTGATGCGCATGGTGAGAACTTCAGAGCAGCGGGTGAAGATACTTAGGGCTCACATGCAGCGCGCTGGTATTCCGTTTGAGCATGCCATCATTCGGTATGTCCCAAAAACCACAGGGCGAGAAGAATTTGCATCAGCAGCTCCACGTCATAGGCCGACGCCAAAAAGGACAAGCCCTGGGTCCGATTCCTCGCGGTCCAAGAGCAGTGTTGGCCATATTCGATGGATCCACCAAACATCCGCACAGCTGATATCCCCAAACGAGGACTTGGTGGAGCGTCCTCATGCTGGGGCAGATGTTTATCCCGACATTGACGCAGACGAGACAAACAAAGAGATGGAAAGGCGGGCCGTCGCAGACAAGAGGGCTTCCCACATCACACTAGAAAACGAAGCTGAGCATGCCTTCCGCCAGGCGAAAGATAAGTACGAAGCTGTGGGCGAGGAAGTTTTGTCAGTTGAAGGGGAGCACATTAAAACCATCTCAAATCCGGGCAGAAGGCTTATGAGAGTGAGATGGGGCATGACCCAAGTTGGCCCCGGCTTGGAGGAATATGACCACTGGATCGGACCAATGAAGCACTACGAGCAGTGGTTTGGCGATGTCCAAACCGCAGCTGTTTTCCTTCGCCTAGACCAAGACCCGGCCGTGCCTGGAGGGGAAATCCGGGTGCCATTTCGAGAGTTGGCATCCCTCTTCGACCAGGACGCGATTGACCCCGAAGCCTTCATCAGCGAATTACTCCGTGGGAATGCCCCCGGCAAAGCATACAGCGACTCTCTACGGGCGTACTCGACTATGCACTCACTCTACCGGACGTTGAATCAGGGGACCATCGATGTTCGGGTGCTCCAGAGGCCCTTGACTGGGAGCAAATGGGTCGAGTCCCTGTTTACGCTGTCCAATAGCCTTCTACCGGCGGCGTCGAGTATGGGAGGTGACCGAGAATACATCCAAAACAGCCCAGGAAATGTTTCCGGAGACGAAGCCAGCTCAGGTGGCGAAAGTGAAACAGAGGACGAAGCATTGCAAGCGGGCTCGTTCCAGGACATCATGGAAATGCTCAATGTCGACGTACCAGAGACACCCGAGACACCCGGCCCAGTGGTACAGGTCAAGACTGCTGCAGTGAAAGACTTGCTGCATGTCACTGGCCCGATAGAAATGACTCTGGAACAGTCATTCTCGTGCATCTTGATGTTCGAGAGCTCCTTCGATGTACCTCCCCATCAGGCCGCCAGCGTCATGGCAATTTCCAGTGGCAACTCGCTCTTCATAGCTTCCTCGCTCTTGTCCGACCCGCACTCACTCCCGACGAGGCGCAAGATCAGCCACGTCATGGGGAACATCGGACACCCTGGGACAGTCCTCCTGGTGCCTCCCGTTCAGCCACGGATGACTGTCCCGGGCATCGAGCGCTGGCCTCTCATGACCTTCCGCGACTGGGATGGTACCGGCAGCGACTCGTTCGCCGAGAGCTCTCTCCACCTGTGGTTCACCGGGTCCACCCAGGAGGTCAGCATAGGCTACAGTGGAGCTCAGGACAAGGAGTTGTACATGATCGAGAGCGTGGTGTCCCTCCATGGCAAAGGAGAATGGGTCGCCGATCTGGACATCCTCAGGGTCCTCCAGAGCCCATCCCTCATACACCTGCAGAGGAAAAGCATTCCACCGAGCGTCAAGGGGCAGGTTGTGTTGCGCGAAGGCTTCACAGAGAAACGATCCGAGACAGGCTGTGAGGAGAACCACGTATCTCAGTACAGTCACCAGAAACTGCCCCTGACGGCTATCGAGACATGGTGGGAGCTGTTGGAAAGGTCATCCAAGGACTGTGTCTTCCTAGCGGCTGGCAACTGGCAGGCACGGCTGGCGGCGATGATGATATGTATCGCCCAGGGGAGGAAAGTCAGCATCATATCGAACCCGGTCTGCTGGGACTGCGTGGCAGATACAAAGAAGACTTTGTCCCAACAGGACGACCCGGTGGTATATATATACTAGAATACTAGAAGTGGTATTTGGCATGTTACAACTTCTGAAGTCGTCCTCCGTATGTTGATTAAACCATGGGGTCGCCGAGCAGCCTTCAGTGCACAAAGCTGACCGATTTTGAGGAAGAATGAACCGTCATTGGAAAGCGGCTGATTGACAGGGGATGATTGAGGTGACAGTAGGCAGTGGTCTTCACTGAACGAGGGCGAGGCATCTAGGGATCAAACATGGACTTCTGACTAATTCAGTTAGGACGCTTTGTACATAAGCCAAGCCGACATGTGCACAGACTCAGCGCCCCACCCGGATATGCACTCCCAGGCTTACTTCGCGTGCTTTGATACATAGATGTATGCACAGCCTGCATTATTCCCGGATGACCCCGCCTGTTTAGGGAATTGACCTGGAGTTAGCCTGTCATCACTATCTCTTCACAGGGTCGGTCTTCACGTACAGAAAGCCACTATGTAACTGGCAGTATATTAATTATTCTGTCTCATCGTAGACCTGTAGTCGTAGCCCTGATTCAGCCCAGCGGGCTCTGGTGGAGGCTTAGCAAGGGACAGCAGCAGGGAGCGTGCACGTCACGAGGGCATCATGCTGTGCTCTATCTGCGGTTGCGCGCTGAAGGGAGATACTTGTGGCAGAACAAGGTTTACTTGATGGTTGAGGTACCGTCATCCAAGCGTCCATGCACCGTCCGTTGGGGACTGGGTCGGCGGCAGACAAGTGCTCCGTAGTGTGGCTATCAAGCGAGGGGCACAGCTTCGAGGAGCTCCGTCTTACTCCCTCTCTCCCTCTCACACTCTTGCATAAAGTGGACGCATGTCATTGATTCACCGAAGTGGCCGCGTCGCCCCCAGTCGTCTTGTTCAGCCTGATTCCTGCTCTTCCCGTCCTCGACCCCTCGTTCTCTCCTCCCACTGTTCTTCCCGGGTCGACATCTTCACTCTTTTCTTTTTCTCATTTGATCTCCTGGGCGGACAGCCAAGATCAGGTCAGGCCAGGACAGGAAGACCTCGGCAACCAACCAGCGATTCGACACAATCCAACGACTCTGTTTCAAGCCTCACGAAGTCGTATCAAGATGCCTGTCCCTTTAGCGGCCAAAGGTACGTACGAGTTGCACCGTGTTGCTTCTTTGTGCACCGATTTCTGTCTGTTGCCGGCTATCGCCCACCCATTCATTCATCCGCTGCCGTTGTGCATCGTAATCTCGCATTTCTGTCGCAGCCGCACCCGCAGCCACGGGCGTTCCATGCTAGCGACTGCTTCGTTCATCGGGTCGGAACGCAGTTGCAGGTGATGGATGATCCTCGTGGGGCTCAAGTGCGAGAGTGGTGCGAATCAAACGCCTGCCTGGCCGACAAACTGGGGCCCTGGAGGCCTGTGGCCTGTGGCCTGTGGCCTGAGGCCCTTGGGGCCTGTAGTCCCTGGCACACAGCGGCCGATGCAGCGTCGGCCACCTCACCTCGAGGGTGGCGACTAAGACGTCCCGTGGACCACGCAAGCAAACCCCATGTTCGCCCCTCTTCCCTCGCTGCCCAGACCAGCTCACCTCGAACAACCAACCACGCGGTCTCGAGCCTGTTCCTGGAGTAGTCTATTTACTTCTCGAGACACTTGACATTGCTACGCCACCTTGTTTTAACTTCTCTGGTGCATCTGCCTCTGTCTCTGCCTTACCTTTCTTGCTTCCTGCACTGCATCTAACGGGCATCACTTGCAATCACGCACACTTACACCGGAAGACCCCACCTTGTCCCAGTTCACCTGCCCGCCTTCCCGCCCCCTGTTCTCTACACCGTCGTATTTTCAAATCTACAATCATGCCTCCCATTAACCAAGCCGCTATTTCAGCTGGCGTTATCGCCGTCAGCGTGGCCGTGGCCGCGGCCATCGCCATCTACGAGTCCCCCGAGCTGCAGCGGATGGCGACAGACCTGCGCCGCCGCATCGCCATGGCCCTCCACTCCCTCGGCGACGGCATCGGCCCCGAAAGCAGCAACGGTGAGCCCCTGTTCAACCGACCCGAGGATGCAGAGGGCTTTCTGCAGAGCGGCGAGGTCGACGCCGACGACGACACCCGCAGGCGTCAGCGCGAGGAGCTGCTCTACTGGAATGCCATGAAGTTGAGCCAGGAGCTGGAGAAGCAAACAGCCGAGAATGAGAAGATGAAGGAGAGGGAGAAGCTGACGCACTCGGGCACGACGTTTGACGACTTCCTGCGTGAGGACGAGAGCGCCAACGAGAAGGGCACCTACGTCTTCAATACTGGAGCAGACGTGCGGAACAACGAGGACGGCCTTGTGCGGCGGCGAGGAGGTTCCGAGGGCGTGCGAGGGCTGAACTCGTCAATCTACGCCAACCCTTTCGCAGACGAGCACGGGATCGACTACAATGAGATGGAGGATAGCCAAATCTCTCCCGAGAAGGACGAAGTCTTTTCCACTGACGACATCTACACCGCCTCTCCCAGGCCAGCCGTCAACTCACTGTCACGAACCCTGTCTCCCGCAACCGAATCCGTTCCAGAGCTTATTCCTGCCAAGTCACCATTTGCGGACGAACTGTCGTCCGACTCTTCCAAACCCGAGACTGCCTCTACTCCACGCGAGTCTGTCGCGGAGCTCGAGCTCGCAGAAGGCGAGTACATGACAGCCGGCCAGAGCCGAGAAATGGAGCAGGACGAGCACGACGCCTACGCCTCCATCCAGGCATGGGCCGAGCAGCAGCAGCAAGCACAGAGGCAGAATCAGGAAACCAGCCGCGACTTCTACTCCCCCCTGCCCGTCACCCCCGCCGCGCCGCTTAGCGAGATGTCCGACGGCGAGATGGTCAGCGAGGGGCAACTGACCCCCACGGACTCGGCCTCCGTAGCTGGCTCCGGCTTCGACGTTGCCAACGAGCTTGCGTCTCAAAACGGCTCTTCCAAGTACTACGATGTGCTGAGCGAGGACGAGGATGGAATCCCGACTCCAGCACACAGCTGGACTGAGGTCGGCAGTGTGGTCAGCGAGAGCGAGGACGGTGTCCGGCCCGCGGCTCGCTCGTAGGATGAGTGAGTGCTACTGCTACTTGACTTGTAAGGAATTGGTTGTTCTTGAAGCTTTCCATCGGGCTTTGGAGTTTTCACTGGTTGGTTATATGGAGTAATAGGGAAGGAATTTTGTTCGGCTCGGCGTCAAGGGGGAAAATGCACGCTCGGCTCTTAATTCAAGGGTCTCCTATGTGCGTAGACACCGCTTTTCAAGGGTACACCAAGCAATAAACTACGTTTTCAACAACTGTTCGACCGCAGCCGAAGTCTGATATGAGTTGAGGCGGGATTCTGAGTTAAGCTATGCTATGCTTGCAAGGACGAGTGACATCGCTCGTACAGGTTCCTCTCGCTGGGAACTGCCCATCTACTTACCTGTCTACGATTTTGCCAGCGATCTAAAGGGTTTTATAGTCCACGTGAAGAACTCCCGTCTCGCACCACTTATGTCAACGAGTGAAGTCACTGTCCAGGCGCCTACGGACTCTTACCACTCTCATCACACTGGGTCTATCCACTTACACGCACGCGCTTACGGAGGCGCGGCGACTCCTAATCACGGCCATCCTTCTTCAGCGTCCGTAGGTACTCTTGCCACAGGACGTCGACGTCATGCCCGAACAAGCCCGTCCAGAACTCGGACTGCTTGTACTTGCGCACCTGTCCAATCTGAGTCAGCTGTCATCTCTCAAAAACAAAGCTCCCAAATGACAGGAGCAAATAGACCGCTACAGGCCACTGAACCAGCAGCAGGACAATAACTCACCCTCAGCTCCTCGTTCATCCGCCTGACCGTGCCGCGCCCGAACCTGCCCTCAAGCCACTCGAGGAAGTACGCCGTGCGCTCGTAGCCCTGGTCCCACCGGTCCGGCACGGCGTCCCGCCTCCAGTGCGGCGCGCCGAGCCGCGCGCCCAGCCGCACCCAGTCCGCGACGCCCTCGACCAGCCCCCCCGGGCACGCGCCCCTCCCGTTGTACTGGAAGCAGTGCACCAGCTCGTGCACCAGGACGCCCTCGATCTCGTACGCGCCCGTCACGTCGCCGGTGCTGCCGTCCGGTGCCTTGCGGATCCCCTCGATGTACCCCAGGCTGAAGTGGATCTCCTTGTGGTCGTCGTCCAGGTCGGTTCCTTTCGTGTACGCTACGCCTGGCATGTCTTCCAGCACGAGGGTTACCGACCGCGTTGGGGGTGGGGTGTAGTGTGGCTTTGTTGGGCGGCTGGTGGCGGTCGGGGTTGGGGCGGAGGCATTTTTTTCTGTCGCGTCGTTCTCCTCCTCCTCCTCGTGGGCTTTGCGGTGCGGCGAGACGTACAGGAGGCGGAGGACGGTCTGGACGCTTTGCGCCAGGATGGTGGAGGCGTTGACTGCGGCGAGGAAGCGCGATGCGCCCGGGTGTGTCACGTCTTGGATGTGCAGGCGGAGCTTGGGGAGGGGGAAGGTGTCGTCATCTTTGTGATCCGAGTCCTGGTCTTGGTCGTCTTGGCCCTGCTGTTCTTGCTCTGTCTCTGCTCCGCGGTTAGGTAGAGGGGTGGGTTTTGGCTGGACTGCTGTCGAAGTTGGCCGCTCTGGGCTTGTGCCAGGGGACGAGGACGTGGGAGGCATGAAGATCGAGGATGGGCTGGGCACGGCGGAGGTTTGGGGGGGAGGAAGTCGGGTCATCGTGTCTTCTGTGTTCTCGCGGGCGGGATATGGGCGGATATATGTCGGTCTCACAATTGGGGTGCAGTGATTTGAGGGCTGTACAGGGGAGTGTGCAATAGGAGCGCAGGCATCAATGAAAGGGACCCTGACGTTGGCGATCTGCGTGGACTAGGTAAAGACACAGAGACATGTCGTGCCCCGTCGGTTCAGCTATGCGGTCATAGGATCAGCCACGGAAACTAGCCTAACAACCCCTGCCTGCCTACCAACCTTAACGTGAGTGGGGCCTACCGGCGATGGTTAGCACGGCGCTAGATGCACTGTAGCACTACAGTAGATGATACCCTGGCCTGCAATTGTATCTCTACTTGAGTGCAGACTGTATCATGATCTATAATCGACTATAAAATTTCCTTAGGCTCACTGACTGATAGATTTCAAGTTTTGAGTAACGAGCCCGCTTCACTAACTTCTCTCTAGTAAAAAAGCAATGTCTTTCAACAATGTTTTCCTCGAATTGCTTAAAACTATCAAATATAACGGTTGTGTTGCGGTTGATGGGCGGGAATAAGATATTTCTCGGAAAACAGTTCTCCTCCCAAACACATCAATACAACACAGGGGATGGATTGTTGGCTATTATAATACGATCTTTAGGGGAAGAGAATATAAGGAACTCGAGAGGCCGTCATCATCCTTCGTCGTGCTTCCAAAATATCCGCACTTCTCCGTCGCCCAGGCATGTAGTCCCTTCGACTCCTCAGTAATTCCTGCTGCTTCCCTGCCTTCCGCTCCTCACTTCCTCCCCCCAAATCCGTGGTCGACGAAGGAACAAGTCACTGTGCCGGCACGGGCGCAGGAGCGGGCAGCGCCTGGACATCAGTATTTCCTGTGAGACGAATACCGTTATAGTTGACAGGCTTACGCCCAGGGTCGAGCTCGGGGGGTTCGAGGCTGCTGAGCGCGTTCCATGTCTTCATCAGCGACTCCAGATAGGTGGTGTAACCGCTATTGACTCCAATGTCGCCATCGCCTGCAAACTCGGAGGCGAGGTAAACGAGCTCGTCCACCGTCACATCGCGGTGGTCGACCACCGAGATGCACAGGATGTAGGCCAGTATGTTCTTGTGATTGGCGATCACGCCCTCGTTTATGAAGTTGTATTTGTATGTGTACATATCCACACGGATGATGGCGTTGCTAGTGAGTTGTTCACGTCAGATTTGGTATGATTCGTGGGCAGACTGAACAACGCATGGAATGGGTTCTTACTGCTTGATGCACACGAAGAACTTCTCGTCGTAGCTCTCACCCGCTGAGCAGTCGCCGAGAATAGCCGACATGCCCGTCTTGACGACAGACTTGAATCCCTCGAGGACGCCCTTGCCACCAGTCTCGGATGCGCCAAAGAAGGCATCAACGGCATCAGAGACGCCTTGGCCGGGCTAGAAGGAACAATGTTAGCATAATCTGTGTTGCCGGACTTTGGCTTAGTATGACTAGTATACCGTGGTTTCGGCGTCCACCTGGACATGACGCTCAAACCGGAGCGCTCGTTTACCTGGCACGCTTGTCTTGGCTGCCGAAGATTTGTCCAGGAACATGTTCTGGAGCTTGGACTGAAAGGTATCGAGCCGGGCGTCCGCGAGCTTCATCATCAGTTCTAGCTGCTCCTTTGCTTGAGCCTCCTTCTCTTTGCTATTATCTAGCGCATTGGCTATCGCGCTAGCTACGGCTCCCATGATGGATCAGAATGAAGGGACAGGATGAGCAAAAAGAATAGGTAAGGTTTGAGCTCTAGGTGCTAGTTCATGATTTGGATTGTCGTATGGGCGACTCCGTGCTTATTTCAACACTTTGTGGCTTATTGACTGTTGGCAGGTCGCTCAGGTTACCGCTCTCTTTTCTTGTTTCTTTTACTGGCAAAATTCATCGTCATTCCGAAGTGCTCATTTAGTATGAGCCTAAAACAGTTGCTGTTCGACCGACTCAAATGCCGTCGAAGAGCTTGGGGTAATACAAGCATCCAAATTTTAATGAATGGTATTCATAGAAACCGGAATGTGGTGGCTATGATGCTTTTTCCAGCTTAAAAGGCTAAGCATGTTGATGTCTCGCGCTTAATGTGAGCTTGAAGCATGCAACTAGCAGCTTTCAATATTAGTGTACGCCATGAATTCCTTGAACAACTACTACACATAGCAAACCGGGCATCCCTTCCATAGCTCATTTTCTCGTTCTGGAATTCAGGAGAGGTGCAAGAAGAGATCACTTGTTTGGTCCATTTTTTTATTTACAATACGCTTTTGGTCACATACAGGAGCTAAAAACGTCTTGTGATCGACCTCAAGATGGATGCACATAAATCCATACCTGAAGACATTATGACCCTAAGCCACTATACAGAATTCCTTTCGCAGATAGTTGAAGAATCCAACAATAAATTGTTACGCAGTCACATGACTTTTGATCCTCCTTTGCACATTTTCCAATATTCCTTTCCCGTGATACCAGAGACGTCCATGACTCGGATCGTACTCTCTTGATGGACCCACATTCTCGCGCAGATTGTTAAGAGTGAGGAGGATTAGTTCAACACCTTCGTGGCACGCAGGTACTCGGCCTGGGGAATCCAAGACTTCACTAAAGCCCTGTTCCGCCAGACTGCCCATAAAGCAAGACCCAAGCCTCTTCCACAGTTTAAGCTGTCGGCTGATATGGCCAAAGGCTGGATCAGGTGATTTCAAAGCGTATCAAGAATCTCGAAAGTATTGTAGCCCACGGTCGACGACAATGACAAGAAGACTGTGGTGACGCAGACCCTGGACAGGAAGCCTCAGTTTGTACCTAGTTAGGCATGCTTGCCCAAGGTGACGGTGGAGATTGCCAAAGTTGACGGCGATGTGGATCGAGCCGCTGAGAATAGCTGCCGCCGTCTCTAACGACCGGTTCTTTTCCGAGAAGGTGAAGGATGGTATATTTGAGTAGGAAACCCGAAAGCTGTCATTGTTAGCACCAGGCATCACGTTCAGCCCGATGAAATCGGTCGTTGTGACTGAGTTCCGTGTGTTCTACCAGCTGAAGGATATTGTCTTCAAGGTCTGGCCCAAAGCTTAGAGCGCATTGAAACGTCGACAGGGCGGTTCATAATAAATATGCTTCAGGAACCACGTCAGACGCTCTTTTGAAAAGTTAAGTGGGCAATTCATATCAATATTGATACGCAAAGCACCTCCACGAGCCCCTACGAGTGAAGCTTAGCAATTCGCCCTGATCAGTTTCTCATTTTTGAGAAGTTATGAAGCCCTTGTATCCTCTTTGCATTTGCATTAGAGGATGGAGATATGTCTTATTTCCTGCCGGGCGAAGCGAGAACGAAAGCCTATGGCCAACTGCCTATCACAGTTGCAGAAGAATTCCACCAACATCGCCCAAGCGGCTACAAGGTTCCCCTCAGTGAAATGTTCTGACTCATTTTGCTCTCTCTGATCCCGTATAGTTCAATTCTATCAGAACTATTCCGCTCTCTTCGACATCGACAAGAACGGTCTTAGTGCCCTGTATCGAGGCAAATAGTAGTGCAATTCTCCTATGGCTAGAGCAGACTGCCCTTTGTTACCGATTCTTCTCAACAGTCCATCATTCTTTTCGGTAGAGAATGATGTCCAACCACCCGACCCGAAAGCCCCGCGACTCACTGTCCCACCTCTCAATGTCTTGCGTTGTTGCGCTTCACAAGGGTGCGACTTGTGCACCACCATGACCTCTACGTCAAACCGCCGAACTTGTGCAGATGATCTGTCTGCTACGCAGCTTAATCACATACCTCTTGAGCTATCGCGGGCAGAATATAGCTATGCCCAGGGGATACTCCTTTACATGGGAGACATTGCTATTCTCCCATTGACACATTTCTTTCGTATCCCCAAGCCCTGGAGTATGCGGCCCCTTCGTAACTCATGTATTTGTTTAAAGCTAAAATTGAAGATGGTTAGAAGACGAGCTACCCCCAGCAAGGTTCAACTACGTTCCTGAGCAGCACGAACTACTGTCCTGTTGGCTACGAAACTGCCTCCAGAACCACCCTCGATGCCGAGCTGCTCAACACGGATATAAACCCACAAGACTTCTGCGAATTGATTACTTTAAAGACTGTAAAGATGTCAGACTTATCGAGTTGGGTTCCGAGTCGGAGGCAGTCTCTTATGTTGCCCTCAGCCATTGCTGGGGCCCACCCCCGAAGCGGCCCATCAAAACATTGCAAGACAATATTGCGGAACATATGAAGAGAATCAGGTTCCAACATCTATCAAAAACTTTCAAGGATGCTGTCGAAGTAGTGAGAGCCCTGGGGCTATCCTACATATGGATCGATTCTCTTTGTATTATCCAGGACAATGATGACGACTGGAAAAGGGAAGCAGCAAAGATGAGTGAGGTTTACCGGGAAGCTCTCTGCACCATATGTGCCCTCAGTTCCAGTGATGGAGACGGTGGTTGCAGGGTCAATGGGTCCAATGAGGAAATGACCCATCTGAGATATGTCGACTTGGATCTAGGCGAGTATCGAATTCGGCTTGTTGAGGCAAACTACCCTGGCGACATGGAGACACTGAACTGGGATGCCGAGTATGGCGATGAAGATTTCACATATCAGCCTTTGGGGAAAAGTCCGCTGCGGGTCCGCGCTTGGGCATTCCAGGAAAGGGAACTGTCCGTCAGGGCAATCCACTTTTCAAGGCATACGCTGCTGTGGGAATGTTTGGAAATGAAAGGGTCAAGTGAGATCCCTCACAGCGTAAGCCGACATAACTACAAATCCATCCCGAAACCAAGGCAGATATCGCCATCGGATACGGGTGCTTCTGGACGAGACCAGTGGTACGGCAAGGTGGAAGATTACACATCTCGCTTCTTGACCTATGAGTCTGACAAGTTTTCTGCTATTTCCAGATACGCACAGCACTTCCGACGGGAAATGCTGAGCGATGGCATTTACCTCGCTGGCTTATGGAAAGAACACTTTCCTGGCTGTCTTCTGTGGATGATAAAACGGGAGACCAGGGTTCCAGGAGAGAAATATCCCTTACCAGCAATTGAGCCACGACGTCCGACGAAGTACAGGGCACCAACCTGGTCTTGGGCTTCACTTGATGGGGAGGTCACTTATCGAAGCCAAAGGGTAGCCTACAAAAGTGAGATAGTTGTCGGGACGTCACCATTTAGCGCTTACCTTTTGAGATACGACGTTGACCTTGAAGAAAGCCTTTTTGAAGTGCCAACTAGGGCTTCGATTACGATGCGCGGTCAGATAACGCAGGTGATGTTGGAGCATAATCTCGAAGCTGCCGACGATATGAGTGAGTATGAAACGGAACTCTACAGGGGACTTTACGATGAGGCAGGTGATGTCATAGGAGTCCTTTATCCTGATATCATGTCTGAAGTTCAAGATTTGAGACACGTATGGTGCTTAGGGTTTTGCGATGAGGTAGAGGCTCGTGTGGATCGGCCTCCGGAGATAGTATACCTCTCTCGAGACCATGATTGGCTCCCCCAAAAAATGATGGGAATAGCACTTTGTGCTGCCTCAGATGAATGCGTCTTCAGAAGGGTCGGAATGGTACGCTGGTTGGACATATTTGCATTTGCCGGTGTTGGTTTGTCCGAGGTGAAGATTGTATAAATTTGGCTGACTATTTGGATAATTCGTATTTAGGGTACAGGTAGCATCCGCTAGAAAGTGTCTTTCGTCTTAGATTGCACCCTTTGATACCAATTCAACATCACATGCATTTGCTTAATGTATGGATCTGGGGCAATACTCCGCCTTTCTGACTACCATTGCGGCATGTGCTGAGTGAGTAGCCTAGTGGCCTTACTGCATTCCCAAACTTTGCTTTGAACATGTCATTTGCAAGTCACACCGAATGCCAGAGGCTTTTACACCATTACAGGAGCGAGACGTTTAGTATAACTTGAAACGCCTACAAAGAAGTTATTACGAGTTGTCCCACTTGCTTCCTGCCCAGAGACGGAGGTCTTTCATAACACTAACCTAGAAGCCCTCGAGGATGCCCTTGCAATCAGCATTGGACACGCCTTACTGGAGTGGTATGCGTAGTGATCAACACCCCGTCTCGATGGACTCTATCCCAGCTTACATTGGCACGAATCAGCCTCGGCCATGGCCTATACTTGGTGCTCGTTGCTGTGCACAGTGAGCGCTCATCCCGAAGTGTTCAGGGTAATGGTTGAGGACCAGGGCTATGATGACTAAGTCCATGTGTAACACGCGATTGGCCAGGAGCCAATCAAGCCAGCTCCTGACAAGGGACAATTAATAGGCTGCTCCCTGTTGCAATTGCGGTTACCAAGATCTGTATCGAATTTCTGAAGTTCATTGGATTCATTACAAACATTGTGTCTACCTTCTTTCTCATAGTATTTGTAACGGCGCTGCGGGCAGTTTGAGTGACTGCAGGTGGGCCACAGCGCACAGACCACCTGCAGCCCTAAGGCCCTTTGCTCTTAAGGCCTGACTGCAATCGGAGGCATCCTTCCCTCCTACTCTTTTTTCTTAGCAAGATAAGGTCTTATTTAGAATTCTACAATAATGAGCAAGACTTGAGAGCATCGCCTCTTTTATGTCCCTCTCGTGACAGTATTCATTACCTCAAGATCATCCCAAGGCATAAATATGCCTTCCGTATCTTCGGAAACACGCTTCTTGTTAGCTTGATTCCTTGGGTATCGCCGGCCCACATTGGATTCTCTATGGCGACCGTTTTTGTGAAATATGGCTCAGAATGCTTGAGAAAAATATGCCAAGTATTTTTTAATAGACTTCTGCAAATTGTGCAAGCAAACAACCCATCTAAGTCGAGAATTTTGCTCCCCGAACCATACCCAAGCATAGGTCCACCTACTAATGATAGCATCACTATAGACACCACAATCAGGACTATGAGCGACATATTCCAAGCCGTGCAAGAAGTCCGGAAGGTGGGTGACAACGGTAGCTCAATTAGTACGTTAAATCGATGCTACCTACTTGCCCACCCTGGCCGCCTCCTGCAGCAGTGACAGTTGGTGCCACTCGGCTGTGGGGCCATGAATGGGAGTAAATGCAACTGTGAATATACATGTGAAAGGTATACTAAAAAGTCCTAGCTTGCCTATTTTCAGTCTGCATTTCGTGACTACAATCCATTCAAGCTTGTAAAGTTAGCGACCTGCATCAGATCGGCAAGTGCATCCACATGGCGAGAAAGGTGGGCAAGCAGATGGAGGTGCCAATTCAAGCAAGTGCTTAAAAACTATAACTCTTTATGTAGTGAGTATGGGGTAAAGAATAATGGGTAGAAATGTAAAACTATATTGTCATATAACAGGGCCAATGTTACGTTGTGATCTATACAGATGAGCAGACTCGACTGGTTTACCTCTTGCTGGCAAGTGCTTCTGCCAAAATTGCATTGAGACACTGACAAGCTTGTTCAGGAGCTAATGAGAGGGTGCCTTGGAAAACAATACGCGTAGATCACCCACACACCTGTCTATGCTCTGACTAGACTTGATGGAGATACTCGCCTGTCTGTGTGGAATATCACGGATGTCTCACTGATACGTGTGAGGATTTTTCCTGCCTTTGTGGGATGCCCACAGGGCTGAAATGCCCACCGGAATATGATAAATGTCATTGTCCCACTGTGACTGCGTGACTGCGCGACTGCGCAGAAACCCGATATTGATGGTGAATTGGACTCTAATATTTGATGGGTCTCGTGTCCGGAAACGAGTGAAAGGCTTGCTGGGGCGGGTCCTCGCCCAGTGATTGCCAGTCTCTCTCAGTTTACTGTGAAGTAAAATGTGGCCATAAAACGATCGTATCGGGCTTGACGCATTTGCTGTCTCCGAAGAGTCCTAGCTTGTGTTCCACGGAATTGTGAATGAGGTTAAGGTCGGATGCAGCCGCAAGAAAAGACTGAACTCGCGCTGCGCCTATAATGCAGGTAGTATCAGACTCTCGGCCAAAGACTTCTCTAGCCATTTACAAGACATGGTGAGTTTGTCTGCGCGGTCGAGTCTGAATGATATAATAGTCAATGATGTCCCAACGGATGTGGGAGACTGTCAGAATGCAGTTCCCAGAAGAACGACTAGGGATCTGTCCTTCATCTTCGTTGATTTAGTGTTGAGTGAAATGACATTGCCAATATTGCCTGTTGCCGAGATTGTGCGATCTTCCAGAACAGGGTGACAGTGTTAACACCGCGCAGTGCCCAGATAAACCTCGTATGGCAATCTTTTCCATAATGATCAATTTGCGCTAGAAGTCTTAGCAGAAAATGATCACAGTCATTACCAGAAGAAGCTGAAGTGAATGATGATCAAAGAGACCCCTGGTAATTGCAGATTCTGAAATGGCGAAGACAATGGATGAATAATCTAGGGTGGTGCACATGTGGGTCGGTCTTCGATGTGTTGTGCGTAGTCAGTCGGTCTCTGGTAGCGACGAGTGATGGTCTTGATCCATTTTTGACAATTTCCTGGTTGACTGATGTGCCTGGAGAGAGCTAGCATTGCAGTATTGGGTAACATACTTCACGGAGCAGTGACATTACACCCATTGAATTTGGCCACTCTGCCAATGTTGGTGCCTTGAGGTTGCATTTGTGATGCCCAGGTGTCCGTCAGTCAGTCAGTCACAGTGGAGCCGGAAGTCGTCTGTCGACCCCTGCAGCAATTAGACCAGGTACCTAACACTGTGCGCAGCACCACAACTGTCGGCCGTCTGCCGTCCCATCTGCCCATGCGCTAAAGAGCTAGGACGCTAACGCTGTGGTTCCGCTGGGGTCCGTGGCAACGGCCAAGGGCCTCCAAGCAGCTGGGGAGCTCGTCTTTTGTTGTTTCATCCCACCTTGCGACACCAGTTGCTTGTGACTGATTCCTCCCAAACCTACTCCATCCTCCCAGACTTGTCCTCCTTACCCACTCGTCGACCCAAAATATTATCCAGTGCCCCGCGTCGCATTCCTCAAGCGAGGCTGCACTCACAGCAATTTCTCCAAGTCAATTGATCCCAGCGCCCAGATCGCATCGCATCGCATCGTATCGCAACACATCGCATTGCTGATCGTCCAGCCCAAACCTGGAGTCGAGCTCGGATGTCCACCAAAAGCTTCATGTGATTGACGTGAGCCCCTCCCCTCCCCATCCCCCTCCCCTCCCAGTCTGAGCGCGCAGCCTTGGTAGGTGCCAGGGAACATTGGTATCAACACACAGTTTGCTCTTCTAGCTCGGCGCGACACCACGTCTCACACGCACCGATGCGCTAACATGTGTACTGTACCTAGACACTGCGCACACAGCACCGGCCCACCAGAGTCGCCGACTGAACCGGCGAACAACGCTATACGAAACTAACTCGAATCCTGCCCGGCTCTCCTGCTCCGCTCGAGGGGACATGGCCGAGAAAATCACAGACGAGCAGGTCGAGGCCTTGCAGAACATCTTGCGCGCCGACGTCTCCGTCGACGCGAAAGTTGCCCAAGTCACCGCCGTCAAGACCGGCATCAAACACCACAATGTCCCCGACACCTGCGTCGCACCGCTCTTCGAGGCCCTGCGGACCGCCTCCTCGACCCAAAATGGTGTCCTTGTCAATGCGGGGCTCACCTCGCTCAACCACCTCCTCACGCGCCTGTCCCGCCAGGAGCCCAAGTACATCGTAAAGGAAACCAAGACAACACTGCCACTTCTTGTAGATAGGATGGGCGACCAGAAGGAAAAGTTCCGGACACTCGCGGTGCAGTCGCTTGCTACCATGTATAAGGTCGTGCCAGCTGATGTCGAGCGCCACGTTCGGAATTTCGCCATGGCGGGTAAGAACCCCAAGGCAAAGGAGGCCAGCATGCAATGGCTCTTGCAGATGCACCGAGAACAAGGCCTACAATTTCGAACCTACGTCCCGCGCCTGATGGAGCTGCTCGAGGATGCTGACCCCAGTGTTCGTGACACGGCCAAGACCACCGTCATCGAGCTTTTCAGAGACGCCTCTGGTACTGCCAAGGCCGACTTGAAAAAGCAGCTCGAGAACTTCAGAGTTCGCCCAGCCATCAAGCAGGCCATAGTGAAAGAGCTGATCCCGAGGTCAACGACCCCGGCTCCTGACGAGAATGGACCAGCAGAGTTACCCCGGCCCGTATCGCGCCCGAACCTCTCAGCCAGCGTATCCTCCGTGTCTACTTTCAGCGAACGACCGATAACGCCCATGCCCGATGCTAGGACAGAAACAGTCGAGCCCTCGTACCTTAACACTACGCGCGAGCTTGACGACATGTTCACCCAGATGCACACCTACTTTGATGGCAAGGAGTCAGAGCATAACTGGATGCTGCGGGAGCAAAGTATCAACAAGCTCCGCAGGCTGATGGCTGGCAATGCTGTTTCAGATTACCATGACCCGTTCTTGGCCGGCATGAGGAGCATTCTCGATGGCATCATCAAGGCCATTACCTCGCTAAGGACGAGTCTATCAAAGGAGGGCTGTGCACTGGTCCAGGACATCGCCATCAACTACGGGCCTGGTATGGACCCTATGGTCGAGCTGCTGATGCAAACATTCGTCAAACTCTCCGCGGCGACAAAGAAGATCGCCTCGCAACAAGCGAATGTCTGTATTGACACCATAATTGGCAGAGTAACCTACACCAACCGAATCATGCAGCATGTTGCGATGGCTTGTACGGACAAGAACGTACAGCCTAGGCTGTACGCGACCGAGTGGCTGAAGACGCTTCTGAAAAAGGAGGCACACCACAAGAGCCACGTCGAACATAATGGCGGGTTGGATCTGATAGAGAAATCGATAAAGAAGGGCCTCAATGATGCCAATCCTGGTGTCAGGGAAAAGATGAGGGCCACATTTTGGACATTCCATGGTATTTGGCCCGCGAGGGCAGAAGCGTACGTGAATCTTCCGAGTTCAATTCCTCAGCCATTAACAACTGACGTGATTTTTAGTCTCATGAACACTCTGGAACCTACAGCGCAGAAATTGCTAGAAAAAGACCCGAACAACCCCAACACCCCTAAGAAGGCCGAGCCCGCGGCGCGGCCAGGTCTTGGGCTTTCACGTAGCACGATGGGAGCTAAGCCATCGCTCAGGGAAACGATGATGGCCCAGAAGAAAGCCATGGCCACCAAAAACCTTCCAGTCAGACCTGGATCAGCCATGGCGCACTTCTCACCACCGAGAGCAACTCGGACTGTCTCTAGCTCCTCGACTGCTACGGGAAGTGCCACCGCTCCATCCACCACCACAACACGTCAAAAGCCCACCACCAGCGGCGGGCTATCAGTAGCCCCCGTCAGGCCGACGAGGAAGCGACCAGAAATGGCACCGCGGCCAGCGACTGCAGGACCATATTCTGTGCGAGGTGGCATCGACACCGAGATGAGCCCCCCACCAGCGAGACCGAAGGCAGTGACGCCAAAAACCATGGGCGCATCACCCAAGCGGACGATACCAAGAACGAGGCCGGCACACAAGCCAACTACGAGTGAATCGAGTCTTCCTACACCCACCAGGTTGACCCACGCAAAATCTTCGCCTGCTACTAGCCCGACAAAGAGCCCGTCAAGACCCAGACTACAGCCGGGACCGCTCCTAGGCAGCCCTCAGCCTGAGGACAGCTTGTCGCTGATAGCGCCGACGACTCCGATTCTTCCAGCAGCGGATTCGCCAGACATCGCATCTGCCGAGCTGGTTGCGCCTGAGACTCCTGTTGCAGTGGATCGAGATCAAGCAGCAAGCCCGGCCGGAACACCCTCCAAGGCCCTGCGAGTTTACGAAGATCCTTTGACGGCAGAGCAGTCAACTCCACGGCTGACGCCGCCAGCCGTACTAGAGGAAAAGCCCGTCAACGAGGATGCAGCCAACTTGGTGGCACGGCAGAACGGCGACGGAGCCGTCCAAGCTGATATCTCACCTGAGAAGGCCAAGCAACATGCGCGGCTCATTGAAAGTGCACTCGCGAAAATCAAAGCGAAGTCTCTCGACGTGCATGGATTTCGCAAGTTGCAAGGTATCCTCCGCGATAACAAGTCACCTCTATCCGATGAGAAGTTCGAGGCACTGCTCCTCGGGCTCTTCGACTACCTGGAGGACCCGCAGTCCAACCTCACTCCCGAAAAGATTCAGGACGTCAAGGCTCAAAACCTGGCAACGATCAAGCTACTGCTGAAGAAGTACCGCGGCCATTTCCAACCACACATCTCGAAGGGCCTGGAGTCGCTGATGTCAGCACGCGCGGTGTACGACGCCCGCACGCACATTGTATCTGGGCTGGAGCTGCTCGCAGACGAGCTGGTCGCGCTGGGCGACGCGCAGGAGATCGCCACGGTGCTGACGCGCCGGATGACGGACACGGTGGTGGATGATGCGGCGGGGTGGCGGTCGCTGAGCATGGGGCTGCATGTGCTCAAGGAGATGGTGGACGCCAAGGCCGAGTACATGCCCACGGACCAGGAGCTGGCCAGCATGGCGGCGCTGTGCACACGGTGCCTCGACAGCACAGAGTCCGGGGTCAGGATGGACGCGGTGCAGCTGTGCGTGGCGCTCCAGGGGCGGGTCGGCGACGCCAGGTTCTGGGATGTCATGAAGGACGTCAAGGACGACCCAAAGAGCCTCATCACTTACTACATCGTGAAGAGGCAGAGGGAGAAGGAGGCGTCTAACAGCGTGGCCTAGGTGGCTCGCCGGGCTTGCCTCTGGCTTAGATGAGGATGGTGGGGTGGTCTGTTCCGGAAGGTGGAGGGCGGGACTGGGAAACGGCCGGATGGGATTTAAGGGTGGAGGGGTTCGGTGCGGTCTGTTGTTTATACCTTTCTTGCATCAAAACAAAAGTGCGACAGAGCGGATCTGGCGGGAACCAGGCGGCCAGGGTGTGTTGGAGTTCGGAATATGGCTTCTATCGTCGGGTTTACAAGGGGGTGGTGGGTGTGGTAGGGGGAGGGCAAGGGGGATCGACCGGGCCGTGATTATACCTTTCCCTGCTTTTGTCTATTTGTTCATACCAAAGTCACATGCCACTTCTCAAAAAAGCTGTGTTAATATCTATCTACGGCGTATGGCTCGTTCTGATGGGTCTTTGCATCTATCGCTCCAGACGCCGGACAGTACCTCGAAAGGGAGCTCACCCGCGCGTGGCACAATGATATGGGAGCCGGCCAACAAGCGAAGCATGATGCATCCGTTATTCTTTGCGAGTGACGCAGTGGCCCTCTTCTAATTCCTGTCTGTCTTTCTTCAAGGAACATGCAGCTCGCCTGGCCTGGCTGGGCCCCCCAAAAAGCAGAGCCCGCATGCGTCGCGGGCTGCAACAGGTGGAGTTGTAGGCAGATAGACTGTGGCGGGTTTATTTCTTTCCTTCGCGATCGGCCGCTCGTGGGAGCACACGTGCGATCAAATAGCAAGTTGGCGTTGGCCCGGTCTAGAATTATGCCCGACCGCGATTCCTTGTGGTTCCTGCAGATATTATGTGATGGGACCTGCTTGGCCAGGGGTGAAGGAAGCTTGCTTTGGCCGGCTGGATTTGCTTTGCTTTGCTTTGGCATGGTGCGTCCAGGCAGACGTGGAATTTCTACATGAGACGTGCTATTCGGAAATAGAACAGCGTTTCGGTCATCGGAAGGCCACAAACTTAGTCATTCCAGTGTGGAAGCTGGTCGTTCCGTCGACTTGGCGCGGCCGGAGGCTAGGCCATGTTGTGTGTGTGTGTGTGTGTGTGTGTCACTGCAGTCAGCATCGAAGGATCGTGATAGCTGCAGGGACATCGGCAGTGATCGACAAGATGGTACGGGGAAAAGAAGAAAAACAAGGGCCAAGCTTCAGGGTCTGGCAAATGTGCTCATCCTGATTCCTACTGAGCTTTCATCTGCCGGGTCTGGACTGAGGGGGGCTGTGGGTTTCCCAACACCCCCTACCCTCCCTTCCTTCCTTGGTGAACTGCTGGGGGAAGAAGCAGGATCGAGTGGAGACGAGGGTTTGGTGATAGAAGGCATGGTAGGGGAACGAGAGTGATGGTTGGCAGGCCTGTCAGGCGTGGCAGGTTGGGGGGTCTGGGTGGATCGTGAGAGAACCCCCAAGAGGTTGATGGTCCCCACCCTCCCTCCATCTGCCGCGGCCCTGCAAGTGTCGTTTCAAGAGTTCTTGAAACACACAAACAAAATCCCCGGGCCGGCGGCCGTTCGTAATCAAGGGGAACGGTGTGGGGCATGGCCTCGGTCTGCGAGCCCAATTTATCACCCGTACCGGACTGCGTTGTGAGCATGTTTAGATGATGTGCTGCTGCAGCACATTCATTCCATCAACCACGAGCGTCGAAAGGAAAAAGTGTCGTCCGGGAAAATAGAATAGGCAATATCTATCTAATCATAGCACTCGCGTCGCGTCCGCCGCGATCCCCATCTGAAATCCCGGGACTTGCCCTGGCACCCCACGTCGCTTTCCCTTTCGCTTCGGCGTAGGCGAGGGACCAGAGTGACGATGGACCATCAACATCACATCGCTCTTGATGCCCTTGCCCCACCCCGGACGCAAGGCCGCGCACGCAGGGCTGCGGCCCGCGCTCACGGGGCTGATCAGCAAAGCACCCTGCGATCGGCCGTCCGAATCGAACGATTCTTCCCACGAGGGGGGGCCGGGCCTAGTCGACCGTCGACGGATTTATCTCGCAAGGGGGCCTCATTAGGCTTTTTTTTATTTGCCCTGGGCCCCGGTCGAGATCTCGTGAGTCGAGGTTGATGTGGGCTCTGCTGCGTGATTGGGAATCCCGCGGTACGGAGAGTGGGGACAAACCTGTCAGGCGCAGTCAGGCCGCGCCAACCCGACTCCCACCTCCCCCCTGGCCTGCTATGGATGAGATGTGACGAACGCCTTTCTTCGCTTCTCGTTTCCCAGCTGGGCTGAGCTGGACAGCATCCGTCGATGGGTGCTGTTGTTGGTGGTAGCGGGTGGGGGAAGTGTCTTAATGTGTCTGCCGCGGCACAGCATGAAGCATAAGATAGGATGGCATGTCGTGCATCTGCTGCGCGGCTCGAGATAGGCTCCACATGCATTGGCGTGCTTGAGCTTATGCTCAGCTCAGGGGAAGACGCGGCCAGCACTGCCGGATCATCTTGTGGGAGCGGGAACGGGATCTTGATTAATCAAGTCGAGCCAGCCTTGGACATATATGGCAAGTAGTCTAAGTTGTTGTATTTTGCCGCGAGGCTGCATCGAGGCGACGATGGATGGATGGGTGGATGGGCGGGTGGCTGCATGGATCGAGCCTCGCCTCAGAGATTGGGGTTGAACACTTTACCGTTCACCCGGTAGAAGGTCGCGTGTTGCCTCGAGTCTGAAACACGGCCGAAATGTTATCATCGTTACTTTTGTGATGGCAGTTGCTTTTCCTGTCATCCTTGACAGCTTCCTGTCTCCTGGAGATTGGATCACTGGAAAGTATAGCCGGTAGGGAGCACCCTGGTTGCACACGACGTTGGATGCCCGAGTTTGAGGGTGACGACGTGACCGGGTGGCAAAGTAAAGTCGTTGGAGCTTGCGAACAGACCTCGTCACTGGACGATGCGGTTCCTGACACTGGCATGTGGGAGCCACAACGGCATCGGGATGTCGATGGGCTGTTCCGCTTGCGATCGTGCCATCGAGCTGCATGCCCTTCTGCGCATCATCTCTAGTTGAAAGTTAATGCCGTGTGCCTACTGTCACTGAGGCAAGCACGGCAAGGCTGCTCACCCCTCTCACTCTACATGAAACCCTCGTCGTGCGGGTCCTCTGGTTGCTTTGGCTCCTGGCCTCGAGTATCTATTGGCTTTCGCTTTCGGCGGTGACACTGCAGTTGATTGTGAGATTGTGCGGTAGTCCCCAGCCTTGGCAGCCACTGAATTTCCTGGCTATTTACGCATTGCAGACCCAGGAACAGGAAATGGTGGTGAACATCGCTGCTGTCACCAGCTGTCGGTGACGATGACCAGGAACAAGGTCTTGGAAGCATGTGCTCCCCGGGTTCCGAAGATGTTCACTCGCGGCCGGGTTACCCGTGTCATCCTGGGATATCTGGCAGACACACGTCCGCGCAATGACACCCATCTTCCCGGCTCGGAATAAAAGGTCGCAACGACTTGGAGCAGACCCGTACCTTGGTTCCCGTTGCTGGCTCTGTACGCGTGTGTGATATATATGAAGGCTTGCTTACTTCGTGGGTTGGACCACTGGCGGCGGCCGCGCAGAAAAGTGATAAAGTATCACAAGCGCGTCGTTCGTGCTGGCCAAACTATGACGAGACTTCAACATATGATGATCTGCACCAGGGCTGGGCGAGAGCAGCGCCCAGCAAGTCCAGCGCAGCGGACGCATGCTAGCGCGCTACCAAGACGGCTCATTCAGGAGAGTTTTGGGCCTGACGGGAAAGTGCTGCATTATGTATATCCCAAATGTCTCTGCTTATGTTAAACTTTCCAATGCTGCTGCTGTGGGCGTGCCCCTGAATCTGAAATGACAAAGATGCTAGCGCCCACATTTATGCCTGCCTGCATGTTCCTGCAGCCCCCCGGCGATTTTGCTGCGAGGCTGCTGGATGCTACAGTCTGACATGCGATGGGATTTGCTCGGCATCGTTGATCATGTGGGCGACGTTGAGGACTGGTAAAGGGATTGCTTCTCCAGCCAAACAGAAGGTGTCGTCGATACTACAGTAGATTGCTCTGCAGGCCATCCCCAGATAAGCCGGCCGAACCGACCAACGGTAGGCTGGCCAGCACGTTTTCGAGGAAAATCCTCGCCTGTGCGGTACAAAGTAGACGCAGGAAGGCTGCGTTAGCTTCTCTGATGTGGAATGGTGTCGATACGACTTCGAGGGCGACCTTTCCGGGTTGGGAGACGCCATTGTGTCGTGCGACCCGAGCCTGTAACTTGGATTCTCGTTCTGCCAAATGGCTCATTTTGCTCTGGATTGCTGATGTCTTGGCATCTCGAAGATATCAAGCTGACCCGAGCGCATCGCCAGGACATTAAATAGACCACATATAGATAGGGTAGACGCTCGCCTACTATGTATATCTTCCGGAAGTGGGCCACGATCGCGAATAGCTAGTCTCGAGGCTAGAATAATTTGGGAGGAAAGTCTCCGATCCAATGCCGGCATCTGCGGCGGCAGACGCAAACACGGTACAGTACTCAGCCGTAATATGTGATGTGACTGTTTTATTGGGGATGTCATCTCGCTGGGATGGGTATGCCGCCCGCCAGCTGGAGAGAACGATAACGACAAAGCTAAACCTCAGCTGCCTGATCCTAGGGCTGATTTGTGACAAGTTAACGCTCACTGCCTTAGGCAAACTACAGCAGTGACAGGAATCGTGGACGGACGGCGTGGTGGGCAGCGGAAGCCGTTCCCCTTCTAGCGAGGTGCAGGCCATCTGCAGGAGGCTGCTGTCAGGAGGGTGGCCAGATGTTCGTTGGCTCGCAGGCTCGATGGGCTAGACCATACTCTGACCACCTCCCCTGGGCTCTCAGGGCCGATGGGCAAAGCCAAGGAGGAAGACGGTGTTGATCATCCGGCCAGGCTGGCCAGGCTCGCACAAGAAGGCGGGGAGGACCACAATATGGAACGCAATCCATTGATTTCCCCAAGAGGACTGGCTGCCGATCACTGCATGTCAAGATTGATGATACTGCACTTCAGTGGTTGAACAAGATGAAGACACTGCGCTCCACACATTGTTTGTTCGCCTTCGTGCTTTAATTGGAATCTATCCATGACTGGTTGTGAGTGGCATAAACCACATCACCTGGTTTCCCTTGAGCAACGTTTGACAGACATGTAACACACATGCATATTCGCATTGAGTGTTGGTGAAGCTAGCAACGACAGGAGGCATGACGACAAGCTTGCTTTTTCTTCTCCTTGGGCGCACAAAATACCAGTCCTGATGATTTTGTATGTGCCAGAGTCCATGAAGTCGGTCTTGGCAGCCCTCGCTCTCTACTGGCAATAATAGTCTGGTGTCTAGCAGTAGTCTCCAAGCACCTTGACCTTGGCAATAAGTCCTGACCCCCTTCCCCTGGCCCTCTATTTTTTCTTCTCTTGGAACCCTGTGCTCCCCTTCCAGAATGGAGGACCATTGAAAGGGGTGGGCTTCCCGAACTCCAACTCCAACCCGCTTGCTCCCAGCAGAGGGACCTAAGTGGGACCTACTTCTCCGCTGCACTCCGCCCTGGCTGGGCCCTGGCTAATCCGAGACTGTCCAAGTCCCTCCCCCTCGTCACTCCTGGTGTCGTGTCTGGTGTCTGGTGTCTGGTGTCTGGTCTTTGGGTGTCTCCAGCTGTCTCCTGCTCTGCTCTGTCTCCTGGTGTGTGTTTGGGTGTGGGTGTGTGGCCACTGTCAGGCTGTCAGGTTATCCCGCTGTCCCGCTGTCCAATGCCAGCAGCCCATCCATTCCATCCACACATCTGGTCCTGACCTGTCCAGTCCAGTCCCGACCAGTCCTGTCCTCTCCCATCACATCCCCCATCAATGATTCAAACAGGCAGGCCTGCACCTGCTGCACTGTCTTCTTGCCTTCACTCCACTCCACGTCTCGTCTTGTCTCGACTCGAACTCGCCCTGCACTTCACTCCCGGGCCAGCAACACACGAGTGACAAGAGTGCTCAGACAGAGGACTATCGGCATCACAGACCGGCCCTGGTCACACAGACATATGTCTGTGCCCTTTCAACGTCCTCATTCCACATCAACGCTTCCACAAACCACCAGGCTAGCCTAGCTTCTCTTGACACACGTTAGAGAGCCAGAGCCGTGCCTCATCCCCTTCCCGGGCCAGAACTGACGACCCAGCCACGACGGCCTCACCACAACCCCTCCGTCGACGGCCAAGGGTTTCTGCTCTCCAGCCCGGCTTCTACAACCCTCTCGACCCCTCCGCTTGAACAAACCGCCACGCAGCCTAGATGCTCTCACCCTGGCCTGGTTTCTGCTTGTCACTTTCTCATGCAACTGATTCACCCCTTCCTCCATTGAGCCACTGTTGCTGCTCCTGATCCGGATCAACAACAATCTCCTTTATCCGGCCACAGCAGACGACACAACACACCGCAGCCATGGACGACTACCTGGAGAGCCCCATGGAGGACGATGTCTTTCCTTGCAAAGGCTGTGGAGAGGTAAACTTGCAGTGTCCCAACCCCTACTGGGCGTCACGATGTGTCTTGGGGAAACATGACTGACTCTGCTTGAACCATGAACCAGATCTTGGAGGAGGGCAAGGCCTTTGAGCTTGGTATGTGTGCTGCATTGCTTGCCCCTTGCTTTTCTTGCATTCTAGTTCTTTGTATTCTGTGGAAGGCGCTCTGTTTGACGGGCTGCTGCCCCCTCGCTTTCTTGCTTTCTTGAGAAAACCCGACCGCTTCTCTGCGCGCCCGCCCTCCGTTGCACACCGTGCCCCTGGGCTAGACCATGGCTCCAGAGCTTGAGGCTGACCAGATCGCAGCTGGAAACCGATGGCATTTGAACTGCTTCCGATGCAACACCTGCGGCACCCTCCTCGACTCCGATGCGAACCTCCTCCTCCTCGGCGATGGCTCCCTCATTTGCAACAACTGCACATACAGCTGCAGCGCATGCAGCAACAAGATCGAGGACCTGGCGATCCTCACTGGCGACCAGGCATTCTGTGCGACCTGCTTCCGGTGTCGAAACTGTAAGAGGAAGATCGAGAATCTGCGATATGCTAGGACATCACAGGGCATCTTCTGCATGAGCTGCCATGAGTCGCTCATGGCAAGACGAAGAAAGAAATCGAAGGCTGCCGCTCATGCAAAAGCGCGAGATAAGGACTCTCCCATGGTCGACAAGTCGCTGCCCGCCTTGCCGCCGAATGCCATACCGCCGAACGCGTTTTCAGACGACCGAGTTTCCCCTGATTCGGACACGCCCACCGAGCTGTCGCCCCGGCCAACCAGGCCTGCGTATCCCAGGAAGGACTCATCCTCAAGAGGTAGTTCACGCCCCGCTCGCTCGCCAGAGAGACCTCTTGAATCCAACAAGGAGACTGGACTCGGCTTGCCCGCCCACAATTACCGGAAAAACAGGAACAGTTCCATCATCGGTGGACAAGCTAACGTCGAAGGTGTAGACGGTGACAGCTTTTTCATCCCAGTGGCCTTGGACCCCAGCCCCGCGCCCTCGGTTTCCTCCCCACGGTCCAATGGCGACGCTTTCGACCAGCGCAAGGTTAGCAATGAAAAGGATTATTTTACAAACAAGGGAGACAAAAAGAATGAGGTTCGCAGCTCCCAGGCCTCAACCCCTCACATTGCCTTTCAGGAAAAGGCACGGCGGACCTCGTCCGATTACGAAGCCTCGACTCCTAAGGAGCCCGCACGAAAGTTATCAAAGTCATCCAGGTCTGACAGGAGTGTCATGTCACAGGCATCACCGGTCGCCAGCGAGGACAGATCCCAGAAAAGCTCGAATGGACACAAGGACGAGTTCAAACTCCAAGATGCCCCCAAAAGTAAGAAGTTAATTACCAACCGGCTCCCTCCACAAATGACCAGCTCTTTGGAGAATGGCACACCCAAGACAGCAGACCGCAACCTCAGGAGGGACACCCTGGGTTCCAAATCCGAATCACCTCCGCGGTATGGCTCGGCGGACAGATCTGGAACTCCCAGGGAAGCCCAGGACGCCCGTACGAAGGATGATGACAAGCGTCCGTCCCTCGAAACAAACAATTCCGCTAGGACCGGAGACACAACCAACTCAAGGACTGTTCCTCGAAAGGACCTCCCTATCTCGGCTGCCAACCGCAGCGGTATGTATCCAACTCATTCCAAGGCAACGTGTACTGACGCATGCTTGTGATGTAGTAAATGGCAAATCCACGAGAACCGAGGACCTCACTCGACCACAGGTTGAGCAAAAATTGAGCGACACGTACATGTCTCCGCGGGCCCCGCCTCAGCCACCAGGAGTGACTGCGAAGGACACAGCGAAGGACACGAACGTTTCAAAGAATGGGCAGACATCCCCCAAGGTGTCCCCCAAGCTACCGAGATGGAGCTCTGGCGGCGATTTCACCATGGATGAAGACATGGCACGTATCCTGGGCACAGACGAGGGATCCTCCTCTCTACTCCGCCGCGTCTCCAACGCCGTCAGGCATGGGCGGACCGGAAGCACAGAGTCTAACTCACCGCAGACCAGGACTGCACATGGCAGAAGCATGAGCGAGACGACTCGAGGAACCGCCTCGCCCAGCTGGGACAAAACCCCGATCATCGAGACCGATCAAAATGGCGACACAAACTCCATTAGCATCCCCGTGTCCAAGGACGATCCTGCCTTTTTGAAGCGACAATTGCGCACGTCGGAACAGCGAGTCGCGGAGCTGGAGAAGAAGTTTCACTCCGAAAAAGACCTGTTATCTATCGACGAGAAGTTGACCGAGAAGAGGAAGACCGTCTCTGTCCTGGACACGCAAACGGAAATTATGATTCGTGAGTTGGAGGTGCTGGCTGGCTACGTCGAGCGGGCCAAGGACACCCAACGGCCCATTGATTATCACGCTCTTGGAGAATCTGCCATCAAGGATTTCGTCCAGAAGCTAGATAAGGTCAAGCAGACCATGGCCGCAACGATCGAGCAGTTGCACAGTGAACGGGACCAGTTACTTGAGGACAAGGAGCGGGCAATCGCCGACCGGGACCGAGCACTTCTTGAGTTCGAGCAGCTGTCATCTAAGAATGCGCAGCTGGCTGATATGAACAACGATCTGACCCACCAGATTCAGGGGCGGTTCAGGTCTCAGGTTGGATCTGATGGAAAGCCTTCCAATGGGCTGGGCATTTACACAAACCATAAGTCCATGTCCAGCACTTCTGTTCATAACATCGACACCTCTAGCATCCAGACCGGTCCGACCCTTGTCGCCACGGACGTTGACGAACCTATTCTCGAGGGGCCAACTGTCGTCCAGGTGAGAAAGGGACAAGCCAAGAAATTCAATTGGAAGAAAGGCGGAAAGTCCGTGGCACAGAACATTACCAGAGTCGGCCGGGCCGTCGCTGCCTTCCAGACGAATGAACGCGATCCCAGACTGCCTCAACAGGGTGGTCTGAATTCTGATAACATTGGTCTGCCGTACAACATGACGGCTACTCAATTTGAGTCACCATCGACCGTTCTGCCTACCAACGGGCAACAAAATCGTGCCCCGCCTCCCGACGCTCGATCCTTTGGCTTCTTTGGTAAGAATAAGAACCCGAATCTGCCAAAGTCCGTCTCCGCGGCGAACATCAGCACCGGTGCCGCCATGGCCGAGGACCCATCTACGCTGTTTGGCTCTGACCTGGTGGAGAGAGCCGACCATGAACGTCGTCAAATTCCCAGTGTGGTGACCCGCTGCATAGAGGAGGTTGAGCTCCGAGGCATGGACGCCGAAGGCATATACCGGAAGTCAGGAGGCAACTCTCAGGTCAAGATGATCCAAGAGGGCTTTGACAAGATGGAGGACTTTGACATCTCCGACCCAAGCATCGATATCGCGTCTGTCACCAGCGTGCTCAAGCAGTACTTCCGAAAGCTTCCCACGCCGCTCTTGACTTTCGATGTCTATGACCGGGTCCTGGAGTCAGCCGGTAAGTTTGTTCACACCTTAGCACAATCGCACACTCTAACCCGAATTCAGGTATTTCCGACACTGCTGAGCGCTGCGCTCACCTTCAGAAGACGGTCAATATGCTTCCACAAAAGCACCGCGACTGTCTCGAGTTCCTGATGTTCCATCTGGCCAGGGTCGCCAGTCGTGAGCGAGAGAACTTGGTAAGTCTTATGAGCGCCGGCGAAACCAAAGTCTAGGTAATTGCTAACAACCATTCCAGATGTCGCCCAAGAATTTGGCCGTGGTATTCGCGCCCACAATCATGCGAGACCACAGTCTTGAGAGAGAAATGACGGACATGCACTCGAAGAACCTCGCTGTGCAGTTCATGGTTGAGCACAGCAACGAAATTTTCACCACTGACTGAGAAGCGAGGAATGCGAAGCTCTCAGAGCAGTGATACCCTGTTGGTTTGTGACGAGAGGCTGTGAGAGTGGAAGAATATGAGAAGGTATGAGAATGGGGCTCATACCATCGAACGATCGACCGACTGAGACCATAGCGCCTACCTACCTTGACTTGACCATTGTTGTACATATTTACTTCGCCATATGGGATTTCACCCGAAGATGCGAGGACTCGAGAGAGCGAGGGAAACCAAGGTGGAATTCCTTGGTCTTTTTTGACATAATGTGCTGGCAGGGGTGTGAGCCAGCCAAGTTGACAGAGAGAGATCTGGTTAGATTCGATTCCCAGGCTAGCAAGCTCCCGAGATTATTCGGCTGGATGGCATGTGTGCTATGCATCGAGAGGGAATTTTGCAGGCGAGCTTGATACCTAATCCCGTAGTGGAAATGTTATCTTCTGGATGCGAGACAATTCGAGGCTCTGGTGAGCTTTATGACTTCATGTGCGAATGAACAAACAGTCTAGTTGAGTCGTAGAGCTCAATCCAATGGCCCCTTTTCCCGTTTAGCAGTGGACAACAACGGAGGTCCTTATCGATAAAGGGTTACGTAGCAGGACCCCTGGACTGCGGCCGTGTTGAGCGAGCGAGTTCGCCAACCTCCAAAGCAGCTGCTTCCAATGTCCAGATGTCCTTTGCAACCAATTATTTTCTCCCTATCCACAGCTCCCAATTCAGCAAGAACACTGATCTGTACGACCAGACGGTCGGGCTCTACCAATCCCATCCGCATGAGAGCCTTGCATCGGGACACGACCTCACGAATGCGACCAACAACCGTAGCCGGTCTCCCGCTCCCTAGCTGACCTTCCGACCACGACCACAACCATGTGGCTTGACCGGCTCGGCGCTCACAACAACCCTCAACAATCCTCCAACCCGAATAGCAGACCTATCTCCCCCCTACCTCGACGAGTTTCCAGTCGCGGCAGTCCATACGTCACATCACAGTCACGGTCAGCGAGAGGGTCTGAGGTCTCCTTGGTATCGTCGAGTGACACCGGTTCGACCACTTCCCTCCTTCGAGGGTCAGGACGGCCCAATGGCGGTCAACTGGGCAGCTCTTCGCTCAAGCAGAGCACCACAGTCGATGATGGATCCGAGTCGCTGTCCGTGCTGAGCAAAATACTTGGGGGCGAGGCAGCTACGGACCGAGCAGACTCTAGTGGCATGCCGTCCCCTGTGACAGCACAGGACAACCCCTTTGGCTCGACTATAACCGAAGAGGATCTCAACATTGAGTTTGACTTTGGCGGGGCTTCTCTGCGAGAATTCATTGCCCAGGGCGACGACGGGAGCTCCGGCGCAGGTGTACATAGATCGCAGACAGTTGAAGAATGTATGTCGTTTCCTCTACTCCTTCTACGTCGCCTCGTGATGACTACAAGGGGGCCCAACGCTGACACAAGTACGTGACATGTAGATGAGCGAGACAAGGCCAGATACGAGGACTTGCACAAGTCCATACGCGCGTGCGACGACGTCCTCAGCTCCGTCGAGACGAACCTGACCAGCTTCCGGAACGACCTCGCAGCCGTGTCTGCGGATATAGAGCACCTGCAGGCGCGCTCCACTGCTCTCAATGTCAGGTTGGAGAATCGCAAGGCCGTCGAGAAAGGGTTGGGCCCGGTGGTCGAGGAGTTGAGCGTCTCGCCCGTGGTGGTTTCTGAGATCGCCGAGGGCCACGTCGACGAGTCGTGGGTCAAGATGCTTGCCGAGGTCGAAAAGAGGTCTGAGGCGCTCAGCAAGAATGCGAAACAGCAAGGGCAGAGCAGAGCACTGTCAGATCTGGGGCCGTTGTTAGAAAAGTTGACGCTCAAGGTATGGAGCATCCGCCATACAGAAGTGACCGCTCTGTGAGCTTGCATACTGACTTATTGCACGTAGGCCATCGAACGGATAAGAGACTACTTTGTCGCGCAGGTAAAGGCTCTCAGATCGCCACATATGAACGCGCAAATCATCCAACAGCAAAAGTTCTTGAAGTACAAAGAACTCTACGCCTTCCTACACAGACACCATTCGCAGCTGGCAGACGAGATATCCCTTGCCTACATGAACACTATGCGGTGGTACTACCTCAACCAGTTTGGCCGGTACCAAAAGGCCCTCGAAAAAATCAAGCTCCATGTAATCGACAAAACAGACGTCCTAGGTCACGAGGACACATCCCGGAAAGCCACTGTCTTGGGCAGCAGTGCAAGAGGGTTCGGTGGTCCCCCTCATGATGCCTTCAATATCGGCCGTCGCATCGACCTGCTCAAGACGCCGAACCAGACAGCCCTCAGCAGCTACCTCGCGGAAGAGGACCAGTCGACGCACTACCTGGAGGTGCCCTTTCGCAACTTCAACCTCGCGCTGCTGGACAACGCAACGGCCGAGTACACCTTCTTGGTATCATTCTTCACGCCGAGCCTGAGCATGGCCAAGGTGGGCAAGAACTTCAACTATATCTTCGACCCGACATTCCAGCTGGGCCACAACCTGACCAAGAGCCTCGTCTCCGAGACGTATGACGGGCTGGGCCTGCTGCTGTGCATCCGGCTGAACCAGCACTTCGCGTTTGAGCTGCAGCGGCGGCGCATGCCGGCCATGGACGGGTACAACAACGGCACATCAATGGCGCTGTGGCCGCGGCTGCAAGCGGTCATGGACGCACACTGCGAGTCGGTGCGGGCCATGACGTCGGCGCTGCCGCAGCGCCCCTTGCCCGCGGCGACGGCCCGCACGACCAGCGCGGCGCCCCACGTCGCGACGCAGCGCTTCGGCCAACTCGTCCACGGCATCCTGTCGCTCAGCGGCGAGGGCGGCGGCACCGGCGGCGGCGGCGGCGACGACGAGCCGGTCGCCGCGTCGCTGGGCCGCCTGCGCAGCGAGATGGAGGCCTTCCTCACCCGCTACAGCCAGGCGCACTTCGGCGCCGACGTCAAGGCCCGCAAGCGCGAGCGCTTCCTCTACAACAACTACAGCCTCATCCTCACCATCATCGGGGACCTGGGCGGCGGGAAGCTGGCCGCTGAGCAGATCGCGCACTTTGAGGGGCTCAAGACCGCTTTTCAGGAGGCTGCTTGATTTTTCTTTTTTGGCGGTGGGGTCTGAGAGTTGTAAATTCTGCTGGGCTAGGGAGAACGAGATGGTTGCTTGGGAGTCTAAAATATCTAGAAAGCAATCTGTCCATTTGTGAAGGAAGGGCTGGGTGTACTAGGACGGTCGACGGTGACGTGGGATTGTGAAGTAGTCGTCAAGTACTTCATGATTAAGCTCAAGCTATTGCCACTACATGAGTGCCGTCGTCATCTGGGTGTTTCTGTTCCTAATATGACGCTGCTCCATGAATGTCATCACCCGGTAGACGCTGTTTGGCCAGTGAACACTGTTCCTGCGTAGATATAGTCTGGCTGAATTATAGAACGGATATCCCGTCATTTTGATCTGTTCTAAGCGGAGGATGAAATTACGCGCTCGCTATAGACACGAAATCTTGATTTCAGACTACTCGAGCATGTGTTCATGTACGCCCAAGAGTGATACTCAAGATGTTGGAGCCGAAGACCAACTCCAGCAGCCATCCATCAGTAGCAGGTCCTGTTGTCCCTCACATTCGGCTGTATCTCGTCTAAAAAGGTGGCTTTCTATGATACTGCGCCAACTTTGGATATATTCGTACAGCCGGTTATTATACAATCTCCTCCGACGCGTTCATACCAGCCTCGCGGCAATATTCTATAAGCCTAGCTAGAACTCCTGCCACCAAGCAGAGACCAACGCTGTCATGTACCGGACCGGACCGGCAGCGACCCCGTTCGACATGGCCGATCTACGTATCCAGTATGCCAACACGCCGAACATGACCGCGACCCCGACAGCCTTGGCCGGCTTCCTGTACCGCCAGAGGGCGTCGATGACTTTCTTCTTCCTCTCCTCGCGCTGGAGCTCAAGGATCTGCTGCCCGAAAAAGTAGGCGCCGACCTCGAGGCTCTGGCCGGCGCAGTCGCGGGTGGAGCGGGCGGTCTTGAGGACGCTGTTGGGGGAGACGCCGCAGCGCCAGGAGCGCAGCGACTCGGGCGGGTGGTCGGCGAGCAGGCGGCAGGCGCCGGCGACGAGGCGGTCGACGTCGAGGGGCTGGGGCAGCTTGGAGAGGATGGAGTGCAGCATCTCGGGCTCGTCGGAGGGGACGGCGAAGAGCTCCGCGCGGCGGCCGATGACGATCTGGGCGAACATGTAGACGGAGAAGACGGGCTCGCGGGCCAGCAGGACGTCGAAGAGGCGTGCGATCTCGCCCAGCGACTGGACGTCGTGCGCGTACATGGTCAGCGTCCCCGAGAGCGCGAAGAAGGGCTCCGTCTGTGGGAGGTGCCGCCACAGGGCTGGGTCAGCCGCCCGGAGGATGTCTGGGATCAGCCGCAGCTGCGCGATGGCTGCGGACAGGTTGGGGAGCATGAAGTCGCGAATGCGGAGCGCCGAGAGCCGCGCCACGGCTGGGCTACGGAGGGAGGGCGGGAGGACCAGGAGGAAGACCTGGCATATATCGTGGTAGCCTTGGAAGTAACATAGGTATGGGTACCGTCTCAGAATGGACAGGATAAGGTCTGACAGCTCGTTCTTCTGGTGGGTGCGCTCCTGGTCGGACTCATCTGTGATATTATTAGAACTGTTGGCAGAACAAGTGTATCGAGGTGTTGGGCTTGACGGGAAGACTATCTTGGAACATGGTCCGCTGGAACGAGTTCTCTGCTCAGAGGAAAGATGGGCTAGAGAAGGTACAGCGTTTCCTTCACGCCGGAATCTTACAATTTGGATAGTACACGAAGGCTCTGGCCACATCGAGTTTCACTTGCTCTTCCTCTTTGTGAGGTTTGAGATCTTTCCATGAGTCGTCGATGAACTCTGAGGCGGTCAGGCGCACCACCTCGTGCCTGTCGCTGGACGACTTCTCGACTTCATCGCTTGGGAATCTGACTGGTAGTCCCAGCAGCACAGGCCCTGCATTTGGTTAGCATCCAGTCGTCAGTACATTGATAGAATCTGGAAGTTCTTCAGAATGACAAGTGCTCTAGACTGAGTGAAACAACTCACATGCTTGCTGGCGCAGCTCATCTGTTAAGAATCCGCCAGGGGATTCAGCTAGAGCCTGCAGGCTCTCAATATCTCTCCTCCTACAGGCATCGATGACCTCTCGGGCCTTGATTTCCTGCAGCTCGGCATTGCTGTCCGTGATCTTGGCTGACGAGCCAGGGGACCTGGAGGGATCATGGTCGCTCTTCTCATCTGCAATTTCATCACTGCCATATGTCAAAAGCTCATCCTCGGTAGCCATGTCGTGCTAGCCTTCTTGATTGAAGCTGACAATATGAAGCCCCCTGGAATTTCTTCGAGCGACTTATCTATGTGAGACGGTGAACCTTCTCAAGCCGGTCGAGTGACGCCTCGTCCAAGCCCTCACGTCCCGTAGACAGCACCAGTCACAACTCGTGTGAGGGAGTGGCAGTCGAGCGTGTGGACTGTAGGGGCCCCGTTCCAGGATTCCAGTTGCTGGTCCAAACCCCTGCAGGCTCTTGAAGCCGAGTCGCCGGGATGCGCGTGACGACGCGTCTCCGAAGATGCCACTTCTGCGCCGACAGCAACTTCGTGACGGTTCCGAGAACTCTTGTATATTGGTTGTATCAGCGGTTGAGACGTCGGCTTCACATGCCAGTTAATGCAAACAGGGGGCGTGCGCTCGCGATATGGTATCTGGGGTCAGAATGCGATCAGGGTGAGGCTTCATGTCATTTGAGCGAGACTTGGCACTCACGGCGTGGAGGGGAGCTCTCGAGCTTGGGCACGATATGACGTGCCCCAGGGTTCGCTTGTTGGCCCCTGAAGCAAGGGCTTCCCATGGAGATCCGCTAGGGGTCGCCCACCCTGCCAGCGGGTAGGGCGACCCGCTGGGACGATCAGTCGAACCACCGAAACATTGAGCCATGGCAACCTCGACCACGGAACTCGGCCTCGGGGCACAAAGAGGCAGGGCAGGGACTTATATAAATCAATGCAAAGTTTTCAGGTCGCTGACGTCTCTTGTTCACGACAGGAAATATTCGAACCTCGGGTTCATCATACATGCATGCATTTTCGCTACTTACTTGCCTCCTGGTCTATAACAGCAATGCACTGTACTGTACCTTTGCTCGGACTGGCCAGCAGAGGGCTTCTGATCGCCGACTCCCCTCGGCCACCACCAGGGTCTGATTCCATCCTGGCACACAACGGCCACTGCTGCTCGGCTGTGTACTGCCGAGACCTGCTCCATCTGGTCAGACAGAATACCGCTCCAGGTCCAGGCCCGAGAGCACGGAGACAGGCTCAAGGGGCGACATGGGGCGGGCCCGATCTGTAGGAAAAGCTGGGGTAAAAGTGATCAGTCATGTCTGTCTCGATGTTACCCCGGTGTGAGGACCGATGAACTGCTAGTCTGCTGCCTCAGCCTTGTGTGACAAGCATGAGCCTGCACAGCGGCCCTGTGAGTGTCGACGTAATCTTGGAAATGACTGCAAAGCAGCGGTTCACAGTATTAGTCCCGATCCACGCATCCGTTGACCATTCTCACTCGAACTTCACCTTCGGTTCTGGCCTGTCGTTCCGGTGTCCAAGCCACCTTCGTAGGAGACGGTTTGGGCAGCAATGAACGGTCAAGGAGCCGGAAGAAGCAAGTATGGATAATTAAACAACGAAGCTTGTCGTCCATGCTGAGTGGATCCACAAGGGACGCGAGCCTAGGCCTCTCTCCCTTAGGGTGAACTCAAAGAAGCCGAGAATAAGCTGTCGACTTATACGTGATGGCCCCCATTGTCTCGGCTTAGTAGAGATACCTAGGTGGTTTGACGACCAAACAAGGCATTGTTGCCTTGCTCGCATGCATTGTCCGACATGCTCAAGCAGCCACGCACGCTGACACTTGTTCAAGAGATCCAGGGTGCCGATATCAGGAACAGACCCAGTCATGCACAGCAGCAGCAGACGGTACAATGCAGATGGACTATCTGGACAGTGGGCACGACAGGCGCCTTTCATGCAGTGCCGTCCATTTCGATCGTAGGCCCGCACGCTCTGACTGCAGGAGGTTTTGCTGACTCCTCGGAGGTTTTGCTGACTTCCAGGAACCTCGTCGATATGCGTTGGACTGCCTCCGCATCTGCCCTCGACCGAAATCGAGCAACTCGGAGGCCACGTTGCTTGCTGTAGCAGCTTGTATATTTTATTCTGTTAGAAATGGAGTGAGGCAAGCCAGGGGCTGGCATATAGTGACCGCAGGTTATGAACTTAAAGAGACAAAAACCCGGACAGTAATTGAGAAGATGATGCAGCTGCGAGAGCGTGGTGTTGCCTTGAAGTTGTTGGAGACCTCGAGGGTACATGGCCTTGAGTACAATGTTGCCCGTTGACAGATGTAGCGCCCGAGTCTTGTTTTGTGGGGCTCTGAAGGGTTGCATCAATCTGATTGAGGGGCGAGTTGCGAGCTACGAGCTGCGTGCATGCTTCCTGCCGTGTGCCTCCCAAGGCCCTTCGGACCGTCCCACTTTCTCTTGCTCATGTTCGTGATCACGATCACTTCTGACGTCGCCAACCGCCGACGTTCAAGGCATGTCACCCACAATCAACTCACGCAGTCCCCTCTCGCCCCAAGGCGACCGCGCTTGAAGTGCTGGACTGGCTCATTTTGATGGTGGCCGAAAAGGTTGGACGGGGGAGTCAAGGGTCGCTTATCTGCGAGACGGCGAGGGCATAGAAAGGCAGGACGGGCCTGCGTGGATCTGGATAGCCCCACGCGCGCATCACGCACGCATTGCCGATGTACCCTGGATACTTTGGACATGCAGCAGCACCCATTGCTCACAGCTCATATAAGACCACACCTCCGTGGCACAACCCAGCTGCCCTTCGCAGTGCACAAACTTCCTCGTCAAGTCCAGTCCAAGTCCAGTCCAAGTCCAAGTCCAAACCCGAGTCCAAGACCGGGACGCACCGGCTCAACGACTTCGGTCAGCTGCCCTTTCACTCCCAGCCGCATTTCGCCCTGCAGCAGGCAGTGTGCGAGCCCACCGCGCCACAGAACAACTGGCGACGTTCCTCAGCGTCCTCCAGGCCTTGAGGCCTCTTTGCCATTCACGGTGCTTCTCCGTACGTCATTGTCAGCTCGGTCTGAGAACACTAGGCCGTCTTGCGCCGAGTTCGCCAGTTGTGTGTGGGGGTTGTCTGCGTCAAGGGCGGCTTGAGGAACAGTCCGCTGTCTCTACAAGCTGCGCACTGAGCAGTCGCCGGTCCCCCTGGTCTGGTCACCAATAAGGTCGCCTCGCCCTTAATCACCCTCGAGAACCCTGTGGCTTCGCATGGTCTTACAGAAGTCACGGGCTGTCTAGCTCAAACCTCGATATCTTCTGGAAATGGCACACGGGCCTGTCGAGCCTCTCATATCTAGACTACCTGCGACCTTCCTTTGCCACTGGTAATACAGCACGGACTGTTCCCCTCTGCCACGCAACACACATTCCAATATGGCTTCCCAGTTCCAGTCTCAGGTCCTCGAAAATGGCCAGTGGGTTGCGAGGACCTTGAATGTCAACGACGTCCTGAGCAAACCCGCCACGAAACCAACCAAGCAAAAACAACCACCGCCCCAATGCGGCATCATGACCAGAACCTTGGTCGAAAGCCCGGTTGCTCATTGGATCCTCCCCGTGCGACTCCGCTCCCCTCAGCACAACGATATTGCAATAGTGGGCGTGAGTACCTGAACCTTTCCTACATCTCCTCTCCTCGCCCCCATGCCCCTCGACACAAACAAACTAGGCACGAAAAGACAGCCGACTGGTCGCGCTCTCGCTGGAGAAGTGCTAATGGTTGGGCACTTCAAAGGATCACTACGTGCAAATATCAGAGCTTCAGGACGATTTGCAGCTTCACAGCATCGTCAAGAAGAAGGATTTCGGGTCGCGTATTCGCAATGCCAAGGTCATTGGCACTTTTAATAGGGACGACATTGACGCCAGCAGGTTCCAAGCCAGCCGATCTCATTCGCAGCATCAGGACGATGATATTGACGTGGGCATGTCGGAGGTTTCTACCCCGGCGTCATCCCCAAACCCGCCGCACCTACCTCCTCAGCTCCTCCTGATTGTCCTGGAGACAGGCGACTGCGTGTTCCTTTTCCTGCGGTCTGGAAGAGATGGATCATTCGAATTTGCTGCAGTACAACACGAACTTGATACTACGCGCCTCGTTCGTCCCGGTTTCCATTTGGCAGTTGACCCGAGCTCGAGGTATGTGGCTCAGGCCTGCTCCAGGGACATCTTCGTTGTTCACGAGCTTGAATCGATCAGCAACCTAAACAACTCTTTCATACATGGCCAGCCCTTGAGACCGGTCAAATCATCCCGCCCGCGGGCTGTCAACGGCACAATCCATACCATGGAGTTTCTCTATCCCAGGCCACAAGATCCTCACCACATCATATTGCTGCTCATAGTGGTCAACAGGGGAGTGCCCCGCATGGTCACGTACGACTGGGAGCTGGGTGATGATATCGGAGAGGTGTTGTCCGCGGAGAAAATGGGCCATCTGTTGCCAAGAGATCACGAGATGCCGCTCCTCATAATCCCACTCACCATACGCACGGCGTTCTTTGCCGTCTCAGAGGGGGAAATCGCATACTGCAAAGACATACTACACGGCTCTCCTACTTTTGAGCCTTGCGAGATTGGGGACTTCCCTCCATCCGAGCATCATGACGGGGCGGAACTCCCGCTGTGGACAGCCTGGTCCAGACCTCCTCGACTGTCAAGATTTCATCCGAAAAACGATCATATATACGTTGCGAGGGAGGATGGGCTCGTGTTATTCCTCGAATGTGACTCTGACAACATTCTTGGAGCTTCCTTCAACCACGGAACATTTTGCAACGTGTCGACAGCCTTTACGAGTCTTTCGCACCACAACGACGATATCCTAGTGTTTGGAGGAGACTCTGGGCTTGGGGGCGTATGGAAGGCAGGTTCTCCTCGCCACAAAACTGAATGAGCACCCCATTAACAAGATGCAGGCACCTCCGAGGGAACAGGTCGCGCGACTAAGTCAGATTCCAAACTGGTCGCCGACTGTTGATTTCGTCACAACAAACGAATCTCGCCGCTGGGATGATCACGATGGTGCCACAGGGAAGACAGGAACTGGCTCTGGTTGGGATACCGATATCCTGTCGCCTGGTTTCCTCAAACCAGATAAAATATTTGCCGCAGCGGGGAGAGGGCGAAATGGTTCAATTGTGGAATATCGTCATGGCTTGCAAGCAAACATTGGTATAGATTTCGACTTTGGCACAGTGGTCAAACGGTGTTTTATGCTTCCGGCCAACGTATCAGACCGGGACTACGGCCATCATTTGTTGTTATCGCTGCCTGGCAGATCTGCCCTTCTTCGTTTTGACTCGGACTTTTCCTCGACCTTTGACGTGGATCCCGACGAAACGCCATACGACATATCTTCACCGACTCTGATGGCAAGACGTATCTCCGAGGAAACCATCGTTCAGGTCACCGAAAGTGGTATTGTGTTCATCAATTCCTCCACGAGGTGAGTCATGTGCGAATGTTGAATTATGTCTTACTTTCAATGGGCACGGAACCTTACAGTCAGACAGCAACCAGTTTTCCTTCTCTTCTTTAGGGGTTGGAAGTGCGGCTGTCACAGATGCTACGATCCAACGGAACCAGCTGGCAATCACGTCTCATTCGGCGAACGACTTTGAGCTGCACATCATCCTGCTTGATGGTTCCCGCCTTGAGGCAAGGCATCTGCATAAGGAAACTTTCGAGGGAGAGGTGACGTGTCTCGGGCTCTGTGACATTGGGGGCAAAACCCACGCTGTTGCATGTCTATGGTGGAACAGCGCCGTCTACCTGGACTTGTACAGCGTCCAGGATAAGGAGCACGTGAAACTCATCCCTATTCAATCTTGTGAGTATGCCAGTTTCCTACACATCGCAGAACATATTCAAGGGAAAATAAAGATACAGGAGTTTCCAAGACAGGGATCAGGAACTGTCGGTTTCTTCCTATACCTCTGCTTGATACACATTCTCCTCCGATCTTCATTATCACGATGCCTAGATGCGGGTCATATTACTTCCCGGCACACTCCTTCCTTCTTACTGATACTTCTGCTTGGTATCCTGATTCTGTAATGACTAACATGTCCGTCAAGTTGCCGAAGATCTTTCGCCAGACGATCCCCAGAGGAGTCTGTTAGACAATATGGAACCTTTCACAAGCATCGTGCCAATTTTACATGGCGCTGGAAACAATGTTCTTGTTTCTGGAAGCCGCGATGGGGCCTTGATGACGCTCAGCCTTGGTGATAATTACGAAGTCGCGTCGGTGTCTCTAGAAAAGGTGGGCTCTGTGCCAGCCTACGTATACGCAGCGTTTGACGGATCGGCATTTGTCTGCTGCGACTCGAGCTTCACGCTGATTAGCGACTTCCAAGGAGGCAAGCGAGGATTTGCCAAGAAACAAAATGTGTGGACTGTGGATGCGAACGACAGCAGCAAAGTCGCTCCGAGCTTTACTTCTGTTGTGGTTCTTCAAGAGAGTCTGTCTGGCAATGTCGCCAACACGCCGCTGCTTCTTCTCGCGACTGACCATGTTTTGCTTTCCGAGTTGCAACCAGATGTGGGACCTGTCCAACGGCATATACCCTTGGGCATGACGCCCCAGAAACTGCTTTACTCGCACGTCCTGAAATGTCTGGTCGTGGGCGCAAGAACACTTGATGACAGGCCCACTTTGAGGTTTATTGACCCTGACACTGGAGATGATCTCTCACTTCCTTTGCACGGCCAAACGAAGGAGCCCATTGATTTCATAAACGGGCTAGGGAAGTCTGGAGACCGGGTTCTCTGCCTAGATGAGTGGCATGTTGAGTCGAAGAACAAGAACTTCTACTTCATTCTCGTTGCAACGAATGGAGGTCCCGGGGATGGCGGGAGGGTTTTGATCGTTTCCACACAACTAGAAAGGCCAGCACAAGGTGAGAGCCGTGGAAGAATATCATTCTGGACTCGGCACAGGATAAAAGGGCCGAAGGAGCCTGTGTACGCTGTCACCGCCGCAGGTCGCAAGATCCAGGCCGCCTTCCACTCGGAGCTCGTCTACTACAGATTAGACGACGGAGAAAAGAAACTTACACAGGTGTCCACGACCCGGCTTGACTCAGAGGCCTGGAGGCTGAGCATCCTCCCCAACTCGCCGCACACCCTGGCACTGACGAGGCGGGAATCTCTGTGGGTACTTGAAGAGGCTGAAAACGATACCGACGGCTTCGAAGTGCGTCATGTCAACCCACACACGCCACTCAGCTTAGACATGCTCGAGGTGGCCGGAGGTTGGTCCTCGCCGCCTATAACCGCGATGCCATCGGAGCCGGAGCCGTCGATCATCCTTGTCGCCGACCAGGAATGTGGCCTCAACGGGCTCTGGATACCCTGGGACTCGCCCGACAAGGACTGCGATGTGCTATTTGAGACGGATCTCCCGTCCACGGTGCGGCGGCTCCGACTGGGGCGGACGCTACCGCCGTGGGCGCGCGACGCGCGAGGTCGCAACAAGAGGTTCGGGCTGCTGCCAGCGTCTGTCAACGACGCCGAGGTGCTAGGGATGGGCATTGACGGGTCGCTGCAGCACTTCACGCTACTGGACCTCGGGGCGTGGCGGTTCCTGCGGTTCCTACAGAACGTGTCGGAGACGTCGGCGGAGCTGTACCCGTTCACGTACATGCAGTTCGAGTCGCTCGAGGACGAGGCGGCGTTCGACCCGCGGCCGTCGACGGACCGCGACACGCTCGAGCGGCAGGTCGACGGGGACCTGATGCGGCGCATCCTGGACCGGCGGGCGCTCGAGGGCCTCGTCTGGACCAAGCACGAGTGGGTCGGCTACTTCATGGAGTTTCTCGACGGCGTGGACGGCGGGAAGTGGACGAGGTTCGAGGGCGTGCTGGATGAGGAGGAGAGGAGCAGGGCGTACTTCCGGCTGGCTTATGAGATACTAGAGTATTTCCTCGTTCCGATCATTTGAGACGATGGACTGGGGGCCGGGGCGGGGGGGGGGGCAGGCCTTGTTGCATTGGTTGCTACCGGACTCATAGATGTTGGGGGATCTGGAGGCGGCTACCTGCTGCTCAATGGTACTTTCTTCTTGTAGACTGTGCACCTGGCTTATCTCGCACTGAACTACTCTTGTTCTAATGATTCAGGGGAAGGGGGGGAAGCATTCGTTCCTGCTTCTGTGTCGATAAGTGTCTATCCGGCTCAGGCTGTGCAATGTAATGTTGCGCCAACCACCCATCCTGTGAGGAACGTTGAAATGAACGGATGCCATTATTCATTTATTAGATTGGAAGGCTAAGAGGGCTCTCACGGCTTAGGCGAGGGCACAGGCGCGTACAGAGGCCGTGAGCCCTGATATCTATCTCCGATTCAGTCAATCTTGGGGGAAGGAGGGAGCCAAGCCCTCTCAGGAGATTAGCACAGTCTCATTCTTTAGATGTCAGGCCTCCGAAAAGAAGCAACAGTCTTAGACCCGGACAGTATACGGTCATTTGTTTCTAATATAAGTGTTGAAGTGTCTTGCTTCCCGTCGTCGCACATAAGCGTTCAGACCTCATGAACATCGATCGGGCGGGACCAATGCATTCTACCTCCAGACCTTCGATCCTTGGGAATGATCTTGAGTCGAACTTGAGATCTGAATACGTATACTTGGCCACAAGGTATTGACATGAAGAATTCCTAGACTAGAACTCTGAGAGTGCAAGCATTCTGTGCTTGACCAGCCTGTATGCATGGGGGTGAAGACATGGTGTCTGGTATGAGCGTAGGCTGTGCGCCTTGGACAAGGTAGTCAGGTAATTCCCCAGGTCGAATTTGCCATGGGTCATTCTGTCCTATCAACCTGCAGTCAACTCAAAGAGGATATGATGCTATGTGTATATGCATGGACCTGTCTTCAGTCACCGAACGGTGCATGGAAGATGAAGGACAGGCCCGTGTGGACTTGGCAGTCTTATTCCCGTTGGGTGTTAGTCAAGGAGGACTAAGACGGGCCAGGCCAAGCAATCCCGAGACTTATTGTTACTAATATTCGACACAACAACCTGTAATAAATCATACCTGTCGCTTTTCTTGTCGAATTAAATCTGGGGCAATTAGTGTTGCCAACATGCGGTGGCCTCTTTCTCATGGCTTGGAAGGTGGGCTGGAGCTGTGAAGTCATCGTGGTGGGGCATCCCAGAAAGATTCTGCGATAGAGGGCAGGATGGCGGGATGGCGGGGTGATTGATACCCAGATAACAACAACTCCGAGGCGTGCACAGATTGATTGATAAGCCCACACGGGCTCGTGGGCACTGGCACTGGCACTGGCACTGGCACTGGCACTGGCACTGGCACTGACACAACCAGGCAGCCAGGACAGGACACAGGACAGCCACGATGGTGATGCTACTACTTTTACTGCATGGATAGGATATTGGATCCACTTCAGGCTGGGGCGAATGGTGGCTGATGGACCAAGATGTTTGCGGTCTGAACAATGGAAGACAAGGCTGTCAGACTTGCCCAGAACGGTGGTGGCCCTTAATGGTTGGGCAGTGGGAGCGTGCATGTGTGTGGCATGTGTGCATGTGTGCATGCGTTGTAAGAGAGTGTTGCAGCTGGAAAGCTGGAAAGCTGGAATTGGATGGATGCAAGAATACTGTACCCAGTCGGTTCGAGAAACTTCTGGCGCCCACTTGCCCATTCGTTCCGCCCCCTTGACCTCACCCCTGTGGCGTGGGAATAACGTCTTTTCAAGGCTTAGCTCCAAGGATCTGCCAGGTCTGCCAGGTCTGCCAGCTACGCAACCGAAAGCTGGGCAGGGCAGAGCGCGGCAACCACAGCAGTTTTTTTCCTCGCTGACGACTAGTGTGTCCCTTCCATCGCAGCAGCCGCCCGGCCATATCCAACGACAGACTTTCTATTCTCTCTGCACACCCACCACTCGCACACCAGGCGAACCTGCAACACCACGCATACCCTTTTTCCCTTCACCACAACACCATCTCAGATCTGCTTGACCAGCACTTCGGGATATTTACGACCACACTTTCCCCTTTGCCTGTGAGCAGCCCCGATCCCATCGCCAACCAACCAGTCAACCGTTATTGATACCAGTCTCCGTCCAGTTTACTCACGATCCTCCTACCCCACCAACCCAACCCAACAAACCGCCAGAATGAGTGTTGTCGGTAAGTTGTCGCACCCATGTTCCCCTTCCTTTCCCTGCTACTTGTCTCGGTGATCTAGATGCTGATGTGTTTGCTCCGTCACAGGCATTGATTTCGGAACCGTCAACACGGTCATCGCCGTCGCCAGAAATCGAGGTGTCGATGTTGTATGTCCATCCCCCACCCTCCCCCTTCTCGATCTTCAACTTCCACGCCGCATACACGCCAGAGGAAAAAGCCCTGCGCCTCTACGACGACATGCATGCTGACCATAGAAACCGTGACAGATCTCAAATGAGGTCTCCAACCGAGCGACACCGTAAGTGCCCCACCCCCAGCCCATGCGGCGGCCTTGCCGCCTCTCGATTCATCCTGCAAAATCCATGAGGCTAAACCCTTCTTTCAATAGATCGCTGGTAGGCTTTGGCCCCAAGTCACGATACCTCGGCGAGACCGCCAAAACACAAGAGATCTCAAACCTCAAGAACACTGTTAGCTCGCTGAAGCGCCTTGCCGGCCGCTCCCTCTCCGACCCCGATGTCCAGCTTGAGCAGCAGTACATCTCCGCGCCCCTGGTTGATATCGACGGCCAGGTCGGCGCCGAGGTCAACTACCGCGGCCAAAAGGAGAAGTTCACCGCCACACAACTTACTGCCATGTTCCTCAGCAAGATCAAATCAACAACATCCGCCGAGCTCAAACTCCCCGTCTCTGACGTCGTCCTCAGCGTGCCTGCCTGGTTCACCGATATCCAGCGCCGCGCCCTGATAGACGCCGCTGAGGTCGCTGGCCTCAAGCTTCTGCGCCTCATGAACGACACCACCGCCGCCGCTCTCGGTTACGGTATCACCAAGCTCGACCTGCCTTCGGCCGAGGAGAAGCCGCGTCGTGTCGCGTTTGTCGACGTCGGCGCAAGCAACTACACCTGCTCCATTGTCGAGTTCAAGAAGGGCGAGCTGGTCGTCAAGGCCACCGCCTGGGACCGCCACTATGGTGGCAGGAACTTCGACAAGGCCCTGGTCGACCACCTGGCCAAGGAGTTCTCCGCCAAGTACAAGATTGACATCTTCTCTAACCCCCGCGCCATCGCACGTGTCACTGCCGCCGCCGAGAAGACCAAGAAGATTCTGTCAGCGAACCAACAGGCCCCTGTCAACATCGAGTCCCTCATGAACGATGTCGATGTCGCCGCCATGGTCACCCGACAAGAATTCGAGGCTCTCATCGAGCCCGTGCTCACCAAGACCACCGCCCCGCTGGAGCAGGCTCTGGCTGATGCCAAGCTTACCAAGGACGACATCGATGTTATCGAGGTTGTCGGTGGTGGTTCTCGTGTGCCTGCCGTCAAGGACCGCATTCAGGCCTTCTTTGGCAAGACCCTGTCGTTCACCCTCAACGCCGATGAAGCCGCTGCTCGAGGCTGCGCCTTCAGCTGTGCCATTCTCTCCCCAGTCTTCAGGGTTCGTGACTTCTCCGTCCAGGACGTCATTCCCTACCCTATCGAGTTTGCTTGGGAGAAGGCTGCCGACATTCCTGATGAGGACACGAGCCTGGTCGTCTTTAACAAGGGCGGCGTTCAGCCCTCTACCAAGATCCTGACCTTCTACCGGAAGCAGGCCTTTGACCTCGAGGCCCGTTACGTCAAGCCCGATGATCTTCCAGGCAAGATCAACCCATGGATCGGTCGCTTCTCGGTCAAGGGCGTTAAGGCCGCCGGTGGCCCTGATGACTTCATGATCTGCAAGCTGAAGGCCCGTGTCAACATCCACGGCGTTTTGAACGTGGAGAGTGGTTACTACGTCGAGGACCAGGAGGTCGAGGAGCCTATCCCTGAGGAGGACCCCAAGAAGGAGGATGGCGAGAAGAAGGACCCAGATGTGAGTACTCCAACAGTTGATCATTTCCATACGTCGTCGCGCGCAAAGCGTAAATCGTCAAGCTCTCCACCAATTGAGAATGAGGCGACCCCAATGAATCGCAAGCGGACCTGCCCCGAGAACGGTAACGGCGAAGCTGCGTCGATCTCATCAGACTTGCAGCAAGACGAGGTTCACGAGCTAACCAAATCAAAGGCCATGGAGACAGACAACAAGGAGGAGAAGCCCAAGACACGCAAGGTTAAGAAGCAGGTGCGCAAGGGAGATCTGCCTATCGTCACTGGCAACCTGTCCCTTGACGAGACCGCCAAGAACAACCTGACCGAGAAGGAGTATTCCATGGTCATGGAGGACAAGCTGGTTGCCGACACCGAGGAGAAGAAGAACGAGCTCGAGACCTTCATCTACGAGCTGCGCAACAAGCTCGATGAGCAATACGCTGAGCACGCCAGCGAGGAGGAGAAGGAGAAGATCAAGGCCAAGCTGGAGGCTTCTGAGGTAAGTTTCCGATCCGGCGAGCCCCCTTGGGATTCAAAACAACGACTAACAGCTCATGTAGGACTGGCTGTACGAGGATGGTGAGGACACCACCAAGGCTGTCTACGTCGCCAAGATTGATGAGATCCGCGCCATGGCTGGTCCCATCGTGCAGCGACATTTCGAGAAGGTCGAGGCCGAACGCCAAGCAGTGCAGGCTAAGGTTGACGCCGAGAAGGCAGCCAAGAAGGCAGCCGAGGAGCAGGCGCGCAAGCAGACCGAGGCCCAGAAGCCTGCGCAGGAGGGCGCAAACGGCAAGGACGCCGAGATGACCGACGCAGACGCCGCCCCCAAGGCCGAGGTTGAGGAGTCTGAGGACCCGAAATAGAGTCTCGGCCAAAGCGCTGACTCTCCCATCGAGCTGGATTGAAGGGAATGGTTTGAGGCATGCGGAGGCTGCTTCCACGTCCAAAGAAAGAAATAAAGGCAGGATAAAGAACACAGAGGCTGTGGATTTCCCATAGATCGGCTCAAGACAGTCAAATTTGTGGGCGGGCTTGGCTGGCTCCTGTGTGTATTTGGGGGCTCCCTCCCCTTTCCTCAGACAGGTGAAGGGGTCGTGGTAGCTGGGGGAACAAAGAAGAGAGAGTGCTTCTTGGGTGGTTGTGCACAGAGTAATTTGACATTGGGTGGGAAAGAAAGGAAATGCTATAGACGGGAAAAAACGGGACACCCACATGTTGTTTTTCTCTCTGTCTGTTTTTGGCCCTACTACTCTTTATGAATGATGTGCAGTTTAGATTAGCCTAGATGTGACAATGGACATGAACTCTTTCTATCTCTCTCTTGTTCATTTTATGTCTGCTGGTCTACATGCGTATCAACCATCTAGGATGGCCTAATCCAAGATCACAACAAGTATCACGAAGCACACGGTCTGCAAGTCACCATTACAGACAATCAATCTTGAGGAGTACACGTTGGGCCATCGCATACGCAGGGTGGAGGAATGAATAAGTAATGAAGATGCGTTCTTGGAAGCCCAAACCCCCGAATAACTAATGCAACTAAGATACACCTTTTTCGTCTGTTTTCCATGCCCAACCCCCTCTCATACAACTTCACGCGATGTATGTATAATGTATATACTCAAACTTTCACCGCTGCTCTGCGAAAAGCTATTTTTCATTGCCGCTGTTTTGTGTATCAAACTTTTTTGGACCCCCCTCGCTGTCTCCCCGTCTCTCATGTCTCCCAAATGCTTCTCTAATCCGCTAATCCGTTGCCCCGAACCCGTCCCCCCATCACAGTTCGACAGGTTCTTGGTCTGGGTCTACACGTAGATGGTCATACGCAAAGGTGCCAGGGCTCCCCTGCGGGGAGAACCCGATCACAGTCAGCCTTCCCTGGGCGATGTCATCAGTCAGATACTTGCGGTCTGCGGGAGTATTGAGGACTTCGTCAAGCACGTCCATGTCGTCACCCGTCTAGGGGATGTCGAACAGAGGCTTGAGCTTGACGATCAGCTGCCACTCGTCGTTGGAGACGTCCTTGCGGTAGAACTCCTTGAGGCAGTCGATGGACGCCCGCGAGATTGCGCTGTACAGCGTGTCCCCTTCCTCGAGCTGCCGCCCGTATGTTGGCTGGTGCCCGCCCATCTCGATCTTGACGGCCACAGAGGGCTGGCCCTTCTTACAGACTGGGATTTGCTTGTGTTCTCTCTCGATTGATGTGCTATACATTTCGTTAGTTGAGCTCATGTAACGTCTGCCTCGCCGGGACAGTGCAATAGGCAATGTATAGTTGAGGAGGGAGGAACTTACACTCTGCCCATGGCAATGATCTCCTTCACACCAGTAGTAGGATTGTGTTTCACAGCCGAGATAGGCGTGTTGACCTTCAGCTGGCCCTCTACCACATCGACACCAACGACGATAGGGCCTGTCTTGTTGAAGACTGCCACAGGCTTGAGCACACAGGGGAAGACAGCCAGCATCTTGGAATCCTCCTTCTTCTTCTCAAGCAGGTCGTCCATGTGTTTCGTGAACTGGTCGAAGAGGTGGTAGATGATGTCGGCTGTGAAAATCTTGACGCCATTCTCATCCGCATATGATTGGGCATCCTTCTCTACCTTGACGTCGAAGCAGAGCATGACCGCGTGGTCGGGCGACTTCTCCAGCATGATACCACACTGCATGATATCTCGCTTGGAGACGGGGCCGATGCCGACATTGGCCACGGGGATCTTGCAGTCCTTGAGGAAGTCCAGCAGAGCCTCGAGCGAACCCAGGGTGGACGCCTGGACAGACACACCACGGCCAGTCCTCTCGACACGGCTGAACAAGGTCTCGAGATCGCTCTCGAGCTCGTCCTCAATGTCATCCTCGTCATCGTCGGGTCCTGCGACCAACAGACGAGAGCCAGCAATGGCCTTCTCTAATCCAGGTGCGACGATCTTGACACCGAGCGCGGCCTTGACCTCTTTGTTGTGCACGTACTGTGACTTGAGACGAAGTTCCTTGAGCTTCTCTGGTGTAAGCAGGGCTCGGACGTTCGTCTTGATGACGCCTTCCGTGCCACACAATAGGATCCTATCGCCTTCCCGCATGATACCGTTGGAAAGGATGACATCGATTGTCATACCGAAACCTTCGATCTGCTTGACTTCCAGGACGGTGGCTTGCACCTCGGAGAGGTACATGAGCGAGCCCACCATCCTCTCTTGGGTGAGCTGCAGAATCAGCTTGAGCATGTCAGGGATACCCTCGCCAGTATGGGCTGATGTGGGAATGAGCGAGACGTATTTGGACATCTGCTTGTTCTCGTAGAAGACCTCAGCGTTGAAGCCTTGCTCGGCGAAAGCAATCTTGGTCTGGTCCAACCGGTTCTTGAACTCGTTCTGCACAGCCTTGCCCTGGAGTGCCAGACTCTCTTGGAAACCGTTGTTGTCAATCTTCTTCCAGCCGTACAGACGATCGATCTTGTTGAGTGCCACCACGAATGGTGTCTTCCGCTCACGGAGCATGCGCATGGACTCGAGAGTCTGTGGCTCCAGGCCGTGCATAATATCGACAACCAAGATTGCAATGTTGCAGAGGGAGGAACCTCTTGAACGCAGATTGGAGAAGGACTCGTGACCAGGCGTGTCGATGACCAGGAGACCAGGGACCTTGAACTCGAACTTGCCATCCTGGTTGACGACTTGCGTCTTCTGCTTGATAGCATCGACTGGGAAGTAGGTAGCACCAATTTGCTGAGTGATACCACCTGCTTCGCCCTCCTGGACGTTGGTTTGACGGATCTTGTCAAGCAGCTTGGTTTTTCCGGTGTCGACGTGTCCGAGAATACAGCAAATGGGAGATCGGAGGTTGTCTTTCGATCGGGCGGCCAGAGCAGCCTGGTGGACCTTTTCACGTCTAGCCAAGGCTTCCCTCCTCCTCTGCGCCTCCAGATCTTCATCATCTGACGACTCTTCTTCCGAGGACGACTCCTCTTCCTTAGCCGCGGGCTCTTCGGCCTTTGGTCTTGAAGGCAGAGTCTTCTTCTCTGCCTCTTCATCAGAGTCTGCGTCCCAGCTGTCTTTGGGTTCGTTGTCCGATGCCGCTGCGGCCTCCCAGTCGTCCTCGATCTCTTCTTCTTTCGCCGCGGCAGCTTTTGCGGCAGCTTCAGCCTCCGCCTTCTCACGGGCAGCACGCTCCTCTTCCTCCTTCTTCTTGGCAGCCTCTTCGGCCTGTTTTCTTGCTCGCTCAGCGGCTTCTGCGAGCGCTTTCTCCTCGTCGATCTGCCCGTAAATCAGTGACTGAACTAGACCAGATACGTAAAGGTTGAGGTACTCACCTTGTCTTGCTTCTTTCCCTTGCCCTTCTTCTCAAACTTAGGCTTCTCTTTCTTAGCCGACTCGCCATCAGCCAGACCGCCAACCTGGATGCCAGCAGCCAGCATCTGCTGAAGCTTGCGCTCATTACGGGCCTTTTCTTCCTTCTGGGCCTTGGTCATGTATTTGCCATCCTTCTTAAGCTGCTCAATTCTCTCCTTCTCCTTCTGCTTCTTACGAGCCTTTTCCTCTTCCTTGCGCTTAGCTTCCTCTTCGGCAAGGCGCTCCTCTTCCTCTAGCCGGGCTCGTTCCTCGGCGTCGGCCTGGGCCTTGGCCTCCTCCCGCTTGCGAAGCTCTTCTTGCTGCTTCTGGAGGAGTTGGAGGTGTTTGGGGAGCTTCTTGCCGCCCTTTCCGGCGTCTGGTGCTGGAACAGCCGCAGCAGGCTCGTCTTGCTTCTCGGCGGCTTTGGCGGGCTCGGCTTTCGCGGGTGCCGGTGTTGTTGTCTTCTTCTTTGCGGCCTGTTTGTGTAGAGATTGTAAGCTTCATTGTCATAGCAGGATGCTTGTGGTTGCCAAAGGACATACGTTCTCCTTCTTCCTCTGCTTCTCACGCTCCTTCTTAAGTTTCTCCTTCTCGGCCTTGGTGAGGACCCTGCCAGACGCGTCCGCTTCGTCATCGTCGCCCTTAGCAGCTGGTGCCGGCTTGGCTTGTTGCTTGCCCTTTCCACCTTTGCCCTTCTTTTCGGGAAGGGCGAACTCGTCCTCGATGTTGGCCTCTGCTGGTGCGGCGGTCGGCTCAGCGGGCTCGGCTGGTTCGGCGCCTGGTGCGTCCTCGCCTTCCAGCTCAGGGAGGCCCTTCTTCTTGCGTCTCTCCTTGTTCTTGCGCATCAGACCCATGAGACCTCCTGCGGCAGGAGCATCCTCTTCGGCGCCGGCGGCATCACCGTTCTCCGGGGCTGGGGCACCGTCTCCGTTTGCTGGGGCGATGGACTCGCCCAGCTCGGCCTCCCAGTCGTCCTGGCCCTTCTTGTTACCCTTCTTCTTGGGTGCCATTTTGCAAATTACCAAGACTGATTAAATTGAAGGTGTAGATGTCTTTCTGTGCTAGGGCTATTGCTGCAGGACGAGTCACCGTGGTTGGACCAGCCTGGGAAAGGACAATAAAATGATTGGAGTTGTGCGGGTCGGTGATGGGTTGAGACGTAGCAGACAAAAGTTGCTTGGTGCACTGCAGCGGGCGAGGTCAAAGTGTGGGGTAATATTTTCGCAGGGCAGCTCCAAGCTGTGGCAAAGCAGTCGCTGCGTCTCATCATACAGTAGTCCCCCTTCCGGTCTTGTCATCTGCTAACTAACCATGGGAAACCACCACCTCTCGGATTTAACGCAACGACTGCAGAAGTAGTGTTGACTCACCTCTGAGGAACTCCGCCACAGAGGATCGGAGATCGATTTCCTTCTTTTTGGTAAATTTTGGTCACTTAGCATCTGCAAATGAGAGCATCTGTCACTTAACTCAAGGGCAATCATTCACTTCAGAATGGCCACAGAAACACCTGCAAAGAGAGAGTTGCTAATCTATTGGCAAACGCACAGTGTGTTTAGATGGGTGTTGTTTGATTTGCCTCCCGTTTGGTGCTCTGGTCTTGAACTCTAAAACATCTCTGGACCCAGACTGTTGGGTGCACACACTTTTTCTGAACCATGAAGTGAACTGACTAGCTCTTAAATTGTCAAGGCTGTTGGCGAAATGCAATTACGCTTGGATGATAGAAAGATGTCTGATCAGGTACATATCAGTCTACTGGATGTAGCATATATGCGACCTTGACAATTTTCTTGAAAATGGCTTCCACCTACATGACCTCCTGGGTAGGTGTTCATAAGTGATACTTCTGACAAATGATTTCTCTCCAATGTGGCAGTTGGTGTTGTCTTCAACAAGCTTGTGGCATACATACAAGATTCAAGAGGCTTCCCAGATGAATTTTCCGAGTCTATCATCCAAGGTCTATTGTGGCTAAAATCACCGTCTACTCACGCCAGTAATCCAACGCTGATATCACGGACAGCCTCCAGTGTTCTCGCATCAGCCTAGGATCTACTCCCGTCCACGATGGCTTGACGAGCCCGTCTCGTCTTCCTCCAGCTCAGTGTCATCCTCGAATGGTACCCTCACAAAAGCCTCGCTCGCCAGCGGACTTCTCCCCCTCTCCCGCCTTCTACCGCCAGCATGAGGCACCATGAGCCGGTCTCCGCCAACGTCTCGGTACCCCTCCGCGAACCCGACCTGCGCCCGCATGGGCGCACTGCCTCCCTCTCCCGAACCACTGACCGGTGTGCCCGGTAGCGTCTCTGCGTAGCCAGTCTCGGCGGCGCCAGCGTGGTCGTACATGTGGCGGACCTGGGACGCCTGCGAGTGCGACAGCCGGTTGATTTGGCTCGCGTGGGCCATCTCGTACTTTCGGCTGTCTTCCTCGTTCATGACGACGATGTAGGCGTCGTTCTGATCCTCCACCTCTGGCGGCGGCGACCCGCGGGGCATGTACGCCGCAGAGGTCGGATCGTCCCTATGTGAGAACCCGTGAGCGTCGCTACTAAGCGTGCCCTTGCCCTTGGTCATGTCTGTGTTGTTAGACAAGGTGCTCTCCAAAGACGACTCCCGCATCTCGATATCGTCCCGCCTAGCCTGCTTCGCAGTGGCAATAACAGCCCTCCTCCTGGGCCTGGCGTCCCCGGCCGACAAGTCGGTGCTCCCGCTCGACTCAGTCCCGGGGTCGGGGTACCTATAGACCCCGCCCTCGGTCCTCAGCGGCGCGGCGAACAGGCCCTCGACCTGCGGCGGCGGCTGCAGCACGCTCCTCTGCCGGCCCAGGGCGCCATCCATCCTGGCCCTCCTTCTCCTCCGGCTCGCGGCCCGGCTCAGACTGCCCGCCCTGAGCGCCTCCTGCTCCTCCTCCTGCGCCAACACGGCCGGGATGAACGTCTCGGGCTTGATGTTGAGGTCGTCGCCTGTCTGCTCGGCGTGCTCGATCGCCTCCTGCACCGTCGTGTTCTTGTCGGCCGCCCCGGCGTCCGCCCGCGGGCCTCCCCACGTGCGCTGCCCGGCCGTGAAAATGCCGTACACCATGTAGTACCAGTTGAAGAAAGGATTGAGAACGAACATTATGGGATACAGCCAGATCTTGTAGCGCCGCAGCTTGGCGCCGAAGTAGATCATCATGAGCCAGTTGAGCCCGAGCGAGATGGCGATGAAGCCCACAGGTAGGTCGGCGAGGCTCTTCTCGGTCGACAGCAGCGCCAGCACCATGACGAAGAAGAGCAGCGCCGTCGTGCGGATCGTGTTCTGGCAGAAGCGGTACAGCACCAGCACCGGGTACCGCCGCCACAGCCGCCAGTCGGTCAGCATGCACGCCTCGTTGGTGATGAAGCCCAGGAACCACCGCCGCCTCTGTTTCACCAGCGACGCGTACGTCTGCACCGCCTCGGTCTTGCAGAACGCCGACGTGCACATCTGGATCTGGTACCGCCGCTTGGCCCCGATCATGAAGAGGTGCGTCAGGTACCGGTCCTCGCCCAGGTGGTCCTTGGCGAAGTCGAACAGGTCCTCGCAGTGCTCCGCCTTGCCCGCGAAGTAGTACTTAGCCATGCGCCGGAACGCGCTGAACCGCAGCATCGTCAGTGCCCCCGGGAGGCACGTCACCGAGCCGCAGCCCGACTCGACCGAGCGCTCAAACAGCTGTCCGTGGATGTACTCCATGTCCTGCAGGAGCGTGATGATGCTGTGCTTCTTGGTTGTAGAGGTAATAACTCCAGTCATGGCGAGCATGTTGCGCTGGTTCCCCGGGCTGAACTCCATGTCGTAGAGAAAATTCTGCAGGCACATCCTGTCCAATATGCAGTCGGAGTCAATGAAGAGGATGAAAAGGTTGTCGTTCATCTTGAGGTACTCGGAGTAAACTCTGTCGATCAGCTTGTAGGTCGCCTTTTGGCAGGTTCGCTTGCCACCATGGGGAAACCGCGAGACTGTGATCCGAGCATCCTTATAGGCGACATCGATGCTTTGGGGATAGGTCTCAAGCGTCAAAGGCACACCAAGCTTTTCGATACAAGTCAGGTAAAGTTCGTCTTCTTGGTCGCCATCGAATGATAGGAACACGTGGATACATGATGGCGGATAATCACAGTCAACCACAGAGTTGATGGCCTTTATGAGGACGTCGGGCTCCTCCTTATAGCACGGCATGACAATGACGACCTTGGGAGCAGAGTCTTCGTCCAGGAGTTGCTTGATGCGCTTCGTCCGCCCAAGTTGGTGAGTGACAAGCTGATAGACGCAGAATAGCCACGGCACTGTCAGCAGGCCCGCGAAGGACCAGAAAGCGAACCACATGAGAAAGTCGACCATTTCTCCCGGCCAGTACCTGACTATCTGACTTGGGAGTGGCAGGGTGACCACCATGATGGGCAAGAAAATAAGCCTGTGCGATACGTGGTCAGCTATTTTCTAAAGGGATTGTCTAGAGTCTGGTGTATACCTCAGTAGCAGGAAAGCGACGGCAATTACAACTGCGAGGACATTTACGGTCCAGTGTTCAGACTTCCTGAAGACCTTCCAGAGACAGTACAGAAACGCACCGATCCACAGGAACCATTCCAAAAGCGCGGCCAGCATGACCAGGCCTACTATAGCTGTATAGACAATCTAGGATGCAATAATTAGCTATTGGCGCTTGTCGCGGAGTCAGCCCGCCCTCGGTGCCGGAGAGCAAGGTTCAAGCGGTATATTAGACATACGTCTTTGACAGCCCATGATGTAGCCATGTTAAAGGGCGTTCAGAGCGAGATGCTCAGCCTCGACCGAAAAAAATAGCTTTCTTGACTCGGACAGGCAGTTCTTAATTAGAGCCAGGATTTTGGGAGCGAGGTGACTGTCGCAGGGGCTACTAGGGCCAGAGAAAGTTGGTTGCTTCACTCATGTAATGCCAGGCATGTCTCTTGAAATGTCTGGCGCCGTAACCTGAGGATGTAATGCAGGTGAAAGGGGTATTATCTTCGGGTTCTTGCAGTAGTGGGAAGGGCTGCTTGACGTTGTCCAGCAGGGTATTTCGTGGTCCTATCCGGGCCGGGTCGGGAAGCAGTGAATTCGGAGAGTCGAGATATCTCACTCTCGCGATCCGATACGTTCGATTCTCAGGAAGTCAAAGTAAAGGAGATACATCAGCGAGTCAGCGAGGGTTGAAATTCCGCAAACAATTTCTTCAGTCCAGGGAAGTTGAGAATCCCCAAGGAAAAAAGCAAGTACAGCCTGTACCTGTACCAGGGGCGGGTGGCTGCAGTCGGGCCCCGAAGCTGTGCTCCAGGACGTTCGTATAGACAGGCTGCTCTCGTCTGCCACCGCGCCCGTATGTCAAAGGCACAAACACAACCCGTTACTTTTGCAACGCCCCTTTGCTGCAAATGACGCTCCCCTAACGAACGGCGACCAAACGACTGGCCGGAAGGGTCGCACACCGGGCCGTTACCTGCCCCCGCCACGCGCGTGTTGGTGCCAGGTCTCCCGGGGCGGACCAACCTCGCCGTGAGCTGTGAGACACGCGCAGAGACAAAGGTGCATAGGTGGTGGATCGCTTCGATGCACCGCAAATCATAGGTGTGGCCCGAAGTGCAGATTGCTGCGTGTTTCGGATACAGCCGATCTTCTGTGCGGGTCTGTCAGTCGATCATTCTTTTCTTCGAGGGCCGGTCAACTCACCCTAGGGTCAGACCTTGGGACAAGAACATTGGCTGTGGTGAATCTTGATGCGTGTTTGTCTAGATGTCACAATCACACCTCGATTGACTGTGAAATTCTTGGCAGACTCTAGCTCGCCTTGAGCTTCCAGGCAACCGGGAGCACACATAGAGGGATTAGCAAAAAGAGAGAAGAATGAATCAGCAAGGAGAGACACAGATGGAGATCAACGTTGGCATTCGGCCAAAAAAAGCAGCGAGCCACGATGGCTTAACAACAAAGCGGCCAAGCCAAGAGCAACCATTCACCTGAACAGAGAGCGACAATGAAAAAGACAGGTGATCCATAGCAAAAACGACGGCAACATAGCTAGCAAGCCCCATGTGACGTGCCTACTCGCCGGCCCATCGTCGCGACAGCAACAGGCTTGGTGAGGGAGGGTCACGCCCATGGTGGTGAAGGCTCCAAACCTTGGTAGCTCCACACCTTAGGAGGTTGTAGTGCCGGTGCGATCGAGGGGACGACCCTGCACGTCACCGGCCTCGCGCGGGATCAGAGTCGGGGCTCACGCACCGAAAAGGAGAGGCTTGTTGGGAGTTGAAGCGAGGAGGGATGGAGGTAAGGTTGCAGAATGGTGACAGCCCAGAATTAAACCCGCATCCAACCTCGTATTTGTCGCTGTGGAGATGCATTCTGCCATCTTCTGGGTGGTGGGCAGCTCCTTCGCCTGACCAATTCCATCCATCCAACCAAGGCGGCGTGTCGTTCACCTTCATCTATTGGAGAACCGCAGCACCCACACAAGCAGACAACAGTATTCGCCATCAACCATGAGCCTCATCCCCGTAGCGTAGGCAGCGTAACCCCAAATGCACGGTAGCCGGGAGCAAGGAACCACTATGCAGGCCAAGCCTGTCGTACATACAGCGAACTACTCAAGATCCCCCTCGCAGAAAGAGGTTCCAGGGCCATCCGGCATTGGGCACAAGAGGTGCCCGGCTGTGGGTTTGAAGTTCTCAGCAAAGGCCTCGGTTGGCATCTGTGTCCAAGTGGGACCAGCAGGCCTGTTTACTACTTGGATTTCTTCACGCGGATTGTTCAGACATCACCATGTTTAATGATACCAAAAAGATTGACTACTCTCCTACTATTCTCGCATACTTGTTTCTCTGAGCAAAGGCTCAATGTTTGGCCATCCTTCTCTGTGGGCGTCTTGACAGGTTAGACTGAGTGGCAGAATGCGAATTTCAGAATGGTGAAGGCCACTTCCTACTATCCCTCTGCTCCCTCAGCGTCAAGCACAGATAGCAACCTGGGAATTGCACGCGCGAATACTCGCGCCTTGCAGGTGTGCTCTCCGTCACCTATTAGCCGGACAGAGGGTCGGTTGTCTTGTGCCTCACGAGGTCAGCCAGGTCGGAACGTCACTGTGGAGGTCCTTGTCGCGACCGGCTTCGGAGGTCTTTGCCGTCGCGGTGTTCTTGCCTCTCCACTGCTCTCGCTCCTCCCCGGCTTTCATCTCTAACTTTTCGCTAACTCTCAACGCTTCGGTGCCACGACTGGACCATCTCATGTTTTCGCAGGTGTACTGAGATAGACTGGCGTGTTCGGTCATCTGCGAAGTCGCTGTCTCGGAAGGACTGATGCCCTCGAGTTGCTGATGACCTTACCAGGTGCTGGGTTCATGCCTTAATTTAGGCGGCCCGAGCCAGGACTGGCATCAGGGCGCGCAACTACTAATGGAAGCCCGTGCGTGTCCAAATAAATGGGTCATTCGCTAAGCTGGCTCGTTATTCACGTCATCAAGTCCTGTTAGAGAACGCCGTGAGACGGCCTTGTCAGTAAATCGATCGCTGAAGGATAAAATGACTGTCGGGGTAGGTAGCAAGGGGCTTTATCTCGTCCGATATATCTGTCCACGTCGATAGCGACGGAAAGGCCGAGAATGCGGAGTTGCCACGGTGAAATCGCCCATGGTGTCATGGGGTCTGACATCCTCATTCACAGGCCCCAGATCGGATTTTGACAGACGTTTCTGTTGTCGCCGTCTTTCGACGTGCCCAGAAACGCCGTCGAGCTCTGGGTTGCATTCGGAATTCTCATACCACTCAAAGTCCTCAAACTGGAGCTTCTTGATTCGCTGTCCGGGGTTTTTGTTGTTGGCTTTGTCGTAACGATGGTTGTGATGGTGGGTGATTGGCTTGCTGTCGGAACCTGGTGTGTAATAGCAATTAGGACTTGTCCTTACTAGGCACATGTTGCAGAAATGTCTTACCATCTTCACCGTCGTTCTCACGAAGATCATAGTTGAGCACAAGGTTCTTGATGCGCTGCTGTTCCTCACGCTCCGCCTGTTGCTGGCTTCTCATAGCAACCGCAAAGTGGGAGTCGGTGGGTAGCTCCAGCGTTCGAGTCTGGATAGAATTAGTCTTCATCCTTGTATTGGAGATCGAGGGACTGACCTGTTGCTTGTTTCCCTTCTTCGTGAGTACCGAAAACGCCATTTTCGGAGCCGGAGCCGGAGCCTCAGAGTCACCGTCGCCTTGGTCAGTGAGTATGGTAGTCTCACGAGGCCTCGATCGGACTGGCAGCGCCACGTCGAATACGGGACGTCTATCGAGCTTCCTGGATTCCAGACTATCGGACATCATCTTTGCGTATTCGCGTTCGAAGTCGGCATCTTCCTCGGGGTCGATTTCTTCTTCCTGGCGAGTTACGATGATGGCCTCGTCAACAGACTCTTCCGAAGTCGTCTGCCGATCCTCGTCCTGTTTGGCAAACTAAGAATTAGTAGGCATGTGGCTAGATACCGTGGGGTCCAAACTTGCCTCGTCGTCTTCCTCATCATCTTCATCATCAGATGCTACACCCTCGTCCTCGTCGACTTCAGCTTCATCATCGTCATCGACGTCTGCCATTTCATCTTCCGTTGATGATCCGCTGCTATCATCGTCTTGGTCTTGGGGTTCTGGTCCATCAAGCCCAGCGGCCTTCCGATCTTGGGCGAGCACCAGCTGGAATGCCTTGCTGGCCTCCTCCAGGTTCGATGCCAGCTTCCACTGCGGCCTGGTGCCAGTGTAGATGTCATGGACTAAGAATTCGATATCCATGGGCAGTGGATTCTTCGTGAAGATATAATACTGCCCGAGAATTAGTTGAATGCTTCCTCAATTACGAAAAGAATAACATACCTGAAGGAAGGAGAGGAAGTAGTCAAGCTTCTTGCCTGCAGGACCCTTATTGAAGTAGACACCCGAAGCCTCGAGAATGAAATAGATGAGACGGATACGGAAGAAGTCGTCAGGCAAATCAAAGGGATTCAAGCGTCCGGGAATTGGCGGGCCGCCGTGGCCAAAGGTCATGATCTTGTACATGACATCGAAGACAACGGCGTGTTCGACCAGACGGTAGTTGTAGATTTCCGCCAGGTATTTGACCTCCGCGATACGTCGCTGGTTGTTCTTGAAGTCGTTTTGTTCCAGACCCGCACTGACAGACTCGACAATGTTGTCGATCACATTTACAACAAACTCTGTGCGGTACCTGTAAAGGTGCGCGAGCAGAGAGGCCAGGAGGTGGATTGCACCATATTTGACCTTGCCGGGCTTCGAAAAGACCTTTTCCAGAGCCTGTCGGACCTAGATGAGTGTGTTAGAGTAAACCCAATTTTGTAGCTCGCGATGTCTGTGACTTACCTCTGCCTCTTCCCAGTGCATCCTGCGGATTTGTCTCGCGATCTTATCGAGAGTCCGCTTCGACAGGTCCACATAAATCAGCTTCCTGACGAAGAGCTCCAGAGGAGTTCGTTCCTTCTGTTGAATGGCGGGTCTCTCGGGTGGATCAACGTAGTATATGGCATTTTCAATCAGCATCCGCTCGTTGGGCCCGATATGCTGCACAGACTTCTTGCGCTGCAAGGTCTCTAAGAAGGAGGTCATGCGAGGCGCGGTTTCCGGGTTTCGCAGCAGGTATCGACCACAATTCTCAAGGAGGTCACAAATGATCTGGATGTTCATTTTGGAGAAATCATCCAAGCAGACCTTGAGACAGTGGAAGACGGTGTGCTCTGGGACAATGCCAAACTTGGTCAACTCCGCCAGGTAGCGGATGTTGCCGATCCGAACCTGAGCCAGGAACTCCTTGCTCTTGCGAGCTTGCAGGCTGCGAAATTCCGCATCTAGGTACTCGATGACACCCTTGGGAATGTCCGGCATGTATCGGCCCAGAGTGGCGATGAGCCTGGCCCAGCACGGGAGAAGATCACCGCGGTTCTTGGGGACGTCCGTGAGAGCCTTGACCAAGCGGTTCCGGGAAGCCTTCGAGTTGAGGAAGCAGAAGTCGATGGCCGTCTGGTCAATTGTCTCCTTGGTAGTAAGATCCGGTAGACGCAGAATAATGGCATCAACCTGGGCTCCGATGGTCTTGTTGGCAATCGCAGTGGTCTGATCGTCCAAAGAAGTATCGCCTGCCTTCAGAACTTCACCATTTTCAGCAGAATCAATCTTCTTGCCCACTTGCTCATCGCCTTCGGGCTTCTTCTTCTTGGCATCTTCGAGGAGAATTCCAGGCACTTTCCCCTTGAGATCAGCCAGGTTTTCGTAGAAGCGACGCTCATCCTCGTCCTGCCAGATCCCTGCTCCGTCGCCTTGCCCGCGCAAGTACTCGCCCGCCTTCACAATACCAATACCCCCATTCGCCAATGCATTCGAGGCCTCGTGGTCTTTCAGATCCGGCATGTCTAGCCCCAGAGTATCGGCGAGGATTTGGGCGTTGGCGACCAGGCGTTCCTGGGCCTTGAGTTGCTTGTCGAAATTCGCCTGTCGGTCTTCGAATACCTCCCCGGACTTAACGTATGCCTCGGCATTCTTGCGAGACTGGGAGAAGATGGCCTTCTGATCTCGAAGAAGGTGAGCCTTCACATCTTCGAAATAGCGCTTGAGGATGTTCTTGAAGCGCTCTTGTAACTCAGATGAAACCAGAGGCGGGTCATCACTCGATAGCTCGCCATCCTCATTCTCACCAGGGCCATCAGTGGTCTTGCCTGCAGCTTCTTCGTCCAAAGCTCTGCGACCTTCGGCGCCTGCTGTCTTCCTGACACCCAAGATATCCCAGGAGAAAGTCTTGACGAACGTGACAAGTAAGGGTAGGTTGGAATGATCACGGTCGTGCCCCAACAAGTCCTTCAAAACCTCCAGTGGGAAAGGTTCCGCGCCGCCTCCCTTGGTGTTCCGGGCTTTGAGCTCCGGGACCTTGCCAGAAGCATTCTTGACGGTGTCATCGGGAATAACATCGTCGAGGGTTTTCAGGACGCCCACGAGCCACAGCTCAGTGATGACACGGAGAAGGGCCTTCTGACGAAGCGGTCGTTGCTTCTCCTCCTTCTCTCGGACATCGGGAGGCAGTGTCTTCAGATAGCTCTTATCAAGGGTGGCGATGCCTCGGCCGAGCTGCCATGCAAGCTGTTGGGTGAACTCGTCTGGCCCAAAGCGTTGATGCAGGGCGCTGACAATCTCAACCCCTGCCTCAACATCACCTCCTGTTGCCTTGAGCTTGGTAAGACCTTCGTAGCAGGCGGATATGATCTCGGACAAGTAACGATGCAGGCTGAGAGTTCGGATTTCTTGGATAAAGGTGGGCAGGGTGGCGGCAGTCACGGCGGTGCGCAGTCGCTTGATATATGCGGTGTGCTTTGCCAGCTTCGAGTCGAGAGGTTTGTTGACCTCGAACAGGTCTACCAGTATGTCTAGTCAGCCTAACAGGAACATGGCGTGCGGAGTCAAAGGTGCTCACCAGTCTCGCCCGCCCACGCGCGCTCGTTCAGAGAACGCAATTCACCTACAGAAGATCATGTTAGCCACTGGACCCAGGGAAGCACTCTACCTGGAGCCTGGCGGGTGGCAGCTCTGGAGGTAGCTCTGGCGAGCACTCACGTTTTCTTGCGCGATCCATCTTGGGGGGAATGGATCGCGAAGGAATTGATTTTGAAAGTAGGACCAAAGACTAAAGTGGCTACATTCGTAAATGTTTCGCGGGCCAGTCTAACTAAGGGTTAGACAGCCCGGAGCGTTGGAAGCGACAGTCGGCGTCAACTTCGGTAGGCATCGGGGAGGCGAAGGCGACCAAGAGGGCCTTGTGACAAAGGCACCCTCTGGCTGATGGCGATTGATGATGTCGCTGCTTTGAGAGAGTCGAGTGGCGTTGGTGTCGGGGAAAGGGAGGATACGACAGAGGCAAGCCAAGCTCTTGTTGGACTGCTGTGTTGTCGCGGCCGGCGGGCTGTCGAACGAGGGAGGGTGGTGGTGGCGGCAGCAGCAGTGGTGGTAGTGATGGTGGTGGACGGATTCATCGAAGTTCGGCTTTCAAGGGTGGTAGTCGTCGATCACGACTGACTGACTGCACTCACTGCACGAGTGGGAACCTTGCAGGTGGAAGGAGCCTACCATTCAGTCAAAGCGGCCGACAGGAAACCTGGTTGGGTGAGAGAGCTGTGGTGGGGGCTACGAATATCGGATAAACTTAGTGAATTACATAGGGTGTGCTAGGCGGTGCCTGGTGCGGGGCACACTTACAAGTGCCTCGCCCTGAGGTACGGTACTGTTACCTGGGAGTAGGCAGACCGTGGGACACGGGCCCCAATCCGGGACAATCAATCCATCCATCCAAACCATGTCCTGCCGGTCCTGTCCACCTTGGTCCTAAAGGATGAGCTCACTTTAACCTAAAGCAAATTCTACCAAGCCTGAAACGACAAATGGGTAATGCTACCTGTGAGCCCAAAATAGATTTGAGGTATCTTTGTCAGTAGCTAAATTCTATACAATAATATACTGTGCACAGCTCTTTGCCTCCAGTGGCACATATAGACCACCATGTACACCGATGGTTTATTATATACATCGCAGCAGGACCTGTCGGGTTTCGCCATCTTCACTCAGGCCAGTATGGACAAGGTTTCCTCCCGTGTCACTAACTCTCGTCATCTGTCCTTCTTATCGGACGTGCGTGAGGCCGACCGTTGAGTTGACTTCGCTGCAGACGAGAAGATGGCAGGCTTCTTGGTCGCAAACACTGCATCCTCAGCCCTGCGCAACTCATCGGGAGAGACATCACCGTCCGAAGGCCTAGATGCTTGAGGGCCAGATGAGGTATCATGCGGCTGCTGAGAGCGCTTGTCTCCTCGCCCAGGCCCTCTCGGCGTCCAGTCTTCGCTGGCTGATTCATCCGCATCAGACCACTGGCTGTCCCCATCGTCACTTTGTGCGTCACTCACGGCCCTGTCTCTATCGTCACCCCAGGACTCCTGCTTCACTGATGTGCCTTGCCCAGCCCCGGCCAGCTCCATCATGTCCAAGAAGGCCTGCGGCACCTCTTCGTCTGCTTTGTCCCCCAGCCGTGCTCGTTCTTCCTGCTCTCTTCTCATATCCTCCTCCAATTGTGCCTGCTTCTCGCTCATGAAGAACCTCCGTTCCGTCTCCTCACCCGTCCGCACTAAGGTCTTGACAGCCGCCATCACACCAGGGCACTTGTCGACGATGTAGCTCAACAGCCGATCCGCCTCAGGGCTCCAGGCCGCCATCTGCTCCAAGTCCATGTATGCCTTGGTCAGGGTCAAAAGAGTGTGCGAGATCGGACGGTTGACTCTGGAGTTAACACCCTTGCGGCGCAAGTCGAGTGGCAGCTGTGTCTTGGAACCGGCTAACTTGCTGCGCACCCGTTGCCAGCCCAGCCAGTGCGGCATCAGCTGCTCCTCACACACGACGAACGCCTCGCGGAACTTCTTCATCGAGGCCAGGAACTGAACATAGTAATTCCAATTCTTGCTATCCAGCCGGAACTTGGAAGAAAGGACTGAGGATATGACTTCCCGCAGGCCATCGACATCACCTTGCGCGGCATACATACGCTGCATCGTCTTGAGCGGGTTATTGAGAATGTACCGCATGGATGGGAGGGGGTCCTCCCTTGTCGTCCCGGGTGCTGCAACACGGCTCATGTGAACGGCGCGGTCGAGGATCACACGCCACAGCTCTTTGACTTCGGTGTAATTCTCGTCGTAGAAAGCAGACAGCATCAGCGCCTCAAGCAGCTTCAATGGAGGCTCTTGCATGTTTGCCGCCTCCGGTGATGAGTTCCGCCACAGCTGCAGAATTTCTGGTACCGCCATGGTCTGCCTCATTTGTGTGAAAACAAAAATCAACACGGAGGCCAGATCTGTACGACTCGCCACAGTGTCTGGGAATTTAAGTGGCTGAATCCATGCGCGACCAAGCTGCGGCGCTTGCTTAGATTTCCGCGCAGGTTCCATCGCTTTCCTGAACTGTCGCAACGCCGAGGTCAAAATAGACCGTTGCCTGCTGTCGTCTTCACCTGGCGACCTTTTGGCCTCCGCACCTAGAGCTTTGAAAACTCGAACCATGGTCTCGTTGCTCTTCGGTACGCCCAAGTTTCGGAGGATAGTGCTGCTCCTGAGGGCTTCCGTGTATTGGCCACTCCTGAGAAACGCACTCATCAGCAAAGCATAGTGCCTTATCGTCGGTTTGAATGAGTGATTTTTGACAGCAGATGTTAGGAGGTACAGCGCATGATGAGGCTGCCGGCATAGCGCCAGGCCTCGGAGGAGGTGATCATATGTCTCGTTGTTGTAAGGCACCTGGTGTTCAGTCATCGCCACGAGAAGGCGATTGACGGCCGTCAAGTCGCGCCGAGAGGCCTGGTGATACAGTAACGTGTTCCACAGTACAGTACATTCTTCCAACTTGAACCGATGTGCTTTCGTTGTCATGACACAGATGCTCTCGGCATCATTGTGCCTGTCGTTTTGGGAGTAGGCTTCCACAACACAATCGACCATGGCCGGGTTGGGCTCTATGCCATCATTTTTGGCCATTCGGTATAGCTCGAGTGTGAATTCGAGATCTCCTCTTGACCCACTCAAGCCCATTATTGTGCCGTAGCTGTACTTATCAGGCTTGCAAGCTTCTTGCAAGACGCTGAAGACACGAACCGCCGTATCATACTCCCCAGCTTTTCCATGAGCGTTGAGCAGTACGTTCCAGCAAATGACAGGGAGGTCAGTCCCGTAGGTGTTTTGCAGTGTGTCGAACACCCGCCGTACCTCGCCCAGCTCGCCCCTGACCGCTTGGACGTGGAGCAGAGGAAGATATTCCGGGTTCCTGCTGCCCACAGGAGATCCTCGGGTAGGATACTCTGTCGTGTACTCATCCCACAGGCGCTGCACTGCATTCACGTCGCCGCGGCGTGCATAGAAAGACATGTAGAGCCGGAAACCGGGTATATCAAGTCTGGGGAATCGTCGGTGCCAGTCCCTCGCCATCATTTCCATGCCAGCAGCGTCGTCAGCGGGGAAGAAGACTTTGTTCATCATTTCACGCATGACGTGACCGCGAAGCTTAACTTCAGGCAATTTTCGATACTGCCTGTAAAGTTTGGTCGTGAGACTCGGGCCTAATTCTTTGGAATGGCAGATGAGATCTTCGTAGAGCAAATGGTCTTTGAGTAAATGCAGCATCAGGGCGAGATCATCCGCATTCCAACCTCGCCAGTACTTGCGAATACATGGGAATATCACCCTGTCCAGCAGACTCTTGGTAAAACCGAGATCCTCGCGCACAACAGACTTGCTAGCCTGGTCTATGCGAAACACGAGAGACTTGATTCCGTTTCCGATTTCCTCTACGGAAAGGACGCTCTCAATGTGATCCCAATTGAGTTTTCTGGCATTGGCACGGTGTGCATCTGGGTACTGTTCCCAGATATCTCCAAAGGTCTCCCACTTCGAGAACTTGATTGCCAGGGCAAGTAATTGGTCCATACTTCGGCATTTTTTTGCGTAGTCTATGAACTCGTTGCGGATCGCCCTGCGTCGGTCGATGTTCTGGGTATTGTGGTACAGCCGCCATGCATGGAGAAATTGGGAGTCATCTTCGGTCTGGAATATGCCATGCAGCACCTCCCATCGAGACTTGGACAGCCGTGTCGGGGCTACATGCGCTGATTGGGCGGAAAACGCGGGCGATTCCGCTTCATCATATTCGTCGTCGTAATCTTCATCAAAGCCTTCCTCTTCAGAGGCCACTTCATCGTTCATAAACTCATGTTCTACAGCAGAGGCTTCTGATGCCTTGCCGGCCGGGGACTGCTGCGAATGCTGCGCTGAAGCCGCCGAAGATGTAAAGAGCCGAGGCACAGCACCTCTAAGATAAAGCCTCGGCCGCTCGTACTTGTCGAGAGCTGAGGGAGACAGTCTTCTCAGGAGGGACGTTGCGCTCTGGGGATTCAAGAAGTCGAGCAAAAAGGCAGAGGCACTCAGGGGCTCCGACCTGGAAGACCGAGAGAGGGGGAGAAAGTTGAGCGACTCGAGAGGTTCCCGAACGAGGGCTTGCCATACACTGGACAACTCGATATCAACAGCGCCATGGTGCCAGAAGGCGGTATGAAGTCTTCGGTGCGACTTGAGAGAGAGTGTTGTCGGTGGGAGCACTCGTTGGAAGTTGCATGGTTCCAGACTTGCGGCCGTTCTTTCAAGCATTGGCATGAGGCAACGGTGCAGACTGCTATCGGGGAGGATTGGAGTAGCTTCGATTCAGGTCATTATATGTCGGCACGACTGAGGACAGGCAATTGGTCGACGTTAGCAGTCTTGGTCTAGAATTAATTCGTGAGACTGGCCGCACCAGCCAGCGCCAGGAGGTTTTAAAGGATGCGCCACTCACGCGCTTCATGCTGAAGTAATAAATCGTTGCTGCGCCGCCGTTTTTCACAGATTCGCCGTCCCCGGAAGAGCCTCGCGCAGCATGGATGGAAGTGATCGCACTAGCAGGATGGACAGAAGGCTTTCGTCATGAGGGTAAAGCGGTAGGAACGGCGGAGAGTTGTGCTGTAGGATGGAGCTTTGAGTTGGGGCCACCTGCGCTGAGTTGTCGTTGTGGTGGAGCAGGTTCGGGCCTGGGTAGAGGAAGTGCTCGACGAGTTCTGCCGTCGATGATCTCTTGACTTTCTGGCAGTGGCGCAAGGTCGCTCTGAGAAAAAAAAGGACGGATCGGGACCGCAGGGAGCTCGTGCCACCCGCGTCCGGGTTTTGCAGGGGTTTCTCTTGTACCCATGTACCTAGGCACTATGCACTCTGCACGTACGGCAGCTAGTGCCAACCGATTGTGACCCCAAGCTCGCACAGCTCCCCCAAGCTCATTCTTTGCCCATTGATCAGGTGTTAGCTGCGTGGATAGCTGGGTTACTGCTGCTTTTCTGAACAAATGGTCTCTATAAGACTCAATTGCCGTAGGGATATAGGAGGAATCGTAGGTAGGTTTGCCCAACCGGTCCGACAGGGAAGAAGTCAGGTTCCAAGATTCTTTCGACGGCATCCTCCACACAGTCGTGTTCTTTGTCTAAAAGTCACAATACCAACTCTTCCTGAAAATGCGCGGGATTTTGAAACTTCTGGAACCCATACGGATTCTTCTCCCAGGTCGTCAACCTCGGCGCAGCATTCAGGCACAATCACTGCTCCTCAACTTGCCCATAGAGCTACTACTCAAAATCTCGGGCTTGCTTTCATCAGGATCAGCAGTGGCTTTTGCACTTACCTGTACTTTCTTGTTCAACATTCTATTTCCGAAAATAAAGCTACACGGGATCCAACTGGAAGAGTTACTCCAACTACTAGAAAGGGACCTTAGCGAGCAGCTCTTCTTCTGTCAACGTTGCTATACCCTCCATCGTTTCTCTCCATCATGGGGACCAGGACGTCAAGACCATTTTGAGGCCCCCTGCAAGCCAAAGGTCGAGGTATGCGATACGTTCCACCTTGGCTTTCATTTTGCTCGCCTCGCTGTGAACAAGCATCTCTTGGGGGGAGGCCTAAACCTAGAACAGCTTACTACTACTTTGCCGAGCTACAACGGCGGCTGGGATATCAGGTGCACAGCAAGAGTGATTCAGAACGAGCTCTATCTTTCCGTGTCGCATAGACTCTCCCTAAATGGAACGGGCCCTGATAATCGCCATGCTCTTGAGCGCTTAGATCATGGAATTTGTCATCACGTCACAACGCATCGACCAAAAGCACGCTTAAAACTCTCAACCAGGCCAAGAGGAAGAATCGCTTATGGGCAGTGGTTGCAGCAACGTCGTTTCTACGCAGTGCCGCAACGAACGAGGATCCCAGAACTGGCACCTAGGGAGTCCCCAACGTACTCTCACGTTCTCACCGAATGTCGGGACGCACAAGGGTCATGTACAGTCTGTTTGACAGACTATTCGGTTACAATAAATCAAACAAAATCCAGTGAGGTTAGTAGCGAGACTACGAAAGAGTCATGGGACATTATCATCATTGCATACCATCAGCTAGGCCCTTGTCGGTCCCAGTTCGACTGGAAATGGCTTACATATGCGACTGAGCTCCCAACTCTGAGTAAGCAGAACATGGACACCTCGCTACTCGGAAAGCGATGTGAGAACGGGCCTTATGCTCGAGGGGCTGTACAAGCTCGCTGGGATCAGTCTTGACTCTCCTGGCTCTTTTGCTGCTATTGATGCTGGACGGGCCTTCAAAGGGCATGGTGGTGTGGAGGAAAGCAGCGGTCGAACTTCCATCCTTGCTCTCTCTGACTGGCAGAGTGGGAGAAATTTCACTCGATGCTGGTGCAGACCTATTCATACAAGTAGTCAGGTGCTTGACGTGAGGGTTTTAGCTCAAGGGCATGTGGAAGAATGTTAGCAAACAATTATACCTAGGTATCGCCTTTCTCTTCATTCACTCATGAGTTGCAGAAGGTCTTGATTCCAGCAAGCAATAAAATATTCAACGTGTGTGAATTTGGGAGTGGCGGTGGCAGTGGGGTTTGCATCAGAGGCAAGCACCCAAGGCCCCGTCCCTTTTTTATAAGCCAGCCTTTCCTTGAATAAGCACTGAATAACTGGCCAGGAGGTGTTTCTGGTGAAATCGGTTCAGCTCAGTCTTGGATTTCGAGAAAAGATGACCGCCTTTGGGGATGCGACTATTATTTTGTCGCGGAAATTGCCTGGTGTCCCGAAGCAAAGGCAGCAAGACAACTGTTCCCCGCTACCCTGGCTTTTACTATACATGTTTGTTCCGACAAGACTGGCTATCTACGCTTTTGATAGGAATATAGGCCACCATGGCTACGTCTAAAATATCAAGACAGGACTTAGATACCTAGCTATGATTTCGAGAAGACAGCCTGGGAGACAGCCACTAGACGTGTCCTTTTTTTTTTTTGCAAGAGTATATATGAACGTTCTTGCCAAAATCAAGACACTTAGGAGAAAGGGGGTTCTGCTATGGAATTGTGACCTTGGACATAACGCAGGGGCAATGCGACATACTTTCCCACCTATGTTACCTACTACACTTCTCTCTTGTGATAGCTACCGATACGCAGCAATTAACATATATGTCCTAACCGCAACAGAGTATCGCTACCTCCGTGCAGAGAACTTCTGGATGTCCCAGCGGGGAGCTTTATACGTGATCTGCGCAGGGGTATGGCTAGGCCTTGGGGTCTTGCTGTACTTAGGTAAGCCGACCTTGATCCGATATATGTACATACGAAGGGTGTGACAAGGCAATGCCTCTGCCTACAGTTTTGTGCCTCTCTGCTAGTACTCGGCAAAGGCATAACGGAGGCAGACAGACGGCGGCGGAGACAGTATCCTTGTTCCGGTGTTATAATGAAGCATGGATGTCCCTGTGGCTAATTTGATTAGGTCAGACGCAGCAAGAAGAGTTTGCTGTACCCATGTACTCTGTACGTACTGCAGCTGGTGCCAACTGATTGCGACCCCAAGCTTCCATAGCTCCCCCCCCCCCAAGGTCATTTTTTGCGGGGCACGATTTGCGATTGATGCATGAGTGAACATCGAAGCAAGAGCCCCTCCACGTCTTCATGTCCCCTAGGCGCAGACACAACAGCGATACCACCAACGCATAGCATTTTTCGGCCACCGACTGCGCGACTGCCACCTTGTGCCTTCTCATGCCCATGTCGACATAGACCATACATAGACAACTCAACGGGGCTCAGAAGCACGGGCGACCATCATGGACACCACAAAGGTTATTCTCGACACGAGGCTGGAGTTGCTCGACTACGCAAACGACTACACCACCTACGCATCAAAGCTGACCACGCGGCTCCGAAGCACCAAGAAGAGGCTGGGTATCCCGGGCAAGAGCCAAGGCAAACAGTCCAATGTCGAAATAACTCCTTCGCAGCTGGCGCAAAACCATGAGTGAGTGCGCCGCCCCGACCATCTTTCTCGGTCGACAGCAGAGGCAGAGACAGAAGTCAGACTGACCCTCATGCCCCAGATTCATCTATGTTCCCCTCCTCAAAGCCGAGCGGTGCTGGGCCAAGTCCATGGCGTGGCATTCAAGAGATACCATCACGAGCGACACCCGCTCCAACATTGTCTCGAAGCTTGTGAAAGCCGTCAAGGTCGTCGAGAACCTCGTATCTACATTATCCGACAGCGCCAGCGGTGCAACAACTTCAGATGTCCTAAGCGCGAGGGCATATGCGGCCGTACTGAATGGAGACTCATCATTCCGGGCCAAGAAATGGGAGGAGAGCCTCAACAACTACAGTGTTGCCAAGGTCATCTACAGTGCGCTGCCATCAACCAATCTGGATGGTAATACCTTCAGAGATTTTGTCGCAGGCTCTGTCGATAGTCCTCTGCGGTTTGCACAGCGCCAGCAGAACATACCAACATCGCTTTCGCTTCTGTCTCTTGCGAAAAAGCATCTGCCACAGTCCGACGATGCCTTGCTCTCCGGCGTGGAAGAGGTCGCTCCCGGATTCCTCAAACAGGACGAAGATTCCGACATGAGCAATGGAGGGCCCCTGAGAACTGTCACATGGAGGACTAGGGAAGTTCCTGTGGAGGACGCTGAGATCGCCTCGAAACTGGCAGCCTTGGAGACTGCCGCCGCGGAATTGTCACAAAAACTGGGTTCCTCCTCCGACTTGCGACCAAACGTCAAGGCTGAGGCCTACGATAGTGTCCTGGAAATCAGCAACTATGCGATTGAGGCGACGGTTCAGGCCATTGACGAGCTCAAACAACAGAGCGTGCCTCAGGGTGACCCGCGCATGCAGAACCTGGCCATATTGCGCACGAAGCTTAAGTACGATTTGCTGAGTTGGCAGATAGGGCGGAATCGGGTTTTGCTGGGGGAGCAGGATGGCGCCGTGCTAGAAGACGGCCCAGGCTTGAAGAAGGGCAAAGCTGCAAACGCCGAGGCGCCCACAATCAAGGACAGCCAGCAAGTCAAGCAGCTGGAGAAGAAGGCCAATGTGTACGACAAGACATTACAAATCCTCGATGCCGCAAAGGAACTGCCAGGTGTCGCAGCGGACGAGCATCTTGCAGCTGAGATTGACGCTGTGTCCAAATATTTCACCGCCTTGAAGTAAGTTTTTGCAGACTCTATAGTCCCAGCCGCTTGCTAATCCGCCGTCAGGTCTCTTGCGATTGCTCGGTCCCACACAATTATTGGCAATCCTGCGAATGCACTCGCCCTCACCAAACATGCTCATGATCAATGCCAGGCTGCTTTGCCAGTAATTGCCAAGCACAATGAAAGCAAGGATACTGGCCTGAAAACAATTGAGGTCATCCGACCAGACGCCGAATTTCTTCAGAACCTTTTGAAGGGAGAACTGCAGCGTAGCCGAGCGCTGGTCCAAATTGCCAATCTGCGCAAGCAGGCTGACAAGGGAGACTCCAAGACTGCGCAACGCCCGCTGATCGACAGGCTCGGCCAGTACCCCTCAAAAGGTGTTGACCTCGAAAACATTGTCACTTATCCTCCCAAAATGGAACCGATTCCCATCAAGCCGATGTTCTTGGATGTGGCTTTCAATCACGTCCAGTACCCCCAGAAGCAAGCAGCGCGGGCGGACGTGCTTGAAGACAAGACGAACGCCAAGTCTGGGGAGGCTGAGAAACAGCCTGCTAAGAAGGGCTGGTTTGGATTCGGCAGGGGCTAGGAGACTCTCCAGCGGCAGGAAATTGGGAGCCGAAGTCGAGGACCAGTCTGTCAAGTGTCCCGGTTTGTAGTCAGGGGCTCTGTTTACATTATGCCACTCAACGGCGACGCCTCGTCATCGTCTCGAGGTGACGATATGTAGGCATGTATGACGACAAAAAGCATAGATCAACCAAACGCTATGCAATACAAAATAATTAAGTCAGCGCGTGGGCTCGCCCGCCTTCTCGCCCCTGGTGTGTGAAAATTGGTCCCTATGGAATGTGGTTTGTGTATTGACGCGGGATTGCCTGGCACGCTGGCGTGGCGGCGGCGAATTTCCATTCCTGAGAGTCCGAGGAAGTCTACTACCAAATGATTGATTACAGGCTATAGTAATTACACCTCCATGGACCTTCATAGATTCTCAGTGTCCGAATGAATCCTCAAGATGACGAGGGATGCAAGCGAAGGCGAGGGCTTTCTCCACCAGGGAACGTGGAGGGAGTCCACCAAGACAGGACCATTCGTCACATCCATCAAGAATGTTTTATTTCCCCAACGACAACACAAACAAAGTACAGGGCCGGATGAGAAGCCAAGGAACAGCAACGACGACTTTGAAGAAATCGAGCTCGACGATAAGCCCAGGTGGTGGAAGACGCTTCAGCTCCGCACGTTCATCACCTCCCTGACCGGGCTCATCCTCGCCATCCTCTCCTTCGTTTTCGGCGTCGGCTGTGGGCTAGGGATTGGCGTCCCCTACTACGGCGGCTCCTCGCTCTCGCACGCCTTTAGCCGGCCCGCAAACGCCCACAGCATACCGGACGACCTCCCTATCATCTCCGCAGCCCAGCTGACCAACAGGACGGAGCTGGACCTCGCGACGGGGTTCACCTTCGGGTCCCCGCAGGTCAGGGAGTACAACTTCACCATCAGCCTGGGGCTCGCCGCGCCAGACGGCTTCTGGAAGCCCATGGTGCTCGTGAACGGCCAGTCGCCGGGCCCGTTGATCGAGGCCGGCACGGGCGACACGGTGCGCGTGCGCGTGGCGAACCACCTGCCCAACGCCACCACGAGCGTGCACTTCCACGGCATCGACCAGCGGCGGACGAACTGGATGGACGGCGTCGCGGGCGTGACGCAGTGCGGGATCCCGCCGGGTGGCGAGTGGACGTACGAGTTCGTCGTGGACGGCCAGCGCGGCACCTTCTGGTACCACGCCCACGCCGCCGTGCAGTACACGGACGGGCTGTACGGGCCCATCGTCGTGCGCGACCCCCGCGAGCTGGTGCCCCGCGCCGACGCGGAGAGGATCCTCTTCCTCGGCGAGAACCACCACGCCTACGCGGGCGAGCTGGTCGGGCACTACCTCGCGGCGTCGTCGCCGTGGGAGCCGACCGAGGCGGGCGTCGAGCCGCTCAGTGATAACCTGCTGCTCAATGGCCAGAACACGTTTGACTGTTCTGTCGTGTCGACTACGTATAACTCGTCGTCTCGTCAGAAGAACAAGCCGGGGTGTACCGGTGGGCAGGTGTACACGACGAACATCCGGCCTGGGACGACCATGCGGCTACGGCTGATCAACCATTCCTCGTACCTCTCGTATTGGTTCAGCATCGACAGACACCCGCTTACCATAGTGGAGATTGACGGGATCGAGGTCGAGCCGATAGTCAGCCAAGGGGTGCATGTGAATATTGGACAAAGATACAGCGTGATCATAAGTGCGACGGAAAAAATAGGAGATTATGCTATCAGGTCAGCACTGGAGGAGGAGTGCTTCCTGCCGTACAGTACGTACACTAGCAAGGGATTAGAGTCAATAGGGTATCAGGCCAAAGGCATTTTGCGGTATGAACGCGAAGACGAGTCGGGAGGGGTGGCGAGACGAGACGGAGATGCGGATACAGCTGAGATGAAAGAGACGGCAACAAACCCGTGGGGCTGCAGCGACATGCCCTTCGACATGCCCAAGCCCATGCGGCGGGCAGCAGCGTACGAGCTGGCCGAAGGCGACCCAACCCACATCGTAGACTTCCAGTTCCGCCAGGTCGGCGAGATCAACCGCATCTTCCTCAACAAGGTGAGCAGCACTGACGAAACTCCCACCACTATCCAGCAGACCACTAGTTTCAAACACTAACCACAAATACAGACCTCCTGGAGCCCCTACCAAGGCGACGCAACCCTGTGGCAGGCTGCAGACGCGAACTTCACCGCAGACGTCGACGGCGTGTACCACAACTGGGGGTTCCGCCTGGACCAGCAGGTGCTGCTGGTGCCGGACGGCAGCGGCGCGGTGCAGGTGGCCATCAACAGCCTCGACGCGATGGAGCACCCGTTCCACATGCACGGCCACAGCGTGCAGGTGGTGGGCTGGGGCCCCGGCCGCTACGACGCTGCTGCCGCATCGGCGGCGCCGGGGGCGACGGCGACGACATGGAACCTGGCCAACCCGCTGCGGCGGGACACCTTCACCGTCCCGGCCGAGTCCCACGTCGTCATCCGCTTCCGGGCCGACAACCCGGGGATCTGGGTCCTGCACTGTCACGTCGCGTGGCACCTTGAGGCCGGGATGTTGGTCTCCTTCTTGGAGCGGCCGGATGACCTGAAGCGGCTTCTGACTGAGATGGACTCGGAGGTACGGGAGCTCTCCGAGAGCTTCTGTCCCAAGAGGGCAGGACGAGGCGTGTAATTTCAGTAGCAGAGACATGAGCGACGCGATATTTATGGCGTTTCTTTTTCACACGGAGCAATTGATGTCTTCACGATATGACAGGCACTACACAAGTTTTTTTTCAAGCCAAGATGGTTGAGGGGGGTTTGTCATATTATTTGCCTTTTCATCAACATCTAACAATTGTACACACATTTCGAGAGATCTCTTTCCCCCCAAAACCATGCCGTCGTAGTGTCATCCAGAACCCTTTCAAATGACCCTGGGTCCCAAAATACCGCAAAAAAATAAAAGTTGTTTTGATGCTCAGAACGCCGTCACCGCCCAGTTGGTGATTAGACACAGGAATAAAGTAGCGTAAAAGGAGGTTTGGCGGCTTATCAAGCTGCCAGGAGGGTGGGGAGTATGAGTACAGAGTGGATACAGGGTCGAAGAAAAGAGGTCTATCATGCTCCCGCGCTGCTTAGACACACATGACCAAAAACTGGCGTGAAAGGGGTATAAAAACATCGCTGATCCGTTTTCGCGGAGACTCGATTTACTTGGTCTCATCCTTCTTCTCGCCCTCGGCAGCACCATCGGTAGCACCCTCGGTGTTGGAGGTCTGCTCGCCGGACTCGGCACGAGCCTTGTGCATCTTGTCGAAGAGGTTCAAGCTAGCCATCTGGAGCTCGTCGGTCTTCTCCTTGATCTCCGCAGCAGTCAGAGTACCCTCGCCAGCCTGGCTCTTGGAGATGAACTCGCGCAGGGAGGTGATCTTCTCCTTGATCTGCTCGGCCTCGGTCTTGTCAAGACGGTCGGCAAACTCGTTCAGGGCCTTCTCCGTGTCGTTCACAACGCTGTCGGCACGGTTGGCGGCCTCAATGGCAGCCTTGCGCTCCTTGTCAGCCTCAGCGTACTTCTCGGAGTCCTGCACCATCTGCTCGATCTCGTTCTCAGACAGGCCGGATCCGGAGGCAATGGTGATGGACTGGTCCTTGTTGGTGGACTTGTCCTTGGCGTGGACGTGCACAATAGAGTCGGCGTCGATGTCGAAGGTAACCTCAATCTGGGGAACACCACGGTGGGCAGGGGGAATGCCAACGAGCTGGAAGTTGCCGAGCATCTTGTTGTCCCGCACAAGCTCACGCTCACCCTGGTAGACCTTGATCTCGACAGCGGTCTGGAAGTCCGCGGCAGTGGAGAAGACCTGGGACTTCTTGGTGGGGATGGTGGTGTTTCGGTTGATGAGACGAGTGAAGACTCCGCCAAGGGTCTCGATACCCAGGGACAGAGGGGTAACGTCCAGAAGCAGCAGGTCCTTGACCTCACCGGAGAGCACGGCACCCTGGATAGCGGCACCGATGGCAACGGCCTCATCAGGGTTCACAGACTTGGCAGGGTCGCGTCCGAAGATGTTCTTGGTAACCTCGGTAACCTTGGGCATACGGGTCATACCACCGACCAGGATGACCTCCTGGATGTCCTTGGCCTGCAGGTTGGCATCCTTGAGAGCCTTCTTGACGGGCTCAACAGTCCTGGTGATGAGAGGGTCGACCATCTTCTCAAGCTGGGCACGGGTCAGCTTGAGGTTGATGTGCTTGGGACCAGAGGCGTCAGCGGTGATGAAGGGCAGGTTGATGTCGGTCTGCAGAGAGGAAGACAGCTCAATCTTGGCCTTCTCAGCAGCCTCACGGATACGCTGGATAGCCATGCGGTCGCCAGACAGGTCAAGTCCAGAGGTCTTCTTGAAGTCCTGGACCATGTGTCGCACAAGCTGAATGTCGAAGTCCTCTCCTCCCAGGTGGGTGTCACCGTTGGTAGACTTGACCTCAAAGACGCCGTTCTGGATTTCGAGCACGGAGATATCGAAGGTACCACCACCGAGATCGTAAACAGCGACAACGCGGTCAGCCTCCTTCTCCAGACCGTAGGCCAGGGCAGCAGCAGTAGGCTCGTTCACGACACGCAGGACGTTCAGGCCAGAAATCTGGCCGGCATCCTTGGTGGCTTGACGCTGGGAGTCGTTGAAGTAGGCGGGGACAGTGACAACGGCATTCTTAACGGGCTTGCTGAGGTAGGCCTCGGCAGTCTCTTTCATCTTTTGCAGGACGAAACCACCAATCTGGGATGGAGAGTAGTTCTGGCCACGGGACGACACCCAGGCGTCTCCGTTGGTGTGCTGAACGATCTTGTAAGGCACCTCCTTGATGTCCCGCTGGACCTCAGCGTCGGTGAACTTTCGGCCGATCAATCGCTTGGTGGCGAAAAGTGTGTTCTCGGGGTTCACGACGGCTTGACGCTTAGCGGCAACACCGACGAGACGCTCTCCGTCCTCAGCGAAAGCGACCACTGATGGCGTTGTCCGCGCACCTGGAAGCAGTGTTAGTCGGCCTCGCTTTTCGAAGTCCGGGAAGGAGAGAGATACTGACCCTCTGAGTTCTCGATAATCTTGGGGGTCTTGCCCTCCATGATGGCCACGGCAGAGTTGGTGGTTCCGAGATCGATACCGATCACGGCGCCCTGGACCTTGCCTTCTGTTGATTGGTAGCGAGCAAAGGTAGGAGAGGCGGTCTTGCGCAGGAGACCTGCAGAGCGCGATGCTCTTGGGAGCTGTGTTGATGGAACAAGAGTATTAGCCTCGAGAACATCACGTTCGGTGGCGAGCACACGAGATCACCAGAGGGACGGGCGCGTGGACTTACAGCTCTGGACATGCGCGAGGCGAGCATCTTGATCTAATTAAAGAAAGATAATCTACAATACCGAGTGTAGAAGATGAAGAGTGTGAGAAGGAGAGAAACAGGACGTTTCTTGCTGATGGGGTTGAGGGAAGGGAGAACAGGCTGGTGTTCGACTTGGTGGTTGGGGATGGACGGAGCAGAGGTGAAAAAAGCTCAGAAAATATTTGCCAATGGTCGAGCAAGGTAATGACGCTCGCTCGATGAGCCGCCGACTCCCCCCAACCCGCCAGCCCGCAAGACAGAAGCTTCCCGAAAGATTTGCCTGCCCGACCCCAGCCGATGGGTGGCCCGTGCTTCCTAGGAAAATATGTGGGCTCTCTAGCTACCAGCTGCCACTGCGAATTTTGCTGCGATGCATGAGGGAGCAGGGAGTAACGGTAGACCAGATAGGTACGTACCTCGAGCACCCAGACAAGGGCCCCTGTACTGTTTGTGCTCAGCACCGGGGGAGAAGAAGAAAAAAAAAAGGCTCAGAGAGAGGGCCAGCCAACAAGAGGCGAAGTAATTGATTGCGATTACTGTACGTATCACCCAGCAACGGATGGATGCCGACTGCACCGCACACGGACGAACCTCGGCAGTCAGTTACAGTGAGTGCAGCAGACATAGGCGCAGTGGAATACGATAGATTCTGTACTATCTACATGCCCTGGGGGCTGTACGTGGTCAAATAATTGAAAGGCGAAGGTGCAGGAGGGACTGCATTTCGTTCCACAGACCATCTGGGGCTATCACAAGCAATTGAGCCTCTCTCACCAAGCAGTCGGGGCTGACGATGGTTGTGACGCCGGTGCTTGGGTGAAGGTCCATCAAATGCATGGAAAATCGAGATCCACGCCCTCAAGATTTGGAGAAGGCGGGCGTGGACGGGGGGAGGTACTTTGTGCCTCCACCAGGTGGGCATAGTAGCCGCAAGTACCTGCCCGCCCCTGTCGCAGCTATCCTTTATGTGGGAACGGAAGGTTGCCGCCTCATTGACTGCTTCTGCTGGGTGCTGGCAAATGAACGTCATCCAGATTCCTCTTTGCCTCGCCCTTCGCCTGGGACGATCATTTCTCAGCTTTCAACCTCGCCATCCAACCTCATCTTGCCTTGCCTGGCCTCGCCTTTACTTGGGCTCCAGCACCTATTGATCCGGTCGTCTCACCTAGCAGCCTCGCTCGCCACCCTGACGCTGACGACCTTGCGATCTCGGCCAACTTGTCAACTTCAGCTGCTCATCTGCAACCCACCCCCATCACCCCCATGACTCGGCAGCCTTGAGGTTGAGCCTCGCAGTCGGCACCATGGCCGTCACGGACGATAGAATGTATGCAACCGGCCCCCAGCCCCTTCAACCCCTTTTTTTGATAGAGCCTCTGCCACATCGTGCATACGCATCCTCTCTTTGTGTGTGTCTCACACGCTGTGCTTGCTCACCCCCCTGCGGTGGGGACGCGGCTTGGCTAACGGATGTCCGCATGTAGATATCATCCAACCGACGCCCTCATCCTCCGCAAACCCAAGCGACACTACCGTATCGGTCTGCGCGTCGAGTATGTTCTGGTTCCTGCCACTGTTTCGCCATGATGCCGTGGTCTAACCTCTTGTCCTAGACACTGGCAATTGCGCTCGCAAATCGGCCTCTCCACGCCGCGCCACATCTACTATCCCGGTGGAAACGACAACAACCAGATCCACAAACTCGACACTGCGTCACACGAAAGCGAAACCATCAAGATCCTCAACTTTGCGCCTCGATGCCTTGTGGCCAAATACGGTTGGATATGCGCCGGCGGTGAGAGCGGTGAATTTGTGGCTATACCGGTGGAAGATGGCAGTCAAGGTCGTGACCGCGGCCGCAGTAATGTCGAAAGGGACCTGTTCTCGAGATATCGTCGCTCTCCCGCCAACAACGGTCCGGGAAACAACGGCGACCAAGACCATTGGCTCGATTCTTTCCATGATTTCGTTGTTCATGCGGGCTCCCCAGACGAACGCCTACACTTAGGCATAGACCCGACCTCCAACAACGACAGCGACGACTCCATGCCACCCCTGATTCCCGCCAGTCCCAGGACGCAGCCAAACTCCGATAAGAGTCTGCACGCTCGATCCAAGACATTTGGTAGGGACCGCGTGAATTGCATCACGCTGTGGGCTCCTCAAGACACCAAGGACGGACGTTTCGACGGTGCATACTCTACACCAGTGGCAATTCTTGCAAATAACGACAAGCATGTCACGATAGTGGGACTGCAGGACCAGGACGCGGTGGATGAGGTGGCCTATCCAGACTGTGTCAATCGCGCCTTGATATCACCGGACGGCCGGTTGCTTGCTGCTGTTTGCGATGACCCTTACTTGTACGTCCATGAGAGAGTGATAAGGCACAACCCTTGCCCTGGCCTGTTCACGCGAAAGGAGGATTTCGAGTGGAGATTATGTGCCAAGATACCACTCAAAGGTCAGCGGAAAGAGGATCGCTCCGATCAGCGAGGAAGTTTTGCGGCGTGCTTCTCAAACACCGGTCGATTCCTTGCTGTCGGGACTCAATACGGCGTCATCTCGATATTCGACACTGCTTCATTTACTGAGCCAGGCGTTGACCCCCTCATTACGGCTTTTACTTCGTCAAGGTCAAAAGAAGACGTGGGTGCCGTTCGTGATATGGCATTCTGCCCAGGTCCATTCGACCTCCTGGCATGGACAGAACACCGAGGTCGCGTCGGCATTGCGGACATTCGAAGCAATTACGTTTCACGACAGATGCTAAGTCTGAACGATCACGACGATTTCGAACAGATTATGGTGACAGAGAGGGGTTCCATCGACCCGCGACTACTAGAACGTAACGATAGTGGAGAACTCAGCTACTCGAGCATCTCGACTGCGGAGAATCGACGGGCAGCACGGCGGCAAGCCACTGACTATCACCCGCCCTTGACCCCGGAGGAAACAATGGTTATCGAGGCACTCCAGGAGCACCGCAGGCGCAGGGAGCAGGCTGCTGCTCGAAACAGCTCCACATCCGGTTCCAACATGTCGAGGTTGATGGAACGCCTCCACAACAATCGACAGCAACGCGAGAATGCTACTGCATTGGCCCTGAACGACACCAGCTCCAGACTCCGCTCTGAGACGAGTAACTCCCGCCGAGTGGGCGACATTCTGAGCGACATTCAAAGCCAACGCGACCGCCTGCGCGACCAATCCGACCGTCTGCGCGAGCAGTCAGAGCGGGTGCGCGCCCGCCGTCTGGCAGTAGACGAGGCAGAGAGGCACCGCCTCTCTGGTGGTTCGATCCGGGCTCTTCGTGCACCACTCGTGCTCCCCCAGAGTGGCGAATCGCCACGCCAAGTCTACATCAACAACTCGTACACGGATCTCGAGGCCCTGTACCAATCAGCATTTGAAGGCGGTGCGCCGGCCTCGAGCGGAGACGGGCCCTACGAGCCGGGTCAGGGCGAGTCAACTGGGAACAGGACGCGGGACTACCTCTCGGTCTGGAGCAACATGCTGAGGGATAGGGATATGGAGGCCGAGCCAACCAGCCGGCTTGGGCGGACTCGCCTGGACCGTCTGGCTACCATGCCTGGTGGACGGGTCGACCGCGAGGACGACGACACGGCTGGACTGGCTTGGAGTGAGGACGGCCGTATCTTGTGAGTGACCACCGCTCGGCATGTTCACCAAAGAAGACTGTACTGACAAATTCGCCCCAGAATCATCGGTGCCGTAGATGGTATCTACGAGTTCCACGTCGACTTGTTCAGCAGGAGGGTCTTTCCCAGCATGGAGATGCGATGAGAGACATGCTCACGGCTGGTTTGTGTGTCTCGAGAGTGACATCTCTTCCCAGCAAGGGCCTGAGGGGCTTTTATACGTTACCAGGGGGGAGGCTTTGCAAATCATCATTGGCGGCGCATCGGCGTTGGGACGGGTAATGCAGCACGGCATTTGGAAATCCCTCGTGTCTGCCTATAGGCGTTCTTTCCTTGTTTTTCTTCTTGGGGCCCGTTGAATTCCTGCATGTCAAAGTCAGCTCCAAACCCCTCGCGATAGCCTTTCTTCGGTGTGCCCTTATTCTACTCGTCTTGTTTTTACTGTCTATTACTTCTCTGGCCGAGAGCATGGGTCGGGAAAAAGTTCGCTGTTTTGTTATACTGCTTGCTTGCACACGTGTACATGTTTTTGAATTTTGCCCTAGGGATCCTCCTTGGGCCCTTGGTGTGTGCGAGTAAGTAATGGTAGTGCCGAAGACCACGCAGCTTATATAGGTCAGATTGATAATGCGAAAAGAGCGGATTGACTTTGAGGATTGGGCCCAAATTATGTTGGCTTGAGCTACGTTTCCGACAAGAGTGAGCCAAGGCATGAATACTGAGAGTCGGCCGATTTGCCACAGACACAGAAATCTTTGGCGGCAGTGAAGTCTATTGCATTGACACCAAGCCTTGTGGTTCCAGCCATACTGCACCATTGCTTCCAACCTCACTGTAACAGGCCAGCGTCGCGTAATTCTTGATACCACACCTGTTTGATCCGTCCGTTGCTATTTGCTCCAGCCAGTGGGAATATGTCTCTATATATATATGACATGCCAGAACTCATCTATACAACAACCCCTCCACCATCTCCCCAATGGCCAACGAGCTCGTCAGCCCAGGGCTCTCGATCCCAAGCAGATTCACCCAGCCCTCATACCCCTCCTCGCGACGTATGACAAAGTCATTGAACCCCCGGCCCTCCATGACAGCCTGCCCGGGCGCCAGCTTGGGCCGGATGCCAGCATAGTCGGGCGTCAGGGCGCCCACGTCGACGCCGGGGAGGTACTTCTTGATCTCGGCCGTGGCGGCCCCCATGCGGCCGCCGCTGACGGCCAGGTCGTCGGGCGAGTCGACCCACTCGACGTCCGGGCCGAACTTGACGCGCCCGCCCATGTCGAGCGTCAGGTGCGTGCCCAGCCCGCCGGCGCCGGCCTGCGGCGCGGGGTAGATGAGCGTGCCGACGCGCGGGGCCGACGCCCCGTACGAGAAGTAGTTGCCCTTGGCGTAGTACGTCCGCATGTGCCGCGCCTCCGGCACGACCATGTTCAGCACGTCGCACGCGCCCAGCCCCGCCGCGTTGACGAGCGTGTCCGCCGTGATGGTGCTCTCCTCGCCCGACTGCGTGTCCCGCACCGCCACCTCCCACCCGCCGCTGCCCTTCGCGGGGCTGCTCCCCCCGAGCGGCGAGACGCCCACCACCCTGCTCCCCGGGCTGAACGTCCCGCCCGCGTCCTCCAGGTGGCCCAGCAGCGCGACCATGAGCGCGTGGCTGTCGACGATCCCCGTCGTCGGGCTCTCGAGGCAGCCGGCGTCGGCGCGGACGTGCGGCTCGCGGCGCGCGAGCTCGTCGGCGCCCACCCAGCGCACCGGGACGCGGCCGCCCAGGGCCTCGGTGCAGTGCCTGTGGACGTGCTCGAGGGCGTCGCGCTGCGCGGGCGTCTGCGCCACGATGAACTTGCTCGTGTTGCGGTGCGGGACGGCGTGCGCCGCGCAGTAGTCGTACAGCAGCTCCTTGCCGCGGATGCACAGGGCCGTCTTGAGGGTCGACGCGCCGTAGTAGATGCCCGCGTGGATGACCTCGCTGTTGCGCGACGAGGTCTCCTGGCCTGGCTGGAGGTGTCGCTCCAGCAGGAGGGTGTTTGGGTTGCGCTGGGCGAGGGCCCGCGATATCGCGAGGCCGACTACGCCGCCGCCGATGACCTGGTGGGCATGTTAGTATGTTTTCATGGAACTTTTCCAGTAAGTTCGCCAGATAAGAAGGAAATTATGAGACGAGGTTGCCGTGAGTAGTTAAGACGATGTGAGCTGGAATCCCATTGCTGCCGTCGAGCAGCAGATGACAGCCCTTTTCTGGCCTCATATCGACACGACGATCATCTCACAACTGCCATCAAGAAACGCATAGCCCATGCAGTAGAGCACTCACCACATGCGCAAAATCAGCCTGTCTCGAGACAGTTGTTGAGAACAGGCGACCATGTTCCCTGCAGCGTAACTCCTTGCCCAGCCGCTGGGAGGCCGCGAGCTGCCTCCTTGCCACTCTCGAAAACATCTTCCTTCCTTCTCTCTCTTTTCCTTCACCGTCCCACCTCACTTCTTTCCTCTCAGCACTCTTTTTCACTTTTTCGCAAGGCGAGACAGAATATGCGTCAAAAGATTTCTTCCTAGGCTAGAGGTCTGATCGTTTCCCGGTGGAGTGGCTCGGATGACGCAATCGCAAATACCCACCCACCCGAGAAGAGAGAGATGAAAAGGAAAGGAGGCGGAAGGGTTTGCACCACAATTGTGAGCCGATTTTGTTGAATTTGTTAAGAAGGGGTATTATCATTAAATCCATTTCGAAGAAGGGGTCCTAAGGTGTAGAGGTGTGCGAGATCGGAGTGGCTGATAAGGGGCTTCACCATTCAACAGCTCAAGCCGGTTTGCCCTTGCAGTATTAGAGCGCGGCAGTTTCTAGGCCATCCATCACAAGTCGGACACATCACTGCACCAGAAGTTGGCATTGACAATTCGCATACGGGCACACAATGCAGTGTTATCTTTGCGGTGTACGAGATTTATCTTTTGTCCACCACGCCTGCCATATGTACACAACCTGCTTCCATCGAAGCAATGCACAAAATCAACCGCGCCGTAGTATGCGAAAGACTGGTATCTCAAAGCAAAACTTCCCTCAGCACTAATGCTTCAAATGTTACCATGCACTGTCCTCGCCTACAAAATCCTTCCTTACCAATTGACAAAGTGTCTCTACAGCTCCTCGGGGAACTTGTCCGTTGTGGGTGTGGATGGTCCCTTGGACTGTGACATGGAGTAAGGTGCCTGTCGAGCACAAGTTAGAAAATCTTGGTTCGTCCTGAATCCAAACACAAACTGGGCAGCACAAGACGTACCAGAACCTGCTTCGCATTACAAACCCTCCAAGCCAATCTCCTCACGTTGCCATCCGCTGGGACCACTGCCGGTGCAAACTCGATGCCAAACATGTTGCGGATCGCGTATACGACGCGCTTGGCATACTTGCTGTCCCTCTCCACGTGGCTACCAAACCGTTCGTCCACCGTGCTGGGCGCGATGTCACTGTTGCGGTCCAGGCAGTTGCGCACGACAGGGAGAAGGGCCGCTTCGATCGCTGCCTCATCGTCCTCCTCGAAGCGGCCGATGCCTACTTCGAACGGCTCGCTGACCGACATGACCTGATGGGTACCGTCGTGGTGGTAGCGGAACTCAAACACACCCTGAGTCCACCAGAGCTTGTCGCCTTCGAACACCATCTCACCCGAGACCAGGTCTGAGTTGGGGACCGGCTCGTCCCACTTGACCGCGCCGATGTTGGCGGCTTCGCCATAGAACCCTGGGGATGTGGGAATCCAGCGGCCCAAAGACGGAACCTCAGTCACTTCGCGCGATCGATTGTCGGTGACCATGTAGAGTCCGACCCAGTCCTTCTTGCTATGGTTTGCGGGAGCCGCCCACTTGACCCTGATGGGAGCGCCATACTCAAATACGTGTGTCTTGAAGTCCTTGTCCACGCGGGCCGTGAGACTTTCCTTCCCGGTTGCCCTCTCGCCCAGTGGTGCCGTGGCAGAGGTACCGGTGAGGCTCAACGAGTAGTCCTTGGGATTGAGGCCGGCCAAGTCAGGAGGGATCCGCGTGATGGTAAGACGGGCTGGGTACTTGTTAAAAAGCGCTGTGGTATCGCGAGCAATGCTCGACACCCCACTTGCAAGCATCGGGCCGGCAGTAGTGATGACATCGTCGACGAAGTGTCTAGTCTCATCCAAAACTTTGTCCACGCTAGAGGACCAACCCTTGACTGGGGGAGGAAGAGAGTTCTTGATAAACTTGGTGAGGCCAGCCTCCTCTCGAAGATTCCCAGACCCATACACCTTGTGCATGTGTGGTCTCTCAACGAATTCGATGTGACCCATGGTAAGAATCTGACTCAGGAGAGCGAACAATGCGATAGATCTGCTCCAAGTGATCACCGCGGCACCCCACAGACCCGCCAATCCTATTATGCGCTCGGGGTTATTCAGAAAGCGATAGATAGAGTTGTAGGTCAGCTTCGCCTTGTGGTCAAAGAAGAAGTCGCCGTAGAACCAGCCAAACTCGCCAAGGGAGTCATAGACGCTCACGAACGTCCAGATTTGCAAAGCGATGAGACTGACACCGATGACATGTCTCAACAGAACCCAGCCGTGCGCCCAGTCCTCCGGCAGACTGTACATCTTCCAGCAGACCGCGCAAAAGGACGCCACGGAGAGAGTCATGCTGAAGTGGTACAGTCCCTTCCACTGTCGCCAGGCCTCTCCGGCGCTCTCTCCGTACTTGACAAAGTGGCGTGTGATCATTTTCTCCTTTGATTGCAGGGTCAAGAGGATGCCGATGCCGACACAGTACCACACCTTCCACAACAGAGCATGGAGAAAGAAAAGCACCTGGTAAGTCGGGGTCGATGGGGTGGCAATTGCAAGCACGGCGACATAGATTGAAGCCACGATGACAGAGTAGTCCGTGGAGCGGAAGAGATCAATGTTCCGGAGGCCAAGAAGATTGTGCACAGGTGCCAGTGCCTCTCTAGACGCATCATCTACGGGCTCGGCCGGTGCGTCCAGCTCCGAGTCTGACTTGGACCTTGGGGCCGGGGGATTGTATGTCTTGTCGATGTGTGGGTTCTCAACCACGACCAGGAAGGCAAGCTGGGCAAGATGTGCCGCGATCGAGATGAACAAGACCTCATAGCTGGCAGCCATGGCAGAAATACCATAGTACCCGGCATAGCCAACTGTATTGAGAGTTAGCCATCACGAGATTTCAAAAAGTCATTCCCCATATTCTTATGGGTTATTACAGCATTCCGGCAGCCAGTCCTGACGCTGGCCGCCAGCCAAGACAAAGGGTATCGCAGTGGCGTGCAGAGGAGACCGGGACCGGGCGTACCCTAGAAAGGGTGGGAGCGGGCGCTTGGGGAGTGCTTACTGCTGTACATGGGATGCGGCGCCATCTCAAAGACGCCGTCAAAGGTCAGCTCTTGGTCGACGAGGTAGAAGAAGTCACCCCAGTACCAAGCGAAGTCTTTCACTACTCGGTGGGCATCAAGCTTGACCCAGATGTTGAACACGAACAGTGCCACGCCTACAACCCAGCGACACAAGAAGACCATGGGGGTTTCACCCTCAGGCACGTGGGCGCAGACAATGGCGAAGAGGCAGTAGGACACAAAGTCACACATCAGAATCAAATCGACGAGCCGGCGGAAGACGAGCCAGGTATTGTACTCGAGCGGAGCCTCCTCAAACTTGTAGTCCTCGGGGATCTTTGCCTCCAGCTCCTTCTTCAGGAGGTTGTAGAGCCATGTCCTGGGCTGTTGTCCGGTGGACGGGTTCACAAACAGCCTCCAGCGTTTGGCCCACGTCACCATCAGCTTACCGTTGGACTGTTCGTTGAGCAGAATGCCGATGCCAACATTGTACGAGGCTCTCCAGAAGACGAAGACGGCAGCCATGACTGGCTTCCTGAGATCGGCGGGCAGGAAGTAGGCCAACAGGACGTGCAAGGCGAGGATCACAATGACGACGGCATCGGAAAGATTCTTGGGCTCACGGGGGTCGAAGAGTTGGCTGACCATGTCGTGGGTAGTGGGAACGATGAAGACTGCATGTAGTCAAAGGGCTGATCAGCCTGATGTCATCTGAAGTTATGGAGAGAGAACGGCACTAAAGAACGGCATACCGGTCCCATCTGGGGTCCGCCCATAAGTCTTGTTGGGCTTGTCAGGTTCGCCATGTTGCTGAGTACCGTGATTGACATCGTGACGGGGCGACTCCTTTTCAAGAGGGTGGTTAGAGGCCGAGTGCTCGGCTGAGAGGGCGGGTTCGGAGGTCACACCAGTTCGCTGGCGCAGGGTGCCGTCGCCGGCAAGGAGGTCGGCAGCGGAGCTCATCCTTGAGGTTGAAATCAAGGGATGCCAGGTGGTTGGTTTCGTTCGTTGAAGAAGAAACAGAAGAAGGGGGAAGTTATACCCCTTGGTCGACCATGCGAGGGGGGGTTTGGTATGATGAAGTACCGAGAGGTTGGGTTGGTAGTCTAGCTAGAGGTGGAGGTGGGAAGTGGGAAGGGGAAATGGCAGGCCAGAAGATCAGGAGGGGAAGAGGCTAAAGGCTAAAGCAGGAACTCGTGGCTAGTTCGGCTTATACATAATATGGAAGGTCGCCTCAAGGGGCCACTCCCTCGTGGAACTGGACTGCCTGTTACCAAGACATTCCATGACTGTCCAACTGGAGATGGAGATTCCTTGCCCACCCCGCGACCAACCTGGCCTGGCCTGGCATGTGGACAGTCAAAAAAACGCGGTTGGATGCGGCTTCCATGGCGGCATGGGTGATGAGGCTTGGCCGCATTTGCATTGGGGGATCATGTCTCACTCGTTCACTCACATTCTCTCTCTTACCCCTGTGCCCCCCCCCCCCAAAAAAAAGAGACAGGAAAGCTATTTCGTCACTCGAAGCAGGGCAGAACCTTCAATTCATGCAGCCTGAAGCCTGCTGCATACGCAGTAGTCTGGTGTATGTACGTACAACTTGTAGACTACAGTACATCGAACACCGTTGCATCACATTAGACTGGGGACTTAGAGCCGAATTTACCCCTCACACAATGCACTTGTTTTCTCTGGTTATGCTCTCGCCCCGTGGGGGTTTGTCTTAGATAATTGCTTCAACAAGACAAAATGCCCAAGGCTTTGGGTCGGCCAGTCACATTGTTGCGTGGTGTTTACTTGCTGTGACTTGTTGTGCGTGACTAGACTACAGTACTGACTGCCGCATGTACCGCACGCAGCCAGCGTCATCACGTCAGTGTCACATGCTTTTCTTTCTGTTTTGTTGGGGAGACAATTTTGTACCTGGCAAAACGGAGCCTTCCGCCTGTCCGTGGAGAGGGCCCCATAACGGCCGGGCTGCAAATTTGCACCCGGCACGCGACGGAAGCCGGAGATACTTTGAGAAGGGGGGCAGGGGTTGTTTCGAACCGAATCGCATCGCATGGCATCGCATCGCATGCACACGACCTGCCTTGTCGACACGGACATGGGAGAGACGAGCCTATCATGACGATGCGGTGGATCTCGTCACTCTCGCCAGGTGTCAGTTCACTTCTCCGAGACAAAGCCGCGGAAGAATGGTAGGCAAGCGGGTGCGAGCAACACTTTGCGTTTGTTCGTATTCCGCATCTGGACATGCATAGTACTAACTGTAATATTGTATAAACATCGTATGATATTATGCTTCGCACGAAACCCCGGCCCAAGCCTTACAACGCTTGTTTGAACGACAAGCCACCTTGTAGGCCGAAGTAGGGAATGGCACACACGATCGATCGCCGTGGTCATGCAATGCGTGCAAACGGTTCAACGCTTCAGTGGTCAACCACATCGTGACAACACTGCCGTATTGGAATTATCCCACCATACGGATCCCAGTGTGTGGGTCGCACTAATCGTAGTCTACTGCGTAGTGTGTCTATCCCGCTAAAGAACACTTGTCCATGGCTCGTGCAGCATGGTGGTCTAGATCTTCTAGGGTTTCTAGGCTGCGCCCATGCCTGAAGCCATCGTGAGAAGAAGCACGTGAGAGCATGCACTGCATCTGTCAAGTTATGTGCAGGCGGCTGTTCCATGCAGGCTGTCCTTGCCAGGCTCTCGACTGCAGTTACTGACTGCGCTGACCGTTGTCTGTCAGTTGGTACACGGACCACGAGTTCATGGGAGAAAACATGTAATGCCGCCGGCCTTTCCCCCGGCAACCTGGTCCACGAGCAGATGGATGCTCGACATGGCTGACTGCCGCACGGATGCGTGGCCTCTGATATTACCTGCCACTGCTGATATATGTGCCTACGTATGAAGTATGCATGTAAGCCAGATAGATCATCTCCTCGCTGATGCCATCCCATGGCAACAGGCACACAGGCACAGGCACAGGTGGTCTAATAATAAGCAGCAGCAGGAACCGTGCATATCCGGCTCTTTTCCATCTCAACCCTGCCCTCTGAATGCATGACAAGACCGCGGCAGAGGAGTGCTGATTGATGCATGCACCCGCCCCCCAACTGACTTCAGTCCTTGGCTCTCTCTCTCTGATGCTGCTTGCAGTGGTCCGGTGCGAGAGAGAGAAAATAAATAAAACCTCACCTGACCCAGCCTGTACTTGTAGGAGGGGAAGAAAGAAAAGACAAAGAGAAAATAAAAGAAAAGAAAAGAAAAAGAAAAAGAATAAAAAAAAAGTCTTAGACCAACCGTTGCCAACCCTGTTTCACAGCGGGAAGGGGCGGGCCGTTCCCCCCCAGCCCAGCGCGGGAAACCTTTTCCCTCCGAGGTCAGGTCGAGCTCGACGAGCGACAGCCGCCCACACCCACACGCCCACATCCAGGCGCTGATCATTTACCCTCCCACCACGCAGCCACTGCCCCCAGACCTGGCCTGAACCTTTTTGGTCTCACCGGTGTACAGCATACAGCATAACATAGCACACCTATTCGATTATCCCATACTTGCTGCCCAATCCGAACGAGGGCCCCCAGTAGGATTCCAATTGACCTTGGAAGGTGACGAGGAAAAAAGAAAAAAGAAAAAAGACAACCAGAAGCAGAGGGCCAAAAATCTCATTCCAGATTATTGCACTGCCAGGGGACGGCTTACTCCTCTTTTTTTTTACCTTCCCCCTCTACTCACCTGACCCTGATCGTTCACCACCCAGCCTTCCTTTCTTCAGTCCATCCGCCAGCCCACCGAGTCTACCGGATGCACCAGGCCGTTGTTCTCTGTCTGCCCCCAGCCCGTCCTCGGCTGCGCCCATCAACACACTCTCGCGACCAGCTCCCATAGCACAGTCACTCGTTATCTCCTCTTCCACCTACCTCTCCCCCTCCTGCCTCAACCCTGCGCCGTCTCGGCAGTCGTGCCGTCTCCCACTCACGCCCTGTCGCCTTGAGATGAGGGGCAATACTGTTGCGGATACTTGGGCGCGAATACCTGGCCTATCGTCGTACTGGTGTCTGCAGATCCAATGGCGCGTAGACGAAGACGTCGTCGCTGCCCTCACGGAGCCTCGCTACCCAGTTCCTGACGAGAGCCTCGACACCATCATCCTCGTACAGACCATCTACCTTCTCCAGCTCTTCCTCCATCTCCACGAGTTCGACCCCTGCATCAAGGAAGGCGACCCGGACGAGGAGCTTCTCCGCTTATTCCAGGACAACATTGCCCGCGAGTTCAACAGCGCCTACGGCACCGCCCACAGCCGCATGGACAGGGGGCCATGCCCGGATGGCGAGTCCCTCGAGCGTGTGGTGCGCGGGCTCATGCTCGCCCAGAGAGAGGCTGGCCAGCAGCAGCCAGAGCGCTCCCGCTCTTCACACTCTGACTCACCAGACTCTACTAAGTCCAGGCTGCAGCAGCTGCTCGTCCAGCTCGTGGTAGAGCTCAACAAGCCCGTCTACATGCACAAGTCCCGGTACGAAGAAGCCCACGGCCCACGGACGGACGAGACGTGGGCGGCACGCTTTGCGACGCGCATCATCCAGTGGCGCTTCCACATGCGCAATCCAATGGTCCAGCCGGCCCTCAGGGAGCAGATCATCCGTGTTGTTGAGGACGCCCATGCGCTGGACGAGGAAGGGCTGGAGGTGTATCGTATGCTTAGGACCGCGGCGCCTGGTTTCATCCACGTCGTAACGCCCTTGCAGCCGGAGTTGCAGCCGCCGCTGCGGCAGTCGAACCCGACGCACCACGGGCCACATTCGCATCAGCATCAGAGGTCCATAAGCAGCGGCGGCGGCATGAAGATGCAACACATCCTGGCCTCGCCACTGCCGCAGACGCCGGACCAGACACCATCAACATCCTCAGCCACGCCGCGGACGCCATTGTTTCCTCGACATTCCAGCGGCGCCCCTGGTGCTGCACCGCCGCCACCACAACCCAATCACGGCGACAACAGCAGCAATAAAAGGGCCTCAGCACACGACCTACCCTACCCACCAGCGAAGCGACCGCGATCCGCCCACGGGCACGACGGGAAAGAGGCCGATGACGCACACACCCAACCGAAGAGAGAGCCACCAGCTGTAGCCGAGGGGAACCCTGCGGGCGAGATCCCGATACGTGGCGGACAGGCCGGCGACGCGTCGAGTTTCCAGCGGGCAATGCGAGCCGAGGACGCAAATGTCCTCCAGCGCATACTGGATGGAGTGACCGGGCTTCACCAGAGAATGGAAGGGCTGCACCGGGACCTGGGGCAGAGATTTGACGCGCTGGACGACCGGCTGCAGCGGCTGGAGGACTGGATGACCGTGAGTCAAATTTTCCTTTCCGTTTTCTTCTTGGGAGACGGTTTCTTTTATAGAGTGCCGCCACGGCAAATCAGGGCCATCGAGCCCTCTTTGCTTCTAAGACATGTCTTTCCGCGCTAGTGCGCGACTCTAAAAAGATACTAGTGTTTTGGGGACGTCCGACTAACTTGGCATCCATGAAAAAAAGGATCCTGTATAGGACGCGGGGCGGTCGTCGGCCGTCGTCTTCACAGGGCCGCTGCGTCGAGGTCGAACAAAGGGAGTCCCAGGTTCACAGCACTGGACACCGATGAAGGGGAGCTGTGGTTTTCGGCCATAAACGGGCCATTCTGGCGTGTAAATGGATGTATCGGATAAAAATATGACTCTCGGCCCTTGATGTTTGGGGAGAACGGGCCAGAGGCAATGGATCGGCGGCGACGATCACGGCTTAGACGGCGCTTTCCGAAATTTAACGGCCGGGCAGCCGATTACCACGATAGGGCTGACAGCAAAGGGCGAATTATGGTAAGGGACGGATAGGGCAGGATAGGGCAGGACACGATTTGTCCGGCGCGTCAGCGTGCCGATGCTGTAAGAGAGTGCGGCGTGCGAAATGATAGCTGATAAAAAAATACCATCACACCAGAGTCGGCCACTGTCGGTCGGCACTCGAGCCACCTCGGCCCGGATGAATTTCTTGTGATTCCCTGTAGGCATTGCCGACAAGTGGGATATCACAGCGGATCGTTGCATAGACTACGCCATATTTTTTCCGAGACAGAAGAGCAAAAGGTCGCTTGAGGCCGAGATGACGCCGACCAAGACGTGCCATGCGCAGGGATCCCAGGGGTTAATTCGGCCCCTCAAGACATGTTATCTTTATTGTTGGATTTCTCGCATATAGGACAGACTGGAACGTTGCGCCGGTTTTGACTTAAGATTTGTTTACCCCTTCGAACAGGATTACACGGCCGTCGCCCTTGCTCGACCGGGGTGCCCTCGACGCGATCTGCCTGGTGTAGCGGCTTTGACAGGGACTTGGCTGGGCGGCTAACTATATGTGCTCGTCCGCGCTGCGATTTTGCTAGCTTCCAAATACTCAGAACCATGGAAGGTGAGTTTGTTTTGAGCATCTCTGACTTGCTCCTGATGACTCTGTTGTTGATCATCACGCTATGGGCGTCGCACACTTCGGCAGGAGTGTTGGCTACGCGTCGGTGTGAGGCCGACTAGAGAAAACGTCAAAACGATGGGGCCTGGCTTTGGTTTAGGGATGGCTTGAAGAATATGACACGAGGTGGGTGATCTATTACGCATCGACTTCTCTCGAGTCGCGACTGCTGCTCGCTCATAGCGACATAGCGACCACGACAACAGCTCTTGAGGAAGAGCTGAGATTTGCCATCTGGATGTGATTATAATGAGTTGAATGTGTGAACTATAGAATCACAACCTGCGTGGCACTGCATTCAAATTGGAGCCGTGTTCGCGATCCGTCGGTGAAGAGAAGGTGGAACCTTTCGCTGGCTGTGTGTCTGACCAAGTCACTATCGAAACACACATAATGATTCGTCGTAACGCACTCTGTTGAAGTGCCGTACCTTGAGGAATTGTGATTGACTTTGCTTGCTGATACCGTCCACCCTAGTGCCTAGACACAAGATATGGCGGCAGCCCTCCTTCGACTATCTGTCCGTTCATAATGAAAAGATCTCGCACGACCTTGTGTGGATCGCCTTCAGATAGATTACAACTTTATAGAATTTATTTTAACTACATCTACATCATGCCCACAATGAGACTCTTGCTGAGGATATCCCATTTCGCCTCCAGGGTAGTGCATAGAACAGTGCGCCAAGACGGTCAAACAGGGTGAGCGATTTACCTTTGTCCCTGAAAGGGAGTGAAAGAAACTCTAGCCCTCTCGGGACACCCCGACCATTGATTAACAACTGTCATGTGGTAGGAGAAAGACCCAACAAGGTTTTCAACAGGGGCAAGATAAAGCAACGAAACGGACGAAAAGAATCCCTCGCAGTCGCTTCGATCACACATTTGCGTAGGTAGCAATATTCTATTTGCCATCAAGTTGTTCAATCATCTGCGCAACAACTCATCGCAAGCCTTTCCAAGAGTACGTAGCACGACATCTCGAGGCCCATCCAAATCATGTTGTAGGCGGCATTTATAAAATGAAAGAGACCCAAATCAGACAAATGAAAGACACATCACGTAGAGCATACATGAAACCGACCAACCACTCAGCCCCGGAAGCCACCCAGCTAAGTCCCCGAAGACGTACTTCTCCTCCTCCCCCTCGAGATCACCGGGGGAGAACGACCAGCCCGGGTCGTGCCGGTACTCCTGAGAGGCTGAGCAGGCCGGCTCGGGCGGGTGCGGGGAGTAGGGGTACCCGAGTCGCCGTCGTCCTCGCCGTCCTCGTCGATTATGGCCACGATGGCCGCGAGAAGCTCCTTCGTGCGGTCGCACGTCCTGTCGATCGTGTCCATCCAGCCCTTGATCTCCTCGAGCTTCCGTGCGTTCCGGCTCCTGCGGGGCCGGGGGGTGGGTGGAGGGGTGTCGCCCGCCGCTGGTGGTGGCGGTGGGGTCTCGGCGGCCTCATGCTCGGGCTGCTCGGGCTGCTCGGTGTTGGTCGGCACGATGGTGTTGGTTGGGACGGTGGTGCCGGTCGGCACAGATACAGGTGGCGCCGCGTTGTCTGGCCCAGGGGCGGGTGGTCTGGTGTCGTTCTGCGCAGATGCTGGATTCCGCCAGTCATACGATGATGGGAGGACGACAGACGAGCCGCCACGCAGCCTCTCCAGCCGCGGGATTTCTTCTACGGAGGCCTCGCTTGAGGCCGTGGAGGCCGAGCCTCGTTGCCCGCCTTCTCCCCCAGTCGGTATTCTTGTGACCGGGCGGTATCGCTCGGGGTTGGTCAGCCGGTAGAGTGACGTCCTGTCCGGGTTCTCAAGGTTCCATTTGTCAATCATGTTATCGAACATGAAGTAGTCTTCGGTGTCGACCTGGTCGATCATGTCCTTCGTGTCCCATCCTAGCTCACGGTCGAGACGGACGTTAGGCACCGTCCAAGATGTGCTGAAGTCCATGATACGGTTGGCCACATAGTTCCTGTCTTGTATGTCTCGATGCGCGATGCCGATGCTATGCAGCCTCTTGACGGTCTCGGCCATGGTCTGGATGTTGTCGATATCGAAGGCGCCGTGCTCTCGAGCGTCCCGTTCGATGAACTCCTTGACCACCGCGTAGATGGGGAACAAGGGCCTGTCGGCCACTTCGGCGTCCGTCCTTATGTATTGGGAAAACCACTCTTTGCGTGGCAGTCCGATTCTATTGTGCACGATGGAGCCATAGGTTCGCTCGTCTAGGACGATGTACCCGTAGCATTTCCAAGCCAGGTCCTCATTTCCCGTCTCCTTCAGCCGGCCGTATGCCCGCGCCTCGCAGTTGAACGGCGTGAGCTGATTGTTTAGTTTCTCCAGGTCGATGCCGCATCTCGCGAGCTTCGCAGGGTTGGTGGCATTTTCCTCCTCCGCCCTGACATGCCTGAACATCTTGAGTGCGTAGGTGTGCCCATCGATCCTGACCTTCCAAACATGGCTGTGGGCACCGCTGCCGAGTCCATTCACAAATTGAACAGGTCTGTGTCTTCCACCCTTGAACAACCCCAGCTTGGGTCCCTATGGTATAAAAGTCAGAAATGCATTTCAAAATCTCCTTTCATAGATTTGGTACGACATGTTAATTTCTTATGAAGACCTCAGGGCCTTGAATTCTGTGAACCTACTTCTGTATTAGGCAACATTTCGTCTGTATTAAGCGACACTTCACTTCGCAGCACTTGAACCAATCGCTCAATACAATAAGAGTTTTAGAGGAGAAGTCTCTAGATTTCGATGTACTAGAGCATCTATCTTCAAGTTGCTTGACAGTATACGTTTACCATTCCAGGCGTATACACTAAGCACACCTATGCATCCATCCCGGGACAAAGACCCGAAGTGTTCTTTGCTGGACGTTTGCAGCATTGTTCATGACCTCTGGGACTGACACAATTCATTTACAGTCTCCGCATCCGCTCACAACCGCCACAGCTACAAAGAGATTTGCATTTGACTCATTTGGCAAGTGACTTCTGTGCACTAGGCCTTGATATCAACTTAGAAATGCATGAACCTTAGGTGTGAAGACAAACTGGGAAACAATTAGAACTTTGAAAGAATTGATTTCGCAATAACCAAACTAGAAATGATACGAAGGCACAAGAGAAGTCATCAGTGGTTTTGACTTATTAATAAAGACCAGGTCTGGACAAGCAGTCCGAAGCTGAAGAATGTATTATTTCCCAATTTGAGTAAGTGGGGTGTGATTACTTGGCGGCGTGTTCGGCGTGTCTGGCGTAATTGAGCGTCTTGAGCGTAATTGGCGTCTTCCGCGTGTTTGAGCTCGCCCCGTTGTAATGGATCTAAGTGCGATAGGCTAGCTAAGTAGATATCCGCGTTGCTCAATGAGAAGGTGACGCTTCTGATATCTACAAATAAGACCATGTTGGAACCTAGAAACCAGAAAACTTCTCTGGAGACAGTCCTATACAATAATACAGCGTCACAGAGTCGAAGAGCCGGAACAAATAATGACCCCCAAGACGTTCAGACAATACTGGCTGCCCGAAAAGAAGGGCTTCTCTAGCCTAGTCCTACGAGATGTACCGTTCGAGCCCCCCAAATTTGGACAGGTCCTCGTTCGGATTAAAGCTGTCTCCTTGAACTGGAGGGACTGCATCCTTGCCATCGGGACCTATCCTTTCCCCGGACCAGACGCCGTCGTTCCGGGCAGCGATGGCGCGGGTATGTAGCTCATGCGATGATTCATTCCAAGAGCTATGCTAATGTGTTCGTGCTCACAGGCATAGTCGAAGCCGTCGGCGAGGGCGTCACCGAGTGGAAAGCCGGCGACCGCGTGCTGGCCAGCTTCACTCAGGACCACATCGCCGGGCGTCTGACATACCCGGTCATGCTGACGCAGCTCGGCGGCGAGGCCCAGGGCCTCATGGGCGAGTACTTCTGCTTCCCCCGGACCGGAATCGCTCGAATTCCGGACTACCTCTCATACGAGGAGGCGTCGTGCCTCCCCTGCGCGGCGCTGACCGCGTGGAACGCCCTCTATGGCCTCGTGCCCCTCCGCCCGGGCCAGACGGTCGTCCTGCAGGGCACAGGCGGCGTGTCGACCTTCGGCCTCCAGATCGCCCATGCTGCCGGCGCCAAGACGATTGTCACGTCCTCGTCGGACGCGAAGCTCGAGGCCGCGAAAGCCATGGGGGCGACGCACGGGGTCAACTATTCCAAGACCCCGGACTGGGCCGCCGAGGTCAAGAAACTGACTGGCGGAGTGGGTGCGGACCACATCATCGAGGTAGGTGGGACGCTGACGCTGCAGGCATCGTTCGATGCTATCGGATTCAATGGGATGATCCATGCCATCGGCCACATCACCAACCCGGACCCGCTCGGCGCTGGCAAGGGCCTGAAGGGCCCGGACGCGGCGTTCTTGGCGCTGGACCGGCATGCTATCCTTCGTGGCGTGGTGGTCGGGTCTCGGGAGCAGCTCCAGGACATGCTTGCGTGTTTTGAGGCCAACGAAATCCACCCAGTAATCAACAAGGTCTTCGACTTTGAGCAATTGGTGGAGGCGTATGAATATCTTTGGTCGGCGACTCACACTGGGAAGATAGTCATCCGCATACCCTGAGAAGTCACCTGAGGCAAGCGAGTTGCCACAGGTGTCCTTGTTTTCTCAAGCATATATCAACCCCAAATGAAATTTCATGTGAGCAAGAGACCTCCGCCTTGGTTGCGAAGAATGTCCTCCCAATCCACGCTGTTGCCCTTCGTGCGGGCGGTTCGAGTTCGCCAAACTTCTTCAAGAACCTCGCATGCGCGCAGAACATTACGGAATCCACGTATCTTGTCGATGGATCGCAATCTCGAGCGAATAATTTCCATGTCTGTGGACTCAGTAGCTTCTCCGCCGGCCATAAAAAGGGGAAACAGAAGAACTCCATCAGGATGTGCGTCTTCAGGGATCTTGGCAATGTTGTCCAAGACCAGGCAGACCTCGTCAGAGACTTTCTTATCTGAGCTGCCGTCAATTGACAGTTCCTGCTGTTCAGAACAGGACGGGTAAGTCTGCCGCATCCGCTGGTACAGGTAAATGAGCGCCGCGCTCTTGTAGGCATATGCTGTGGCTTCTAGGACGGCATCCGACGATTTTGGATGCCAAGAGCGAAGATTCTGCTCAATTTGAAAACATGTCCTCGTTCGCTCAGCAGTCTCCTCCCTCTCAGACCGTGACACATCCAGTGTCGGCTTGTCCCCAGTAGCATCCAAGGCGCTTATCTGAGATATGTAGACCAGCAGCTGGGAATGAACTCCAAGGTAAGAGTCAACGGTATCGCTCAGGCCCTCTAGATAATCCCCAGGTATCAGTGCCGATCTCCCGGAAGTAACGCTACCCAGTATATCGTGGTAGGCGAAGTTGCGCAGCAGCCACTCGCCCTCGGTACTGCCCCGGAAGGCCTCTGGGCCGTGGAGATCTTGCCCTTGGTCACGCAGGCGCGCCGACAGGATGACGGACTGCGCGCCCATGAGGTGTTCCGACCAGCCTGTGCGGAGGCCCAAGATGGCCTCGGAAGCGGAGAGAAGCAGGCAGGAAGCCAGGGCAGTCTCGTAGTTGTGGATGGCCACGAAAGGCTTCGCTATGTCCACACTGAGACCTCTCAGGGCCTGGGAGCGAGCCTCCATCGCCGCGACCTGGTACGTGGGGTCGAAGTTGGACAGGTTGCCCGAGGCGAGGGCAACGACCGAGTCAAAGAGCGTCTGCGACTCCATTGCCATGGGCAAAAGCGCTTTGCGGCTAGGTCAGCCGAGACTTGAAGTAGACAGAGCTTGAGCTTGCCAACATACCGGATAGAAACGAATTTTGGTAGCCACATGCCGTTAGCTTTAGTGCAAGGAAGTTCACGTAATACCTCATGAAGAGGCGTGTTGACGGGCTTCGACCTTGGGCGGGTCCAGGAAGAAGATTATCTTGCGGCGGTCGGACATCAACGGTCCCGTCACTTGGAGGCTTTTCTGTCCCAGGCACTCGCCTTGCAGGCTCACGTACGCACTCGAGGTTCAGGCGCACACAGCTGCCGCATCTCGGGAGCGTGTTCTCGACACACTTCTTGCGTCTCGCGCGGCAGGTCAAGCAGCCGGTGCGGTCATGCTTGGTGCCTTTGCGCCTCTTGACCTGAGGCTTCTCAGACATCTCGGATCGAGCGCGTGCGATAGCGTTGGCGATGGAGATGAATGCGCATGAGGATGGTAATAAGTAGAGCGGCCGACAATGCGGAGCGGGGCTGAGGTGCACCAGGGGTGAGCTTGACTCGGCCGTGCCGTCGTCGCTTTGTCCTTCCGACCGGCTCAACCACGGGGCGGGCGGCCACGTTGGGTCCAACGTTGATCGGAAATGACTTGCGCATCGTCTACAAAAACCAGTCTAAGAAAATTCTAGATCATTGGGTGTAGATCTACCGGGTACTTGGGCCCGGCAGCTTCTCAGATCTGGCCCACTATATATTTCATCTGTCAAATCGGACCGGGCAGGGTGAGTAGGTCGAGTTTGCGTTTTCAGTCTTTTCAGGGACCGCGGCTGATCGAGAAGTAGAAACTCATTTCCAGCTCACTTCCAGACACAATGCTAGACCGGGACATCTAGTGCACATGAATAACAGGCAATAAGAGCTGAGGAAGTGACAACACAGTCTGTCCGGTCCAAACTACAGTACGCCTCGCTGTCGCCGCCACCACTTTCCCCCTCTTCGTGCAGTATCACTCGAGCGTCAAACAAACTCAACGACTGGCAGAGAGGTTCACAGACCTGGCTGTCAGTGAAACTCAAAAAAGATACCGTACCCATGAAAGCGTTTACGGGACCAGAAAAGAAGCATGGGCCATGTCTTAAGACGGCGGATATAGCTCCAGGCCGACAAGGGTCTTCCCATTCCCGAGCATCCAACGTGGCACGCGTTTGATTGGGAAAGTTCATGCCGTCCTCTTCTTCCCCCTCCAGCTGCCATGTCAACAAAGCTCCACCACGACCACGACCACCAGCACCGCGAACAGCGCGACTCAACCCGGTGGAGCCAAGGGTATTGCCTTGAAAGCAGGGTGGAGGGATGTAGGGAGGGGAAGGCAAGGTATGGGTTGCACGGGTCGAGTGGTCCACAACAATCAGAAAGGGTCCCCTCTGCTGCCGCTCTTGATGTTGCTCATACCACCACAGTCCCTGGGCTATACGTGGTATACCACCCCCCCAGCAGTGGACGCATGAACTCGGGAATTAGCGAGTACCGGCCAAGATGGTCGATCCAGTGTGTTCTTCTGGCTTCTCTTCTTCCCTTTCCAGTCAACACGGTCGCGACCCACCCACCATCGGGCGCGTGCCCGCCCCTGACCCCAGCGCGTACAGAGCAAGAGGAAAAAGAAGGGGCGGTCTATAGGTGAGTCACCATATACCATCGCAGCATGATGGGTGATCGGATATCAGGGGGGTTGCTCGCCAGTCCGCAGAAGTCTGTGGCTCGCTGCTTTCTCTCGTCTCGAGCTTCTCTTTTTGTCGCATGTATACACAGCCTCCTGTTCTCCGGTACAGTTCTCCGGTACAAAAATAATCACTACCACTAGCGACATCACATCGTGCCTTACCAGTTCATCAATTTGCTCTTCGCTGGCGTGTGATCCCGACCTGTCCAGCAAGGAAGAAACGAGGAGGAAATCTATCTATTCGCCTCCTGAGACGCCGATCCGCGCGCCCCAAAGTTTGGCCACATCCTAAGGGACCTGCCACTTCATAATACCACCCTATCACCAAATCACACTTCAAAAAAGAGGAATCGAAAGAAGATATAAAACCCCCAAAAACCACCTCCAATGGGTTTCTTCTCAAAGTCCAAACCAGAAATGGCCCGCGAGACCCCAAAGTCAGGCTCGAGCGACGGCGGTGCCTCTGACGCCGGCGGCGCAGCATCGACATCAGCGGAGCCCCAGCGCCCGGGCACGTCGGGCACGGAGATGCTGCTCGTCAACAACCGGCAGCGGGCGTCGGTGCGCCTGCGCGACGCCCAGCGCAAGGAGCGCGCCTACAAGACCAAGAAGCGCTCCACGCAGGCCCGCGCCAACTGGACCGAGGCCAAGCAGCACTTCCGCGAGGGCTTCCACCACAACATGAACGGCGTGCGCCTGTCGTGGCGCGTCGTCAGCTGCGTCGGGTGTAAGTGAAAACACACACAACTGCTACCCCCTCCCCTCCCCCGCCCCACCCAGCTTTCCCATCTCTGGGGGCTATCAAATCAAGTCGCAACTTGCTAATTGAGACTGGCCGGGTAGACCTGTTCCGCGCAAAGAACGACAAGCTCAAGGCCGAGGCCGAGGAGAAGCGCAAAATGCGCGCAGCAGACAAGCAGCGCAAGCTGGAGGAGAAGCTCAAGCGCGAGAAGGAGCTCGCTGAGAAGGGCGAGGCCGGCGAGGGCGAGGAGGGCGCGGCGAAGAAGGAGGGCGAGGGCGAGCCTGAGGCGGAGGCTGCGTAGGTTGGGCTGCGTGGGATGGTCCGGGGCTGGATGTTGAATCGCCTCGGTGTGATGATGTTGGGCTGGGGGACGTTTGTGTGTGACCTCTAAAGCGACGATGTTTGCTTGGGCACACACCCGTCGACCGAATCCCCATCATCAGCGCGCCTTTCCTATGTCTTGTTTTTGCTGACGTCTTTTCCGGGACAAGAACCCACCCTCCACTCATTTGTTTTCCTTTTACAAGTCTAGTCTGCTTCCCTGTTTTTGTTCATGTCGTTTCGACTGTTATGATGGCTTTTACGAGGCAACGATCATGACCAGCACAATCGCTTTTTTTAGATCTGACGTCGAGGAGGAAGAGGAGGAAAAGAGAGAAAGAGAGCTTGGACTGGTCAAATCGTCGGTCGGGTTCCTCAACCCGGGCCTCACCACACCCACGGTTCTCATGGAAGAGCCATTTTTCCTATGTCAACATCACTCGGAGGAGTCGGTTTGCTGTTTTTTTTTTTAGAGATATCCAGGGATTACAATCAGTGCGAGGTGAGAGGGGGGGGGGGGGGAGAGACAGAGACAGTATGTGCGGTTATAGTGAACGGTATCAGCAGGATCATGGTACCGAGATAATACCTAGTGGCGGAAGGATAGATGTTAGGTCGATCATTGAGTTACAATGCCATGCAAGCATCATTCTCACCTCTTTGTACTGGGCTTCACCGTGCTTTTCAACCAGGTCTAATATTGTAATACAATCCTACAATCCCGCATATCTGGTCTGCACACCTGTTTCCGTCGTTGTCGTAACCAAATACGCCGTCACTATCGAGTCCCGTGCAAGCTCTTCGAATTCAGATGTGCATATTTTTGGCGGTCTCAAATGACAACTTCCACGAACCTGCAGCTCGTCTTCACCAGATCACACCCAGGTGACCTCATGAGCGCCCCCTGAAGTTTTAGGAGACGAGTATTTCGTGGCAAAGAAACGGTCAAATCATCCATTCCAGGACCTATGTCTGTCATCTGCAATCTATCCATCAACCCCTACACGCCGAGTCTGAACCAAACATCTAAGCAGCCTTCTTCGCAAACTCGACCTTCAGGATCAAATGCTTGAAACCGAAGCCGTCCATCTTCCCGCAGGCCCTCTCGGCATCGGTCCTGTCCGCAAAGCTGATGAACGCGAAGCCCTTGGCGCGGCCCGTCTCCCTGTCCTTGGCCAGGAACACGCGCGTGACGCGGCCAAAGCGCTCGAACATGTCGCGCAGCTCTTGCTCTTCTGCCATCTCGGAGACCTATATGGGGGGAGAAAAGCCAGAGGTCAGCATACATGCGTGTGATTTGTGCGTGGAGAGAGACTCGAATAAAATCAAAAGAAAACGTACGTTTGTGACACGCAGCGTGGCAAAGTCGTCGCGCTCGCCAAACTTGCCACCGCCCATCCTCTCCCCTTCGCCGCGCGCGCCACCGTTCCGCAGCGCAGGCGGGACGTAGGAGCCCTTCTTGCCCGCACCGGCACCGCCTGCAGCGGAAGGCTCGTCGCCCATGCCGGCGGCGACGTCGGCGACGGCGGCCTCGCCGACGGGGGCCATGGTCTCCTTGTAGGGGCAGCGGGCGGTGAAATGCTCCTGGGAACAGATACGACACTTGACCTTCTTGTCCTTGAGCTTGTCCTTCATGCTCTGGGCGTTGGGGTCCTTGCTCTCGTCCTTGGCCTCCTGCTTCCAGTTGGCCGAGGGGCGGAAGATGATGTTCTCGCCGACCGAGGTGGTGTCGGGGGCGGGGCCGATCGGGTCGCTGCCAGACAGGCCGAACTTGGCCCACTTCTTGCGCTCGGCGACGCGCGGGTTGACGACCTCGCGGTGGGTGATGAGGCGGATGCGGCGGGTTGTCTTGACCGTCTGGCCGTTGTCGTTGAGGTGGTACGAGATGATGGTCTTTGTGCCGTCGCGGTTCTGGATGGTCTCATCGGCGGGGAGGGCGGTGCTTGGCACCTCTTCGTTGTCGTCGTCGTCGGCCCAGTCCCTGCGCGGGGGTGACATAATGTTAGGGGGAAGCTCTCGTGGACACACATCGTGCCGTAATCGCTGATCATTGCCCATGAAATGATCCAAGCACAGGACAGCTTACCTGGCTGGGTTGTTTGTGGCGGTAGCAGCCATCTTGGATGTGATTCTGTCTGGGTTGGTTGACAGGCTGGCTGGCTGGCTGATGGGCTGGCTGGGTTGGGAGTTGACTGGCGGTAGTGTGTGTTGTGGTGTTCGGTTGGCGTTTGATGTGGGGTTGGATTTTTTTGTGAAGGTCGAAATTCTGAACTCTGATATGCGGTAGCAGGGAGGCGCACCAGGCAAGCTCTTTGTGGGGCAGAATTTAGTGCAGAGACACACCAAAAGCCGTCCGCCCCTGGCCACTCCCCCCAACCCCAAGGCAGCGAGCGTCCCTCGACACCCGAGGGCCGTCCATTGCCCATATTAGTCACCCTCTTCCACTGCAGCTGCATTGTTTCCGCGACATTCGACACGTTGAGTCTTTACCATGAGAGCCTGTTCTTCACATAAGGTACACACTGATTTTGATACTTCTGACCAAAATATGACTCACCGTCGCGCTAGATACGACCAGTCAGTTGCTATGCGCCACCGTAGTGTCATCTCGTCTCCGTCATCAAAGAGGACCGCCTATCCGGTCGATTAGTCCTGCAGAGCAGACAGCGACATAACCAACGATGCAAATGAGCACGGCACCGTAGGCTACTATTTATTCACAGAGCATTCAAAGTCAGGACATTTGAGAAATATAATTAGATACTCGCTTGCAAAACACCCAGGCTGCGACCAATATGGTGGCTATGGTCCATCACCAGCTTTCCGTCTTAAAACCACATGCTGCGCTGTTCCCTTTATGTGACATATGACCATAGCCTTCGCCTGATGTGTAGTGTGTGTGACCTTTCCGTTCATGCTGCACCCTGACCCTCTAAATATCCCGCCCAGATCTCCATAGCAGGTTCTTTTCCCGACAAAAGAAAGCATCAAAAAGTAGCGCTCACTGATTCCAAGGGACGCCGTCCTTCCGCGTCCGTCCCGTTCCCCATTTCCGACCTGTCTCTTTTTTTGCCGTACCAGCCCAACACCGTCCTAAAACCAGACAAAGGAAAAACTTCAGTAGGCGAAGTGAAGCGCACCACCCAGTAGTGCTATGATGAGGTCCGAATAATTTAGAGAGCCACTCTTCCAATTCCATTCTGCCCCCTTTCTCGTTCACCTTCTCACCGTGTCAAATCATCAATCGTAGCTTGCGAGAAGAAATGACACGAAAATTTGCCTCCGTACTTTCTCGTATCTCTCATACAACGAGCGTCGCATGGTCCCTCATCCCCATTCTGGGAGGGATACTCGACGACCTCCTCTTCCTTGCCTGCGGGATCGGCGGCAGCGCCTTGGTCGGCGGCGGGGCGGGAGGAGGCAGCAGGGGTGAGTTCTGCGGCTGCGCATGTGGCATCTGCGGGAGGCTGCGCCTGTTGACCAACTTGGAGGATGGCCCTGACTGCTTCTGCCCGTGGCCGGGGATTGTCATGGCCGACCCCCTGCGCGGCCCGCGTTCCGGAGACGGCGACCTGGCCCGACGCTCGGTGGCCTCGTCGCGGTAGGATGGAGTATGCGCCCGGCGCCTGCTGGTGGTGGGAAACATCGACACTGAGCGGTGCCGTGGCGAGTCCATCGCGCTGGGCAGGCTGCACATGCTGGCCCTTTTCTGGGCGGCTGCGGCACGGATGATGGGCGATCGACTCCTGCCCGAGGATTCATAGTTATCCAACGACGACATGCTTCGCGGAATCTCGGCCGCCGCATCTGCTCTGTCGAGCAGCGAGGATCCACTGAGCGCTGCGTGGGTGGGAAGGTCGGCCTTGGGCGTCTCGGCCCAGAGGGAGTCATCAGAAGGGCGCAGCGTATGCATGCTCGCGTACTTGCGCGGGCTGTTGTGTACCGACACCTGGTAACTCGTCCTCATGGAACCACGGCTCGACGCCCGTGACGATAAATCATATTCAGGTTTATTGTTACCAGCTGACCAGCTCGTAAACATCGACGGAGAGTTTGGACGCGGTGAAACACCGGCGCTGTCATCGGTCTTTAGAGGGCTTCTTGGCGTTGGTGACAGCTTGGAGGGTGAGGGCGTGTCTGCCACGATGGAAAGCGGCCTAGACAGGCCGAGGGCTGAGGGAGGAGGACGCCTCATCCTCCGTGGTGGTCGCCCCGGTGTTCCATGAGCATTATGGACGTGAACGTAATCTTGCGTTGCAGAGCGACGGCGTGCCCCTGAGTATGGGAGGCTGAAGTTGGGCGGCTCCTGAATGGAGGACAGAGAAGAATGGGCCTTGTGCGGGGTTGGTATTGCGTTCATATCATGGACCACGTTGGACGTGCGGTAGGACTGACGTCGGTCCTCAATCTCTGCTGCGTTGGGTCGACGCCGGATTTCCATCTCCTCGGCCAGTGGGGTAGGCTCGTCAGAATTGCTGATGAGGCTCCCAAAACTGTCGCGGAGTGGCGAGTTAGACGGCGATGAGTCGGATGTGACAATGGTCCTGGCTGCAGACGTGAAAGAGTACCGGTTGGAGCTATCTCGGAGGCCATCGAGTTGTCGCCCATCCTGGGAAACGAAGCTGTTGGTCGTGGAGTTGTCATCGAAGCTTCGGTCTGGGAGCAGCTCAGTGAGCGTCGCGTCGAGGTGTAGCTCTGGCTCGTCAAAGGTGATTGAGGCATCCCACCGCGTTTCAGGGCTGGTCAATGCCGGCACGAATCGAAATGGGTCTCTCACCACAATCGCCCTTTGGCTGGGCTGGGCTTTCAGTTTGGTGGGTTCCACAGGCTCCTTGGGCGCCCCTGTCTCTGTTACGGGCCTTTTGCCTCCCAAGGACTCGATTTCTCTCCGCAAGAACGACATCCAATCCTCCATATCATCGACATTTTCGAAAACCATCAAGATGTCAGAAGCCTGGCGCTTCTCCTTCTCCCGCATCCCAAACTTCCCGAACAAGGATCTCGTGTCCTGGCTGACAATAGCGCCTTCCTCGAATACCGACGATACCTGGAGCACCCAGTGCTTCCCCGGGATGATATCGCTCGCGAAAGCCGCCGAGTCCTTGCAAAGCTGAATCACCTTCTCCGGCAGTCGGTCATGTGTGCCATCGCCGCTATACTGGAGCAGATACCCCGAAGTAACCAAGACATAGAGCTTGCTGGTCCAGTCGAGCTTGATAGAGGAGCTGTTGCGTCTGTGCTTCTTGCGTGCCATGTCAGCAAATAACGCCTTCTGATCACCAAGATCTGGGTGGTTTATATTGCTGTTGTTGATTATTTCTCGCTTATAGTGCGCCCGAAGAAGGCTATCTGCCTGCATACAGGCCGGTAAAGTTGCGGTCCGAACCGCCTGCGGGTATGCTTGGAACAGAGGTACTGGATCCCAAGTGGCAAGCGATCCCCGCCTCTTCCCATTGGGCCCAAGAGGTGACCTGGGCGCCATGAAGGGTGGTGACTTGATTGTTGAGGTCCGGGGTCTCAGAAATGGTCCATCAGCTGAAGCCGGTGCAAGGTATGTCTCTGAATGTGCTGCTGTCGGCCGCAAGCCATAAGATGGGCTACCGTCTTTGTCGGCCGACAATGATTCCCGTTTCCCAGCTCTCGCAACGTTACGGGCAGCCTTGAGTTCGTCTGGTTCGCTCGACCCCCTGTGCCTGGCAAAAATGCTTCTGAACCCCAGTCTCGACTCTCTCCTGCCTGACCTAACTTCCTTTTCAGCACGCAGCGGGATCCTGTTCTCCATGGCGGCCGTGATATCAAGGTCCGGCGGTCGCTGTCTCCGCGAGACGGTGGTCCGAGCCTCGCTTGAGCTCCCGGAGGTACTGCTGGCGGGGCTGGCAATATCGAATTCCGGCATGTTTAAAGTTTGTGTCTGGTTTAAACGATGGATATATAAAGGTAGCCTCAAGTGTCGGTCACAAGAGGCGCAAGTGCTTGTATAATGCTCCTTGGTCACCAGGTGACAGCCTCATGCAGACGAGAGAATGACGCAAACTTAGAGACAGGTTGTCCGGCGCGATATCAACATTGGGTTACTAGCAGTGTGATCGAGACCGGTCAAGACACCGAGGTAAGAAATGATCACGAAAGCGAGTGAGATGTCTGAGCGACGGGTGAGACAGGTGTCGTGGTGCAGAAACGACAGGAAAGAAAAAGGCGGGTGTTCAGTCACGAGACACGAGGGAAGGTAAACATCACAGGCCGAGACGTTGTCAGTCGAACCAGGAGGGGCGTCGGTGGCGTGGGGGCTGTCTCTGTGGGTGGTGCAGGGTCCGACGACAGAGCAGAGGTCTCACGAGCGTGATGAAAGGAGAAGAGAGCCGGTGTCGTCGTTGGGGTCGAGAAAGAGAGGGAAGGTTTGTGTGTAATATGAGAGAGTTACAACCAAAGGGGGAAAAACAAACTCTCTTGCGCGAGAAGAAAGTTGTGCGCCAGCAACAGCTGCAACGACTAACGCAGAGTCCAGAACGTAGCCCGGATCGAGGACGGGTTTATCAGGCGATGATATAGCACATTGGACCATATTAATATCGAATGGAAGCTTTGGGGGGAAAAGAAAAACATTGGCCGAGTCGAAGCTGGGAGAAGGGAAGGGGACAGGCTCGGAGGTCGAGGCTTGGATGGGATGTCCCGGCGCGATGTTGTGCTGCTGCTGCTTGGGTCTTGGTGGTGCTTGGAGCAGCAGCTGCTGCTGACCGAAGTACTACACAGAGGGTGGGCAGCAGGGCCAAGTACATGGGTACGAAGATACATGCTTGGCAGACACAGTATTGTAGACTTGTAGACCGGGGGTTGCAGGTAAGGCACCGTGGGGCACGTACCCAAGTACCTCCGTACCTTAGCACTGTCTCTGGGCAGAGCAGGTCCTGCAGTAAGGTTGGCGGGGGTCCAACAATACAGGGACTAGGGTTCGACACACCCCGGCCGCCCAGGAGCCTTGCATACACCGACAGCACCCTCAAATACCAAGTATCTATCGCATTTGCATGGCATCTCATCTGCTAATATTTGACGCGAAGAGCCTGTGCAGGTACATTGCATCACATCATAGCAGGGCAGGGCATGGGCAGACAATTATTGCTGACTAGTGTGTGGGAAGACAAAAACAATCAAGCCGAAGACTTGACAGGCACAGGCACAGGTCGGGACTCACCCGTTCTGCGCTATCGAATTATCAGAATCTCTTATGTGGTCGGATAAGGTTGTGATGGTGATCGAGATGTGATATTCAAGGGACTGCTGGGTGCCGCGAAGCCGCCCTGCCCTGTCTGGTACGCCGAGTGTACAGTGTACAGCCCAAGTGCACCCTGTAATCATGTATCGTAGCAGTGTAATTATAATGTAACCATATCCTACTGGGGCTTTTCCCAAGCTGGCCGTGACACCTGGTTTGATCCCCTACACTGGCCGTGGGATGACGAATGAGCGAGTGAGCGAGTGGGCGATTCCACACGTCAAAACTTATCCAGGCACCGGCTTCATAGGGCAATCAAATTGGCCTTGACCATCTCCCGCCTGGCCCACCAGGACAGATCCGCCCAGGCCAGACCAGAGGCCAGGCCAGCGCGCGCAGTCGGCCAGCAGCAGCTCTTGAATATTGTCCTGTATTGTATAGATAGTCACACTACGTAGGCACAGGCTGGTCTTCTCGGGGAATCGACAGCCCGGCCAGGATTTTAATATTGCAGTACTTGCCTGGGCCACACCAGCGCGAAGTAGCAATGATCTCATCCTTTTCTTCCCGCCGCGCCGCCACCACACCACGTCTGCAAGGATGCCCACCAATTCTATCTCGCAAATCTGACTTTTCGATCTAGGGTCCGACCACTCACACTCTTGCATGAACGACACGACGCGCTTTTTATCGAGCGTGTGCCTCTTTCTCCTCATCGTCGCCGTCTTCTTTCTCCAAGGCGCGTCCTGCCCTGTCAGGCACGGCGAAACCCTATTTGCTCGAGCTTGACATGCAAGTGGCGCGAGCTATTCCTGCTAATGCTTACTGCATGCAGACTCGGTATGGATCAGACTGTAGTTTCTTGTGGGTTCACAGGACAATCAGCAGCTCAACAAGTCCGAGTAATCCAACTAGATGAAAGAGAAGAGCACGGAGACGACAAGGGAGACGGGAAGAGTGGTCAGGCCCTGCCATGCCAACGCCCACACCATGTCTTCCTTGCCCAGCTCTGGCAGATTTGACCACAAGGCAGCAGCAGGGGATCGTTGACGGGGCTGACGGGGTGGGAGACGCGAGCGGGAAGCCGAACAGCCAACTTCTGGTTCGTGGACCCCAGCTCGCTCTCCAAGGAAAAGTTTTCGCCCGCTCAACCCTGGCCCATGACGAATGGCCTGTGGCCGTGGCCGCGGTCGCGGCAACGGGATGGGCTAACCCGTGGATGATGGAGAAACGCAAGGAGACATCGTGGCCGTCAAACTGTTTCGGTGTCGGGAAGGCCCAAGGGCGAGGTATTCTTTGGCTGTGGGAGCACAGCCAAGTGCCACCCACCTCCTCGCATCCTTTTTCCAATTGATGACATGACATGACAGCGACTACTGTAGAGCACAACCTGACTGACAGGCAAACTGACTCTCTCCCCAGTTCTATGACAGAAGAGTCACGATCTAAGAGACCGAACCCCGCCCTCTGCCCTCTGCCCTGCCGACGGCTCCCGATCCGGAACTCTCGCGGGTATGGAAACCAGATCCTACATGGTAAAACACCCCACCCGCGACCCATATCGCCCTGCCCATCTCCAGCTCTGCCGTTAGTTCCAGAATGCCTCAGTACCCACCGGAACATGGCTGTGTGGTGCCAGAAGCACCAGCACTGTGTGGTCTGTTCTGCCGCGTACTATGTACGGCATCACAGTGTCTACTGTGTAGATGCCAGCGAGGCCGTCAACCAGGTCTAGGTACAGCCCAGCCCGTCGGATCGACGTCTGTAGGGCTCTTCCTGCTCGCGCTCGAGCTCCAGCTGCCCGCCAGCTCTTGGGATGGAGTTTGCTTTTGTCATAGTTCGCGCCGTCGACAAGATTGGGCCTCGATTGATTATTCGTATCTATCTTGCTTTTCCCCCACGCTGGCGCCGCCCACAAGGAGGATTTTTTTCCCAGTCTGCCCACTGTTACTGCCACAGTACAATATATCCACACAGGGCCAATTCTATACTGGCCAGAACTGGTGGTCCCAGGGCTTTGGAAAACGAAACTCAATCAAGCCGTCCCGCAGGTGTCTGCAGATGCGGCCGTCTACGTGGCCTCCTGCGGACATAACTCGATATTATTTCCCCTTGCGGCATCCTTGCAACACGCACGCACGCTCGCACGACACCTCAGGCACGATGCACGACGCACGACACGCCACGGCAGTTGAGGAATTGGCCTGCTCGTCAATGAACCCAGATTAATTAATTTGCTAACGGACTAGATGACTGACTGAATTACTGACTTCCACAGCCCCTGACTATCAAAGCCAAAACCCATCCATCACACAGACGGTTGTGGGCTGTGGGCTCTGTGGATCGTCAAAAAGTCTGTGCTTGGAGAAGGAGGAGGAGGGGCAGTACAGTAGCAGACAGGGACGGGGTCACAGAAACCTGGATCCGGTCCCGGCGTTACGCTGAACCCACTCATCAACCCACACTCAGGCCCATGTCTGCCACGAAATACAGGGGCCGCACGGAACTCTTGCTGAGACGGCCGGGGGAATCTCGTTCAGCCTCCTCTGGAGATTGACTTCACCTATCCAGCTGTCTTGCACCAGCTCTGCCCGTCGACACGCTAGTAAATACTCCAGGAGTCAAGCTGAGCCATGGGTACACAGAGTGGGAGAGGGAGAGAATAAGAGAGCCAAGCGCCATCTTCCAACCGAAGTCCCTGTCTCGTCCCTGCGACTGACAGGTCTCGGCAGCTTGCACACGCGCCGTCCCAGCCCGGGCGGGGAACAGTTCGTGCGACGCGAGGGAATGAATGCCTCTGGGCTCTAATCTGTACGGTACAACAGACATGGGATGAGACGAGACGAGCAGGACGAGGGCGGCTCTGCTCCGGGCTTAGGTGCAATCCCCACCACTCACGGCCACTCTGGGTGTCGCTGCTTGATGATCCATTCGTAAGCACTTGGGCCTTGCGATATTGCGTAGTCGCCCTCCCCCATAGCTGCAGAAAGTCGCATGCACCTCGCCTGCGTATAAGCAGGGGCTGCAGCAAGCTGGATCGGGACCCAAGCTGGTCGGGACCGATTTTGGACGGAGGGTCTCGCTACTGCGCAGCCCAGGGACAAGGCCAAAAAGAAGGAGAAAGAGTAGAAGAGCTAACGACTACTTGATGCTTTTACGAGATGGGTCGGCCAGGCCACGTATCCGACCGGCTCAACTTCCCCCTCGTGAGGTCGTGGGCGGCAAAGACGGCGGGAGGAGAGAAGGCTAGGAACTGTCACGAATTGTCCTGACTTATCGGTCGCAAGACAGCAATTGGACACGCACGACACGCACGCACGCCTCTCTCCCTCATGTCTCTCGCTTACTCGTGTCGCACCGCGTCGAGCTATTCCATTTCCATCTGCACGATCCCGCTGGTTCGACTTATTGTTGCGGGTTTGTGCTACGCGCTCTGGGCCGCCCGCCCTCATGGGGGACACGCGCACGGCGGTGATCTGCGCATGTCTGAGAGGAGCTTCCCTCCTCTTCCTCACTCCACCATCCGGGCAATTCTCTCTCGACACCATCGCGCTGCCACCCCCCCCCCCCCACCGGATCTATCTTCCATCTCCTTCCATCCCGCCGCATCGTGCCGTCGCGAACTTTCCGAACGGATCATTTGCCAACAACGGTTCTCGCGTTCTGCTGGATCCCACCTAGATGCGCGCATTTTCACGGGCAGAGGGCAGGAATAGTTCCGACCGGTATACCATCTCGCTCGGGACAGAGTCCCGACGTGTCGCATTCGCCCGATGTCACACAGACGTCAGGCTCCTCTCGCTCTCTCTTTCTCTTTCTCCTTGTCCTGCTCCCGCCCGCCTATCGCAACAATTGGCCTCCTAGCCTCACAAGCGTCCAGTCTAGCCCGCCCGCCCGTCCTATTGTGCCCGTGGACGGTGCATGCACGTCCCGGCGGCCGTACCGCAGATCCCTTCGTAAAACTGGTATCGTACCTGCAGTAGCGCCGTGCATAAAAAAGAAGGTTGAGGGAGGGGGGTCTATGAGAGTCCAATAGATTCCCACCGAAATTCGAATTGTTCGGTACGGTGGGGTTACTGCTTTCACGGGTACAGTAGTCTGTTTCTCCCTCTGCTATAGACCTATCCAGACTGGCGCAGACACCTGCCAACTGCTACCCTGCCGTAACTCCTCCCAGGTTTGGGCATCTCGCCCGCAGATCACCTTGGCTTGCGTTTCGAAACGAGCGCCATCGCGCACATTTTAGTTGTCTACTAATCTAGTGCTAATTCATACAAAAGTTTGCGATGCTTTTTTACTATGGTCGAGCCCTGCCACATGTTTCTGATATGACTGGGATCTCGTATTCACAAGCCTCTGTCTCTGTTCTCGAGGAGCCGAGGACACTATGCTTCGGAGGATTGCGACAATGTATGGTGTCGACACAATGACGAGGACATAGGCATCGCGGAAACGTTCAGCCGATACGTAAGAGACCCTGGATAATCAAAAAGCTACGTACGATTTGTACCGCGAAAACTTTCCAACCACACTGACACATCGATGACTCCTGTGTAAGCAACACTCCGCTCACACTCACATCAAAGCCTGAGGTTCGATATGCCGCCCAATTAACACCCACTAGCTCCTGTCGAACCACACACGATCCTTCCCAAAAACTGCACTGGACATGTGCGCATGTACATATGTATAATTGAATCTGTGTATGTATGTATGCACAGGGGCACGCCAAACCCAAAGACCAGAACACGCCACCCAGCGACGCCAGCCCACCCACTCACCACCCGCCTCAATCACCAACATCATGCCATTCCCCCAACCCGCCAAGCGGGAGGCGTCCCACCATCCCCATCGAGAGAGAGATAGAGAGTGAGCGACCATGACCGCAGCCGAAAGCCCACCAGGCCGACCGGCCCGCCCCCCCTTATCGAACCCTGACGTGACAACGGGCCAGGCTGTCAGACCGTGCCAGACAGCCACGGGCAAGGCCTTGCCGGCCTGGCTGGGTGGTGGTGATCTGACCCTCCTGTCAGCCCGCCACAGCCTTACAGAAGCACAATAGGACGCGAGATGGGCCAGCCAACCAACCGACACCCCCCCTCAACAAGCCAAAATCCTTCCAACCACTAATCATCCTCCTTCAGGCTGACGCGTTGCTCGAATGCCTCGCTCCCAATCTCCAGTGCCGCCGGGCTCAGATGGGTGGTTGCGGCCCTGCCTGCCTGCCTGCCTGCCTACCTGCTTGCCCGCCTGCATGCGAGCTGAGCGCACTATTGACTGCAAGGCATCCTCACCACTCACTCTCTGCCGGTAGATCAAGATCGTTGGCCACCCCCCATTCGCCCCCCCCTGACCGGACCCTCTTGGGGGGAAGGCCCGTCCGTTGCAACTCAACTGTAGATCGTCAGCCCGTAGGCGTGATGGGATGGATGAGTGGGTAGGGCGGGAGGGAGCTCCCGCGAGATGGTGCTGATGGGCTTGATCTTCGTCGCCCCGTGGCGAAGATAATCTTTTCTTCCCTCTTCCTTCGCCCGATATACACCCTCAGCTCCACGCCGAGCGTCTCTCGGCGCTGCTCTGGGGGCAGAGCCTCGCTTCGCCGGGCTTGTTTGACCGGTCAAGCCACTCCGGTGGGTGGCTTCGTAAGTATGAAACTAGAAAGAGCCCCAAGCGACGAGTTCACCGGGAACGCCCCCTTCCTCATCGGTGAGAGACGTGGTCAGCACCCAATTTTCCACAACGGGGGCGAAAGAAAACAAGATCGCACTGAGGCTTCGTGTCTGCTCCCAGGAGGGGGGCCGGGAAGGGACGGCGCGCTGTAGTTCGTCCCATAGTCTCTACCTTTCCATGTTGTGTGCCCCTTCAGGCCCAGCGCGGCAGGTGTGAAAGACGCCACATTTTGGGAAAAAGAAAGCGAGGACAGGCCAAGAAGAGCGGCTCATGGTGCTATTTCGAGGACAATTTGCTTCTTTTTTGCGAGCTACTGTAGTTGATCCCGGTCTTCCCTGACAAAGGAGCTGGTCTATGCCATTGCATTCCAGAGCCGCGTCCATGTCCTGCGTCCAATGTGCGTTCCGCTAGCCGCACGCCGATGTCTGTGGTCTTCTTTTTCTTCCCATGCAAGACAAATACAAAGGCATTATTGGCTGATTATTTTGTATGGAACAAAGTTCATTGTAAGAGTCATCGCAAAAGAAGTCGAGGTCATAGAAGACATGGCCGTGATGCGGACACTGAAAGATTCCCAATGCGGATATATTAAGACATCCCAGAATGCAGACTGACTCCCAAAATGGTCTCTGCAATAACCACCTCAGCTCACTCCAACAACCCGAATAGGAAAGTTTCTGAGTCCTGCAGTGCAGACCAGAAACTTCATTGTCTTCCGTAGTCCTTGACAAACTCACAGGTAAGGATCTAAGGGTTTGAGCTCAGGTATAGCAACAACACCTCGGGCACCGCCCGGGTCCATCGAGATAATGGACCCCATTGATGGCCATGAGTTCGAGATCATAGACATAGATGATCAGCCCGATCAGTGGGCTCTCATGGCGCTGGACCCTAGTGGGAAACGGCAGCTCTTTGTCAGGGAGGTCGGCTCAGGGTATCAGTCGATGGCAAACCTCTTCCGGGAGCATGGCGGCGACAAGCTCTCCGTCCACAAGGTAAATAACATAGCGCACAGTGAGGAGAAGATGAAGCGACCCGATCGCGAAGTCAGTGTCGCCCGGGTGCTTGCCGCCTCGAAGGGGGCATCCCACTTCGCAAAACTTTTGTCCTCCCAGGACTTGCTTGATGAGCGTCGCGAGAGCTGGTGGGAGTTTTATAACACTGGCTCCTTGTCCACTCTGAACTTGTTCATGTTCACGGAGGTCAAGCCGCCGCTCAGTCTCGTGTTCCGCATTATTCGCCAGTGCCTTGAGGGTATACAGTGTCTAAATAAGCTTGGCATCACGCATATGGACCTGCACTCGGGCAACGTCTTCCTTCATCTGGTTAATGGAAAACATTTGAATGCTGTCATTGGTGATTTTGGCTACTCCCGTCTTCCGGGACAAGGACATCCGGCTTTCACCAACTGGGAAAGTACTCTGATGAATACTTCAGACCGTAAAGGAGAATCCTCGCCTCCTGGGACCTACGGGCCCCCGAACGAGTTTGAGGACCGTTCTTGGCGCTTGCGCTGGGACCTTTCGAAGTTTCTCTTCAACATCCGTGAAGATGTCAAAGACAGCCTCGACAAGAACGAGAAAGAGAACAGACTGCTTTTCACCCTCTTCGACCGAATGGACGACATGTGCAAACGAGACGAACAGGATCGCAAGCTGCCCGAGGCCGAGAGACCAAAAATTCAGGACCTTGCCCAGACAATCCATGATGTAAAAACCCTCGAGCGTCTCTATGCAGAAACGGATTCAGACAAGGAGGCACTTTCAGAGCTCCTGGAATTATTGCAGGGAGTCCTGAATGCTGAGCGTGTCCAGCCCCTTGTCTTCAGCGACGAGCGGGAGGCTCGAGATAAATTTCAATCCAACCTTGATAGCGGTCCTTTCCGAATGGTCAACCTATCTGATGAGAACTCTATCGAAGCCGCTACCGCATGGTTAGCTGCACTAAGGATCGAGGGTAGCGCGTATGTTTCTGGTATTAGTGACCAGAGCGGCTCTAGGCCTACATCGCCGGCCTCGAGTGAGACCCGCGACAGCACCCCTGCGGAAGATGCTGAGCAGCAAGGTAATCCAACTCAGCAGCAAGCCCACCTAAGGCAAGATGTTGAGAAGCAAACTTCGCCCTCTGGGTCTCATGTGACCACTCGATGGTCCCCTGCCACGCAGGGCCTCGCTGAGGCAACCGCCTTCGCAGGCGGGGATGACTCAGTCGTGCCCGCCGTTCTTGGAGCGCGCGATGTCGCGGAGAGGAACCAGGCGTTGGTCCGCGAAGAACACCATCGCAGACGCCGTCAGCAGTGGTTCTTTGGCCGGTGAATAGTATGCAAGACCTGTGGCCCTTTGGGCGCATGGGTGGCTATAATAAATTGTGATATCCACTTGGATCACGTATTACACTGTAACATCTTGTTAATTTCCACCTGCAGCTTTTTCTTTTCTCTGGGAGAAAAATCTTCACTTTTGACTTTTCCTTTTGCCTTTCCTTTTGCAATCTTTTTGAAACCACTTGGAACTGATGATAGCATGGAGACGATCACTTGCATCGACTCCATGTATGCGTGTGATCATCACCAACAGTGTGCAGAGCAAGCCAGGAGCTGCCTTGCAGCGGTTGCTAACCTGCCGAATCCTCGCCACGTTCGTCTAGATCCTTAGCGCACCGACTGACTGGATGAGCCGCCGACGCGTGATGCGGTGCCTGGTCGAAGCTTGAGCCGTGTCGTGTTGTCTGACGCGTGATGCGGGTGACTGCAAAAGCTCTGCTCTGTCTCAGGTTCTTTTTTATCAGGCTCTTAGCCGACATGTAGAGTACGTTCTTTGTTCGAGACAGGCGCGTCGTTCCGCCTATCGCAACGAGCGCACACGTGTTGAGAGGAGTTAGTCGATCTTTGTTAAGGATTTGTCTGACTTCAAGGTACTCGAAGCATCCCTGCAGAAATAGGAGCAGAATGTCTGAGATGCGGCGGTCGTCATCGAAGCTGAGGCATGGCATGTGCAACTGGAGATGGGGCTCAAGACCACAGCCACTGCCTCGATGTCCAAGGAGAGATGTAGTGGGCTGAGGGAAGCTGTCAGGTGAAGGTATAAACTCCTCGGTGATCTCAGCCACTTCGGGGTCAGGAACCGAGCCGGCCGACCTTGGCCGCCTCCGGCTCCCCGTCCACCAGCCCACCATCCCGCATGTCCCCCAGCAGCACCATGAAAGCCCAACTTGATGGGACACAGACATTCAGGGTCTAGAATTATACTGTGTCTGAGACCAGAGGTCATGCGGTCCAAACCGTGAATTGAAGTGTTCTGATAATCAAAAGAAGGGTTCTACCGGGAATGTTGCAGAGAGATGAACGAGCCCCTTTAGGACGACAGCAAGCCACAAATTGAGAGAGTCGTATGGTGTGTGTGGTCGTGTGCGTGTTAGTGGTGCGATGTGTTGAATGGGTCTTCTCATTTGGCCAGGGAACGAGCTTGAGGAGAAGAAGCATTGGTTGCCAGCATTCATGTTCCAGTGCTGGTGGACATCGAGATCGAGAGTGTTTGCCCGTTTCGAGAGGGTCAGCTGGCCGGCTAAATTGGCTTTGATCAGCGTGACAGACTGCCAAACTTACATGAGAATTGCCAGTGCGGCCGACAATTCTGTCAGTCAGTCTGCCAGTCAGTGTGTGGCTTGGGATGGGATGGCAGGATTGGAGAGAACCCTTCTTCCCTCTCTTGAGGTGGTCTGGGGGCGGAAAAGGTGACGGGTGAGGGTGAGGGATGGTGGAATGGGATGAACGAACACAGACCTCAGAAATCCCTGCCTCTCTGCTGTTGCCTGTGGAGGGTGACTTTGGATGGGCGCAGCCCTGTGACGCAAGTTGCCCCTCCATCTCACCTGCCACCCATCCCCCACACAGTGACTAGCACCCTACGTAGCAGTCTCCCCACCTTTCAGTACCTGGCAGTGCACTCGGTATGCACGCTGCTGTAGAGCTTCCCTCCTAGTTTGGCCCCGCCATCCATCAATCAACCTCCATGTAGTCTAAATTGTGTCTAGTCCAGTTGCCTACATCGATTGAGAGGACCAAACATCCATCACCAGCCGCATGGTTCCTGCCTGACCTACACCCATCCAGTCTACTCATCAGAACTGACCTGTCGAAGATCAAGAGACAGGAAATAATATTGCATGGTCCTTTAAAACCAGAAAGAGGGGCCCTTCTCTGGCAACCGCCACTCCACCACTCACTCCAGAATGCCCGACATCAACTCTCTTCCCCCTTCTGCCCTATCACCACCGCTTTCCTCCTCATCAGTCTCAGCCTCATCCCCCGCCGCAGCATCTGGCCCAGCCTCTACCTCTGCTTCTGCAATGTCGGCCAACGCCAACGCCAACGGCAGTGAGCCCGTCCCGGCTCATGGTCCCAACAGCTCGCCTTCTCCAAACCGGTCCGCTTCCACGTCCCTGCAAGCCGCTGCCGCGGTCAATGCTGGTCTGCAGCATGAACGCTCTTCTAACTCGCGACGTACGATGCTACCCCATCCCGGCCCCGGCCCAGCGCAAATCATGGCGTCGTCTTCCTTGCTGACATGTCTCAAACGCCCACAGGATCGTCCGGTTCACTCTCGCGACAGGTCACTTCTCCAAGCAACGGACGGAGGCGTTCCCAGGTCCTCATGAACCTGCAGATCAACGATCCCTCCGTGCCTGGACCCGGCGAGATGGTCCCCGATGCCGCGCACGCCCATGGCCACGGCCACGGCCATGGACACAGCCACAGAAGCAGCTTCACGAGCCCAACAGGGCCCAGTGTTGGCTCGCCCCTGCTAATGGCTGATCCGCATCACAACCGAGCTCCCAGCTTGGGAGAGCTTCACCAGGAGTTGGAGGCCGAGCAGGAAGCTCAAGTGGTATGACAGCGACCTAAAGCTTGAGTTTCGAATTCGTTCATAGATGCTGATTTTTCTCTTTCCTCTCCAGAACCGCCTCTTGTCTCAAATTCGCCAGCAACAAGCCCAGATCCTACAACTTCAGTCTCACCAGAATCAGTCTTCGTCCGCCATCGCAGGCGACGAATCGCCCGGTGTGACGACTCCAGCTCCTGGAGCGCAACCTATTTCCACAGCTTCCAATCCTACTTCTGCAGCACCGAACATTTCAGCCTCTGGCTCACTGCCCCGATCACCCATCTTCCCGCGCAGCTCCTTCGACCTTGCCCGCAACGATCTACGACACAGGTCCCGAACCCCCAGCCGCGGTGCCTCGCCACGACTTCGATCTACGTCCATCAGCCAGGATAGCGGGGAACCATTCGCGCTGGGCGGAAGGGACGAGAGCGCGTTCTACCAGGCCGAGACTCAGATGTTGACCAGGGAGAACCAAATGCTCCGGCATCGAATCCGAGACCTAGGTAAGTCTGGGACTGTGATTCCTGTAAAGCATGACACGCAAACCGGCAGATCGCTGACAAGAAGGCATTCATGAAGAGCGACAACTCGCAGACACGACTCCTGGCGGCAGCACCGCTTCGGTCACACACGAGCCTGCACACCACTCAGGCCTGACGCGGTCAGAGTCTGTCTCTGAAGAGGCCAGGCCTACTGGTATACAGGCTACCCACACTCTACCAATTCGAGAGACGCCGAAAGATGAGTGAGAGCCGCCTCTCCGCTATGGCAGGGAGGGCAACTACGACGATCATGCGAATATTAAAATGCATGTGGTCCAAGCTACCACAATTGGGGTTTTCGGAGCGAGGGGGATTCTTTGAAACCCTTCGACATGACTGTACGACTATTTACCTGTAATGCTGTCTATGAGGGCGTTGGCGTTGGCGACAAATACCTAAATAGTGCGCAGTGATAGAGGCTTCAAAAGCTTCAATTTAGATGGCACAGAAAAAGCCCATCCTCTTGATGCTATGTTTCTTAAACCAAGACCGATGTAATGAGACAGGTGAGAAAGTTGTCGTCAAAACTACACTTTATTCCCGCCGTCTGTCACAGTTGTTGCGGTGCCACGACCGAATTATAGTGCACATTTGTTTGCCTTGCTGGAAGGATTCTTTGACTTATTCATGCATAGGCAAAGCCGTTGATCATCCATCATACAATGCGCGTATGAAAGCAGCAGTATCTAGCAGCATTATCGGTCGGATGCAATGGAATTCACTGCTTTCCCGCCTCATCATCAGAAGTTGGTAGGTCGATCTGACGCTGTCATGGGTATCATCTTTTTTCTTCTTCCCCCCTCTGTTCGTCTTCCTCACAGACACACAATCCGTTGGGCCCCGCAGAGACTCCTGACCATCTTTCTCAAGGTCGCCGCCCCTGCTCCCCTTTAAGCGCCGACCATCCTCTTCACCTTGTCCAGGAGCACCTTGCTCTCCCGCCCGAGCTTCGGCGGCCCCCGACGCTTGCCCGACGCCGAGAACCCCTTGGCCTTGAGCATCGCCCGGCGCGTGCGCTCGCGCTCGTCGATGCTGCGCGCCCGCTCCTGCTCGCGCCGCTCCTTCTCCGCCGCCCGCGCCTCCGCCTCTTCCTTCTTGCGCTGCCCTTCCTCCAGCGCCTTGTCGTAGTAGTCTGGGCGGCGCTTGTGCCTCTCGCGCCGCGGCTTGGGGTCTGCTGCTAATGTTGCTGCTGGTTGTGCCGTTGATGTGTGCTCGTGCTCGCCTTGCTGCCCCCCCTCCTGCTCGCTGTCTGCAGGTACTGGTCTCTCCCTCCTCGCCTGCCTCGGCGGCAGGGGCGCCGCCTCGCCGTCGAGCAACGCCTGCCGCTCCGGGTTGACGTGCTGCCTGTCCAGCTGGTCGTCGTCCATGCGCTGCTGGCGGTCCGGGTGGATCTGCGGCTCTTCTGTGCCTCCCGAAGGCTTCTCCTGCGTCTCCTTCTCTTTCTTCTTCTGCAGCTCCGCCTTGACCTTGGCGTAGTCCTTCTTGACCTTGGCCTTGTGGATCAACTCGTGCTTGATCTTGGTGTTTTTGCGCCGCCATGCACCGTCTGGCAGGTTGTCTGGCCCCACGCGGAAGCCCTTGCGCTTCTTTGCCTCTGGAGCTGCGGATGGGGCTCCTCCGCCCTCCACCTCGTCGTGCGGTCGTTTAGAATTCATTGTGCAGAGTTGGTTGGGTTGTAGATTGTGAGTTGTTGATGAAGGCTCTGCGTGCTGCAGTCGAAATTGGAGTTAATTGAGTTGCCGTCTGTGAAAATGTGCAGAGCCTCACACGATTTGAGGTTCAGCGTCAGCCGCCTGCGTGCAGAATGGTACTGTAGAGTGGAACCTTGATGGCCAAGGCCAACTGATAGCTTAGCAGACAGAATAAATTTTAGCGGAGCCGACCAGCTCGGCGAGATGGCAATCTTGGGGCCGAACCGACTCGGGTATGTTCGGCCATGTCGGAGTAAAGGCAAAATGGCGCAGGATCCTTGCGGGTGAATCTTTTTAGCGGCTGGCAATGGCACCCGCAGAGGAGCTTCCCTCCAGCCCAGACTTGACTTGGGGTTGACGTTTTGCTGTGTGACCTTTTTACAACCTCATCTTCAACTTCGACTTCCTCTTCTTTCTCTCTCCACTCAGCCCCTAACCACTCCTTCTTTCCGTGATCAGCCCTCACCGGCACAGTGTCGTTTGTGGCCCCTCCTGTTGTTATTCTGGGACTCCTCCGAATTGGGAATTGGCATATATCCTAATCCTACTCTTCTTCACACACCCCCAAGATGCTGGCCGTTCGCTCCATGGCCGCCCCTGCGCGGCGCCAGTTCGTCCGCGCAGCTCCCCGCGCCTCGTTCGCCTTCAGCCAGACACAATGCCAGAGGAGGTGGATCTCGGGCGAGAGGGTGGCCAAGTACAACGGCGTCAAGGACTCGAACGGCAACTTCCCTGTCAGTCTGATCGAGGGCGACGGTATCGGACCCGAAATCTCGCAAGCCGTGAAGGACATCTTCGCCGCGGCCAAGGCCCCCGTCGCGTGGGAGCCCGTCGACGTCACGCCCATCCTCAAGGACGGCAAGACTGCCATCCCAGACTCGGCCATTGAGAGCATTGAGCGCAACAAGGTTGCCCTCAAGGGGCCCCTCGCCACGCCCGTCGGCAAGGGCCACGTCTCGCTCAACCTCACCCTGCGCCGCACCTTCAACCTCTTCGCCAACCTGCGGCCCTGCCGCTCCGTCGCCGGCTACAAGACGCCCTACGACAACGTCGACACCGTCCTGATCCGCGAGAACACCGAGGGCGAGTACTCGGGCATCGAGCACACCGTCGTCGACGGCGTCGTGCAGAGCATCAAGCTCATCACCCGCGAGGCCTCGGAGCGCGTGCTGCGCTTCGCCTTCCAGCAGGCCCAGGAGATCGGCCGCAAGAAGGTCCGCGTCGTCCACAAGGCCACCATCATGAAGCTGTCTGACGGCCTGTTCCTGTCCACCGCCCGCGACGTCGCCAAGGACTTCCCCGGCATCGAGCTCGACGACGAGCTGCTCGACAACACCTGCCTCAAGATGACCACCGACCCCATCCCCTACAACGACAAGGTCCTCGTCATGCCCAACCTGTACGGCGACATCCTGTCCGACATGTGCGCCGGCCTGATCGGCGGCCTGGGCCTGACGCCCTCGGGCAACATCGGCGACGAGTGCTCCATCTTCGAGGCCGTCCACGGCTCCGCCCCCGACATCGCCGGCAAGGGCCTCGCCAACCCCACCGCCCTGCTGCTGTCCTCCATGATGATGCTGCGCCACATGGGCCTGGGCGAGTACGCCGACCGCATCGAGAAGGCCGCCTTCGCCACCCTCGCCGAGGGCAAGGCCCTGACCGGTGACCTGGGCGGAAAGGCCAAGACACACGAGTACGCCGCTGCTATCATCGAGAAGCTGTAAAGCGAGGGAATCCCAAAGGGAGAAAACCCTTCATAGACGGGGACATGCCACAGTTCCTGGATGTCACGATGACGACCACGACCACGACCCAATAACCATCACACACATCTACCTACCACTCACAAGAGGGCTGAGCTTGGATGGGGCACTTGTTGGAGTATAGGGAGGCATGCATTACTTTGTTCCGCATATCAACTACATACAGACACCACCGCCCTCGTCGGCACCTTTTCATTAGTCTAGGGGAGGACAGAAAGGGGATGACTATACACAATCACACACACAGGGGAGAAGATAAGGGGGTAGGGTGTTGCGGGGGGCTACGAAATTGTAGACTGTAAAGTAGTTCGGGCTCTGCAAATGCAATGCATCAATTCTAAATGCCATCTAACAACTCGCGCGCTCACATCCATTCAATTCCCAACAACAGATAACGGCCCTATTAAATCGACCCAGCTATGGACATTGTCGTAGTCGAGACACTGCTCGTGTCCCCACTTCCGCCACCTCCAGGGGCGCCGTCCCGCCTTCTCGGCTTGCGGAAGCAGGCGAACTCGTTCTTGCTGGCCTCGCGCAGCCTCTTGAGCACGCTGCGCATCTCGGGCAGCTCGGCCTGCAGGCGGGCGCGGGCGTCGTTGTCGGTGCGCGAGTCCAGCTCCTGGTAGATGGTGGTCTGCAGCTCCGTGGCCTTCTCGGTCATGTACTGCGACAGCGTCTGCGCGACGAACTCGACGTCCAGCGTCGCCTGCATCAGCGCCGCCAGGTCGTACCGCTGCCGCGTCCGGAACGCGTCTAGCAGCTCCCGCGACGACAGCTCCAGCAGATACGACAGCACCTGGCTCGTCAGCGAGGCCGCCGTCGTCGACACCTGCGTGTGCACCAGCACCAGGCTGAGCAGCGCCTCGTAAACGTACGGCTTGACCTCGCGCGGTTTGTCGGTCGGGGACGCCGGCGCCCAGTCTGGCGCCGTGACGCCGGTGCGGATCACGGATCGGAGGGATTCTATGTAGGGCCGCGTGTAAGATTGGAAAAGGCGGGCGTCGATCTGGGCGAGGACGTCCTTGATCTTGAGCGTCTCGTCGGTGAGCTTGACGGAGAAAGCATTCTCGAACTGTGTGTTCAGACCAGGGACGACCTCTGCTCGGAGTGATTGGAAGTTGCTCAGGGTCAGTAGCATGCGAACGTTCTGCACAAAGTAGTCAGCATGTGTAACCTGTATGCAGCTTCAGACTTGAACTTACCCTGTCACCAGCATTGATTGTTGCACCGCTCATGCTGGCTACGCGTGAACTGCCTCCATTCACAACGACAAATCCCTCCTCAGTCGTCCACTCATCATCCGTTCTTCGAACGGAACGCTCTGCATTCTCCACCATACCACTCAAAGCCTTGTATAGAGTCGTGACGTACTGGCTGCGCACTGTCTGCAGTAGTTTTGTAGGTGGTGGTTGTACAATGTCACCCGCACCAGGCTTCGACATAGCCTCAGAAATGTACAGTATTTGCTGCATGCCAGTGAGGAGAGCGCTCTCGAATGCCTTGAAACTGGCGGGCATCTTCGTCACATCCTTCCTCTCCGCAGATCTGCTCCAGTCTTCCACGTATTTGATGTTCTCCGCGTCCTTATTCCATGCGGCACACAGGGCTGATACGCATCGCTCTCTGACGGATGCAACAAGTGTTCTCAACCTCTCGAGAACCGCACCATCGCCTCGGACAACAGGCGCCAAGCTGGCCATGTCGCATGACCCTGAACCCACAACGGCGAGTATCTTGGCGAGATAGTGCACAGCACTGACCGAATTAGACCACGGCGGCCAGAATGCATACTTCTCCCATTGCTCTCCTCGTCTTGGGGATGGAGGCGGGATGCTGCCCGGATCCAGGTGCATCCGAGGATCTCTAAGGGTATTGGGCGTGAGAGCTACGCCAAGAGCAGCCGACAAGGGTGTACTCGGCTCTGAGGGCATAGGAGAGAGAAGCATTGAAAGATCCTCGGGTGGCGGGCCAACGAAGAACAGGAAAACGTGCTCGCGAATCATGTCGACAAGTTCCAATGTCCCTTTCTGTAGATCCTCTGCCCATTGTGGTGTCAATTCATGGTGTTTCTGGGATTCGCCGTTGTATCCCGTTGGCATGGAGGTCTGAGTTCTTCCTTCCAGGAAGCCTTGTACAGTCTGCCAGAAGTCGACGACCTCTCCGATAATGCCCTGTGAGGATAACATGCTGTTCATGAACGAATAAATCTTCTCCCACAACTCCACGATATCGGCCGAATCAAATGAATGCGACTTGCTCTCCATCGACTGCCGTGCGATAGTTTTCAAATGGGTCGCGATTGCCTGAGAGCCTGGCTTTTCAACGTTCGCAATACGACGTCTTGCCACCTCGATTTCGACCTTAGTCCTGTCTGCCGTTGACGTAGCCTTGCTTTTGAGGTATTCGTAACGACTGAGAAGCCAGATCCATATGGGGTTCTCTTCCACGCCCAGCTCGAGCAGTAAACTTATAATCTCCATGTGTTGGTCCTGGCGCCCAGCAGTCTCTGATTTCGGAGCAGTATGGAGATTGACCAGCTTCTTCCACATATCCCGCTTGAATGCCTCAATCTGCTCGTGCACATCGTGCCACATCCGGGCAGCCAGAAGGATCTGATATAATTGGTGATCTGGCAGCTTTTCCTCCTGGCTTCCTCCTTGAGCAATTTGACGGGCGTCGTCTGCGAATGACCTGGCCCTGTTGTACTCTTCAACCAAGGCCTCGAAGTCCTTCCGCTTGATGCTCTCAGCGATAGCCGCACTGGTTTCGACATATTCTCGATGCTTCTCCAGAGTTGCAGCCACATCCTTAAGCCTTTCCTCCTTGTCTCGCCCACCCAAAGCTGGTCCCCACACGTCCTCTGCCTTTGCTGACACATCCAGTAGCGGGCCCTTGATTCCCGATACTCCATACTCACTCTCTTTTACAAGCGCATTCTTCTTCCTCGGATCCGGTACCATCGGGCTGGTGAGCCCGATCCCGCTGCTACTGCGGAAGCTGTTCCTACTAGCATGTCTCGAGTGCGCGCGGGGTCGGTTGGTCGGGGGCGTTGGGTCTATCCCACGATACTTCATCTCCTTATAGACGTTGTCGATGGTGGCTTTCGCACGCACGAAGCGCTCGAAGTTGGATTCGACGAGGACCTTGAGGGATGCACTCTTCTGGTCGATAGATTGCGACAGGATGTCGAGACCGTTGAGCAAGGACTGCGTGTCCGCTGTCGAGTGCATTTGCGAGAGGAATAGCGCCGGGGAGAATGTGGTCGAGGACATGAGAAATCGATTTCGTAGCCGCGGGTCTTCCTGCACAGGGACGCCGAGTTGCTTCAACGTCCTGACGACGCTGTCGGTGGTGCCCAAGGGGTCGGGCTCGTCCTTCTGGACAATGTTTCCGACGCCATTCGCGGATTTCTCTTGCCCAGGAAGCATGCTGACCCTGTTGCTGACAGCCCTCTCCAGCGCCTGGTATCTCGACTTGCGTCGGTTGATCTTCTTCTTTGTCTCCTCATCTTCCGACACGTCGCTCGTGTCCTTCTCGGCTGGCCACTCGACAGGATACGGGTCCGACAGCTGGTAGAAGTCCAGTACGGTTCTTTCAAGGTCGGCCATGATGGAGTTTGGGCCGTCTTCCCAGCGAGCGGCAGCCACAAGGCTTCGTTAATCTACGAATCGTGGTCCAAGATGTAGTTGTTGTAGAGACAATGTTTCACATGTATGCAATTGGAGCTGTCAAGTGTCCAGCGAAGCTGCAGGCCACAGGGGAGGCGCACGGACCACAGCTTATTGCGACCTCCCATTCCCCACAGCAAGGGTGTCCTAAGCATGTCGCTTTCAAAACTCCAAAACTCCTTGTACAGAGAGAGGAAGCATGGATCATTTCCTCGTTCCTGGCTTAATTTAAACATTCGCTCAAGTCATCGTGTGCAACGGTCAGTCTCATGAACTAAAGTGGTCCGCACTGATGAAGTGGTTGAGCTGTGGCTGTAGCTCATGATGAACTCATTGGTCTGATTCATTTTGATCGGATTCAATTTGGTTGGATTAACAACGATAGCTGCTATCACGGGCTGCATACTACTATTCAAGAGACATAATACAACAATAAAATATGCAAAGTAAAGGATGTCATCATTGATTTCAATATCTTCCTTTCAAAACCTTGGCATCAATCCATCGATTTAATTAATGGGCTCATGATTTTCATTAACCATTTCTTGGTATGAATTAAATTTCAAAATATTAATCAGATTTTCAACGCTCTTTGTGTGCACTACAAGCCATGAATGTGGCAGATAACAGCTGGGATTTGTCCTGCAAGTACTTCAAGCCTTACCTGTAGCGATTTTAAATTCCCTTTTAATACCCTGATAGTCTCAGGCTATTATCACCGGTCGATGTGAACTTGAGAGCTTTGACGCCATATGTAGCCCATTTAAGTACCCGACTGGAGCAGTGCTTAGATCTAAAGCTTGCTTTCGGTGATCTATGGCCACAAGACCAGATTTTTTCTTTAATATGCCCCAACAGTAAGGGCTAGCGGGAGCAGACCCAGACAGCTCTCCTCCAACCTCTCCTCGTCCAGATTTTCAGGTTGCAGTCCGCGCTCCTTCCCAAAGCGTACTCCACATCAATCCTCGATTTGGTGATCTACCTCACGTAAGCCCCCAGATGCCTCAGTATCCCTTCTGGAGCACAATGTGCCTCTGGTATCATTGAATTGCTCCTGTCTACCTGCACTGCTTGCTTCCTTCCGTCTGATTTATCAACAGTCGAGGATCTTGTGAAATGAGCTGATTGGGAACAGTTTTGTCACAAGCACACCACAGCCATGGCCTGGTATGATCCCAGGCACATTCTAGCCCTCTTCAAGCGGACCAAGATTCCAATCGTGGTTGATGGCGAGATCAACCCGAGTCTTCTCGCAATCTCCAGACGAGGTTACTGGATCCAATCCCGAGTCCTATGCATCCCCGACCGATTTGGCCCCTTCTTGTCTGGTCCACCTCTATTGCAGGCACATCAGGCTCATAAGCTCGCCAGCATTATCAACGAAGCGGTCGGTCCAGTCATTGGTGCATCGATGGTGGAATTAATGATCATCGAAACCGGGTGGTGGCTCCCAGGATTTATGGCTGCAATTTGCTTCTTATTCATTGTTTCTGTCTACGTTGGGGAGGTCCTTTTCAATCCAATGCGTGCCTCAGACTACAACTGGGAGGCACTCAACAAGAAGATGGGCGTGCTGCAGTCGGCTGCCTAAGTGTCGAGTCGGGCCCCTGGCAGTGGGAGGGACGCTCCGTCCGTCCACGTACCTGTTCATTTCTTTTCCTTCACGTTGCGCTGTGTGGAGGATGGTGGGAGGGGAGGTACATCCTAGCTCAATACTCTCTCATCACTTCACCCAGGCGATGTCATGTAAAGCACATCACTCTGCGTTGGCTGGCTCCTTCCACTTCCACAGGCTCTGCCTCGCCTTCCCGTTGACCCTCGAGAGCCATGCCCATGCCTTCGCAGCCCAGCTTTCGGTGCCTCCATCTCGTCTTCTCTCTTTCCCCACATAGCCGATCTTATTCAAAGACCTGAAGATATCGCTACTCAAGACCCCTGTTAGCAAAAATTCCCTGCTAACGGGACAGACATATCTTATCATGAAATCAACCAGAGCTGTTGGCTAGGATCCCGCCTGACTCCGGTTCAGCTAGGCTACACTTAATACCCGTAGTGTGGGAATAGTAGCATTAGCGTTTTTAGCGAGCTGATTGGTCCGTTAGGCCTACGTCTATAAGTAGGCCTTGGAGGGATGCAGCCTTCGGCTGCTTCCTGTAACCAAGCAAGCAACACACACAAATCAACACCAACATCCCTAAACGCGCATCGTATTCGACTGGAATACGTGACCCAGTCAACAATGCCATTATTTATTTTAGTCTCTTCGTCTCTAGAAGCAATCGATCGATTTGATCAATGAATTCATCATTTTCGTGATCCAGTTCCTGATATGAATTCGATTTCAAAACATTTATCATATTTCCTCGTTGTGTACACTATAGCCATGGGTAAATTTTGCTTGATATTAGAGTTGCTACAATTCCATGTCTGGACATGACTATGCTTGTCTCTGGATTTCCCATTTGGTCAAGCCAACCCCTTCACCTCCCCCCCCCCCCAAAAAAAGCGCCTTATTCCACTGACAACAAATCATTCCAAACTCTCATGGATTCCGAAATAGTGCCTGCGCGGCAGAACGTCACACGCCCGCTCCTTGTATTCAGCTGTCGACTGACGAGCCCATCCAAACGCCAGGTTAGATATTTGATGATATCTTCGGCGCTTTCTGGATCGCCATTGTAGTCATTGAACTTTGATTTGAACGGATGATACATCAAATTGTCTGGAGTCAGTTTGTCCGCTTTAGTGAACAAAACAACGATCCTGACATTGGTGAACCAATGCGAATTTGCAATTGATTCCCATAGCATGAACTGCTCGTCCATACGGTTTCCGTCCAGATCTTCATTCAGCGCTTGGCGGTAACACGATACGTCGAAGGTGAAGACCATCATATTGACGTTTGGGAAGACGTTTATCCATTTCTTGCGTTCTGGCCTAGTCCCACCAACGTCGAAGAAGTGGTAATTCGCGCCATTTATGAGAAATTTCGATTCCCACGTACCGGTCGTCCTTGTCTGAGCCCAGATGACATCTTCGAGAGAAGGAAGGTAATCTTTCTTGAAGATTCGCTCAATAGAATTCAGAAAGCTGTGAGAGTAATAATTAGCAAGTCAGGTCCCGTTCGCCATCCGTGAACTTGTACGTGATTCACTCACTGTGCTGCACAATCCGGAAGATACAATGGAAAGTCCCGAGGAATCCCTGGAGCAGGTTGAAGTTGCTCCGTGCCCGACCTCTCGAACGTATCGCGCACGTAAGGGTGATTCCACAGCGACTTAGTGGCTGAACCAACGGCCTCCAGCGAACTTTTTAGGAATGCATCACTCCCGAGCTCGCCAACAAAGCGCGTGTGGGCAGCAAACGCCTCTTCAAGCCATGAACCCGCTCCAACCCGAGATTTGACATCCTGCAGCTTTTGCTGCGTCATAAATATAAGCCACCTCACGCTCGTGATCGTATTGGTGAGAACAGTGTCGCGATATAATCGACGCCAGGCCTCGTTGATGTCGCCGTAAGCTGCTCTCACGACTTTGGCCAATGTACTCTTTCCACTCTCTGAGATCCCCAAGATCACTATGTTCACCTGCATGGGCTTGATCAATGTTCCGAGTTGCCCTCTGCTTGCCACCTGTTGCCTGGGCCGGAGTAGGTGCGACAGTTGTGCTGACGGCTTAAACAATTTTCCACGCATTAATCTTGTGGTGGAGGGAAGCGTCTTGTTTGTCAAAAAAGGTGGCATTTGCTCGCCTGTCGAAGCTCCGCCAAGCTCAATAGCAAGTAAACCCAGAATTTTCGGTTTATGTATCACGAAATCGGGTAACTCAGCGTTGGCACATTCTGCTCTTATCAATGAGCTTGTGGATGTTCGTGGCTCCGTAATAGTGTCTACAGAGCCCTCTGAGACAGACTCCGCAGCCGAGTCACAGAATACATCCACACTTGTGGTCATCGCAATGTCGGTGCGAGTCGCTTGGCTGGCTTGATTAGGACCGGGTGTATCTGCTAGCGGACCACCCCTGATCTCCGTACTGTGAGATATGCCCTGGCGTCTGTAGCCTGTTAGGGCGTCGATCATATTGGCTCTGGTGGCTACCTGGTAAGCCCTCGAGGTGAATACCTCAGAATCAAAATCGAACCGCGCGTGGACTGTTTCGAGATCTTGGGTCACAGAACTCCTCAGCGAGCTAACTTCCACTGACTCTGGGTCCATGAGCCACAACAACGATGAGGTCTCGTCTCTGGCGAGATTGAGAACATGGCGAGACTCTTGAGCCCCTAGCATATCCTTTTGCTCTAGGGTGGTACGACTGGGTCAATTTGCAGTTAGTACCTGATGCACACTTGACCCCGGTGGCCCTCATCGGGATTTTAGATTATACGGACCATTGTAAAGCAGTCAGCAGAAGCCCAAGTGCATTGACCTGATGATCCAGAAGGCTGAGGTAGTCTCTCATCGTCTGCTCATCCCAAACAAAGCTTACTCTGCCCCAGCTCGATAGTCCGTCCTCAGCATTTCGCTGGAGATGAGACAAGCGACTGTCCAGAGCGCCGACGATCGTCTCCAAAGACGCCAGGGATACTGATAGATCGCTAACGAGCTGTCTGTCTCGAGGAACATGGGCAACATCCTGGACTAGGTGTCCAACCTGGGTAAGAGCGGCTTTGAGAGTCGACAATTGCCCGATCAAGAGGCTGATTTTGAGATCGACAAGTCTGTATCTGGACTGGAAGTCAGAGAGAGAAATTACTCCCTTTGCAATTAGGTCAACGATCCCCGCGATGGCACTAACAAAGCCAATGGCTGATACCGGGTCCATTGCCTGAGAACTTGATCAGTATGTCTGAATGTGGCAGATAACAGCAGGGCATATCGAATAGAGAAAATCAGTGAAATTTCTCGTCATTGTAGGCCTGTTGTAGGTGTGTGAGAGACCCTCGCTTGTGTAGATAATTGAGTGGCACAAGAGTGGGCCCTGCTTTGCACACTGAGAAATGCCGGGAGCGATCAATTAATATTCGTCCGAGGCTCATGCTTTGACAGGTCAGATTTGACATTACAATAGAGAGAAGAAACGCTTACTGATTCTGCTGCAGCGAGTGCTGCCATAATCTAGGTAGGCATTCTTTTCGGCCCCGGGAGGAATGTGTTGTGCTGACTGCATATGCATGCTGGCAACTGGCACAAATGAGAGGCCGCTGTTCTCTTCATAACTACGAATTCAGCCTTCACAGCCCCAGTGGGGCGGTTAGGATGGCTCCCACATTGGTTGCTGCAAATGTTGGAGGCGCTGTGCTACTCTCGCCTGACACTCGCTAGAAATTCCAGCCACACCTTTGCCTTTCAGCAGGCCTCGAAATTTTCCAAGTTGGCTCATTCGTACCATCATTTGGAAAATAGAAGTACTGCTTCAAATATTTAATAAGGGGAAGTGGGATCGAGATTGTGACGTCTAACGGATACAACCTTTCGACTGCTGATTGCTAACGACCTTGTGATGAGAATGAAGTGCTTGATCAGGTGCGACTGAGCGCAACAGATTTGGCTGGGGCAGAGTCGAATCTACCTAGACTTCCTTTCCACTTAGAGCTTTCAAAAACTCACCACGGTGTCGAAAGACCAGATTCAGACCATCATGAGTAGATGAGAAGATATCATACAGCTGAAACTCCTCCGATCTTTCTCTACCAGTCGCCCTCCCCGGCGCACCAGCACCGAGCTCCCCCGACTTCCCTGGAGCCGGCTCGAAGTCCAAGAACCAAAGCGTCTTAGCCACCACCAAGCTCGCTTCCAGGTAGGCCATGGTCTTTCCCGCACATGCGCGTGGCCCCACCGAGAATGGGGCAAATGCCGAGTGCATCTTTGCGAGACCACTCTCGCCCGACTCTTCTACCAGCCATCGCTCCGGCCGGAAGACGAACGGCTCGGGGAAATATTGCTCGTTGTGGTGAAGTGCATAGGTGCAGACACCTACCTGAGTTCCGGGCGGGATGACGTGTCCGTCGACGATGAATGGCTCGCCCCTGCGCGGATCGTCTGCACCCTTTGCGAGTTCCCTCCACGGTATGCCAGACACCTGATTATCCGAATCAGCAACTAATAATAGTGGAGTTGAGTGAGAGCAGCGATTCAGAATTCCCCGAGCTCGCCCACGGCTGCTCGCACGGGGATTATGAGACTGCTGGAGTCAATTAGATGCTGCTTACTGGCGGAGACATTCGAAGAGCTTCCTCAATGGAGGCGCGAAGGTATCGACAGCCTGCGAGCTTCGGACCGCCCTGAATTTCGGAGTGACTTGAAAATGTTGTGCGGATCTCATCGGCAAGTTTGCTGTAGGCCTCGGGGTTGCGACTTAGATAGAAAAAGAGCGCACTCAAGGCAGTGGCTGTCGTGTCACCGCCGGCTGGAAAGAAGACTACAACGCTCATAGTCAGACAACTAAAGCTTGCAAATTGTAAAGAAGCGCTTGGAAAGATCTTTCGAAACGCAGCGGTAGCAGCTGGCTTTCGTGAAATCAGCCTCGATGAGTTGCTTACAGAGGCCCTCCGAGTATAAAAGCTCCCGAAGCTGGGCGTCGTCAAGTGCGTTGCCCTCGGCACCTTCCGCAACGAATGAAACAATGTCCGTTCGGGCGTCTCTTCCCTGCGAAATTCGGGTGCTGACCATATGGTCCAGGACAGAGAGGAAGCTGTTCCGGCTGGAGTTGCTTAGCCCGTGCAGCACAGTGTCCAGCCCCGTCTGCTTCAACAGTGGGAACTGCATAAACGCATTACTCTTGTAGTTACCAGCAACGAGCCCTTTCAGAATGAATCGATACTGTGACTCTGTTTGTACGTGAAGTTGGAACCCAAAAGCCAACAGGCCAACAATGTCGAAGCCCAGCCATTTGCATCGCTGAGACATGTTCACTGGCTCAGCCCCGGAGACGGAAGAAAGCAGGTTCTGGATGAAAATATCAATCTGCGCCGCCATTGTTGGCTCGAACATGCGAATGGCTCGGTCGGTAATAGCCTTGCTGACGACCTTGCGCTTCGCTCGATGTAATGTCTTGTCGATACAATTGAATACATGTGGGTTTGACTTGGCCCGCAGAAGAAGTGTGTAGACATAAGACTTGGTGACTCGATCATTGTGGTATATGTCTGCTTTATAATCAGTTGAGAACAGATAAAGGGCTCGGGTGTTTCGAGTTGCTACGGCCCGTACCTTGGAGAGCGGTGCTCGAGTTGAAGACAAGTTTGTCTGGACCCTGTCGCACAACAGGGCCTATGATGGACTGCTGTCAGCTTGCCACATCTTCGCAGCACAATACAGCTCGAGAACTCACCGTACTTCTTGTGATCCCTTGTCGTTGCCAGGTGAAGGCGCATCAAGAGGGCATGAAAGCCGGCATACCCGTCGGTAACCTTGGCCAGCAACGGGCCTGGGTATCGCCGGAGTGGGTGAAATACGACTCGATAAGTGAACAGCAAGAACAGCTTGTTTGAGCGATCAGTCTCCATCTGTGATCAAAGGTCTCTTCGATACACTCACCCAAGGTACAGAAAACAGAACGGAGTATTTCACCAATGTGCGGAGGGCATCCAACATAGCCATTTTGCGCCGAAGGTATGTTCAGTTTGGGTCCAGTACAGAAAAACGTGATTTCAGACGTACGAATGACTCCTAATGGATTGGAGTGAAATGGGGAACAGAGTTAATGTTCATAAAAGCGGTACGGAATGAGGAGTATTCCCGAAGGTTGGGGACTGTGTCTGTTGGTGGTAGGTCGGCAAGACGAAAACATAGCAACATGCCTGCGTGCGGCGCAGCCTTCTGGGGTTTCGTCCAATGCTACGTCATCGACCGATGTCTGCAGATGCAATCAACATTACTTCAAATATCTAAGAAGGGGAAGTTGGATCGAGTTGTAACGTCTAACGGTTACAACTTTTCGACTGCCGTGTTGAAAATTGGGGTCTGTCACGTACCTGGCTTGTGGTGAGCTTAGAGGGTCATGCTTGACACCTTCCCACGAGTCAAGAATGCTCAGAAACAATGCGACAGCGAGTGACCCTATAGTGTGATCACACAAGGCTGTCCAACTCGAAGACAGCGACGAGGAGGCCGGATTTGCAAAAGTCTTATAAAACTTGACGTTGTTGCAATTTGTTCCTCGCCATTGACTCAACAGATACTGCCTATGTTTTTTTATCTGTAGAGTGTGCGCAACTATACAATCCCGAGTGTTGTTCTTCAACCGCATTATGTTGTATGTATCAAGATCGTGCCCAGCAGCATTGCGGCTTTGCCGACCCATCGTTGCAAAGTAATATACAGTACGGTTGCCCAGCACACCCACTCCGCGTGCCATAATTACCGTTCAAGGTATCGTCGGAGGCACTTGGGCAGCGATGCATACACAGTAGTCATGCATGCCGCGCTTCTCGCAGGTTCCGTCCCCTGCTCAACCACTGTTGCGCCAGTTACTACCTGCCTCGGCGGCTCCGAGAACTGCAAAAGCGAAAACAAGAGCAAAAAATGTTGGTTCCGTTGTGATGGGAGATCATGTACAGAATCAATGGCGCGTGGGAGGGATCCAGCACAAACTTGCCCAGGACTATGGATCTTATCCGCCGAGTCCAATGGTCTGCAACACATGAGAATTCTTGTTTAAAACCATATCGACATGGTCCTTGCATATAGAAACCTTTTTTTTTCTTCTTTCAAATCGAAGTGATTTTTCAAATCAAAGTGAAAGTAGAATCCGATTTCCCACGAAAAAAAGCTGAGCCCCAAGAAAGCATAGTACAACACACGAACGGCGAACCCGATAACAATTTATCCTCGCGTATTCAAACGTTCCCAATGCGATGTTAGCAGTCATTGCAAGCGAGACGAGTCACAGAAATATGGCCAGACATCTGCTTAGAATTGAGCCTCATCACAATATTGATAACAAGTTGATGAAGATGAAGCAAAATAGAAGGAAGTGAGCACGACGATCACCTTTGGCTCTCGGGTGAGCCTTCTGGATTGGCTTGGAGAAGGAAGCCCTTTTTCGAATTCTTGCTAACATGGTATTGTCGCACGATTAGTTCGTTGATGATTATTTGAAATTCATTCCATGCTTATATGCAGCTATTTCCGACGCCTTCTGGAAGAGTACGGTGGCGGCCAGGCAGCAATGATGCTGCAACTACACTCTCTGGCTGAGTGTCCCCTCAATCCGGCCTTGAATGATAACCTACCTCGAGCGAGTCATTATTCGTTCGTCTGATAGTTGAGGTTTTCTGAGAAGAAACAATCATGATATTTCGTCGTGCGGCCTCATTTGTAAATACTTACAGCATTTATTTCATATCCGATTACGCATACACAGCCTCATGATGACAATTTGTCATTACCATTTCTGAACCACAGTGAGCATTCGCGGATCAGAAAATGAAGACTACAATGTTTATCATGATTTTTAAGGACATTGGAATCACTCAATCGCGCAAGGAAGTTTCATCACGCAATTCTATCTCAAGCGTAACTGCATCACTCTGGTCCAAGAACAAGGCAGCATCTGAATTTGCAAAAAATCTTTTTGAATATTCCGGGACTAAGGGAAGGCAGTAAGCGTCCTGCGTTGGCGTCATACAATATTGGTGCTGAGGTGGGCGAGGTGCCTCTCGGAGCCTGATTGGCCTCGCTTGTGCGCAGGTCATGCAGTCAGACGAGTTTAGCCCAAGTCCTCAAACCCCCAATTGTTGCCTGATGTGATTTCGGTAATATCCCTCACCACAACCATTTTCAACCCCTTGCTGGGCCCCAACTTGCCTGTGACTGTGGCAAATGCTGGTCGTTTTCTTTTCAGTGTGACGTGCCTTATCTTAGCTTACGTGCCTCAATCGAGCCTGTCACCGTGAGACAGCGGCGACATTTCACAATGGATCCTCTCTCTGCCATCGGTCTCGTCTCGAGTGTAATTACCTTCATAGACTTTGGGTATGAACTCATATCCGCTGCTAGAGAGGTCCATGGGTCCGCTACCGGCACGACTACAGCCAACGACCACATCGAGTTCCTCAATGTTCGCATGGAAGCCGTGGCAACGGACTTAAAGGCCTCAAAGTCGCACTCAGGAGGCATGCCGGCCGATAAACAACGACTGGTCGAGCTCGCTGACAAGTGCCTGGGTCTCTCGAATGAGCTGAAGAAGCTACTGGACAGATTGAAAGCCAGCGATTCGAAGTCGAAGCGGCAGATCTTAAGTTCTGCCATACAAAATGTGAGAAAGAAAGGCAAGAAAACCGTTCTGGAGGCCAGGCTGGATCAATGCCGCCAGCAGCTGCATTTACAGCTGTCTCACACAACAGGGTTCGTATTGTGACTCCTTGACGAGACGTGTTTGTACACTATGGTTTACTCACCTACCTCTTACTTCAGACTCGACATTCTCAGTCGCTTGAGCGAGATCGCTCAGACTGGTAAATGCAATGAGAGAGAATTGGCGTCTCTAAATCGGCAGGTGGCAACACTCAAAGATGCTGTGACCGGCATGAAGTCACACTCGAGGCTCCAAGATGAAGCACGAATGGTTCTCGATCTATCTGATCAGGCTGTTTCCAAAGTCTTGCAGAACAACATACTAGAAGCTCTACGATTTGAAGAAATGGAAAAACGGTTTGATAGTATTGAAGAGGCCCATACTAAAACCTTCAAATGGCTTTTGGAAGATACAGCTTCGAGCTCAATAAGACCGACCACGAGTACGGATGATCCATGGTTCGAAAACATTCTGCCTTATCTCGAAAGAGAGGAGCCCTTGCGACGTGATATAAGGGAAGGCTTTACTGAATGGCTTTCAATTGGGCAAGGGTTCTTTCACATCTCTGGAAAGCCAGGAGCCGGCAAGTCAACTCTGATGAAGTATCTCACGGAGAGTGACAAGGTCAAGAAATATCTGAATGACTGGGCGGGGAACAAAGAGCTCATTATTGCCTCGTTCTTCTTCTGGAGGCATGGATCGGATTATCAAAAATCACTCCGGGGCCTACTACGATCGCTCCTATATTCCGTCCTGGATCAACAGTCAGATCTCGCACGAGTTGCTTTTCCCGACCAATGGGAGGCGGCGAGCAACAATCCCGGTAGGACAGTACATTTCCGCCAGTCCGATATCCAGAAGGCGTTCATCGGCCTCATGAAGACATCTCAGGTCTATCTCAGACACAAATTCGCATTCTTTATCGACGGACTGGACGAGTTTGAAGGCCACGACGAGACGCTTATAAAATCCTTGTTTGAATGGGCTCAGTCGAGTCCTGAAAATGTCAAGATCTGCGTGTCTAGCCGAGAACTGCCGATATTTGAACAACGGTTCTTGAACTGCCCCAGGTTTCGACTACAGGAAGTTACACATCACGATATCTTTCTTTTTGTCTACGATACGCTACGAGATAATGAAGATGTAAAAATAATATCGAAGCCCCAGGATGTGGCGAAGTTGGGTCATATGCTGGTACAGAGAGCGGAAGGCGTTTTTCTCTGGGTATCTCTAGCATTACGACTTGTGGAGCGAGGGCTTGTGCTAGAGGACAGCATCGAAGAACTCAAGAGCTCTATCGACGTGCTCCCCACAGAAGTCGAGCAATTGTTTCGAGTCATCTTTGACTCAATCAAAAAAGAACCGGATCTTGTCAAGCGTCGTAAAGCCATGAGGACTCTTTCTCTTGCTGTGGATGAGCTTGAAGCAGCCCCTTTTTTTGGTCCGCTTTGGCTATCACATCTTTCATTCATGGACGACTACGATCGCAATTCAGATTTTGCAAGCCACATACGAGGTTTTTCCAACACAACAGATATAATTACGCGCTTGTCTCGATGTCGGAAGCAAGTGACTGGTGGATGCAGGGGATTTCTCAGCATAAATACCCGTGCTGTGTCAAATTCGAATGATCTCTTCAGACAAGAAACTGTCGAGTTGGCACATCGCTCACTCGTTGAGTTTTTTCAACTGTCTGAGGTTCGAGAGTGCATCGAGGCGCATTCCAAAGGCTTTGATAAGCTGCATTTCTACTGTCAGACGCTAATTGCTGAATTGAAACTATGGCCTCCCAACATCGGTGAGTAGCCTCACTTGTTCGAGCGTCTCATTCACAAAAGACGCAAGTTCTCCCCAGGAAATGACTCTAATTGCTACGATGCAATCTAGTTGTACCATTCTCACAGAAAGACAAATCAGAAACATCATCAATAAATGCATCAAGCCAAAGACATGCATACTTTTCGGGAAGTACAGAATTGGAGTCAACTGGTCGTCGACCCTGGTTTGAACGAGATTTGAAACGCCTTACGATCTTCTACTACTTCATCCAAGCACCAGATACGTCAACACTTTTCTCGGCCTTGAACCAGTTGAGAGAACTTGCGGATGGCGAGGGAAATCCAACTTCGCAGGCCTGTCCGGCCTACATATGTGAATGGAGGATTGGCGAAATTAGTGTCTGGACACTTCCTCCCCATTCTAGTCCCCTGCGATGTCATTCAACAGCTTTGTTCACTCTTACGGCCTTGAGCTCTGGTCTCTATGAGTTTTGGCAGGTAGAAGCCCTCGATAACAACCTTCAACAGGCCACTCTACAGTCTATCCAAAGTAGCATAATGGGTGACTGGTTGAACAGACCTCTGGGTACTGATAAATTTCCCAGGCGACACTTTGACAGACTGCTCCGTAGCCTGGCAACTTGCCTTGCAGATGGAACATCAGCCGATTCACTCATGTTCATCGGAGAATTTGAAGTCCCTGTTAGCTTTTGGCAGCATCTGGTTTGGAGCAGTATTGTGACATCAGGGCCGAAGGCATCCCCCGCGCCAGTATGGCTGCTCTTCCTCCTGCATGGGGCCGAGCAAATTTTCACACTCAGCTTTGAGCAGTCTTGCAACTTTAGCGAAGTTGACAAACGTGGGAAACTGATCTCGATGACAGGTCAGTGGGGTCTGGACAAGCACGAAGTCCACTCACCAATATATGTCCACGAAGACCATGGTGGAATCCTGGAGCTGGCTAAAGCTCAGAAGTGGTCCGTTTCTTTGGGGGAACTCACCTCATTTTGGTTCCCAATGTATGCGGAAAAATTTCGGAGGATACACGACTTGTATGATCACAGTGTTGATTCGCCAGTGGAGGGTATGATGGACCTGAGACGAGAGTTCGGACTTGACCCTGCATCTTGGCGGACCCAGGTGTGGGAAATCCCTCGGCCTTTGATTCAGTCTTGGGAGGGTATAAGTTACATTCTGCGAACTTTCTGATCCTGAAGATGAGTTGGATGATCGATGTCTGGAGATGCTTGTTCTAAAGCAGGCATTACTATATGAGAGTTGGGGCCATACGATCGCTGCGAGAAGACGACAACTTTATATAACTCGGAAGTGTGCACTAGAGCGAAACCACTCCTAAAGGCCTCTCGAAGTGAGAATCAGGTAGACATAAACCATTTTTGGTCCTACTTGATCATCGAAGCGGAGTTATATTGTAACGACTAGACCACTGTTGTATAAGGAGAACCTTTCCTCACTTTTACGTCTTCGATACTCAGTCGTCACTTGGGTCAAGCATCACCTTAGGCTGGCACAGCTAAGCTGAAGGATGACAAAGGTTGAAGTTGAGTAAGGTATTAAGAAATCAAGACGAAGATGACCACAGGCTTTGATCAGAGCAACTCAACGTGGGGGCCAGTGAGAATAGGAGTCAGGGGTTTGGTGCAGTTGATAGGGATCACCAGGCTGGACAGTACGGTTCTTCATGCAATCCCACTTTCCAGGGGAGGCAAGGTTGGGGCTTTGGCAGCTCAAACGCCGAGGTCTAAATCAGACACAATTCATCCAAAAATCAGTGTCGGTGGACGGCAGATGACAGCATTTGACATTCATGTGGAGCTGTAAAACGTGAAACTAGTCCAGCTCCCGACTTGCGTTGCGCATGGTACTACATTTGGACTCGGGACACCAAGTCTGCTCGACCCTACCAACTAAATTGAGGAATTCTACGACTTTTGAGAAAAGAAGAGGTGGTCTTATCGACCTAAGACTCCTGACTGGAAAGACAAGGGTGTCCATTGGCGAGCTGGGGTCAGTTCATGCGGTGCGATATACCCAACGAAGCCTTGAGATTGAAAGGCGTCCACATGTCTAGACAGTTGGCTTGTCGCTCTTCACATGGCAAATATCTGCGGCCAACTTCCAGCCCCACGTCGTCCGTGCCTTGAAACAAGCCGTCTTGCTACCAATACCGTACCGAAGACACGCAGGACAACTCATCATGTTGCACTTGGCAGCGGGCGAACACATGAGCGCGTTGAACGGCGGCCGACGGGATTCATCGGCGGCAGCCGCCTGCATCACGAAGCAGAATGGCATTGGGCCTTCGGGCATGCAAAGTTTCGGGGTGCGCGAATGAGGAAAATGAAGGACGACACACAGCATATCTCTCAAAGTGAGACATGGAGTGCAGCTCGAAGGATCCTGCAGCTTTGACGCTCCCTGTTGTGTCGCCCGAGGGTGAGACTGCTGCAAGTCAACACATCCGCCAACACAGTCTTGGACTTGCCTGTGCAGCGAGAGACGTTGAGCTCCCACCGACTGACCGAGTGAAGTCATGTTCGAAACCTCGTGACTTGCCGGGAGGGGTTCATCCAATGGGCAACAGGATGAAATGCATTGTACCTGCCAAGTCATCCACCAATGCAGGACTGGGGCACTGCAGCCCTGTTGAGGACAACACGTCCCAAGACGTACAAAAGACAACTCGGCCACCTGGAAGATCGCCGCTCCATGAGTCGTAAAGCCATCGGCAGTGCGACCCCCCGATCGCGGAAACGTTGGGGCCAGCAGCTCGAGACGCAATGCGATTCGCGAGGGGGGCACATCCCGCCCACATCACTAGCTGGGGAAATGATGATGCACCGTTATCCCACGGGGGCGTCGTGGGGTACTGGACCAAGTCAAGCTTGCTCCACAGCGCACCACAGGACCATAGGACCCCAGGACCATAGGCCCTCGGCGAAAGCTCACTAATCTGCGTGCCTTGACTTGCTTGGAGAGTGAGGCTGCAGAAGGGAGCATCCCGGGCAGACAAGTGTCGTCGGCGCAGGATGAAACCTGTTTGACAGGCAGACAGACAGCAGCCAGCCAGACGGGCAAACGTGCAGACGGGCAGACGCAGTCAGAATCCTCCATCTGTCAACGCATCGGCAGTGGCGCGTCGGATTTCAAGCCGGGCGATCTCTCATCGGCGGTGAGGCACAACCGCACTCGAAAACCTACGAACATACCAGCATGAATCCTCATAAGGTTTGGTTGATCGTCGTCTCAACGCTGTCAGCAAGCGTGTTCCCGAAGATCGATCCAGGATTGAAGAAATGCAGCCAAGGCAGGACAAATTATCCGAAGAGACGCTCGTCATGCAAATGTCCTTCTAGAAGCACCAAATCACCCCTGGTCAGAGTCGCACCGGACGAACGCACATGCTGGCATGGAGCACGACTAGTCCGTACTACTCTGTGGTACTCTATGCGGCCTTGCACACGCGTAGGTTGGGCCATCTTCCGGACAAACCCAGCCTTGTCCAAGTGGTGAGGTTGTCGTACGCGCTCAGGACAGGCGCAAGCGCTGCCGTCTTTTCCGTGTGCAACCCTCCGACCAGGGCACAAGTGCAAGCCCATCAGATTCCTTCGAGCCTCGAGGGCTACCACACACGTAAGTGCGCTCTTACTCACACGTACACGCACGCACCTCATAGGCTCGCGTTCGGCTCCACAAAGTCGCCGTTTCGGCGCCGGACCGGGCTGACTGGGAGTGGGTGGGAGTGGGCGGAATTCAGATGAGCATGACCAAGCTTCCCTGGACCCTGATGAACCAAGGATGGGGTTTTCCGTCGCCCTCGATCCCCGGTCCGAGCTTTCCAGTCAGCTCAAGGCTTGCCCGAAAGCGTGGTAATTACTATGCTTCATCAATCAGCGACGACAAGAGCCAGCTGTGGGGTGGACTGGACCCCGTCGGGCCTGCGGCTGCGGCTGTTGGCTGTTGCAAAATCGCTCAGTGACACCAGAGGCACGGAGTACTCGTTTAAGGTACCCGTACCGCGTATCCGTACTTGCACAAATCTCAATCTCGGTCTTCGGTGACTGCGTCTAAGACCTCCGGGCTATTAGTCCCCACGAGAGACGTACCTCGATGTTCAAATATTTATTTGTCTTCTTTCCCTCCCTCTGTCTACCGTCTTACGTCTGCCCTGTTCCATCCTTTACTCGCTTTGCATCTCTGACATATCCCACGTTCAAGAACGACATCTTCCCATTATAACATCCTCTTATCCATTCACACAAATCTCACAATGTCCGGTTCTGCCCCTGCTGCTGCCAAGGACATCAAGTCCGTGCTTGAGAACAAGCCTCTCAAGTTCAAGTTCAAGACTGGAGGTGCATCATACGTCGCTCAACTCCACACCGATCGCTCATCATAGTAAGTGCTCCAGTACTACCTTGAAAATCAAGACTTGCTCCATGGTTCCCAATGCGAGCAGGCCAAGACATGTCGCCAAGCCCTTCTAGAAACCATAACTGACAGGTGTGTCTGTTGCAGTGAGCGCGTCAAATCGACTCGGACCAGCTCCGCCGATTCCATCAACTCGGCCTCGACATCTGGGTCCAAGTAAACCCACGCGCCCGCTCTAGCGCGAGTCGAGCGTGGGGTGGTCGTCGCAACGGAAATGCGGCTCATCCCATCCCAACTCATCTCCGTCTCATCCCACGACCTCCAAAATCCCGCAGCCCACCTTAACCAACGTATTATCGACCTTACCAACCACCTAAGAAAAAAAATCCACCGAGAAAATGCCTGCAGACACCTGCATAAACGCATTTCCGGGCCTGCGTCGGCGTCTTTTTAGATCGCATTGATCGTCATTGGAGGAGGAAGGGCGGTAGCGCATGACTTCTTCGGCTACCTTTTGGTGGTCTCTCGAGAAAAGCAAAAGGCACGGCGAGGGCACCGAATTCTTTCTGGGTTCGCGACTTGCGTTGCATCGTCTTTCTTCTAACGCGAGAGCCCGGGCAAGCCACCCCTGCGGTAGCCTCGCTTTTTCCTTGCATTTGTGGGGCAAGCCTATCCCGATGGACATTTGCAATGGAGGGCTGCGGCTGCGGGAATATCACGGGATTGCCAACAGTGTCTTCGGGGACAAAGATTGTTATTTGTTTTTGTCACAGCGATAGCGAATTTGAATTTTGATACCATAAAAATGCACCCGTGTGTGTCAAGGTGATTTCAGTCTTATTCTTGCATTATTAAGCCAAGTCTTTCAGGCTGTCCTATCATTACTAGTTGTTGGATCTCAATTCCTGAATCCCAGCATGGGGAACAATTGAGCAGCGAGTCGGCGAACCGAGTCCCATTGCAGTTGGGCTGTAGCGAATCCATGCTCAATCACCGTCTCCAGGTCACCCAGGTAAAGTACCGCTAACAACGCTGCAATCCCCCGAACTTGTTGTGAGTCGCCTCCCAGAATGCGGAAACAAGGTGGCCAGGGTTGCAAAATATAGGGGTCTTGAAATTCCATGCGAGGTCATAAGTGGTATCATGATGTTTCCCACAAAATGTTGAGGTGGCTGGGCAGGCAGCTTGATGTCGCTTGAGACCTTTCCAGAGTTTATGACACAAATCGCCCATGTGGGTACCATTGATGTTCTTCATGCTGACGAACCACCTATGGCTCCAAGGGCCCTTCAGGAGATGACCCGATGACACGTAGCATTTGTTGTAATAATCCGGGAAAGCAGGGACATCGTTTGTTGTGGCGTTTGTTATGGCGTTTGTTGTGACAACAGGACCAGCAAGAACCATAGTAAAGGCGACGCAGACCATGGTCAAGGCGGTGGAGAAAGGGAAGAGCTTCATTGCGACCAGTTGTTTCGAAAATGTGTAAGTTGAGATGGATAATGGGGTTGTGGAAGAAACTGGTAACCGATCAGGGTTGATTAAAAGTAATTAGACGAAGAGGTCACATTGAAAACAACGCTGGACGTGCCAGCAAGAGATTAAATATCCCCGACTTAACATCGGTAAGGCTAAACTAAAGAGAAGCTATGTGCAATGATAATCAAACGATCCAGAGCCCCCTCAGCCCAAGTAAACACCTTTTCTCCTCCGTCCGCCCGCTCAGGACTCTCTATGGAGAGCTATGGGAGCAGATAAGACGGGCATTCGGGAGTGGAAAGACACGGGGGACGATGCCATCACGACTGCACACGATGGTCAAGTCATGACTCTGTGCACGTGGTGCGTGCTCAGCCTGGCAGCTGCTTGGCCTGCACTACATCTAAACACGAACACTGATTGAGGACTAGTAAATTGAAGACTTACTCGAGACTGAAGGGGTGCGCATGCTAAATAGTCCTCAGACGAGGTGCCTAAGGAACAAGCGCAGCAAAAGATGACCCGGATCTGCAATGGGCGATACTGAGCTGAGTGAAGCTCCTTGAGTAGTCATGGCCGTTACGAGGAAGTCTTCGAGAGTAGCGCCCTGCTCAACCACTCTCAACATGTTATAGTCGTTGGTGGGACGACGCAATCAAAAGTATCTGAAAGTTATGTCGAGCGCTAGCCTGCATCTTCTCACGCCAAACTCACGTCGCGGCTTCTCAAACATTGACGGCTGCAACCAGCACTACGGCAGAATATATATGGCTTGTGTCTGTCAACCTCAGCTGACACTCTGCGCCAGCCAGCCAGTCGGCCCGTCTATGACATGGCGAAGTCAATATCGACATCCAACTAGCTTCGCTCTCGTGCTCGGATACTGCAATAGCCCGCCGGCCTATCCGGCCATGTGACGGGTTGGCGCCAACGAACACTGTCCGCGCACGGAGGTCGGGGTTTACACGTTCAGCGGAAGCCGGCGGCTCGCTCTGACGATGCAACGAAAGGCCGACGTCAAATTCTACTCAATTTTCCTGGCGGCTAGCGATCTAGCTGTTGAAAAGGCCAAATGACAGCTGTCATTGCGGTCGCAGCCATCTTCTCGCCGCCCTTCCTCGTGGCCAGATCCTTGTTAGCGAATCTCAACCCCCCCCCCCCCCAATAACAACAACAAAATAACCCCCCAAGGAGATTAAAAGCAAAATGGACAGAGAGTGTTTTTCTTTCCGGAGAATGACGCGAAACTCCATGTGTAATTTGAAGGCCGGCGCAGTCACATTATGGTGCTTAACATGTCCTCGACGCTCCCGGGTAGACAAGAGCACGATGGCCTCGAAACCCAAGCAAGTGCTTCAAACAAACATCACGAAATGTAGTGTCCAAAGTGAACACACAACTTATTCTAGGGCTAGGATCCATGATAGATAGGGAGCTAGGGATAACAGGACTTTAGACGAAAGGGGAGCTTTTCGTTGGCTGATCTCACTTACACCAACTTTCCAACCCCTTGGACGCCGATCTCGAGATTACCAAGTAGCACATGATACTGACACGACTGTCTCATACGTCAGAGCACAGATTCAGTGACTACCGCCTGGAGTAGGAGGAGGCCTAAGCTATGAAGGAGCATTTGTTAGCTTCAGTACTTGTCACGTTTTAATCAAAGCTTCATCACGAGTTCGAGGAATCAGTTTTGTCATCGACCCAGAAATTTCAATGAGGGATGAAAGTGTGCTAAGGATTGCAAGCCTTTATGAGTCTAGTTATTAGTTCTATAGACTGGTCTAGCAGATTCTAATGTGTATATGGTAGAGACCGTAATTGGCAACACCATGCCTCAAACCAGGATCCAAAATCTCCGCGGACCACCAAGTTTCTGTACCACCTGACCCTGAAATGTCTCCCGGATGACCCAAAGTGGACCCTGCCACACTTGCGTCGGTATCAGGCAGTGAGGTATCGGAGACTGAGGGTGTTGACAGCCTCGCAAGGCGGGTCTCTTAAGCGGTGCAGGTGAAACCGCACTTCTCATCGGGCTTGAGGGCGGGCTCGTTGCGGCAGACGGCGATGGTCTTGTCGTTTCCACCGCCGAAGACGCAGCAGTTGGAGGCGCAGTTGGCGTCGCTGGTGCACTGGCCGGTGACGAACTGCTTGCCGGCCACGCCCACGTTGGCGGGCCCGGCGCTCTCGTTGGTGGTGGTGGGAGGGCATTGTCCGCCGGCACCACCTGCGGCTCCGCCGGCAGCACCGCCAGCTCCGGCAGCACCTGTGGCCTGGGCGTTGGAAGCAGCAGCGACGCCAGTTCCGCTGGCTCCGGCGCCTGCGCCAGCCTCACAAGGAGCAGCGATGGCTCCGGTGACGGCGAGAGCAAGGAGAGTGATGAAGCGGTAGGAGACCATTTTGATTGTGGTTGGAAAGGTTGTGTGATAAATATATATTAAGATTTAGGTGTTACGTGGTGGACTCCGGGTCGCACTAGTGAATGAAAGGCTGATCTGATTGATGTGGTTGGTGAAGTTGATGATGATGATGAGAAAATTCGGATGAACATGTGGTACGGAACACGGCTAGTTTAAATATACAAAATTAGAGCCTCGATTCCGATAGGACCATGCAACTCTTGATACAGGAGGAAGACATCTTCCTGCCTCGTATGGACGTCATAGGCCTCAGCGGTGCAAGACTTTGCGCGACGCACCAAAACGTCAGAAGAAAGGACATCAAACGGGTTGGAATAGAGGTCGACATTGGGGTTGTGCAGGGGGCAGAGACGGAACCTGATGAGCTGCAGGCCTGAAGTTGGGCCCCGTAGCTGGAATCACAAGTCTGAATTCTTGGCTTCAAGACGGCCTCGTATTAGGCTGCGTACAATAAGCATGTCTATTGTGTATGAGGTCTCTTTAACAGGTCGCGACGCATGTGCCGCAAAGCTTAGGAGAACCTGGCCTGGAACTGGCCGCCCCTTGGCGTCAGCAGGCAGCGGGCACAAGTGATACAGCGATCAAATCCAGCCTCTTGCAATTCCAGATAATCTCGCTCAAAGCCATAGTTTCGAGAGCCGTGGTTGCTCGATCGGACCCGTTGCCTGCTCAATTGCTGCGGCATGGTGGGTGGTGATGTGGCCATTTGACCTTCCCATGGAGGCTGTTGATGTCGCAAGGATTACGGTCCGAGCAGCACCGTCACAATCCTCCCGTCAGCTTTTCGCCACTGAACCTTTGGCAACTGGGAGAGTGTACACAGAAAAGATTCACTTGTTGGGGCAGGAAATACTCGTGGTCCATCCTTTTCCAATACCCAAAATGTGTGCTTGCGTGGCAATTTTGGAATGGTCCCTTGGGATATTGTCAAATCCTTACAGCGAAGACATACAGCCGTCAAAGCCCGATCAATCAGGAAAAACCACTTTCACTGAAGGACAAACTAATTCGTCTTAAAGCTGGAGAATGAGAATCACAGATAATGCCCATAAATAACATAACGTCATAAAATTGTAGGTTTCATGATATTTCCTTTGAAGGATGATTCGAGTTTGATGTGGTATCAACGCAGTTAGATTTATAATATTTAGTACTAATAGTTTAGCAACGTATGGTTTTCTGAGCATCTGCTATCCGCTAATGTGCCCGCTCTGTTGCTTACGAACAGTTGGCGATGCCGGATCCGAGAGGAGCACATCCGTTGCCAGCTGTTAAGCAAGGATGTCCCTAATTACACTGTCAGTGAATGACCCCAAATTGAGTCCCGAGAAGATACTTACCTCGCCGCAAGTGTTGACCATCTGTCCCGCATCAGAGCCATTGGGAACGCAAGTTCCGAGGTCTCCACCTTTTGGAAGCTCGCAGTTCTATGAATGAAAACATCAGTGACTGACGCTCGCTGTGGTAGAAAGAGAGCAAGCTATTTCAAGAAAGATCTTACCCAGTAGCCAAAAACTGCAGGCACAAAGAAGAGAAGAGCTGAGGTAGAGAACTTCATTGTTACCGCCGAAATTGTAATTGTTCTGTTTTTCAGAGGTTGCAATGAGATGCTTGAGGTTTTTAGCGAGATGTCAGAGCAAGAGGAGCGCTATGTTCGAACAATGGTTGGTCTCAGCCAGAACTTATATATAGTGACATGGGTCTCCTTTTCAAGGCATGATAAATAAAGAGTGGGCATCTATGTCGGCTTATGCGTGGTAACACTCTCTCCTGACAAGTGTTCGGGTAGGGTTGTTGACTCATAAGCCATCTGGCTAATACAAATTGAGCGTTGTGGATATATCCCTGGACTGGCCGACCTAGGCTTGTCTTTACTCGGTGTACTACATCTCCAACTGCTTCTTACACAAAATCATTAGAAATAGAGTAGGCTTTGGCCTACAAGCGAACAGTGGCATTGCAGATTTTAAAGAGGAAGATGGGGGAATACTTGAACTGCGATAGCTTTCAGCCAGCCCGAATTTCTTTTACCTCATGCCATGTTCTTGCAATCTTTTCACGAACTTCTCTTCCTCCTCAACAAGGTGATTATCCTCACCAAGAGCTCCAGTGGTAGGATACAATGCTTCCATTGGGACCTCGCGGGCATTGATCTTCGGGTTTTCCTTCGAACCGATCATCATCGCCTCGACAATGTTCCCGTCGCCGAATTCGGGCTCAGTAAGTACTCGCATCATGACTGAGGCGCACTCTGCCGGCGTCAATCCAAGGTCTTCGGGGCGGACTCTGTTCTTGCAGTACTCAGGGAAGAAAATGGGAAGAAAATTGGCGTCTTTTTAATCCAAATGTCAGTCGAGTCATTCAATGGTAATTCACGGTCTATGACGTTACCCACGTGTACTGTGCCGGGGCAAACAGCTGCGTTGCGGATGCCGAGTCGTTTCTTCAGCACCGCCAGGGACTTGACGAAGCTGACAATAGCTGCTTTGGTCGCAAAGTAGATCGGCGCTTGAATGTTGTGCACGTAGCCACCCAAGCTTGCCACCCAGAGAAGGTTACCCTGTATGTGTCTGTTTTGCAGCCAATAGTCGATTGCGATCTGGGCCATGCGGATAGGCGCGGCGGTATTAACGGCGAAACTCTTGTACTGCCCAGGGTTCGCATCTTCCCTATCTTGTGCTAGGGGCGAAATTCCTGGAGGGTTCCAGAAAGAAGTCTCTGGAGGCTCGTATATGCCAGCACCATTGCAGACGATGTCGATCTGCGGGAATGTCTGAAGAGCGGTGTTCCACAGGGAGCTTATCTGCGCCCAATTGGCAAGATCCACTTTGTGGAAGACGGCAGAGGGCTTCCCTGCCGCCTTATTTGTGTATTGGCTCAAGACTTCCTCAGCCTCGGGTCTGAGCTTCAAGTCAGCTAGTATCACGGAACAGCCCTTCTCGAGGAGTTGTTCGGCGAAGGCTAGGTTGATACCTTGGGAAACGTAAGTATGAGACCACGATGTAGCGGGAAAGCGCTGAAAGTAATGACCCCAAACTTACCAGAGCCGGCGCCGGTAACAATGGCATATTTGCCGTTAACTTCGTAGCTTGACATGTTTGGAGGTGTGGAGAACGTGGTCTACTCGCCCGATACTTATCCCACAAGCTTGCTGAGATGGTGTGAGCGAGGTCAAGGTGTTGGCGAAGACTCAAGCCCAAATCAAATACTTTTTTTTTTTTGAAGAGAATTGCACAAGTCTCTTCGTCTTTGGAGGCGGGTATACACCGAACCCCCTCTTCTGTTGGAGGGAATCGACCCACACCTCGCAGGAATTCTGCTGTCTTATCCCCATAATAACACATGTGAGTAACCTCGGCTGGTCTTGCCACCAATCGATGACAGAGGTTTCTGGCTATGGAGAACTGATAGTGTTGCAGTAGCTTAGTTTGATCGAGAACCTCCACAACAGCGTATCTTGCCATTCTGGGCGTTGAGCGAACATACAGGCCGGTTTCCGGGGTTCCTCCTGCATGATCGCGACCAATATGCATTCGAAAGCCCACACTTACGTACACCATAAGACATGCCCACATTTTCGCATCCACATCCAAAGCATACAACAACCTCATTGCTCTCGAAGGTTGAGAATTCCCGGATGCCTGAAAATGTACGTCGATCGACGGAATACGACGGCCGGGACATGCTTATCGCCTAGTTGATGTGCGAAAGACCGAGACAGTCGACGTAAGGCTCCCCAGACACACCAAGAGCAGTTGCGTATATCCTTCAATGTGCAAAGAGGCCAAAGGACTGATGAAAACTGTACCTCACCCTGGGTGAAACAATATTATTTAATTGCCATATTTACACATGAAATGTTCTTATATTTCGCTTAGTTCACATCATTTAGGCGTATGAAGCCTTCCTCCACCAATCACACCTGGAATTGGCAGCTGGGTCTTTCACCACGTTTACAAAGGTCTGATTTAGGTTCAAATTCGTGAAGCCCTCACCATAGATGGGAAATGTGGGCAGCTCCTCACGGTTGGGATCCCCAGTCTCTGCAAACTTCGTGAGGTAGCCTTGCAATATCCCAGCCAAAGTCGCGTTGGTCACGAGGGTGCTCCACGTGCTGTTGATGTAGAACGAGTAGTTGACATCGAGCGTGTGGGTTCCAGGTGGCACGCTGAACAGATACGAGTACGCCGAGGCATTGTTGTTGTCCGTACCCAGAGCCTCGCCGGTAAAGTAGGCGTGGCATGTGAATGTGAAGTCTGCGACGGCGTACATGAGCCGGTCGAAGGGAGTCGTCCATGGGACTGAGCTGTCGTTATATACCGCGGGGTACACCTCGTTTGACAATTCTTCGAGGATTGCCTCGGGCATGTCAGGGAAGTAGAGCTTCATGTAGGTATCGAAGGCGGACGAGTTGGTCGCAGCGGGATCCGTGTACTTCTGGCCCTCGAAGGTGTTGTGTGCAACCATCACCTTGACGTCCTTGTGGTACTGGCCGCTCGCTAGCAGCTTCTCAGGCAAATCTAGAACGTAAGATCCATCCGGTGCGGGCCCGAACTGGAAAGTACCGAAAAAGTCGGAATTCTGCGAGAGCTTGTTGGCAATTTGGAGGTCGTAGGTATCGAGGGCTACAAGGTCTGCGAGGCTCGAAACATTGGCGGCTTCGAGGATAGTAGCGAACGACTTCTCGGCTTGAGAGGCATACGGACGTGGCACATAGGCTGGAGATTGTAGGATGGCCTGCTGGAAGTGCGGAGCGTCCTTCTTGCCGCCGTATGCGGTGATGTGGTGGAGGATAGAACCACCGCCCGCAGATTCACCCATGATTGTGACACGAGAGGCATCTCCACCGAAGAGATGGATGTGGTTCTGCACCCAGTCCAGGGCCTTGCGCTGGTCTTGGAATCCGACATTAGGCACTCCTCCGGCTGAGGTGAATGATTCGCCTTGAAGCCAACCCAAAGCGCCAAGCTATCTTTGTGAGCGTTGAGAACGTGAGTGCATCGTGAAGGAAGAGGCTTACTCTGTAGTTGAATCCTACCCAAATGACGCCTTCGCCATCCTCATCGAAACTGCGATCCTGCAGGCCCAGAGGGTTCGTCATAGGCCCACCCCATTTTGCGCCAATCTGGAATCCACCGCCGTGAATCCACACAATCACAGGGCGGGACGAGTTGCAGCGTTGATTCCAAATTGTGTCCGGGACCACCACATCGAGAAAAAGGCAGTCCTCGCTCTCAAGCTCGCCCGGGGGAGCGGTCACGAGCTTGGAGTTTTGCCAGGGAGTATACGACTGAGGACAAATCTTGCCGTACGTGCCATCCTGAACGCCGGCAGAGCGATTGTTGACTGGGTCTTCAGGCAATTGGAATCGGAGCGAGCCGACTGGAGGAGCTGCGTATCGGATGTTCGAGAAGTTGTAGTATGTTCGCTCGTCTGGTGAGGTGGCAATCTGAGGCGCGTACAGAGCATAATCCAGATCAACCACAGGACCCATGGATGAGTTAGTGCATGATCCCGGATTTGGGGAAGTCGTGTTATTATCACGACGAACCAAGCCGCTGTCAGACGTACTCTGTGCCCAAGAGCCAGAAGTAGCCAGGGACAGAAGCAATAGAAGATACGACGCCATGTTTGCAACCACGAGACTAGAACACCGCAAAACAAGGCACGCGACGAGAGAAAGCAAGCTCATCTACCCGGGCCATCGTGAATGATTCCTTACAAGTATTTCGTGAACGTCCGGAAGCTGCCAGGGATCTCCGGGATTTCCGTAGATGCTTAACTACTAGCCATCGAAGGCCCTGGGCACTAACGCGACATTTAAATGACAGCTCCACTCTAGGTCCATCAACGCGCAATTGGTTTTGCTGGCAACCGGCCCTTTCTGGCTTTCCCATGACTCTTGGTTGTAGAGGCCTGCGCTGGATGCTTTCCATTTAGACTTGTACCTTTTGGGCTTTACTAATGGTAAGCCATGCATGCAGGGAAATCTTACGGGTACAATTGTTAGACCGTGTAGTCATTGGCCTACCTAGGTACAATTAGGGGCTATTCTTTGCATAAAATTGTACTGCTTGCTCAATGAATCGTTGTATTGAGTGGCAAGGCGGATGAGCAGAATAGAGGGACGGGAGATCGACAAAGATCCATTGCTGCTGTGCGCCGGAAAAACCGTACAGTACCGATTGTTACACAAACATACAAACATGCGGATGCAGAATATTCGGCGCGGTCGAGAGAGGCCTCTAATATAAACTATTTTCCCACTTGATTCTACAACTGATTATCCAGATCCGAAAACTCCTTCCATAGTGCTGTGAACCCTCTGACTGGTGTGATGACATTGACCACCCGATGGGAGTTGTTTCCCATGAACATTCCGGAACCCTTCCCGAATTCGAGTCCTTGCCACCGTCTATACGTTAACTCCCAAACCTTACTGGTGATATATACATATGTGTGTTTGTGTAATTACGAGACTTCGCGGTCTAGTATCAGGCAGCGCCCGAGACTTCAGATTTGCTCATGGCCATTGGCATCATCTGTCTCCTGTCTGCAGGCGTTCTGCATCCCCAATGACCTCAGCCGCTGCGAGAGCAACCCCTCAGCGATGGCAGCACCACTGCCAGCGCCAGTGTAGTGGGTGCCATTCCCCACATACCCACCAATGTCCCCCTTGACAAAACTCAAAGGAGCCATGTTGGGCATCATTTCTACAGGCACCGATGTTGGGGCGAGAACTTGAGCGCCGGACAGGCCAGAGCCGATAGGCCGTCCAAGAGAAGACCCTCTATCTTGAAAGCTTGAGGCTTTTGCTCGAAGCAGGGACAGGCTCGGCATCGGCTCGCCGGGATCGAATGGTGGGAATTGCTGGCCAAATGAGAAGCCGGAGCTCCTTCTCCTGAATGCCTTCTCGGCTGCCAGGCTCGCACCTGGCCCTGTTGTCTGCGTGACCGGGTGGTGCATGACCCTGACGGGCTTGTATGGCGTATACTTTGGCTCAGGGAGGGTGACCTCGTTCCGAAGTTTTTCCTTGCCGTCGGGCACACGATTGGCAAAGACCACTCTGATGCTCTTGTAGAGGTAGTAACGGCCTTTTGCTGGGCAGCAGATATGCAGATGGACGAGGTATCGCAGGGTCGGCCTATCGCTGGTTGATGGTAAGTTCTCAACAATAGGGCCCCCAGCAGAGTAGCACCGCTGGCGAATGAATGTCTTCGTCCCCGGCTCCATGCCCGCTAGGTCGTAAGGAACGAGAAAGAGTTTCACAGCCGTCTTGTTCTGATTTTTTATGATGATCTGGACTTGACCCTTCTCTGGGATACGATAGCTTCCTCCTGGGGGCGCTTTGGGAGAACCTGATCTCCGCTTTTGCTTGACCGCTTTCCGTGCGTCGAAATCGGGTACCTCGCCACCAGAATTGAGATCAGTCATTGTGATGTCCTCGTCTCCATCCAGCCGTGGTTGTTTGGCTGCCGAGATGCTTCTTTGGTGCGACTTGCGCCTCTGTCTTGACGTCTCGTCCGGATTTGAGAGCCCATTCTCCAGGTCGATCTGTCCAACGTAGGGGCTCGGCCCGTCATCGCTTTTGGATCGCCCGTGAGGCGTATTAACGTAACTGTAGAAGACGGCGGGGAAAGGTAATGTGACATGAGCCGGACACCGTAGACTACTTTTGCAATTTCCCAGACCCAGAACGCCAATCTGGGCCATGAAATCCAAGGGTTTCGAAGGTGTGGTGGACATGCGGCCCCGGAGGATGCTCTCCTCATACGAACCGACCATCGACGTTTGATGGAGAGGTGAAGATGATTCAAGACCTAATGAGGGGCGCCTTGAGAACGCCGAGCTTTGTGGCGATGTTCCCGACAGGGAAAAGCTCGGAGTGGAGGTGAGGGATCTCCTCGGCTGATGCGCTTGGTAGGATTGTATTGACTCGCGGCGTGTGCCGGGTATTCTCTGAGCGGTGATGGGCACATTTTGGTGTGAATAAAGACCGCTTAATGTCTGCCGTCGAGAAATTCTGCTTGGTGTGGGCGGATCCAGGTCAATGTGACTTATGGGCATAGACAAGTTCAGATCATCATTGCTCTCAGATTGGACGAGAGGGCTCGTAGGATGCTTGTACACAAAACTGGAAGATATCGACGAAGATAAGGAGGGTGGAGAAGCCCGGAAGCCGTCTGGCGAGTCGGCAAAAGGTATTCTCCTTTCAAACTTGAACGGCGTGAAGTCTCGCGGAGGTGATGTGGCATAACAAGAATGACGTTCCGGGTAGAAACCCTCCGTATTGGGAACCACCCTATTGCCCCCATCGCTCACTTCTTCATGACGAGATGAAGATGCGTGATGGGTGAAGTCCCCGCTGTGAAGAGCCGACCTGGGCCGCTCGATTGCAAGACCTTGCTGCATGCGTTCTGGATTTTCCGCCTCTTGAGTCTGCGCACCTAACCTGTCTTTCGTGGAGGGTAGTACCGGCGGAGATTGGCTCGAATTCGGTCGCGGGCTGGTTGGCTGTTCTCGAGAACTACTGCGGCGGAACAGAGACTCGAGCTGAGGGGAAAATTAGCCAGCTGCCAATCTGTGGAACGAGCAGCATCAAGTTACTTACATGGCGTTTAGGGCTCCATGTAGGGCTCTCGCCCCTCTTTAGGCGCTCAATCAACTCAAGTCGGTCCGAGGTAGTGTTAACGGACAGACCGGGCCTGGGAGGTGACGGTTCTGAACTGTCTGGTACCGGCCCTTCGCAGAGTTCTGTTCGGATGCTCTCCTCCGAGATCTGGCGGCTCAGGGACACAGGGTGAGCCTGGTGACGCATGGCAACACGAAGCGGGACTGGCTGGGCGACTGCGGGCTCGGACTGGGGCGCTGGAACGTCATCTTCGTCGAGGTTCTCCCGGAATATGGGCATCTTGGTGGTGTCCTTGCTACAGCTGATAGAGCCCTCGCTGTCTTGGGGTTGCCGTAGATGCAGAATAAAAGGTGAGGGGTCGACCACCCTAGGTCCTTTTCAGAACCTTGGGTGGCTCGGGGTGAGAGGTTGAGAGGTTGAGAGGCGGTCGTTACAACGGGCCTGGCCGGTTGGTCATTGGGGATATCCACCGCGGTCAAGATGTGCTGTATGACCGGGTTGAGGATCCAACACTGCAGACCTGCCTCCAACAGGACGATGTTTCTTTTTTTGGCGATCCCGATTCTGCACGAACGAGGCGGAGAGGGCAGTGGCATGTGAATCAGATGCTCGGATACACCACGAGCCTCGAGTGTAGGACGATCCTATCGGTCAGAGTCGAGATGTTTGGCGGCTTATTGTGAACGGACGCTCACGGATACATCATCATCGGTAAGGCGCAGACATTAATTGTGACACGATGGGTGAGTGCAGGTCGGTCGGCCCAGCCACGACTGAGTAGATCTATAAGGCAGATCGACTGCCGGGTGCAATGCTAGATATGTACAGAGGTTGGGACGAGGTGCACTGGGCGATTGTGAGTCAAGTCAAGTGATGTGATGAAGGCATGTCGTCTTGGATTGACGTCCAAGGACATGGGGTTATTGGGTGGCGCCGGAAGCGGAGTTGAACCCTGGGCTGGGCCTGGGCGATGATGCTGCTGCCGCTGCTGCTTTACCTGCTCTACCTGCTGTGTCCCTAGCGTGGTGCCTGTGTACTTAGGTAGTGTGAGTACCTGCCAGGACAGGGGGCAGAGGAGGGTCATGTAATGCCTCAGCTGCTGATGCTAGGCTGTAACTGCTACAGTTCCTACGGCCAAGCTGGGCCGTCTGGGCTTGATCTGGGCTGTCTGGATGAGTGGAGGGGGTCCACGGTTCCACAGTTCCACAGTTCCCACTGGTCCAGCGGCTCCACTGGCAGGTCACGGTGACAGCGGATGCACGCCATCCCTCATCTGGTTCGGCTGCCCGCTTTCCTCTCATGCGAGCTCTTCCGAGCCTACCACACCTCACTCACACCCTGAAGCCTTTTCTCCTCTTCTCTCCACAGCCAGCCATTCCATCTTGCATGAGGTGAGATTGAAACGAAACTTATTAATGGAACTGTAAACATTTTCACCAACACAACACGACAGTATTCAACTGTTTGCCTCGGGCGTTTCGTCTTATCTACAAAGTTGGATGGTCCGTGTCCCTACCAACGAACAACATCTACCACCACAAGCCTCTGCAGGCTTTCAGGATCTGAACCGGGACTGAACCTTGCTACTGTTGTCATATCACACGAGCGAGATCACACGAGGATCATGTTAGCTCGTAATTTCATGATGACTCTCCCAGAGATTTTCTCTCTCAAGGTGTTCTGCTGTAACAGATCCTGAGATCGTCCCAATGGCTCTCAGATCTGTTTCTGAAATTATTGTTCACCCTGACAAGACTCACCAAGTGTTGAACCTGGTCTTCAATCCGCAAGGCCGACAAAGCGCCAGCAAATGCGATCGTTCCGGTCTTTGCCTTCCACCGACATCGTAGAAGCCACGGCTGACGAGTCTCCTGAGCTCCCCCGCCGGTTGAAATCAACTGGCCTCAGTAGAACGACTTCGGCCATTTATTGCCTCCCGCCAAATGATCTTGACCGGCTCTGCCCACCATTTCTCACAGAGCCCAGGCATTGAGACGCATCAATCTTCTTCTTGTCGCATGCCACCTCTCATGCATCAGACATTGTTTCCTGCACTCTACCCTTCACTCGATGGACACATACTCATCCACACATTCCAGTAACTTAGCTCTAGGTAGCCTCTAAATCCACCATGAATCCGTGGTTGCCATCCCCAAGCCGCTTCAGCGATGAGGCGAACCTGCTCTAGAAGGAAACACTCAGCCACGGCAGACCGCAGATACTTCATGTTTCTCAGCGGTAGGGCTATAAATGAATTCGATGTCTACATTCGAAGCTCGATTACTAGATTGTGTTGAGCCGAAGAAGTGTGACAGAACCCAGAGGCAGTAGAAATGATTGTTGCTTCTAACAGGTTCCCATTTGATGTTGCCATCCAAATGATCACATTTCTGGCCACGCTTTGTGACTCAGTATGTTAGGGTGGGAAATATTGATTTCGATTCACTCATACTTTCAAATCTTGCTGCACTCCATCTCAATGCACGAGACACGCCTGGAATAATGAATACTTGGTGGTGTGGTACCTTAAGCGTAGATTGGGCTCAGCTGGCTTGGCTGGTGCCGCTCAGGACGGCTGGATGCACCAAGGCACGTGCAGGGATGACTTATCTCTTCATATCTAATCGATCTATGACCAATGAGCTTGAGAGTAGGGACTCACCTGGCGGGGCCTGCCTTACCGCTTGCTCTTTTCAGAGATGGGCTACCTTCGCCGCCAAAAATTCCACCAGCAGAATCTCGAGAAAGTCAACCCCAGACTCGAACCAGCCTGAAGAGCAACTCTACATATTGCAACCGCCTCGAGCAGATCCAAGCTTGTCTTGGTAGGCAATTACCGCCATGGGTCGCCGGCCTAATCAGGTGATCCAGCAATACTTCCAGCGAGGTCCTAAGCTGGCAGACAATTCCAACAGGTGAGTACCTCTACTGTCCTCGAGAATGCAGCAACCCCGGACCCGAAGCTTGGGGCCTTCTATTTGGGACCGTGTTGCACCATTCACTGTTATTTGATTGTTCTGGATGTAGAGCTGACTCTGATGTTTGCAGATATCCCCAAACATGCAAACTCTGCGGTGAAAATTTCCCAAAGGGTCGAATCGACAGCCTTACTACCCATCTGACGAAGCGATGCCCTGCCATATCCGAACAAGACCGCATAAACGCCTGTCTCATGCTCAATGGCATTTCAGCAGCTCGGACTCCCCGAACTCTGCACGCCCGGCAACAGCAACAAGCTCAGCAGCACCAGGGCCCGCAAATGGAGCTCCCATTGATGCAGTCTCATCAGAACTGGACACCGCTGGAGACACTGGCGGAGGTTTCTAGGAGGCAGATCGACCATTTGAATGAGTACGGAGGTGAACGTCCCCAGACACAACACGAATCACATGAGCCTTTCTCAGGCGCTTTCGAGTTGTCTGGTCCCACTGCACTCGAACGCGCCGAGATCCAGGAACAGTTCACCGTCGAGGATCATTCCTCTCCATACAACGATCATCAGACTGAAGAACGACCAGGTGAGCGCATTTTTGCAATATCTATATCAGTTTAGCTGGGAATAGCTGACATCCGTTGCAGGTAAGGACGGGCTGGACGGCCAATCGAATGTGGCAGAGCACGTCCAGGACTCCCATGAGCACGGCACGGCGCCCGCTGATGCTCCTAATTTGACTGTCGCCGCGGCTGCAGCCGCCAGGCTGAACAATGCCATGTTGGATCCTACACTATTCCTCAATCACAATCTCGGCGAGGATCTAGCGCGAGCTATAGAAACTGTCCAAGATGCGGATGCCACACCTGGCCCTGCATCAGGAGCTGTTGCTCCCGAGGAACATGCTCCTCCAGCGACGCCCGACCATATCTCACCACCTCCAGCTCCAGCACCACCTCCAGCCCCGCAATCTGCTTCGCAGCAACCTTGGGGGGAGATTACGTACATGGCCAGTACGCCCCTTGCGCCGCCGTCTGCCGCCAGCCACCCGATGCACGGGGTTCCTATGTCAAGCAGATCGGTTTTCCGCGTAGATCAGAACGGCTCCAAGTCACGGCATTCCCGGGCACGCTTTGACGAGCAACGGAGAAAAGAGGTTCAGCAGGTTCGGAAAATCGGCGCATGTATCCGTTGCAGGATACTGAGAAAGACCTGTTCCCAAGGCGACCCTTGTGACACTTGCCGCAAGGTGCTGTCCCCACGCATTTGGCGAAGTGGATGTGTCCGCACAAAATTCACCGATGAGCTCAATCTTTACGATGCTGGTGTTCAAATCGTACATTCACAAAAGCAGATCAACAATTTCAAGTCCACATTGAACTTGGACCACCCTCCTGTGGTGCTTGAAGCTTCACATTTTCCCGGTGAGGGCTCAGCGATTCTCGTGGAGACTCTCCGTGGCACCAAGCCCAAGGAGCCAGGTGCCGAACTCCTTGCAGAAGATGAGCGTTGGGCAACGCCACAAATTGTGATGATCAATGACCAAGAAGAACTCTCTGGCAAGCTAGAGGCTTATGTCAGAGATCAGTTACCGGTGTTTGCGCAAAAGGAGAGAGCTTCATTCTCACGCATCACGGTGGAGACCGCTCTTCAGATTGCCCGAGATAACGACGATAGGAATCTCAGGTTGGCCCTTGAACTCTGGGGATTCGTGGAAGTCATCGACCGGGAGCTTAAGTGGCACCTCAACATATGTCCATCCCCGGTAGCTCACATTGAGGGAAAGCCCATTACGCAGGAGACCGACGCGGAGTTATACAAGACTCTATGTCTACAATTGACAGCCGCCGCGGAAAGGAAGGCATCAACCACCAGCAAGAATCTGTTGACACACATGCAACGAGACCTGCAAGATGCAAGGACCAAGATTGGTCATGGCATGTTCTTCACCGTTCTGGTCTTGCTTATCTGCGTTGAGAAATCGACCTGGGCGTTTAAGGCCTGGGAGGAGATGAGTAAAACTATCAACTGCTGGCCTTTGGAGAGACTCCCGAGCGACTACACCCAGCAGGGCTATAGGATCTCTGAACTACTAGGTATGCTCTTGGGCATACGGCGAGCTTTGCCAAAGACCGCGATTCGAGAGAGCGACGGTGTACTGGTTGTCGAGGACCCAGATCCCGTTCTGCAGTCTTATTTTGAAAGCATCAACCTGCGAGGTAAGAATTCCCCTCTGACGCTGGAGTCCTTAACTTTGTACTAACAATAATGTCAGCTGCCGACGTCGTCGCGCAACAGCAGAACGCTCCATTCTCTGCTTTGGATTCGCGCACTCTCGAGCTCCATCTCTGCTCAAACCTGCTTTTGCCTTATCAGGACGCCCACACTGGCTCGCACCAAGATCACAACATTGCTGGTCCGGGAAGTAATCATGTCTCAGACCATGCTTACACTCATGAGCCGGGCCCTGGAACCCCATCTTCAGCAGCGGCTCCTGCACCGTCTGAGGCTTCCGGTCTGTCGGGGTTGTGAAAATCCCACGATGAGCGATAAATCTTGGACAGGAGTTTTCCACGCGGAATCAAATGGTTCGACCTTGCTCCATTTGCTGCTCGTCACGACTGTAGTCGAAGACTCGGAACCTCAGAGACGACCGCGCGGCATTATGACAAAGGGAGTTACGGATACAGAAAATGGGACACGGCACAACTGGCCCTCCTAAGAAATCAGTCTCGGGCGGGAAAACTCCAGATGCCTCCATGAATTGATTGACCTACTTTAGCACGAGAAAAAGAACATGGCTTTGGAGCTTTGGCGAAATGGAATACCCTGGAGTCTACCTGGCGTTATAGACCTCAAAATGTCCGCAAAAAGGCTTATTTTTAGACAAAATTGACAGGCATCGATATTTTCTTCAAATTTTCCACGGTGATCTGTGTGCTCGTCTTGTGTAGCAGTGACAATTGCCTTGGCATGTTCGACAACAGAGCTTCTCTTATAACAAATTATTGATCCCTTCTCGCGCCACAATCTTCTGGGCCATGGATAGCAGACATGTCACTTGAAGCATTGGCACCTTTTGGATTCCAAGTCACATAGGTTTAGATTGTCAATTTAGGCACTATGATGCTCGGACTGCCGGGATGAGAGCTCGGCGTGATATATATGTTCAATTCTGGGGGCGCCTAACACCTTGATGGAAGACGAAAAATGGTCACAAGACAACATAACGACTATAGCGTGCCTGATGAAATTCTAGTAAGTTTGGCGTACAATACAAAATTGCTAGTTATTGCGGCACACATAACTATAAAATCAAATCAAATCCCCCTGATGCGTTGTATCACAAGTCTGCCCTCGACATCATCATCACATCTACAGACGTACCAAACCAATACCCTAATTTTCAACACTACAAAATACCATCAGGCTAAACACATCAGCCCATCATGGAAGACTCTACAGCCACTGTTTCCATCACCGCAGAAGACGTGCTGGCTGATCCAGATTCCCTGCTGAACCACTTCTGCTACTGCATGGCACGACGACCACACTCCACCCCGGCCCAAACCAGCGCGGCCCTCCTCACCATCTGGAACAGCCTGGGCGACGACCTGAGGCAGACACACCTCAGGCGCCCGGGCCCCCACGAGACCATGCGCTCGTACGAAGCCGAGATCCAGCGCGCCGTCGAGTCGGTCCGCAGATACGCCGAGATTCTCCGCCGGCTCGAGACCGCGCTGCTCCGCGCGGACCGTCTCCGGGCCCAGATTGCGCGGATCGATGCGCAGATCGAGGCGCGCTTTGGCATGATGCACTCGGAACTTCTCGCTTCTTCTTCCACTTCTTCTTCGGCGGCGGCGACGTCCACGACAACACTGGTGGCTGATGATGATGCCCCGCAGGGCGACAACTAAGAACCTGTGCCGGTGGTCGAGCACACTGTTCTTGGGACGACATCGGGGACTCGGTCGATATTAAAGGGCTATGAAATGGATATGATGGGAAGGAGGGCATGGAAAAGCGGATCTGGGCGACTATCCTTTGCTTCATGATCTTCGCTTTGTTGGAAGGGATACGATGAATGTTTTAACTTGAGAGGTTTTTTTTTGTTGGGGGGGGGGGGATAGTTTTGAGGGAATAGTACTCAGCTGAATAGAACATGAATCATACTCCTCGTTGCCATGAAAATGTGTGTGCTTATTGATAACACTGTGAAGATGCCGTACTCGGATTGCAAAGCTGATAGGTATCCCCGGCCACAAGGCCAGAGCCTTGACTAGCTCTGGCACGGATGGAGTTGAGGTCCCAGATGGTCCTCGACTTCAGCGATGTCAGAACCTGGCTGAAGGGTCCGGATGACGATTCAGGGACGCTAGAAAGACAGGCTGCATCGCCGCCCAGCTCGAGTTCTTGTCCCGGCCCGTCATCATAGGCGATGTTCGCTGAAGGTTGGGCCATGGGGGAGTCCACGACGGCTTTCGAGAGACGAGTGCACTTGGAGAAGCGCTGGCTCGCGCAATCATGAGAAGGGACTGTGAGTAAGAGGCCAGGATCAGATGTAAACTGTTCGCACGGGAGCCACACAGGGCAGGCTGCGAGCCATCGAGACTCGATATCGACCCTGATAAAACGGAACCGAATTCAATTCTCCGTATACGTCTAGACGCCTTGCCATGCCACACGTGTCTCAATGCCAGACCCGAGGAAGCCGCACCCATGTATAGTCGCTACAAAACACCAAAACCAAACCAACACTCATTTATGATATGAAAAGAACAACGTCCAGGGTATCAAAAGCATCACACACAAGCCAAATCTTATACCTGCTGCATGCTCATGCTCGCCATCGTCGCTCACTAGGAGAAGAACTCATCCTGGTCTTTGTTCCACGGATTTCGGTTGACTTCCTCGTCTGCGCCGTCGATAGGCGCGAACTTCGGGGTCGCAGTCGGCGAGGCCTCCTCCTCCTCGTGAGCCTCCTCCCACGCGCGCGAGCCCTCGACCAGCGGCCCTTCGTTCTCGACGGTCTTGACTCGTCCGTCGTAGCCGGTGCGCTCTGCCGCCTCGAGGTACTCCTCGGTGACGGTGTTGTAGTCCTCATTGGCGGTACCGAAGCCAGACGGTACTGTTTCGTTTTCGTGGGGCAGAGGCTCGGCCGTTGCCTTGTCCCGATGTTGGTGATGGTCAGGAGAATGGACGATGCCGGATGACGAGGGGGTCGAGTCCTTCCGCTTGCCCTTCTTCTTGGTCTTCGACTTGATAAGATCCGCGCTCGGCGTCCTTGAGCCCTGAGATGGGCGCGAAATTGATGGTGACGATGACGATGATCTCGGCTCAATGTTGGGTATGCGGGCAAAGCTGGGCTGTGGAGTTGTCCAGAGGTCTCGGTAGGGCTTGTTGGCTGTGATGACTGGGTACTACGGGTGAGGTTAGTGTTCTGACCCTACACAATGAGTGAGTGTGGCAACTCACGTTCCAGTCTCCAAACTCCAATTTCTTGGCCTTCTTGAACAGATCTTCGTCACCGGGATCGAGACTCGGCTCGTTAAAATCCAGTGCACCATTCGTCCGCGACTGAGACCTGTCCCGACTTGACTCGCCGCCCTGCAGCAAAGAAGTATGTTCGTTGATTTCGTTAGGATTCGGTAACCAGTACTTCCCCCTGCCTCCCCTTTCATAGCGCATTCCCGCCTTCAGTCTCGCTAGTCGTGACTTCGAGTCCTCGTGAGCCAGGATCTTGTCGTTGGAGTCGAACTGCCGGTACTTGTATTTGTCTCCACTAAAGGTCTCTTTCGTGTCTTCGATCAAGTCTCGAGGACCAAAAGCGTCTCGACATGCGTACCAGACCGGCAGTCGCGCGGCAGATAGCCTGTTGTCCGCGTAATCGTGCCACGAAAACGCGTACCAGTGAGCAATAGCAAAGATTGGCATCTCAAGACAGATCAGAGCGTCCTGGATCGCCGCCGCTAGATTGTCTTGCGTGTAGCCCTCAACATTGTCAGGGATCGCTCCCAACCAGACGAGAATGGACAGAGCGAATCCCTGCCAGTAGGATGCGAAGATGATGAGCTTGATGCAGAGGAACTTCGGCATCGGTCTGAAGGGCTTCAGGTCATCGTGCATACACACCCAGAACAGGCCCAGCGAATATAGACTTAGCGTGACGCTGACGTTATAGATGATCCCACTCCACAGGTAGCCGGAGCTCACGTCGATGTAGCCCTCCTTGTATGTCCCGGTGGCCTTCATCACAATCGCAGATATACCCAGGATCGGCTTCAGCCATGCATATTGCAGAATGCCCCGCTTGATAGCCAGGAAGGTATAGGGGTCGGAGATGTCGACGGGCGAGAGGACACGGTCCAAGGGCCACAGGTGGTTCACAGGGGCTCGGCCATGGGTCATGATAATCAGGTTTCGTTCGCCGCCAAGGTAGTTGATCAGGAGTTGGAAGAAGGTGTAGATGGTGAAGGCCTCGTAAACGTCGCGTATAGGGTCGAGCCACTGGGCCGCGGAGAAGGATATAAGGCTAACCCAGGAGGAGATGGAGTAGATAGGCACCCTGTGGGCGCCGGTCAGCCTTGATGCGCGTCCTGGAGTTTCTGGGGACGTCGATCTGCAGACTCACATGAGCAATATGCGAACGACGTATCGCTGCAGTAGCGGTTTCCTGTAGTTCTTGCTGGGGTCATGTCAGCGGAAAGCCCAACAAGGGGTGCACAGCTTTCGAGAGCATACGTCTGGAGCCATGTTGACCTGTTGGAGATGTTAGCTCAGGGGATCACGTCGCAGGGGCTTCAGAGGATGCGTTGAAGCGTACACTATGGAGAAGAGAGTTGCAGATAGAGACGCGACACCAGCCACCACCGTGGTGGCGTAGGTGAGCTTCTGGCCAGTGCCTCCGGCCATGGCTCCATGCGCTGGAGGTTCGAAGCACGAGGCAGTGAAGAAAGCAGGAGAGTAATCAAACAATAACCCTAAGAGGTCATCATCGTCCGTGCCGCGAGGGTGGTGGAGGCAGCCATGTGACGAGAACACTACGTAGGCGTCGTGCCTCCTGACAGCTGGGTCTACCTAGTAGCTAGTGCCTGCCGACTCGGAGCGTGGCCCCCGCCAAGCCTGGAGTTGCAGGGTCTTCTCCACTGATTGGGCGGCAGCTTTTAGCGCCTGTATCAAGCGGATGACGTCTCTCAGCACTGGTAGCACCAGGAATACGCGTATAAGCAAATCAAACATCAGTGCAACATAGACTTGCTGCAAGGGGGCCATAGCACTGGCTATTCGAGTCCCGTTTGAGGAGACCCCTTAACTTCCACAAATTCAAGGAGGGACCCAAAAAGGCGTTCGAGGGAAAGTAGTGTCGGTATTTAGTTGCAGGATGGTTGTTAAGGGGGAAGAAACGCTTTCTTCAAAATTCCTATTTGCTACACTCTATGGCTAGTAGATTCATGTAGGGTTGGCTGCTCTTGATTCTGAGCCACATCCCTAAGAATTCGTGAAGAAAAAAAACAGTACAGCAATCAGTAATATCTCCAGTATCATGAAAGACCCGAGTTCCCTAAAGTGTATGGGTACAATATCGGATTGTAGTTTTCTCAAAAAGGGAGGTAAAATGGTATACATGTAGCACAGCCACAGTGAACAGAACCATCGCGGGCTGTAGATGCTGCTCCTACGCGGAAACACTGTTTCAATTCACTGGAGATGTGGCGACTCCATCTAAGTAAGTATCGGCGTAGACTTCTCTTCCAGGACCAGTTGAGAACAGTTTCCCGGGTGATTCGCCTGTCCAGCTCGAGAGAATGTTCCACGAACCCCAGTTTTCCATTCTTGTTTACTAGATACTAATTTATCTTCTACCTCTTGGCAACAGATAGGGATACCCACCTATGAACGGGCAGGAGGGGGGCTCGGTATCGCTTAGAACTGTGGAAGTCAATTCGGATTTAGACAACATACCTTCGTTGCTCAGATCGACCCCTTTTACTGGCAACGTCTTTTCGGTATAAATCCAACATCGTTTCATAGCTTGAAACTTGGTCCTTCTAAGTCCACCCCATGTAAATTTACGACTCCTTTGACTTTCCTTTTGATCTTTCAGTCAATACGCAGTCGCCCAAAATGCAATTCGCCACCATCCTTGTCACTCTCGCCTACGCCGCTGCCAGTTTGGCTACCCCTTTGATCCTCCGGAGGCAGTGTGACACTTCTGAATGCCAGGCTGACTGCGTCGCTGCCGGCCTTGTAAGTCATTCCCATTCCCTCTATCCTGCAACATGAACCCTGGCCAGAAATTTGATATTCTTGATAGACCTGGGGAGGCAACGACGACTGCTGGGGTGCCGCTCGTGTCTGTGATTGCAACTAAGCGTTTCCTGTGTGGACGTGGAAGAAAGCACACGTGCGAATTATTCTTCTAGGAAACCAGGAGGGGTGCATGCATGGTGGACCGACAATCTGGATGGGCATCTAGATGAATGTGTTATTAGGTGTCCAAGTAGTGGGGGAAGAAATCGATGAGACCTTAGAAATTCTGCGTATAATATCAAAGACACCTACAACAGAATCAAAATTCCATGAAATCAGAACCGAAATGTGATAATTGCGCTTCAAGACGTCTCCCACGTCAAGTTGTTTCATTAATGCAGTATGAGACCGCAAGAGTCGTGCTACTACACAGCATCTCAATTCAAACGGGCCAGTCGGGAGCCCACAATGCAAGTCGTCATGCGCGGGCGCATTTGTCAGTTCCACCCTTGGTGACCAAGCTGTTTCTGTGAACCTTGGAAAACCATGTTACGGCCAGTGTCACGGTCACCATTTGAGATGCTAGATCCAAACAAAGCGACATCGAAAACTATTTTACATCTATAAGCTGGACAGGAGAAGTACCTCGGCAGAAGAACTAAGAGAATACTTCGTCTTTGACCTTTAAGGGTGAGTAGGATCAGGCACACTCTGCATCTGATCGGCATGCGCGCAATTACCTACCTCAGATTAAATTCAGTATTACGAGGGCTGTGAGAGACGGATAGTTGTAGGCATGACAGCTTGTGACAGCTTGATGAGCTGATGTCACCTATGGCTTCTCTTGGCTGCCCTACTGAGCGTCTGCATTAACCCTCTTGCAAACGGTAACTAACTGTTACAAACGTTCGTGAGTTAATTCTAAGCAGCAGATGCTCACAAAGTCGAGAATCCGAGCCATGCGTCTGACTTACAGTATTGGACAAGGACGCAGCACCGTCTTCATCGTTGATGGAGAGATTTGTAGTGATTTATATGGTGCAAAGGTCTTGCATTCAGACGCATTTCGACGGCCTATAGTCACAGATTTGTTCGAAAGTCTGGTCATATTTTGCGGAAGAGCGGGCGGTCCCAGGTTGCTTCGGAGTCACCAACAGTAAAGGCGAATGATACTGCACTTCAAGGACAACGACCGTTACGAGGCCATGACAGAATTATTTTCGATATGAAGACCGTTCCAGTTCAGGAACAACACTCTCTCAAAAATGTTCTTAGAATCGTGTTAATGATAGTGTGTCAAAACTACGCTGTAAAATACGATCTGGACGAGTGATTGAATACGTATGAGCCGAACTTCAGCCGGAGTTAAGCGGATCTCTATGCGGGCGGCACGTCACGCACAGGTGCATGGGCACATGCAGCTACCAACAACCCCTGTCCATGTTCGTCCTTCAATTACCTGGGCAATTATCTGGGGAATTGGAGCTTGACGCGACGCCATACGAGCAACTGCACACCTTTCCGTCTGCAATTAAATCGCTACGAATAGCGAGCGCACGCAGCAAGCTCCTTGTCCAGGACACGATTCATAAGTTCAAGTCACGACTCGGACTGCGAAGGGCATGGGCGTGAAATAAGGCATGGCGAAGGTAGCCAGCTGCAGAGGAGCTGACAGAAGTTGGGAAGCACGGAGGGCTGCGAACACCAACGGCGAGAGCCATCGTGGCTAGCTACGAGGAGGCTTGGATCTGTATCCGGGATCAAGATGGTCAGGAGTCCTTTGGCGGATAGCCCATTCGAGAACTCCCATTTCAGCGGGTATGCCCACTCTCTCCTCGCCCCTTTTTGCTTGTGAAGCCTGGCGCTGACTCCATCTTCACCTTTAGTATCTTCCTCGCCTGGTGTCTAACCGCACTCGTTCTTTCCGTTTTCTTCCTCGGATATTTCAACAGAGCAGTGGCCTCACTCGTCTCCCTCTTGCTCCGATCCTATCTTTGGAACGTCTACGGCATCTACATCGACATTAAAGCCCTTCAGGTCTCCTTGCTAGCCGGGCGCATATTCATCAAAGGCCTTCGATACCATGGAAACAACGAGACTATTTTCGTACACGATGCATATATCACATGGTCATACTGGCAATGGAGAGTCCGAGATGCGGATATCGAAACATCGAGGGGTGGACCCCGGGATCATGCCCAAGGCCAAAAAAATGGCAAGAACGCGAAGCTGCCATGCCGGGTGAACGTTGTCATGTCTGGGCTCGAGTGGTTCATTTATAACCGCAGCGCCGCCTACGACACCATTTTGGCTGGATTGGTTGATGATGAAGCCTCTACAACTCCTGTGTCAAAGGAAGAGGAACCTGCCAAGCTGAGGAGACGCGCTGACAGGACCTCGAACGCACCTGCTCGAGACGCCTCGCCGCAGAAACCTATCAACCGAGTTGAGTCAGGAGAGAGTAGTATGAATGGCTATGGAAAGCCCAAGGCAACCTTTCAGTCCTCTGGCTCAGACGAGGACAACACAGCCTACTCAGAAACGGGCTCAAAAGACGAGCTTCCATTGTTGCTTCAATTCTATCCCATCAACCTGCAATGTAACAAAGCGGCCGTGGTCATGGGAAACGAAAACACGCAAGCCATCATGATTGTCAACGCCAAGGGGTTCTCTGGTGAGATCGACGCAAGTGCGACAGATACGCCTGACCCGTACCGCCAAATCTACAAAATCAAATTGGATTGTCCCGTCATTGAAATGAGGGATAACCTGGATTACAAAGAGGATCAAGTCGATAGAGCAGTCCGAGAGAAACAAGTGGCAAAAGACTCTGCTCCGCTGCCCAGGCGGTCGCTCTTCCGACGTTACCGACGTAAAGCCTTGTCTCACCTACGGGATCTGGTCCCTTTTTGGAGATCATCTGTCGAGTCGTTTTCTCCGGGGGAACGCACTCCTATTGCTACGGCTGACAGGCAAATACCCGGGTCCAGTCATTGGCAAGGTCTTTCGAGGTACCTAGACGACCTCGAGCGAAATGAACAACTGCGGTGGGCTGGTGTGGAATATGCGGCTGTTAATACAATCATGGATACACCGGAAGCAACCGTCACAATCTACTGGGACACACCGACCCTAGTCGCACCTCGGCGGCCCGGTACTGTTGAGAAGGCAACAAGATCGGATGAAGGTACAAATATCAATGGTGATGATCCGCCTGCCTGGGGCATTAACTTGTCAATCAAGGGTGGCTTCGTTAATTACGGGCCATGGGCGGATCGTCACCGCGCAGAGCTGCAACGAGTGTTCTTCCCAGGGCTTTGCAAGGACTCCCACCCAGCGGAGAAACTTTCGATAGGAGCTAGCAGGGTTCCGACTCAATTCAAGTTGTACGTCGAGCTCGATGACGATGTGACACTTCGAGTGCCGATCCGGGAAGAGTCGAAGAATTGGAGATTCAGAGGCCAAGAACCTCCAATGAGGACCGATAAGGACCGCGACAAACGCAACACACGAAATCGGCTCAAGCAGTCTGATCAGGGCGCCACGGGTGGTTTCGAACGTCAGTACGGATGGCTTGATGTTAAGATCGCAGGAAACGCCACAGTGTCCTACTCAATGGACATGGTTGCGAGTACCCATGGGTTTTCCAGTTCACTTGACCTCGATTTCCCAAAGACCGAGATTACAAGCAGCATCAACCATGAGCTTCTATGGAGGTCCGGCAAGCAGCGCATCTCCTGTGATCTGTCGACGCCCCTCAAGTGGAACGCCCTTCGTCAATGGCGGTTTGATGTGACGACCGACGCTCTTGAGTTGTTCATTCTAAGAGACCACATCTTCCTCTTGACTGATCTTATCAATGACTGGTCTAGCGGACCTCCTGCTGAATACCTTGTCTTCACACCTTTCAAGTACTTTCTCGACCTGCATTTCTCGAATCTCAAACTTTACCTGAACGTGAATGACGGCAATATTATCAACAAGCCGACAGACCCCGAGGACAATGCGTATATCATCGTCACGAGCCCTCTTCTTGAGTCCAGTACGTGCATTTCACTTGATAAATACCGGCCGTCTAAGAGCATGATCCCCTTCGACGTTCGCGCAGACGAGGCCTTCATCAGCTTGCATGTTCCGCCCTGGAATACACAGGCGAGCTTTGTCAAATCGATGGCAGTCGGCCATTTAGAAAATCTAGTGGTCGATGGCCAGTACCATTATAACGCTGGAACCTCGCCAGCATTGACAGACACGCTCGTCGTCAATGTGAATGGCCAGTCTCCCGTCCTCCACCTCTACGGATTCCTCATCAGGTATGTCATGAAACTGAAGGACAATTACTTCGGCGATGACATGCATTTCAAGACGCTGGAAGAGTACCAAGAGATGCTTGATGTGAAAGAGAAGAACCCCGAGGCAGAGCTCCCTGTGAAGGCGCCGTACAAGAAGTCGAATGACATGGATGTGATGCTCAGCGTCAGACTCGATGACCCTAAGATCTTCTTGCCTGCCAATCTGTATTCTTCGGAAAACAATGTGCAGATCGACGGTACGCATCTGTCCGCAGATTTGCGATTCACGAACTACTACATGGATTTGGACTTGGTTATCAGTCCACTCCACTTATCTTTGGGACATGGTGAAAGCGGCCAAGAGACCCCTCTCAGTGCGACGACGACCACTCAGCTCTTCATTGACGGAATCAATATCTATGGACACCGTGTATTTGGGTTACCGCCGACAGAACCAACGTATCTTTGCAACTGGGACCTTGGCATCGGTGCCATTACTGGAGAGTGCACCGCTGACTTCCTCACTGCTCTTATGAGAGGCGGCAAAGCTTTCGTCCTAAGCTTTGATGACGACGAGAATGCGTTGGTACCCAGCTCTTCAATCGTCTTGTACGACGTCACATTCTTGCGCGTTTCGGTTCTATCTGTCCGGCTTTGGCTTCACGTTGATGAAGCCGCCTTCCTCTTCTCGACTGGCACGATCGACGTCAATTTTAATGACTGGGCAGGATCGCACTATTCCAAGCGAGCCAATGTCAAGATACCAGATTTACAGCTGTCTTGCGTGAATGCAGAGTCTGCGTCGAGGCAAAGGTCCAGGTCTTATGACACAGTCGAGACAAACCTTCTAGTTCGAACCAGCATACACCTGGCAAGCATCGGACGGAAGTTTGACTTCTCGCATGAGTGCAGGCTGCAGCAAGAGCTCATAAGGCGTGAGGATCAGAGAACCTTGCGAACGCCGTTCCTCCTCTTACCGGGTCGACTTGGCGATTCCACCCCAGAACCAGTCGACCCAGTAGCCCAGCCTGTACCACCAGTACCGCAACCAGCGGCCGAGGGTGATGTGCCATACGACAAAGCATCGATGGTGTCCAGCGGTACATCGCGACGCTTCGGAGGCCTCAAGCACAAATCATCATTCCTGAGTGTATCAAGTTCGAGTCAAAGCAGTATCATACGACCCTTGAGTTCTCGACAGTCTTCGCGCCACTCGAGGCTGCCGGAGGGGCTACGGCCTCTGACTGCAATGGGACAGCAGAGCTTACACCGCCGAGACCCTTCAGCTTCTACCGGTCGTCACTCGGCCTTTTACAGTGCATACGCAGATATTGGCGGAGACAGAAGGGACCAGGTTCACAACACGGTGGCATTCTCTAGTCAATACTTCGCACCATACTTTCCTCTCGAGACAGTCCAGCCGGACATCGCAGAGACGCTGGCGCCTAGCATCGAAACAGATGAAGAAACCGCTACCTCCCCCACGGCTTTCGACCTAGAGGATGTTGATTCAGAGAACATGAAGGAGGACAGTGCATACTCAAGTGTGATGATTGAATTGCCCGTGGGGCTGACCGCTTTCCTTAACCCGATTGCTGTCAAAAACATATCCTCGCTGATAGCCGCGCTTCAACCTTCGGATCCGCAAGACATCCTCGACTCCTTGCAAATCGATGCAATGGACGACATTTTTGCCAAACAGAAGAAGAAGAAGATGCAAGGAAATATCAATGATCTGATGTTGAGGATACCCAGCGCAAACCTCAGATTCGTCAATGCCTCTGAAATGGACTCATCGGAACCACCTCAAGAAGAGCAGGATCAGTATGATGCCCACGTGAGCAACCTCGTGCTCACGACAAGGACCCAGAGCTCGTGGGAAGATCCTTTCGACTTGACCAGCGTGCGGGAGAAGAGCTCGTTCCACGTGAGACTTGGTGTGCTCGAGCTATCAGCAGCTGAGCGTCTCGCACTGCACCTTGATACGCATGCAGCAGTCAAGGCGCAAGTAGAGAATGTCATGGTGTCCATGGGCACCAAAGACATGACCTATCTCGACGGAGAAGTCGGCAGTGTAAAAAGCAGCATATCGTCAGAGAAGATCGAGTATCTAGCATCCCTCACTCATCGAACGACCGCACTGGCTACTGAGCTGGAGAAAGTATTCAAGCCAACACTAGCTCGCGAGGGTAGGCTCATCAAGTATTTGACTTACAAGCTTGTGACCGAAGGTCAAGATGCTATCGATCCGATTTTCTTGATCCGACCATCGGCTGTTCTACGGTCTGCGAAACAGCATCTGCGGACCTTCGACTCGTGGAAGCTCATCGCCCGGCTAAGACAGATGTGGGCTGCCTTGAACCCCAATAGCAGAGAGCGACTGGAGCTGGATTGCCTGGGATCAGCATTCGAATTCCCCGACGATGCTCGACAGCAAGTCGTGAATGCCTTCGAACGATGGAGGAATTGGGACCTGAGTAGTATAAACCACTCGGAGCTCATTCAAAACATCTTCGGCAAGGATGCCAGCATGAGACCAGCATCACCCAGCACAGATTTGGCATTCCTTGCAGTGATGCGCCTTCGCGATACACGAATTATACTGGATCCTGGTCCGAAGCAGAATGAAATCGTTCTCACTGATGTTACTGCCAGATTCCAGGACAGGAATCTTCCAGGCCCAGAATCTGACCACGGATCCTCTCCTATCACAATGCTCAACATTTACTGCGGCGAAGCTGCGATCAGACTTAATTGGGACTTATGCGAACTCGCTGAGGATGTTCTGAGGCTTTTTACCCGGCTGCAGAATCGCAAGGAAGCCCAAGCTGAAGAAGCCACCAAACCTCTGGCTAAGTCTAATGGCAAGCCCCTTCATGTGGTCATGTCCATTGGCCGTGGCGAGATGGCATTCGATGCTATCAACCTCAATTCTGTATCCCTTGCCAATGGCATGAAGGGGTCTATGCTTGTTCGCCACGACTCCAAAGATGTCACTGATACAGACTTTGTTCTCAGCTGCGAAGCCTTCACGTCGCGCTTGCGCAGCCACACCCAAGTTATCGGTATTTTTCAGCTGCGGGAGCCGGCTGTTATTGTCTCTCATACATTGCAAGCCACAGAGACGACCGATTCTCACATTATCAAGGCCTCAGCAAGCAGCAAACAACTTTCGTTTGCTGTTCAGCAAGACCCGATTGGTCTTTTAGAAGTCCTCGATCTCTTGATCAAGGATGAAGCAGCGCAACTTTACCGGCTGAAGGGCCATTTGCCATCTTCTTCATCCCCAAAGCCTAAGCAACTGCAACCAAAGATCAAAGAGAGATTGTCTTCGGTCAGAGTTAATCTTGCTATGTTCCTGGACGAGTACTATATCAGCATTCCTCTGCTCCAGTCATTGACGTACTGTGTGTCAGGCGTTGTAGCTCGCGCTGCGATGGCCGCCAACTTTGGGAAGGAAATCATCTTTGATTTCGATATCAAGGAGAACTCCCATGAGATGCAGATCAGAGTGAACAACAAGCCGCGGTCTCTCTCGCTGCTTGAAATACCCCCTACCAATGGAAGAGTCACGAGTCTGATGAGTGAGGGCGAGACCAGCATCAGTACATTTGCGTCAATTGAGCTCATCCAGTTGGATGCGTCTGCGGTGTACAGCTTGCTCAGCGCCCTAAATCGGCCCGAGATCTCGAGCTCAGTTGATGACATACAAGAACAGGTGCAGCTCATTCAAGTGCACGCTCGAGAGACCTTCAACATTAGCCAGAGATCTCCACAAGATTACACTCCGGTTGACGCGCCAAAGAAACCTTTGGTGTATATCGCCAGTGTCACTTGTGAGGGCCTCGAAATCTTTGGAAACTCGCCTTTGAAGTCAGATGCGGAGCCGTTGGCACACATCTTGTTCCGTCTTGCTGGCGTTCACTTACGAATGGGAAATCGCCCGGAGGCTCATAGGCCAATCTTGGATTTCCCAGAAGTTCATGTCAACTTACGGCAAATTGAAATGGGAATAGGCAGGGGCGTAGAGGATGACTTTCGAACCTGCGGAAGACTGGCTTTTGGGGCACTTATCACGGCGACCTCCAAGGCAGCAGACGATGGGTCCGAACAGAGGCATTTCAATGTTGCCACTGATGGCTTTGATGTGATTCTCTCCCCGGAGACCATCTCAACTGTTGTCGATGTCCTCGGGTACATGGGTGACAAGATCAAGGACCTCGACACATCCCGTGAGCTCGAACTGCTGCGGAAGCTGAGGCAGACCAAGCCCAAGATCAAAATTAACGACGAGGAAGAACAAGAAGAAACGGACTTCCTCGACTCCTTCCTGTCTACAATCAGGTACAACTTTGAGATTCGGAAAATGCAGATCTGCTGGCTCGTCCTTACCGGGAGTGAGGAGCCGGTGGAAGGCAAGGAGGACTTGGTTTTTACCTGGGACAAGATCGAGCTGGGAACCCGTACAAGAAATTCAGCCAGGCTCATGATCGAGAACTTCCAGGTCCAGACGGTCCCAATTGGCCAGGACAAGAGACTACGGTCTGCTAATTCAGCTCTGATGCCTGAGGTGGTTTTTAATGTGGCCTATGTATCCACATCAAACACTCGCCGCATGGCCTTTCAGGCTGTTGGCAAGTCTCTGAATCTACGTCTCACTTCCGGATTCGTCATCCCTGTGTCGAACGTTGCTGACTCCATCAACCTGTCCGTCAAAAACGTTCGCAAGGCTTCGCAGCATTGGAATCCGCCCAGGAGACCAAGCCAACCAGCAGCGTCAGCAGAGAAGCCAGCTGAGCCACGGAAGGCTTTGTTTGGGAACAAGAGAATGGAATCGTTCCTTGTCGATGCGGACTTTGCTGGAGCCGTCGTCTACTTGGCGGCGAAGAGGGAGGCTGATGACGCCTTCCGTTCATCCAGGGCGACGCGTGCTGGTCTCGCCGGCAAGTATGGGCAATTCACTGCCGACGACACCGGTAGCAGTACAGTCATGAAGTCCCCAGGTGTCGCCTTCAAGGTGGAGTACAGAGACCCGGGGAGTGGGAATGAAGACCCCTCTCTGTATGGCGAAATCAAAATCGACGCCTCAAGCAATACATTGTACCCGTCGTTTGTCCCTCTGGTATTGGATATGACATCAAGTATCAAAGAGGTCCTCGCGAATGACTCGGGTAAGACCGTCGAGCCACAGCAAGCCCTTGCTAAGACAAAGGCTGCCCAGGAGGACTACCTGCTTGATCCTAGCGCCGTCATCGGACGATTGAAGCTCAACCTTGGCCTGCGCATCTGCCGGCAGGAATTTACATTGAGTTGTCAGCCCATCGCACGCGTGGCGGCGACCGCTGCCTTCGACGACATGTATTTCACAGTCAATACTGTGGCTTCTGTTGACCAAGGGAACTTCTTTGCCATGTCGGGAGCCATTGCTAATCTGCATGCCTCTGTTCGCCATGTGTACTCCCGGGAGGAAACAGGTCAATTCAACGTGGATTCGATTGTCTTATCCCTCATGAACAGCAAGCATGTCAGTGGTACCAGTGGCGTGTCTGCCATACTCAAGTTCAGCCCTATGGAGGTTTCCATCAACGCGAAGCAGCTTCAGGACTTCCTGCTCTTCAGAGAGATATGGATACCTCGCGACGTCCGCCAGACCTCGACAAATCCAATGGCTAAGCTCCAGACGGAGACGTCCCAAGGACCACAAGGGCATCTGGTGCAGAGGTACCAGCAGGTGGCTGCGACTGCAGCTTTCCCCTGGACGGCTACGATATCCATGTCTGCTCTCGTGATCAATGTCGATCTTGGACAGGCAATTGGAAAGTCCAAGTTTGCCATCAATGACTTCTGGGTTTCATCCAAGAAATCATCTGACTGGGAGCAAAACCTCTGCTTGGGGTTTGGCAGAATCGGGGTCGACAGTCAGGGCCGCATGAGCGGTTTCGTGGCCATGCAGGACTTCAAACTACGGACTGCGATCCAGTGGCCCCAGAGAGAGCGGGCACTGAATGAAACCCCCATGATTCAAGCCTCGGTCACGTTCAGCCAGTTCAGAGTTAAGGCTGCGTTTGATTACCAGGCTTTCCTAGTCGCCGACATCACGTCGATGAAATTCCTCATGTACAATGTCAGAAGGTCACAAGAGGGCACTGGCGACCGGCTCGTGGCCACCTTTGATGGCGAGGCGGTACAAGTATTCGGAACTACGACGTCTGCTGCTCAAGGAGTTGCTTTGTACCAAGCGTTTACCAAACTCGTAGCAGAGCGCAAAGCCAGCTTTCAAACATCACTCAAGGAGATTGAGAAGTTCATGAAGCGGGGCTCAATAGCTTCAAGCACTGCGACGATCCAAAGGCCGTCCATCTCGAAGGCCCAGGTCGATGAGACATTAGCGAAAGCTCCCATCTCACTCGACACCTCCGTTGTGGTGACGCTCAAAGCGCTCAATCTCGGAGTATTCCCTCAAACCTTCTCCGACCACCAGGTCTTCAAGATGGAGGCTCTCAACGCACAGGCTCGCTTCGCCGCCTCGATCGACGACCGGCGCGTGCACAGTATACTGGGTCTGACTCTGGGCCAGCTGCGGATCGGGCTCGCGGGCGTGCGGACGATCGAGGCGCCCAAGGCGCTGAGCGAGCTGACGGTCGAGGACGTGGCGGCGTCGGCGACGGGCTCTCGTGGCGGGACGATCCTCAAGGTGCCCAAGGTCGAGGCTGTGATGAAGACGTGGCAGAGTCCGCAGTCGAGGCACATCGACTACATCTTCAAGAGCGCGTTCGAGGGCAAGGTCGAGGTCGGGTGGAATTACAGCCGCATCTCGTACATCCGCGGCATGTGGGCCAATCACACAAAGACCCTCAACCAGGCCTACGGTAGGGAGGTCATATTGCCCTCCGCCATCAAGGTCACGGGCGTGCTGCCCGAGCCGCAGAAGCAGGCGGTGCCGCCGACGCAGGACGAGGGAGGAGGAGCCGGCCAGAGGAAGGACGGCGGCAGGGAGGAGGAGTCCGCGAAGAAACAGGGCCAGCAGGGCAAGATCACGGCCGAGGTCGACCTCCCGCAGTCGAAATACGAGTACAACGCGCTCGAGCCGCCCATCATCGAGACGCCGCAGCTGCGCGACATGGGCGAGGCCACGCCGCCGCTCGAGTGGATCGGCCTTCACCGCGACCGCCTGCCGAACCTGACGCACCAGATTGTCATTGTGAGCCTGCTGGAGCTCGCCGGGGAGGTGGAGGATGCCTACAGCAGGATCCTGGGGAGCTCGTGAGCGGGGTGGCTGTGTTATTTCTTGTATGGAGAAGGGGGCAAATAAATGGTTCATTGATTTAGTTTTGGAGTTGGAAGGTTGGCCTTGAAAATAGCATACTGCACGCACATAGCACAAAGCGTGGGAAAATGGTCTTTAGCATTGCATAGCCCCTTTTTAATCTTACTAATTTGGTTCTGGCAGAAGCCTCGAGTCCTGACAAAGTAGATTTCCCAGTGCTGAGGCGTTACTGGCGCCTTTAATGATTGGTGTCCTTTCCGAATTGCCGATCCAGAGAATAGGATAGAATGTTGCGTATGGAGCCTTATCATAAGACCTCGTTTGATAAGGACTTGCCGTAGGATGAAATCCAAATTTTGTTTTCTCTTTTTTCTTTTCTTTTTGGTACTATTCTTTCTTGTCCATCCTTCTTCCGCTTCTTCGAAGTCGAGGTCTGTCTGTGCACATTAATCTTGGGGTTGAGCTTCTTCTTTGCATCCTGATTGCCCCAGTCCAACAGAAAGTGCCACTCATGCCCGCTTCCCTTGGCTTCCCCAGACGTCGTGGATTCGTTGGTTTCCATGTATATTACATGTTTTATCAATAAATTTACAACGCTCCCATGATGCAGTCATCTCTATCCAATACCAAAGGCCGAGGCATCGTCATGATGTCCGGCGTTAAAAAGTAATAATATATACAAATCAAATGATTTTTGAAAAGAAGCGAAAACTGGGGCCCTGTTCCAGGCCCGGCGCAACTGATTCCATCCCTCCGCTACGGTCCCAGCACGTCAAGGGACGCGGTCTGCAATATGAACATCTATCCATCCCGACGATTTGGGACGCCGAAGTTCCGGCACTACTAAACCTCATCTCAGCCATGAAGCCGGACCCTCTCCCCCTTGATCTTGCTCGCGACCTGGAAGGCCTGCGGCTTCTGGCCGAGCTGGGTCAGGCTGCGGTGCAGGCCATGCAGGCCGCCGGGGCCCCTCTCCTCGTCGTTGCTGGGCGGCCTGGGGATTCCGCCCTTGACGGCACAGACGGCGGCGAAGTCGAGCGTTGGGTAGCCGCAGCGCTGGGGCCGGCGCTTGCAGATGCGGGCGGTGGCGATGATGGCGGCGGTGCAGAGGGCGAGCAGCAGGCCCGATATGACCCCAAAGAGCCAGCGCGATGTCGGGCCCGCGATGACCTGGTGGCTCATGATGGCCAGCGACATGGTCGTGTACATGTCCTCGCTGAGGCCCTTGCGCGGGTTGTCGAGTTCGAAGATGGACGGCTTGGAGAAGTAGTTGGCGTGGAAGTAGTTAAAGGGCACGCTCATGGCCTTGCGAATGGCCTTGAGGCTCAGCTTCTTGGCGACCTCGTTGTCGTTGATCGGCAGCGCGGTCACGGCGTAGACGGCAAGGGCCGAGTTGTCGCCCTTCATAGTGGAAGTGGAGTTCGAGAGGGCGCTGCTGTTTGCTGTCGCCGCGGGGCTGAAACCTGGGACTACCGCAGAGAGGGCTAGCATGTATTCTTCAAGCTTGATAATTTCCCTAGTAGGAGGGGTGAGGTTCGTAACGGAAAGGATAGAGAAATTTCCACGGTCGTAGTTCACTGTGCCATAGCGTTCGTAGACGAAGAGGGATGATACCATCACGAGTGGGCTCCACCAGGTGGCATCCTCCAGGCAGGTCTGCTTGTTTTGCACAGCGAGTGGGCAGTACGAGGAGCCTGATCGAGGAATGTTAGTGCTCATAGTAGTGAAATACAGAGTGGGATTATTCGTTCTTACCAAACAGTAGCTCCTTGTCTGATCCCACAGCGGCGCACCAATATGAAGCTGCTGCTGCGGTACCGATCAGGTAGCAGTTACCGTTGTCATACAGGCCTTGGATATCGTGCACTGTGCCATACTCAAGATGCAAGACGCGTGTTTTGGGAACCACGTAGGCTGTGGACTCCGAAAGATGCGCGAGGTCGTCCTTTTGCGGTGATATGCTGACAATACCACCGGTTAACAAGTGCGACTCGGCACAGGGTGTCCAGCTGTGGTCAGTGGCCGAGACCGTGCAGAGGCCTTCCTCGGGGCCAAGGGAATCCATACTAAATGAGTCCCGGTCAGACCATGCCGGGGTGCCCATTTGCACGAGTAGGGCCGTGGACGAGACGGAGTCGATGTAGTTGATGTAGGAAGAGTTGAATTTGCCAATGCCAGCAGAGACGGCGTATGTTTCCTGCGGGAAGAAGATGAGCTCGATGGTTATATTGCCCATCAGGATGATACCTGGCAAGGGTATCGTGCAAATGACCATGAGACGGAAGAGACTGGAGTATTTTTGCCTCCAGTCAGCCGTCGCCAGCAGACGCATCAAGCCCCAGACGCCGGTACCTGAGTCCATGCCAACGAAGTGCAACAGGCTGACCCCCTCTGGGCGTGATGCCAGTGCCCACTGTAGATCTTCTACAACCACCACGACAAGTGCAGCCATAATGACAGCGCAGGCCTCGGTGAGTACTCTCAGGATGAGAATTGCGTTGGCGGAAGACGTCGTGAAGAATTTGTCCCTCATCAAGGCTGTAGCCGATCCGGTCGAATAGAAAGCAGTCAGTATCACCATGATCAATGCCAAGAGCAGAAGGCACAGAGTCCACCACCCGAAGCGGCTGCTCTGTTCCATGTTGACGCTCAGACGGCGGGATCGCAATGAGGTCGTGTCGTCATTGTCGCGGTCATCCGTGGACAATGCGTCATTGATGCTTTCTCGTGACGGCGTAGGCGGGTGGAGAAAGTTCTGGTTGTACTGTTGTCCGGGCTCTCTTGTTGGGACATCGTCGTATTCCGGGGCTGGCACCTTCTCGACACTGACAGTCGGCCACTCCTTGCCGGTATCTTTCAAGGGTGATGGCTTTTGGCGCCAGTCTGGAAGGTCCTCGCCGTTCTTCCTCTCGGCCCAATCTGTCGAGTCGACTGTGCTGCTGCGTGTCGGCCAGTATTCCGGCGAGTTACTGGAACGTATTCTCTTGGACCAATCCGCGAACTCTACGGTGGTCTTCCGTACCGGCGCCTCCCTGGACGCAGATCCCCCAACCCGGCCGTTCATATCATCAAGCTGTATCGTCTCGAAGGCCGGAATCATCGGGGCCTTTGACCCGATCCTGTCAGAGGTCGAGGCTGAGTCCTCGTGGATCCAGCTGCCTCCACTGTTAAATCGAGCCGGTCGATCCATAACGAATGATACTGGGGCGCCAACGCCCTGCGTCGACCTTGAGAAGTGAAGTGTGGTTTGGGTAACGAACGTGTGTGGTTGAAGAATAGAGCTACGTAGATTGGCGGGATCAAATTCGATAATGTAGAAGAGGTTAGTTTGTACCCCAGATGGAAGAATTAGACGGAGAATTCCACTGTCGTCCCAACTTCTCCATCACCGCTTGACTAGCGAAGGCCGCTTCCGCTTTTTTTCAGCTGGAATATTGAATCAAGCATCGCTTCGGTTTCACATCGTGAGGACAATGGCAGAAAAGGGACGTGGCCCGTTGAAGCGATCATGTCGCTTCAGCATAGGCACGAGTCATACCCCATGGAGGCTATTCCAGGACCACACTTGTGGAGCTGGAACTCCCGATAACTTCCAACATCAGTCTCTTATTCGCATCCTTCTCCAGGTCGGCCCTGCCACTGTCAGAGAACAGCAGAGATGGTCGACTCGTAGAAACCGGATGTGGTGTTTCCAGGCCGGAGGGCCAGGATTGGCTTCTCCGGCCAACGGGATGAGACGCTGATAGGAGAACACGTTGCCAGGGGAGAGTGTTCGTCCTGTCTTCCGGACGTACCGGTGGGTTGGAAGAGGAACTGACACTCCCAACGAGATAAATATAAAATGACAAGACGACCCCCCTGGAGAAAACGTGTCCGGGCCCGGCTTCCTGGCGCCTAAGATGTCGGTGCGCGTTGGCAGGACACACGTGCACACGTGGGGAAAGCCAGGAGACCCTTGAAGAGGGAGAGCCTGTCCAAGAGAATGAATCCCAAGGGGTGCCCTTACCTTGAATGACAAAAGTTGCTGACGCCTGACACTGAGTTTCGGCTTGACCCAGTGGTGGGCGTTGGCCCACAGTGGTCTGACTTGGTGGTGGTTCTGCGTGCACAGTCGGTGCTGACACAACCAGCAAGGCTCGCAGGCTGACTAGAAGTTTCTCGAGCCGCAGGGCGAGACAAGACAGTTCAACGGCAGTGGGGGAGACGGAGTAAAAGAATGCCAATGCTAATGCCAATACCAATGCCAATGGGGAATTACTAGTGCTTGTCGTGGGACTCGAGGCTAGCACGCCGAGGACCAGGATCAAGAAGAGCTCCGGGCGCCGACAGGCGACAACTGTGCCGAGTAGAGGATGCTCCCTTCATGATGACCGAAGAGGAACCTGAACTGGATGGTGGAGATCTGTTGTTTTGTTGGGCGGAGAATGGTGTAGAATTACCCGGGACTATGCGCAGTAAATTTGAGTTTGCTATAATTGTAGCCGCTTCATTCAACCAGATTGTCTTTGTCAATGTAGTAGTGATGGATGAGGCTGCATGAAAGATGGGAGGGTGAATGTCGCTGTCGCAGGGACGAGGCTGCTTTGCTGACTTTGCCAAGCTGGCAGCTGTCAGCCAGTCTGACAGGTGGGCTGCAGCTGACAATACTCAACAGAAGCCGTCGGGTGGGACCCTGGACCGTTGGTTCGTCATAGAGGGGCAGTCTTCTTTTTGTCTGGCTCTGGCTTAGTCTCCCGCACTCTCAAATTTACTTGGTGCAGTTTGGATAAACCCCGCCAAATCAAACCAAGCAGAAGCGAGGCCGGAGAAGGGTATCTGGAGTATCGTGGGGCTTTTGTCAGAGCTGTCAGTCATGCATACGAGAAAAAGAAAAGTTTATTGCTGTCGCTGCAGTATGGCTGCACGCCCTCGGGGACTAAGTTCACAATAATAAGCAGAGTAGTAAAAAAAAAAGGGCTCGAGAATCAAGAAGTACCGTACCGTACCGTACCGTACCGTACCGTACCTAGTGAACCCCTCCCTCCACCCCTCCCTTCGTCCCCCACCAAAAATGCTGCACATTGTGCTTGTGCATACGCGCATTGGCGCATTAGGTCCCCCAACTCTTCTGTTGAAACATCAAATCACCAAGCGCGGGATGCTGCAGGGCCCGATCACACCGTGGGCGAGGTGGGGTGGCAGCACATGCGACGCTTGAGCCAATCGAGGCTCATCTGGCGAGGCCGGGGACTGGGGAACAAATGCTAATGCTGGGCTCCGACTCGGCCACCGATGAGACTGACGGACTGACGGGGCGGACTGACGGTAAGCTTCCTTTCTAAAATCCTCACCACCTTCCGTTCCCCGTCCCGTCCCATCCCATCCCACCTCTCCTCCTCCTGCTGCACCTCCTCCTCCTCCTCCTGCTGCTTCTGCTGCATTTCCTCCCTTCTTCCTTTCCCTCTATTCCTCCGCTTTTCTCTGCACCTCCCTCGTTTCGAAGGGCCTCAATGGTGTAATTTGGGCCAGTGTCGTATGGGGTAGTGTTGATGATCCTTTCAAATCCTTCCAGATTGTAGAGGTAAGCCGTCTTACACCATGCAAAAACTTAAATCTTGTCCCACCTTCCAGTCTTTGTCTGCCTCGCTTCCAAGATCATGAGACCTAGTTTTCCTCGACCACACACCCTTCCACGCTTTCATCACAAATATACGAGACGAGCAATGTCTACCTCTGCTGCTGACTCCTGGCTCTCCAAGGCTGTCATCTTTTCGAGCGGCATGCTTGTCTGGAAACTGCTCGGCGGCCACTTCTCTGACATCTTTGCTGATATACCAGATCTTACAGACCCTGCCGAGTAGTTGCTCTTCTCGACCTTCCCATTTGAGCCACATACCTCGTACTTGTTGACGACGTCGTCATCCCCGCCCTCAAGATGCATATCAAAGAGATGGTCGCCGATGCCGAGAAGACGGCTGCCCCGTCTTTCTCCTTCGAATACTTCCCTCCCAAAACCCTGACAGGTGTGCAAAACCTCTACGACCGCATGGAGCGCATGTACCACTTCGGCCCAAAATTCATCGACATCACCTGGGGAGCTGGCGGCCGCATAGCCGAGCTGACATGCGAGATGGTCAGCCAGGCCCAGGCCTACTTCGGTCTCGAGACGTGCATGCACCTCACCTGCACCGATATGGGGCTCGAGAAGATCAACGATGCTCTGCGAAAAGCCTACAAGGCCGGCTGCACCAATATCCTGGCACTGAGAGGGGACCCTCCGAGAGACAAGGAGAAGTGGGAGGCTGCCGACGACGGCTTCAGGTACGCCAAGGATCTGGTGGTCCACATACGAAAGACATACCACGACCACTTCGATATTGGCGTTGCCGGGTATCCCGAGGGTTGCGACGACAACAAAGACGAGGAGCAACTGTTGGACCACTTGAAGGAGAAGGTGGACGCCGGGGCCACGTTCATTGTCACTCAAATGTTTTACGATGTCGACAACTTTCTCCGTTGGGTTGGAAAGGTCCGCGCCCGCGGCATCGACATTCCTATCATTCCTGGCATCATGCCCATTGCTACCTATTCCAGTTTCATCAGGAGGGTCAACCACATGAAGTGTAAGGTCCCTCAGGAGTTCTTGGATGCCCTCGAGCCCGTCAAGAACGACGATGTTGCTGCTCGTGAAATCGGCAAGACGTTGGTTGCCAACATGTGCCGCAAGATTCTGGCAGCAGGTATCCCTCACCTACACTTTTACACCATGAACCTGGCCCAGGCCACCCGCATGGTCCTTGAAGAGCTGGACTGGATGCCCTCAGAGCGTAGCCCTGTCAAGCAGGCTTTGCCATGGAAGCAGTCCCTCGCACTCGGACGACGGGACGAGGATGTGCGGCCGATTTTCTGGCGCAACAGGAATAAGTCATACATTTCAAGGACAATGGACTGGGACGAGTTTCCCAACGGTCGCTGGGGTGACTCTCGATCTCCTGCCTTCGGTGAGCTGGACGCCTATGGTATTGGCTTGACGGGTACAAACGAGCAGAACCGTAAGAAGTGGGGTGAGCCCAAATCCGTCAAGGACGTGGCCGCCATTTTCGTCAAATACCTCAACAACGAGCTTGACCAGCTTCCTTGGAGCGAGTCTCCCCTTACTAGCGAAGCAGACGCCATCAAGGATGACCTCATCGAGCTTAACAAGCGAGGACTTGTCACCATCAACTCGCAGCCTGCCGTCAATGGTGTGAAGTCATCCCATCCTGTCTACGGCTGGGGTCCATCGAACGGTTTCGTGTACCAGAAGGCCTACCTCGAACTGCTTGTCTCCCCCGACGTGTACCCAGAGCTCATCTCCCGCATCGAAAAGCACCCAGATTTGACGTACTACGCCGTCACCAAAGCCGGTAACCTCGCGACCAACACCCCATCAGAAGGTCCCAATGCGGTCACATGGGGTGTCTTCCCCGGTAAGGAGATCGTGCAGCCCACCATTGTCGAGTCCATCAGCTTCCTGGCATGGAAAGACGAGGCATTCCGGCTTGGCACAGACTGGGCCAACTGCTTTGAGGCCGGCAGCCCTAGTCGGATCTTGTTGGAGCGCATGATGAAGGATTGGTCCCTGATCAATATCGGTAAGATACTCTTTTCAAAACCACTTCCTTAGAATCGAACAATCCTGACATGGTTGCTAGTGAACAATGACTTCCACCAGCCACGCACTATCTTCGAAGTAATGAAAGGACTTCAGGTCAAGGACCTCGATGTTGAGGTGCAATCGGACGGGCCCACAGCAAACTAATCGCAACTGCATCACAACTGCTACAAAAGCACCACACTTATTGGAGAGGCTTCAACAATGCCTCGACGGCAATTAATCAACTGATGACTGATACGACCTGAATTTAACACGACGGAACTTAATCGCTCAGACTGCGGTATATACCGCGGTGCAGTTACAGTGTACATGCGATGACACACTGGACACACACTCACACATACCCTTTCCTTAACGATTTGGGTTGCATGACACGGAGGGGAACAGCCGGCGTTTTCTGCTTATTCAACATTTTTTTCAACATTTCGGCAGTAAGCGGCGCAAAGCAAAAAGTGTGGGGTGTGAATTACGTCTTTTTCAACAAAAAAGAGTTGAGAGAGGAGTGCGAGAAGAGAGGAGAAAGGAGAAAGGAGAAAGGAGCGAAGCCTCGAAGCGGATCGAGGCACAAGCATTGAGGGATCGAACCCATTCTCTGGTACTGGGAGGATTCTTTCAATTCTGCACATATATTCATTCTCAACGATAGATACCCCAAGGGCAGGCAGGCAAGGCAAAGGCAAGGGCAAGGGCAGCGTAGGCTAGAATGCCCGGGCCACAAAAATTCAGGCATCATGGTGCTACGGAGTTCAACATTTGAAACTAGGCATTTTTTTCATGGCGAGGGCCAACCTCGTTTCAACAGAGGTGACAGCCCGCGGCCATGGAGACGCGGCAGAGATGGGAGGGAGGGACGCAGTGAGGAAATAGGGGTGAGAGCTGGTAGGGCGAGGAGCGGAGGAATCATGGAAGGGGAGGTGGGAAGGGAAGAGAATAGAGCAGATCAAGCGTCTGGCTTGACAGGTCTACGAAGCATCATTGAGACTCGTTACGGACTTGACAGACACAAAATACTTGACTCATGTTTGACCGTTCTCTATCTGCTGGCATACCTGTAAGCATCAGTAAAATGTGCATTAACATGGCATCGGGCCCATGGCTGTCCCCGCACGGCGATACCGCGGAATGATGCGCCAGGAAATGCAGAGCATGGCAGAGGGACAGAACTTCGCTCCAGACCATGCAACCACCAATCCGCATTTTCCAGATATTGAATCTAGTTGATATGTACGCCGACTCCAATAATGCCACTATGTCATGCTATGCTATGCAAAGGCTCCCCGGTCCGGCACTTCCCGGATGGAGGCCTGGCTATCCATCAATCCGTCGATCCAATACATACATCTGTACAGGCGCCCCGACTCGCAACTGTCATATTGGTGGAGGCCACTCTCTCGCCACCTAGGGTATAAGGAAGACACTGCCACAGGACGGGTACTATTCATCCCACTCGTTCTCACCAGCTACGTCATAATCCACCTCGGCCTTGGCCTCGCCAGGCTCTTGCTGCTGCTGGGCGTGCTGCTGGTTCTCCCCTGCCGCGCCATCCTGGTCGGCCTTGCCGTCGCCATCGTGGTGATGTTGGTTATTGTCATCACCGCCATCCGCATCCCCCATGGCCGAGTCAAGCCCGCCGCCGTCCGTCGGCCCAACGCCCGCCCCGCCGTTAGCGAGGTCGACATTGGACGTGGTGCTGCCGGGCAGCGGCGCCGCGGCGCCGGCCACCCACGAGAGCTCGACGGGGCCGTCGTTGATCCCGGGGATCTTGTTGTTCTTGACGCTGTTGTAAAACGCCTCAGCCGACTTGCGGTCGCCGAAGCTCACATGCGTCACCGTCGGGGTGGTTTGGATCTCGGCGACGCCTTCGCCGTGGACCTGGAAACCCTGGTTGCTATTAGCCGTCATTCTCCTATTTCTGTCCCACGAAGATGCGTGAGAGAAGAAGCAACTTCGTGAAGAAAGGAAGAGATACTTACGAAAAGGTGCCGCCTCAGCGCCTCATCCTTTTCGGGCGCTGAGAAGTCCAACCCCGAGATAGCCACCGTCTTGGGCCGGTTGTCCAGGGAGAACGCTGCGTAGGCAGCGTGGAAGTTGCCCCTGCCGCCACGCGCGCCGCCACGGAACGATCCCCGTGGGGGATATGCGCCGCGGCCACGGTAGTACCCGCCCCTGCCGCCGCGACCGTAGCTCGGTATGTACGATGTCGAGATCGCAGAGCTGTCGTCCTGCTGCGCGTTCGGGTCAATCCCCAGCGCTGCTGCTTCTCCTCGCAATTTCTCCAGCGTGGCTTTCAGAGCCTCGGTCTTCGATGCCTCGCCGCCTTTTCCTTCTGCAGCTGCGTCGCCGCCGCCGGTGCCAACCTCGTTAGAGTTCTTCCGTGAGCCAGCCAGCTTTTCTAGGAGACGTTGTTTCTCAGCGGCCTGCTTCGCTTGCAATTCCTTCTGCTTCTTCTCCAGCTCCTCGCGCTGCTTCTCGATTTCTCGGATCTTGGCCATCTTCTCCTCATGCAATTTTTGCGCCTCCTCTTGTTTGCGCGTGAATTCCTCCATGTCGATCTCCTCCATCTTGACGTCTGCAGACTCCTCGCGCTTGCCACTATTCGCCGAATGACCGTTCTTGAAACCGTTTGCACCGTTGCCTCCGTTTGCGACATCACCGTGCTTCTCTTCCTTGTACCAATATACCTTTACGAATCGATTGTCGAATATTACCTTCGGCGATTTGTACGCGGCGTTGGCCGACGCCCAGTTATCATATTTAACGATCGCCAGTCGCTTGTACGCCATCATTGTGACTTGTTCGACATTTCCAAACTGCGCGAAGAAATTCCGAACTTGATCCTCATCAAAGTTTTCCTCAGGTATGCTCTCCACCACGACCTTCGTCTGAGATCTATCGTAGACCGGACCCTCTGCGGAAAATGGTGCGCGGGCCTGGCCTGTTTTCCGTCGTTGCTGTCCTTGCCGGTGATTTCTGTTTTGGTTAGGATGTCCGTTACCTTGGAAAGGCGCTGGTTGTTGAGGTTGCGACATGGTCGCGGAGGTCGGGTCGTATTCTGCTTGTTGTGTCAGAGTCGGCGGGTTGAAGTAATCGTTGAAGGACACGAAGAAAGGATTGACACCAAATGGTGTGGCAAAGAAATCATGCGAAGACCCGAGCTCTTCGGTCTTGATCGGCGTACTAGGAAATCGAGAACCAGACCAACCTTCACCTGGTAGTTGAATTTGCCCCGACAGCTGTGGCGTGGGCAGGCTGTACACGGGCTCCGGACCAGTGCTGTGGTCGAACTTGCACTTGAGGCCCCTGGGACAGAAACCCTTCCTGTCAAAATCCCAGCACCGTCCCTTTTTCCCCTGCTGTGGCGCCGCGTTCTGCTGGAAACCGGAATGTTGCTGAGAGTAGTCGGCGAAAGGCTGCATAGACAAACCCATCTGCTGGCTAATTTGTTGCAGCTGTCTCATCGCTTCCAAAGGGTTGCTCGGGTCGAACTGGGGCATCTGGGGCACTTGGCCCGGTTGCGCGAAGGAAGATGATGTATTTTGGAACGGGTATTGATCCGGGGACATCGGCTGTGGTCGATCGGGGTCGACGTAGCCTCTGCGGCCTCCGCCGCGCCGGGGCTGCTTGTACGGTCGTCCGCCTGGGAATTGGTCTCGACCGGTCGGCGCATCGAAATCGCCTCGGTCGTGGAAGCCACGCTTGCGCGCGTTTCCACCGCCGGGGCCAGTGGGAATGACAGGTTGATCTGTACTCGGGGCTCCAAGGCTGGGCAGAGCTGGTGGAGGAGCGGCAGCAGGAACTGCTTTCGGCGGAGGGGCGGCGCCGGGAACATAAGACCTGTACTGTATTATCTCGAAGAGGTCATTGACGAAGGAGGAAGGATCTGTCAGTACCGGAAGTCAGTTGAAGCTCTGTGGCCAGTTCAACGCACAGCGACCAAACCATACCTTCTGTGAGGAAGTTGCCCATCTCAGACATGCACTTTGACTTGACATCTTCGCTCCCGTCATCGTGATGCAAGAGGGCCAGGACGAAGTCAGCAAGCACATCAGCGTCTGCATCGGACCTGTTTGAGTTTCAAAAATCAGCTTGAACGCTCACAGCCAGGAGACGCGGCGAGTATCGAGGGTGCGACCAACGTATTCTCGAGACGCTTGACGATCCACGCCTTCAGTAGTGGGGAATCCTCCTCGGGAAACAGCATCTTTCCCAGCTTTCTACTTTCGTGTGGACATATAGATAGCCGTTTAGGGAGAGGTCGAGGTGCAGCGACAAAAAAGAGGGTGGTTCAGGACGAGCACTAAGAGTTGTTGGTCGCTTGGTTGGTTGGTTGTGACTCGGAAGTTTGGTCTAAGAATTGCGAAATGTTCTGGGATAGATGCGCGCGGGAGCTTTCCAAGCTGCAGCAGGGATTCGTAGTGGGGCCTACAACGGCAGGCTAGCAACGACTAGATCTATTTGGAGAGGCGCGCCAAACCACAACTCGTTTCTCCAACTTTGATCAGAAGCCCAATCTTCGTAATTATCCCAACACTTCCCTAATCTACGTGCATTTATAATAGGAAATATGGCTTGTCACACGATTCACATCACTCACTCAGGACTAAAGAACGCAGGTTTACTTCATCGACGCAATAAATTCCAATTCCAGCGTTAAGTACAAGCTCTCAGGTCGGACTATGATCATGATATGTTCCGGTGCTTGTTGTTTGGCCTCCGCTTCGCCTTTTTCCTCCCCAGACCCTTGAGTCTTGTATCGTAGACCGTTTTCCGTCTTCTTTGCAATTAGCTAACATTGCCGAAGATACGCTCTATCAAGCCGCCGTGTGAGGCGGTGGGAAAAGTCTATGAGCATGGAGATAAGGCTTTTACAGCTTGTCGTAGTACTGTGCAGATCGGTTAGCATCGTCTCCTCTGAATGGGATTTTGGGGAAATAAGACTCACGTTCTCAACACCGGGAACCTCAACCTTGATACCCTTGCGCTTACGCATCTCCAGTACCATTGCACCGACCTTGGAAGTGGGGTCCAGAGGAGAGCCACCGGGCAGCAGCTGCCAGTGGTCGAACACGGACTGGGGGAAGGCCTGGCCGGAGGTGGCGGCACGCAGGTCGCCGTTGAAGCCGAAGGACTCGATGACGGGCAGGTAGGACTTGATGGTGAACAGAGGAGTACCGGGGCGCTGCTCCTCACCGAAGACGATACCACGTCTACGGGTAAGCACACCGTAGACACCACCCATGGCCTGCTCGGGCACCTGGATTTCACACAAGAACACGGGCTCTTGCAGGGCGGGCTCAGCAAGCAGAGCAGCGGCGTACATGACACGACGAGTAGTAGGCATGATCTGACCGGTACCACGGTGAATGGAATCAGCGTGGAGGGTGACATCAAGAATGTTCCAGCGGACGGATCGCATGGGCTCCTCGGCAACGGGACCCTCACGGGAAGCCCATTGGAAACCAGAGACGACGGAGTCCTTGATTTCGTTGAGGTACTGCACGGCCTTGGTCTGGTCGACCAGCAAGTTGGGGCCGTTTGTGTCAGGACCGAAGGTCCAGATCTTACGGGCGTCGGTGACATCCCAGCCGTAGTCGTCAGCAAGGAGACGGGCACGGACCTTGAAGTCGTCGCGGGGGTTGATCTTGCCAGCCTCGATGGCCAGGGAAAGCTCCTCGTCCAGTGGCTCGGCAGTCATGTAGATACGGTTGTGCTTGTTGGGGGACTTGGACAGAGCAGTGATGCTCGACTTGCCACCAACAGTCTCACGGTACTGCACGACGGGGTCGGAGATGATCAGAGGAACACCAGCGTGGTCGTTCTGGAGATCGTTCAAGCAGATCTCCAAGTGAAGCTCACCAGCACCAGCAACAATGTGCTCACCAGACTCGTTGGTCATGGTCAGGACACAAGGGTCGGACTTGGACAGACGCTTCAGACCCTCGACGAGCTTAGGCAGATCCTGAGCGTTCTTGCACTGCACAGATCGCTGCACGACAGGGGACACGGAGAACTTCATGACCTTCAGGTTGTGAGCGGCCTTGTCGGTGGTGATGGTACCAGACTTGAGCAGGAACTGGTCAATACCGACCAGACCAACGATGTTACCGGCGGGGATATCGTCGATGGCCTCGACTCTGCCACCCATCATCAGGACGACACGCTGGATGGCCTTCTCGGACAGATCCTCCTTCCTGCCAGGGACGTAGTTGGGGCCCTGGATGCGGACCTTTTGGCCGGACTTGACGGTACCGGAGAAGACACGACCGAAGGCGTAGAAACGACCCTTATCGGAGGTCGGCACCATCTTGGAGACGTAGAGCATGAGGTCGGCCTTGGTGGGGTCAGCCTCGCAGTCACGGATGGAGGCGTAGATCTTGTCGTCCTGAGGACCCTCGTACAGTGTCTCAGCACGGTACTTCTGGGCAGTCTTGGGGGAAGGCAGGTGGAGAATCATCATCTCCAGCAGGGAGTCGGCAGCGGGCAGGAAAGTGCGCATGACAGCCTTGAGGAGCTGCTTGCCCTCCTTGTCGCGGTCCTCAGAGGGCAGCTTGAGGTCGAGCTTCTCGAGGAGGACCTTAATCTCGTCCTTCTTGAAGTTCATGACGGCGGCGAAGATCTTGAAAATGGGGTCCAGGATGAACTGGTTGAAGGCACGCTCGAGCTGCTGGCCCTCGTAGGTTCCGTTCTTGGTCCACTTCTTGGTCTTGGGGTTGAAGTAGTTGTCTCCCCAGAGACGCTCCATCATCTTGTTGCGGTCAACACCGAACTTCTTAGCGTAACGGGTGGCGAATTGACGGATGGTGAAGGCCCAGCCGTGCAGACCGGAACCGAAGGCGACGGTGCCCTTGTCAGGGTAGACCTGGACGTCACCGAGAGACTTGTCGAAGTAGGTGGAGATGACGACGTTGACGGACTCGATTGTTCGGGAGAAGGACTGGTACAGGTCCTCCTTCTCGATCTGGAGCTCGAGGAGAGCACGATCAACCTTGTTGATGACAACAACGGGCTTGATACGCTCACCGAGAGCCTGTCGGAGCACAGTCTCGGTCTGCACACACACACCTTCGACAGTGTCGACGACTGGGATGTTGTTAATGATAGGCCCCTTGGTCAAGATTGCTGCCGCCAGGAGCTACTTACCAACGAGAGCACCATCGGTGACACGGAGAGCAGCAGTGACCTCAGAAGAGAAATCAACGTGACCAGGAGAGTCGATCAGGTTGATCAAGAAGTCGTTGCCGTCGGTCTCCTGTCCCTTGATGTCCTTGGTGTCCTCTGCCTCGGGGAGAGTGGCATACAGGGAGATGGCAGTAGACTTGATAGTGATACCACCTGCTTATTGTTAGCACACTGTCCTCGCCAGCAATTTGGAGAGGTGGAGTCTCGTAGGCAGAACGTACGCTCCTGCTCGTCGGCACGAGTATCTGTGGCTCGGGCATCACCAGCCTTTCCGGTGGAGATGATACCGGCCTTGGCCAGCAGAGAGTCGGTCAGGGTAGATTTGCCGTGGTCGACATGAGCAATAACACTCATGTTACGAACATTGCTCGGCTTCTTCATGAGATCGTGGATCTCATCGACGGTGAAGCTGGATAGAGGGGCGAGGTTAGCAAACAAGTAACCGCCACGCTTTGAAGTGTTCCTGTCTCCCCAGGGTAGGGTTGGTCGTGCGTTGTGGTCCAACATGACGATACGATCGTGCTTGTGCTTGTGCCGGAGCTTGCAGGTCTCGGCAAGGTATTGGGGTAGAAGATGCAGGAAAGGGGAGCCGGTCGGCTTGGAACTTACTTGACCATTTTGACGGTATTGACAATGAAACCTGTCTAAATGATATGTCTTCTGTGGATTTGGGGATGGGATGAATGCCTCGAGAACGGCAAGTAAATTGTGGCGGCGAAGGGGGAGAGATCGCACGCCGGGCAGACTCAACACTCGAGGTTTTGACCTGCTGATTAAAGAGGACTGCGCGGGGTCGTTAGCTGTGGCGACTGGAAGGGCTTGGATGCTTTTCGGCGAGGGGTCAGGAGTCCGGAAAAAGCAGTCCAGGAGTCTGGTGCAGGTGGTGCAATGGATGGATTGGGTTGGACGTACAGAATCTCGCCGTCAAGGCTTGCGCTGGTGAAGGAGGGAAAAAAAGAGGGAGGGAAGAAGAAACGGGCAATGTGGGTGCGGGGTGATAGATTTTCGCTGAAGCCCAATCCAACACCAGCCCCACCACCAGGCATTTGCAAAGTGGGTCGACCTTGCCGCAGGACCCCGGCGCGAGGCAGGGCGGCGCTTCATTTGCAAACAGTCCCATGGTGGCCATGGTCTAGCCCTAGAGCTCTCGCAAGCTTCATCCAAAACACCAAGCCAATCAAGCTGGCCGCCCCTCAGGCTGACCAAGTACTGGCCTGACTGTTCACCGAAGGCAACGACACACACCACACACCTATCAGCCTCTGGATGCAGTTCTAGAAGCTACAGCTGTTTGTCATCCGGCCGAGATTGTGACTCCTCTGGTTATTGTATGGAACCCGACGACACCATATCGATTTTGTGTGTCATGGTGAGATCAGCAGTTTCTGGGGTGATGGGGTAGTCTATGCCTCGACTAAGAAATCATCTTGACCGACTCGCTTAAATCCGTGCCCCGCTTAACACCGAACGCCTGGCATCTCACCTTGGCAGGACAACACTGTAGATATGCAGTACTCGATTGGTAAGGCTTGTCCCACCGATATCTTCTTCTACGCAACCTATAAACTACTGTGGTATGTACGTAAACATTATCGTATTCAAGATCGTATAGACGTATATATGTGATTGTACCATTCATGGAAATACCAGTACTGCACCAACAGTCAATATGCTCGATGACACACAACTGGATCGTTACCTGTCGTCGCCATCGGCCAATGCATTCTGCTCTATGTCTGTTGGGTAGAGAGACAAAGCTTACCAATATTGGCGATTCCCCAACCTGACAGGTAGAACAATCTCAGTACGATTCATCAAGCCGGCCCAGTCCCTTTCAAACGAGTGCTGGAAAGGAGCCGATGCTGTTTACTCGAAGAGGCAATGCCTGCATCACTTGCAGGATCTGCCCGAGTAACGATGTGATAGCTCACCCACACCAGTGAGCACTGGAGCAGACTCGGAGACGAGGCGTGGATTTGTACACAGCCTGGAAAGAAAGCCCGTCAAAGGGCACCTCATGCCACTGGAAGAATACCCACCATCACTCGTCCACTAGCCTTGGAGTACGGCTGCCCACAGAACGTACTGCCTAGCCACATCGAAAGCTTCGACCTTTTGTAGAGCTGGAAGCCACTACTAGGAGATCTCGAGTGGCATTGGCGGCCCTCAGGTGAGTAGACGAGTGGTTGGGCGAAACTCAGCCCATGCCAGGAGCCACAGACGACCTCACATTGTTATGAATTCATCATTGCAGTTACGACTGGGTAAGATAGTCATTAATATCGTAAGAGAACACTTTAGATATGACAATTCGGAATATTGCTGAGCATATAGACTGCTCTTGTAGTGTAAGTGTAGCTGGTCGCTGGGAGAGCAAAGCTTGGGCCCACCCTGGCCAATTCAGCCAATCGTAACATCTACCGCTAGTTTCCCGGCGCCTCTACCAATTTTCTCCAGCTTCGCTGCATCACATCACAACCCGTCTCGAACCGACCTGGACACTCACCTCAAGTCACGGTAAGCAGTCGCGAACCGACGATGGCGACTGCAAGCCGGACCATGTCGCCCGGGGGTTCCCTCCTCCGGGCTTCGCGCATGTTCTCGCTGCCCCAAGCAATACCGCCGCCGCCCGGCGACTTCCAGGCGGCCACCAGCTACAACTCGGACACGGCCACCCAGGCCTACCCGACCCTGCAGACCGTCACCGCCCCTGAGAACTTCAGGCAGCGCGGCGATTGGGGCTTCAAGCGCAACTTCCCCATGCGGTCGACCGCCAGGACAAGCACGCCCTATCTCCGCATCAAGCAGGTCGACTCCATCGAGCACGTCACCGACTTCGCCTCGGCCGCCGACCATGCCTTGACGCTGGAGAAGTGGCAGGAAATGAACATTGCCATATCCCTCCCACACACGATACCTCAGTCAGCGACATCCACGCTTCGTTCCATGGAGGTGAATGCGAAGTCCGTCTTCGAGAGCAAGTACGATTTCACTGCGATCGACGAAAAGAAGATCAGCGAGTCGGGCCAGATGCGATGGAAGTACAAGGGCCCATGGCTGGCCAAATTGACGGAGGGAGAGTTCCAAAAGTACATTCAGAAGCATGTGCGGCCGAGGAAGACCGAGTTCCGCCAGTTCCTGCGCGAGCAGCTTGCTGCCAAGCTGACACAGGACGCGAAGCTCCGCGCGAGCGAGGAGGGAGGTCAGGAGGAAGCTGTGCGCGTGCAGGAGGTGCAGCCGGGCGATATCACCGAGGACCAGCTTACTGCCTTTTTGAGGGAGTTGCGCCAGGACCGTCAGTCCCTCTTCGACCTTGTTGGGAAGTTCCTGGACCTTGCGCCAATTGAGCCTCCACAGACCCCGAATTATCTGGAGAACCTGATGGTTGGGCAAGCAAGGACTCTGGATCGCGACAACCCCTATGCCCTGCACGGGCCCCCTGTCACACATCCCTCGGCGGGTCTATCCTATCTGCGGACGACGTCTTACATGGACAACCACCCTGCCTACGGGCCCCTGAAGTACCACCCCCCAGTCAAGGGCAGAGTCTTTTTGTCGAGCACCGACGCCACTTCCTTCGGAAAGTCTGGCAATCTGGGTATCGGTGGTTTCGTCGTCGGCTCAAAAGGAAGCAACACAGAGTACCGCAGTTCGGACCGCCGCCTTGACCCGACTGTTAAGGGTGGTCAGAAGCTATGGGCACACATCTTCTCGGCGCAGCTCACTTCCCAAGGTCGGGTCATGCTGGGCGCCGAGGAGGTGCAGGGTGGGGCTACTAATGAATCGAGAATGGTGCAGGAGGAGATGGTGGGAAAAAAGCAGGTCTTCCACAAGGAGGCAGAAGATAGCACTCAAGACTTCATGCTGCCCATGAGGGGACCGAGATCAGCGGCCAGGCTGGACCGCAGGGGTCGCTACGTCGACCCTAAAATCACCCCAGGAAGCGGCGAGAAATACGGAATCAAGTTGGGTCGGTCTAGGGGCAGAGATAAACCACAATAAGCCATCGTGCAGTGTGGATCTTGTCGCGTTTCTGGGGCTTGCTGTAAAACATCCAAGACATCTAGTACTCCTGAAGAAGTGGGATTGATAGCTTGTACATTAAGTGGAAATATGAACTCGGTTCCGGCCACGAAAGCAGTCAATTCCCGGTCTCGATTTGCCTCTATTCGGGCTCGTGTGAGCTAATTAGAAGGCAAGGGAATCTCTGTACTTGTCGGTTGCCGTCATGCGTAACAAACCTGCTGCTGATTTGGGTTCCTTGGGTGCACCAGGTATAGACGTAAAATCTGGGATTCCCAATATTTGAAATGCATTTAAATGGACTTCCATGAGTCTGAAACCAATAGCGAGCGCAAATTGGGGAGCTACATATAGCGAGTTGATGTTGAAGCTGAAGGGTGTCATGTGACTGTGCACGTGTTGTTCGAGGTTCTGCCACCTGCCACCGCCCAACTCCAACACACACGCTAGTAGCTAGCAGTGGGCACCCCGAATTCTAATCACCTCGTTCATTTTTTGCGAAGTCTCAACCCAGCCGTCCGTCCATCGCCCAACGCTTGCCTCTCTCTTCGTCGACAACCACCATCTTCAAACCCCTCTAATACCGCCAAAATGGGTCGCGTTCGTACCAAGACCGTCAAGAAGTCCGCCAAGGTCATCATTGAGCGGTTCTACCCCAAGCTGACCCTCGACTTCGAGACCAACAAGCGCATTTGCGATGAGATCGCCATCATCGCCTCCAAGCGCCTGCGCAACAAGATTGCCGGCTACACCACCCACTTGATGAAGCGTATTCAGGACGGTCCCGTCCGTGGCATCTCTTTCAAGCTGCAGGAGGAGGAGCGTGAGCGCAAGGATCAATACGTCCCCGAGGTTTCCGCTCTCGACTTCACCCAGAACACCGAGTCTGGCCAGCTGGACGTCGATGCCGAGACCAAGGACCTGCTCAAGCACCTGGGCGTAAGTTCACATCATATCCTGCCTCTCAGCAGCAAATTTGGCCTCCCGGTGGCGTGTGGTTTGCTAACATTGGACTCCTCTGCAGTTCGACTCTGTCCCCGTCAACGTTATCAACGTCGTCCAGCAGCAGACCCAGGAGCGTGGTGGCCGCCGCTTCGGTGACCGCCCCCCTCGCCGCGACTAAATCGAACTCAATCGAAAAACGGTGCTGCGATGACGAGGTTACGAAAAATTTTTCAAAAGGCATGAGGGAGGGAAGTGGCACGGGCGTCACAGTTCAATATGGATTCATATCAGGCTTGGGTTCCGGGCGCGTGGTGTCGCCCACGGCGTCCACGGCGTTCTTGATGGCACGACAGTGTCTTGTTCGTCTTCTACCGACATGGAAGGTAGTGAGCTCCCAGCTAGATCGAATACAGATCTCATGCTCCTACAAGGTGTCGCCTATCTCTAGGGTAATTCCGGAGATAAGGCTTGATGGCCAATTACTTCCAATGCTCAGGTGTGGATTACGATCCTGGGTCGTGTGATCTTCCACCGACTCACTCTACAAATTTCACGCGGACTACTCCGGTATGCCGTTGTGAAGAGAGACACTTGCTGGTGACATGCGACGTGCTTATGTGACTTTGCTCTATTTGGGTATCGCGAAACTCAACCGTAACTCCTGTGCCTTTTCTGTAAACGGCAATGCTTGTAGACATGAAACTAGGTGTGTACTACGAAGCCTTCTTTGGTTCCGTTCCAAACCTAGCTTTGTAGCCCTCGATGGAATCACCTTCCGCTCCCTCGCCGAGGGACGGCGCCTCTGCCTCTGTTGTCACCGTCTTCTCGCGTACGACAACGTCCACCTTACGCCTAGGCGCCGCTTTGGCATCGTCTCCTCTCTCCAGAGCCAGACTCGCAGCGTTCTTGGCAGCCTTTCGGTCCTCCTCGAGTTGCAGCCGAGCCATCTCGACTGCTAGTCTCTCTGGCTCACTCTTGCCCTCCCCAACGGAGGCGTTGACATCAGAGCCGTCAGGCGCTTCGCCGCCGCCGCCGCCGCCGCTGCCGTCCTCTCCATCCTTCTTCTCAGGGTAAAGCTCGATCTCGATGTCAGGCAGGCCGACCCTCTCCCAGGCGGCCGTCTCGTTGAGCTGGACCTTGACCCACAGGGCGCGGCGCGTGCACTCCTGGCTGCACCACTTCTCGAGCTCGCGCGTCTCGACAATGTCGAAGTCCTTCCGGCCCTTGTTGATCATCTTGTAGGTGCCTGCCCCGGGGAACCGCCGCCGGCGCCGTCCGCACAGCGCATACCCGCACTTGTCGCCGTCCAGGTTGCGCTCCACCGCCAGGTCGTCGTAGTCGCCCGGCTGGAAGATGCGCACCAGGGAGGTGAAGTCCCGCGCGTCCGCCGGGTCTGGGTCCCATGCCGGGCGGGAGGCGTCGCGCGGGAAGTCGAGCAGGGCGATCACGTTGTCGAGGATCTTGGCCTCGGTGTCCTTGCGGTCTTGGAGGATGCGGGCGTGCTGGATGGCGACTTGTCTTGGGTCTGGCTTGGATGGTAGCGGTGGTTGCGCTGTTCTCGTTGCTGATGTGGTCGATGACTGTGCCGAGTTGGGAGACGCCTTTGGCTTCTTGAGAATGCCCTTGATGGGCGCTTTTGTTTCTGATGCCATGATGTAGTTTAGTGTGTTGCTCTCGTATGCCTGAGCTTCCCGAGGTGTCGTTTGCCTGCTGAAGGAACAATTGTGTTGGGCCGATGACGATGGTGGGGGCTACCGAGGCAGCAAGCTGTTTTCCTATTTTCAACGGCCTGGATGAGCTTTCTGGCGTACAGTGCTCTGGCTGTCGGCAAGGATTATGCACTGTCGGGTTCGCACACCCATCTCCAACATGCACACTGTCCTCGACTGTGCCGGGGCTGTTTGACGTTGAGGAGCGGTCGATGCTGGCCGGTGCTGGCCCACCTGGCCCAAGTTCAACAATAGAACAGGTAGACTAGACGGGTCTAGATAGCCCAACTGCATGGAGACAGGAGTCTGGTGTTGTTTTAGATCCTGATCCTCAGCCATCGCCAGACCAGACGAGAGGCGGCTACAGTGCCCATCTCTGCTGCAGCTGGAACCAGACCCTTGGGATCGAAGAGACATATACCTGCCTGCCTAACTCTACCGTGTGGCCCCCTTTCTCCTTACTCTATCTGTCTATTCTGGCAGTCTATCCGTTCTGGCTATTGGCCGTTCATCCAACATACCATCATTCGCCTTTGAGCAAAACAATATCAGCCCAGCCAGGCATTGGATAATTTGGCCTTGCGGATCCCCTCGATGCGATCACCATCTGGTTGGCTGTCTGTTTAATGACACATGATCACCAGCAAGGAGCACAGCGCAATCCCATAAGATCAGGCTTCGTCACCAAGATCTCGTCTGAAGAATCTAGGGTACTGTAGATCTTGGGACCAGCCTGTCTGTTTACAGCATCTATCTGGCTGCCTGTGTGTCTGGCGGGGTACGTGGGAGCCAGTCTCCTTTATTGTCCGGGCTACCGAGCGAGGCTTGGCCGTGCTCTGCCACCTTTTTATCGGAGCACGTCAGTTAGGCTGGAAGGCGTAGCTGTGTTGTACACGTCCTGAGGTCCCGGCTGACGCTCTGGTGTGGTCGGGCTTGGTCCGGTCTGAACGCGGCGGCTCCTTATTTGTTCATGCGCTGACGTCGTCCAACTAGGATCGTCTCCAACTGACCTGAACTGACCTGCATCAATCCCCAATCCCGCAGCGCCCGCGCCCGCGCCCGCGCCTGTCCCTCTGCCTCCTGAAGCTTCCCAGCACCCGAGCAGACGTCGCTTCCCGACTGCCCGAGCCCTCAGGCCTGCCGACTGACTGTATGTCCAACATCCAACCCATCCTCTCTTCTGCTCTGCTCTTCTCATCCACCCACAGAGCCAGCATTGGCGAATTGCTGTCTTCTGCACAACATCTGACTTGTTACAAGTGCCACAGCACAGACAGATCGGACAAAAACCCTTCCTCCAAAGCATCGCTCCCCGCATCATCCTACGTCAGACACCCCCCATTGGGCTCCCGTAAACTCCGCGACACCTTCGCCTTCGCCTCCGCCTTGGCCCTGGCAGCATCGCCATGTCTTTCAAGGTCAAGGCCCTGTACGAGTACTCCTCGCCGCACGACGATGACCTGAATTTCCCAGTCGGGCAGATCATTACTGTCACGGAAGAGGAGGATGAAGACTGGTACACCGGAGAGTACCTCGATGAGGCTGGAGCTAAGCATGAGGGCATCTTCCCTAGGAACTTCGTCGAGAAGTACGAGCCAGTCGCCCCGCCTCGCCCGACTCGGACGAGACCCAAGAAGGAACCCGAGCCTGCCCCCGAAGAGATAGCCGCTGCTCCCGAGGAGCCTGCTCCGCCGGCATTCTCCCCCAAATCCGCTGCGCCAGAGCCGGCGGCCGCGCCGCAGGAGGAACACCAGCCTGCTTCTCCGCCTCCATTGCCCACTGAGCCCAGGTCTCCCGTTGCTGCTCCTGCTCCTCGTGCACCCGAGCCCGCTGAGCCAGCTGAGCCCGAGCTCCCCTCGTCGCCTCCCCGCGCCCCCGCAGCAGAGTCAGTTGCTCAGTCTTCACCAAAGGCCGCACCCGCTAAGAAGGGGCCGCCTCCCGTGTCGCAAAAGCCGGCCAGCAGCGCTTTCAAGGATCGCATTGCTGCTTTCAACAAGACTGCTGCACCACCAATCGCCCCCTTCAAGCCTTCTGGGCTGGGCGGCGCGTCCGGCGCCGCCTCGTTTATCAAGAAGCCCTTCGTCGCTCCTCCTCCCAAGGGTAACACCTACGTTCCGGTCCAGCGGAACACTCCAGTGGCTCCTGTCTATCGTCGAGACGAAGATCCTGAGATCAAGGAACGGGAAGCTGAAAATGAGGAGACTGCTCAGAAGGCCGGTTTGATGCCCACTGAATCGAACGAGGGCGATGAGGATCAGCCCAAACCTTTGAGTCTGAAAGAACGGATGGCACTGCTTCAGAAACAGCAGCAAGAGCAGGCGCAAAGACACGCAGACGCCGCTGCCAAGAGGGAGAAACCGAAACGCCCGGCAAAGCCTCGCATGCCCAGCCACGAACCCGCTGCCGCCGAGGGCGCTGACGAGGAGGAAGCCGCTCAGCCGCCGCCGCTGGATCGCACCGACACGGGTGGAACAGGAGGCAGAGCGTCCATTGACGAGTCGCATCCTCCAAGAGTGCCTGCGCAGCCTCGCCGCAAGCCATCCAAGGGTCCTGAGCCTAGAGACGGAAACGAGGCGGACTTGTCTGGCGCTGGTGAGACGACGGAAGATCAGGCCGATCTTACCGAACGCGAAGATAGCGATGAGAAGCCCCGGCGCCCCTCTCGGGTGGCGACAGAAACGGCTGCAGCCGAAGAAGAACCCGAGGAGGCCGAAGAAGAGGAAGAGGAGGAAGAAGATGAGGAAACCAAGGAGTTCCGGCGCAAGGAGGAGCTTCGGGCAAGAATGGCGAGACTGGGTGGCGGCATGGGAATGCCTGGCATGTTCGGTATGCCGGCCCTTGGCGGTGCCCCCTCGTTGCCTCCAAAGAAGAAGAAGCCTTCTACTTCCGAGAGACGTCCTAGCGAGGACTCCCTACCGCTCGCTTCTCCGGGACACGCACCTCCCGTCCCCATGATGATGCCTCTGCCAGGCTTGGGCGGTCCCCGGAAATCCGAAGACAAGACACCGGTAACGGAGGAGCCGCCTGTTGCTTCTGATGATGAGGAGGACGACGAACCAGTCGCACGCAGTCCCCCAGCCGGTAAGCTGTGATCGCACCTACACTTTTGATCTTGTATTAAGACTGACTTGCGTCTAGTCCCGACCAGCACCTCTGGTGCCCCCCCAATTCCAGGCGGGCGTCCAGCACCACCCCCTGTGCCTGCGGAATGTACGTCCAACATTCCCTTTTGCAATGAATTTGCTGAATATATTGCTAACGAGACGTAGCCCGGGCTCCCCCACCTGCTCCTGTAGCAAATCTTGCCAGGTCTGAGGGGTCTGAATCGGACGACGAGCTGTCAGGGCCTGGGGCGTTAGAGACGCCACGAGGTGAAGAGGCTCCAGTGACTCGAGCACCGCCGCCACTGCCTCCTGTATCTGCGCCTGCACCACCTGTGCCTACGTCTCCTCGGGTGCCAACATCTCCTAGATTTTACGGTGATGATTCTACGCCGGTGTCACCATCCAGCAAGAGGGCCAGTCGACCTCCGCCTCCTGTCCCAGGCACAGCTCCAGCCCCTCCATCTCAAACTAGACCACCTCCACCACCTCCCCCTGGCGGGTTGCCGAGGACGTCGATTTCCTCCGACCGTCCAGGATCTTCGTCCAAACCATCCGCCCTTCCAGAGGATAGTAATGAAGGGGAGGTCACAGAGTACGACGGAGATTACGACACAGACATTGCTTCCTCTGTGCCGCATAAGGATGCTCTGAAGTCCCATGGGCGGGAGTCAAGCATTGAGGATACTATTTCAGTTGCATCGCCGAAGGAAGCACCTCCCTCACTGCCGCCGCCCATTCCCTCTGCTGCTGCCCCAAGAGCTGTGCCTCCACCGCCTCCTGTGCCGAGCCAGCCGCCGCCAGACAGTCGACCAGACACTCGACGGTCTGTCGACGCTCCTCGAGCAGCGCCCCCGCCACCTCCACCCACAAAAGCCCCGACACAGGATGACGATTATGACCCTTACAACTACACCGCCGCTGCGACGTCTCCTCCGATCCCTGCTGCGCCAAGCTTTTCTCAGCCGCCGCCGCCTCCTCCTCGTCCGGAGGATGACTACGACGAGCCCTCTTACCAGGCCGAGCACAGGGCTGCTCCAGTTGCTTCAGCCGGTCGACCTGCGCCTACTTCTCGCGGCTCACTAGATGTTCGTACGTCTAGACGATCTGTGGATATGCTGAACAGGCCGTCCATGGAATCCGGCTTCGTTGCCAATGACGTTGACCTGGCCCCTCAGTCCGGATGGTGGATGCAACCAAACAGTCTTCCACCACAGTTGCAGGGCCGTAAGGACATTTTCTTTGAATCTGATGAGTCTCAGTCCACTCAGCGTGGCACCAAAACGACTGTGACTCGAGACATCTACGTTTTATTCCAAGACTACTCGCAGACTGTCATCACCGCGCGCTTTGACCCTCAGGATGCAAAGGATGTCCACTTGGAGCAACGCCATGAGAGTCCTCCTCGAAGTCTGCGACAAGACCAGCTTGAAGAATCATACGAACGTTTCGGCCGCCCACTCTCTACAGCTGTGGCCGGAAAGAAAGACACTGTCGTTGGCGATGGTACGCCACAGTCGCTTGTGCTAGAATTACTTAAGCCTTACAAGGATGCTCTCTTGCCCGTGGGCACTCGCGCATACGGCGCACTCGTTTATTCTAACCTCGCCAATGCCAGCACAACACAAGCCGACCAGATCCGGCCAGGCGACATCATCAGCATCCGCAACGCCAAGTTCCAAGGCAAGCACGGCCCCATGCACGCCAAGTACAGCACAGAGGTGGGAAAGCCTGACCACGTCGGCATCGTCGCCGAGTGGGACGGGACCAAGAAGAAGGTGCGCGCCTGGGAGCAGGGCCGCGAGTCCAAGAAGGTCAAGCAGGAGAGCTTCAAGCTCGACGACCTGCGCAGCGGCGAGGTCAAGATCTGGCGCGTCATGCCGCGCAGCTGGGTCGGCTGGGAGGGCCAGAACTAGGAGATCGGCTCCGCGTCCCTGCCGATGAGGTGCACCGGGGTGTGGTGCCCCGGCAACAACAGCGGCGCGAGCACCCCGGCGAGCGTCTCATCGGCGAAGTTTTCTGGGCACCGGTCCACGGAGCGGTCCAGCGGGGCCCGCTACCTCGACGGTTTTGTGCGGCGGAGCCTCCAGGGCAGCCCGAGGGGCAGCTTCGACGGGAACCCTTGGTCTTAGTGCTACTGCTTCGCCGGGCGTGGGATCAGCAGCGAGGGAAGTAATGGTGGTAACTTGTAGTGGTATGCAAGGGTGAAAATAGCATGTGTCGGTTGGTGGGTGGATGTATGGATGGATGGACGGACTGGCTGGTGTGTACGCGTGTGTGTTGTACGACTCTCTTGGGAAGCATCATCGTCATTCGCATCATTGCACGGCACGGAACAGCAAATACTATCGATCGTTTCTGTCCCCCCGGGTGTTGAAGAGGAGGGCCGAGGGGTGTGTGGCCGTTGTGTTGTTGTTGTGGTCTCGAGTCCATCGGCTGGCTGGGTAGCTTGCTGTGGATCTTAGGTACCTGTCGGCACATACGTAGTTCTACTTCTTGGCTTTATTGAGAATTGTACTTGCATCGCCGCTTCTTGTACCTCTCGCATAGATGATTCGTTGAGTTGAATAATTACTTGTCAATCAGTCTTGACAGGTCATCCTCGCCACGGCTTGTTCTTTGCTGGTCCCACGACATTCGGCTTCAAGATAAGTATTGCATAAGAATGTCACGTGCCATACTCGATTAATAAATGTCTTGCATGCAGTGTTGGTCACTCCTGACTGGTACGTGGTTGGGCTGTGCAACGCAGGCAGCTTAGAATGTGACATCTGAACGAAGAGGGGCTTGTGCCCCGTTCACGGCCTACCGCACTTATTCAAACCCCAGGCTTCTTTCTCATTCGCGTATTTGCAAGACCTGCCTCAATAGAAACGGCATCGTAGCTTGGAGTCATTCTGTGCATAATGAATTGGTCCAGTGTTACTCCGTTCTTTGGGTTTCATCATGTACTGATGATTTTATGTATATTGGCCATGGTGTTCTGGTGTAAGTTGTGCTGCTGTTGTCTTTCTACCCCATCATCTCTCTATGACCGCTGACAGACTGTTCAGCCGTGCTTGTGGCTGGATGCACCTCCTCCAATGGACTGAGCAATGTCTATCTCATCTCCCTATCGTACAAAGGCGCTGGCGTAACGGCTACCAACAGCTCGTTGCAAGTCAATCACGATGCCGGAAATTGCTTTATCGATGGGATCACAGGCAGCTCCAAGACAATCCGGCAGATAAATATTGGGTTCATGGCCTTGTGCGTCCAGCTCAACTCTGGAATTTGGCTTTGCGGGAGCAGTGCTCAAGACATCGCCCAGAATCTGAAGGACCAGGAATCCGTCGACGCTGATCCATTTAATCTTGTCTGGATAGCGGAGAAGTTCAGGACGAATATTATATTCTACGGCTTTCTGTGAGTCTCTCCTCACTGCCCATCGCATCCAATGGTGTCGGCAGAGCTGAGACAAACTGGGGACTAGGATTGCAGTAGTTGTCATGATTTTCTTCCAGTTCCTCCTCTTGGCAACATTTCCCGGCTGGCATGAAGACGACGTCAGCAGTGGATCGGTTGACAGAATGGTAAAACCGTTCCCCAGCCGTAAAGTAACCGTACCCTGCCTTGCGCTGGCGTACATCGCTTTGCTTCTCTCTTTCGTAACTGTTTTATGGCAGCACATAGGAGGTGCTGCGGCATCGAAGTTGCTGGAACTGCTTTCCTACGGCATCATTCAGGCTGAGGTGGGAGCAACTGCAATGGTGCTGGGATGGGTTGGCGTGGCATTCACTGCGATTGTGGCCCTCGGCATACACACCATCAAGGTATCAACCAATTCAATTACATCTACTAAACTTTCTAGTGTAATTAAATAGGAAATTTTCAGCTCTTAGTTAAATTAAATTAAATTTTAAAGGCTATTAATATAATTTAGTTAAATATAATAAAAAAAAATAAGTTTTAAGGCGGATATTTTTTAAATACTATGCCTTATAAAGCGCATACTAAATTTATTAGTACGCTTTATAAGGCGCAATACTTAAAAAATATCTGCCCTAAAATTTAACTTAGTAAAAAAAATATATATATAAAATTTAAACCTTTTATAGCTAAGTTATATACTTAAATATAATATATATTTAAAAATACTTATATTAATTTATATATACTTTATTTACTTAGTTATTAAAAGCAGCTAAAGGCTATATCCCTTTAAGCCTATTTATAAATGTACGCTTAATAAACTAGCCTGCCTATAAGTATTTAAAACCTTTTTAAAAACTACCTTTTATATAACTTAAACTTAAAATCTTATTAATTAAAGTAATCGCCTATATACTTTAATTAAATACTTAAAAAATCTAAGTATTAGATTTTTCTAAATCTATTTAAAAGTTTTTAAAATAAGCAAGTTTACTAAATTTAAATAAAAATTACTATAATACCTTTATTACTAAAATTGCTTTTTATATTAATATTTAATAGTTATTTCTATTATATAAACAACCTAATTTTAAAATAGTTTATAAACTTATAATTCTACTATTTAAAAAACAAATAAATAAAAATAAACTATTAAGCTATAACAATTACAGCTAATTCCTAGCTAATAAACCTAGTAAGTAGGTTTATATTTAGAGAACGTTTAAAGTAGTAATATTTTAAGCAATATATAATAATAGTAAATTAAAAGCTTTATAGCTATTTTAGATAAATATTTAGATTAACTATTAAAAAGCTATTTTAAGCTAATGCTATCTACTAGTAATAAGTATAATTTATATAATCTATTTTTTTAGCTAAAGCAATGGAAGCATTGCTTTTAGCAGCTTATTTAAAGCATTGCTTACCTAAAGCAGTAGGAGCATTGGATTATTTAGATTATTTAGAGTAAAGTATTGCTTTAATTATTTTAGTTATCCTTTTACTTTATTATATAACTTATTTCTATTATATAGCAAATCCTTTTAAGCCTATTTTACTAGCTTATAAGGTTTATTTACGCTTTTAGGGAATTAATAGTACTTTCCTAGTTTTATTTCTATTATATTTATAATATTATTCCCCTCCTTTATTACTTCTTTATCCTTAAAAAACCTAAATAAGTTTTTTTCTTTTTTATTTTCTTTTATATATTTATTATATTTATTCTACTAATAATTATATTATTATATATAGAAAAACTATGTTTTAAGAAATTAGATTAATATAATTAACTATTTATATTTATTAAGTTATTAAGCTTTAAAGTTATACCTTATTTATTTTATTTTATAAAAGAATAGTTTTATTAAATAATAAAAAGTATTTCCTATTATTCTGCTTATATTAAGTAAAGCAAAAAGTATAATAGTTTTAGGGTATTAATAAGTATTTATAAGTTTTAGTTTTCCTTATTTTTCCGTTTTCTTTTTTTTAACTATTTCTTTAGTATTTTAGGTTATTATAAAAAAAAAGAAGTTACATTTTTAAAAGCTTAAAGCTTAAAAGGCCTTATATAAGGCTTATTATTAGGCAAGTAAGGTAATAGCCTATTTAGATTATTTATATTATTAAAAGGAGTTTTTAGTTTATTGTAAGGCTAGTTTAATAAATAAAAGTTTAACTACTTTAAATATATTTAAAGAGGCTAATTATATTAAAGCTGTTAATTAAATTATAGCTAAAAAGTTTAAAGCTATTTTTAATATTTAATAAAATAAAGGTTTTAATATTATAAATTAGGGTTTTATAATAGAGTTTACTAATATAGATTTTTCTAATTAGTTATTTAGTAATATATTTAAAGTGCTTTTTAATAGTTTACTAGGTTTTAAATAAGTTCCTATAAATTATCTTTATTACTATAATTCTCTTATTTAACTAAATATTCCATTATTCTCTTATATATCTAGTAGTTTAGAATATATTTTACCTTATATTCTAATTTATAATTATTAAGCTTAATACTAATAGCTAATATTATATTAGCTAATATAGGTTTTAATATAAAAATATAGAAAACTAAATAAATTTTTATTTCTTTTAATAGCGTAAATTTATAATTTATTTTTAATATTTTTTTTTTAATTTTAAATAATTTAATCTTTTTAAAATTAAGTTTATTATTAAGTTATTTAGTTTTAATTTATTTTTTATAAAATAAATAAACTATATCTCCCTTTCTAAAAATTAATCCCTTTAACCTTTATTAGTTTACCTATTTTACTATACATTTTTAAATAAATCTTAAGTTTATTATAATTTTTTTATAAATATTTTTAATTTATTTTATATAGTTAATAGCTTATAATGCTTCTATACTAAAAATTAGGTATTAATAAATATTTAAATTAAATCTATAGTTAATATAAAATAGTAAAATATTAATAATATATATATCTATACTATTATATATAAATTATGCTAACAATAGTAATAATACTTAATTATTTTATTAGTAGTTAATATAGCAGTATATATATTATTCTAATATTTAATTAAGTTATTCTATTTACCTATTTATTTATAAATATACTGTTATTAAAAATCTATACTTAGCTTTTAATTATCTTATTAAAGAAAACTAAAAATTTAATATAAATAGTTTATTTTAATTAAATATAATCTTATTTAGCAGCTTATATTAGCTAATAATTATTCTAAGGAATATATAAGCAAGTTTTTCTACTATACTAGCTTTCTTATAAGGTATAAAATATATATACTTTATAAATTTATCTACTATAACTAAAATACTATTATAGCTAACTCCTATTATTAGTTTTTTAAATAAGGAAAGCTTAATAATAAAGTCTAAACTAATTAATTTTTATAGTTTATTTAGTATTAGTAGTAGTTATAATAGCTTATATAGCTTATATCTTATAAGCTTACTTTTATTATAAAGGTTGCATTTATTAATAATTTAAGTTACTTCTTATCTTACGTTAGGAAAGTCCTAATATTATCTTAGCCTTAAATATATAGCTTAAATACTTTAGTAGCTATATACTAGTACTTTATAAAGTTTTTTAATAACTTCTTTTTAAAAAGCTGCTAGGAAATAGTATTTTCCCTTATAAAATAGGGTTTTATTTATATTCTATAGCTACTTTTTTTTATTACCTAAAATATCTTTATAGCTTTATTTTACCTAATTAAGTTAATCTATAGCAAACCGTACTTAATAAGCTACTGCAATTTATTACTTTAGTAGGTTATTTTTTAGTTAATCCGTAGCAGACTGCTTTTTTAAATACCCTATACCTAGGCTTCTATTTAAGTTTTTATAAAATACTATATAAGTTTTAGGTAAAACCTTTTATTAATAATTCAATTATTTGCTAAGAGTATCTGCTTTTTTATTTTTAGATCCCTTTTAATATATAATTTTAGCATTAAACTATAAAAAGTATTTTAACTATTAAATTTACCGCTTATTAAATTCTTTAATAGTTATAAAGTATATTAGGTTTTTATAGTTTATAAATATTTATACTTAGTATTTTGCTTTAATTAAATAGTATTCCTATTTTTTAAATACTTTAATAATTACTATTAGTTTTTTATTATATATTAAGTAGTTTAGTTTAGGTTTATTAAGTTTTTGTAAAAAAAATATAATAAGGTAAAATCGTCTTTATTTATTGCATTATCCTAGTTCTCTTCTAATAGTAAAGTCTAAAGCATTAGTGCTTATATTATAAACCTTTTTAGGGTTTACTTTTATAAGTATAAGTTTTAAGAGAATTTATTCCTTAATTTTATTAAATATATCCTATTCTTCTTTTCCTTATTTAAAGGGTTAATCTTTCTTAGTAAGGTTAGTTAATAGTATAAACAACTTTTTATAATTCTTAATATATTATTAATAGAAGTTAATATAACCTTAAAAGCCTTTAATTTCCTTAATATTAATTAGGATTAGCTAATCTTTAATTACTGTAATTTTAAAAGCCTATATTCTAATTTTTCCTAGTTAGATTATATATCTAAGGAAATCAACTTTTTATATATAAAAATAACTTTTTTTTAGTTTTACTAAAAGTTTAGTATTTTAAAAAGTCTAAAGAACTTAATATATATACTACTTATATTACTTAAACATTTTTAAAAAGATTAAAATATTGTTTAAATAAACTACTATAAAATAGTTAAAGTATTCCTATAAAACATTATTAATTATCGCCTAAAAAAAGGCAAGCACATTAATAAGGCTAAAGGGCATAACCAAGTATTTAAAGTAATTATACTTTATTTTAAAAGCAGTTTTTTATTCTTTTCTATATTTTATTTTAATAAAGTTATAAATACCCTTAAAATTTAGTACTATAAACTATTATACTTTTTAAAGTTTATTGCGCAATTCCTTAATAAGCAAAAAGGGATACTAATTTTTAATTATAATTTTATTAAGCTATTAATAGTTTATATAAAAGTATAGCTTTCCATTTTTCTTAAGTATAAAAAGGATAGGGTAGCCTATAAATAATATAAACAGTTAAATATATCCCTTTTTTAAATTATTATTAAGGTATTCTTATAATACTTTAAGCTATTTTTCGTTAAGGTTATAGATTTTATAAAACTTAAGGTAACTTCCTTTTTTTAAAGGTATTTTATAATCCTACTAATTATACTTAAATAGTTTAATATTAAGTATTACTTAAAATAGCTTTAAGTATTTCTAATACTCTTTTAAAATCTATTTTAAGTTATCTATTTTTTTTTATTATTATATAAAACAGATAAACTTTTTAAATAATAGCTATATTATTTTATAGTATGCTAAACGTTATTATTTCTATATTTATTATAAAATTCTTTTTAAGAATATAACTATAATCCTTAGGATTTTTAATAAATAGTATACTTATTTAAATATTATTTAAAT